ATCCATGGTGTCGTTGAGTGACCTTCTCGATATTAGATTTGGAATAATCACTCGCAGAGCCGGTACGGTACAATGTCGACAGGTTTTCTCTCACGATACCCGGGCATCCTCCAGGATGTACAAACCCCTAAGCTGTGACTTCTCGCACAACGTCGCCAATCTTGCAGACGGCCCTGGGCATCACAGGGACCTATGTACGTATAGAACTCCCTTGCGGGACGGGGTATTTCACAAGATATGCCGCCACGACCCCATAGGGAAAGGTCTGGCAGAAGACTTATACTTGCTTGCATTAAGACGCTGCTGTGCGACCAGAGTTGGCCAGAGTACGCTTCCCAGCTGACCTGAAGACTCCCAATGCTCTGGACTCGTCCCCTGAACGGACCTTCCACCGCCAGTCTTGCTCACTACACAGACGGGATCACGCATACTCGAGCGGGGCATGCTACCGCTCAACAGGCACTCGTCCGAAGTATGGTGGCCTCTGCCTGGCGTAGCTTGTCTCCGTGTGACTCTAGTGTCAGCCGTCAACTTTGTTTTGCTTTCTCTGAATAGGTGGTTTGCCGTCGAGGTTGTACGCCGTAACATAAGAAGTTGTCAGATGTCGAATCTTCGAATTTTTGCTACCGGTGCGGACTCTATCCAACCAATCCTCCCTGTTTATCCGAAGATGGCACAGATCCGGAAAGTTGGAAACATCAGCCCTGACTGTGTCACGAACGTAAAAGCAACTTCAAAGAAACTTGAGCCCGAAGTCTGCAAAATACTCAACCATGTCCGCTATCGCAACACAAAGTACCAGCACGGCAAAGCAGCAGACCAGGCGTATCACCTAAACAAGGGGTCAAAGACTTCGTGTTTCTTCTGACAGCCACTGTGACTATCAACTGCTTGCCCGCATAACGGTCCTCCAACGGTCGCTAGGAGCGCCACGCCTCACTTTTATCACAGCATGTCTCACCTATCTCAAGAGGCGGGAACTCATCAAAGGACCCTGGTACTACTTGCTTTTGATTCTCTTAGCCTCAAAGACACGTTTTACCATTATTCGCGCCTTGCGGAGAAAAGCAATTAAGGCATCATAGCCGATGGCGGCGCCGAAGATCTGTGGCTGCCACACCCTAGACGTGCATTAACACCCTAGGGTGCATATACTACTTAGGTACTCGTCCGTTGCAGAACGCACACAGTACAGAACCGCTGGTTTACCTGTTTCTGCTCCTGCTCTGGTGAGGGTCTGACAAAGATTTGTGCAATATCAGTCTTTCAATCCTGGTCCCCGGGATGCCTTCTGCATTTGGCCTTGGAAGATGTCCTCAACAGAGACGTCAATTTTCGCCTCAACTCACCCAAAGGGTATCAAGTCCGGTATGAAATGCTCCGAGATTCCCACCCTGGTCTGTAGTGATGTGCAAAGCCTTGATCATGCATCGGAATGACCCGAGGGGATTGCGGAACTTCCATCCCGAGTAACTCATGTGATGACAGCTTTGTGAAGCTGGAAGTATATCGATATGAGGCCAGCGAGCGACAGGAAGCTGGGGCGACGTACCAGTCGATGTTGACATTAAGATCCTATAGCGAATCCCCACGGCTGGTTACTAATAAGTTAGCTACGGAGAAAGCTGCAAAGGGTCGTTGACTCCAACGCTTAGAGTGCCTTCTATCGGCTTACAGTTGGCAAGTTTCTGAGGTCATTGAATGTTGCATCGGCGCTATGTACCAACACAAACCCCTACCACACATCCTCGCAACTGAGCAGAATAATCAGACTCGTTTTCGTATCATACCAGGTCTTCCTGTCTGTAGGCTGGGATGCTTCCCTGTATTCACATGGAACACTCCGGGTGGCTCAGGACACAAGAATGTAAGCAAACCCGTGCCTATAACTGCTATGACAGATCAATGTTAATAGCCACTCATTTTATTTTGATCTCTTGCTCCGATGGATACTTATGGCACAAGGTAAGTCAAGTTAAACCGGAATCTGTTCCTCAGATTGCGTATTGTCCCAATTGCCGTATCATGCCACATGCGTAATTATTCCCTGGAACATGGTTATAACTCAAACGGCCCTGTCAATATCAACCTATGTGGGCCATCGGCCGAGTTCTGACATTTTGACAGCCTCAGGGGCCTGACAGACAGGGGCCTCATTTGTCGTCGACCGACGGATGTTGAGCCTGAGGTCCTGCACAGAATGCCTGACAAGCATCCCGAGGACTTGGTGCATACCTAGACGGGTAAGTAAGCCCAGGGTACTTAACAAAACCCCCCACCTCGACGGTCGGCCAGGGGATCTTTTTGGACGAAGATCAAGATTCACGAGATCCCGGGCTTCCACGACCCAGGTCAGCCCCTTTGTCGGCTCCACCCCGTTGTTGATTCCATGTTCCGCGGCTCCATCGTGCCTAGGGTCTCCACGCCCATGCCAACGTCTACGGTGGGCAGGGTGGATATCGAGACCAGGGCTGGAAGCCAGAAGAAATACACAGTACAGCATTGACTATATTTGAAGCTCGCCTGACAATAGTTTATGAGTTCCAATCTGGAGTGAGATGAAGGTCAAGGTCGGCACCGTGTGCGACCATCAAGCACCGTCCCAAAGGTGATCAGCGCTGAGCCTTTTTCAGGGGTCCCGATGCCTGGTCGAAGCCGGGACCTTAGGCCGGAAAGCTAGGGATCCCCTCTCCTGGTCCACCCCCCCTGCTCCCCATCCACTCCACGCGTACCCGATACCTGGCCCAAGCGCCTGTCATCAACTTTGGTGGACTTGGTCGTCTGCTTTCTCCCCCTTCCAACCTTTGTCGTTCAGGGGAGTCTCCCGGGGAGAAAAGCAGGGCCCCCTGGCCGCTGTCACAAGCAGCCCCACGGCCGAATCGTACTTCACGACGGCTCCCCTTCCAGACCTCCAAGCGAAGCACCGTGGCGGGGCGTGGTGGATGGCACAAGCACAAGCCTGGCAGGCCTGGGTTTCGCTTAGACCCTGCACACACGTTGATACCCACACGATGTCCGTTGGGATCGCCGCCGATTCTCATCGGCTAGAATCGACCTGGATCTTTGGGACGACCCTCTTTTCTGCTCTTATACCCCTCTCCTCCGCGGGCCCCTCGTCGATATCTACCAGCTACTATACGTAGCAGCAGCTAATGTGCGAATGCGGTAATGACGGTGCCCTGTCAGCAAGCCCAATGTACCTGTCGGGCCTGCCTGCTGGGGGTTCTGGCGCAAGGGCTCACATCATCGATCTTGCTTGACACCACTGTCCGTGGGCGGTTCTCGATGCACGATGTCGGTATCTGACAGGGGACGGGATCGAAGAGGAGCCCGCATCTCGCTCGCTCTCTCTCTCTCTTTCTCGTTGTCCGACGGCGACGGTGACGACGTGATGCATACCTTGTTGAGGGGGGGTTGTATCGAACGGAAAACTCATTTCACTCTACACCGGGCTGTTGCTTATTCCTCATGTTTGTTATTCTCCTCCTCGACTCGTGTTCGGCTTTGGGAAGAGAGAGAGACCGGGGGTGGTTGCTCTCTCTTTTCTTTTGCTGTACTCTGGCCTGGCATGTTTCTGAACCACGTGCTGGCCTTCCACGTTACCCATGTCTCGCCCATCAACGGCCAGGGCAAGAGTCCGCCGCAAAAAGCAAAACGTGTTGCGCGACTCCAGCGAACCAGTCTTCGCTGGTGTCTGGGTGAGTGAGGGTGGCCCTTGGATGCGGGCCGCGCTGCCCACCATTTACATAGCTAGGTCGCTCCCAACGCCATGTACGGGGGTTGTCCAATCTCGCCAAACAGCATGAGGCTTGTCAGCTTGCAGGACAACACTGGTGATTGACGAGATGCCATGCGTTTCCGCCACCCGAGAAGCTGCATCTAGCGCCATGTTCCTGGCCTTTCCAATCAATCAATCAATCAATCAATCAATCAATCAATCAGACAATTGACGTAGACTTGACACGCCGAGGAGACGGTCTTGATACTTGACTTGACTGCGGTCGAGACGGGTCACCGAAGGCGCAGCAGAATCGCAGAGCGCGCGGCTAGAGTTGACTTGCCATGCGCACGCATTGTTGACAATCGGGCTTAGACGTTTTACGACTCCCCTGGTTTCCCCGACTCCAGAGCCTCTAGCTTTCGCAGCCCCATGTGCCGGGACCTCGGCACTTGGAGGGGGATTGCCAGACGTCCTGCTGCTGCTACTATAGATCCTGGGTGGTATACAATGGTAGCTGTCAAGCAAGCACTACTCGATTGGGACGACTCGGAAGCAATTGCGACACACCCCGAGAGCTTTGACGTTGATGGCGCATCCCGTGCCAGTGGTAAACACTAAAATGTTTCAACTACCACCGGACCATTCACGTTCGTGTGTCAGTCCTGGGGGGAGCACTGAACCATTGTGTCAGCCGAAGCCGCACAGCAGTTCAGACGGCTGCAGGTGGCTTCACTAGCAGGCGTTCCGTTGTAACGATGGCAGGCATTATGAAGCTATTCGCAACTCTATGTCGAAAGGAGCAGTCATAGCGATTTTTTAGCTGCTGCTGGAAACACCTGAGGAGCCGACGCCTGTCACGTACACCGCATGGTTTCGAACCAAATTCTCGGATCTGACAAATATGTAGAACAATTCTGACAGTAACTCTATCTTGCATATCATTCACTGCTCGCAAGCGCATCTGTGCTTGGTGCTCAACAATGTAACCCAAAGACGGCACCAACAAGTATTCCAGGGAACCACGATGCCTGTCCGACGATCCGTCTATGATCGGGATCTCCCTGATCTTCCGGCTCCCTTGAAAAGTCCCCTAAGAGCCCGGAACATTCCAAATCTACACTAGAGGTACTCTGCACGAAAGCATCAAAGCAAACGCAACGGGAAATACCCCCACTCTAGGACATCGCTGATCCCTTCTCCTTTCCACCAACACGTCCTGACCGATAGTATGGCGCTCTAGGTACTGGTACAACGTCTCCCAGTCCTGATACAAGGCGGATCATCGTCCGCTTCGCAACATCCTGTTCAAAATGTTCCGCCGGCCCTTCTTGACGGCATCCGTGCTGGGCCCACCGGGCTCTTCCGGGGACTTGGCATCTGCCTTCTGCGTTGCCTCGCCCTTGGCCACTAGCTCGTCGTCGGAGTCGATCAGATCGTACTCCTCGGAGGCTCGCTTTTCGATATGTCGTTTTTCGGCATATCCCGAGTGGCCCGGTTTCGAGCCTGCGCCCGTCCTTGTAACCTCATGCATCTTGGTCAGGCCACGCGAGAGATGCTCAACCATGGGTGCCTTGACGTCCCAGTTATTGTCGGGCTTGAGGTCTAGAGCCTTCCGATACAGAGAAGGGAAATGCCTCTCAAACTCGTCTTCCAAGTCCTTCTGGTGTTGAATCGTGGCTTCGATGCGAGTAGTCTTCACTGTGGGTACAAGTTCCACAGGGGCGACTCGGTCTTCGCTTTGAAGCAGCTTCAACCACTCGTCATACTGTTCCTGATTGTCCTTCTGAGGTAGATCATTAGCTCCATTGATTTGTGACCCAGGAAGGGAGAAAACCTACATCCTTCTGATTTGACTTATCTTGCAGGCTTTCCAGGTGTTTCCTAGCGTGCCCGCTCATCTTCTGGCCGCCGATGAACTTATCGAATGATCCCGAGAACTCGCGGTAGTGACCTTTCAAGATGAAGCCCTGGCCAGCCCAGCCTTTACTCCTGAATTTCTGGATCAAGGCCTCGGCTGTCGGGCATTCCCATGTAAACTCTACATGTCTGTCGTAGAAGACTACACATCTAGATGTGTACCACTTGTTGAAAACCTCGCGGCTAGTATCATCGACGAACGCCCTCTCGATCATATCCGGCGAGGCTCTGTGGACAAAAGAAGCAGGTGCTCTGAGGTTGATGGACCCATGGATGTGAGACCTGTCGTATTCCGTGGGAGAACGTAGGTCAACTAGAAGTATTTGACTTGGGGTGACAAGTTCCAGTAAGCCGTTGAGATGCCCCGGAAGAATCATTCGTGGGCCTTCTCTCGACGGCTCTTGTCGATGGTCATCTATTCGCAAGCTTTGTAGTTTGTTAGCAACTTCTTGATGTTCTCGACGATGATAGAACCAAAGCTATACACCATATTAGCGTCTCACTTGAAGAGTACTTCGTGGTTCTTACGTCTATGTCTGCCGTCTCGATGCCGAGATTGGATGCTAAGAACTCTTTTACAGCAACAGTCGGCATGGGATCTTCCTGGAAGTATTCTTCCAATCGCCTCTGGACGTGTGCAGCCAAACTGGGCCTGCTGGGTATGTTGTCGCTAGAAACCAGGAAGGTTCTCCTGGAGTTTCGCGACTGATTGAGAATCATCTGGTTCGTTATGGCATCGTTAGAGTTGGCTCTAGTCGAGACAGATGCTGGCGCAGTCTGTTGCCGACTCAGTGGTGCTGAGAATGACCCAGACGTGAATGGTTCTTGGGAAGCTGCGTCTGATTGCGTGCCGGGCAGATGAGCCCCGTGGCTGGAAGACAAAGCTTCCGTCGCAGCGCGAACTGGTACACTCGCAACAGTAGCCATATGATGAGGCCAGTAACCTGACAACGCTGTTGACCCAGACAAGATAGATCTGGCTTCCTCTTCCGACCCGCTCGGGACTGCAACTGGCGGTGGCCGGCTTGCTTCCTGGCTCTGCATTGCGAGGTTGTTCGACCGCACGAAAGCAATGAAATTGCAAGCAAGATTCTCGGGCAGCAAGTCCCAGACCATTACCGGCAAGGATAAGAGAAGAAGGGTGGAATGGCTCTTAAACACGCCTTGTACTTTGACGTACTTTGCAATCGCTGGGAATGCCGCGAGCCAGTTTTCCCACGCGTTGACATCCAGCCTTTGATCGTCTTCCAGAGCTAGAGATATCATGACGTGGGGGACGTCTTCATTGGGCTCTGAGCCGACAATGTCCTGAGCAGCCCCAGATCGACCTGTTGCAACTTGTGTATCGATCTCCGGCTCCATCGGTGGCGAAGGAGGTATTCTGTCATCGGACAGTCTCCGCGCCATCTCGATGCTCGGCGCCCTGTGGTTGGAGGTCATCATGAAGTGCACTGGTGTGGACCGAGCTTCGAAGTGCTTCCCGTTCAACATGATGGGCCGAGGATGCTTGAGCCGAGCCAATATTTCTGCGTGGAGCATAGCCGCCGAGTACGTCCTGTGCTTCCACTCCTGGAGGACCTCAATCAACGCATTGGTGAAAGAGTACCTCCCCGGGTCCGGGGCAATGGCGTCCCAGCTACTTGCTGATATCGTCTCTGTGATACTGTTTCCGTTCGGGAAAGTAGCGCTTGCAGCACCGGCACAACAGTCAAGAAGGATCAACACATCTGACAATGATCGTTCCAATAGAGTTTGGATCGCGGACCACCTGCTCATGTTAGTATAATATGGCTGGGTGAGTGGCCGAACGGTGAAAAATTGACTTACTGGAGCCAAGGTGAGTCTGAACTGCGATTACTGCTCAATAGTCAGACAAGCTGCCAAACTAGGGGCACTATACTACTTACGCGCACCAGGTACTCTGCCTCGATTCGTCGATCCTCGCATGACCACCGTAGTAGATGATGAATAGCGTTTCAGTGGACTCGTGCTCTTTGATCATCTGACCAACCTTCATCATCAAGTCCAGGTGAGGGTTATCAGACGGGATGGCGAAAGTCTCGGTCTCGAAGCTATAGTCTTCACGAAGACACTGCTCGAGGTCCTCGAGCTCGGGGAGCACGAACAGGTCGTCAGACCTCCAGTGAAGAAGCAGCGCCTGAACCTTTTTGTACCTCTGCGATCGGCCACGGTTCGGGAAAGCTCGCGCAGCAGACTGCGACTACATCAGCCTCTTTCATCTCAAACCGTCGACGCGGGGGCTTGCGCCGCAGCATAGGTATCACCCACATCCTCCAGTGTTTTGGCAAAGTCGGATATATGCTTGACATGGTAGTTCACGAGGCTGGTGTCGTGGGTCTTGGCCGGCGGCGCCCTGTCATCGCCAGCGCTCGAGCCATACTGGTCAGACGTGAGTAGGCCGGACCTGTACCGAGGGTTCACTCGACGGTTCTCTCCACGTACGGTTGAATCCCCGCTGCTCATGCTCCCGCCATCCGTGGGCCTCCTTGTCCGTATTGTCACGTAGGGCTGCTGATCCCCCATTGCTACGTCTCAGGCCCGGGACCGGCCGAGGAGCGAAGGGGCAAGAAGTCAAGAGAAGTCAGGGCAAAATAGTCAATGCAGGCGACCGCGCGCATCACATCCTCTTATTCGACATCTAGCGGCAATCGCACTTGTCGGGCGCAAAGGGGGGGAGAAACCAGAGCGAAAAGTCACGTCGCGAACAGTTTGGAGATGAGGAGTGGCGGGACAGGGTCAAATCAGCATCATTTCTTTACTCACACCAGAGGCCCCGCGGACAGCATGAGAACAGGCTGGAGATGCAGGACGTTGTGCAGGGCGGCGTCGTCGGGCTGAGGGCGCATATCGAGGCCGCTCGGTGGCAGAATCGGGTTTAGCGGCTGTCTCTCGTGGGGGATTGATTTCAGCCTTAGCCGGCGAGATGGCATGCGAACACAGAGAGGGGTCGAGCAACGTGGCGGGGCTGAGCTGAGTCCTACAGCAGATAGAGGATCAGCAAGACTAGTCAATACTTACAGTAGTGCCAGGAGCCTGCAGAGAGGCAAGTCCTTTGGCGGTCGAAGTTTTACTTCGAGGTGATGGTTAAATGTGTCCAGCAGGGACTCATTAACTTTGGTACTGTTTAAGTCAATCCCAAAGACTTTCTGATGGTTCGACTTGCGCTTGGCACGGGCAGCTAGACTATATGCTCACGTAACCCATTTCACACGATTCATAGGACTTCTTCTTGTGATTGGTATCAATGTATGCAATTCGAGGGATCGGTCGTGAAACCTCTTGTCTTCGAGAGACAGCTTTACCAACGCCGAAAACGCCTTGCAATGCCAATCATGTCTAATCCAACACCATCGACAAACACCCCTTTCGACAAAATCCAAACACCGTACAGATGCATATATACAACAGACACGCCGCCGGCCTCACTTGTTGATGTACACCGGAATGCCGTAGACCACGACCGCCGCGGCCGTGAGGTAGCGCAGGCGGCATGCGTCCTTGGCCTTGGCTACGGCCTCTACCAGGCTCGTCGCCTTCTCAGCATTGTCCTCCGACGCTTCGACCACCTTGGCCTTCTTCCTTCCCTTACTGCTCCCTCCAGCAGTGGCCTTGCCTTTCCCTTTCCCGACGGTGGTGCCGTCCTCTGCAAATGTGCCCTTGGGCATTAGCCCCCATTCCTCGAATACTCGTCCCGCATAGCGATCAATGTCTCTATCCGTGACATCCCAGAGTGTGCCAACAACCGCGGGGCTACCAGCAAGCATGTAGTTCCAGACGGTGCCATGGTTCTCAAAATCGCCCACATCCGCTAGAGATGCAGACGAGCAGCCCATGAGCAAGGCGACGGCACGGCACTTGTCGAGTTTTCGTATGGTGCGACCTCGGATGTATTGGGCACCGCTGCCGTGTCCAAAATAGAGTAGCAGGTCTGATTTGGTGAGTGCGCCCTCGAACTCGTCCTCGGTAGGTACCCGTGTCTCGATGCTGGTCCACGCTGGGGGTAGGGAGGCGAGGGGCCTGCCGAAGGTTGATTGAGTGGATTTGAGATCTGTGCTTGGATTCAGGATGTATGTGCCGGAGTTCATGGAGATGTGATGGCCCTCGCGCGCACCCTGGACATATGGTTCTTCCTCGTCTCCGTCATCGAACGACTGGGCGTGTGGCGAGTTTTGCTCAAGAATGGAACGTCGAAGGCAGGCAAGCGACGGGATCCGAGACACAGCTAGGCCCTGCATGCAGGGAATGGATTCCCAGGGGAAAATATGGAATGCCTTGTCCAGAATGAGAATGGTGTGCACATCCCCTTCTGCGTCCTTGTTGCTCTTCAACGAGGCGTGGTAAGCGTGCAGAGCATCAAATGTCTCCACCACCATAGAGTCAAAGTCGATCTCGTCATACGCATTGCGTTCGCCGTGGAACTGCAGGATGTCCACAACGAAATAGAGTAGATCCGTCAGGGGCTCATCAAGGTCGCATTCAGGGATGGTGGCATCACCGAGCCCGATGAAGAGGTCCAGGATTCTCGGATCCAGAGAAACTTTGGTTGCTGTCGTCTTGGTGCGTTTACCCCGAACCTGCTGTCTGGATGGCAGATGCTTATCGAGGATGTTTTGGAAACTCTTCTGAAACCTGGCAAGCAAGTCAGACCGGCGATGGTGCTGCGCGAAGATACCCTTGAAGCCACCGAGCCATATCTGTTCCATGTTTTCCAGAAGATCTTTCATTCGCTCATCGAGGGCTTCTCGCTCTGCCCACCAAGTTGACTTTCCACCCTTCGCGCTCATATCACGAGCATTGTGGCAGGTTCGGTTGGTCGCTTCGATAATATCTAGCATTTCAGCCCGGCCTTGCTCGAAATTGAAGACCTCACAATCGGCATCACGCGAACTAGCTCGTTCAAGAGGCAAACGGATAGCGAAAGGACTATGGCCAGCCTGCAACTTTGTGATACAGAGATCGTGCTTGTTGTCACTCAAGGATATGGAGACAACATTCCATGATTTAGGAATGATATCCACGTATTCCCTCTGAAATCGGTTCATGTCGATGGAGAAGCCAAGGCTAGAGCGCCTGGGATCAGTAGTCTGTGCGAGCAACGGCCACTCCGCCTTCCCGGCCTTGTCATGATCAATCTTCAGTGTCTTGCGTTCTCGGCGCCAGACGAGGTTCCGGGCCAGCTCGACCGAACAAGTAGCATGAGCAGGATGTCCTACAGCAGTCTTTGAAGGGCTAGTTGTTGACAAGAGCAGAAACACGTTTTGGAGCAGAATAGCAATGCGGTGGACAAGTCTGCCATTTCCGTTGAGGCTTGCGATCGAGTGAGCCTCGAGGAGGTAGTCTTGAGCTTGTCGCAGGTTCTCAAGGAACCCAGGAGACGATGGAGATGCTGCTCGTGCCTTCCGGGGCGGTGTTGACTTCGTGAGTGATAGTGTTTCTGATTTGCTCTTGGATGCCGCAACAGCTGGAAAGGAGAGGGTGGAATCCTGGATAACGGAAAAGACGGAGTCGCGTCCCATCTGCTCCAGACTTTGACCAACGAGGGCCACGGCCATGAGCAGGCGCTCCTGCGTGATGTCGGTAGATAGTTTTGAGAGATCGTACGCGGTCTGCAGAGCGCTGACGGCCGAGCTCCAATCCTTATCTTCAAGCATAGACAAGGACTGATGGCGCAATACCGAAGCACGGAGAAATGATAGCTGTAAATCATCCTTAGTAGCTATAGGTGCTGCTTCAACAGGAGTCTTCGCTCGTCCTGGGACTGCTCCTCGCTTCGGAACCACCTTTTTGGTCGCGGCAGTCGCTCTCGCTTTTGTCTGTCGGCCTGTAGCCCTTGATGCAGGCTTCTCCTTGATAGTGAGCTTCTCCATGGTTTCTTCTATGCCAAGCCCCTCGGAAGAAACATGACCACCTAACCGCTGCAGCATAGAATCTGCAATGCTCATCAAACTCAGTTCACCCTCGCGATCCTCAGAATCGTGAAAGATACGACTCAGTTGGCAAGCCATTTCGATGTTTGAACAAGTCGGTTCAAGGGTAGGCAATGCCCGCTTGGCCTCGGTGGCTAGCTGAAGTGCATCTTGGGTTTTGCCTGCAGTGAAGTACACCGAGGCCAACCAGGCCTGGGACTGCGCGAGATAACTCTCCGAATAGGTGGTTGCTGCGACTTTTTGGGCTTGTTCGGCGTAATACATTGTTTCTTGGTACATGCCGACATGTGCATACACCGCCGACAACTGTAGAGTGAACCGAAAGAGAGGGTAGACCATGGCCCAAAACTCGGGTCCGGTGTTCGCGCGTGTGAAGTCTGCTTGGGATAACCTTGAGCTGGCGAAACTTGATTCACATCCGGAAACATCGACTTGAGACGGTTCGTCACCTTGGGCCGATATCGAGCTTCTCAAACTCTCAAGGTTGGACCAGTCGTGGAAGAGGATACGCACCGCAATCTTGGCGTGATAAAGTGCGTGGTGAGCGTCACCTCGTTCCAGAGCCAGAACCGAATGCAAGAAAGATGCATGAGCAATCGACAGCTTCTTGGTCAGCCTGCTCGTCTTTGGGTACTTCTCAGTCGGAGTGCTTGTCGCAGATGATTGTGCATCAGTCAAATGCCGTTCAGCAAGGTCAAAGTTGCCAACAGCCATGTGATACTCAGCTGAGCAAAGATGAAAACGTGCATTTACAAAAGGGGATACAGACTGCTGCTCAGTGAACTCCTGGGTAGCTTTCAAGATGTTTTCGACCTTCGAGGAATTTCCGACAGTGAGATATTGCAGACAAAGAGCCGTGTTCTGGGAGACGAATAACTCGGGGTTGTTGGTGCAGATGAGTCGCGAGAGGTCTGCCGATAGTTGCAAAATTGATCCCAACATGGTATCTTGGCCCTTCATCCTCGAAAAGTCGGACAGGGCTTGAAGAACCGTTGCCAACTGAGGGGGGTTGTCGATGCTGGTGTAGAGCTCTTCCGCGGATGCAGACCCCTGGACTATTCCAGCCCATGTATGTAGAGCTTTCTCAACGCCGTCGGAGTTGATCTTCGGATCAGCGTCGTAAAGAGTCACCAGGCAGGTGGCCAATCCCTGCAGGTGAGGAATGAATTGCTCAAGACCGGAATCCTGCCCAAGATTCTTGCAATGCAACAACTCGAGCAGGGACTTGATCTCTGTGATCCAGTTGCCAAACTCCTCACGAGACTCTAAATTGGCTGATAGGAGCTGAAGCAGGGTTCTGAGTCGTCTGATCGGATGGTCGGAGACTGAGAATGTTAGGAGAAGCTTGTCCACCAACTGATCGCCTGGTACAAGGGGCTTGCTCGCATAGACAAAGTACAGATCATGCTCTAGCGCAGTAGCCTTGTCCGACCCAGTGAGCAGCCAGGTCCAGTCGCATGGCGTGTAGTCCACCTTGGCCAAACTACAAACAGCTCTCGATAGCGACTCAGCCCTGGGGTTCGACTTCCATGCTTGTACCACACCCTGGGTTGATAGAGCCGCTGTGATGCTAGGTACAATATCCTCTCGGACTAGCGAGTCTCTGATGGATCGTAAAGCATCAGCCGCATCATCCTTTCTACCGCAAGCCCGACACAGTTCTGCTAGTCGTTCTTGCTTGAACAGAAGTTGTGCCCGTGCTTGCTCGCCTTCTGGGCGAAGCTTGACCGCGTCAATAGAACGGCGCAGAGCACGCAAGAACTGAGACTCTTTGGAGTTTGATGCCTGCCGTAGCATAATATGCTGCTGGTAGTAGAAATGAGATATCTTGACGTGGTACGATGCGGAAGGGTTACTCTTGACGCTTGCAGCCATGTCCCCCATCACGTCAAGGAGGGCTGAGCTGTCTTGGAGGATAGGGTCCATGAGATCCCAAGGCATCTTCCCCCTATCCAGCATGACTTTTGTGAGCATCAAAGCCGAGTCGAGCATTAACTGTATTTGTTTGGACAGAATTTGGCGCCGCTGTTCGAAGCGTAGGAGATCTTTGGCTGAGCTGTCGTTGCCGGATGCAGGGGGCTTTCCTAGCCATCTCAAGGCGAAGCGAGGTATTTGCAGTATCACTGTTCCCAATAGCTCCCTTGCCGAACCTGGATCGTCCGGCTCCTTCGCATCTCCAACTACCATGTTTATGGCAGCCTTCCGAACCAAGCAAACGCTAGCCAGCAATTCGTCCAGCTCCGTTGTGCTGCCGCTGAGAGGGCCACGCATACCGTCTAGGACTTCGCTTATGAGACTTTCGTCAATCTTTGTGGTAGTTTTTAGAGAAAGGGCTAGCAGCTGAGCTGTTACAGAGCAACAACGAGCTACCGAATCCTCCTGTGTTGTCGTGAGCAACTTCAGCTTTCTCATCCACTTTATTGCTTCCTTAACGATGCCTGCCTCTCGCGAGGTGGTGCTGAGAACCTGATAGATGGTGGCCAACGGAGACTTTGAAGACTCTGCCGGCTGGAGCGATTGATTGTCGATTCGCTCCCAGACCTGAAGAAAAGCGGAGTTTGCGATTTCGCATTTCGATGCCGCATCAGATGAGCTCCGCCGGGAATAGGCTGACAAACACACGGACAGCGGAAACAGAATGTCCTTGTCAACATTTCCTTTGTGCCCGGACAAACTCCAAGAGTGAAGTCTGGTAATTAAGGCAAGAGTTTGCATCTGAACCGAGGTTTCTGGGGATGGACTGAGCCGGGGCTCCATCGCCACCGCGTCATCTCTTGGCGATAGACTGGGTGACAGCGACAAGAGGCTTTGAGCTAAGCTTTCGAGTTGTTTTGCACACTTGATCTGATCTGACTTCTCGCCCTTCTTTGAGAGTAACAGCAGAGCTAGCGGAGAGGAAGGCCGCGACGGTTGGAGAAAGGGGAGAACAGTATCCAGATGAGACGACTTCTTTAAGCCGTGCATGACGCGCAAGGCCTGAAGCTGGCTAGATATTATCAAGGCCAGAACCGGGCCGGGTACGTTGGTCTCGGTATAGTCGAATAAGTCGGAGAGGGTTTTCGAGGTCGAGCTGGGTTCGGAGGGCGCCTTGGCCTTTCTGGTATCCTTTCCAGCTGCTATTCCCTCCAGCCGGCGCTTGAGGAGGCGCAATTCCCTCAATGCATGCTCGTACAAACTCAAGGCAATGAGCTTGTTTATGAAGGATGACATGCCAGACTCCAGCTGCAAGTCAGGAAGCGCAGTCTTCCCAGCACTGGAGAGGGTCCGCAATGCTGAGAAGGCCGCCCGAGCGCATTCTACCGTCGCCAAACACCCGGTGGATGCCGTCGACGATGAAGGGGTCTTGGTGGCTTTGGTGACAGCGGGTGATGTAGAGACCCGGTTGAGCGATCGGGGCTGTAGAGGGGTCATGGGCGACGAGTTGGAGCGCCGGAGTCCATTCCGAGACCGAGGTGCCGCGGACGGTGGTGGCTGGTTCTTTGCGGCCTCCCCCAGGGCCTTGAGAGTCGCATTGATGACTTGTGTCGCCAGGACTATTTTGTCCTTCTCTGCGAGGCCTGTCTCCGTCCATGCAGCTTGCGATTTGGCCGGGGGGGCGCGTTTCGTGTTTGTCGTCGGTTTCCGCGTTGCGGCAGTGGGTTTTGTCGCTTTCGGTCTCGCGGCCGACGCTGCCTCGTCATGTCGGCCGTCTTGTGTCTGCAGAAGCTCCTTGAGCGTCGCCGAAATGGTGGGAGTGCACGTCTGGACGGAGGCGACCGCGCTCCGGACGGCATCGGCCTGTGTTGTTATTGAAGCCATGTAATGCGATGACTACTAATCATATCGTCGTGGGCAAGGTCGCGTAGTAAGAACCAAAGCAGGAAGCCTCCCCAGAACAAAAGCAAGAAATGCGAACTCCAAGCCGATGCTTCGTCGTGAAAAGACTATTGTATGTTCTTCAGCTCGATTGGGCTTCAAAAAGTCAGTAGCTGCCGACGATGACGGATTGGGATTCACGCGGGCTCACGGCGCACGACCGAGCCGCCCTGCCAAAATGTGGACTCGCTACCAAATTTAGTCAAGCGACGTTGGCACAGCAACTCCCACCGGCCGGCCGGCTCGCCCCCGGTACGTGGTCACTGCGTGTGGCCAGGCCATGGCTTTGGGGTCCGTGCTCCCGCCGTTCTAGTCGCGACCTTTTCTTTTCCTGTACTCGGGCACTCTGCTTGCTCGTCTGTCTGTCTTTGCGACACTGCCCATCTCTTGTCTGTCTGTCCACCAGAAACACCAGGAACCGACACTCTTTCCGGACACAAAATGAAGCAGGCCCTCAGGAGGCAAGCTCTCAGAGCACCGGTTGGCACCCGCAGTGCCGTCGCGCACCAAGCGAGGACCGCCATACTGCCGCCGCTGGCCCGCAGCTATAGCTCGGCTCCGACGATCGCGCAGACCTCGTTCTGGAAGTCCCTGATTCCCAAACCCTGGCGACCCCGTGAGAAGCGGCCCGATGTCTACTTTGGCCCGCCCAAGACCCTGAAGAAGCCCAAGAAGGACTGGAACCCCGCCACGTTCTACATTGTCATATTCCTCTTCATTGGCTCCATGTCGATACAGATGATCTCTCTGAGGAACGACTTCAACACACACATGAGGAGGGCCGAGACCCGCATCGGCATCCTGCGCGAGGTGATAGAAAAGCTGCAGAGGGGAGAGGAGGTGGATGTGGAGAAGGAGCTGGGCACCGGCGACGCCGAGAAGGAGCAGGAATGGGAACAAGGTTGGTTGGAACCCAAGGCCAAGGGCACCGTTCCCGAGTCCCGGGTCATTGACACAAAAGCAGTACTCAAGGAAATCGAACGAGACGATGCCATCCGGGCTGCCAAGAAGAGCGACCGACCTAAGCATTCGTCCGGCGCAAAAGCAGAGGCCAAGGAGCCAAAGGCTGATGCCCCGGGCTCGCAGCAGAACGCAACATCCGACAAGCCAAAGGCTGCTACTGTAAATTATTCTGGATTCTTCTGATCCTCGGTCTATATACAGATATCATACACACGAAGATAAGGCGGTGCGCTGTCCTTCTCAGGACATCATGTCCTTGAAGACCGAAGCGCCATGCTCTTCGGGGCTATGATCTATGCTTTCCTGTGCTTGCTGAGCACGTGCACCGAGTCGCAGCTCTTCTACGAGAGCCGGCAGCAGTGCATCGGTTGACATGTCAATCCTGGCACCTTGGGCACCTTTCTGAAGAGCATCTAGATTGGTGAAAAAGGTCTCCTCTCCCCTCACACCTCCCAGGTTGACAATGGCAATTGGTATACCTCTGTCTTTCGCCCTCTTCGCGAGCCTCCAGGCAGAATACGTGGCCAGCGAGGTCCCCAGCACGAGGAGTTTGTCCGCCGCCTCCACGGCGTGGTCTGCGTCGATCTTGGTTTGGCCACGGATGCTCTCCCCAAACATGGTCACTGCCGGCTTCAAGATGCCGGCGTTGCTGCCCGACTTCCAGGCCCCGTCGGTATCGACCTCAACGGTAGCCCTCGTGCCGTCTGTCAGCTTGGGGGGGTGGGCCAGACAACGCGGGCAGGCCGGGTACCGGAAGGTCGTGTAAGGTGCGTCCGGGAGGTCGACGTCACCGTCGGGGTTCGTCCGCATGCCTCTTTTGCGGCGCTCTTCGGGATTCTCCGTGTCGAGCGCACCAGATGCGATTATCTCTTGCAGGAAAGAGGCCCAGGCTGGGTTGAGCCGCGCCAGCTCGTCCTGGAAGACGTCTCGGGGAAGCTCATGATGGCACGAGACACACACTAGCGCCCTTAGATATCCATGTAGCTCGATGGTTGGAATTTGAGGATGTGCTTTCGGATGGAACGAGTCCACATTCTGCGTGATGACTTTCTGGACCAGGCCCAGGTCGCCCAGGTGCTTTACGGCATAATGCCCAGCGTTGGGTTTGGCCTTGTGCAACGTCGTCCACCCCAGGAAACTTCTCGCCCAATACCTCTTCCTCGCCTCGTGATTCTGCAAGAACTCTGAGTAGTATATCGGCCGGTATGTCTTGTTCACACGGTACGTGCCGTTGGTGCCCCTGTAATCGGCCAGGCCACTAGCCACCGAGATGCCGGCACCTGTGAGGACCAAGGCCGAGGCCGGAGACCCGCGGGGCGTGGGTGCGGCGAAGAAGTCGTGCAGGGCAGCGACGGCGCCCCTCAGCGTGTTGGCGCTCCGGGGCGTGACGGTCGGCGGTGCTAATACATCCGTGTAGGGAATGCGCATGTACGGTTTGCGCAACATCTGGGTATGGATAGCACGCCTGCCGAGCCGGGGTTCCAGGACTTGGCTGCTCGCACGAGACTCGAGGTGACAAGATGCTCACTTTCCAGCGTCGTCTTGGGGCTCTGTGGACGTTTGGCTGCATGAACAGGCCTCGCCTCGGGGCCCTTCACTCGTCAATGCCTGCAAGTGAACGTCGTCACCATCGGCGCTAAAATTACCGTAGCCTTGTCAGGACTACATACATAGGACGTTGGAAAGTGCTAAGCCCCGGGTGGAGCTCTCTTGGAGGCTTACAGTGCCATTCCCAAAAACCAGCATAGGTAATCGGTACCTAGATAGATATCTGGTCGCAATATCTCGAGTCTGATTTCAGCTACTGTACAATATCTACTACCATTAAGGGCCGGTGTACTTTGTGTGAGTCTGTGGGCCTTCTTGGCTGAGGTTTGCACGTCGCCTCTGGCTGGAGTTCTGCAGGGAACCGAGTCAACTACCTGAACAGGCCTAAGGGCGTTAGCGGCGGTCACCCTCTGGCCTTCGTGAGCTGCACTGTAAGCACGCCGTACTGCACGGTCAGCGTGCTTACCGTGCAGTCCTGTGATACCTGTGGCCATCCGAACAACAACGTGAAGGCGACCTTGCAAAGTCTGGTGATAGATATCCCCTATCCACCTCCTTGTCATTCTCTGCATCAGCTCTCTTAGACTTCTCCGGGAACCAAATACGTGGATTGGACGCCCAGGAAAGCCCTAGGCCGACAAGTGCCAGTGCCGCTGGAGTGTGCCTCGGGCTGTTCCGCTTACGCAGGCGTGTGTGTCGCGCGTTTCAATGCAAGCTGGAGCCCCCGTCCGATGTCGTCGCCATTGACGTACCGGCCCCAGAACCACATGCACCTGCGCACCCCGGAGCCTGCCTTGCCTTGCCTGCCAACCTGCCTGCCGCCGACACAGAGTCGGGATCTAACTTGCTGCAGCGGAGGGCATCTTCAACTTTTTCTACCTTTGGATTCTCCCGCGCGCGACCGTCCCACCGGCAGAGAGCAGAGCTGCAGTGCGCCCTCGCTGGTCGTTTGCATTCACTACGCACTCAAGCCCCCCGTCCCCCCCTCCACCAGCAGAGGGAGGAAAAAAAAAAAGCCGGCCTGGACCTGGACACGGCGGCTGAAGGCGCCCGACTCCCATGCCCTCCCTCTGTGCTGTGCTGCCACCGCCATGTCTGGCCGACGTTGCGCAGGCCTGAGCTCGCTGGGGCTGGGCCGCGTAACCACCCAAAACGGCGGCCATCCTTCATCAACTCTGCACCTCGCAGCCCTGCGCCGTGATTGCCCCTTGAGGACACCTAGCCCCAACGTATATTACCTGTGTCGCGTGCTGCAGACTTCGGCCCATCCACAGCCCAACTCTGCCTCATCTCCAGTCACTCCTTCGTTCCTCTCCTCGCGCCGCCGACGCAACCGTTCATTCCCCATCATGGCCTCCCAGACCAGGGCGCACGGCGGCCACCACCACGGCCACCACCACCACCACCACGACAACGTCTATCTGACCTCCTCCAACAAGAGCGATGCCGGCGTGCGTATCACCCGCCTGGGCCTCTACTCCAACCTGGGCATGGCCATCTCCAAAGGCATCGGCGGCGTCGTCTTCAACTCCCAGGCCATGGTTGCAGATGCCGTGCACAGCGTCACCGACCTGGCCTCCGACATCCTCACCCTGGCGACCATCTCCTGGAGCTTGAAGCCGCCGACGAACGAGTTCCCCACCGGGTTCGGCAAGGTTGAGAGCTTGGGTTCGCTTGGTGTATCCAGCATTCTGCTGTTTGGTGGATTGTGGATGGGCTACAGCAGCTTGTTGACCTTGTACGGCCAATTCTTCCTCGATCCGGCTGCCGCTGCAGAGATGCTCTCTCACGTTCATTCTCACGGTCACTCTCACGGCCACGATCACGGTGCCGCCGGCTCGATTCCTAGCATCCACGCCGCTTGGCTTGCCGCCGGGACCATTGCGATTAAGGAGTGGCTCTATCACGCAAGTAAGTGCAACAACTTGCCATTGGGGGCGCGCATGTCTCTAACCCAGGTGCCTCAATTTGCTGACTCCTATACTTCCACAGCTATGAAAGTGGCTCGGGAGCGGAAGTCTTCCGTCCTCGCCTCCAATGCGATCCACCACCGAATCGACAGTCTCACCGGGTTTGTCACCCTCGCCGTGATCCTAGCTGCGAACTCGGGCTTCTTCACCAACTCGGCGTGGATCGACCCTGCTGGCGGGCTCGCCATCTCCGTGCCGGTGATCAAGGCTGGACTCGAGAACACCTATGCTTCTCTGTTGGAGCTGGCAGATGGTAGCATTGACGATGAGGTCAAGGGCTCGGTCCGCAAGCACCTTCGCAGCACGTTCTCGGATATCCCCAATGGCCACGAGATCGAGCTTCGAGATGTGTCGGGCATGAAGTCGGGCCAGAACTACCTGATTGACCTGGAGGTTGCCGTCCCCAATAACTGGACCGTGGAGCAGGTCCGAGATATCGAGGAGAAGGTGCGAACTCGGGTTGGAAGCAAAGTCCGCGGTGCCCGGCGCATCCGCGTCCGCTTCTTGCCCAAGACAGCCACCGTAGCCCCCAAGTTTGACGAGTTCGTCCCTGGCGACGTCAGCCCGAAATCAAGCCCTGAGCCCGAGGACGAGCACGACAACGGCAACGGTAACGGTAACGGCAACGGTAACGGACACCACAAGTCCCACTAGGAGACGGGATCTTCAAAGTTCATTTGACTGCTACACTACTTGGCGTTTTGAGCGAATACAGGAGGCATGTTCTGCGTATTAAAAAAGGGCACAACTATGATACCATTGGACCGAGAGATTTTTGAGAGCGGTGAGAGAGAGAGAGAAAAGAGAAGCTAAGAGATGTTCTTTTTGACAAGACGGTTTTTTTCTGTATGTACAGTAGTCTCAGCCTCCAGCCACAAAGGCGTTTGCATCAGATGGGCGTTACTGGAAAGTAGGAAGCATAAATGCTGTTTGCAGAGAACCGACCCATCACATTCGGAAATGGATAGGAAACCAACTTGGCGCAAGGCAGGTATGCTAGCCTAGGGTCTACAGGGTAGACATGTACCTAAGTATAGTTGGATATCCACGGTAGCGCTTTGAGGCCATATCCGGCGGCTCAGCCAAATGTCACCCGCGTGGCCTCGGCAACCGGAGTCCTAAGAATTCATTGAACTGTTATGATAAACCGAGTAAGAAACAGTCCGAGTGCAGTTACAGACTAACGTGGATTGTTCAGTTTTCGTCCAAACCTGCTTCCATGTATGATGCAGCACATAAACAGGGTGATTCCAGGAACACCCCAAAAAAACAAGGCTGCATTGGCAAACACCATCGTCAGATGTTTCGTGTGAATGTATCGTGTTTCTCGTCGATTCTACCAATACACGGATTCGGACCGGAGAGTCGATAGCCGGCCGCCCCCAGAGGCACCCTATTACTCAGTCTTCAAGCTGAGTGATGATACCGAAGACATGCGAAATGGCTGCATCATATCCGTTACAGGCCTATAAGACAACTTGTCATTCTCCAACGGCCAATCGAGACAGGTGTTTTCTCTGGTCTAAAGGCAGTCTGGCAACATGCAATGAACTATGGTCGGTTAGGGATGGGACGGATTCCATATGCTCCTGGTACTGCCACCGAACCGTGGACGGCTAATGAAGCCTTACGGCGGGAATCTCTCCCTCAGACTTTTGAGTTCCTCATCTACATCATATTCTGGGAAGTCCAGGGAGCTAATAACGTCTCGACCCATGAATTCCTGCATACGCAGGCGCTTCCGCGGTGGTTCTCTTTCCCAGGGGTCCCGGTATACTTTGTGGACAGGAATTGCGTCCCATGGATCAATCCGTTCCCGGTTGTTTGAAGTCGGCAAGATTGGGAGCGGGCAGGTCGTAGTTTTGCCGTCCGGATTTTGCAGAAAGCCCAGTAGTGCATCCTGTTGTTCGTTTAGCAGCTGGCATATTCGATAGGTGACATTTCGTCGACAACATTGTATGAAAACGTTTGGTTCCTTGTCGTGCTCCCAGTCTTGCGACCGGTCAAATAGAACCACGCCTCCCAGGATACGATTCTCAGCCCAGTATCCCACAACGTCGGCCAGACCGTCTGGGTATTGCTCTTGGGCCATGAAATGCGGGTGTGCAAACAGTGTGGGATCTGGTACGACACGGGCAAAGGGATTCTGGCCCGGTTCCCAGAGCGTGACGAACTGGATGTCCAAACCTCGTGTCGTGCTGCGATCATGCATGCAGAGATCTAGTTGCAATAATAGCACCGCAATCTGATGGAGTGCGCTGGCGGTCAACTCTATAAGCCGGAGACCAAAGGCCCGTGTGGAAGGCGAGGGAGCTGACTCAAACGCCCTCAGTAGCTAAAAGCAGTTTAAGTCACTGTAGAGTCGCTATGAATGGACGTTGTTACTTACAGCTGGGTTGAATCTGAGGCTTTTGATATCAAAGTCCACCCGAAATTCTTTGGTTCTATCCAAAGCGCCTGGGCATAAACCAACATGATCATTGACCGGATGCCTCCGGTGGATTTTTGATGAGTACTGGTCCCAGGCAACATTAGTAACCGGCAGGCCATCGATAATCTGGGCGTAAGTTGTCAGGGCGAGATCAGTTGCAAGGACGTTGCTGATGGCGTGAAAGAGTGCATCGCGGTGCAAGTCGTCGAGTGTGTCACATGAGATGGAATCCGACGTTGGCATCCTCACGCGAAGGAAGTTCGAACAATACCCAAAAAGTACTCCGTCCTGTCAAACGAGCATATAGTTAGTGCCGATATTGCAGTAGTGCAAGAACAGTGCCTTTCATAGCAGCTATTGCAAGCGCACCAATCTCATCATGTGGTGCTCAATCTAATTAGGTGCATCTACCTAGGAATCCGAACATGCGTCTAGGCCTTCCAACACAAGAGCCAACACAAGAGACTGCGGTATTGTTAGAGACAGCGTCTTTGTGCTCCTGGACGATCCTGATTGGAGCGCTTCCATTTAGGCTGAATGTGGTTTTCCTGCGAGGCTGATAGTTAGCTGCCCCGCTATCAAGTATACCTAACATCAATAGCGGGTAACCCCACGTCAAGCTTGCATCAAGAGGATCCCCCTGTTCCGAGAGGCGCTGCGGGAAGAACTCACGATCCCACATCCTGCTTTTCGGTACGATGTCTTCTCTCACACGTTCCTCGAGTGTCAATTCTGACTGCTGGAAGTGCTGTTCATCACGTCGCAAGATAGCAAGATGAGCTCCGGACCTCTATACCTGGGTTTCGACCTGTCGACCCAGCAGCTCAAAGGCATGTAACCCTAGTAGCTTTCTGATTTCCCGCGCACCACCGGTCCTATCCTCCATGTCGCAAAACGCGCAAGACGGCGCAATAACAGCTTGCTGACCTGAAGCTGCAATTACAGCGATTGTTGTCTCGTCGGACCTCCAAGTCGTCTCGGAGGCCAAGGTCGACTTCGACGCCGACTTCGCAGCCAAGTACGGCATCAAGAAGGGCGTGCTCACCAACGAAGATGAGGGTGAGGTTTTCGCCCCCGTGGCCATGTGGCTCGAGGCCGTGGATCTGGTGCTCGCCCGCCTCAAGGCCAACAAGTGCCCCGTCGAGCGCATCCGCGGCATCAGCGGCTCGTGCCAGCAGCATGGCAGCGTGTTCTGGAACGCCGAGGCCGAGGCGGCGCTGGGCCGGCTCGACGGAGGCGGCGACCTCCTCGCCCAGTTGAGCGGGACGCTCGCATACAAGTACGGGCCGAACTGGCAGGACCACAGCACACAGGCCGAGTGCGACCTGTTCGATGCTCATCTGGGGTCGGCGGAGAAGCTGGCCGAGGTCACGGGGAGTGCGGCGCACCATGTAAGTCGTCTCCTTCTGACCTGTTAGACCGCAGCCTAGAGCGTATTAACCTCGAGAAGCGGTTTACAGGCACTCAGATCATGCGGATGCGGAGGAAGCGGCCGGAGGTCTATTCGAAGACGGCCCGGATTTCGCTGGTGTCGTCGTTCCTCGCCTCGCTCTTCCTCGGCGCCATCGCGCCCATCGACATCGGCGATGTCACGGGGATGAACCTCTGGGATATCCTGTCGCAGCGTTGGAGCGAGCCACTGCTCGAGCTCACCGCAGGGGGCAAGGAAGGCATCCCGGACCTCTTGAAGAAACTCGGCGACGTGCGCCAGGACGGTGGCGGTAGCATCGGGCCCATCTCGAGCTATTTCGTGCAGAAGTACGGCTTCAGCAAGGACTGTCAGATTGTGCCGTTCACGGGCGACAACCCGGCCACAATCCTGGCGCTGCCGCTGCGGCCGCACGATGCCATCGTGTCGCTTGGTACGTCGACTACATTCCTCATGGTCACGCCGACGTACAAGCCCGATCCAAGCTACCACTTCATGAATCACCCGGCCAACCCAGGTCACTTTATGTTCATGCTGTGCTACAAGAACGGTGGGCTGGCGCGCGAGAAGGTACGTGATGCTCTCCCAGGGACCGCGAGCTCAGGCTCAGATCTCTGGGAGAACTTTAACAAGCACGTCCTGCAGACGCCGGCCCTGGATGTGGATTCGGCGTCCACTGGTGACAGAGCGAAGCTTGGCCTCTACTTCCCGTTGCCTGAGATCGTGCCTAACATCAAGGCCGGCACGTGGCGGTACACGTGCAAGGCGGACGGGGGCGACCTGCGCGCGGAAGAAGGCGCGTGGGACGCGGCGAAGGACCCGCGCATCATCGTCGAGTCGCAGGCGCTATCGATGCGGCTGCGCAGCCAGAACCTGGTGGCGGCGCCGCGGCCGGGCGTGCCGCCGCAGCCGCGGCGCATCTACCTCGTGGGCGGCGGGTCGCTCAACCCGGCCATCGCGCGCGTTATCGGCGACGTGCTGGGCGCCGTTGACGGCGTGTACAAGCTCGACGTCGGCGGCAACGCCTGCGCGCTCGGCGGCGCCTACAAGGCCGTCTGGGCGCTCGAGCGCCGCGACCCCGCCGAGAGCTTCGACGAGCTCATCAGCCGCCGCTGGACCGAGGAGGGCGCCATCGAGCGCGTCGACGACGGCTACCGCGAGGGCGTGTTCGAGCGGTACGGCGATGTGCTGCCTGCGTTTGGCGAGATGGAGCGCAGGATTCTGGAGGTTGCTCATAACTAAGTCGGGCGCAGGGGGAGAGTACCGATCAGGATGACGGGTCTGTCACGGGGAAGAAGGGGTCGAAAGTACGAGATGGACTGGAGTTTTGAGTGGGAAAATGGCGTGTAAAGCCAGCTGGGCTCGCTTATGCTTGGTGTTCCTGCACACGCTGTGTTCTATGCGCCGGTCATGATTCGACTTCCTCAGGCAGAGGATGCTATACTGGCGACTTAGCCGGATATTGCGAGCCGGACAGAACAGAACAAGAGAAAGACAACATTGCTATCTATTTGACTTCCTAGGATCTGTGGATGTTGGGGTTATAGAACATGTGCGGGGGTTCCCTATACGCACTTCCCTATATCAGACTTTCGCCGGCACCTACTGTTCAAAGTATATCACACAACAACAAACGTAGTCCATCATCCGTTGTTAGTCCCGGAAATACGAAACAGGAAGAGAAGGCAGAATATAATGTGTAAGATCCAGGGCTAGAATCTCACGTAGGTACATTATTTACACAGCTAGCTCCAAGCACTCCCGTAGTGGGGATCCACCAGTGGCTTGGATGGCTTGGTTGGCAACAAGTGCATCCTCGACGTCACCATAGAGCCATCCAAAAGCTAACGAGGCAAGTCGCCAGCTACTACAACTCAACCCTTCCCAAGCGTATGCACCTTTGCTATACCAGCTCGAATGTTTCTCGTGTCACAAGATCGCCCGTTTCTACTGGACAGCGAGGTTGGGAACTGCGCCGATTTGACTCGTTCAGTGCATGCAGGCACGGACATTCGACCTGAGCAATCGCACGACTAATCGCCTCACTGGTGAATTGATGATCAAACAACCACTCAATTCACCACCACTTATCATGAAACTCGGGCCCATCTCGTTTCTCGACTGCATCGTCTTCTGCGTCTTCCTGGCGCCGCAGCTGCTGGTCCACGTTGGCCTGTTTGAAACCGTGGGGGTGGTGCTACAGTGTCTTCCGTTTCTGCGTATGTGGAATGCACCTATCTGTCTTGCACCATTGGCATGACTCTGACCGATCATTTCATTAGTGTTCCAACTTCCCTTGGGCTTCATCAACGAACGCTTCTTCGTTTCTCGCAAGAAGCAGAGTGCGTTCGTGCAGATCGCGTCACCGTTCGAGGACTTTGTGATTCGCTGCGTACGGTATGCGTTTGCAAATCTGCCGCCCAAGGTGGGGAGGGTCTTCTTCTCGAAGCCCGTGGCATTGCCGTTTCTGAGGTTCCGGATGTTGCGGCACGGGTTCCTCAAGTCGCCAGTGCATTGGCACGAGTACACCAACGTAGGTTTTATTACGACCAGTGCGATGCGGCCCAGACACTCATTGTGGTTTATAGAGACGATTCAAGGGAGTGTGGATTATCAAGGATCCAATGAAGAAGCCAGATGTCTGCATCTACTATGCCCATGGTGAGCTAGCCCGACGTGGCATCACAAATGTGCTTCCGCTGACATGAGTCCAGGCGGCGGCTTCAGCATGGGATCATCCTATTTCTACCTCGAGTTTCTCTTGACTTGGTTGGGCATGCTTGGTGACCGTGGTTACCAGAACCCTGCCATATTCGCCTTGGAATACACACTGGTGCCGGACGGCGCATTCCCTACGCAGCTCCAGGAGGCCATTGCCGGTTACAACCATGTGATTTCGACGGTGGGCGATGCATCCAAGATCTGTGTGAGCGGGGACAGTGCAGGGGCAACCATCATGCTGAGTCTATTGCTGCACCTGGCAAATCTGGCGTTCGACTCTGGCAAGATGGATGGAACGGGTGCCTGGCGACTGGAGAAGCCTGGGATGGCTGCCTTCATCTCGCCTTGGGTCACACTCATATCGGAAAGGCATCAGAACACGGCGAGTGATTACCTCGACGAAGGAAGCCTGCATCTCTACGCACGTGAGTATGCCGGTGAGCAGGTCGAAACAAACGACCCGCTGGTATCGCCGGGGAACTGCAGAGATGCGAAGTGGTGGACAAAGGCTTGTCCAGCGGGCGGTATGTACTTTGCATACGGCGCCGAGGAGGTGTTTGCGCCCGAGATAGAAGGCTTGGTGGCGTTTCTGAAGAAGAACGACATTCAAGTCAGCAGTCGAGAAGAGGCAGGGGGGATTCACGCATGGCCAGTGGCTTCTTTATTTCTCAGCAGCTCAATCGAGGATAGACAGAAGGGCCTAAAGAGTATAGTGCAGCACATCGGAGAAACGCTACCAATCTCATAGAGAAGAGCTGGCATCGTGTGGGCAGCGGCACGTCATGTCAGATTAGATCAAGTAAACCTTCATAGACCGCAGGAGCGCAGAAGATACCTTAGCGCAGATGCACTCGGCTTCTTAGCTCTCCAGTATAGACGATCTCCGTGAAATAAAGCTCTTTGATTCGCTGTCATCACCCATGACCATGTGCCGCCGCAGACCAAACACGTGGGCGAGGCTCGACTTCGACTCTGGAGCCTGTTGAAGAACACTTGTCATCGAGGCTGGGGTAGGAATTACAGTACGTGTAGGGAGCGACGGTGTCACTGCCACACAGTAGCCGGGTTCACCAAACTGCATCCGTAGGCGCGGTCGGACTACGACTATAGGCAAAGCCTCGTCAGTTGAACGGTGTACCTGTTGGTCTCTCGCATGAGCTGAGGAGCTTTATGCAGTATCGGGCGTGTCCGCTTGATGAGTCTGCTTCTTTAGCGCGTCCGTCCTTCACGCGCAGGCTGGCCAGACCAGGGACCAGGATACAGGCAGGGAAGCACGGCTTGCGGCGTCTAAAGGAGCCGGAGATTACAGACGGAAAGAAGTCGGCGCCCGGTGGCTCATAAGCAAAGATAGCAAGTGCAGACAGCGACGGCGATCCAGTGCACACAGGAACGAAGTGCCCTGTGGTGTGAATGATGATGACAAGGCTGCAAGCGGAAGACACAAAGCGAGCCTAAGCTACTGGGTGGTGGTAGGTGGTGGTGGTGGCATGGGACGGACCTGGGACCCGCTGATTTGTGGGTTGCAGGGATGGGCAGGCAGGCGGGTGATCTGCATCAAAAGCTCCTGAGTGCGAGGGTGATGAGTGGTGAGTGGTGAGAAAAATAATCTGGGTGGCTGTGCGTTGGATCTCAGAATGTGAATCGCAGGCCGGCGCCCGACCCCTGACCGTTTTTGTTCAAGAGCGTTCGGGGATGGGTATTTAAAAAAGCTCAAGCGCCGCCCAGTGGCCACCACCCGCTGTCCAGACCGACCAGAGCTCGAAGGGCTGAGAGCAGCAAAAAGACACTCTGTGACCCCACAATTTCTCGACAGCAAAGACACAGCACTCGGCCGCTCTATTAGTTATTCCGGATAGACCCAGCTCTCACCAGCACCAGCACCCAACAGCTCCCAGCTACTTACTGTACAGTAGTTAGTGAGCTGCAGTCCCCGCCTATTCCACTTCCAGTCAGCCCCCCGGCAGCCGGTAGACGCATACAAGCACCCCGCCATCACCGCCAGACAAACAAGCATCCGTCGAGGACGCACGACAGCAGACCCAGACTTGCCCAGGACTTGTTGTTGTAAAAGAAAGAGCGGAGGATCTGGGCTCGGGCTACCAGGCTACGTACTCCGTCCGACCTAGTGATTTCCTCTGAGAAAAGGGGGCTTGTCGACACACGCCATTCCAGAGGAACGGCAGAGTCCCCCCGTGTTCGGTTTGTGCGCTTGCATTAAAGTCGCATTTCCTTCCAGAAAGCTATATCGAGCTTGCATTAGCCCCTCGCTCGACAGCCCACCCCCTGTCGACTTTTTTTCCCTCTTCCAAGAACACACAAGCCATTGTTGGGCGCGGACGGCGAGGCATAGCTCGGCCTGGCGGTGTCTGACCCTTGAACGAACGACAGCAAACCCGATTGTAGCCCCGAGGACGTCTGTGAGACAATTCTGATCAAAGAAATGTCCACCGACGAAGGCACCTACGCGCCCAAGTCGCCCGATCTTTCTTCTTTCTTCTCGAGTGGACCCGAGTCCGCCTTCACCTCTGCGTCTGCTTCTGCTTCTGCTTCTGCTGCACAACCACAGCCAACCTCTGCCCCGAATCCCGCACTTGGACCAGCTCCAGGATCATCATCGTCATTGTCCGGATATCAACCACAACCACATGCACCACCGCATCCGTCCTCATCCACCGCATCCACTTCCACATCCACTCTGACCCAGCCGCAGCCTCACCCTGGGTCTGGGCTGCCGTACGGTCAGCCACAACCACCGCAGCCCCACCAGCACTACCACCACAACTCTTATTCTCCCGACACCTATAACAACTTCGATTCCTATAGCGCCCAGTCCCCCGGCGCTCCTCGACCTCTCCAACAGCAGCCCTACTTCCCTCCCCAGCAACCCCACGACCAGTACGGTCAGAGCCCGCTCCAGGCCCAACAGCTAGGATACGCCATATCCCCGCCCATATCCGGTCACGGCGGGCCCCAGCCCTACTATTCCGCCTACACCGATACCCAGCAAAACCATTACCAGCCCCTACCGGCGCAGACACACCTGCCGCCCGCCTACGATCGAAACAGCGCCGTGGACCCAGCAAGTCCCATGCCGCCCCGGAAGTCGGCCGCTGCCCAGGCGGCTCAACAGCCTGAGATCATGGAGTCACCTGTGCGGACCAAGTTCCCCACGGCTCGCATCAAGAGGATAATGCAGGCCGATGAGGAGGTCGGCAAGGTCGCTCAACAGACCCCAATCGCCGTCGGCAAGGCCCTCGAGCTGTTCATGGTCCAGATCGTGACTAAGAGTGCAGATGTGGCCAAGGAAAAGAACTCCAAGCGCATCAGCGCCCAGATGCTGAAGCACGCCGTCGCCACCAACCCGCAGTGGGACTTTCTGCAGGACATTGTCGCAAAAGTCAGCGAGAAGGAGGACGCGGCCAAGGCGAGCAAGGCGAAACAGGAGACCGATAGCGACGAGGATCCGGATGCCGAGCCCAAGAAGAAGGCGAGAGGCGGCAGGAAGAAGAAAGCCGCCTCGTGAGGGGGTGCTCTACTGCTCTACTGACTCCGTCAGGCTCATAATACAAGGCATCACGAGGACACGAAAGGAAATGGGATTTTATGATCGGCGGACTATCTATTGCCAGGCGTTGAAGAGGCTGCGGAAAGCATATACTGGCGTTTTGAGGTCCACAGAGAGCGTTGAATTTGGTTCTTTTGCTTCCGCTTCACAGCTCCAATGGCGACTGGCGCTCATGGATCATCTGACTGAGCTACATTTTACAGATCAATACAATATGCCCCTGGCAACTTGATCTCACACCGTTCCTACGTTGACAAGCGCTTCACTTTTATATCTCGCGTGTACTATGCTAATCAGGCGCGATATAACACAATCTCTTCTTTTGGTATCACCTCTTTCCACTGTCTTGAATCAGAAGTAAATACCAAGTTTGACTGACTTCCCAGATCAATCACAGTTGATTATCTCTTGCTAGTTCCGTTCTGTGAAGTCCTCGCAAACCGCTTGAATATTCTTTCGGCATACAGAATACAGCAACAATTCACGGATCCGCATCCGCCATGTCCTGCTTGTACCTCTGGATGCACCGCTCCTTGCTCTCCTTGAAATCTACATGCGGCGGCGGGTAGTCCAGCTTGTCAAACTCCTCGCGACTCAGCCGGTGGTACGGGTCGAAGACGGCCTTGCCCTCGACGTCCCTGAGCTCCGGCACCCACTTGCGGATGTACTCGCCACGCGGGTCGCACTTCTCGGCCTGAGCCACAGGGTTGAAGACGGTGTAGCTGGGCTCCCAGCCCTGCGTGTTGTTGCACAGGTCCCAGTCGACGAGGGTCTCGGCGAACCAGCGCTCGCCGCGCCGGTAGTCGAGCAGCAGCGACCGGCTGAGGTAGCTCGACACGTTCATGCGCAGCCGGTTGTGCATGTAGGCCTCGGCGGCCAGCTGCCGCATGCCCGCGTCCACGAACGGCACCCCCGTCGTGCCCGCGCACCACTTGCGCCAGCCCTCGTCGTCCGCCTCCCACTGCACAAAGTCGAACTTGAGGTTCTGCGGCAGGTTCATCGACCCGTGCGGCGTCACCGCCATCATGTGCCGGTAGAACTCGCGGAACACGAGCTCGCGCACCCACGACGCCACGCCCGCCTCCGCGCCCGACTGCGAGAAGTCGGCGCTGCCCCCGTTGGTCTTGCGTGCCGCGCCCAGCGCCTCGCGCACTGAGATGACCCCCGCCGAGAAGTACGCAGACAAGCGGCTGGAGTTGTCGGCCGCCGGCGTGGACCGGTTCTGCGCGTACGTCTGCACCTTGTCGCCCAGGAACTCGCGCAGCCGCTGCATGCCGGCCGCGTGCCCGGCGGGCCACAGCTTGCGGATGCGGTCGCGGTCCTTGGTCGACGGGAACTGTTTCGACTCGGGCACCTTGGGCACCGGCTGGCCAAAGAGCTTCTTGAGGTCGCCAGACTTGACGGACTTGTCGTTGGCGTCAGGGGTTGGCACCGTATCGAGCAGGCTAGGATCGCCCGACACCTCGGCCAGCCAGGCCTTGTGATACGGTGTGAACACCTTGAGCGGTCCGCCTGCGCCCGTGGTGAGCGTCCTGGGCTCGACAATGGTCTGGTCATGGTGGAGGACGAACTGGACGCCGTTCTCCTCCCCGCCCAGCCGCTCGAAGAGGTCGAGGTCCCGCCGCAGCTCGTCGACCTCGTATTCGATGTTCGCAAACACGTGGCTTACGTCGTGCTCCCGCACCAGCCCCAAGATCGTCTCTCCCTTGTCGGCCCGCTTCTCGGCCGTCAGCTGCACGAGCGGGATGTTCAGGCCCTCCAGCTGCTCCTGCAGCAGGCGCAGGCTCTCGAGCATGAAGTCGACGCGCGCGGGGCTGGTGCCGTGCCACTCGAGGTCCTCGGGCGAGAACAGGAAGCAGGCCAGCAGGGCGCCGGCGCCCTCTTGGGCTTTCTGCGACGCCGCGTGCAGCGCGCGGTTGTCGTCGGCGCGCAGGTCCTTGCTGCGGAACCAGTGCAGGACGTTCCTGGGCTTCGCTGCGCCGTCCTTGCCGTCTCCCGCGCTCGCGCCCGAGGATGGTGGTGATGATATGCGCTCCAGGAGCTCGTCGTACGGGTTATCAGGCCCGTCGATCTCCTTGGCGCGCTTGGTGGACGGGTGCTTCAGGACGTCCTCCTGCGAGGCGGTGCGCTCGTGTTTCTTGCCCGCCATGCTGGCTTTCTTCTTGGCCTGGTGACAGGGCACGGTAGATGAGAATGGGCGACTGGTGGCTGGGGCAGTGGTGGTTGAGATCGTGTAAGTGGCCAGGATAGGTGAACTATAGAAGGCTGCTTTGGGACGGCATAGGAAGTTTACGAGATATGTTCTAGGAGGCATCCATTCACAAATCAATTGACATCCAAGTTTGCGTTGATTACCGCAATTGAAGTTGCAAACGTCTCTATCTATTGTTTGTTGCCCAGCGGTTTCGGTTGCTGGCGTCTTGGTACTAGTAGTTGCTTATTTCGCGTCTGCGGAAATATCAATGACGTAGAAGAGTTGCAAGGAGCTGGATCTTCAAGATCTAAGACACCCACTATTCAAAGCTAAAGTGCATTTCAGCAGAGCGCTAAGCAGAAGGTAACATTTCTCCAGTTTTCCTCTCTCTCAGACATGAGGGCTTCGTAGGTATTGCTCTGCCGTGCTTTCAATGGTGCATCATGTTAAATCAACTCATGCGTATGGAGTCGATGGTGATACTTCAATCCATCCAGAACATGTTAATAACTTAATCACATAAGATACTGTGTAAGAGCTTGATTGTTTTATGTATTTGCTGATTATTTTTGTCCAAACACTACATGTAATGAACTTTTATCAAACTTGTGAAGCTCTGGAGCTCAACAATTTCTGCGCGGATTTCTATCCTGTATATACATGAACCATTCACGCCTCTCCTGACGCCAAAACTCATTCCTCGTAATTCATGAACCCATTAATGTCCAACCAAAACCTTTTAATCGTAGATATCCTCGTCCATATCATCTGGGACAAGGTCCTCCACTGCATCCTCATCGTCGATTAACATGTCTTCCTCATCACCAAGCTCACTGTCCGTGTGGTTGGGCAGGACCTGGATCTTGTTGTTGACCATGACGATTCTTGCTGTCTCGCCGTCCTGAATGGCGCCGCGCAGGATGAGAACAGCCATCCTGTTAAGGACCTCCTTTTCGATAAGTCTTGCGAGGGGTCGAGCGCCATACGCCGGTGAGTATCCAGCATTGCCGAGGTAGTCCTTGGCCTCCTCCGAAATCTCAATGCGGACATTGCGATCATTGTCGTACAATCGCTTCTGGATTTCGCCGACACGTAGGTCAACAATCTTGCGGATTTCCTTGCGTGTCAGACGGTTGAAGATGACAACCGAGCTGATGCGGTTCAAGAACTCGGGTAGGAAGTAGTTGCGAAGGGCGTTGTTGACGAGTTCCCGAGTCGTTGCGTCGATCTTGCCGTCACGACCAGCAGGGCGAGCCAGGAACTCGGCACCCAAGTTGGACGTCATGACGACAATGCAGTTTCTTGCGTCAACGACACGACCTTGTCCATCGGTGATTCGACCGTCATCCATCAGCTGAAGGAGCACTGTCAAGACCTCCTTCGCAGCCTTCTCTACCTCATCGAATAGCAAGATAGAGAAGGGCTTGCGCCGTAGTGCCTCGGTAAGCTGGCCGCCCGCGTCATGCCCAACATAGCCAGGCGGAGCACCGATCATGCGGCTGAGGGCGTGACGCTCTTGGTACTCTGACATGTCGAATCGGATCATGGCCTTTGGATCATCGAACAGGAACTCGGCAAGCGCCTTGGTAAGTAACGTCTTACCGGTGCCTGAAGGACCGCAGAACAAGAAGCTGGGCGGCTGGTTGGGGTTGCTCAGGCCAGATCGTTGTAGTCGGATTGCATTGGAGACGGCGGTAACAGCCTCCTTTTGGCCAACCACGAGCTTGCCCAAAGCACCCTCCATCCTTATCAATTTTTCCTTTTCGCTGGTCTTGAGCCGGGTGACGGGAATGCCGGTCCAGCGGGAGACAATCTCGTTGATTTGTTCCGGGCCGACGACGTCAGTGACCATGGAGCCACCAACATCGTTCTGGTTCAGAGCAGCATCGGCCATCGCTTTCTCCTTCTCCAACTTCTTAATGGCCTCCTCTTGCTCTGGAAGTGCATAGTACTGCAGGTCGGCAGCACGAGCATGGTCGCCCATTCTTGCCGCGTCCTCAGCCTTGACTTTGAGCTGGTCCAACTTGACCTTTGCTTCCTGGATATCCTTGCCCCGACGCCTCTCACTCTCGTACTTCTCTCTCAGCGGCCGAAGCTCTTCCTCAACATTCTCGGCGTCTTGCTTGGCTTGCTGGAGCCGAGCCTTGGAGGCATCGTCCTTCTCTCGGCTGAGTGCGTGAATCTCGATCTTGAGCTGTCGCAGTCTTCGCTCAAGCGAATCAATAATTTCGGGTTGGGACTCTCTGGCAACTCGTACGGCTGCGGCAGCTTCATCTATCAAGTCGACCGCCGAGTCGGGAAGTCGTCTGGACGTGAGGTAGCGTGCAGCTAGGGTGGCAGAAGCCACAATGGCGCTATCGGCGATGGTGACACCATGGTGAACTTCATATTTCTCCTTGAGACCTCGAAGAATGGACACTGTCTCGGGAATGGTGGGCTCCTTGACAATGACTTGTTGAAATCTCCGCTCGAACGCGGCATCCTTCTCAATGTACTTTCGGTACTCGGCGAGGGTGGTTGCACCAATGCAGTGTAACTGACCTCGAGCTAGCATGGGCTTCAGGAGGTTGGCCGCGTCCATTCCGCCCTCGCCTGAAGAACCCGCGCCCATCAACAAGTGGATTTCGTCGACGAACAGGACGATCATCTCCTTGGCCTCCGAGATCTCCTTCAAAACTCCCTTCATTCTCTCCTCAAATTCACCGCGGTACTTGCTTCCGGCAACCAAGGCACCGACATCGAGGGATAGGAGCTTGCAAGCAGCCAGGTTGTCGGGGACATCGGCGTTCACAATACGTTGCGCCAATCCTTCCACGACTGTTGTCTTTCCCACACCGGGTTCACCGATCAGGACCGGGTTGTTCTTGGTTCGTCGGGACAGGATACGGACAACCCGTCTGATCTCTTCTTCTCTGCCGATGACGGGATCGATCTTGCCTTCTCTCGCCATGGCCGTCATGTCGATGGTGAACTTGGCCAAGTTCTCGTGCTCCTCCTCGGTGTCTGCCGTCTTGGAGTCCACTCTCTTGGTGCCGCGAATCGCCTGAATGGCATCCTGAACCATCTTAGGCTTGGGGATGTTGGCTTCCTTCAGCGCCTCGGAGACGCCCGGGTCTTCGGACAGGGCGGCGATCAGATGGTCCACTGCGACGTAGGCATCCTTCTGTGTCTTTTGCAGGTCCTGTGCCTTCCGGAGGACGGCGCTGAAGGTAGGGGCCATGGATACATTCTCGGGCGGGGGGTCTTGACTGGGCATGCGCACCAGGCGCTTCTTGAGAGCTCGGTCGAAGAGTTGCGGGTCGCCATGGGCTCTCTCGACAACCTGGCGGAAGAGGCTGTTGTTCGGCGGGGGGTTGTTCTGCTGGTCCTTGGACTGGTCCGGGGGCGGGTCCAGCAGCGAGACTGCAAGGTGGACTGGCAGAAGTTGCGAGTGGGCGTATTGCTCGGCCAGACTCATGGCATCCTCCAGGGCCTTCTTGCCCCGGTCGGTAAACTCCATGCGTGAAGTCATGGTTGTGGTGTGTGTGGTGGTCGGTGTGTGCTGTGTCCCAATAGAGCGCTGGTAGTATCTATCGGAAGGTGGGAAATGAAAAGTATAGTATTATGTGTTGGTGAGTGAAACTTGCGTTCGCAAGTGAAGCTTGCTTTGGGAAGTTGTGGTTCTGCTTCAAGACCACTAGTGAGGGTTGGGTATCACGAATGGATTGGGTAGAAACTGAAGTGTAGATGCAGAGGGCAGGAGAAGAACAAGACGAAGACGACCTCAGACACCCACACGAGCTTTATCCTCGTTTGCGTTTGAGTCCAGTGGAGACTTGGAAGTGAAGAGAAACACGGTCCTGGAACCTGGAAGTTGGACATGGGCTCATCTCTCGCCAACTCGCATGATCGAGCTCCCACCTGCTGTCCGTCGTGACTTCCCGCACCTGCCCGATGATGCAAGAGTATCGCAGAAGGCGCTAGAAGCTGCGAGGAGGGTCTAGTCTTCTACCGCGGGTATGCATCAAAAGGGTATCAACTACGTGCCAGCAAGCTACAATTATGAAGGCGTGCACGGGCTCTTTTTGGTCAGGTTTTGGCGAGTTCGCCTGGTCTAGGTAGGCCAGCTGGGCAAGTCTATACTCGTCCGTTTAGATGCATAAGTACGTCATTGTTCTCAGAGAGGCCAAACAGTACTGCAGTATGTGCTGCAATTGGGTCAAGGTTGTGTGTCAAGGTATATCATTGTAAAAACCTGGTCGAGCGAAAGAAACATCCCCAAGGCCGTCAAGTGCTGGGCAGGCAAGGTTCAACTAAAATCCCACTACGGTTGTATCCCAACCAGATAGATGACATCCACGATGGATTAGTATGCGCTCCGGTCCAGCGTAGCACAAGCTTTTCAGCGGTCTCAGTAGTTGACTGGCGGGCAGGGCGGGGGGGCTTTTGGAGGAGCTGACACGGCACAGGTACTGGAGCTGAAAGACTTGACCTGCCTGGCCGATAACGATAAGCAACCAGAACCAGAACCCCCCCGGTCGCGTCCTGCCGTCCCAGGGCCGACCGGGCCCGTGCACCCCAGAAGTTTTTGGGGGCAGACAGCTCAATCGCGGATCGCCGTCAAGGAGACGAGGCGACGAACACTGGGTGCCCGGAGGTGACAGTCACAGCCAGCGCCATGAACATCAGCAGCAGTCCGTTCCGCTCATTAGCAGCCCAATTGGGCCGCCTGTCCATCGGCGTCTCGAGGACGACGGTGCGCCTCGCCTCGTCCAAGCGCAAGAGGAGAGAACGGATCGAGCCCGACTTTGTGCCCGGCCATGGCGAGAAGATCTGGATATTCAGCCATCTGGTGAACGGGACGACCGTATACTCTCATAATCCCGTCTTAAAGGTAACTTCTTTACTGTTCTGCCCATCAGAGTTCCACCACGGCTTCCGGCGCCCAGACGCTCCCGCCCGCCGTCTTGCTATGGAAAAAGGAGTTATAACAGTCAGATCAGCATTGCTAACGGGTCCCCCTCCCTCCTCCAGGCCAACAAGGCGCTCCGCCAGCTCCCGTACAACGGCAAGAAGCTGAAGCCCGCCAAGATCCGCAAGGACTACTGGCGGCCGCTGGCCATGATCCAGTTCCCCGAGGGCATGGGCCACGTCGGCCGGTCCGTCTTCCACATCATGCGCGAGTTCCGCCAGGTGCACGACCTGGCCTGGGAGGACAGCATGTTCCGCGACGACGAGACGAACCGCGTGCTGACCCGCCACGAGCGCGGCGAGAAGCTCAACCGCAGCCAGAAGCCCAACGCCATCGCCGACATGGCCGCCGTGCTGGCCGGCGCCGGCAAGGGCAACAAGATGTGGACCACCGTGGCCGCCGAGACACCCACCATTGAGGGCGCCGCCGAGACCACCACTGAGCCCCAGCCGGCGGATCAGAGTGCCGTCTCCCCCAGCGATCTGGTCCCGACCACCGTGTTCTGGGCGGACGAGCTGGACAAGAACTACGCCAAGCAGTGGCCGACCAACGTCACGCACAGCACCTTTGCGGATTCGGTCGCTGTGCCTATCGAAGTGGAGGAGGAGATAGTACTAGAGGCGGGCGAGAACGGCGAAGATGGAAAAGCACCAGAAGTGCCAGTGGAACTGGTGGCAGAGGAGCAGGCTCGTCAGAGTGAGCAGCAGCAGCGACCGAGGAATTAAGCCGGGGGAGTGAAAAATGCAGCGGATGATTCAGATGAAGATTGATGCTTTTCCCATTAAAGCTAGATCTCGAGTGTACTCATATTCCCATCCATCTCCCGTGCTCCCTGCGGGTTTGGAGATGTACTGTACGTTATAAATGTACGCCACTATGTATCATACGCCATAGAATGCAACAGACTCAAAATGCATCCCACACCGCGCGTGCGGTTCATGCTAGCTAGACCTTGATGCAGAATTGTTTCAAATACTCATAATGCGGGATGTTCTCGTTCACGCAGTCCCGGATGGCCTTCTGGCCCTCCTCACCGTACTTCTCGAGCCATTCCGCGTTCTCAGACTCCTCCGTAATAGTTTTCTGCAAAAAAAGTCCAGGTTAGTGACTGGCACGCAGTGCTCTCTTTTTAGGGGAGAGCTGCGGAGGAGGAGAAACGTACATGGTGTGTCCTGGCGGAGAGGCACGTGCTCTTGATGGCATCGTTGTGGAATCCAATCCACTTGGCAAACGCGTCCTCGACGTGCTTCTGGTCCTCGGGGTTGTCCCAGTTCAGCATCTCCGGGGTGAAGGGGATGCCGGTCTCCTTGCAGAAGGCCTCGACGACCTCGTGCGGGTGGTCCAGCAGGTCGTCGGCGTCGATCACGGTGATGGTGACCTCGCCCTCCTTTTGGCCGTTGGTGTGGCCGTTGCCGTTGCTGAGCCCGTTGGACTGGCCGTCCTGGGCCGCCTCGGCCAGGCGCGGCCCGACGAGCTTCTGCTCCCGCAGGTAGTCGAACAGCACGCGCAGCTCGACGTAGCCGGCCTCGTTGGACATGAAGTCCTTGAACCCCGTGACGTCGTCCAGCGGCGGGACGGTGCACCGGTAGAAGGACGGGATCCCGCGCCGGGGGTGACGGATGAGGAAGGTGAAGTGATACTTCTTCAACTCGTCCAGAGGCAGGACCGTAGGGTTGCCAGGCTCAGTGCTGGCGGTGCCCACGCCCTTCTTGACACTGTTGGCATGGCCGTTGACGGCGCCATTGGTGTAACCATTCGTTCCATGGCCATTTGTGTGGTTACCGTTGACGCCGTTGACGCCATTGGTGGTGCCGTTGGCATGGCCGTTGGGCTTCTCGCTGCAGAACGAGGGTGCAATGGTAGTGGATTTTCCTTCCGGGGCCATTAGGTAATAGGCCATATCCTTGATGAAAACTCGTTTACCCTGATTTGCAGTGAGTAAAGTGTATGCTACAGCAGCTTGCGGGATGCATCTGCAGCATGTCTCCTTGTGTAACGTGTACGACGGGTTACTCGAGATAGTGGCATGTGCTTATCAATAGGTAGAGTGCGTGCCATGTGGAGGCCGGCAAATAGGTAGATGGACCAAGATTCATCAACTCAAAAATGAGAGAGGAGTCATCACACAGCTCCAAGCCCTGAGGTGAATGCAGGAAATCAGGGGGAGAAAAAGGAGAAGTGGCGAACCTCGCTGCCGTCCTTCTCAAGTCGATTTAAGACATCGCGGTATGTGGTTTTGGAGAAGCCACTCTTGATTCTGGTGGTCTCGTCGTTTTCATATCTCTCACTGAGCCTCTCTGGGCCGTAGTAGAAAGCATCACCAAATGGCTCATGGGCACAGTTTAGAGTGTCCCGGCGGGTCATGAAAACCTATACCAAGCGGTAGCGTCAGCAGGGTGATTCTCTCATGAGCATTCTGTGCCACTCACCCGTTCAAAAGCCGTAGAGCACGCGCGCGGGTGCGTCGCCAGGAAGATCGGCTTGGAAGACATGATTGCGGACACACAACAAGTGGACTTTGATCACAAAATCTCGATTCAAACTTGTGAGATGGAAAATATGGAGCCTGTTGTTCAAGCTATAGCAGTGCGCCGCCCAAGGTCGCAGATGAGTGCCGAAAGGGGGGGAAATGGTATGACAGAAACTCGAGCGTCTTGAATCACGGACGATTTGAGTTTTTATACCAGAAAAGAACCCGAACGGCAATCGTTCCTGACCACCAAGCCATCCTCTACTTACCACGGCGTACGATCCAACTAAAAAGTGAGACTTAGCCAATGTACCAAGGTCGAAAGTGCCCGCATGACGCCGCCCCACGCCGGTGTGGTCTAGGTACCCAGGGTACCTAGACCACACACCATCTTTCGCCTTTGCGGATATGTATTTTTATAGCTTGGGAAACACCGGTTGCCGACCAAGGAAACCCGAGGATCGTCTCCACGTCACTTGTGCGTCCTCGACAGCCGCGCAAGGTGTCTGCTACGGGGCTAGCCCTGTGGAGTCCGCACGGCAACGGCAGCTTGGCCCCCGGATGCCGGAGAGGCGGTTGATAAGAGAAACACTAGAATAGTGGCACCTGCATAGGGCCAAGCGAAACGCCGCAATTGGGCTGGAACTCTTTGAGTGGGATGCCATGGGATGCCACAGTGGTTTTGGGCGGCCCCGAAACCTGCTCTCGATCGCGACAGAAGGTTAATAGTGTGGTCGGGCTGAGCCAGTCTGGTCTCAACAAGGTGGCGTGATGAGTATTGGCGTGGGCATGTGTCGACTTTCTGGGTTTAGGCTTGTGGTCAGAAACACTCGCAACTCGGATGGACTATCTCTTGTCTTGCTTATTCCCTGAGGAACAACCCAGACAGTTCCTGCGGCGTGGGTGCCAGGTGCAACGCAATAGGTTGCCATCGGTTGGTTCCAGCATACGGGCACCCCGCGGATAAGAGCTTCTCAACTGGTGATTGGCCGGGGTTGCATCCGCTTTTCGCACGCGTGTCCGACAATCGAAGAGAATTTCCCGACAAGCTTGCAGCGATTGGAACTCAGCCCACGGCCCAAGACCGCCCCAATCCAAAGTCTCTGCTAATATGACATCACCATGCCTGGCGAGGAACAGGTACTTGCGGCCATCGGCGCCGACTGCCCTCCCGACTCCCTCGAACCCTGCTAGCATGTCCGACAACCGTGCTCGGCCGTGGGAAATGCCCCACCCATGCCGTGCTGCCGGATGCATTGGCAGATCATAAGGAGCCGCTCAACCGCCGTGTTGTGGGCCTGTCGCCCGCGTTCGAGGCGTCCACAGCAGTCCTGCTCGAATCCACGCCCCAACGTTCGACCCGCCGCTCCCAGGTGCTTGGTGGATGAAAAGTGGCAACCGTCAGCCGCTGGCTTGGATGGGCGTACTTTCTCTGCCGCGCCTGACCCGGAGAGTTGTGGAATGGTACTTGCAAAGAGCGGCGGCAAAGAGCTTTTGTCTTGCGCTGTGACCAGTGCATGTTTCATCATCGTGATGGCACGATCTGATACAGACCCTCGAGCCGCATGACGTCTTTGGGTGATCTCCGTTATATCCAAACTGGCTGCTGGGTGATTGTTGATCTTCGTTATCTCGGGACAGAACTACAGTTGGTAGTTCATCGGTTCCTGCTGGTTTTCAGCACCCATCTTCCGCGAACCTGCTGTTGCGAGCAGAACCTCTTGGTGGTGCTTCGCCGTTGCATACAAGAGGCTGTCATGCTGCTCTTCAAGTCCAGTCCTTCTTGAGTAGGCGACCGAGTCCGAGCCATGGAGCGAGCTGTAGAGAATGAAAGTAGAAATTGTGAAAGGATTATAAAGAGCCTTCACCTGCAGCAATGCAATAGAACCGCCTGCCCCACTGACTTTTGTCTGTCTTGTTGTCGACTTGGTTCGTGGTTGTCCGCCTTGCTCAACATTTGCAAGATAGGGCTCTTGACCCACGTCAACATTGTTCGAGAAGCCACGCAGTCTTTCAATACTTGTAATACAAGGAATACTGTTGGGAGAGACTACACTTGTAGTAGTGGTGTCGAATGCATTGCCACTTGCGGGTGACTGCCCGTGTCCGGGCGAGGAGGCTGGCACTTGCTGGTCCTGTCTCAACACGAGAGCTGCAGAATATGAGAGTGAGAGTTTCTAGCCAAGAGGCCCTCTGAAGGAAGAGGGGTGGACGTCGTTTTAAAGACCCAGCCTTGGTCCAAGTGTCATGCCCGCACACCTTATTTTCGATAGATAAAGAAGCAGCGGGCCCAGCGGGCAGATCGGTCGTAGCGCTTGATAGGGACTCGCACTTCTCCCCCGTGATGACCAAGTCTCAGGTCGGACACCCACGACCAGCGAATCGGAATGCACTGCGGCTTGTCTCTGGCTGCAGCGACTTGGACAGCGAGCTTTTTACCTAATCACTTGAGACCCAGCGCTACTTGATACGGACCGATGGAGTTACACGCGCATCGACCCGTCTTGGCTTATACGCTGGTAGCTTATAACGTACCGGTACGTACGTGGGGCAACAAACCCGGCGTCTGCGTCTGCGGCAGTGAGACTGCCCTTCGTTAGAAAGCAAGTGCCAGGTCACCAAGGCTCACATGCTCCAGTGCTGATCCTATCCAGCTGCAACGCATGACCTCTCGCCTTCTACCACCCTGCCAACACGCAGCACGGGCCTCACTGCCGAGACTGCAGCCAGGCCTAACTCCACATGAAGGTGTGCAAACGAGAAAGTTTATTTCAGAAGTTCTCGAGGGTTTCTTCGCAATATGTCTTCTTGCAATGTGCCTTCTTAGTAGTATCTCCACTATTTTCTGTTAGAACCAAGGCAAATCCTTTCGAGGTTATTCCCGAGTAGCTCCTCGTGACCTTGAGTCTCGATAACGCTAGGAGCTCTGGAAATTATACTCCGAATACGGCGAATACAGCACCGCTCTGACTTTAAAGTCTATGAAAATGCCTGTAAATCCTTGGAACAAGAGAGTTCTCAAATTACTGACAGTGGGAAGGTATTTGCCGCTAAGTTAGGCTATAGATCTTCCATTATCACGCGCGCATACCTGCCTAACCCACACTACAAAGATTGTTCCTATTCTTACACTTTTTCTTGAAATAAGATTATAAGCGTTTTATGGCTGTCATCTAACCATTGAAATGATGTAGCGACCACGGCTTTCCCAACACCAGCAGTAAACGGCATAGTGCCTGCTGGATGCGGTTGAAAGAGTCGTAGTCAGCATGCCCGGAGTAGTAGCACAGGTGCAGACCTAAGCGAAGTACAACACTGATGTGAAAATGAAGATTTACAATCTTAAACAGGCTACAGTACATCCTTTGAGCATTGGCAGTCCTGATCTTAGTCCAACCGACCCCAGCTCCAGATGTTTAGGCCGACCTTAACCCCGGACTTGACCGGCAGCCCGGCGTGCCAAGTCTCCTCCCACCCCCTGCCCGTGCCATCGGGTCTGAAGTTTTCCCAGAACACGGCATTTCCTGCCACTGGCTTGAACGTGACGCCGAGCCCGTCCTCCTCCTCTGGGACCCGATCTTCGCGAGACTCATCGCTAGGTCTGCCCTCTGACCCACCGGGACATTCAACCCATCGACACCACTTATCCCCGTCGCCGTTCTTCCTCAGTAGCGGGAACTCCGTGCCTCCGCCCTCGAGATTCCTACGTGGATATAGTCAGCCACTAGCCAGTCACGCAGTCATCCCCAGAAGAAATCGAACCAAGAACCAAGAAAAAGGGCGGGGGACTCACTCAGCAGCGACCCAGACCATCATGCTGCTGACGCGGCCCCAGCCGCGGGCGCCGGAGCCCCAGTCGAAGTGGTGGGCGTAGTGGCCGGCGGCGACGTAGCGCTGGGTGCGCAGGCGCTCGACCCAGAGGTCGCGGCGCCAGCCCTGCAGCGCGAGGGCGCGCCGCTCGACGCACCGCACGGCGTCGGTGCGCGGCAGCAGCGCCACGGCCGAGTCGCGCACCGAGGCGTCCTGGTACGTCGTGCGCCCGTCGCTGGTCAGGGTCGAGGGCGTGAAGAGCGGCTCGCTGGGGGGTCGAGGGGGCCCAAGTGTCAGTCCAGCGTTTGGTAACTATGGTGAGGGTTGGGGGGACCGGAAGGGCGGGATGAGGTGGGAGTTATCATTGCTACTGCTTTGGACTAGTCCTGGAGCTATACTGATACATAGAAGCGGGCTGTGCTGTAAAGGGTGACCAACTGCTGGGAGGGCTTTGGGCCAAGATGACGGAGGCTCGAAAATGCAGATGACTTCGAGGAGCTCGAGCCTACATACCTGAGTTCGAGCAAGTTGTCTCTTTCCGCCTTGGATATAAAATTCTCTACATAGATGACCAGTGGCGCCTTGGAGAGGATATGCACCGAGTATGCATCTTCGGGACAGTTGAGCGGCGCCGTCTCATTGGCTGCGTCTATGGCTAAGAGGGACTCATTGATGGCAGGACGCGGCGTGTGCGGGATGACGCGGCCCGAGTCTGGAGAGAAAAACTCAACCACGGGCTGATAGAAGAAGAGGAGGATGGCGAAGCCTCCTACTATGTAAGGAAACATTGTTTACCTGGATGGGTGCTGTCATGTAAGGTTCATTGTAAATGCCCGAGTGCTTCATACAGTTGACGAGGAACGACTGTCGTACCATCAGGTGATTGGCCAATGACGCCCCTAGGTTTTACTAAATACTGGCAGGGATTAGCGGCTGTATTACATAACGACCCCCATCATGTCTATGGCTGTTCTATAACGAGGACTTGAGTTGTCAACTATTGGATGCGCGATACTGCTTGTAGTTACTTATTGCGTCTTCTTGACTTCCCTTCCGGGGCTTTGCTGTGCACCGTACCCAGATTTCATGAAAACAGCTACGAGCTTCCATACGACCCAAGCAAAACCCGCCACTACTACAGCAGCAGTGAGCGGGCTGATCAGTAATGCCTGCCCCAGGTCCAGCACAGGTACAGAATCAGTCAACATAAGGTCCTTGACACCTTCCTGTGGGGCAGGGTCTAGGTGCCAGAACAATGTCCTTGGCCCGAACAGTCCGTCATAGCCAATATTTACCCGGTCAAAGGGGCTGTTCGGAAACTTGGTGCCTTCCTCAGCTGCACAAGCCCAGAAGACGGCGGGGTAGGGTGTTGTGACAGATTCTTCGCCGCCGTCTTGCGGCACCTGGTAGCGCAAGTGAAGCGGCACCTCAGCGGTGAATGCAACGGCTTCATCCTCTGCTGGCGGCTTCAGCTCCAGCAAAAGGCTTGAACCCCAGAGTTTCATGACGTAGCTCGGCGCCTCCAAATCGATGGGCTGACTAATGTAACGTAATGCTGTCAGGTTTTTGGAAGCCAGGAAGAGGGGGTCATCGAGCTGATATTTATCCGCAAAGATGGTGTTTGGTAGCGTGAAATAGGCGTGAAGAGAGCAGAAGGAGTCCTTCATTGGAGGCTCAGACGAATCGACTTGCAGTTGCATGGTTGGGTGCAGGCCGAGTGGAGAGAGAAACTCGGCCGAGAAGGTGGCTCCGGCCGACTTGTGCCGGGCTGGGAAGGAGAAGAGAACCGGCGATGGGTTCGAATCCTCGCCCAGGATGGTGAGCAGGCCAGCAACACCGAGCTCGTGGTCTTCGATAGCACCGGTGCTATCTGGAACGAGCAGGCCCACCTCGACTCTGTGGTCGGAATGCGAGGTGATATCAAGCGGCTGCTTCTGGTGACCCCATAGCACGGTGACCTTAACTACATGTGATATGGTGTCGTATGAAAAGTCAAAGGATTTGGCCTGGTCAAGCGCACGCATGCGTGTCTTGCAGCCGTCGTCGGATGCAGAGCATAGGTACTGCGACGCATATTCGGCAAAGGCAGATAGAGAGCGGGACGGGTAGTATGACTGATAGGCGGTTGCATGGGAGAAGCGGTCGTATGGAAGTTGAGAGAAGTGGTCCTAGTATGGAGTGAGCAGAAGCGATCAGGGTGGTGACATTGGTGGGCGGCTTACTAGTGAATCAGTGCAGTTCTCTTGGGGCATGAAGCCACGGAGAAAGGCGCAGATGGGATCTCTGGGGCCGGTCGCGTCGTCGTGCTGTGGGGTGTAGAAGACGTGCAGGCCGGGGGGGAGCCTCGAGGTCCATGGGCCCAAGGTGTCATAGCGAGCTGGGCTGGCCCAGCGTAGGTGCAGCTCGCTGATGTTGGTCAGCAGCTCCTTGAGGTCGGAGGGAAGCTCGTCAAGGCCTAGGGTGAAGCGGTCCTCGCGAACAGCGGTGATATCGGGTCCGGAGATGGAGCGGCCCTTGACCTTGATGGAAGACGGCTGTATAGCGTCCTCGTCGCGGTGGAAGAACGTGGTCCTTTGGCGCATTGTGGATTATGGTAAATTGCAACAATGAGATCTAGTGCTGGGAAACCGCCGGCTTTCTCGGTCCTCGGTCCTCGAGGGCGGCGTAAGTGTATACAGGACCAGTTGGCGTTGGCTGTTGTATATCTGCTAGTTGTTGATGGTCCTGAAGCTGGTCTGGTGGTTGAGGGACCCTGGAACTACGTAGCTGCAGGTAGGGGGGGTAGGTATTCGGCGAGGCTACTGAACCTAGGTACCTAGGCTACGGGGCGCCAAAGCAACCCCTAGGGACCTAACTTGCCTAGGTAAGGTCAGGCAGTGACATTGGATCCATCCCTGGTGCAGGCGCAGGCGCAGGCGCGTGGGCCCAAGCTCCCACGGATGCGCAGTACGATCGGAAGGGTTACAGTGACTTCCAGGTTGGGGGCCGTGGCTGCATCTGGCAGAAAACTTCAACGCCTTTCCTGGCAGTCAAGATACTGCAGTGATCAACAAGGCTACGGCGACTGATCGTGCCGGGAGCCTTGGAGTGCGCATCTGAGTGGTTCAGGGAATGTTGCCTGCCAGCCAGACGGATACCTGTATACTATGGTACCGTAACCGTAGTATGTAAAACCCAGGGACCGGATGAAATGGAATGGAGCGGCCAGCACAGACCATGCAAAAATTCGGGCTAGCGAGCAGTCGACCAGCGACCAGACCCGCCAGACCCCAGCCAAAGGCCAACGCCCTCGTGAGTCGCATCGCGCGTTGAAGAATCGTGCACTTTGCAACCAGGCCGACTCCACCTCATCAGAATCACTACCGTACCACAACATCTTCCACGCACCGCTGCTCCTTCTCGTCGCCCCGGCCCCAACCAAGGTTGACACGCGCACCCGTATCCTGGCCATGGTCCAGCAACAGCATTAACAGCCGAGAGATTTCCCAGTCTCGACGCTTTCTCGCTGCCCATCGACCGTTCGACGACACCATCGGCACACCTGTCTTGGTCCGGCCGCATTGCCGTGCATCGCAAACGAACCAAGTCAGCCAACATGGCCGCCCTCACGCCCGCCCAGGTCGAGCTTGCAAGGTATGCCCATGTCTGGCGCAGCGCACGCCGCCGGAATTGACAACGTCACCCACGATACTGACCGTCTCCCGTCTAGCTCCCTGACCCAGGACGAGCTGCCTACGAAACTGCGATGCGCAATCTGCAGCAAGCTCGCAGTCAACGCTTTCCGACTGCCCTGCTGCGAGACTGCCATATGCGAGAGCTGTATGTGACATGACCGGGCGTCGTCCCCGAGACACACTCGAACTTCCCCCGCTGACTCTCTCCAGGCCAATCCACACTGCCGTCTTCGTGTCCCGTATGCGAGCACTCGCCTGTCTCTGGCGACGACTGCACCGTCTACAAGTCGCTCCGAACCACTATCAGAGTCTTCCTGAAGACCGAAGAGAAGAAGCGCGAGGCTGCCCGCCCCAAGGCCAACGGCTCTGCACCTCCCACCCCCGTCGAGCCAACACCCACACCCACCCCGGCCCTCGCAAAACCTCCCGCCGGACCAATCCAAGAGTCTCCTGCTCCGGTCAAGGACGAGCACACGCCCGCACCAACCGAGCCTGACCAGTCCGCGACGGCAGATGACCAAATCGCCCGCGACAAACCTAGCGACATCCCCACGCAACATGTAGGCTACTTCTTGATTATTGGGGTTTGAATGCTCGTTCTAATATCTTTTCTAGGGCCAGCCTACGTCGGAACAGTCAGGCGATCAAGGTGCCAGTGGTGGAGAGGAGCAAGCTCTGGTGCCCAGTGGTCAGGATGATGCCGATGCCCAGCCCCTGGATAGCATCAACGAGGGTGCGGATGGCCAGGATCCCGAAGACCAGGAGGGGCAAGGCTTGGACGAGGAGTCCGACATGAACGGCGACTACAGCGGAATGAACTTCAACGCAGGCGAGATGAACCCCATGCAACTCCAGATGATGATGATGCAGAACGGAATGAACCCCGGCGCCTTCGGGGGGTTTCCGATGATGGGTAAGCCACTCGCCCCCCCTTTTACCTCTCAACCTTCCACTAAAGCCGCCGTAGGAATGGGTATGAACATGGACCCGTCGGCGATGCAGAACATGTACATGAACGGAGGCTTCGGGGCGCAAGGCATGGGCATGAGCGGCATGAACATGATGAATATGGGCATGAATGGCTTCAATGGGGGCAACAATGGCTGGAACGATCAGCAATCCTGGCAAGATAATTTCAATCCAAATGCTTCTGGCATGGGCAATGGTGACTTTGGCAACAATTTTAACCCTGGCTACCGTGGAGGCTACAATCAAGGTAACTATGGCAATAACCAGTACAACGCCTTCGGCCGAGGAAACTACCGTGGACGAGGCGGACGTGGCCGCTGGTACAATAACCAGGGCTTCGGCCATGCCGGCTACAACCAGGGATACGGCCCTCGCCACCAGGGCCAGCAGATGTGGGCTGGCAAGATCGCCCAGCAGTCTGCCGGCTACGAGGAACAGCAGAACGACGCCGAGGGGTCCGGCGAGGTACAGAAGGGTGCCAATACCGACGAATTTGGAAGGGCAATCCGCTCAGGAGAGGACCAGGCTGGAACCGACGGGCAGAACGGGGAGCACGCGGAGAGTGGTGACACGGGCAACGGTATCCAGGACAGCACAGGACAAGTACCTACAAGCAATGCCCCAGGAGAAGCTCATGATGACTCTGCCGTGGCCAATGGTGATGTTCTCCCTGCAGCTCCGTATTCACGCTCACATGGCCCTTCGTATGGCATGGGCGTCATGCCCCCCACTGCGCCTGCTGCACCAGCTGCACCGCTGAATGCACCAACCGGACCCAAGGCGATGCGTCAGGGCTTACCAAACACCAGTACCCTTCACCTTCGCGCTCGAGGCTTCATTCAAGACCCAGTCCCTACTCTCACCAAGTCCCCGGTTGTGGAGAGCCCTATTCAGGACGGCAGGTCAGCCTCCCGACACAGTTCTCGTCATACTACTCAGGAGGCAGACCAGCGTCGCTCCGAACATGACAAGGAGCATGATCACGATCAGGAGAAGGGAGGAGATGGAGACCATGACAGAGACCATGATCAATCTAGATCCCACTCCAAAGGTCGTAGCCGCAGCCGAAGTCGGAGCCGCAGCAAGGATCGTAAAGAGACCCGTCGACACAGGCGGCACCGATCCGAATCAGCCTCCGGCGACGACCGCGACGATGACAGCCGACGTCGCAGACATAGAAGTAGGCGGTCGACAAGGGACGAGGATGACTACAAGGGCCGTTCCAGGGACGACAAACATGATGACAGATCCCGCTCCGCGTCCCCAGACCGGGACCGCGACCACAAGCGCTCCGGACATCGTAGTCATCGTGACCGGGATAGGGACCGGGATCGGGACCGGGACAGCGATCGCGACTACCGCAAGAAGTCGAGCCACCGCTCACACCATGACTACGATCGGGAACGTGACAGAGATAGGGAGAGGGAGCGAGACCGCGATAGAGCTCGGGATAAGGACCGCAGAAAGGACCGCGACCGGGAGCGTGATCGGGACCGTGACCACCGCCAGAGAAGCAGTCGGAAAGCGTCGCCTGAGCCTCCTACGCCCGTCGAGTCTAGTGGGAAGGAATTCAACCCCCCAACCGGCCCTCGTGCAAGCACCAACTTATCTAGCAGGGGCGGCGGCTCAAAGGGCGAGTTCTCCATTAAGGGTGCGAGCTCCAAGTCGAGGCCATCCCGACGGGACAGCGAGATGTCTGCCCCACGCCGCGGCTCCCATGCTTCCACCAGCAACGCACCAAAGGGGGCCCCTACCGGGCCCGCCAAGGATCCCCATACTCTAGAGCGCGAGGCGCGTGATCGCGAGCGACTGTTGAAAGAGGCTCAACGTATGGCCGGCCTCGGTGGAGCTGCCGGCCTCAAGCGGGGGCGAGAGTCCAGTGACGACCGCGGCGGCCGCCGTAAGAACCGTCGCAGCGAGGCCGTCTACGGCGACGCGGAGGAGCGCATGAAGCGTCTAGAGGAGGAGCGGGAGGGTGGACGATGGGATTAGAGACGTCCCCGTCCAGAGCCAAGGTCCTCCCCACTGAGACCACGAAACAGACGGCCACGGCAGCAGGATCTCGATCCCGCTTCAGGTTATATCTATCGTCGACGGAAGCAAACTTTTGCTGGCATTGTTGACAAGCCGTGACGGAGCCTGCTTGGTTTCTTGAAGGATGAGTAATAATTCGTATTTGCATCTACAGCACGCGCCGAAGGGGGTACCGGCGCGGGAAACACCCAAGATTCGAGTATCACCCAAAGGAGCAATCACATCACGCCAGGTGCTTCCGCTAGATGGAGGAACAAGAGCATCACCGATTTTGGAATGGAAAGGGGAAGAAGTAAAAGAATGCGTATGGGCTTCAGTCTGTTTAGCTGCCATACAGTACATGGCCGTCTGAAGCAGGGCAACTTGCGTGACAGAGACTGGTCCCTCGCCTCGCCCAGGCGATAATGCAGTAGCATCAATGAATATATATCTTTGAAAAGAAGGATGTCTCCTGTGTGTTCTGGCTCTAGCTATCATCCAATCACCTTCTTTGATATCCCTGAGTGTCATCGGTTTCTCTAAGCCCATGGCGTTTCAACGGTTCGGTTCACTGACGACGGCGGATTCTGAACTCGGCGTTGATGATATAGGAATCCAAGGATGCGGGCATAGGTCTGTCCATATGGGTTGAACCTGGGTATGAGGTTAGATGTCGATGCTCACGCCTGACACATGTAAGTGGGATACAGATGTCTTACCACGCGTTGCTCGTCGAGCCCTCCAGCAGTTATGAAGAACCAGGGCCATAGGCGGCAGTGCCACAATAATCCCAACCGCTGCGATAATTGCTTCGAGCGAGAACTCCATTAAAGCCGACAGGAGAAGAAAGACTGTAGTCTAATGGAGATACTCAAAAGTGGCAGGGGTTGTATCTCCAGAGAAGAGGCGACTGTGTGAATAGATCAAGCCTGATTGAAGTTCAAGCTACAAACCCATGGACGAAGAATGAGAGAACTAATTTTTCGTGGACGTCGACGCAAGAATTTATATCTATCGTTGGATGTGGCATAGCCCAGTTCTCACTATCAGCCATGTATCATGCAGCTGCGGGGGTAACCTTTGCGGCACCATGGACAACTCATTCGCTCTGCCATTGGTCGGGCAGCTCTGTATTAGCCTCGCCATTTTCAGAACGTATCTTTTAGTGTAGCTTCTATCGTGTTATTAAGTACTGCTGGGAAACGTACAGGTGCACTCCATCACCCAACGATGCAATTCACTGCGTCCCTAACTTTCACCGGCGGCGATGAATCTTAAGGTCAGCACTAATCGTATAGAAGTCCTCCGCAGCGTGTGTAGGCATAGCTCCACCTTCACTTAAACGAGTCGAACCTAATTGACTATAAGTCAGATCTGGACCACACCAAGTAGAAACGGTGGTACAGGTACCATGAACCTCAATCCGACACGCTTGCGTGTTCTCTCGACGACGATGGGTGTTTTCCAAGGCATTTTCGTGCTAAGACAGCAGCTCTCACAACAAATTCAATGTCATGCTGCGGGCAACCCCGCGAAATTGGAGCAAGTTCGGTAATGCAGCCTACTTGGAAGAAGAATGAAGGTGAAGGAGGATCGACCCCGCGCGGAGCCTCAGCTCATTCGTCTTAAGACTGCAACAGAAGCAGCCTGAGGAGGATTGACCCCACGTGGAGCCTCAGCTCATTCGTCTTAAGACTGCAACAGAAGCAGCCTTGTGTACCATGCAGTTCCCAGGGCAAGACCCTGCTAAAGGGTAGGCCCTTCGGCGGCACGAGAAGTGAAGTGCCTGCCCTCCTGGGTTCTTTACGATATACCAATAAGACTGATGTATTTAATATATTCCAGCAGAGTCACTCAGACGCTTGTGCACTCGTGGGCGCTTCGAAGACCTGTTCTCCGCAAACAACCAATCACGTGAAAATGGATCTTCTTCATTGTATTTTTCTTGTGTGTTCGCCCTTGGGCCAACGACACCATTTATTTCCCTCATAGACCAAACGCGTACCTAGATCAACACATATAGCCTCCGGTATTACTAACGACGGCGGACTTTGAATTTCGCGCTGATCATGTCGCAACCTAACACCGAGGGCCGGGTAATGGTCTTAGTTCCGCTCTCAATTAAACGGGTGGAGTCTGTTTGTGAAGTGCCGGTCAGATCACGAATAGTATTTGGTGTATCTAATTTGACATAGCATTGCCACAACTCACCACGTATTACCCGAGACCTCCAGCAGTTGTAGAGAATGAGAAGTACAGGTGGCAGTCCCACGAGTACCCCTTTGAGGCCTACTAATGCTTCGAGGGATACTTCCATTGAATCCAAGGTATTGGTCACCGAGATTCAAGGCCAAGAGGATGGATTTGGGGGACGGGACGGGCTTGCGGCTTTGTCCCTTTGGATCAGGTTGGCTGAAGCTTTGACTCCAGGAAGGATGGGGTGTAAGACTTCCGTCCTTATCAGTGTCGAGAGATTGAGGTACTCATATCCCATCACTTACTGCAGAATGGCAATCCAAAGTTGTTGAAAATCGTAGTATGCATAGCGCATCTCCGTCCTTATGCACGCAAAGCGTGTGGGGTAGCGCAGGGCCAACTATTTCAGTGGAATTGTGCCTATCAGACCTTGTTGGCAGGGGTGGGGACCTGACCCAAACCAAGATGTATGGGGCGGAATGCAATTGATGGACTGCTCTTCTCGCAAGTCGGGCGATCGAGTGACCAAATAGAGGCCACGCCAATGGCACCTCTCTATCAGCCAGATCAGGTTCAAAACTCAGAGGTACAGTAAATTTCAGGGATAAGCAGTCGAAGGCCCAAGAACACGTAGTCCCTGACAAGGGGGTTGATCCAATAATGAAGAACCGAGATGCATGGCGACGCCAGCATGCTGAAGGACCAATTGATGACTGGTGGACCTTTCTCAATCTCGAACAAGACGAGCAGACCGGAAGCGTCAGGATCATAGAGAGTCGCAAAGAATGATGGCGGTGGTTGCTGGGACCAGGCGTATAGAGTACATGATTAGCCAAGCCACCCCTTGGTAGTAACCGTTTCTGTCTGCAGGCTTGCACAGTGTGTAGGACCCCGATTTGTGCTTCTCCACAAGAGAAGCACGTGTATGTACCTGGTTGGAAGCAGTGATATCTATACTAGGAATTTGGGGTTCTAAGCTTACTTACCAAGAAGCCGGAAAAGAACAGCGGGTGCCTATTTCTGCAAGATATCTCTCATTTCGGGTTGCAAGTGTCTGGTGGAACAGCTCGTGTTCTTCTCTTACGGTCCTACCCATAGTATCTTACGAATGTGGCACTTCGACGCCCAACCGTCGATTATGAGCTTCGTTGCATAGGAATGCAATATGGAAGCGTTTATTCATGCCACAGACTTCCTCGTAAGAAAAGATATCAACGACATGTTCTTGCTATAGTAATAAGACCTGCTCCACCCTCAAATATTGCTACTAAGCAAAGTGATCTGTCGCCTCTCCCAAGCCGTAAGACGGTCGCACTACCAACCTGGCTGCGGACCCAAAAAAGTACCTTCTTCGATCTTGCAGCACACTCTACAGCGCGCCTCGCATGTTATTGGCGCCGGCGGATCTTGAACTTAGCGCTGATGGTATAGAGATCCAACGCTGCGGGTATAGCGCCAACCGCACCTTGACCTAAACGGGTTGAACCTAATTAGCTTTGCACTCCTTGACCAAATAGATACTAACGGACAGCATCTCCATACCATGTGCAGCCCGGGACCTGTGACAATTGCATAGGACAAGAACCACAGGCGGTAGCGCCACGATCACGCCGACAATAGCAATGATTGCTTCGAGCGAGATTTCCATCAAGTCTATAAAAACAGGGAGAGTGTGGTGTTGAGTTTCAATGTAGCAAAGGGTCGCATTGCTTGGCGGAAGTGAACGTGGACTGCATTCAAAAAGCTGACAGCAACTGCATGTCAAGATAAGGTGCAGAAAGACGCAGGTTTCCCCTACACATGGGAGAAGATAGAGGCTTTTATAAACTTCGGCTGCTATAGACCAAAAGCCTGCCATACAGGATCAACGAGGCTGGGTGCGGTGCTAGGTCTACCTTGAAGTCACTCGTAGTCTGTCTGTCCGTGTACTATGAATGGCCAGCGGCCTGGGCGGGGTAGCAATGCTTGAGCTCGTCACAATGTCATGAGCTCAGTGGAATGCGTGGAGCTCATGAGCTCGTTCAGCTTAATATATGAAGGTAAGAAAAAGCGTGTCCAATGCTAGCTGCATATTCAAGATTGCGCTACCGTAGTTGGGTGGGACCCCCTGTAAACGTTCGCCCGGAACAACACCCCAAAAAAAGCGGCAAGACCTGGCCAGGACGAGTCGGAGAAGGGCGGAATACATAATCGCTCGAGCCCATCATACTTTCTTTTAACTGATCAAGTAATACTGCCCAGAGCTTGATTTTATTGTTTGCGCGAGGAAGGCTCTCAATGTACTATGTGTAGTATATCGGCTGGTACAGCTCTGCACTTGGTTCCGGGTTTGGGGAAGAATGGTGTGTCCCAAAGAGGAAATAGAACATCCTATTGTTATCTGGATGCAAGCCCCGCCGAAAAGAAACGCGACATGTATGTAGCACGTCGGCCCTCAGCATTATTACAGGTCCATGCCTAACCCTAGTAAACTAAAGAGGCACCTGTTGCTTGCGAGCAACGTGCCCTGCATATCTTGCATATCTTGCAAGGATGCGGAAAATCCTTGGAAAACATAGTGACAACCGTTAACAAGTCGGACATGCCCATGATTCTGCAGTCTTTGTTGAACTATGATTTTCATTTGTCTGGCCGACGAATCTAGTGTAACACTTCTTGCACAGCCCCCATGACCCCTGCCTCGCCGTCCCGCGCGACAACCTAGCTACCCACAGCCAGCCGCTCGAGCCTGGACTTCACCGCATCAACCAGGGCTGTCTCGCGCTCGAGCAACTTGGTGACCTGGTTGATCTTGGCCCTCCTGAGATCCGAGGGGATGCGAATGTCGGGGGACGCGGCAGCAGCACCGGTATCATCTGCGTCCTCGGCCGCCTTGCTGCCAAAGCTCTCAGCCTGAGGCACCAGCTCGTCCCTGAGCGACAGGGCCTCCTCGTAGCGCTTCCCAAGCTGCTTGAGGCGTGAGGACCCCTCTGCCGGGACGGCGACGCTGCTGGCCGCCGAGCCCGAGATATTAGCGTCCAGGCTCTTGACCTCGTGGATCCACGCCTTCTCCTTGTCGCTCAGCTCGCGGCTCGTCGCCTTGCTCACGGTGCGGCGCATCCTCTCCAGCCGCTGGCTGAGCGCCTCTCCCCTGTCCTTGGCCGCGCGCAGCCTCCGCTCGATGGCGGCGTTGCTGGACTCGGGCTGGCCGTCCTGGTCCTGATCCTGTCCTGTGATGGCGTCCACTCGGGCCTTGACTTCATTGGCTTTGGTGATCTGTCGCCTGAGTTCCACCTGCAGACTCTCCAGCCTCCTAAACAGTTCAGAGGCTGCGCTACCCAACCGGTGTGTCTCTCCACTCAGGAGCTGGTGGGCATCGGTGAATATTTGGAGTGTCACTGGCGACAGGCGCACCTCCTGGCCGACAATGGATTTATGCCGACTTGACCGCAGTCGTTCCAGTAGCTCCGGCAGGGCCGAGTTCTCCTCGAAGGCATGTGGTGCCTGGAAAGCCGGGCGCGGTTCGTAGAAGTCCAGAGGCTGAACGTCGACCTCCTTATCAGGGCTGGGCGAAGGAGAATAGACGGGATCGAGGTTATACTCGGGAGAGTCGAAGAAAATAGTAAAGGGTTCGTAAGGGGTGGCCGTTAATAGTAGGTAGCCCAGGTCAGGATCTCGGATGGCCACCACTGCGGGAATGGGATGTGAGCTCTCGCCCTGGACGGTGTGGAGTCTTTGCCTTGTGGAGCTTTGCCCCTTGACGAGTAGGTCGATCCTGAAGTCCAGACCGGCTTCCGAATCGCCTTGGAGCTCACTTTCTAGGCGGAAGACCCAAGGAGCCAACGAGACATAGGTGATGCTGGACGGATGGGTAACGTAGAACGCATAGCGTGAAGTGACATCGGGGCTGAACATGGGCCAAGCATCCTCTGTCATCTCCAGGTTACTCAAGGTGTCCAAGGTCTGGAACGTGAGAAGAGTAGGAACGCGTTCATCTTCCACTGAAGGCCTGATGAACCTCAACCTATTCCGAGGTGGTAACCATTGAGCCTCGACTCCAGCCAGGTCTAAGCATATGCGCAACTGACCGCTGGAAGACAGAAGGCAGATGACGTTCAACGATAGCCCTTCTTGGTCAATATCATCGATATCCAGTTCCTCATCCTCTCCCATCATAAGTTCGTCAGTGTCGAGTTTCTGCCCAATGGCAAAAATATCGGTCAGCTCCACGTCCATGTCCACCTCGGTGTCGACGCTCATATCCAGCTCAAATGGTCCTTGCAATCGTGGCACGATGCCTGGTCTTTCGGGCCTGGAGTATACTTCTGGGGTGATCTCTCCAGGAGGCCCTTTGACCTCGGCGGGCTCTTGGTTGTCTAGATCTGTCATCCAGTCTAGCTGCTGCTGAGCCAAGAGCTTTGCAGCCGGTGACACATTTGGGTCATCTTCGATAGCTGCCAGGTTCCCAACAATGGCAACCGAAAGAGACGGAATTAAAGTAGGAGGGGGGGACCATCGGCTTGGGAGCAGAGGACACAGGGCGTAGACGTCGCCTTCTCGCATGGCGACCCAGAGCGTCATGGGAGCCCAGCCGCCGGATCCGCGACCAGCAAAGCAAGCGGAAGCAACATCCATCTCAAAAGAATCGGCCGAGAAGCCTTTACGAGTGGTGTCGGCCGAGGCGGAGAAATTCTGGTCGAGGGAAGTACCGTCTGCGAGTTTAATCAAGTCAATAGTAAGCGAGGGCTGATCAAAGCTCCAGCGGTCGGTGGGTGAGAGCTCCCAAACCCTCACGACGGCATCGGTGGTGACGGTTACAAGAGCAGAGCCATTGACGCCCAGCGGGTGCCAAAGCGCAGAGGCGATGGGCGAGCGGTCGACCACATGTGTGGTAGGGCCGAGGGTCCACGACCTGGGCTTGATTACATCGTTGGTGGGCTGTGAGAGGTTTGCGAGGTCCGGCACGGCGCAGATGCGCACCGTGTGTGTCGTGAGAACAGCCAAGTAGTCTGAAAAGGGCGATATGACCAGCTGCTTGATGTCGGATCCAACGGGGACGTTCAATGTCTGGGAAGTGAGCGTGTTGGTGATGGTTGACTCCAGGTGTGGCGCGCAAGCAGGCAGATAGACTTACACGAAACCCTACATATCCATCTTCAGCGGCAGACCGTATAGCGTCCTCGTCGCCGAGACTGGCCGAGTCCTCGCGCTTGATGCGCACGCCGGAGCGGCCCCGTGTCGTCTTTTCCGCCCATCGCTCCCTCAGGTCGATGAGGTCGGCCCATCGGATCTCCTTGCCCACGGCGACGAAGACCTGGGAGCCGGAGCGGGCGATGGTGCGCGTCGGGCCCGGCTTGACCTTGGCCTTGGAGGAGAAGGGCGAGCTCTTGGGGGCATCGTTGGATGGCGCGAACAGCTTGTGGCCTGGTGCCGTCTTGTCGGCGAGCCAGGCGGCGTCGAAGCCCTTGATCTTGGGCATGGTGGGCGGGAGGATCTGGTGAGCTGGATCGAGTGGCAGGGTTCACCGAAAGTACATGTCTGTCTGTCTGCCTCGAGGGAGAACAAGAGCAGCTGTCCCGGCCTAATAAGGTGAGGTTGTTGGTAGCTTGAGGATTCCTGGCGGCCTGCTAGAGCCTGGCGAGCTGCCTCGACGTGGGAGCTGGAGCTGGTCGCTGCCGCCGCCGCTGGGCAACGCACCCGGGACTTTTTTAGGCGGGCCAGCTTCGATTGGGCAGATCCGTCCGGCGGGATCCCTGCACCCTGCACCTTGCATTTTCCAGCGCGCCAAAGTTCCAACGCGCGAAGCCTCAGCTCAGGTGCTGCTTTGTCTGGAGAGGCCCGAGCTCCATCTTGACATCGTCAGCCTCTCATATTCATTCAATCAATCAATCAATCCATCCACTCAGCATCGCCGTCCAGTCTCACACAGCCTCTCCACAACTTCGAGCTGCGTCCTCAGAGAGCCCCAATTGATTAAGCTGCCTACATCAGTCTCATAATCTGCCACAGGAAACGGCATAAAGAGACTGGCCAGAAATGCGTGGAGGATACAGAAGCACAGTCGAGAGACTGGACAGGCCCAGTGCCTACTATCAGGGCAGGGTGAGTTTCTAGCCCATCTGGGCCATCTGGGGAACCCCAAGACTCGGGCCCGCCACACGCCTTTGATGAAAACCAAAGACCAGGCTAACAGACCAGCCGCAGAACAAGCGCAGAAGGCCGGATCGCGGTCGAGAGGATCGCGATGGGGACGCAGAGATGGCCGACAAGCCCGAGGAGAAGCCCGAGGAGGACCCTCTGGCCAATGCGACCACCCTCTACGTTGGCAACCTGTAAGACCGCCCCTTTTGGTTTTCTCCTCTCGTTTCATGATCTCGTCACTCTCGGCAGATCAAGATATCTCACAAGATGTTAACACACCCCCACAGCTCATTCTACACCACCGAGGAGCAGGTCTACGACCTCTTCTCGCGGTGCGGCGAGGTCAAGCGGCTGATCATGGGGCTGGACCGGTTCCAGAAGACCCCCTGCGGCTTCTGCTTCGTCGAGTACTACACGCACCAGGACGCCCTGGACTGCCTCAAGTACATCGGCGGCACCAAGCTGGACGAGCGCATCATCCGCACCGACCTGGATCCGGGCTTCGAGGAGGGCCGCCAGTACGGCCGCGGCAAGTCGGGCGGCCAGGTCCGCGACGAGTACCGCGACGACTTTGACGAGGGCCGCGGCGGTCTCGGCCGTGCCATCCAGAGCGAGCGCATGCGCGAGGTCGACCGCCATCGCGAGGCCGACCAGCGCATGGAGGATGACTACGGCAAGACGAGATAGGTCGCTCTGAGTATGGCTATGCGAGTGGGCGAAAAGTGAATGGGAATGTATGATATTGAGATACCCTCAAAAGGTGCATCTTGGCTGGAGGCGTCCTGGCCATCATTGGATGGTATATGGTGAAAGCGTTCATGTATTAGGCACAACAGGAAGACCGAAACAGAATGTCACATGTGCACACGCTGTGTCTATCTGAGCAATTCAAGCAAATTACCGTTTGGTATCAACGCACATGAATCTGACCAGTTGTCGAGCCCCGTATCTCGTCTAGTGGGCTTGAAGCGGAGATGCCAAGCTTACACATGTGTGACATAGGCCAGCTTGATAGTAGAATCCATCTCATTTCATGTACACGAGAGCTCTTGCTTCTCCAAGCTCTAGATGTGAGTTACAAGTATTGTACAGCCAAGAACCAACGCCAAAGTCTATTGTGTCTGTTGTTTCCCGCGTCGTCCTGGATCGAGTCCGCTTCCGCCCATTGTCTATGGCAGTGTCCGTGGTTGAACGCTGACCATGAAGCGTCACAAATATGCTGCTGCTGCCACCACCAAGTTCCCCAATGCCCAATACTCCGTAATTGCCTTAGTAACCCGGGGGGTTGACTCTCTGCGATACTCTCGTCCACTTCGGAAGCTCTGGAATAGATAACGTCAGTAGAATGTTCCCCTGATGAAGCGTTTGCCCGTCCCACTGGACCCCAGATCTCATCTCGTCCGGCCCCAACGTCTGTCCGCAGTCCATCCCCATAGGAAAGCCTAGAAAGGAGAGACTCACTGTGGATGCCCTTCCGATACCTCTTCTCCTTGCGGTCGAACATGGTGTACTTGTCGCGGGGGATCATCTCGGCCTCGGTGGGCATGGTCTCCTTCCAGAGCTTGAGGCTCTTGAGCGACTCGCCGCGCTTGGCCAGCGCCGCGTCGAGGGTCGCGACCACCGAGTCGACGGCCCGGAGCCGCTGGCGCTGGCGGGCCTTCTGGAAGCGCGAGAGGCGCCAGGGGATCTTCCTGCACGCGAGGGGGGGCACAACGGTCAGTGGCTTCTGGTCGCGGTGGTGGTTCGGTGTGGGTGGTGGAAGCGATGGAGGGAACGAGGGAGACTCACCATAGCAGCCCTCCCGACATGGGGCTCGTCGCCCTGAATGCGCCGAATCCGAACATGGTGTGCGTGGATGTCCAGAGGTGTCTTCGTGTACAGCGCTCCGGGTTCGAAGGGGGCGTCTCTCAGACGTCTTCCGGCGCTGGAGCTCAAAAAGTTCACCACAGAGTCGGGCCATCCGGTGCACGAGCCACCCTGCATCCCGAGACTCCACTTTGTCCACCAGCGCTCTCTTTCCCCGGGGCGCCGCCTGGCCGCCTGGCCGCCTGTCCCCTGGGCTGTGGCCCCGCTAAAACTCCAGCTCACCTCTTCCAGCTGTCTCGGCGGGCGCCCGGCCTCATACGTCCGTCCATCGTAGCGCATCCCTGGAGACGGCCGCCCCCCCCCCCCCGTCCGCGCAACAGACGACCCGATTCACAACTCACACCCCCCCGGCGCAAGGGCCCAGAGATCAGCAAGAGGGAGACCGGAAGCCACGGCGGACTCTGCGATTCTCTAACATCCCGGAACTCGAGGCGCCAAGGGGGCGCGCGCGGGGGAAGACGATCGCGAGACGGACGGACAGAAACGGCGACGACAGCCACATACATACACACATACACACACACATACACAGACACCGCCCAGCATGTCGTACTACTTCGTCATCATCGGGACGCAGGACAACCCGCTGTTCGAGCACGAGTTCGGCACGTCCAAGCAGGGCGGCGACGGCCAGTCGCGGTTCAGCGACGAGGCCCGCCACATGAACCAGTTCATCGCCCACTCGAGCCTGGACATTGTCGAGGAGGTGCAGTGGGGGACCGGACAGATGTAAGAGACATGCACACCCTATATATCCCTTCCCTACCCAAGTGCTGTTCTTGCGAGGTGGAAGAAGCACGCAAACTCGCTTTGGCATGCCGAGACGGGACAAAGAGCGCTACTCCCAGAAACCCATTCCCGCAAGCGCTCCAAGAGTCCATATAACCATGAACCACGCACACACCTACACACCTCATCATCTGCTGACACCAAGGCCTCTCCCTCCGCAGGTATCTCAAGCACGTGGACCGGTTCTTCAACTCGTACATGTCGTGCTTCATCACGCCGAGCAACGCCAAGTTCCTGCTGCTGCACCAGCCGATCCTGCCGAACTCGGGCTCGTCGTCGTCGGGGGCGGCGGCGGGGGCGGCGGCCGTGTCGTCGTCGCGGGCCTCGACCAGCATCGCCGCCAACCCGACCAGCCCGCAGACCGAGGAGGCCGTGCGCAGCTTCTTCGTCGAGGTCTACGAGAACTGGGTCAAGGCCACCATGAGCCCCTTCTACCGCGTCAACATGGAGGTCACCAGCCCCGTCTTCCGCCAGCGCGTCGCCGCCGCCGGCCGCAAGTACTTGTAGGGCAGTCGAATGCGGGGGACCGGGAACGCAGAGAAAGGAGGAAAGGTAGAGATCTTCACGGGCACAGAGAGATCAGAGGCGTTCTTGGCGTTTTTTGGGGGGCATGTCATGCATCTGTCCTGTGTAGATACCTTTGGATTTACTACTACATGTCGAGGCAAGGAATAGAAGATCACATCACTTGCACATACAACTTGACTTAAGCCAGAGACTGAGTTACGTTATGGTTGACGATCGAAAGTGATATCACAGAAGGAAGACGCGTCAAACTGTTGTTCATAGCAGCATCGCCGTTGGGCAATGCGCAAATATATTCAGTGTCATGTAGCATGCGGGCTATCTTGTTCAGTTCCTCCATCCAGACGCGCGCCGCGCCGGATTAACTCGATACGCCATTCGCAAAGTCAAATCATACGCGTGACCCTTATTCCGAGTGTGAATTACCACCAAAACGCCGTTGTGAGAAAGTGTATCATGCCAGAAGTTCCGTAAATCAAAAGTAGAAGCCGATCCTCCACCGCCCATACCGGTACCATGGTTGGGCTGAGTGGGGAGGGATCGAGTGTGCAGTCCATGCAGCCGAGAGGGAGCCGCTTAACCACCGAAACCGTACAGGGTGCGGCCCTGGCGCTTGAGGGCGTAGACGACGTCGAGCGACGTGACGGTCTTGCGCTTGGCGTGCTCGGTGTAGGTGACGGCGTCACGGATGACACCCTCGAGGAAGGACTTCAGGACACCACGGGTCTCCTCGTAGATCACTGCAGGGAGGGAGCATGTTAGATACTGTTGTCTGTATCGGAGTATTGTGATGCGGGACCACGAGGTGAAGAGACTTACTGGCAGAGATACGCTTGACACCACCACGACGAGCGAGACGACGGATGGCGGGCTTAGTGATACCCTGGATGTTGTCACGTAGAATCTTGCGGTGACGCTTGGCACCACCCTTTCCGAGGCCCTTGCCGCCCTTGCCGCCTGTGATGAGAAGACATGTCAGTTGTCTGGAGTACAAGAAAATTGGTATGGGGAGGCGAGGATATAATCGCGATGTCGCGTTGTGGTATTGGAGTGTGGGGACCTGAGGTGAGACGCGTCACGTGGGTAGTGTGAAGCCATCACCACCGCCGAAAACCCCACCACCACTATAAACACACGCGATGCCGACCCGGCGCGATGCGAGAACGCGTCGGCAAGGTGTGCATGGATGGAAATGCATGGGATGCAACTTACGTCCAGTCATCTTGAATGTAGAGGTTGGGTGTGGATGTAGATGGAGATGGTTGATGAAAGTTGATGAAGATGCCGGATGACGCGATGGTTTTGTTGATGAAGTTGCTGGCTTGCTGTAAAGGGGAAAGGAGGGGGGAAAGGGACAAAGTCGAGGTATCGGGGAGTGCGTATTTATTTGTGACCAACGGGGCGGTTACTGATTGCGCTGGCTGATCTGGTGCCCCGGGGGTGGGCGTGCCTTGCGGTGCGGGTGTGCTGTGCTGAGACGCTAGTCCGTTTCGGGGGTGGCCATTGCCTGGCTGATTTGGGATAATAATGCGCTCTCCTGGGGTGATTTTTTAATTCGCATTTGGGCGTCTGATCTGGCCGCCGGAACGCTGCGCTTTACTCCATGTTTTTCTGCGGGTGGTTCGTTAGGCCAAGCAGCCCGAGTTAAAAAATGGCCCGTGCCCCGCGCTAGAAGCTAGGAACGCATCGATATCTGACAAGGCGCCAAGGCGCTATTGGCCGGGCGGTCCGTGCGCTCCTTTTTGTTCCAGTCCAGAGTCGAGGCTGTTACTTCCTACGTTGTTATACTACCTACATAGGTACCTAGGTATATTCGTGACTACACATGTACACAGGTACCTGGCATGCTAGCTGACCAAAGGTGCTGTCACCGAAGGCAAGAACACAATGCTCCTACCGTGATACTGCCAACACCGCTAATCCCCACGGAGATGGCAATTCGTCATGGAACACCAAGCGACCTAGCTCCTCCGGGCTACGGTGAGGACGACTACACTCCACATTTATATCACAGACTCATCATCCCCCCCAAAAGAGCGCAAACTGTTTGTGTTGGTAACTGTGGGTATCCTTTCATTACGATAATCCAGAGAGACAAGACTCTTGGCACCTCTCTCCGTATCCCAGCTTCAGGCCCAACTTCATCTATCCTGCCTAATGTACATATCCATACCCTCCTATGCGGTACGGTACGACTGCCTATACACAAAATCACTTTGGTTGCCTGAACTCGGGGCAGCCTAATCCAGCCGTTTGCTGTGCACTCCTCCTCGTGAATGTTTGTCCCTGAACGCCAATTGCCATGCCGCATCGATTTCATGCTCGACTGATAAAAATCATGCTGCCTGGTCTCATCGTCTCGTATCCCACCGGTATAACTTTTTTGCTTGTCGGGAACGACTCGCAGACTCCTCGAGTACGCCTTGACTATGCCCGAGGCCGACTCGTCTCATGCCGCTGTAAATGTTTGAATGTCAAAAAGGAGCCGCTTTCCCTGCCGAAAACAGGGATCATTGCATCATTGAATCTTCGTAACTGTCGTCGTCCTCTAGACTCTCAATTGCTTCCTTGATTTGTTGACTTGCCTACGTTGCCAGTTAGTTATTCTGGAGCCGCATCGAGGAAGAGGTGCAGGAACAAACCTTGGGGTCAAGATTCAGAGCAATCGTGAAGTGGCGCACGGCAGAGCTCTTGTCATCCAGGGTCTTGTAGAGCTTGCCCAGTAGGAAGTGTACCGTCGCCTCGTCGGGTGCAAGGTTCTTGAGGATCTCCAGTTCCTTCTGGGCAGCGTCGAGCTGGTTCAAGGCGAGGAGCGCGCGTGCCTTCTTGTACCGCGTCTGTGCCGCGTTCGGCGCCAGCTCCGTCGCTTTGGTGAAATACTGCAACGCTTGCACAGTCTGTCGCTGCTTCTCCAGCACGTTGCCGATACAGCAGATGAGGACAGCGTTGGTGGGGTTGATGACCGACGCCGAGTGGAAGTGGGTGTACGCCTTGTCATAATTGCCTAGTTTCTCGTACACCCGGCCGATGCCGTAGTATGCATTATAATGGCGTCGGTCCGCTGATATCGCCTGGCGGTACGCAGTAAGAGCCTTGTCGTACTCTTCGTTTGACACGTGCTCATGGCCTTGCAGGGTGAATGCATAGGCAAACTTGGGGTTGAGCTGCGTTGCCCGCTTGAAACACCGCAAGGCTTGCTCGTGGTCTCGGGCGAGGGACCACGCGTTGCCGAGGGCACACCATGCCTGTGGAGAGTGCCAGGATGAGTCAATAAGCTCATGCGCGAGGAATGACAGGTCCGTCTCCCTCTTCAAGAACCACAGAATGGTTGAGTAGACCTCCATATCTTCGAGCCGCGTGGGTGCCAGGATGCGCAACCTCCTATAGTACTTCTCGGCTTCCGCGTACGCTGCCTGCTCGTAGTATGACCGCCCAACGTGTGACAACACCCATGGAGTGTCCTGATGGGCTCGTGGTAGAGACCCGAAGATAGCCAAGGCATCGTGACACTGATATTGTGACAGTGAGAGATAGCCAGAGGCGAACTTCTTCAGCAAGTCGAGCAAGTACTTCAAACTCTCCTCCACCTTGATAGTATCTGGCTCGACCGCTTTGGGTATGGGCGGCTGTGGGGGCGGCTCCTTAACTCGCGGTGCTTCCGCATGATCCACGTCCATCCCATGGTCCTCGACAGGTTTCCGGTTTCCACTCACAGCTCGGCCGACACTGGCACCGGCGGCCGAATTTGGTCTCATGATCCGCGAGATTGGGGGTCTAGCCTTCTTTAGCTCTCGCGTTGCGCCCGGTCCAACGGTCGCCGCTCCGGAATTGGCCTTGGTATTGGTGCCCTTGAACATATTTATCCTTGTGCTTCTCCGCGGGGGAGCGCCCGGCTCCTCGGATTGGTGCCGTGGCTGCACAGGGTGGCCAGATACAGTCCTTTTCCTCTCTATTCCCGCCACTGCGGACGCCGATGCTCGTAACATGCTGGGGATGGGCTCAGCCAACGGCTCATCCTGCCCTTTCTCTTGGACGCGTTGGTTCCTTCGTGATCCCAGGCGGTAGCTCATCTTAGGGGGTGCCTCTAGCAGATTGGGCTCGACGGCCTGCGCGTTCCTGGTCTTCCTTGGCGCGCCCTGGGCAGGCTCCGGGTGAAACCCGGTTCGCGCAGCAGGAGGGTGATCGCTGTGCATGGAAGGCGGCGTGTCCATGCCATCCGCCGTCGGGACAACGCTGGCAGCCATCCTAGAACGCGCCGCGTTGATCTTTGACATGAAGTCATTTTCTGTAGTTGACGCGGACAGCAGGTTGTTCGCGCTCAGCACATCGTTTCCAGACATCTGGCGCTGCGTGTCAAATGGGTCCGCGGCCTCGTAGACGGTAGGTCGAAGCGAGGATTTCTTATGCAACGGCTCCAAAGGGTTCACCGGGCCGTTGTCCTTCTGTTCCGACAGTATGCCGTTCGGTAACTCCGAGTCCAGGCCACCCAACAAGGACTCGTTCAGCTTGAAGATATTCGACGCTCTAACATTGACGCCCATATCGGACAGGGCAGTAAAGGCATCCCACATGAAAGGGTTGATCTTTAGAGACTCTTCAAAACACAGAATCGCCTTCTTCTTGTCGTCATACGCCCGGTACAGTCTGGCGAGGAGACAGGCGACGCTGGCAGCATCCGGGTTGGGCGAGCGAGTAGATCCGTTGTGCCTGCCAAAGCTGAATTTGTTGGTCCACAGGCCTCTCGACTTCTCTAGGGCGGTGATTCCATCCTTGTAGCGTTCCAAGGCCAGGCAGGTCTGCGCAAATATATAGGCACAGCCGAGATGCACCCCTCGATACCCGGCGGCCTTGCTCACCTCGTACGCCGACCGGTAGTCTCCCAGTCGGAAGTGGCTAAAGGCGAGGAGATAGGCGGACTCGCTCGAACGGGGATCGTGCGCGGCGAGCCTCTCAGCAAAGAAGAGCGCGTTGTCGTAGGATATGTTGTCGAGGTGGTAGTAGACAAGCTGCCTCAGCTGGCCAGTAACGGCAGCGCTTGTCGGGGCCATGCTGGCAGTCAGCCTCCCAAGGATCGCAGTGCGTGCAAGCGGCAGCTATATGGATATGGCCATGAGGTGCCAGTGGAAACTGTCGGTGTAGGAGGTGCTAATCGTGGCCCGCAATATAGGTTTGGATGCAGGCAGTCTTTGCGGCCCTCAGGTGCGGCCGACTGATCGTAGTAAATGGAGGGCGGGCTGGGCTCACGGAGAATGGCCAAGGGGCAGTCTGTTGTTGGAATTACGATGCTCGAAGAATGATGAACTGATTTTTCGGGAACCAAAGTAAAGGCTTCAAGCGGTAGCCCTGCAGGGTGGCAGAGGCCCGGTGCAGTGGAGAGAAGAGAAGGCTGGCGCAGCGTCCGGGTCGTGGCTGCGTTGAACGGGCATTTGACTGGGCGTGGGCGTGGGCGTGAAAGGAAATGGAAAGGTTGGGATCGATACGACGCTCCTCTCAACACATGGCGTGCTCGCGGATGGCAAAGGCACAGGCAGACGGGCCACGCCAGCGGTGATCCTGTCGGGGGAGGAATGCAGTCTTTGGAATCCCTCGGAGAGACGGTCTGTCGGGGCGGCACACAAAGACCAGGCCACGAGAACTTGTGAGGCTCGACGAAGTTCACACAAGGTGGGATGTGACAGGCGTTTCCTGGTTGTCGTCCGAGCTTCGCGATGTTGTGGTTGTAGGCTGAGCGGGCGCTGTGATTGGTCAGGCGGTTTCGTTCAGGCCAGCCGACCAGGGCCGCTACGCCTGGCGGAGCAACAGCAGCGCCTAGCCTCCAACCGTCACTGGATAGCCACTGGATAGCCCCCTGGTAGCCCCGATAGCCACTCGGGCCCCGGGTCCAGCCACCACTTGGACCTCGTGCTCGATCCTCAGCCTCATCCATACCTCTCTACTGTACCTTAGTCAACCTGTGTACGGCGCAGCAACCTGCTTCCAGTGGCGCACATTGTGATACCTACTCAACTGTGGCATCTCACACCTCTGTTGACACAAGGAAAACCCCGCAACCAACTGCCTTACGTTCTGCTTCTGGAACTCCCCTCGTCACCTGCCGCAGCCCAAGGATATCTGCACGCTCACCTCGCGCACCAATCTCATTATGGCTCAGAAGGCAAGAAAGGACAGGGCCAAGTCCAACGCCGAGGCGCTGAAGAACCTGCATCTCGGGACCCTGATCGTCAACTCGCTATTTGTGCTTCTCAACCTGCTCTTCCGGAGGCGGTCTCTGCTGCTCTACGTTGTGCTCTCGATCCCGGCTTTTGTCTGCGAGTACATCCTGGAGTCAACCGGCCGCCCCAAGTATGACGGCCACACCCTCAAGACTGCCGGCGAGGACCTGAGCGCCCCTGGTCTGACCGAGTACATGTGGGATATCGTCTGGGTCACCTGGGCATGCGTGCTCGCCGTCGGCTTCTTCGGCAACTGGGGCTGGTTTCTCTGGGCCGTTGTCCCCGTCTTTGCTGTCATCAAGGGCTGGGGGCTTCTGAGTGCGGCGCGAGGCATGGCGGGCGGCATGCCGCAGCAGGAAGACGCACCTCAGCCGCAAGCCGGAAACCGCAAGCAGCGCCGGGCTGCCTGATTCTAGTTGTGCATCTCACGACTCTTTGCATGTGCTTGGCGACACGGTCCCTCAAGGGAATCAGTCAATCTATAATTTCTGGAGGTCTAGGCTGGCAACAACGGGCTGTCTAATATTGAGTCGAATTCATCCCCTTCTATGGCAAGCGGTGGCAATCCAGTTCCTGTGCCCATTCGGCCAGAAGCTCGGGGCTGGCGTTGCGGACCATGACGTGGATGTGCTCCAGGGCGCGGACGCTTTGAAGTGCGACCCAGTTCTTGAACCACAAGACTCGATCCTCCCCGTCCGGGTCGAGCCTGTCAATAAAGAATCGCTTCACAAAATCCTCAATTGTCTGTCGACTCCTGGGTGTCATGTCACCCGTCACCGGATCCGTCTCAATGCTGGTTCTTGACCAGACCACAATGTGTGATATGTCAGGTGTGAGACCGTACGGCCAGTCATTCACCAGTACGCGGTAGTCAGAAGGGTCATTAAATGGCGTACTCGAGCGTGGCGTGAAAGGAGGGACGCCCCAGGCCTTTGGGAGGCGATGGACGAGCAGATACTGGGTCATAGATCCGTACTCGGCTTTCGTCTCCGCCGTCCATTTCATGTATTTGCGGAGGTCTGATGGTTTACGCTTCAACACGGAAAGGTTGTTCTCCCCTACGATGCTTCAGCCATAGTCACAATGTCAAAAATGGAGATGTTCGCCAGGCAACACTGACAGGTCCACTGACCTATAATTTGACGTAACTCATTCCAGTCGTGATACTTGTACTCCTCATCCGTCTGTGAGAGAACCCACTTGTCCACATCGGTGAGAGGGAACGGGGCCTCGGCCTCGGGTGGAAGGTCGCCCATGTTGGGAATGGCGACTTGGAGTCAACTCGAGAGGCGCCCTTAGGCGAAATGCCGAATTCCAGAATGCCGAGCAGACAAACAGGCGCCACGTCAACTGCAAGGTGCACCTTGGACTGCGAGCGGGAGCCGTTCGGGGAATAACTCCAGGTCGCGGGACAAAACAGCCCACCATCGGGGTTCCTGGGTACGCCGCACCGGCCCCCTGGTCACCTGATTCGGGGCACGGCGCGTGTAAGTGAGATGGCCTTCTTCTACATGCGCTTACTCGAAATGGGAGACTCGTTCTCGCAGCATTCCTATAACCAGATCCATAAAGCCCGAACTATATGGCCTTTTGTGTCACTTCACGCTCCCTTCTAAAAATACACATATCAATGCTTTGAAAGGCCACGCTGGGTAACACAACCCTTGGTGACGCTGGCCCCTGGAAAGCTAAACTCTGTTTCGACATGCTAGCCACGCACGGTAGATTCCAGTTGGCAGGGATGGGGGTCTGCCGCACCGCACTGGACTGGATTGCGGGGGTTCGGGCGCTTTCCAAGGGCTTCCCGTCAGGTTCCGACTCCCACCGTCCTGCCAAGAGTGGGAGCTCTCAACAGTTCGGGCTCGAGTGGGCTGATCAGTATGAAATATTTCCCGTCCCCTTCTTTTTGCGCCCATCTCTCCCCCCGAGCTAGCGGAGCACTTCACCAACTCGCTGCGCCGTTGCGACCTGCGATTCTTGCCCGACTCAGTTCTTGATCGGGTTGCATCCTGCCACTACCTCCCTGTTTTCAGCTGGACTCTTTCTGTCAATTGACGCCTGGGCGAGCTTTGCAACATGACTTCTCCCGCCGCCTCGCTGACCTCGAGTCAGAACATCAACGGGATCATCATTCCCGTTGGTCTCTTGATTTTCGGCACCGTGATCGTGAAGAAGGAATGGGCCCCCTTTGCGGCTATTCTGGGACTTGTCCTCGGTGCATTCAGATACTTTACAGGACGTGAGTGTGCTTCTTGGGTCCCCTGCAAGACTACATCGATCTGACAGTGCGCGCCGATAGTTCCCAAGAAGTTCCTTAAGCCGGATGTGTTCCAAGACCTCGAACTCAAGGAGAAGACGATACTGTCGCACAACACGGCCATGTGAGCATTGCATTGACTGATTTCCATTAAGTCTTTCCTAACATCTGCAGTTACCGCTTCAACCTCCCCACCCCGACCTCGATTCTCGGTCTCCCCATCGGCCAACACATCTCCATTGGTGCCGCCTGCCCCCAGCCCGATGGCAGCACCAAGGAGATTGTGCGATCTTACACTCCCATCTCTGGCGACCACCAGCCTGGCTACATTGATCTGCTGATCAAGTCGTACCCTACCGGAAACATCTCCAAGCACATGGCTTCCTTGACCGTGGGTCAGACAATCAAGGTCAAGGGCCCCAAGGGTGCCTTCGTCTACACTCCCAACATGGTACGACACTTTGGCATGGTGGCCGGCGGTACTGGCATTACACCCATGCTCCAGATCATCCGGGCTGTGATCCGAGGACGACCCACCGGCGACAAGACCCAGATCGACCTCATCTTTGCCAACGTCTCCCCTCAGGATATCCTCTTGAAGGAGGACCTTGACGCTCTTGCCGCAGAGGACAGCGGCTTCAGGGTCCACTACGTGCTCGACAAGCCCCCGGAGGGATGGACCGGCGGCGTTGGATACGTCACCGCCGACATGGTTACCGTATGCTCTCTTTGTTTCTCCTGTGAAGGACCTAGCTAACACGAGGTTTCCAGAAATTGCTGCCCAAGCCCGCGGATGATGTGAAGCTTCTGATGTGCGGTCCCCCGCCCATGGTTAGCGGCCTGAAGAAGGCCGCTGAGAGCCTGGGCTTCAAGAAGGCTCGGCCAGTGAGCAAGCTGGAAGACCAGGTCTTTGCTTTCTAGACGCATTATCGGAGTCTGACCGACCTTTGACGTGGGACCGATTCACGACGATGCAAGGAGGTTGCCTTGAGACTTATGGTTCCGATGCATGTATACGAACTTGGGATTCAGTGCAGCCGGATAGTCCAGGGCTTCCTCATGCCACTGCCGTAGCAGATACCCGTGAATGATATACGCCGGGGACAACTGCAGGTCTGCGTGGACAGAGCGTTCTAGGGCATAATACAAGTGAACTTGGTGTCTGTTGGGTGGTACTTGGGTACCAGATCCATTGGAGTCTGCGTCACTGCTATATAAGAGGGGAAATTTTGATAGCTACACCAGATAAGCCAAGCTTAAAAACAGTACCAAACTCATAAACTTGGTTCGGCCGACGACTGCCACATATGTGCCTCTGCCCATGCTGTGTTCTAACCGACGCTCCAGTTATCTATGGATTTTACTATGTATCGAAAACGGAAACAAATGAAAACCATACTTGCTGTCTCCCGATGACAACTACGAACACTTGTGCTTGTATATATTCTTCTGAAATATAATCAATTGGTGATGATTCTCATCCAAAACCCCGATCCGCAAATGACGTTATCGGTCTTTTAGATTTCTTGTCATGATATGATGTCCGAAGTTGAGACGAGTGAACCAGGTACAGGAGACACCAGGCAGGCACAGAGATCTTGATAGCCATATTGGTGAAGCTACAGATTTATCTCCAACCTATGAATCCGGACCATCGGAAGTTGCCGACTTCGGACATGTCGCAGCGCGATAAGGCTCAACAACTCAAGGATTCGACCTGTGCCCACCCATGTAGCATCGTGTTGATTTTTCCCTTCTCCCAGCCGTCAAGCAGGTCGTTAGAGGGATCCTGGGATGGAATCGTATGGATATCAGTGGGACATTGCGCATTCGAAGGTGTCACATAGCTATAGGGCAATACACAGCAACCCGCGGTGGATGTCATACGCAGATCACGTCTGCTCATATGCCCGCGCTAGGAGCCCCATTGAGTTGAGGCTAGGAGCCGACACGAACGCATATGTCAAGCTGTCTGGCCGTCTGCTTGGGGGTGGGGACCGGTTCGGGCCCAGACACAGGCCGGATTTTCAAGGCTAAGACTGTCAATTGCACTGCTATCTGGAGTCTTTTTTTTGATACAGCTGCGTTGGACAGATCACTACGGCGGATACGGGGTCTTTCTTCGGTGACGAAACTCAAGTTTTCCCCCAAGAGCTCCCATGAAGCTCGCAGATTGATCGCAAGCTGCCAATTGGTTCTCCCCAAGCAGGCCAGGAAAGGAAGTTGGGGTAGCTCTCCCTGCTCTTGAGTTGTCTTGGCACATACATACGGGAGACAGCTGCTAAGACAGACACACGCACACACGCACACAACCTGGGAAGACCCAAACCCCGTCCCCCACGAGCAGATCGATCATTTCCATGGTTGTCTATCTGCCAACCCTGCCCACCCTGCCCTACTGAACCTCCCGGCCGGCAGCCGAACAGCCTCATCCAAGCACATCATTTCCAGCACCGCGATTCTAGGCCCTGCCCAGACCCAGGCCGTCGGAGCTTCAAGCTTGTCATTATCGGGAAGCAGGACGACCATTTTGGCCCTCACTCGCTCCGACTTGTTCTCGGGACTACCACCTATCTCTACCGCCGGCCTAGTTTTAGCTATCTGGACAGGCGGCTTGTTTTTTTTTTTTCTCTTTCTTTGCATCAACCCTCCGTCCCACAGAAGGGCAACGCCTTCACCTTCACCACGTCCCAGACCAAAATCAGCCATCAGCCATCAGCCAAACGCCTCGTGATCACGCGCGCCCACGCACGTACACACACGGCATCCCCGCTCCGATCGCGCAGATAGCCCATTGACACCCGCGCACAACCTGCACAAGGATGCACGGGGTCCTTTGTCCATTGGGCGCTGTTTTCGACTCTGTAGGATAATCGAGTCGGCCTTGTTGGTTACTGCTGCGCGACTTGCACCGGGTGCGTGAACAAGGGGGCAATGGCGATGCACGACGCCGCCAGCCTCGTCTCGGAGCTGCTGCAGAAGCTCTCGGAGCTCGAGCACAAGGTCGAGCTTCATCGCCAAGACATGGCCACCGAGTTCCGCAGGTACTCGCACGAGCTGCTGCGCAATGTCTCTGACGATGTTTCGGCCAAAGTCGAGAAGGCCATTACCGACTCCATGCGCAACTACCCTGCTCTCACCCCGGCGCTGGATCAGGCCAACCCTATCAGGCATGAGTCACCGTCACCGTCACCGCCACCGCTCGGTCACACTCACGGCCACGGACATGGCAACGACGGCAAGAAGCAGGAGATCGGCGGCAACAACGTCGACACTGCCTCAGGCCGCGCCGGCAGACAATTGCAAGGCACGCGCTCACCGCCGCCCCTGCTGCCTTACAACTCGGACACCCCGCCCGACGACAGTCCCCGGAGCCCACACGCGCGCGAGAGAGAGTTCCAGGGTTTGTTCACACCGAGTTACCTGCCCTTGCTTGATGGCCGGGACGTCAACCTGTCGCCTTTGCCCACAGCATTGCCTTTGCGTCAAGTCGAAAGCGGAGAGCTAACTAGAGACTCGACCAAAGCTGAGGCTGAACAGCCAGCCTCGCCGCCGCCGCCGCCTGTGGCCAACCTGCGACCGGATCCCATCAGGCGACCTACCGAAGATACACTGTCCTCCGTCACCTCGGATGATAGCACAGTCACAAAGAACCGACGAAGTGCTCTGCGTCGTTCCTCCAGCTCTTCCACCAAGACACAGAGCCCTCGCCGCGTGCGCTTTGAAGTCGAGGGAGGGGAGGTGCTGCCTACCGCGTCGCCTCCAACTTCACCCAGACTATCCGATCACCCCTTGTCTCCACTTGCCAATCCCACCAACCTCATGGATTCGGTCCCTGATTCTGCGCCAGCTGAGGGTGAAAGGGACAACATGGACTTGCTCGGCACTTCGCCGCCATTGCCCAAGAAGGTTACGTCTACTGATCGGCTGAAGGCGTTGGCGCGAAGTTCTAATGAGGACACTTCGAAATGGACCATGGTTGGTGATCTGCAGAACATGGATGAGGACGAGGAAGCGCTGATCATGGGCGGTCGCGCAAAATCTGGACCCGCACTGCAGCCAGCTCCAAACTTTACTTCGGCACCGGTTCCCATTCGCAATGGACAACACACTGAGGTGATTAAGGGCAAGGACGAGCCCATCGACATGGGCGAGGTTGAGGATGAGGATGAGGACGAGGATGAGGATCTCCTTGAGATGCCTGCACTCAGTTCATTCAAGGGCAAAAAGCAATTCTCTCCGCCTAAGCCGACCATCACTGTGCATGATACGTCAAAACCGGCAGAGACTGCCCCCACCGCTGGGAGCCCAGGTCAGAAATCACCCCCTGAAGTTAGCTCTGAACGTGTCGACACATCGCATCATGGCATAGAGGAGGATGAGGACTTTTTCGAGTATGAGTTCGATGAGGACGGAGAAGGCGGCCCCTCGATGACCAAGGCACTGGATGACAAGTTGAAAGCGCTTCCAAAATACCTCCAAGAGACTGAGGATGACGGGTCCGACGATGAATCCACGGCAACGACGCCAAAGGCCCAAAACTCGCAGTCGACTCTTACGAACTTGTATTCAGCCTCTCCTGGGATCGCAATCACCCGGCCCGCGCCCCCACAAGCTCCAGCGCCGCCGCGTGCTACGAATGCTGCGGTGGGCTCTTACAATGGACGCCCTTTCACTATGTCCAGCGTCAAAGACCACTCTATACTCGAGAGGGCTGCGAAAATGGGAGACGTGTATTCTTTTGTTGGCAGTGTCGACGGCCGCAGCGGCGTCGACGAATCAACCAGCTATCGTCCGGATGCTAGACTCTTTGATGGAACTCCCAAGAGCCTTAGCGAGCGGATGATGATGGAGGATTTGGCCGAGGCGAGGAACCAATCACCGAAAGATAATGTCAGCAAGTAAATGATTTCAAGCGAGGATGTCTTTAATTGCCAGGCTCTCCCCGGGCAGTGTACACAGCTCGGAGGGAGACGGATTTGTTGGGAGGGAGGGAAAAACACATTGCATTGGTCACGGCGTTGAGAGGACACGGTAGCATTGGCCTCTGAGCAAAGGCAGGACCCGGCATTTTGGCAATCTATGATAATGTCTACTACGTTTCTCGCTGTAGTTGCACGTACAGATCTGAAGGCCTTGACATGTGTGTGCAGGAACAGGATCACTGGTCACACATAATCATCCGCGAGGGACAAATAATACCGGATTGCATTTTTGCTATCTTGTCTTGAAACCGAGCTGGTGAGAAAATCTATGTTATACGTATTGCATCCATCGACTCCGCGGCGCACCGCGTTCTCTGTTTGCCAGTACCGTTCTTGTTGCGGCCCCGCGTCGCCCGTCTTCAAAACGTCTCTTCTCAGGTGTGTGCAAAGTATAGCAGTCCCCCGGGAGCTAGCAGGCAGACGTGTCAGCGCCGGCATGAGGTGCGCATCCTCGCCCTTCCCGGAGCACTTGCCCTGGCCGCGTGGCGTGGGGATGCCATGAGTTTAAATATATTAACCAGCGCACATTCACGGATCCCGCTGTCCCGGGTCATCTAATTAACTTGTCCCAAAGGCAACATATGACGGGATACGGTGAGCGAGCACGCGGGCAGGCCAGCTGGGGGTCATTTTGGCCCCGGAGGCGGCATTCGCTTCGGGACGGGGCTCCGGTGGGGCCCCGGGGGGTTTTCCAAGTGAGGTCGTCCGACATGCCATGCCGATATACACAACCGTCTGCTCGCTCTCCCGCGAACTCTTTTTTCCTTTGTGACATGTCAGCAGCATGGGTTCCGCACACTGCATGGCCGGGCCCTGCCCCTGCCGGCAAGGGAAGGCATGGACTCGAGACGCGGCCGTCGGGCCGTGGCCGGGCATCATACGACATCGTAAGAGCAACAGCCAGGATCGCGACGGCCGGCAAAGTCGGACGGGTAGTGTGCAGAAATTGCCACTTTTGAAGCTTATTTTTATCCTTCCTCTCTTCCAAGAAAACCCCATGAAGCACGTTCCTGGTTCACATATACACACGCAATCTTGATGTGCAGATAATCACAAGCTTTTCGAGCGGCGTGGAAGGAACCCCTTTGTTATATTCCGAGTGGCTATGCGGGCAGGGCCGCGATGCTCTAGCGGGAGGGAGTTGAGCGCCCTGAGTAAGACACTCGGGTCTCAACTATACAAACCAAGGCCTACGCCCACAACTCTCTCGGCATCGCAGCCTAGACAGCGTCTTCCCATGTCCAGTCAAGCCAGTCCACTGGGATTCCGCGAAAACGCCACTGATTTTGACGCCTATCCGTATTTTCTCCGAACAGGCAAACACGCTAAGTTAAGATTTTCCCTGACATCTCGAGCCCAGAGCTTCCGGCCCTATACACCTTATGATCCTATATCCCGGGCGCGCCATGCTATGCTCCAAATTTCTCCCATATACACTCAAAAGGGACAGTATAAGTACGTATGTAAACAAAATATCCACGCAAGAGGTGACTCTTGAGCACCTAGTGGTGATCGTGTCCCTGCGAAATGAACGCTAATGTCTAGCGAATGTCCGGGTTGAACGCCTTGCTCGTGGTTGTGCCCTCATGGAAAGGGGGAAACAGACTGATGGCGCATGAAGTCGCCTGCCCAATCGCCTTTCTTCCAGGCCCTCTTATCGATGAGAACCTCGGCGCAGGCCCAGGCCGCCTGGGGTTGGCGTCCCCATGCCTCCAGGGCTGAACACACCGAAGCCGTCAACAGCGCTCATGCTGCCAGCGTTGAGCTCTTGTCCAAGCTCCGGGGCCTCCAGATTGAATGGCATAAACCAAGCACTCGAGGGCTCGGACCCGAACCCCGCGGGTAGCCCGTCCGCTGGGGTGTCCCGCGCAGGAGCACCCGTATTACCACCTCGATTGGCACCAGCCAACGCATCCCAGTCTATCATACCCTCTGGTCCACTGATGGTGGTCGGATCTATGCCGCCATATGCGTTGAATACTAACTGGCGGTCAAGCTGCGGGAGCATTCCCGCGTTGTTCGTGAGCCCGAGGGCGACGAGGTCGGGGTTGTTGTAGAAACCCGGGTGCCCGGCACCTTGGGCCCCATGGGCATGGTGGCCAGCGCCAAACTGGTGGCCGAGACCATGAGTGACGGGGCTAATCGGCGACAACGCGTGGTAGGCTGCGTTTGCGGAAGCGGCTCCTGCATTCAGTTGTGAGTTGCGCATGTTACGCGAGATGTGAGGGTGCAGAGAGGTCGGCCCACTTGTTTGTCCGCCTAAGCGGGATGCGTATTGCTGGCGCTGGGCCTGAATACGCTGCTGGATATGCTCCGGTAAAGACGACGGGAGATCGGTCAAGAGAGGCTCGAGATGTTGTGTTCCGCCAGTACGAGAGGGCACACTGCCCTTCTTGCTAGGCCCGGCGAAAGACTTACGTTTGGCTGCTGTTGCTCGATTCGGCCCCCCAGCAGCATCGCGGCCTTCAGAGCTCTGTGGTGGCGACAGACTATTGAAGAACTCCTCAACAGTATAGGTTTCTGGCTTCTGCTCGAGCACGGCATCACCGCCAGTTTCCTTCTTCTTGGCAGATGCCGGGTCGAGGAAATCAGACTGTGAGACGCCGTGCGGGTAGCGATCAAACCAATCGCCATATTGGAATATGGGGGAGACGCTCGCGGTGTCTGCCGCCAGCGACCCTCTTTGTGCGGCGTCTGCACAGGTCCGGTACTGGTCCCTTAAATTTTCCGACATGAAATGGAACATCCCCCAGTGTCGTTTCATTTTCTGGAGAAACTTGACATTTGTTGCCAGATTTCTCTTTGACGATTGTTCTACGGCCGCATTGCCCGAGAAAATCCCAAAGATGTGAACGGTGCCGGAGAGAAAGGCGCAGTAACCCACAAATGGCGCAGCTATGAGGTATGAGTCTGCGTCTCTCAGGAGGTCCGAAATCCTGTTTGCAGCAGCAAACGCCTTGGCACCAGCTTTTGTCACAAAAGCACTGGGGACATCGGTTTGGGACAGGCCGGCCGGAGACGAGACTGCGAAGCGGTTCATGAACAGGATGTTCTGCTGGATCGAAATGTGCAAGAAGAGAAACTGGTTGGCCATTCCTTCCGTATCATGTAAGTGTAAGTTTTCCGATGTGTATTTCAGCCCAGCTGGGAGCCCTCCTGCAAAGTCCTCGGCCTGCTGCAGTAAAGTCGTGTATTCCGAGCTAGTATCCCACATGGCATGACGGTCAGCGTCCTTCCCGCCCTGGTTCAAGAAGTTGATGATCTTGCCCCATAATGCAATCGATTTGATCATGTAAGCCGCGACTCCCATGTTATCCTTGGCACTCGACAATTGTCCTTCGTCCTCGGGTACGGGGTGCGGCACTTTGCCATCGAGATCCTCGGTAGGACCCGGCATGTCAAGCTGAAATAACTTTTCCTTGATGGGGAGTTGAATTCTGATGGTCTCCTCTTTGATAAACATCGGACGATCCGTTCCGGAGGAATTAAATCGATCCATCAAAAAGCACGCCCACATGGTCCTCCGTCGGATCTCCCGGTCAATGAAGCTGAGGCGGGTATCCGGGCTCGGTCTCGTCGGATCGTATTCCAGGTCTTTGTGCAACTGTAGGGCAAATGCCATTCTGATGGCCTGGCCGCCCAACGACCAGCTCCTCCCTCCGTGACATGTGCCAAATTCGTGAAGCCCAAGGATAAGCAGACAGGTTAAGATGGTGATGTTTGGCCATTCGTACCGCCTTGTGACAATATCGCGTGCGTGTGCCGCCCATTCTTCGCCGCGCAGAAAATGAGGTTTGTTGGTGAAAATAGGATGGCTCGAGAAACGCGCAGAGACCGCGCAGACAGAAAGCACCAGGACAGGTGGCAAGGCATCGGCTCTGTAGTATGTCAGCAATCTTACCATATCCCTTTAGCTACTTCGCAAGAGAACATACTTCAGCTTCCTCATGTAACTTGGCTTGTGCAAGAGGTGGTAAGCTTGGCCATATATGTTTTCGAAAAACACGTCCGCCAAGTGCGTCTGGATTTCCATGGAAGGGAGCGCTTCCCGTCCCTCATTTAGCAGTTTGCCGTCTTCCCGTTCCTGAACTTGCAACGATGCTGGTTTATTAGAATCCTCCGGTTTCGCCTTCTGCGGGTGCCTCGCCCAACTGTCCAAATCTGCACCGAAGGCCTCATCGGCCGCACGTTTCTTTGCGCCCTGCTTCGCGGTCGGGGCTGAGCTGGGAATCTGGGGTTTGACCTGCGCCCGGACAACGTTTGCCGCCGCCGGGTCCTGCTCTGACTTGGGAACGATCTTGATAATACGATCCTCCATTCTCTTCAGCCGCTTATCTAGCATGGCCATGTAATCCGTGCGTGGGGCAGCTTTGCGTGTGGTGACCTTGTATACACAGGGGATGCGGGATCGCATGCAGTGCTTGCATGACGGCTTCTCTCCGGAGCAGCGTATTTTCTTGCGTCGACACACGATACAAGCCAGAGGCAAACGTTTTCGTTCCTTTCCTGCCTTCGTCTTCAGGTCACTCCAAGCCGGTATTGTGTCGGCCTTTGACTCTCTGAGTTGGGCGCCATGGTCAGCGCCTTCGCCTCGGGGAGCATTTGACAGCCCAAACTCGTCAGACATGTTGTCCTCGAGAGAATTAGCGCCTTGCTGGTTGCTGTCTGGAGAACCATCATCAGACCCGTCGTGAGTTTGCGACTTTGCAGTCTGGTCATTCATTGCGTAGTTGGGACCAGATGCTATAGAGTCTTTCCGGTCACCAAGCGATGAGATTGAACCTCCACCTGAGTTGGCAAACAAGTCGGCGCCGTGATCCTCCAGCCCCGTCATCTGGGGCCCCTCTGCCAGGTCCTGGTACGTGAAAGTGAAATCGGGAAACTCGGGGGCTTCCATCAGGCTGTGCGGCGCCCCAGAGCTGGGGAGACCGTCCTGCATGGCGCCGATAGTGAAGCCGTTCAAGTCGGTGGATCCGGGATGAGCTACAGGAGGTTCCGAGTCGACATGGTGACGGGAACCCGCAGGCGGCACAACCGGAAATGACTGCAGGTTAATTTGGATTTGATCGGGTGGCATCGCTGACCACAACTCGAGATGTATGAGAGAGCAAGTGAATCAAGAACCGGTAGACTAAGCGCGGGAGGCAGGCACGGGAGTGCGTCGTTGATTGTCTCGGCTGGGTCGTCGGATACTATTGCGCAGCCGGACCCTGCACGGCCGTATACTGGAGCAACAACTTCGGCCTTCCAGAAACAGATGCCAGAAGCGCTAGCGCCGTGAGCTCGTATCTATCGGGCATGGAAAGCGTCTTGGGGACCTGTACGAAATGCTACGGGAGAGGGCGGTGATGGAGAGATTCGTGATCGAGGAGTGGGAGAGGTCTGAGATGCGCTTGGGACTGAAGGTTGGTGGTAGTGCAACCGGGGTCTGCCGCGGCTCGTCAGACGGCGTCTCCTGGCCCTGCACAGAGAGGCAAGGGCACGAAGCGTGGTCGGCGAGCGAATTGTGGGGAAGACGAAGGGGAAGAAAAGCAGCCCGTGGTGTCGGCACTCAGCAGATCTCCCCGTGATACCATTCGTCTGCCCTCCGGCCGCGACTGGAAGGTTGGCTGCCGAACCAATGCCAGATCTCTAGATGTCTCGGAAGCCGCTGAAGGACAGGGACCAGGCAAGACACGAACACCGGAGACAGCTGGACAGCTGGCTTGGGGAGGCGCGCAACAGACAGGTGGATGGTGTGGTCCGAGAGAGAAGAGTATGGGCTTCGTGCGGAGTGCTGGGTCGTCCCCGGGGGATTTCTAGGCGCCCGGGTGAGGTTGGGAGTGTGTCGAGGAGTCGAGCCGTCTTGCTCGCGATGCGATGCCACAGGATACAGCGTGTGCGACCCTCCTCACTCGACTCTACGTATGTATGTGTATGTATTTGTATGCACGTGTGTGTCGAGGATCAGTCGGGGGTGAGCTTGATGTATTCACAGGACAGTGAAGACAAGATGAGCGTTCGACCTCGTTCTTGTTTCCCACACGGACGGCGCAAGCCCAAGAGCATCCAGAATCCAGATTCGCTCTCTCTCCCCCCTCGATCCAATCCCAGTGCGGACCAAAGCGGACCCGACTGGGGTCCTGGTCTGCTAGCAGCCGGGGATCTGCTGTATGAGTGGGTCACGCTGACCCTTGACCAGCCAGAGCGCCGCCGATGGGTTCAAGGGTTGAATGGGCTTGGCCGCCCGGCCTCCACTACGGTGCACTGGATTGCAGCTACTACATTCAGTACTATGGTACAGCGTACAGGCGAGACAGCAGCACGGCCGGGGGGGACATAGAGATTGGGAATTCGATGCTGCAGCTTCTGCAGGGCCCTGGTTCCCAAAGGAGGAGGGTGACCCTTGTGGCCATTCAGACTGTCCGAGATTGCCCCGCCTCATCTATAGGTACAAGCCGTTCGTATACTCTCGAGCGCACCTAGCTTAGGTACCTAACTAAGTCGCTAGCTACAGTACCTTGGTCGACCACGTTAACTATCTGGGGGGCCCGAACCCGCCAAGCTGCCAAGCCATGATTTGAATTGACTCTATCCGTCCAGATGATCTCTCCCACTTCCCGACTCACAAGAGCGCATACCATGAGGTAGACGTCTCTGCTTCTGATCGCTCGGCGCCAGACGCTTCCATCGAGCGAGCCCTGCTGACTGCATACTGACAGGCGCCCATAAAGTTACGTGCATATCGAGTGAGGTCCATAACCGCGATTCGCACTCTCACCGCGCGTTACCTGTCTCCTGTAGCGTTGTTAATGCTACACATTCGCCAGGCCGGGTCCCATGTCACTTCCTGTATGTAAGCCATGCGTTCCGCGGCCGATGCATACAATGCATGCGACACCTCGTAGCACAGCACAGCGCAGCACGGCGTTGGTGGTGGTAATGACTCGTGCCTCCGATCCTGACAACCTGGCAAGCCTGACACTCTCTCCGGGCTCTCTCAACGCACCTGACAGGTGGTGGTGGGAGGAAAAGCTAGTGCCATTAAGCCCCCAAGCTCACGTTGTGATCTGCGTCAGATCATCACCACCCAAGCCACTCTAGTTGCTTCGAGAAAGGTTCCATTTCTGAACGGCGTGGCTAGTGTGGGGGGTGGTCGCGTTGCAGGCAGTGTACAATGTACGAGGTGCTGGGCGAGGACAGTGCCTCTTGGCCGTCTAAAGTGACAGTGACTCCCCTTAATGCTTTGCTCGAGATATGTGTATCCGCGTCGGTCGGTGACTAAAGACGGCCTCCAGTGTCTATGATGACAGTTTCGACAGACAGCGGCCTCCAAAGCTGCAGTGTGTCCTTGAGTCCAAAATAAAAATCCAGTCCGGTGGAGCTGCCTTGATAGCCCCGGTGGAGCCAGCAAGTCCGGGGCACCAGAAATGGTGGACTGCGCTGCGCGGTGCGCTTATTATGCGCTGTGGTGTACATAGTATGGCAGCTCTCCGTCACATTCTGTACCTTGCCCCCTCATCGTCCGAACCTCATTGTTGAACAACTCGAGTGTCAGGACAGACGGATCTTGTGCACCGCCATCCGCGGTCCAACCCTGGTGCTGGTCCATGTTGGACCTTGACGCCACTGCGCTGACGCAGCGGTCATGGCATACGTACCTTTCTGCAGCGGAAGCAAAGGAAACGGCGACGGGAAACTCTATTATTAAGAAAACAAATGATATGCCCTGGGAAATACATTTGTTACGAGCACCCCTTGAATCCGTCATGGCGCCTGGTGGGTAGTACAAGCAGTGGTAACTCGTAGGCAAGGAGGAGAGCACTATGCAGACTGACAGACTGGTACTCTGGTAGGGGGCCATTGGGGTCGCATTTCTGCTCTGGATCGGCTAAACCTGTTCTGGCACCCTCGTTGAAGAAGGCAGCCAACCCCCCTGTCGATGCTGTGGCCAGTCTGATTGGCCGACATCTCTCGGCGGATTGCTGCCGACCCGCTTTTCAGGTTCTGGCGCGGAAGATATCATATCCTTACCCTTGTCCTGATTTTCGATGCTCAATGCTTGCTTGTTGCTTGCGTGCATGGAGTCAAGGATGCCCGTGTGAATGGTTTGGTAAGCATTGGTCAACCTCACTGGCCTCCCTCGCGCGACGTCTGTTGATGGTCCAGTGTCGCCTTAGTGGCACTGTCCACGAATGGCCTGCTCTTGCTCCGTCTCAGCGCAGCGCCTGATCGAACCGACAGGCACCACTGAACGACTTACAGAGGCTGCTCTGTCGGGCCTCCTCCTTCGACGGCTTGCTATCCCCTTTCAAGACCCCGTCAAGCCCGTCGGCCACAAAGGATTGCCCGAGACCGGAAAACTTTAAAAAGTCTCGCGTGTCATTGGGCAATCGACTTGGGCTGCTTGGGCTGCGGATTGTCAGGACGATCCACGCGCCTAGATGCCATGGCACACAAGTCACCCAGGAATATTTGAAGATCGTTGCTGATTCCGATCAACATGGCCAGTATCGCAGGGGGTTGAGCGCTCCAGCCTGCCAGCCCTGCCGTCCCATCATCCACAACAGGTCCTACTTGTTGACTTCCATGAACCATGCACCCCCAACCAACCACCCAGCGTAACTAGCAAATCACCATCTATCAACAGCCGGGCAGGGGTCCAAATCGTCAGTGTCGACCGATCAGAGAGCCAGCTGGCTTGTGCAGCATGAGGCTGCCTCTATTAAGTTAGGCCTGGTGCCACAATGCCTTTCTCTCAACTGGCTTGGACGCCAAGCTTAGAGCTCAGCAGACGCCCAGATAACAAATTAAAAGGTTCAGCCAGCGCCTGGCCCTGGAGCATTGTCAACCGCGAGCCCAACACGATCATGGTTTCAAAGTGACAGCACCAAGCCACCGATCCCAGTGCCAACCTGCCCGCTCAATCAAGAACCTCATGGGCGTGCGCCAATAGTCACTCGCCATCTAGAGGCTCTCAGAGCTCTCTCCGTTGCCTTGATCAAAAGTAATCTCCGGGCTGAATTCTAGAAGCGTCAGATCCTGGCATAACCACCAGGTGGCAGCAAGTCACCCGCCTTAGCATGCCATTGCCTAAGGCCATTAACACCGAGGGTACCGTTACATCCGCCAGTGCGAGCGAGCGACAGACTCTTGATTCAACGAATTTCATCTCGAAAGTCGATTTCTTCTTGTGGCTGGATCGCACCCTCTCTGTTCATTCGCTATGGTAACGCTAAGCTTGGTCTGCCGCTTCTTGGAAGATGTACCAATAACACAGATACTATAATCGGAGTTTTTTTCGTGCATCGCAACTTGCCAGCCGCCCCCGGACCCGCCAGTGCCTTGCGTATTGATCATCATCATGCATCACGAACCTGGTCCTTCCTCGTTCACCCGTCTTGAACAAGAGTCTACCATTGAGCATGTACACAAATTTACCACACCATTACGGTTGATGATTGTAAGTGCCTCTGGAGCAGTTTGGCCGCGGATTGTGAACGCAAGAGGCCAATGGTATTGATGACACCTGGTTGATAGCACCAAATCATACACGTATCCACCTCATCCATGAAGTCCATGCGCATCATATTGTTGCAGTGGTTGTCCCCGAACTGCTATTGTTATGTGCTATGTAGCTACTGCAGGGTTCGGCGCAGTACTTTATGTTGTGTAGGGATCAACCCTTGGGGCCTATCTGCAGATGAACCAGCGTTCGAAATGCTTCGTCCCATCGACAGTCATAATTGTCAAGTTCCTCAAGATGAACAAGCGAGACGAGGTGCGCTGGTGAGACGGTATCACAGCGTTATCAGGGTCATGTTTTCTCGCTCGGTTCTTGCAGCCATACACATGCAACCACGCGCCTGGAAAGACGCCGACTTGCCATTGGAAACACTTTGTTGCAGGTACGCATCCGAGACAACCCACGTCAGCTCGGCCCGTTCGAGAAACGAATCTGGGGAGAACATCCAGATTGAAGAATCCCAATTCCCCGAAACGGGTGTTGCACGTGTGCGACGCAATTTTCAACGCGTATTCTGCCGCCAGGACTGCAGCTGACGGCTCGCGCGGACGCCCGCCCATCCCAATGTGGTTGCGCACCACGCTTCGCCGTGGAGCCGTTGGGCCGCTGCATCTATCTGGCACCCTGGTAGCGAATGGGGTATCATGGGAAAGCGACGCTCTGGCGGGGCTAATACTATCGAAAACATCACGGAACTTACCCTAGCCCTATTACAGGGGCCAAATATGCTTTGAATAACGGGATCAGGAATTACCCGCTCTGTCAACTTTATTGACCCTGACTTCAAAGAAGTCGTTTCAAGTGGGCTTGGTAGGCTCGCCGGAAGAAACCCGAACAACCCATGTCCAAGTCACTATAAGGCCCCCCCTGAAGGTCAAAACCTTACATCAGATGTCGCGCCGGTGAGGCAGGCATGTAAACTTGGTCGAGCCGCCGCCTGGTGCTACCTCAGTACGGCGAACCAAACCTTCCATGTACAGATCTTGCCAACGCCGCAGGGGATGGCGTTCGCACGAATGTGACAGGCCACATACCACAGTAGATCGTCAGTCACATATGCGGCCCCGTAAATATGCTTTCGATGCGAGTGGCTCCTCGTCACATTCATGATCGACCGGTGCTACGTGGGTATCAAGATCTGAGCAAGGGCACCATTTAGTCTCATATCCGCTGCCAATTCAGCACGACTTTGTCGCTCAGTCACCTCAAGCGTTGCGTACGCAGGGGCGCAGATAGTGTTCCGAATTTGGGCAAAGAATCCGCTAGGTCTGTGTCCTTACCGAGGCGATTCCCTCATGACCAGATGAACTTCCAGGACAATAACTACATATATCATTTGCAACATTGGGTAATAAAGACAGATAAAACCGACAAACCGTAGATAACTACAGTAGCCTTTCAACATTAGCTGACAATGTCCACAATGAGCTTCCAAATCCCACCCCATTCTCAAGGGCAACCAACTAATTAGTGAAATACCTGTACCACAGTACTCCGTTTCATGCCAGTATACAGTACCCTTTCTCCTCGCCGTCACTTGCATTCGCAACACTCAGTACCTCCAATTTGTAGTAGCTTCCTGTGTATACGGAGCCGCGGCTGCCCTCTTTCTTCGCAATATACTTAGGCGAGTCTCATGCATGCAGGACTCGCTTCAGGAAACCCACGAGAAATACCACACACCTGTCGTTATACGCGACCCCAGAAGCCACGTGGGAAAGACATCTACGGCTAATCATGACAAATGTGACGCTGTATCAGCCATTGGAGCTCCGCAGAGCCAAACTAGAGTATGCCTCCCACTAATGCTGCATCAGAAAGCATGTGGACGTGGCGATCTCGTTGCTTCTCCTCCATTGCTCCGGCCGAAGGCCATGCTCAACGAATCCAGCTTGGCGCCAAAGCGCCGAAGGGCTTGGCTGGTGGTCCACAACGGGAGCCTTCATAGAATACATTGGCAGGGCATCGTAATGTGTAGCAAGTGCGTCTACGGAGCTGAGTCACCAGGAGTTCCTCACAGCAGACTTTCTTCCCAAAGTTCAGACCAAGGAGCTGTTTCATGCCCTGGCTAGATCAGCTAGAAACGTCGTCACACCGGGACCCTCGCGGTGATCCGCGTCTGGCCTCCTGATCGCCCAACTCTAATTATCTATATACGTACAAGTGGGCTCTGTCTGCTCTCTCAACTTGACGCAAAGGGTCAGTTTGGAGGCCTGAAGTCGACCAAATTTGGCATGGTCGTCTTAATGCGACAAGCCTGTCCACCAGGTTAGACCAAAAGAGTTCTCCATCCTCGAGCGAAGCGCACAGTCGCTAACTTCCCAAGATCATCCCATGCAGTGCAATTCAAAAGTACGGTCCCTCCTGTACACTGTGCCAAAACTGCAATCACAGAAACAAGGCCAGGGTATGCAGAAAATGTGAGCAAAGGAGCAAGCCCGTAAGTCAGAGAAAAAAACGTCCAAGCACAGTTCCCAGGTTCGGAATCTAAAAAATTCACCGGTCTGCAACCCCGGACAAGCTGCCTTACAGCTGACAAATGGACTGTGCAATGCCCTACTAGTATTTCCAACTAGGGAAATGCTGGCCTTCGATCAACTTCGACATGCAGTCTATGCCCTACGGTTGCATTGACGTGGGGATTTTTAGCCACCGGATTGTATTCCGGACTGGAGCTGCATATCCCTCCCAGTAGCCTCGGCTTGGGCGGCGACTTGAAGTCTTTGAACTAATACAAACCTTCAAAGACAATCTCTATCACCGGTAATCTGAGGCTCCATGATTGCCATATCACTGAAGATGAAACGTTTCCTTCACAATGCGGTGGGTGGTGAGCCGAAGAAATCTCCAGGTCCACAGTTACTTGTTCCTAAGCGTCTTTTGCTTTGTAATATTTGTCCGACGTCTTGAGTTTCTCTATCAATCAGAATGATAGTAAGACATCATTATACGAGGTGTCTGTCCTTGGCTCCCGGCGTTTTGTTAAACACTCGGGCTTTAGGAACCCCTCCGAGATACGCATCGACGATTGTTGAATACGTCAATTCCCACCTTCCATACCACCTTCCTTTGATCACAGTACGTCACGGCCCAGTATTCCAATACCATATCTAGTACGGGTGAGCGAAATTATGAGCATCTCTATCGATTATCTGCTATCGCTGCACCCTGTATGATGCATGCGTACTGCAGCTCTTCGGCCGTATTGGCTCGAGCCTAGCCCTCCATCATAGAGCTCCGACTGAATCAATCTGGAGCCTGGGGGCAAAAGTAATGTACATCACGTCAAAATAAATAAACGTAGAGCTCCTCAAAGCTGCTTGCTAAGGGCAGCGAGTTATTGGCTGGAATGTAGACCAAGAGTGTTAAGGGCGAATTGAACTGAAGTGGCAATCTTCGAGGCGTTGCACCCCTGAAGCCAAGCAGACCCAGTAGCAGAATGGAGAGACGCGATCCCAGTGAAGACTTGCATCCCGATGGTATACACAACGAAATAAACTTCCCACGCCATTCGTCTCTCCAGAAACACAGTCATCCTCCGAACGTAGTATCTCTTACATCTTCTAAATAGCTTCTTCGTTTCCCCGGGCCCCAGTAGTGACAGCTGTTCTAGTCCACGCCTCGACGCTCGATCTCCAGAGTTGTAGAAGCGTCTTGCGCAAAGATATCGCTGTATGCATAATCCTTGGGTTCACTCATGGTCAATGATAGTGTTGAGCGACAGGCGTTCTTCTGGATCGTATTTGAAGATTCTCTCAAGTAGCTCCGCCAGCGTGTAGACTTCGTCCTGTGGTATCGTCAGATCTATTTTCACGTCTCTATTTTCCCATCGGTACCCGTGACAGCTGCCGATCCTGTGCGCTCACAAGCGAGACTAAGTTGAAGATTCGTGCAGAAACCTGTCTCGACTAGTTCTGCTTTCTCCCTGTCAATGTCGTCTAAAGGGTTACCATTATTGATCAGTGGCATAATATCGTCATCTTTCTCCAACGACTGATGGCCTGGAGCATTTTCTTCTCTGACGATTTCGTCTTCGTATTCCTCCACGAGACAGAGCGAATGCTGGGGTATTGGTCCTAAGATATGCTTCAATAACCCAACACTGCCATCATATAGTGGTTGTCCGGCTCGTATCTCGGCTATCTTACATCCCAGCGCCCATACATCACTTGGGAAACTTGTTCTATTTCCGTTGAGTATTTCTGGGGAAGAGTAAGAGGGTAGCGGAGTCATGAAATCTGGGGGACTAGATGCGTCGAAAGCTCCTCCAAAATTGATGATTGCCACCTCGTCTACGGTCGCAAGCTGACTGAGGTCAGCTGGGCGAACCAGATATCTCGGTGCTTTATTACCCAGTGGCCCTCCCAAGCAAAGGCGAAGCTCTTCGATCTCCGGTGTACCTGTTATCTGAAGCAAACCCTCCTTGTCTATATGGCTTAGATTCTTGAGCTTCATCAGTATGTTCCTGGGCCTAAAATCGCCATGAACGACATCATGACTGTGTAGATAACGTAGGCCGTGAGCCATCTGCCCGCACAAGCTGGCAATTGGTGAGGGATCTTTGGCACATCTGAAAATTATCCGCTCCAATGTTTAACCTAGAACAGTGGAAACAAAACAGTATTGAATACCGTTTGGGCCCTTAAGCCAGAAGCGGTCTGATGGCAAGTGAGTATGATACTGTGATATCTCCTCAGGGGCTGATTGCGCCTTTAGCATCCCTCATGTGCGCAATTAGCATGTTCTTTTGTAGACACTCTGGCAGCCACGATCTTGACCGCTCTCCAATTGGTGGACTGTTGGTCCCGACAGAGCCAGACCGTTGAATGTACTCCATGACCAAGCTTGTGAACGACTTCGTATGTCTCGTCCAAGTAATCTCCTAGATGAACAGGATGGAATCCATGCCTTCTGTATCTCTCAAGATTCTCCAGAACATGCACATGCAGATCTTCATATCTCTTTTCCATATGTTTTCGATCGAGCTGGCTTTCGCCATGCGACCGATCAGGCTGCAGCAGTGCCATATCTACTGGTTTGGATGTATCCATGGGTTCTTGGAAGCCAGGTAAACACATAAATACGTCCAACGTTGAGTGTTGAAGGGTCAGTCATTCTATTGCATACTCGTACAGAAATTATAGCACTGTATGTATGGCATTTATCGCGTGTCGCCTGATCAGGTAACCGGGCTTGCCTGACTTCAACGATGTCCACTATCTATGAGCCTGCTATTTTCTTTCTCTGACTCAAGCGCTAATGAGTGTTTCATGCATGGAATATGCCAGATGTCTCTTTGTTCTCAGTACACCAGTTCAGATGACAAACCGTAGGCTACTTTGTCTACTGGATCTGTTCTAAACGTTGAGAAACTCAGGCGCCTTTGGAGGCTTACACAGATTTGAAGTCTTCAGCTTCCGCCTGCATGTTCGGAAAGTTTTGCTCTATCCAGACACAAAACTGGATCCGACACTTCCATATAGAAAAGAGTGCAACGTTCCAACCCTCAAGCGTGTCATATTGATGACTCGCGGGTGGTGTAACGTATATCTCTAGTATAATTTGACATCTGACAAACTAACAAGGAAGTAAGATTGGAAGGCCCGTTTCAATCCATCGCGCTTCTTTGCGTTTTGGAGTTTATGTGGATCGAAGCTCGAGATGTCCACATGGCAAATGATGGCAGTAAAGTAGTTTTGACAATTGACATACGCAAATGTGCCACATGATTATGTTGGCGTGTGCCACCTTTATCAGTGGCTTTTTGATCAGCCTGGGGCTGAGAGCATTCTGATGCCAACGAACCTGCGCCTCGGCGGCGTTGCACTTTGCCATCTCATCATCGCCCGAACCTAACACGTTGCCATCGCGAGCAGGATTCCAGCCAAGCTACCGCAGCAGATGGTTATCCTCTTCGGGAAGTAGCATGGCATCTCATTGTTGCGATTTCTGGGTCACATGATTGGTCTGGCCAGCGGAGGACCAGCTCGCCTATGAAATGGCCCCTTTCCCAACTCTCACGCTAACATTTTCGGCCGCATTCTGCAGGGGTTCGGATCCTTCAGTGGCATACACCCACTCCTCTGGAGTATCATTCGGCGCAATCCTATAGCCCTGTTCAGTTACGTGAAACAAGCTGAGGCTTGTTGGTTGTCGAAACAAATGAGGCTATTGGCTGGCCCCTGAATGATGACCCTGACTAACACGAGTAACCCGGGAACCCAACTGACATTGGTCCCTATTCTATCATACGACGATGAGGCTCTTGTAATTTGGCCTCGTTTGGGTTTGAGTGGAATTGGGGTCTGCTCAGATGGAAAGTATTCGGCATCAGTGGCGGCGTTCCATGCATGCTCAGCCGGCGCAACGACTGGTCCTTGGTAGCCTTCTAATACAAATACCTGTGTGTTGGCCGGTCGTTTGACCACACTGATTTGACAGGCTTCCTGCTGTCTCGTGATTTGTCTACTGGTAGCTGCCGAGTACGAAGTTTTCGACATGTATCGACGAGCTCTCATATGTGTCGGCCTCCTTGCGGACCATGTAATTTCGGGCAGCATTCCGAGCAGCGTGAATGACTTCTATCAAACTGTGAAGAAAGGCGAATGCAAGAGAAAACTTGCTGATGGGTTCTACTGTCAAGAGGGTGGGCCAAACTGTATGTATCACGACATCGAAGTCCCTTCCACCACGCTCTCGAGACGAAAGCACGAGGCTAACGGAGGCTTTTGCGCAGCATGGTCGTACTGTGGTGACCACGTTGATGATTATCGAGTGGTCTATATCCAAGGACCCAGTGGGAAACTAGCAAACATGGACATCGACTGCGATGGTACCCAAGGAGGCCCAGCCGACGATGGGCGATGCGGAAAGTCAACCGATACTCAATCCCAGACTTCATTCAAGGACGTAATCGCAAGTTATAAGAAGGGAGTGAGCGACCTCGATGCAAAGATCCACCCTTACGTTGTCTTTGGAAATACCGGGACGAAGTCTGGGTATACCAACTTCGACCCTGAACAATATGGAATCGAGCCGTTGAGTGTCATGGCTGTTGTTTGTGGTGAGAAGCTGGTATGTATTGAATTTTGTTCTAGAAGTGTTGGTGGTTACGAAACTCACCTTTATGGTTAGGTATATGGCATCTGGGGCGATGAGAATGGCGATGATGGGGACCACCCGATGGTTGGCGAGGCCTCAATATCGCTAGCCACCGCATGTTTTGGTCAAGGCGTCAATGGCAACAGCGGACATGACGAAGATGATGTACTGTACATTGCATTCCCTGGTTCCGACGCTGTCCCTGGCGCCGATGGCGCTGACTGGGGAGCGAAGAGTCAGGCAGACTTCGCTAGCAGCATTCAGTCCTTGGGGGACAAGCTGATCAAACGCATCGGTTCGACGGGGAATTCAACAGGAGACTCAGAGCCAGACCCAACCACACAGGTACCGACCTCGACCTCCAGCGCTGCCTCATACTCAGAACCGGCGCAGGCATGTGCTTGGAGTGGACATTGTGCTGGTAAGTGTTTTCGCAGGATAGAGCTGTGCTTAAGCCATTTCACCACCGATGATTAACTGTATGCTTCTAGGGGCAACTTGTGTGAGTTATGATGATTGTTCAGGTGACCTCACTTGTCACAATGGTAAATGCGTATGAGAAGGCTCTTTCTGGCCACGACTGAGACCCCAAGTTGGGTGAAGCATTCAACAAGAGTCCGGAAAGGGAGAGCAAGTCTGTAAATGATTGGTATCTGCCCTTATGCGGATGTAAACGACAAATGCTACAAATCCAAACGCCGCCGTCCATGAGTCCAAGCAGCGTGTTTTACCCATATAACAGCCAGCCCTTCTGGCGAAAACAAGAGTAGACGCCAGCCCAATGCCCCAAGATATGTTTAAATAGAATCACACCTGATTCGTACATGATTACATTACTTCGTAACAAGTCTTGGCCGCTCCCTGTCAAGACTCTGATCCTTCCTACTAAATGATTGTAGGACATGAGCGGTGTGTATTAACATTGGGGAGTGATGTCTCCACACGACAGTGAATTCCAGGATGCTCAATGATGAGGTATTTGGGTAAGCACATCAGTGGGAGCCTCGGTTTGCTCTTTGTCTGACTCCTCCCCGGGCACTTCACGTGGTGCTTGTCCGGCTAGGGAGCTGTTGAACCGCGGATGTGTATCCCTCCGATCCCCGTGATGATGTGACAAGCCGGTGGGCGGTAGATGATGCGAATCGAAACTGGCATTTCTCGAGGCCCCAGGGCTAACGCCACTCACACTGCTCCGCGCCCCGTGGCTCAGTTTCCGCTTGCCAAAGTTGAAGGCAAAGGCGTTCAATATCTTCTGGTGTTCCAAGTTTTGGTGGGTGAAGGGACGATTGAGACGAGCGTCTTCGGGTGATTCTTTGCTCTTCTTCGGTTTGCTGGATGACCGAAAACCGCCGGTCAATGCTCTCATGATACCTGACGAGGTCTTGGTAAGGTCTCGGCTCTCGCTGCCCTCTGTCGTTGTCGATTCGGAGAGCGTGTTGCTGTCGCCGGAGCTGCCCGACTGCTTCCTGCGCCATCTTCCCATGATCGCCATCGTTCTGCCGGATTCCCCAGATCCTCAGATCGTCGTCGAATGTGGATACTAGATACTAGCAGTCTGCGAGTATCTCCGTGGGTCTGGACGATGCAAAGAGCAATGGTCGGTGCGAACTGGTGGGGATACAGAAGACCGTTTGAATATAGAAGTCAAAAAGAGAAACGCTTGGCTTCTCAGAACAAAGGCCCAGTCCCTCACGTCGCATCTCCAATAGAGTTACCGTAGTCGTCTCTGCCGTGGAGATCGCTATCTACCTAGCACTAGGCCCGGCCAAACCGTCGTCATCCACACCCCCCTCCGACCTCGCTGAAATGGGAAACGCGGGGGAGCCGACGACCCCAGAACAGGCTTCGCAGGAAAGACGTCACCACCTAGCTCTGGGCGGCGCTGGCCGCGGGGCGGCAATGCCACGCTAGATGACAGTCGACCTAACGTTTACCTGTCGCGAGCAATTGAGCGGTTGATTTGGCTTGCAGCCTGCAGCTTGCCGAGCACTTGCGCGCTTGCACAGAACCTTGGAACTCTGCTACGAACTAATAAGTGGCTACTATGCTTGCCAAGTTGACCCTAGGTCAGCTCCGAGTTTGCTGCGAACCAAAGCACCGAGGGTCCAACCGTGGTTGACAATACCAACAGCGACGATCAGATCTGTTGCCGTTGCCAAGGCTGTGAACATCCATGCCCTGTCCATCTACCGGCCTTGGATGCTTGGTGTCATGCCACCGCAGACCCTTGAGCAACGTGTGCTGACAGCCAGTCAGCGTGTAAGCTCCCCAAGGATTGCCACAGCCCGCCAAGCGGGATCATCGTGCTTACTGCACATTGAGGGGGGTCGCGCCGAATGCGTTCAGCACAGATGCAGAGGAACTACTTTTTTTTTTGTCAACGTTCGTCGAACGCAAGCTGTCACCGCTATCTATCCGGTATCATGAAACACCAATGACTTGGGACGGACAACCGGCTGAAAGGGTATGTTGAGAACCAAAGAGTGTCCAAACATCGTCACACCGTGGTGCTTATGTTGTAAAGTGGCTTAGGAAATGAAGGATGAACACGTGCGGCCGGGTTTCTTACCATTCAGTTTCATTGTCCCGATATCTTTCAGACGGCATTTTGCACGCGTCGTGTTCTGACACTTGCACAGCCTTTCGACGGGATGGAGAAGATTTCAAAAACAACCCTGAGGAAACTCCTCTGGGGTATGCAAGCCTGCCAATGGCCCTCTTGCCTTGTCACCTTGGCAAGGAAGTGTCTGAGTGGACCGTCCATTGTCTCACGCTCAGTGTCTGAAGTGACCCGGTGAATAGAGTTATTAGCTTAACCCCGCCATGCCGAGAGGCCAGCCTTGAAGCTACCACCGGATTCTATAGCGCATTGCCTTCTTGCGGCCCAGGTGAGGCTCAATACCTAGGGTGGTGATGTTGAGTCAATCACAAACATTGCACCGTAGTCTGATCCGAACTTGCTCTCTCGCGGGGATGCGAGGAAAGTCGTAACGGTCTATAAATGCTCTGATCATCTTATGATGCTCATGATCCGAGGTCATTGAGCGGTCCAAACCAGCTTTTTACCAGATTATCAACCCGTATGAGCACGGATTCCGTCTCGCATCATTCATCGTCGACTTGGTGCATGGTGCCCATTGAGGTATTCAAGACGGGGCCCGTTTCGCGTAGGTCTCAAGTCTTGCCAGGGTCCCTCACAAATTCTCAGGTTCGGCGACGGTTTGACAGGGGTCTAAAGGCCTCCCATTGGCTGCATACCCCCCTGCCCTTCCTTTATTGGCAAGACTGGCCAGGGCACGGATACTGCTGTCAAGGGCTGCCATCCAAATTCCTTTCGGATGATTCGTCGCAAGACCACTTCAGCAACGGCTGTCAAGCCTACTTTGGTAGGGTATCTCACAGCCGGGCCCATATTTCAGACGTGCAGCATCGTGCAGGAGAGCCTCACAAGTAGTGCTACTTGACTCCTCACGGCAACGCTCGACGTAATCAATGTAGTTTCTACTCTCCTAGGTACCCCTCCAGGAGTAGAACTTCTCCAAGTCCCGGAGTCTCAGGGGGACGCCTGCACTTCGCCTGCAGCTGACTCCATACCCAGAAAGCTTCTTTCCAAGCTTAATTGAGACTGCGGGAAGCCCTATAGTCTACTCCGGGACACAGGAGTCACGGTGCCAAGGACCTGGGAAACGAGCGGATGGCAATCATCCGGTGCGATCGTAGACGGTGTAGAGGCCGATCTTCAAGCGGCTATATAACCAAAAGATCTCCTTCGCAGGTTGGTGATCGTCTTACTGTTTATCGTATGATCGGTGTCCTCTCGGCGTCCTGTCTCTGTCGCTTGAACTTTCCTTCACTTCTCGCACAAGCGCCCCAGCGGCAGCATCGTTCCTTTTTATACTACCAAACTCTAGTTCAATCTCACTCCTTTGATAGGACGTTTTCACTTCTAATTCTTATTACCTCTTGAAGAGTGTTCAATACAACCATCATCATGCAGTTGACATATACAAGTGCCGCCCTCTTAGGGTTTTCGTCACTCGTTGCTTCTGGTCAGTGCTCCGGCTCCTGCATGACACGACAGTAACTGACAAGATATTAGCACCTGCTGTCGAAAGGGATGTTCTGCAGCCTGCTGAGCGAGGACTGAAGTGGACACCGAGGGCACACAAGAGGATGCCTCTGGAGATCGTTCAACAAGTTCAGGAGCCGACCTTGATTATCGTTCAGGAGAACCTCGATCAGATCGCCCAACTACAACAGGTTGCTGAGCAGCAGTTTGCAGCTCTCGTCCAGGCACAGGTGGCTCTGGCAACCCAGCTGGACACCATCAAGAACAACATCCGTGTCAACCACTTCAAAGCGCGCTTCAGCCAAGTTGTAAGTCGAGCCCAATAAAGATTTGCCAGACTCACGCTAATATCCTCTACAGAATACGGTTATTGTCACGGTACAGACCCTGGTCGACCAGACACAAGGCCAGCAAGCACAGAACAGATATCTCATCAACCAGCTGTTGGCAGACAATGGAAAGCCCGAGTCCCAAATCGTTGTCATGGTCTCAGATGCCGCCACCATGACCGTTGGTGCACAACAGACGGCCGCCGTCAATGGTGCCAGCGCGGAGTCTGCCCCGACGGCCACCCCAGTTCTTGCCAACTTCGACCCGAACGCCCCCTTTGGCCAGCTCAACCAGCAGGTCATCCTTCCGCTCGGTGCCCAAGCGCCCCAGGTCAACCAGGTGTTCGCTGATCCTGCGGCCATTATCTTGCCCAACCAGAACAACCTATTCGTCGAGGACTCCGGCGCTTTCCTCGCCGACTGCGCTCAACAGAGTGCCTTCTTCCAGCTCCAGGCTGCGCAGATCTTCCAAAACTTCCAGCAGCTTGCTGCTGCCCAGGCTGGTGCGGTGATCATCATCAATAACAACAACGGTGGTAACAATAACAACAACAACAATGGCAACAACAAGGGCAACAAGAACAACGATGGCAAGAAGAACGGCGGTGACGCCGCAGCCCAGGCCTCCAAGGCCGCAGAAGCCGCCGCCGCTTCCTCCGCCGCACAGGCAGCGGCCTCCTCGGCTGCAGCCGTTGTCGCCGCCCCTGCTGCTCCGGCCGCCACCTCGGCCGCCCAGCCACCTGCTGCTGCTGCCCCTGCTGCCACCTCGGCCGCGCAACCGGCTGCCGCACCAGCTGCGACGGCAGCGCCAGCGGCAGCACCAGCAGCGGCGGCTCCGGCATCTGGGTTCATCACGCTGGTACCAGCACCGCAGTAAGGCATTGCCATGATGATGTTTAAGCTTGACTGTACATAATCGTCGAGACGGGACTTTGTTTGGTAATTGTTCCATACTATGGCATGGCGGCGTTCTCAAGAGTCTAGGCAGGTCGTACCGGGTTTATGGAGTGGGTGATCAGATGCTGACGGTAGATCCGTTCATGCACAATTTTGTCTATTTCTATCTTTGTTGTTTATCCGCGAGAAGCCAAGAAGCCTGGAGATCTTAAGGGGGTGTAGAAACATCGGGATCTGCGATGATTTCCATGATCAACATCATCAACTTTTGAGCCAGGCCATGAGCCACGACGAGATGTGTTTTAAGAGAGGAGGTAGTCTATCCGTGCCGAAATAGCCGATACCCACCACTGGGAGAAGAAGGGAAAAAATACAAAAAATATAGGAGAGCCAAGCCTAATCCGCCTATGATTTTCCTGCCGTGATAGACTTGCACATAATCACGTTCACACAAGCTTTTCGGGCATGTTGGGTTGGCCCCTGTTTGATGCACAGTTTGGGACTATTCCGTCCAAACAGGGTGAAGGGTGTTCATGTTCTTCAGCTCGGACCGGACAAGGGAGAGTTTCGCTGACCAACCCCGAGGGACGATACTCAGTGTTTCAGAACGCCGAGCCCTTGGCCAGGTGGTGTAGATAGTTGTAGAAACAAGGTTTCATGCTTAAAATAATTCGCAAGGGATTCGCTTATTACCGTATGACAGCGCCACCGGCTACTTCTCCCATTACGATGGGGTCAATGCTAGGACTTACAGAGAACTCCTGATCTACTGTCGAGGGCACACGTTCGCTTTATCACAGTCCGAACCCGTTTCGAAACAATGTCCATGCCGAGAGAACGTGTATCGAAATACTCTATTCCAAAGACTGGCCGGCCGCGCTAGGTAACGATTTGATCTACTTTCTTCATCGCCTGACATACATGGAGCCTATTCCAATCATGTAGGATCTATCAATACCAAGTTCTTGGTATCTATATATAAAACCATCCAGCAGCTAATCCTGATCAATCCTGCTTGTGAGACTATAGCCCAAAGCCCATAGGCCTCGTTGGGTTCGAAACCCCGATGGCTGTCATGCGGAACCCTCGTCTTTACCCTATCTATATATAGTCCTGTAGTGTGCTTGACCCCCACCTGAGAAAAATGACCTGTAATAGTTTAACAACCGCTAGCGAATGGTAGTGTTCGTAGAAAAAAAATATTCTTAGAGAATTCGAGGCAGGAACCGATGTGTGTACCAGACTGACGGACACTGTCGGCATCAACAGCAGCCGCAACAATCACAGATTTCCAGGCAGCAGAACCCGGCACATATCCCACAGAGCATCGTCTAAACGGCTTCCAGCGTCAGCACGTGTCTTTGGAACATGGCTTTAGCCATCTGTCGTTCGGAGGTTTGACTTACACCTATAAACCCGCCGCGAAGTCCGACTTCATCTGTACGATCGACAGTCATTGGCCGTGTCGGCTGCTTGCTCTGTAGTCAGCTAGGGTGCCGCGAATCATAACATCGGCAGCTGGGCGGATTTAGACCGTACCGGCTGCTCGAGACTGGCCCTTCCCCGTTCGATCCCGTAGACCATGGCCGGGGCCGGCGGGCTCGGCATCGTGAGCGGCGCTGCTGTTGCGACTCGATCCATGAGAACAGTATCAATCCGGCTTTCCTAATGGTTTTTGAAAGAAGAGAGATTGAGTCTTTCTCTACACACCATTCAGCCCCAGGAATATTCTCACGAATACGTCATGTCATCCAAATATAGGCTGAGTCCTTACAATAAATCCTCTTTAAAAAGGCCCCAGGAGAGCCACACCAACGCGGATGGCGGTGCTGACAGGGGTTGTCCGCAGCATCTGCATGCACCCTTGCGGAACGCGCAGCGAAGGTTTGAAAGCCCCCCAACTTCTTGCATCCTCTTTTTCGTATTGATTCGTAACTCTCGCTTACAAACGGTTCCGCTGCGCGCTTCTGCAGCAGCCATGGCAAATGCGCTGTCCTGGGAGGAATTTCGACACTGTGGACGCTGAGGGAACGACGGATTATGCGGGCCCCTGCCAATCAGTAAGGTTGGGAAGAGCACCAGTTCTGCTTATTGGAAACCTAGCTCGCTGGACATAAATGACTTTGATTCTTGGCCGATCATGCCAAAGAGGCACGGTGGCCTCATGTACGTTATAACTTATGTATTCTGTGCGATCCACGCGGTCCAGCCCTCCAGCCTGTGCGATGCCTGTGTTACCATGCCTGCCAAGAATGTATATACCATTAACGCCGTATGATTGCCGCCAAGTCGTAACGTCATGCAGCCGTATGCCCATGCCAATGTCTATGAGAAACCCAACGCCCAACAGAGACAGGCCCTTCTTAATGCGCGTCCGACGTAAATGCGCTGCTGAGCCCCAGTAATGCCATGCCCAAGAACGCAAATACAATGCTCAAATTGCGGTTGTGGTTCAAACTTAGACTCTCCACGAACAACTGCAGCGCAACGCTGGCCATGATTCCCGCCGTGATCGCAAACAGACAACCGTAGGCAACATCGTCCGGAGTCATGTGTGTGTGCTTAGCGACCCTAAACCAGAGGACCGCGATACCAGCCCCCAGCGGTTGACTGAGACCACCAAGGACGAAGGACCACAGCATTGCCTTGAGACGATTGTTCAGAGCCATATAGAGGGGTAGGGCCATGGCAAACCCTTCCGAGATGTTGTGCACGAACAATGCCAAGAATACGTTAAAGCCCAGGGAAGGATTCGCGTGATTTGATGCATACGTGATGAAACCTTCGGGAAACTTATGAAGAGCAATCGCAATGGACGTCTGGAGCCCGATAGAGAGGAAAGCATTCTCGGGAACATGGTGATGATGTTGAGCCTCCAAGTCTCCAGAAAAGTCGGATGCGCCATCGTCGGCTGGTCCGTGATGATGCTCAAGTTCATGATGCATCGGGTCACGAGATCGTGCGCGGCTTGTGCGGCGTTGCGGCATTGGGCGCTGTGCTACGTCACCAACCGCATCCTCCTCGACCGTCTCGATCGCATGTACACCAGTGGTTGTGCGCATGAATGTCGGCGCCGTGGGTGCCCTCGAGAGGTTGAACGTCGAACGACTACTGATATGTTTGAAGCATTCCTGCCCACATGGATCCGAGTATCCATGGCACGAACCAGCTTCATCGCAGTACGCTTTGGAGTCCGTAACGAACGACTTGACTCTCTGTGAGATCTGGGCCATGGATGGTCTGCGTTCCGTAATGCTAGTTCTGCTCCGTCCGCGGCGAGGCGTCTGTGCCTGCGTTACCGTATCGCTGGCACCAGTATCAGGCCCCTTGGAGGCATGCGTGTGGCCATTTCCGGTTTCTGTAGGCAGCAAAGGGGTAGATTCAGTAGCTTGGTCGTTGCTTAGTATACCGTTCTTGGACACACTCGAATGGCGGGTTGTCGTGTGGGAGTGCTTGTCGTGGCTCCTCGGCCGGGTAGCATGCCTGTGGTTGGCACCATCGACGTGGGAGTGTGTGTCCTCACTCGGCTCGTCGTGGGTGTGGTCGCAGTCGACGACGTGCGATGGCAGGAATCGGTGGAATAGGCGTGATATGACCTGGATCCCAACGAAGCCGCCTATAAAACAGCCCATCAGGAGGAAGCCGGCGGCCTGCTCATCGAATCCTCCCTTCTTAAGGTAGCCCTTCGCCTCCGGCAGCATGCTGTACAGCGACATGAATATCTGCATGTGTTGGTGAGCGCGGGGCCCTCCAACCTGGTTGGCATGGCTAGGGAGCGAGGATTGCTTACCATGACGCCAAAACTGAGGCTCAGGGAAGACGCAAGAAAGGCACTACTCTCTTGTATCCGGAAGTTCTTCTTGCCTGGGAACAGTCGGACGAGCTTGTCGACACATATGACACTGGCTCCGAGGACGCAAGCTGTTACAGCGCAGGTCAGTCATCCATGACGGAAATGAAACGTTGTTGTTGGGCTACGCACCGATGCCGCTCACGAGGGCCATGATCCAGCCTCGCGTATCATTGTCGACGCCCATGGTGTCCATGGCGGGCACGATAGCCCAAGGATGGCTCGACGGACGGGACACGTCAACGTCTGTCTACAACTGCAGCGGGACCACCTCCCACGCACGTGCAAAGGTGTCAGTGTGCTGCAGCATGCAATTGTCGATACGGTCTCGTAGTTCAAAGGCGATTCTCAGGCGATTCAAGGTGCATCAAAGTAAGAGAGCCCAGCTCGCCAGCCGGGACGCAGGAACAAGGCGAGCAGAGGGCCGGCAATATAGGTAGTTGTGGCAGGCGGTGACGGCGTGACGGGGCTAGCTATGATGGCATCCACGGGCTGCCAAGAACAACCCGGTCGGGGAGTCTAGGGTGGCTTGAGGACCTTGATGGACCACCCTGTTGGGTGACTTTCATGCACGCCGTTGGCGCTGCGTGTTGCGGCTTGTTGTACGAAGGAAGTAGGCGACGGAAAGTGTTGCCTCGTTGCGAGTTCAAGGCGTGTGGATTAGGGGACGCTGTGTTGCTCCCAGGCCAAGACGTGCACTCGCTATAGTCACAGTCTTTCACTCTATTCTAAAATTCCTAAACCGTCGCGCCCATGCAGGAACAATGGGACACCTCAGGGTACACGGCGCAATCTGACAAAAGGTGCATACCCGCCCAGCCCTTGTCCTCCGCCGCACTTGGCTGGGCTGGGGGCCCGACCCATCGGCTTGGAGCCTCAGACAGACAACCTAAGTTAGAAGCCTACCTTGATGGTTGTGGGCCAAACAGAGCATGTCCCAAAGACCCGTGGTCACTTGTCCACCGGCCGACCGATGTAGCTTGGCTCGAGAATGGCTTTGTCACGCGGCATCTGACTCAAATCGACTCTCCAGCCTGCTGCTGATGCTCGACCATGATCTTGTTTCCAGTTGACGGAAATCGCGTCGAAACCAGGATCTCGAATCTTGCACTAATGAGCAGGGACCCTTTGGTCAGCACCGAGAGCTGCATCGGCGTTTAATCTGCCGGCCGTGGGGGTACACTGTACTGTAAGCGCCCGCTTCTCTTCCACCGCGCTCAGTGTAGGACTAACATAGTATAAATGCTTTCATGTCGGAATCCCGTCGTGCGTAATGTATGACTGATCGTTGTGGGCTGCACGGGCTTTACCTCCTGATTTTGTTCCCAGGTATCCTTATTGCGTTTCTACCACCTACTGACCTGCCGAGAGGGTGGAGAGAGAGACCTCTGTCCTTATTAACACGGGGTTTCTCCTAGCGGCCCTGACAACATGAGGACTCTAGCATCCTGCCTTGTTCATGCATCACAGAGTATGGCAGAACGCAGCGTACCTTTACGACCCGCTCCATATTCGTACCGTGGGAGACACCAAACGTGCGTGAATGAATGACTGGCGCTCCGAGGTCATGCTCTGTGCCATAAGCAGTTAAAGGAAAAGCGACACTTCGTATTCTCTCTCTCTTGAGATCACCACCGACGAGACTGTCCAAGGCCTGAGTAGCCTCTGGCTTTGACTCGCTTTGATTCGCTATACCATATGGATGCCTGCCCTTCTTGCATGTTGGAAAACTTGGACTGATGTGTAGATTGAATGCTGTGCACGCGCGGGCTCCGAGTCCATAGACGGCTCATGACTGCAACCCGTGCACGGAAATATAGCTACTGTATCGACCTACTGTGGACTGCGCTAAGAGATGAAGAGTCAAGCCCCCTCCAGGTGACAAGCCGTCTGTCGCCAACGGCCCGGTGAGCCTCATGGCCATGGAACTAACCAGCTAAGGTGACCTACAGTAGTTCAGAGGCCCAAGACGCCCCCAGCTGCTGAAGATCCACGCCGACCAACCCGATTGCCATACGTTAGGGGAGTACCTTGCAGCAGCCAACCCATTCCCTCCCCTCAGCCCTGCCCCGAGGCTGAACAAGTCCCCTGGAAAATTTCCAGATCGACGGGTAAGACAAATCGATCAACTGCCACTACACCCTCACCACCCACGAGGGCGCCGCAACCCCCCCGCGTGGCCTACGTCTTGCTCATACAGCCCACGCCTGACTTGTCTTCTTGCCCGCGACGTCCCGAGTCGTTTTTTCCAACTTGATATAAAACCCCAACGAGCCAAGGTCGCTCCCGGAGGGAGCCCCCAGCACGTCGTCAAGATGTCCAAGACAACTCTCGCAGTCATCGCAGCAGCAAGCGCAGGAGCTGGCGCTGCCCTCACCGCAGGAATGTACTCGCTCCGCTCAGGCAATGAGCGCAAGCTCGAAGCAAAGACTATATCCACAACCACGACGACCATGTCCACCTCTCCCTCGGCCGTATCCGCGCCCATCCCCGTGCCCGCGAAACAGATCTTCGCCCCGTCCTCGTCGCAGCCGGGCGGCCTCTCCACCTCGGCCCCGGCCGCCCTGGGCGTCGGCGCGCCCGTCGACCCGTCCGGCGTCTTCGAGTACGGCTTCCCGGGCCCCGTGTCCGACATCGCCACGCGGACGGCGCTGGTGTCGTCGTACGACCGGCGCACGCGCAACCCGCACTGGGTGGTCGAACACATCACGCCGGCGTCGCTGGCGCAGCGGGGCGGCGACCGCAAGCACAGCGTCTTCCTCGAGGACGGCGCGGTGCCCGACAAGTTCCGGGCCAAGCTCAAGGACTACTTCCGCTCGGGCTACGACCGCGGCCACCAGGTGCCCGCCGCCGACGCCAAGTGGGCGCAGGCCGCCATGGACGAGACCTTCTACCTGACCAACATGTGCCCCCAGGTCGGCGAGGGCTTCAACCGCGACTACTGGGCTCACCTCGAGGACTTCTGCCGCCGCCTGACGGTGCGCTACCCCTCGGTGCGCATCGTGACGGGGCCGCTGTACCTGCCCAAGAAGGACCCCGTCGACAACAAGTGGTACGTGCGCTACGAGATGATCGGCAACCCGCCCAACGTCGCCGTGCCCACGCACTTCTACAAGGTCATCTTCGCCGAGGACGCGGCGCCCGCCCCGCCGGGCGCGCCCCCGGGCGCCGGCCAGGTCGCCATCGGCGCCTTCGTGCTGCCCAACGCCCCGATCCCCAACGAGAAGCCCATCACCGACTTCGAGGTCCCCATCGAGGCCGTCGAGCGCGCCAGCGGCCTCGAGTTCGCCAGCAAGCTGCCCGTCGCCCGCCGCAAGAGGCTCTGCGCCGATACCACCTGCGCCTTGGTCATCAAGGACTACGCCGACAGGCAGAAGGCGTTTGCGAAGCCCGGCGCGGCGGCAGTTGTTGCGAAGCGGTGATAGGACTACGGACAGAGACAAGGGCATGTATTTGACGGACCTGGTACATAAGGGGTGCAGGGCCAGGGAGACAAGTTAGCCATAGAGAGGCGCTCCCAATCTTGTAATTGTAGGAGGGCATGGACTTCAGGACATATGCGCTGATTTGGATCTTCGTTTTCTTGTTTTTATTCTGCTACGGCCGCTTCAGGGTCATCTTGTACAGCAGCTCCCCTTGGTTGGACATCGGGGAACTCATGGATGGATTGGTTCAGCGTAGCATAGCATTAGCATCAGCATCATCAGCATCCCGTCTACTAGAGGCAGGGCCGGCGCAAGCACATATGGTCGTCAATAAAGCATAATGAATCATTTCTCCCTCGGGCTCGCTTTCATTGCGCACCGACAACGCCTGGGTATCATGTGAACCCATTTCCAAGAAGTATTTTCCAAGTACACCTACAAGTACAACGCTGAAATCAGGCAGGCTAGTTGACCGATGAAGACATCATGTCCTTTCCTTCCTTCATCGCTTCCCCCTCCCCCCTTCCTTGTCTGGCTAGCGAACGCGAGTGTAGTGACCCTTTCGCTGCTCTGCTCGCAGACTCTCCTCCTGGCTGGGGAGAGGGGCTCTCCTACGACCGTTGCTATCGAGGCCCATGTCGCCACCTCCATGAGGCGGCATAGGCGGAGGGGGAAAGCCCGGAGGTAGCTGGAAGTTCGGGGGCGGAACCATACCCGGCGGGAGCATGCCTGGCGGCGGAGGGAGAGGAACGCCGGCTTTCTGCATCATCTCGGTGATTTTGGCAAAGTCTGCCGGGTTGTTGGGATCTATGCCTGGCAGAGGTAGAGGCGGTGCGGCTCCGTTGAGCGCGGGGGGCATGGGGAAGGGCAAGTGAGGCGCAGCGCCAGAGGCTGGCGCGCCGCCAACGCCGGGGATCTGAGGCGGAGGTATGGGTGCGCCGGTAGTAGGCAGAGTAAGACCAGGCAAGCCTGGTAGGCCGGGGAACCCAGCGGGATGCTGAAGCTTAGTCGGCATCTTCTGGTCGACCAGACCTTCTGCCTCGTCCTCCAGCTCCTGCTCCTCCTCCTCTTGCCGCTGCCGACGTGCATCGCGACGATGCCACGTTCCTTGGGCCTCGGCGGCGGCCTCGCCGATGTGATATCTGTCCTGAAATATGTCTGCTTCACCGGGCCGGGCGCGCGACCAGAATCTGGTTATTCGGTCGTTCGACCCTGACGCCAAGATGTGACCCAGAGGATGCCAGTCCAGTGACCATATAGCAAAGTCATGTGCGTACGGTACTTTGTGAGCTGGGAAGATGGTCTGGGCTGGCGCCGATGACGGGTCGGCGCTCTCGTAAGGGCTCAGACTGATCGGTTGGCCAGCCGGGGTGTGCGGTTCGTCCAAAAGATAATGGAACAGAGCGCCATCAGAACCACCAGTACTGAGAAGGTTGGAATGCACCGGATGCCACGCAATGGTGGAAACATCCTTCTCATGGCCCTTCAGTAAGCAAATGTCGCGCATCATACGCAGGTCGAAGACTCTAGCCGTCTGATCGCGGGCCGATGTAGCCAGACACATGCCCCGGACACGCTCAAACAGCGTTTTTGTCACGTTGTTCTTATGGCCGTGCAGGGTTGCCAGACACCGGCCCTGGGCTCGGGGATCCCATAGCTTTACCAGATGGTCTTTTGAACCAGACACAATGAGTCCCATGGTGGGATGCCAGTCGCAACTCTTGGCATCCCATCCGTGGCCCTTCAGAGAGCGTTCCTCGACGCCGCCGGTGAAGTCAAAGATCTTGAGGGTCGAGTCATCCGAGGCCGTCACGAACTTGGAGTCGTTTGGGCTAAAGGCGAGATCTCTGATGGGGTCATGATGGCCCTGGATGACTTGCACGTTGTTGAAGTTGGGTTGCCAGTACTTGATGGTACCGTCGTGGTCTGCCGAGATGAGCCAGTCGTCGCTGTGCGAATATGCCATGGCCCGGATAGCAACATCATGTGCCTGCATGATGGTCTCGAAATTGAAGCCGGTGCCGTTCCATAGCGTGAACTCGCCGCTGCTGGAAGCAGTCAACAACCTGCGGCCCTCTGGCGTCCACCGCACAACGTTGACGGGATGTTTGATCTTGTTGAGGGACGAGTGAAGGTGCTTTGCGGGCACCGAGTCCGCCGGACTGGTCACTCTGGCCAGGGGCGGAAGCATCTATCGGGTGTCAGCATACCATACATACAGCAGGGCCAGATGGCGGCCGTCGCAACGCACATCGACGATATAGCTGGCACTGGGCCGCTCAGCCTCGCCCTTGAAGGAGCCCTTGTACCGCGGCGTGCGGTTCCGTATCCAGTGAGCCATGGTCGCGCCATAGTCGGTCACGGGGCGGCGGCCTCTCGACCTCATGAAGCCCGCGCCATCACCCCCATGATCCCCTCCACCACGTGGATCGTAGGCCATCGTGTCGATATGCCAGCAGAGTGCTAGGTCGTAGTCATGTGCGGGCTGGGTTGAGCGGTTGCGCGAATGACCATGGAGATGTTCCTTGAAGGATGCGCTTCTGGTCACATGAGCTCGCGAGACAGGGCAAAGACGATTGATTCACCTCAAGCTAAGGTAGCACCGCAGCCCTGGCAGCTCCCTGCAGTGAATTACGTTAGCGTGGGTGCTGGACTTCTTTGATGCAGGCGCGAATGCCCCACACTGAAGCGCTAAAAACGACCCGTGGGATCAACGCGCACCTGGGCAACACCGGCGCGGAACAATCTGTCGGGCTCGTTCAAGGGTAGCCGGAGCCCGTTGAGGCGCCTACCTGGTTTGGACCATACACAGTAGTATGCGCCTTTGGCTGGCCACAGTTGCTCGTTACTTGTCATCGACACGCGATTCTATGTTGGCTCAAGTCTCCAGTCACAACTTCTGTCCGACCTTGCAGAGACAACAATGAACGACCCTAAACCTTGCTTGGCAAAGCCCCTTAATTTGTAGGCACATAATGCTTAGATAAACTACTTGTTACTAAGCAAAACCTTTCTGAGAGCAGTCTGGATGGCACATTGTACAACGATGCCCACAGCACTGCTCCCATGGATTCGGGCGTACCAAGCCCAAGACCAACGGACCTGGAAGTGCGGCAGGCAGAAGAAAAGTATTCAAACATCCAAATTGAAATTTTCTCGGTAAATTTATCAGCACTTATCTTTTCCGATCGTACGAAAGTTGCAGAGCTATCTTGCTAGGCACCTTACAGTTGCGTCGAAGGCGTCGTCTAGACTCCACGAGATCTCATGAATTGCTACCCCAAGACCGGTTTCCCCCGTTACTCGACCGGGTCCAGCCGTGGAGCGCTCCCCCAGGGCCCTAAAAGCTCCCCCCAGCTGGGCCGCTGGGCCCCCTGGTCCCCTGGTCCCCTGGCCTATCCCGGAAATGGCATGCCCGTGGACGGCAATGACGGCGATAGGCACTCGACTTGGCGGCGCAAAACTTCGTCGAATGTTTATGCTAGCTGCAGTCGGTGCGACCACGGTCAACTTCTGCATTCTGCATTCCAATCGAGCCAATGGATGCTATCAATCCCAACACAAGTCGCTTCCAGCTGCAGGCCCCAATGCGGCTCCCCCTCCATCGCCTATCGTCATTGTAGCACCTAGCCCGTCATCCCCTCCTCACCCCAGGTCTCGGGGAGCTCACAGAGAGAGCTGGGTTCACCTTGGCTGTTCGTTCAACCGGATTTCGGGCTTCCTGCGTCGTATGGTGACAGATGCTATATAATCTCTCCGCCGCCCAAGTTGCACAAGTCGCTTCGCTCTTCTCTCTATCTAGCTACTGGTCACTTGTACAGACCCCGTACCTCGAGGCACACATCGCCGAGGATCTAGATCGCAACGCTTTGACTTTAGCCCCCGTCTACAACGACCTTCCAAGCTTCTCTCGATAAGCACCGTCAAATAGAGTTGGCACTTCAAGCAGCTCTACAGAACTAACGCATCGGGTCCTGTGGTCCGAGGCCATCCCGTATCCTCCCCGACCGAGCAATTTGTCCCCGTTCTTCGTCCCTAGATGCGTTCTGACGGCCGCAAGAGGCCCTTCACATCCAGGTAGTTGCTCGATAAGAGACATACGCCGTGATGGAGTCTGCAACGACGACGGGCGTGGAGACCGCCACCGTTCCCGCCTCGCTGCGTCGATCCAATCCGGCTGCAAGTGACATTGCTTCCAATGCAGCTGCAGCATCCAATGGCAAGGCGGCCGAGGGCGCCACGAGAATCTGGAAATACAGGCACGTCGCTGCCGTTCACTCCAAATCTCGGCCGTCGACCTTGAGCCATGACTCAGACAGCACCCCGAGCTTTCTAGGATTCCGAAATCTCATGGTGATAGTTCTTGGTAGGCTTCTGCGGCCCTTGTGAATTTGACGACGTCGCTCACCACCACTGTTAGTCGCTGGCAACCTCAGATTGGTCATTGAGAATCTTCAAAAAGTAGAACCACCACATGTTTCACCCAGTACAGCCACCCGACTAATGCTTGTCTAGTATGGCAATTTGATATGTTTGACTTGCCATGATATTCGCCGACACGACCTCCTCCTCGGGCTCGGGCTCTACTTCTTGATTCCATGCTTCCTCTGGGTTGCACTCTCGATCGAGCTGTTCGCTGCACAGCAGGCGAAGGCATCGCGGGCCTTGAGTGCCCGTCAAGGCGGCACAGCCAGTCCGACCGTGGACCAGACTCAGGTCTTCCGGGCCATGTGGATTCGAGTTCGGTGGCTGCATGGCATCAATGCATCCCTCGCCTTGAGTATCACGAGCTGGGTGGTGTACAACTACATTCACCACCCACTGATTGGCACTGCTACCGAGATACATGCCATAATTGTTTGGCTGAAGACGGCGTCATACGCGCTTACAAACAGAGACCTGCGACATGCGTATCTGCACCCCGTCAAGGGAGAACTGGCGGCCCTGCCAGAGATATACGCCCAGTGTCCGTATCCACAAAATATCACCATGGAAAACTTGGCGTACTTCTGGTGGGCACCTACCTTGATCTACCAGCCAGTGTATCCGCGGACGGAAAATATCAGATGGAAGTACGTGCTCAAGCGACTTGGCGAGGTTGTATGCCTGAGCGTCTTCATCTGGTTCTGCAGTGCCCAATACGCAGCTCCGGTCTTGGAAAACTCTCTCGCCAGCATCGAAACACTGAAGTTTGCATCTATCGTCGAGCGGATCTTGAAACTGTCGACGATATCTTTGGTCATCTGGCTGGCCGGGTTCTTTGCCATATTCCAGTCCGCACTGAATGCGCTCGCTGAGATAACGAGATTCGGGGACAGAACTTTCTATGCCGACTGGTGGAATGCTACCAGCTTGCGTGATTACTGGAACCTATGGAACAAGCCAGTCCATGCCTTCATGAGAAGACATGTGTACTCTCCAATGATGGGACGAGGGTACGGCCAAAACCTGAGCTTCCTTGCCGTCTTCACTGTCTCGGCGATATTGCACGAGATGGCAGTCGGCGTACCGACTCACAATATTCTGGGTACGTTCCCCGGCTCCAAATTTGAAACATTGACATCTAACAAGCTGAGCAGGTGTGGCATTCCTGGGTATGATGTTCCAGCTCCCCCTCATTGTGGTGACAGACTGGGTCAAGAGGGCCGTAGGTGAACCCAGGGGAAAGATAATTGGTAATTGCGTATTCTGGGTTACGTTCACGATCCTGGGACAGCCGCTCGCCGCCTTGATCTACTATTATGCATGGCAGGCCAAGTATGGAAGTGTGAGCAAGCAAGTCACCACTTATATACCTTCTCATTGACAAACGCGTTGGGGGTAAAGAAGAGAGCAGTGAGTCTTGACGCGAGCGCGCCTTTAATAGGTATAGTTGGAGTTGACGTCAATGGGGCAACCACGACAGCACCGTAATTAATGTATACTGCACTAGGCCTAGATGCAAAAACATAGGATTAACAACATAGAGCATTGAGTATTCTAGTGATTGGTGTCGTTTGGACGGGATCATCGCTTTGCATTGGTATTGTAGAGTGGTTTTTACGAGTGAGTATCTCAATAGGGTAGTGTTTATTTACTCCGGCGAAGTTCCTCCGCAAAACCCCCATGGCTTGGGTAGTTGGGCATTAAAGTAGGCATCGGCTAGCGAAGCCGGCACATCCCTGTGCTATCGCTGGGAAGCTCGAGCTTCGATCGGACGAGCTTAGTCGACACCTAAACAACAAACATGTCGGCAAGCCCGGTCTCTCCGGACTGTTTACTTCCTGACCACCTGAAGATGTGAGACGTCTTGTAGCCATCGCATCCAGTACCCGGAACCCAAGTTGCAACGCCTTCCGCGGTTTCGCGTATTAGGTCCCGTCACCCCACCGCCGACGCCCAGTGCCGTCATCGCCATCACCACCCCCGGTCGCCAATCATGGCGAGCAACCGCTTCGCCCGGCTGCTGCCATTCAGCGCCTCGACGACGCCGCTGCAGGCAACGACGTACCTCCTCGGCATCTCGCTCTTCAGCATCTCCTTCCTCGTCTTCCTCAACTCGGCCGTCTCCTTCCTCATCACCGACCTGCTGGACATCAAGCGCAACATTGGCGACATCGTCGGCACCCTCGGCTTCGTCGATGAGATCGTTGCCCTGGTCGCCTGCCCCGTCTGGGGGCTGGCCTCCGACAGGCTGGGCGTGCGCTGGGTAGCCGTTCTCGGGTACGCCGTCATCGGCCTCGCCCTGATCTGCTTCGTACAGGCGAGGGATGTCTACCCGAGCCTTATACTCGTCCGGATTCTGTTTGCCGTCGGCGCCACTGCCGCCGCAACGATGGTCACCGCAGTTTTACCGGTGCTGACCGATGACGAGGGATACATAGGAGACGGGGCGGAGGGGAGCCGCGGCAGGAAACAGCACGGTCACAGCAACCGCGACAGTGTGGCCATGAGTTTTGAGAGCGATGCCACCATCACGCCCGAGCGCTTCTCCAGGAGCATGTCGAACGGCAGCAGGCAGAGCGCGAACGATGAGGATGGTGCAGAGAACAACAGGACGGACGGCCAAGGGAGGAAGCCCGCGGTGCTGGCGGGATACGTGGGTTTGTTCACCGGGTGCGGAGCGCTGGTCGCACTGACATTGTTTCTCCCGCTACCGGCTCAATTCTCCAAGACCGAGGGCGTGACGCCCGCCCAGGCCATCACGAAGAGCTTCTACGTTGTGGCGGCGGTGGCCTTCCTTGTCGCCATTTTCGTCTTCTTTGGTCTGAGGGGGCTGAAGGGAGAAGAGGAGAAAGGGTGGCGTCTCCTGCTTGGGCTCGGCAGGAAGGAGGCACACGCGGCACACGAAGATGGATCAGCGGCAGATTCCAAGCCTCACAAACCACTGGCCTACCGCCATCTCTTGCTGTCATCACTGCGTCTCGGCGTAACTGACCCGCACATCGCCATAGGCTATCTAGGAGGTTTCGTCGCCCGCGCCAGCACCGTGGCTATCAGTCTCTTCATCCCGCTCTATATCAATACCTACTTCATCAGCAACGGCTTCTGCCAAGGTTCGCCGCATGACCCCTCCCCTGAGCTGAAGAAGGAATGCCGCGCGGCCTACATTCTGTCCTCGATCTTGAGCGGCGTGGCGCAGATGATTGCACTCCTCTGCGCGCCCGTCTTTGGATATCTCAGCTCGAGGCGATGGAGGGGCGTCAACCTCCCGATACTTGTGTCGACGCTCTGTGGCATCGTAGGCTACATTGCCTTCCCGAGACTGCAGAGCCCGGAGTACAAGGACATCGACGGCCGGGGCGGCAACGGTATTATCTTCCCCGTTGTGGCTCTGTTAGGGATAAGCCAGATCGGGGCCATTGTATGCAGTCTCGGCTCTCTAGGCCGGGGCGTGCTGAGCACAGATATACCAAGTACGACGTCCACCTCTTCTCAAACGCCCACCGCGGAGCAGGCAGGTGAGACGGCGCCACTGCTCGAGAACGGGGGCTCCACCCCGTCGGGTAACGGCGAGCGCGCCGTCTCTCGGGTCCAGCTGAAGGGCTCCGTGGCTGGTGTATACTCGTGGTGTGGGGGAGCCGCAATCCTGCTACTCACGAAACTGGGCGGATATCTGTTCGATGTCACGAGCAGGGGCGCGCCGTTCTACCTTATGGCGGGCTTCAACGCGCTGTTGCTGGTCGCCAGCCTGGGGATTGATCTCGGCAGGGGCTTTCAGAGCAGGGCAAGAGGTTTGGACAGATAAACAGTCTAGGCAAATATATTTTCATTTTCCGTTCACTTTGCTCAGGCACGGGATATGTCACGTGAAATTTCTGGCATTAGGGACATCGTAGGGTGTGATCTGATAGAGGAAATTCAGTAACATAGTATAGGCTTAGCCTATCATCGATGCGTGAACCTTGGAAAAAGGTGATGTGGAAACGACTAGATAATATAGTTGGCAATGTCCATGCCGGGGTAGGGTGTACTTACTGAATGGCCCTGCATACACCATTTACGTATAGTCGACAAGGACAAGAGGAGACATGAGAAGTTATCACCACCGCCAATCTATACGAAACTTTATACACGCTGATGGTACCTGGAGCTGGCACACCAATTCATATCTTACCTAGATTCAAATTGAGTGTCTATAGCCAAAAATCACGCATCATTTGATTTATCTCCATTGAAAAAGCTGTGTATATGCACAAATCGAGGTACCCAACCAGATTTGCGCGCCAGTCTTGTTCGATATTTCCCGCAGCGGTACAGCATTGCTCGCGAACTCGTCCAGGCTGGGATTTCAAGATCGTGATCCAATACCGGGGGGCATTCGACGAGATCAATAGGGCTGGCTAGCCGGCATGTGCTACAGACCAGTCGGGATGTCCGGCACGAATCATGACTCGCCTGGCTGAGCTAGAATTTTCACCCTTGGCTTGCCGCGTTAGAGATACGAAGCAGATGCGCTCCCCAGGTACGCGCGGTCCGCTGCTAACTTGCTGAGAGAAGAGAAAAAATTGTCCGAGGCGTTTCCAAGGCCCTTCGGTGAGCGAATGCAGCTACTTGGCGGCCAGTTGCGAAACCGGTCTCGGGAGGCGTCCAACAGTTCATGGGCGATCCCAGCCCGAACTCTGCGAATTGGATGGTTACACCTGCAGATGCCAGGGATGCTCGCATAAAAGACGCAGGCAATGTTGCAGGGATGCGGGGTTTGCAAGCCACTAGAAAATTTCTAGAAGGTCATGCCCCAAAACCAAAAAAGCCCGGAGGCTTGTCCGATGCCACCTCGACGATGCGTATGGCCACGACTTTGTGGAGACGCTGTGAAAAGACCGCCCGGTCTTCTAAGAGCCTCAGTTCAGGCTAGAACCCGTCGTCTTCCCAGGCCGTAAATCATAATTGGTACGCTGTACGTCACCAGCAGTCAAGTAGGGCTAATTGGAATTGAAGATGTGATTCGTGCGCATGCAGATATTGAAAGGCTCGGCGAGGGCTCTATGTCCGATGTACGGCTTTCATAATGTAAACCAACTGCAGTCGAGAGATCACTATAAGTCTCTTTACCTTTGAGTGTGTAGCTACCTTGGCATGCCACTGCCCCGAATCAACGCGGGCAGGTTAGAGCTGTGGTGTCAAAGCTCATGAATGGTGCTGTAGTTCCGTGGTTATCCTCATATTATATATGTACTAAGCCTGTAACTATTGTTTGCGGTTTGAGCCTACTGCGGGCGGTCGTTGTAACGATCCATGGGATTGAACGCCCTAAGGAAAGAAGACCCTTTGAACGGGCTGCGCCGTTCGGGTAAGTCTTGGTTCGCTCCCAAATAGATCGCCAGGACTTTCTATAAAGGCGAAGACTTGATGGCCGGCGCCGGGCGCCAAGGGTAGCTGGTCGCTTCCCTCCAAGCTTCCAGAAGTGCTCCTCGGAGATGCAGATATTGGCCTACCAGGATCCTGTGCTAGAGCAGCGTCGTCACCTTCTTATATGCATACTTGGCGCACATGTGCGTCTAACGAATACAGGGCGTTTCAGCCCCCTGTTGAAGCCAACGGTACTTGAGGCGAATGGTGGCTAGCCTTTCCGCTTTGAGCAAAAACATCCCGCTGCGTCTGCCGTCATCGCGGAACTAGTCTTTAACATTAGCGGAATTGATGTGCTATCAGCCTCAGAAACTGGGGTTGTGCTCAATTCGTCTGGGGGACGTGGGCTTCTAGGATATCGCGCAGAGCTCGTGTACAGTTCCAGGATCTATTACATGTCATGGCCAATATTTGCATGATGGACTCGAGGAGCCTGCCATGAAGTGGTGAGAGATTCCGAAGCCGTAGGCGCAGTCGCACAGCGGGGTTGACCATGAGGGGGTACCGTAGCCACAAGGCTTCTTGACTGGTTTAAGATGCTCAGATGACCTGGAGTTCTGAGAGGCTCGTAGTCAAGGGCATCTTCATTTCCGGCCAACAGCACAAGAATTTGTAGGCTCGCAGCCCGTGATCCGCCATGGCTCACTCGGAGAGTCCGACTTGAACAGCGGTAGATGTCCCAAAGCCTGGAGTTGCTTTCTAACGTCACATACTCACCGGCGACCTATCAAGGGTGCCTGTGTGTCCCAGATCTCTGGGCATGGTTGTGAGAGTGCAGGAGCCGAATTCGCTAGAGTCGCTGATCTATCATTTTGAAGGCGACGGTAAGGTGCCGGCAGGCAAGCAGACCAACAGGCGACAACGCTGGGCACCCTTATCAAAACTTGACTTGGAGAGCGTGCCCCTCTGGAGGCCACCAGACTGATAACACGCAACGCCTTTGATGTAACTCAGCCATAAGGAATACTTTGGTCGTGTAAGAATATGGCAGCAGTTTAGCGCAAAATTTTTCTCTCCATTGTGCAGCGTACCAGATCTCCGTCGAGCTCCTCGTCCGTGGGGTAATTGCGCGTGAGAAACGGAAAGATATCCGCAGGAGAACCAAAAGTTGGCTTGCATCAACACGCATGAACAGGACTGTTGATAAATCTGATAAAAACCCGTCCGACTGGGGATCAGCGTTAGGACGAATATACCTGGTAGCTGCCATCCAGGTCCAGGGCAGAGAAGTGCAGCCAAGCCAGGGGCCCCAGCTCGCACACTGATCTCGCGGGGTTTATGCACCTAAAGCATATACAAAGTAACTCCGTACCCATTTCGATTACTCTATAATAACCAGGGCTCGACTGGCTTCTCCACTCCTGCAAGCTCGTCGTCCTTCCTCGCACGACAGCAGCATCGTGTGTTTTCCTTGTTGCATCGAGTTGTCTAGGCCTTACGCAGGTCACAAGCCCGAGTTACCGTTACCGCGTCCAATGCTGTTGTCTCTCTGCAACTTCTACACGGTCCAGTGCTGACGTCGACGTCAATCTTGGTCCCTAGCCCAGTCGTCCTTGCAACCTCCATAACCACTGAAAGTTTGAAGGAGACCGCCTCAAAAAGACCTTGGCCTGAACTTGCAAGGCTAGTTAGTGGTGGGCCACGTTTCTGTGAGACGGCGAAACTGGAGGCAGAGCAAATTAGGAAACGCTTGGATCGGTCCCTTCACGACTCAGCTCCAGCAGACGGAAGTACCTGTACCAGCCCACACCACGCATGCACAGACTTCCAAGGCCGAGTACCTAGCTAGCCGAAGTGCGGTAGACGGTCGTCTCTTTGCTGGAGTCCCGAGAGAAGAGCTTTCCAAACCTCTCCACAGCAAAGCCATACTTTCATCTAATTTTCAAACAGCCCGGCGAGCGCTGTCAGCAGACTGATCTTACCACTGGTCTCCCTTAACTTCTTCCATCTGGTCGAGTCCTTCTTGATACTCTAAAAAGCCACCATCCACCGTCAGAACCACCTTCGCGTTCAACTTTTAACAAACAATTACATAAGAAGCCACACAGCTTCTGTTTGTTCTTACGAGACACCGCTGGTCATCACTTATCTTGACCTGCTACTGTGTCCAACCTAACCCCCCTGGAACCGCTTGGATCACCCTTATCTGTCGAAGATCAGTTCGCATCCCGTCCCAGCCTGTCGGATCTCCGGTCCCCCAGATTATGTTCTGATTAGCTTGCATACACGTGCTTGAGTGCCGGAGACGCTTGTTTCGGGGACTCGCCTGTGCGGATGTGGTAATAGTCTGGGGTCGTTGTATACTATCACGACATCACTTACACCTGGAAACCTTTACACAATCGAAACCCCCCGCCGTTGGGTATCGCATAGTCCGGGGTTGGCATTACACCCACACTTTGCCAACGTTTACTAAGTCGTCTGTGAGAGGCGATTGCCGCCCCTTATCGGCAACCGTCTCCTTTACCTGAGACTGTCATGTCGGACAAGATGTCCATTGACCAGAAAGAACCGTCCAAGGAAAGCACACCTGCGGACTCCAAGGTGTCGACGCCTGACGATGAGCACAGCCCATCTGCACCGCAAGAGGCGCAACCCGCCAAGCGCAAAGGCGGGCGCAAACCTGTACGTATGACCCGATCATCTACACCACCCCTCCGCTATACCTCACCTACCTTGTCATCGGACTTTACCAAGTACCCCTCATGTTGTGGTACAGAATCTTCAGTCCAACTAACTTGACCGTAGATCTACGCGACCTCAGAGGAGAGGAAGCAGAGGAACCGTCAGGCCCAAGCTGCCTTTCGGGAACGACGGACAGAATATATCAAACAGCTCGAGGAGACCATCAGGGTCCATGAGTCTAACCTGTCCAACCTGCAAGCCGCTCACCGCAGTGCTGCGGATGAATGCTTGATGCTGCGGTATAAGAACTCGCTGTTGGAACGAATTCTCTTGGAGAAAGGCATCGACGTCCAAGCGGAGCTTCAGGCCAAGACGGGTAGCCCAAACCTTGGTCCTACACACATGCCACAGAATATGGTTCAACCGCCACCCATCCAGAGAGCCATCTTGAACAGACACCACCACTCGCGCAGATCTGCTTCCAGCATCGCGCCCAAGATGGAGCCAGGTGCCGGTTCTATGCCACCATCAATCCACGGCCTACAGACTGTAACATCGCCGAAGTCGCGGCCGACGCCGCCCTCGCATGCCAACTCTCCTACCAACCCCAACCCAGGATTTGGAGCTTCGGCCGTTTCGCCGAACACCAGCGAAGCTCCTAACATGAGACCAGGCGTTCCTCAACCGATGAGGCACCTGCCTCCAATGCAGGGACCCGTTGCCGCGGCGGCAGCGCGACAGCAGATGATGCAGCATGGCCAGAGTGTTGGGCAACGGCCAAACAACTATTACCCGACCCCGTCTTTCCAAAACCATATCAAGCAGCTCGGCAAGTTGACCCATACATTCCCTTTAATAGAACTTTGGCGTCCTAGGCTTATTCCGTGAGTACAGAACAGGAGTACGATGCTCCAAACGACATGATCGACGACGTGGAGCCCGAGACTCCTGGCCCCGGCCCGTATCCGACCCAATTCGCCGGAGGCCAGCAACCAAACATGCCAATGCAGCCGGGAACGACTGGTCCACCGGCTCAGCATGCGATGGCGGAGGAACAAGAGTCTGGCCAGACATCAGGCCAAGGTTATCCGTCCATGACTCAACTACTAGATCCGGCACTGGACTGGGATCCTTTTGGCCTGAGTGCCTCGATGGCTTTCCCGACGCAGTTCTCCTTCGACACGAGCAGTATGCGATGATTGCAGCATGCATGGGATTATACCTTGCACGCCGCAGGATGAGGACAACTCCATGGTGCACTGATCGAGCGGGAATGATTAGACATTTCAATTGTTTGGTGCCCGTTTTCTGATGCTACGCGGCAGTTTAGCAACCTAGGCGAAGAGTCGGACCCCAGCCACGAAATGACTCTAATGTCACGACAGTACGTCAAGGCGAGAACCGGGGACCCGGGGGCCTGGGACCCGGTTTGGATTGTTACGGGCAAACATTGTCGGGTGAATCTCGAACTTCGGAGGACCTGGATCTAAGACGACTTGACCTTCGACACGATCGCAGCAAGGACAGGAAAAATGCATTATACCCAAAAAGGCACGGCGGGCGACTGGTTCAGTAAGCATTTGGCGTTCGGATGGTTGGGGGGGAAACAAGAGAAAAGTTACTGGTTCATCGCTTAAATTCAACGACGCGGACGACGGCAAATGGAGACCCGGAGAACCCCATATGGTCGACACCAAACGACAATTCACTTGTTGAAAAAAGACCATGGTGAGATAGCCGCGCGTGGCCGAAGCTGCTTTACAATTACAGGCACACCTTCCGAGGTTCATATTGCTTTCAGGTAACCCCCGCTGGCCAACGCCTCACGGGGAAACATCTATCTGTATATATTCTCTAAGGGCAAGCAGGGTTTCAAAGAGGTCTCTTAAAAAGGTGTCTATCGTGTTTTCTCGTTCTTCAATTCTCTCTAGCAAGCATCGACTGGCGATGGCGTGATGGATCTCTTCCTACAGTATGTCCCCGGACAAGTGTTCCGGTCGGAGCACTTCCAGATTTGTGTATATACCCATTTGGTGGTGCATGGTTCACGTGTTGGATGTTGTGGCTTGAATATGACCCGGGTCCGGCTTGCTGCGGAATAGCCAAGCCAAGGGATACTGGAGGTCGATGTAGATATACTTCTAGGTAGCCTAGCACCCTTTGAATCCAATGCGGATTGGAAAAGGAAAGACGTTGAAGTCGTCATGCAGCGCCCGCACCGTGATTCAAGCATCTCCGAGGAGGGCAGACCCCAGATTATTCAATAAACGAGTCGGCATGCTTTCGCTAGGCTTGCCGAAACGCCAGACTAGGAAGCGGCTCCAATTGGAACTCAAAGACGCGCAGGTGGGCAAAGCTCGCAAACCCCGACGTCAAAGCCCGGAAGGATAAGGTACGCCGGCCGCTGGAAGGCGTCGCCTTTGCGACATCAATACGGTTCGCGTCCCATCCGTTGTACAATTCCATCGTGCTGTGCGCAGATTGGCACGCGAATCCAGACAGCCGCGTCCCTCCCCTCGGCGGAACGAAGACCGCTGTGGGAATAAAGAGACATGTGGTGGATCTCTCTTGTTCCCGAGCTAGCATCGTCCCTTCTTCGGCGGTCCGCCCACCTCTTCTCGCTGGCAGCATTATGCGTTCCTCGGGGTTGGCAAGGCCAGGCCCCACATAAGCCTCGGAATCTGTTGCCTGCATGGGCGGGCACATTCACCTGTTCAGCGGCCGTCGTAGCAGATGACCTGTTAATTCGAGGGCTGCTTTTCCGGCGGTCCCCCATTTCGACCGCCCGCTGATCCTTTGGCTTTGCCCAGTTGCTCACACATACTGCTCTTCGCCCTCTGCCAGGCACTGATTATCCTCATCTTCTTCACCGCACTGGCTGGTGCCAGGCCAGATCACCGCCTCGGTAGTCGCAGCCCATGTGGAGCGCTCTCGATGTCTTTGGTGCGGCCATGTACAGTACTTCCGTGTTAGAATGCGCGCGTAGGGGTCTCCTGGCACAATGGAGGGGCCCTGGGAAAAAACTGCAACAGGAAAGTGCTGGCGACTAGTGCTTGGTTTCGAGGGCGGGCGGGGTTCTAGCGGAGGTGAGAGAGTTGGAGACACATTTTCTTGCGTGCCGCCCGTTCCATGGAGCGGCGCTAGCCCAACCAGAGGTCTCCGGACGAAACTGAGGTTCTATTTTCTGCTCAATCTCCCGCGCCGGGCCATCGTCGATTTGTCTCGGCATTCGTCGCTTTCTTGCGCTCTTCCAGCTCAGGGTTTCTTTTAGCGTTCATGGCGGCTTTCCAGACTGTGTGTGTGTATGTGTGTCGCGCCCAACGTTACCGGCCTCCCCAACGGATCGCTGACGGGGAAGTGTAAAGTTGTTCCCGTGACACACCCTTCCAGACCGCTCATGAGGGTATCGTGACATTTGCCCCCTCCGTGCGCCAGCCCCAGCAGCCCCGACGGTTATCGTGGCTCCGGGTCTCGCGCTTTTCCTTGCTCGTGGCCTAGATTCCTGTGGATCGCAGCGTGCCAACAATGCTCGCTCGGTGGAGCAAGGCCAAGCAAGGTCATGTGGGCGGGCGACAATTTCAATAGTCTCTGTCGTTCTCCAACTCGTCGTTCTCCAGGGACTCGGAACCGTAAATCGTAGTCTCCAACACACGATCTCCAACTCCTCCAAGCATGTAGGTGCTACTGCAGTAGTTTGTCGGGTCTCCAAACGGCCTCGAGTCGTATGCATCTATCCGATGGTCGTGGCTGTCGATGCTCAGGTCGTTGTGGGTGCAGCCTCCGCTGGCAAGGATTCATGTCGGTGAGCAGTTGGATACACGCATACGGTTGCGAATGGCCCAGGTGAAGTCAAACTGCCACATGGCACAAGTCGGATGACTTGATGCATGATATTCGATGAACATGCGAAGCCCCTGAACTACGATCGACTTGATCGAGGGGCAAATCGCTCCCGTAAAGAGGTCGAAAAACGGCCCAGGTAACGTCTCTTGTGATGCTTGCAGGTGGACTTCCACATGTTTCATCGCGACACGATTAGGAAGTTGTCGAAGACTGGAAGACCAACTCGACAGAGCTGCAGGGAAATCCCACTTGGAATTCGCAGATCGCAGTGGCGTTTTGTATCTTGAATCGAGAGATAAAGAAGAACATGTAATAACTCTTACATAAACCAGCAGGTCTCGAGTTTCAGCTCTTCAACAGAGCGAGTATAGAGACCACGCGGGAAAGCACTTGCAAATGGTATGTGCCAGTTGATGCGTACAACAGGCAAAGGTCCAGAAAACTATCTACAGGGACTGGTTGGGAGAAAGGCGGCCATTCATATATGTATTATGTATGCGTGGTGTCTTTCGGTCTCTTATCTCGCTTCCGAAAGGGGGTCGGATGCCTCCTTGAAGGCGGCGAGGTGATGCAGAGAGATAAGGAAGAGGAAGCGATTATTAACAGATTGACAATCGCCGCGGGATAACCGGCACCCCACGAGAAACTTGTTACTTTTTTCCCTCTATTGCTGCAATGCAAAGCCCGCGGGAAACTGAAAGGCCATTGGCCATACCCTTCGTCATGACCATTGTTTATCGGTATTACTATTTTCATGGCCTGGATTGGCCAAGAGACGATTGAAAACTACAAGGTAATGGAGGTTCTTTCCGCAGGCATTTGTCCCCATGGGGCAAACAGGAAGGACAAGAACCCTTGGGCTTGGCCGCGGAGTTGAGACGTGGCCGTGACTAATAGCAGCATGTAAATCTGGATTCAACCTGGCATAACAGTTTGTCATCATCGACGACGAGTCGCCATCGATCTCGAAAGCCATACCCGGACCGAGCTGGGGACTCCAGACTATGCCGATCCGGGGTACACAGGCGACGTAGGGCTGATTCTGCTCACCTCTGACCGGTCGAGGGAGGAAAACCTAACTCCAGATGAGCCTGTGTAAAAGCACATGGTAGCAAATGGGAATTGCCGAGTCCCTCTGGCCGGATTGCTACACACGATGGAGGCATTTGAAGACGAGCATATCGCTGTGAACAATATGTGATCAATTCCGTAACACCGATATCGTATCTGTGGCATCTCGAAGGCAGCCAACACGCATCCCGTTGTGGCCTACGTTCCTCCAGACAGAGTGTATACCATCGTACAAGCATTCAAACCGCGGCCGGAAGCAGTTTGGCAGGAATTGAATTTGCTGGTCCCTGTGAGGTCAACCTCGGCTTGCATACGACTTGAAAGAAAACGCGTCACGGTCGGATTTGCTTGTCATTGACTTTTTTTTTTTTTTTCCACAGACAGCCAGTGCATGGGCCAGCAAGCCAAGCCGTAAGTCCAGATTGGTGAAGGGGACAAATCTGGACGTGGACATAGCTCCAGGCCCTTGTGCACTTTTGTGGTGTCAGAGCTTGATCCGTGCTCAAGCTTCGAGTAAGCTGGGCAACGGCACATCTAACTACTGTCTACGCTCGAGAGCTGTATGCATGGCCAGTGACAGGAATGAGGAGACGGCAAGCATGGAGACCAACATGACTATGCGACCAATATCAGATGGAAATGCGATGTTGGGTTCCGCGACAACATAATTATCCCAATGCTTCTAGTCACTGGTGGCCTCGTACCTGCAGTGACAAAGTCTCGACACGATGACAAGGTTAATTGATGGAGAAGCTCGGGGCAGAAGAGACGTAGCTTTGACTGGCTCGATTGACTGACGATGGGCCCGGCTCGGGAGCTGGCTTGGCGACGAGAGAGGTACGGAGTGCGTATGCGCGGTAAGGTTGAACCCTAACGGCCGGCAATTCGGGCACAGAATCAAAACAATATTGATCTAGCTCCGCATAAGCGAGGGGTGGACTGGCCAGGAGTAAAAACCAGAGGGAGAGAGGCGCACGGAGCACATTTGCCTGGGGGGTAGCCGGCTTTGGTAGGTTGGGAGGGTAGCTGGCAGCCCAAAAGAGCACCCAGCGCAGCACAGAACAGCACAAAACAGCACGGAATAGCACGGCAAAGCTTGGGCCAGCACCTGGGCTGGTCGGAAAAATACAGGCCTACAGCTTTAGGTCCAGTAGGGTAGGTCCACGGGTAGGCAGAGGTTAGGACCTAGGCAGCCCAGACAGCCCACCCACAGGTCCAGGACCCGGTCCCCACGCACCACGCACCACGCAGAGCGAAAGAGCTCCCAAGTTCCAGGGCTGTGATTTCGACCCAGCCAGAGAAATAATCTCCATCCCGTCCAAGTCTGTGGACATCCACCCTACTCCTCACCCTGCCAATCCCATTCCGGCGTCGACTCCCCCCGTTGACTCCTGTTCGTTCGACGACGCTTCAATTTCTGCCAGAAGGATATGACCTGCTAGGCCGTATCCTTTCCCAACGTCGCACCTCCAGCCCATTGACCGATAGTCGTCCTTAACAGCTACGCCTTGCTGAAAGGCGATTAAATCGGCGGCACAATGTCGGTCGCCTCAAAGGTATGTCATGTTCATCTTGCCTCTCTGTGTACTGGCTATTGTTTTTCCTCGATGCCGTCGGCTGCGTCCCGTGTCGCTGGGGCTCGTCCTCCGCCGTCGCTGTCAGACCTCGACCCAATCCACCATCGCCATCATCCTGGATGGGGCGGTGCATCACGCTGCCTCCAGCCCATTGCACACCTCCAAGAGACCTGAACCAGAGCTGACCCTACCTCGACAGAACCTGTTCGCCCTCCTCGGTACGAAGCCTCATTTGATGCTACCCCGGCAGTGAAAACTCTGCCCGTGCTTGGTGGCCATGACATCACTAACCCTGCTCCCCATCTCACAGGCAACGACGAGGAAGAAGCCCCCTCGGGTCCCGTCAAGACCGTCGACAAGAACGCCCCCCGCACCACCAAGCGCAATGTCGAGCCCGTAGCTCCGGCCAAGCCTGCTGGCGCCGCTAACACCGGTGCTCGCCGCGGCCCCGGAGGCAACGAGGGAGGTACGTAGGCCCTCGCAAGAGACGTCCCAACCCCCCAATGATCTTACCAGGGGACTAACTCGAGCTTCGTACAGCTTTCCGCGACAGGGCTGCCGGCCACAGCGCCAACCAGCGAAGGCCTACCGAGGAGAACTCGCGTGGCGGCCCCCGAGGTGGCCGCGGCGCTCGTGAGCGAGGTGGTGAGTCTCCACGTCACAGCTGACAGCTGGTTCAATCCGTGAAGTTGACCTTGACTAACTTGACCAAAAGGCCGCGGAGGTCGCTTCCCCCGCGAACGCGATGACCGCCACTCCAGGGGCATTGCCAGGTAATTATCGCATCCTGCCCACACTGGGTTCACTGTAAACTAATGATGGCTCAGTGGATCTGACAAGCAGGCTGCCCAGTCCTGGGGCGCCACCGAGGGTGATGCCGAGCGCAAGGACGAGCAGGCCGGCGAGGCCATTGCCCAGTCCGAGCTGAAGGACGCCACCGCTGAGGATGCCCAGGGTCCCGAGACCCCCGGTGAGCCCGAGAACAAGAGCATCTCGTACACCGACTACCTCGCCCAGCTGGCCGAGAAGAAGGCCGCCCTCGGCGAGAACCTCGCCATCCGCCAGGCCAACGAGGGTAGCAAGCAGGACAAGAAGTGGGCCAGCGCCAAGGCTCTTGTCAAGGATGAGTCCGAGGATTTCATTGCCGCCACCGCCAGCAAGACCAAGCGTGAGCGTGAGCGCAAGGAGAAGCAGGTCGTCGACATCGACCACGGCTTCGTCGAGCAGTCGTCTGACCGCCCCCGTGGAGGTGGCCGTGGTGGACGCGGCGGCCCCCGTGGCGGTCGCGGTGACGCTCGTGGTGGACGCGGTGAGGGTCGTGGTGCCCCCCGTGGCGGCCGCGGTGGTCGTGACAACGTCACCCTCAACCCCAAGGACGAGTCTGCCTTCCCCAGCCTGGGCGCATAAGTCAATCTCAGCATTGACCGATAGTGGTTCTTGTCTACCCGAAAGACAAGCACGGGATTGTTCCCAAAATGGTGGTAGTTTGCTAAGTACCAAGGGGATCTGGACCCGGACGTCGAGATGGATCTGGTCCTTGGAATGTATTTCGAACCCGGCCACGTGCAGCATATGAGAGGTCCGGAGGTTCCTCTGAAGAAATGAGAAAAAGTTTCCTTCCTCTGACTACCCGAGCCTGGTGTGGAAAAAAATGGTTGGCCGTTCAGGAGGCCATTTTCGTTTGCATTGTACGGTAGAGTCTCTCACGGCTTGTCAATTGATCGCAAAATTCCCTCAATCCGGTCGGCATTCAAATATCCTCTGTGAAGAACAACTTGAGGATATCACAGGCCTCGTCAAGTGTTTTGTTATTGTTATTTGCCTGTAATTTGATACTGAAGTATAGCCGAAACCAAAGTCATTCGACTCTTGATTTGCTAGCTACGAATTAATCCCGGGCCGTAGATCGCTGGTACTCTGCTCCCTAAAGTCTGCGTCGCTTCTGTCTTAGGGCCAGCTTGCGTATAAACCTGTACGCGCGTGGACTGGGCTCATTGGCGGGAAGTCAGAGAGTAACGCCACTTCAGGGCCAGCAAAAATTAACCACATGGGATCCCCTCGGGATTATCGCGTATACTGCAAGCTTTTCCGAGTTTCAATGGGCAAAAAACCAACCAATCTCCTGGCTTGGCCAGGAGCTACTATGCCCAATATCGGAGTCGAACCGATCGCCTCCTCATTACTAGTGAGGCGCTCTACCGCTGAGCCAATCGGGCCGTGTCCATATGCTGCCGAGCGATGATCGAGAAACTCGACGTCTGTGAAGACGAGAGAAACTTGCGATCACGAAACTCAACAAGCTGAAGTCACTGGAGTTCAATGACTTCTGTGTCACGGTGGCGGTTTAAGTCAATTTATTTTGAGAGGTTTCCTTTCCTGGGATGCGGACCAGCCGCTCGAGTTGAGTATACGCGCCGTTGCTTGGTGAGTGGTTATGCATATAAAACTGGGCCCTCGCACTCTTACCATCGCATACGACTGACTATGCCTCCTAGATCACTCGGGATCCCGGCCGATCTCACCTAGATAAACTGGAGAGCGGATCCGTCTTGTCAGTGGCAAAGCGGAAGACCATGCCCTTGGTGGCATTGTAGCCTGCGATACTGAACGCCGATGGCATTAAAGGACTCACGGAGACCCACAGGACTGCTTCCCTCGCCCCGATGCGGTGCCGCAACGGCCTTCTACATTGCTATTGGGCGGTTGAATGTCTCGTTGCTAAGTTACCTACTGACCAACCACGGGAATCAGATTCGTCCTGGAAGTTCACGGCGGAGCAGATTAATGATTGTTGTGTAGATATTTTGACGATATTTCCAGACGATTGAATCGGTTGCAGGAGAGAAAGAAATGATTGCAAAGCGCCTTTCACTCTTGCTAGGAAAGTGCTGATCCTTGGCACAAGTTGTTGAGACGAGGTCTGGAGAAGGAATATCACTGTTAGGTAACAGCATGCAAGAGGTGAATGGACAAATGGATGGTGGACTGTTTATTTACTTTCCGCGACTCTTCTAAGATATCGATCCACATGTATCTGACAGCGCGTTGGTTTTCAACAATTCAAGACGATGTACTTTCCCGCCTGCACCCGCCCCGGCCTCGATGTCGAAAGTTGTACTCCAACCACTCGCCTCAACGGTCGCGTTGGCCCGGAAATATTGATACCCGCTCTTCTCCACGCCGGGAATCGGCTCAAAGGCGATCGTCTCAAGCTGCAATCTTGGGAGCATCACTCCAGGTCGAGCAACACGGTGAGCGAGGTGCAGAACGGGTGGGCTGTTAGCATCCACCAGGTCGTTCCGCAGAGCCGCAGTCACGGATAAAGCCATTGCTGCCCCATTGTTGATGAGGCAAGATTCCGGTTGTTGATACAACAGATCGGACGTCACGGCATAGCCTCCAGTGCCTTCGTTGTCCAGCACCAACAGAGCGCCACTTGACGGGGTCTTAAGATGAATGTCGAAGTCGCGGATGGACGCAGTGGCGTTGAGGGACTGGGAGAATTCAAACCAGGTGAACGTATTGTCCCAGAATCCAAACGACTGCCCACCTCTTGCGCGGGCTCGGTTAGCTACGACGGGCTCTGAGATGCTGGCCCCGGAGAGGTCCCGGTAGCTAAGAGACACCTCAAGGTCGTCGCCGTTGATCTTCAGTTCTGGGTTGTTCCGCACTCTGACGCGCCCCTGCAGCAAGACGGAACCATCCTCTTGCAAGTGCAGAGGATCGATGTAAGGCTTCACATCGACGATCTCTATCGGATCACTCAGGGTGACTGTCGATGGAACAGTGTCGAGCATGCGCTCGAAGATATCGGCACATTTGGCCTGGAAGTTGGCGGGGTCAGCAAGGGCGGACATGGTTGCGTTGCCATCGGCACCGAAAACGCGCTTGTCTGACTTCATTGTGTCATTGGCCCCGACTATGAGTGGGTTTGACGTGCTGTCGTCAAGATACTCCGTTACCACTGTGTTGTCAAAATTTGTGGGCGAGGAGTCGAACGGCGCAACGTTCTCCTCCGTGGCCTCGCCAGAAACCAACTCCGGGAAGTTGACGCTATGAACGTTGCCGAGACTGTGGCCGCAAGCTACCATCGTAATCATGTCCTCTATTTTACAGAATTAGTATTTTCAGTGACATGCGTATATCCAGAGAAGCAGGGACGGAGAGAAAGCAAGACAGCCGCAAGGTTGAAGAAGCTTACCATCGTTGAATCCAGCTCTGAGAAATGCCTTTCGGGTGCTCTCAAGGTCATCCTCTGGCTTGGGGACGCCAGCCGGGCCCGCCTCTGTTGCATCCACGCGGCCTGCACGAAGAGGGACTTTTGGTCCATCGCACGCGGCCAATGCGGCCACGAGACTAAGGGCGAGCAGGTCTGACACTGAGGACTGTGGCGTGATGAAATCATACATAGCCGCAAAAGTGTTGTTGAACGCAGACCCAACGTTTTCCGGTCTGTCGAGCTCGAACTGGAGAGATGCATCAAGGCCCCCTACGCCGGTGGACGCATCAAACGTGGCGATGTCATGGAATACCGAGCGAACCCATTCTGCTGCATTTTGAACGCCGGGCAAACCTGAGCCAAACCCACACGGCACAACCACTTCGCGCAAAGTCAAAGTTAGCAAGCTGTAGGGGAAAGCGTCACAGGGAAAGCAGAAGCAGCCAACTAACAGTCCGAAAACCCAAATCTCAAATAGCCAGAGTGCATGGCCAGTAGATCTTCCAAGTGGTCATACTTGGACGGCCAAACATATGAGCTCGTGGCCTGGCCCAGAAGACCCAAGATAATAGCAGATGGTATATGCATCTTGAAAATATTATAGAGAATAGGATCCAACCCCCAGCAACTTCAGTCCAATGTAGAGTCAACTCGGAAGGGCCGCGTCAAAGGCCTTGGAAACTGAAGTATCTGCTTTAAAGGGACGACTTTTACATGGTTTTGATGTATGCTGGGCGCGCCCCTTGAATTCTACGCTAACAACAACCGCCTGTGTTCGATGATCTTGGAAAATGTAACTGCGGAGGTCGTGTTACGAGCGGGATGGCTGAATACGAGCATGTACCGGGGCTACCTTCTCTAAATGCTTAGTTTGGTTGATCGCCATTGGCTCCGTGCTCCCTCTCATTAACAGAAGTTGATGCATTGCTAAGCGACTCGGTGGGTGCGACGGGTCAACCCACCCTAAGCGAATCTTGGCGGTTTGCTGGGTTACCTTGACTTATCGTACACAGAATAAAATAAACATAAAAATAAGGTTGCAAGGAAGTGCTTATTAATAGCAATATGGCAGTCCTCTAGGCTTGTCTGCGTTGCGCGAAAGGCGCTGTCTAGGCTGATGCTACTAGTGTTCCATAGCAACCAATCAAATATTTTGCATTTCTCGTTTTGGGTATTGTCAAGCATAGCGCGCGCTGCCACTCAGCGGCGATATACTTTGCGTCAATATTGGCCTTCTCGTTGAATTTCTACGAGATCGTGTGTCTCTTTTGGTTAATGAAGAAGCCGACGAAGCCTACACAGCCATTAGGCCCGCTATTTCCTTGATCCCATACTGCTCCAGAAGTCGCGGCTACAGGGCTGCGGCCTGGTCCATCGGCTGGTTACGTCCACCTTCACGCTGGTGGCGCTGGCTCTCCTGCCGCGTGACTGGGACGACTTCGTGGCCGACAACCCATGCCCTTCTGAGCTTGGGCCTATACTTGACCTGCGCTGAGGTCTCGGAGTGAGGCTGCATGGACCGATTCAACGTGATCCGTGGAGTCATTCAAGGTCACAGCTCCACTTGGCACTTATATTTAGGACGTTCGTACATAATACGGTGACCGGCACACTCGGCACGCTCATTCGCCTCCGCGTAATCGTCCTGAAAGTGGTCGTTTGCCACGGTTGGTTGGCAGTACTTAGAGGTCCAATCCTCGAGCACTGGCCTCTCATCGCCGAACTAGTCGAGACAACTCGTCTTCTTTACGAGGAAGGCGAGGAGGTCTGGCCGTTTTGGAAGTAGTACAAGGCACATACCTTGTCCCACCCTTGCCGTGTTGTCCATCTTCGTATCTATCTGGCGCGCGAGGTTACAGATCTCGCAAGAAGACAGATGCTGTTCGTTCTTGATCGCCATGGAGCCATTCCTGTCCATATAGTGGTCTTTTATGTCTATATAGAGCTGCAGGTACTGGAGAAATACTCCATGTGCGTGCCCCTTGGAGTAATTATATAATTGTCACAGGCATGCTCGATGATCTCTATTACAGTGCCTGCATCCACCTTCTTGATGATATCTTGCCATCGCCCAAAGTTGTTGAACTCGCAAAACATCTGTCCTTTGTCAGGAGGATGCATGGTATGCATAGGGTTTCGAGAATTACCTTCGCCGCTTCCGTAAGACTCCAGCTGTATGAACCTTGGTAGTGTCCGTACCCCGAGGGTTGAAGAAGCACTCTGTTTTCTGTATACATAAGGGCAGCTTATAACTTGAGCTCGGAGACTGCTGATGAACGGCACAGATAAGAGGATGTTGCGTTGCAACAAGTTGAAGGACGTGAAAAGTGTTGCAGATTGAGCTAATCAGTTAAATTATATGTTGCTTGGCAAGCTCAGTTGATCATTTCACTTAATTGTGGCTTCTCTTTCCAAGATAATCCCGCAACTGGCCGCCTGACCATTCGAAACTTAACACCAATCCTGACACGCCGATGAAGGCTACCACAGCCCTGAAGCGGTCACCGTAAGGGCCTCTTATACTCCAAATGCGTTAGCACAATTCCCTCGCTATATTCTGGTCGACCATCTGCAGATCCGTCTTCCTACCTGCAGCCTAGTTGGGGATTCCGCTGTGTTTTATTCTGGCGTACCTGCACAACCAATTTTACCATTGCGCGCGTTACCGTTTGTATACTCTAGCTATCTCTAGATTTGGAGGGCTTGGAATTGCTCTGGAATATCCACTTTCCCAGTTCCGTTGCGTGCATATTCAATCCTAGACAATATCGATTAATAAAACGTACAGCAGATCTGAGATAAGAACGTGGGATAGATATGACTGATATGTATCTCTTGTCCTCTTGGGTATTTCGGAAGAGATGTAAATTGCTTACTGTGGCTTATTAGCTCAAAATGTCATCAAGATGTAAGTTAGAGAAAGATAGCATACCAATTGGTTGAGAACATTGTCCTCCAAGCCAGCAATGTTATATCTGGTTCCGTCCGCCAGTATCAACTCGTCTGGCTTCTGCGTTGACGTGCACGGCTCGTCCTCGGCCCGTTTCTTGGAATCAAAGAAATATCTGGTCCCAGTGAAGGGGGGGTCCCCAGAAAAAGGCCTGATGCAAACATAGTTTGTATTGACGGCGGGGTTTGTGTATGCAACAATGGAGCATCCGCCGCCAAAGTAGGCGGTCATGGAGAGCCTCCAGTCGGTTGGAATACCGCGGTAGCCGACGGTATTGCTTCCGGACGAGGTGCAGCAGACACCAGGGTTCAAGTCCTTGCAGAGAGTCGCCGGGCCGTCGCAGTCGCCGCCTAAGTGGAAGTAGGCATCGATGGCCGAGGCGGTGGCGGCGAGGCCGAGGAGGATTTGGGGATATAGCATGGTTTATAGCGAGCAGCTCAATTGATGGGAGTGAACAAGACTTATGAAAGTCCTGGGGGAGAACTGGCACACTTTATATAACATTTGGCGGAGTGTAAAAGAAATAATGAGTTCGTCTGGACTGCAGATTGTATATGAATCGTGGAGTATTTGCTCATGCTTTTCACGGTGATTGGGCTGTTGACTTTTCGAGCTGAGTCCTGCACAGCTCGTATAAGCTGACTCTCGGCCGTGGCCCTTGCAAACCTTACAAAATGTGTAAGCATAAGCACCGTATGTTCCACACGTCAAAGCTACAGTCGACTTCTGCATAGTATGCCCAGATTCCAATAGCTTACCTTTTCGAGCTATGGAGCTCGCTTGCGGGCAATAACAAAGCGGCGGTGAATGATGGAAACGGAGATCCTGCCTCACTCCCCTACCATATAAGCCCAACCCGATCCAATGCGTAGCACAATCTTGGCATATCCACAGGAAGGATCACGAACTTATCATTGGCTATTAGGAAAAGTGTGGGGAGAAGATTGAGATTAAGATGATATTTTGGTAAGAATGCGTATGTAAATAGGATTATACGGTAAGCACTTGATGCGGAAAGAGAACGATCCCTTCGGTTGTAGGGCAGCCCTGCTATCTGACTGAATATGGATGGTGGGTAGCCACTCATGGAGCATCTATGCACTCTAGCCACATCCCGTGAACGTACTATACAATAAAATATGTTTGAATTTGAGAACTGGTTTCCATGATATCATAAGCTCTTGGGAGCATGCTGAGCTTTGTCTCAACGAGTAAAGGAGCTACGATTACAATATCGTCTCAGGATATTGATAATGCTCGCTACGTCCATGTACATCATACTCCCACTCTTTCAATGCAGTATAATCCTAAGCCTGGTGTCATTGTTCCCAGGCCCTGCAACGAGTCAATGTGTCTTTCCTACGGTCCGGTCGTAATCAAAGAAACAGTCCAGATGCGTCAAGTGACCGGTTACGCGGCTTGAATGACCATTATGCTCAACAATAATCTTATGTTTACTATCCTATGTCCCATGAGAGACAAAGGAAGAGCAAGTATATAAGCGGTTTCTAGATCCTGCTACAGTTGGAGACTGCTCCCTATCACAGCAAACAAAACATTCATAACAATCAAGGCAAGAATCGGAGTCGAAATCTGATTTTGATACCTGTAAGTTTAAACACAGCAATCAACACTCGAAAGATTTTCGCTTGAGGTTAAGACTATCGATTCTTGTACTTTATCGTATCGATATGGCCAGCAGCAAAGCAACCTCTAGCTACGAGGAGATGATGAAAATGGTCCTCGAGGCCCGTGAGCGTACCGGCAAGGATGCCGAAACCACCCCCTCCCACTCTTCCAGGACTAAGAAGCGCCTACAATCCCTGCAAGTGCAGTCCGAAGGCAGCGTGTCCTCACCACAGGCGAAGAACCAGAACGCCAGCCAGAATTTTGCAGAGGAACTCGTGCCACGGCGCCGGCCGGCCGGCGAGGACCGTCTTTTGCCTACATTCCAACGTGAGGACGCCATGGTTGGGCCGCGGCCCCGTGCGGTCGGGGGTGAGTATGGACGCGCGCCGCTGGTGGTAGACGAGCTGGATATGGAGGAGTGCACCCCGCGCATCCTGGTTCCGAGAAAACACGTCCCGTTGCTTGACGAAGACGTCATGTCACCCCGCACCGAGGTCGAAGGGGCGCCGAGCGACGCGTCCATCGACGAGCATCATCTCCAGGAATCGCCGTATGTTGAAACACCCATGGTTCTCCTGAGTCCAGCAGAAGAGACGTTGGGATCCGGCAGCGGCTGGCTGGTTGTGGATTACTATGACGAGGACGCTCAGGTTCTGCGCTCTCCGTCAAGGACGCTGAGAGTTGGGAGCTGGGAACACGAGGAGGCTTTCGAGAGGGTTTGAATGTCCGGTAAGTTTACGGATGCCGCACCTGTGCCCAAGGCCTTCTCAAGAGGGTGGTGATTTGTAGTGTGCTACTGTATGTATATACGCACACAAAAATTAGACTTTGAATAGTAGCAGGGCAATGGGAATTGATGATCATCGTTAGTCTTCGACTAGCCAACGGCTTTTGCTCTTTTGGTAATTGTGAAATGTTGTGTTTATTCTTGCCCGGATCTGTGGCCTGAAAGCGAGTGAAGGCATTCTGACCGCTATAGCATCCGCTAGGTTGCAAGAGCAACTCCGCAGATGCTACTCAGTGGATTGCCGAAATTCTGAACCAAGACAACATCCACCTGATGGGTCCAACCCCTTGCTCAGAGCCGATACTTTCCTTCTCCGCTTACTCATTGTTCCCCAACGAGTTATCGCTACTCGCGATGGGGCCTTTGTTACCAGCATTGTGACTTCGTGAGCTCTATGCTTTATGGTCAAGCCTGTCCTTTGCTCTCCTCCTCGCTTCGCTCAATAATCTGCTCACTTCTGCAGATTCTGTGGCTAGGAATTCGGGGAAAAGAGTCTCGGCTACGTCGTTTGGCGTCAGCCGTGGATGACCGGGAAGCCTGGGGTGTCTTCTGGTCACTAAAGTCGGGTCTGCCCCGTATTCTGCGAACAGCCTGATAATACACGCCCAAGAGGCAGCCACCTGCTCCCAAGGTGATGGCAACAGTTGGTTGGCAAAACTGTGAGGCCTCGTATGAAAGCACTCTGTCGCGTCGAGGAGGACTGCTTCCCAAGGTGTGATCCCACTCGGGCTCAAATTAGGACTCGTGCCGTTCCGAAGCGCATAGCGCATCCGCTCGAGGTCGGGGCAGTATGTCTGAGGATTGCCAACCCCCGATGTAAACGGAATAGATTGCATGAGTAGGTGCTGGTTCACCTGCTGGTCAACAATCTCAGCCGTTTCGTATTTGAGCCTGGTATAGTGCTCCAGGCCCATGCACTTGGCGACCTCGTAGAACGTGCTCGCTTTTCCAATTGGCTTGATGCCTGGGAGATCAATGCCATACGACCAGTGCACGGCAGACTTATTCAATACAAACCACTGCTGCGAAGCAACAATGTCCAGCTGATCTAGCAATCCGGGGAATTCCACTCCCAGATCGTCTTCGGCGACTTTGGCATATTGCAACGCCTCGGCGATGATTCTCATGTCCAGCCACGACAAGCAGTGTTCCGTATCTTCCGTTGCATGTCTTGGTAAGCGGAAGCTGGTATCTAGGGCTTTCAAGTGCAAGATGCTTGATTTCAGCATCGCGAGGTGTGGACTAAACCCAGTCCCTGATGTTCGGGAGATGAGCCCATCCCACACATCTGGCCTTAAATCTGAGAAGCGGACATCGTTGGATTCCAGAAGGCCGGCGCAGACGCTCTTCAATCGGGCATCCGTCGTCTCACAGCGGAACGATATGTCATCTTCGGGGAGTGGCTGCATTGGGGCGGCTTCGGCCCACTCGTCTTCTTCGTCGTCGGCCCAGGAGAGATTGAGCAGTGTGACCCGGTCGGGTGAGTGTCTCTGGGCCAGGCGCACGATCTGGAAGATTCTTGAGGCCTGAGCGTGGTATAATGGGTCAATGTTCCTCAAGATATGAGCGGAAAGGGCCTCGAGATCTTCGGGGAGATACTGCACCCGTTTCTTGAGGTCCGATATACGGTTGAAGTCACACAAGCCTTGCAGCAAGGATCTCACAACAAGTTTTACCCATAAGAACACGCCCATAGACTTTTCCACAATCTCATTAGGCAACTGCGGCCCGTGCTTAGGGTACCTCCTCGATAGCTGCTCCATGTGAGGGTGGCCATATAAGTTAGATTTGACGTAGTGGCGTATGTCACCCTTAGTAAAGTTCTGCAATTTCATTCTAGGAAGTGCCGAAAATGCTTGTTCGAAGACAGTCAATGGCCGACTGGATAGGCAGAGCTTGACATAAGGCAGTCTGGCGCAGCTGCGAAATAAGTTGATCATGTCCAGGTGCTCACGGGCGTACTCATCCAGCCCATCCATAAACAGACACACTCTGGCTTTTCCTCCAAGTGCCTCGAGGAGCTTGAGGAACGCCTGTTTCAGAAAGGGTATAGTAGGTGGCGCCGGTTCGGCCATTAAGAAGGGCGAGTCGGGAGGCAGTCTACTGGATATGACTGCTGTTGCGCGGGCGGACCAATGTTCCCAGGCCCCGGGTAGTATACTGGGGATGAGATCGCGGTGGTTCTGTAAAATGTCGAATAGTAACGACCTCAGAAGGCCACGTTGTGATCTCTGCTCCCCATTTCCACTGCTCCAGACTCTGTCGACGTTCCGCCATGGTGGCGAACGCCAGGCTCCCAAGTACCCCATTCTCCACCATGAGCAATCGTAGTTGCTGTTCCACTTCCAAGTCCTTTGGATGTATCTCAGAGGCTTGGATGCTGGAAGCATTCGTTCCTTTAGGAGATTCTAGCGTGCCAGTCGGCTTGAGGTCCCCATGGGTAAGCCTCTCGAGTTTCTGCCTGCCCGCTTCCACTCGCCAGTCATTCTGCGCTTCCTGTATCTTGATCAATGTCTCAGCTTGAACAAGCAGCTCCGTGGAAAAAGAGTCTCTTGTTGTGAGAAAAGCGTCGAGTATCAACCGCGTAGACGAGCAAGCTGTCACGACGTGTCGGTTTGCTGGGCAGCGAGGCCGTTCAATGATTCTCTGAACATATTTCAGTCCTAGCGAGTAGATAGGGAATGAAACAATGGGAAGAGAAAAAGGAGAAAAGTACCGGAAAGAGACAAGGATGCGAAATTCTATCTCACTTCGAAAGTCTCGTAGGGTAGCAGCAAGCACGTCTATTTCGTGCTTGCTCCATACACTCTCCAGTGCCTTGCGGAAACTGTCCCATTTTCTGAACCGTCTCGATTTCGGTCGCTCATCCGCAGCAGTATCATCGAATCCTGTTATTGCACGCGTCGACTTGTGTCGTAGCTTCGAGAGCATGTTCCCGCCGTGCGGGTCTTGAACTGTTGCAGGGTCATCCGGGAGCTCGACTTCCAACCCTTTCAGCCGGCCTGTGGTGGGCTCCCCTACTTCTTCACTCTCTTTGCGAGGCTCGACTTTTGGCCGCCCAAGGCGATTCGAGAGGATTTGTGCAATACTGACACATCGAACACAGAGATCATCGAGGGCCTCATCCTCTAGAGACCTCTTCCGACCGTTGGATGAGGTGGAGTCAGACAAAATACGGTGCTCTGGTAGTTGTCTTCGCAGGCCGTGCGAGATAGTCATGAGATCCATTGTCAAAACTTCGACATCGATAGCCGAGCTCAACATCCCGGTGGCCGACCTGTATAGTTTCCTGGTGTTTGACACCAGCTTGCCGCCGAAGTCCACAAAAGTGATGACACTGCTTGCGACCCACAATGCTGTGAGAGGCTCCATCATCACAGTCGGCACAGTGTTCAGCAACCTCGATGGTGCAGTTCGGAGACTGGTCCTTTTTGTCTACTCTCTTATCTAAGGGGCAACACACCGGCCTTTTGCTGCGCAGATTATGGTCTGCGCCGTATCGTCCAGCGCCGGGCGAACCAAAGACTTCGTCGGACGGTCTTCTCGATGCCGTAGCTCTTCGTCTGCATACATCAAATGCAAGGCTGATCATTGGCAATTAGCCCTGACCGAAATGCAATGCCCCTCCTCATCTGACAGCATGCTCAGCCCCGAAGCACGGCTTCAAGATTACATAACAGTTGTCGTTCATGCTTTTCGATGACAGGGAGTAGTCATCGTACTCTTCACTATATCTCTTTCGTAACTTTCGTTATCGTGGCCATCTTTTCGGTTGACATTGGACTTTGAATCAATTGATGTCGAAGATTTACTCATGTTGTTTTGTAGCCATTTCATTCAGCAAGATCGAAGGTCTATAGAGTAGTCTTAGTCCTGGCCTGCCATCCTTTTTGTGTCTCTCTATCTATACCCGAAAGCAAAGGGTATCAGTACTTTTGGTTACCTTTAGTTGCCATATCTTACATATCATCGTGATCTCTCAGTCATTCTCCGAAAATTGAATTGCTTCGCCATGCTGAACCAAGAACGCCATCCATGCAAATTTTCATCCGGGTCGCTATACTACCCTCCACCGTCGTTGTCTATCTCAGAGCAGGGTCGATGAAGCCATCAAGCTCACCGGGCCCAATGAGCTGTCTCATCTCGGCCTCGTCGTGCATCCACTCCCGCTCAGCAACGGGGAAGTACTCAGGAACCGGGAAGCCCTCCTCGACCGGGGCGTAGCCCCATTCCTCACCTAGTCCAGGAGTGACAGGGTGGCTACCAAATGGCGAAGGCAAGCTGAAATCGATCATGCCTGACTCGGAGATAGTCGGCATGGCGAAGTCCTCCGCGAGATCTGATCCCAGAGTCTGCTCGAAGTGGGTCTGAAGATGATCCTGCATATCGGCCAACTGGGCGAACTTGTGCGAACAACCTTGCCAAGAACAGGGTATGGTACGCCGAGCCACGTCGCTTGTACCAGTAAGTTGGCCGAGGGCATCTTGAGGGAGTCTCTTCTCAGGTTTGTCCGACAGGGGACGCGGAATGCGTTTGTGCACATGGCGAATGTGTTTCTCCAAGTTGCCCTTGGTAGTGAAACTATCACCACAGCCATCGGATAGAGGCCAGTCGGCCAAGTCTTCAACGCCACTGACATCCACTCGGCCACATACGAATCGTACTCCCTCATGTACGCTTCGCACATGGGCTGCGAGGTTGGACTGCTTGACGAAGGACTTGCCGCATGCCTCCCAGGTGCATGTGAACTTCTTGCGGTCGTCAAGGGTGTGCTTGGAGTGTTCAGCCTCTATATGGCCCTCCATCTCGTCTCTGGTGGAGAAGCTACGGTCGCAGAAGGTACAGCTGATGTGCGCTTTCCGCACATGGTGCTGGAGGAGCTCCAAAGTCGGGAAACCGACTTGGGCGCCGCTGGCGTCGGCGCCCGTCCCCTGGCTGCAGTCCTCGCAGTAGAACTTCTTGTCGCCGTGTTCTCGCTCAATGTGCCGCTTCAATGAATTGGCCGTATCGAAGCCAGCCTTGCAGTCGTCAAGCGTACATTGGAAGGCGGGTGCGTTGAGATGAGCGGCGCGGATATGGCGTTGAAGGGTGGTGTGCTTGCGGAAGGACTCGCTGCAGGGCGGAAAGTCACGGCACCGGAAGCGTTCCTGGCCCTCGTGGACGAGCTGGTGGCGGTTCAGGCGAGTGCTCGTCAGGAAGCTCTTGCCGCAACCCGGCTGCTGGCAAGTATACTGGCGTTCAGTGGAGTGGACGCTCTTGGTGTGCTGCTTCAGGTGTTTCTCCTCAATGTATGCCTTGTCACAGCCGGGCTCGGCGCACTTGAAGGGCCGCTCGTTGGTGTGGGAGCGCAGGTGGGCGGTCAGGCGGGCTGGGCGGTTGAAGGCCTTCTCACAGCCGGGCCAGGTGCATCGGATGGTTTTGAGGTCGGAAGGGAATCTGGGCTTGCTTGGGGACATGCCAGACATGGGGGTGAGCGGGGTGTGGGCAGTGTTTGCCGACGAGGAGGCATTGTCGTGGTCGGAATAGTCCGAGTCGTTTGCATCGTCCTGGTCGACGATGTCGGGATAGTCGTCCGAGGTGTCAAGGCGGCCTCGCTTGGGCCGAGCGTGGTCCTCGTCGCCCGCCTTTCGCTTCATGGTGCCGAATGTCGCCGTGATGGATCAGGATCAGGCTATCATATTATAGTGCACTCGCTCGCAGGACAGCGTCTAGAGAGGAGAACAGGGGGCCAACTCGACGAGAGAAATCCGTGCAGGCAAGAGGCAAGGAGACATGCAGACGAGAAAACCATTCAGCGGTGCCGGTAAATTTCATGCGAGCATGGACGACGATGGCCCGGCCTCACAGGGTCCTGCCGAATAAATTCACCACTAGCCTGCCCAATTTCTGGAAAATTTTAGTGGGCCGATCAGAGATGGGGAGCCCGGCCAATCAGAGCCGCCCACCCGCCACACCCCGGTCGTGTTGTCCAGTTTCTTTCTTTCCTTCATCCGCCCGCATGCGCAAGGCTGAAGGCCGAACTGAAATTTTGCATTCCGTCTATCAGCCTCTCTCAACCACCCTCCCGCAGCCCACCACGACCGCTGTGCCCAGGCCCCATAGGACGCACCCGACTTCGCAGACCACCAGGGCACTGTCAAGATGTCTGACTACGGCGGTGATGACGACAGAGAGGACGTGGGCGCGTAAGTTCCCCCCAATCTGAAGGATGAGGCCTGCACAAAACATACGCCCAGGTCCACAGCGAGGGGCTGACACATCAACATCGCAGGGACGAGCCCATGTTCGACCAGGAAGAGGATGAGCCCATAGATGACTTCGAGGATGAGGCCCCCGTCGACGAAGACGAGTACGGCAAGTCGCGCGCCGCCGAGGAGGAGGAGAACATTGTCATCTCGGGCGACCCCTCGGCCGCCGCCAACCGCCAGAAGCCCGCCGAGAAGGCCCACAAGGACAAGAAGATCCCCAACGAGGAGCGGATAACGACTCCGTACATGACAAAGTACGAGAAGGCCCGTATCTTGGGCACCCGCGCCCTGCAGATCAGCATGAACGCACCCGTCCTCGTCGACCTCGAAGGCGAGACAGACCCCCTCCAGATCGCCATCAAGGAGCTGCGGGAGAAGAAGATCCCCCTCATCGTCCGGCGATACATGCCCGACGGGTTGTACGTCCATTACGCCCCTACAGTGCTCCTCTGATACTGACCGGAATTAATTACAGCTACGAGGACTGGACTTGCGAGGAGTTGTTGCAATGAGGAAGGCTATTTAGTAGCGCCCCTCCAGGGTCACCGCGGGATGTCAAGCGATCAATGTCTTGTCCCCCGGCCACTGGAAGAGGCCAAGTGGATATGAGACAGAAAAGTGCATCAAGCGTGGCGTTCGTTCTTTTGGTTGCTTCTCGGAATATATCAGATTTCCCGACTTGCTACCGCGTGCATCTGCTCAAATTATACCAGCGATTGCCTCATATACGACGCCACAATGTCAAACAACAAGGCGGTGCCCGCAGCACCAGAATGGGCTCTGGTAAATCGGGACTTGGTCAATTGTGCTCAACACGACCCAAGCTCTGCACTTCTGCTAGATGCAGTTGTTTCTAATTCGAAATGGTACGGCCCGGGAGCAGAAAGAGAAGCGGGTTTGCACCTGGATCGTCGAACTCTTAGCTTTCGAGCCATCTGCCCGTACACTGTCGCCAACCAAGCACTGGACCGGGGCGAGTATAGAGCCACAATGCATTGGAGTTTGGAGGCCCGCTCATGGTTGCACTGCAATAAATCAAATCATCACAAATATACCCTCCTGTTATTATTTTCAGGTTATTGTGAACAATTGTATTGCGCACCTGGCCTACTCATTGGAGCATTTACAAGCTGCAGCTCACCTATCGGAGACAAGTCCGGGCATTAATGTAGGAGCATGCGATCTATAGCCTGGTTGGTATAAGGCCATGCCTGTGAATGATCCACAACCTGTGGAGCCAAGTAGTAGAGGAGATCCAGGGTCAGCAGGCAGCCAAACTTGTCGTAGGACAATGGATCCTCTGGAGAGTCCATACACGATGATTGCAGCTCCCTTGCTGACGAAGGATCCTTCCCTAATAAAGCCACTTGGTTTTGACGGCTGTGCTCGCGTCGGTCTTTTGCGCGGACTCTCTCACATCATGCCGGGACCTAGCGGACAATTATTCCACCAAGACATTCTTAGCCAGGAGTCCCATTGATCCGCATCTACGAGATTGCAATCAAATGACCCGTGATCACTGTGCTGTATGCTGTCCGACCATTGTTGTCGCATCCCAACAACCTTGAACCCGACGATCGGCGTGTGCCAGAGTGTCTAACTCTAAGTATTCAGGCAAGTGATGATCCTCGTATTGCTGAGTTGGGGTGGTTGGCTGGTTGTGACCCACGAGCCAATTGCGACGCTGGACAGCGCATATCAGACGATTAAACTACACAGTAGGCTGAGAAAGTGTCCATCAGCAAGCTAATCACCGCAGCGCCCTGGACGGGCCATGACGTCTAGCCTGTGTCAAATGAAACATCAGCGCTGCTCATTAGGGGGACCGTGAAGATGACATAATTGCGCGTCGGCACTTTGTTGCAGTAGAGGTGGGCAAAGCACGTATGGTAGCAGAAACGGTGATACGGCAAAGATGGTCGTAGAGAAGAATAGAGAGCATGCAGCACGCTATAGCAACGATGCAGATTGTCTGCCTCGAACACGAGATCCGACTCTATTCTGACCGCCAGGAAGCGAGCAGGAGCTGCCGGCGCCCGCCAATGGGGACCGCGCACGCCGGCGGCCGTTGCAGCGATCCCGCGTGCTGACGGGCTTGCGCATGCAGCTGCCCGCCTCTCACAGGGAGCCCTGGCGACCAGGTTCCAACCACCCCTTGGGCGGCGACAGGCCGTCTCTGATTCGCTAGACCTCCTCTGTTATACAGGCGAAAAGGTTGGGGTGGCTTGGACCGCTGCTAAACGGCCCAGGCCCACGCCTTGCAGGCTGCGGTCCCACGACGATGATGTCTTGTTGGTCTGTTGTATTCCTTCGGGCGCTTTTTGTAGATGGATTCACCAGGGTATGGCCCTCGGGGACCACCAATATGGAGACGTCGTTGAGTGGCATGGCAGGCGTGTTATGTCGTATGCCTCACAGCCCGTCATCTTGCTTTTCGGGCCGCTGACTACTCAAGTACCTAAGTTTATAAAAGGCAAATCTTGTGTTACTTATTCCCAAGGTCTCACTCACGGCAGCACCTCAGTGAATACAACGCAACATATACAAATAGATCTGCATTCCTCAGAAACCCCTTCCCTTTGAAGTCTGACCGTATCAACCTATTCCGAATCGCAGCGCCTTCACCATATTTCTCTGAACGACCTAAGGCATTCGTGCTTGACAAGTAGCGAATCACATATCCTCCAGAACTCGACGTACTCGTACAAAGCAGCAACCATGCAGCTCCTCACGACGTTCACTGGCCTGCTCACCGTAGCTGCCTCGGTGTCAGCAGCACCGATGGAGACTGTGGCGAAGAGAGACGTCGGCGGTGTAAGCAGATATCTACCCTCACAGTCAGGGTCTTGTCGTTGCTGACATTCGTAACTAGGTCCTCATCTGCCAGGGCGCAAACGCAACCGGGACATGCCACTACGAGAAATACACGCTGGATGAATGCCACGACCTGCCCACAGATCTGTCTGGCAACGCATCGACGTTTGCACCGGATGGTGACAACTTCTTCTGCTTCCCCAAGGTGTAAGTTTTACCAAGCCACTTACTCACGCGCGGTCCATTACTGCCCGCCTGTTTCTGAGCGTCAAGAGGGCGAGCTTTGACTGACATGGCATGCGACAAAACAGAGGAAACTGCGCATCGATCTGCACGTCGCCGACGGGCTGCACCTTCGGCGCTGTCGACTTCAACAGCCCCGTCAAGTACGACCTCAGCTCGATACAGTGGGACCACTTGATCCAGTCGTTCCGCTGCCAACTGAACCAGACCGCGACGGCCACGACCAAAGCTTGAAGTTATTTCCAGCTTCCCAGCTGTTACGACGATATGCGCATGTACACGATAATGAGACAGGCAACAGATTAATTGGCAAAACCCCGGCGTTGCGGTTTGTTTTAAGGGATGGGGCTAAGCACTGCATGTCTGATATGAATCAACGATTCCTGGTCCTCTGCGATGCGCAAATGTCGGCAAGCTCCCGCAAGGGAAAGCTCGGCTCTTTCTTAACTACATGGGCAGCCAAGGCCCAGCCCAGGGCGTCGGAATTGGAGCTCGGGAGCGCTAGGAGGACGAGCTTCGGGGGTTCGGCGTTGGCGGCCCTATGACGCCAGTCCCGGCGGGCGCTGTTGGTGGGGTCCTCAGCTGTCTGGTATCTCCCAGGGGCGCCAGGCGGGAGCTTCATGGCGGGGTAAACTAACGCCTGTATCTGCCGGGAGGGGAAAAAGAGCAAATGAGGTGCTGATGCCGTCGTCGTGGAGCATTCATAAAGTCGACGAGACATCTCCGTCGTTCCCGGCTTTCTTCTGTACATATCCAAGGTGTACGCCACTAATATAATTGACCACTCCGCCACCTGATCGCTGTAGTGCCTTTCTTGGCGACAACTACTGAACTGGTAACCGAACCGTAGCTTTATAGAGCTCTCGCCCTTGCTATATTCCAGCCTTACCCGACAACCGGTACCTTGTTGGCCCAATCGCAAATCATTATATGCGCCAGGCTGTCCGACTCTTTCCCCAGCCGTTTACCACTTCTCATCGATTCGTTCACACCAGCACACTTTTCAAGATGCCGTTCGAGACAAAGGCCACGATCGCCACCTTCGGCGGGAAGCTGCTGAAGCTCTCCCACGAGTCCTCGTCCACGAAGACGCCCATGGACGTCAATTTGTACCTTCCTCCCGCGTCTAAGACCAAGAAGGTCCCCGTACTCATCTTCCTGTCGGGCCTGACCGTGAGTATTTCCCTCCATGTTCTTCCCGTGCCTTCTATTGCAGGGCCCACACAGGGTATCCGAAGAAAAAAAACCCCCCCCCCCCCCCCCCGCCGGCTAACATCAACGCCCGTAGTGCACGCCGCAGAACTGCTCCGAGAAGGGCTTCTTCCACGCCGCGGCCTCGGAGGCGGGCATCGCGGTGCTGTACCCGGACACGTCGCCGCGTGGGGCCGACCTGCCGGGCGAGACGGACAGCTGGGACTTTGGCGCGGGCGCGGGCTTCTACGTCAACGCGACGCAGGAGCCGTGGAGCAAGCACTACCAGATGGAGAGCTACGTGACGCGGGAGCTGCCGGAGGCCATCTTCGCCGAGTTCGGCGACCGGCTGGACGCCGCGCGCGTCAGCATCACCGGCCACAGCATGGGCGGCCACGGCGCCCTGACCCTGTTCCTCAAGAACCCGGGCAAGTACCGCAGCGTCAGCGCCCTCGCGCCCATCTCCAACCCCAGCCGCTGCCCCTGGGGCGAGAAGGCCTTCGGCGGCTACCTCGGCAAGGACCAGCGCGACGAGTGGGCCAAGCACGACGCCACCGAGCTCGTCAAGGGCTGGGCCGGCAAGGAGGTCCCCGCGCTCATCGACGTCGGCACCGGCGACAACTTCTACAAGCAGGGCCAGCTGCTGCCCGAGAACCTGGAGAAGGCCGTCAAGGAGGCCGGCGTTAAGGGCGTAGAGGTCAGATACCAGGAGGTGAGTTTTTGTTCCTTGACTCAATTCATCCCTCCTCTCTCTTCCTACTAGACGAAGGGCGAGAGGCGTGTCTCGGTCAGACTAACAAACTCGTGTGTTTCTTATCCACAGGACTACGACCACTCATACTTCTTCATCTCCACCTTTGCCGCCGATCACGTCAAGCACGCTGCCAAGTACCTGTTGTAAGACGTCTCGAGGACAATGTCGGCAGGAATGCCTCGTTGGCTCTGCTGACACTCCCCGGGGACGAGGGGGACACAGTCTCAAGCGTGATATGGGGTGGCCGAGGTATAAACCTGGACGAGCGCTGCTTGCGGTGTGCGGTGTATGATCGCATGTCGATAAATGGTTTGGTAACATATACTCTTGGGACGGTATGCGTGTGATCGAGCATCCGGTGCAGAAATAAAGACTTACGGGCTGGGCGTTTTTGCGTACATCGGGAGCAGCACAGCGGGGAAGACGACTACGGGCTAGAATGATCTTGAGATTGTTGGTGTGATTTAATTCCACTGGAAGGTCATCTGTCGTGTAGTCGAGTAGCGAGAGAGAGAGAAACCATATTCAATACGGAAAAGAAAAGGCAGATCAACACCCTGGCCCCTGTCTCTCGTCTTGACCAGTATCATGGTTTTTATGGTGTTTTACCATCCGCCACACTGGCATCCCAGACTTCGGCATCAACCAATTTCTACATGTGAAAAAGGACAAAGTCTTGGGGTGGTCACGCAAATCAAAGAGTTGAGAGAGCTCCAGATGTAGCCACAAGATTAAAACTGGTTTCTTCTGTCTTTCTTGCCTATGAATGAATGCGAACCACAATGCGGCATGAAGCTAAACGCCGACCGTTCTGCATAAGAGGAACGGTAATGCATCCAAACGGGGGAACGTACGTGATCAAAGCAAAAGCTAGCTAGGCGGGAAATCCATGAACAACAACCCTCAATGCGAGGTAGCCAAGCAGGGCAAAAACCAAAACAAAAACAGCCTGTGAAGGGGGGATATCTAGTTGACAGATTGAAAAGACTTGTCTGGCGCAAAACACACATGTTGCGTCTTTACTTCCATGACACCTCTGCTCTCTCTCTCTCTCTCTCTGTGTGTGTGTGTGTGTGGACTTCGTCCCTCGTCGTGCGTGCGAACCACCGCATCGTCTACTTGCTGGCCTCCGCCATTAATGTCCTCATTTCTTTCTCCCCCTTAACTGATTCTCTTCTCAACCTCTGGGCTGAGCCCCTCCTTCTCCAGTTTGCTCCGCATCTCAGCTTCGGCCTCCCGCCTGATGCGGTGGTACGCCAGCTTCTCGAACTTGCTGAGACCCTTCCACCAGTGCTGGCCGGCCTCGTGCTCGCTGATGCGCTCCAGGAGATCCGTCGTCTTGATGCGCACGTCTTTGTCTCGGTGGAACAGGCCAAGGGCGAGGTAGAAGAGGCCGGCGTGCGACTCGGGGGCCACGGTTAGTAGGAGGCAGGTCTCATCGTACGAGAAGACGTGCTTCGCGAACGCCATATAGATCTCGCGGCTTTGGGTCGGAGTGAGCTTCTGGGTGCGCAAGCGGTCATGCATATGGTGCAAGTCAAGGCCCTTCAGGGGTTTTATCGTGTAGATCTGGGCAAGGTCCTTTGCTTCCACGTTAGCCTCATCTCCCAGGGTATGGCGTATGGGACCGAGTCTTACCTGGATGAAGCTGTAGTAGCTCCGTGTGTTTCTCCACCCCTCGATCCTACAGACATTGCCCGCAAGCTCCTTGTGCTTGGCTGTTTCGTCCGCCCACACATAGCCGTGGCCGCTAAGACCGATGGAATTGTTCTCGACGTCGTCACCGCCGATGTATAGTGCGCTAGCGCCATAGACGCTCTCCTCGAACGCCGCGGCTATCCTAGTGAATTTAACCACCCAGTCTCGCCATTTCGCGCGAATGACTCGTTCGCCCTGTCGCGACCCGATGCCCTTCAAGATATCGTTCATAAAAGCAGCATCGCCAGTCAGGTCGGTAGAGGAGGCTGACGAGCCACCAATCAGGTTGGCAAAAGCAGGATGCTGTTGTTGAAAGTACACAAGACCTTCAGTGATGGGTGCATTCTCGATTTTGCTGCTGATCTTGACACGTCCGCTGGGAATATCGCAAAGGACGTCCCACCATTCTGGATGAAGCTCAAAGGTTGGGTTCGTGACTCCCGCGATGAAGCCCGGAACCTTCAGTAAGTCGTCGATCTTTGTCAGATCTGTGTATGGGAATGCGTGTCTCGTGAAACCCCTCAGTATACCGCCTGATGCCAGAGCACAAGCCGCAAGAACCGCCTCAGCAACATCTCCCGAGGGCATGTTATGACCCAGAAAAATGATCCTCTTCTGAGTCAGCAGAGCGTTGGCCAGGACAATGACTGGGTGGGTGTTAGGACCATTTGTGGTGAGATGAGGGTGGACCGGGAAGGGTTGGGGCGATTTTGCATGCGGTTCCGAGAACGTCTGGATCAGCTTGATGATGGAAAAGTCTCCCACCGTCTCTGGCATGACGGCCGTAGGGACCTTGACGGGGATAGGGATCCCCTTGTAAAGCACCTTGCTCTCAAACTCGTGGGTGTCGCGGGGTATCGAGTAGCCAGAGGCGGCCTCGAGGTGTGCCTTTGTTCCAGCCCGGGATATTCCAGGTCGTTTTGGTGGGCTCCTACTCGCATCAAACGGCTCCGTGACCTGGCCCGCCTTGTCCTCAGCCATGCGCATCTCAATCATCTGGGCGAATTTCTCTACAAAAAGATCCTTGTTGTCGCTTGCCAGCAGCAGGTGTCTCTCAAGGATGCTCAACTTCGGCATGAGGGAGAGATCCATGTTGTTGACTGCATCGTATAGCAAAGACAAGGTCTCTGGGACTGGAGATTTGAAGTATTCTTCGAGCGCAAGTAATAACAGGGGCTGTCTTTGGGTCAGCAATTTCACGGTCCGAGTGAGGGGATCCTGAGACGATTCCCACTGACCTTGTATATATGCAGGAATGGGTGCCGTGTGCATATCGCCATAGCTTTTACTATTGCGCCTCGCTTCACCGTCTTGTCGTGTTTGGTGTTGACCAGGTTGAGCACGTATACGAGAGGCGGCCCCTCGCCGCCTTCTGGCTCCTCGTCACTTGTGTCGTCATCATACTGATCATCATCATCTTCTTCATCGTCGCCCTCGTTGATTGTGTCCTCGTCATCCTCGCCAATGATCCCAGCGGCCCGATCCCGTCTCCGTTTTCTTCTTTCTCTCCGTGCCTTTCGTCTCTTCGCCTCTTCTTCGTCCTCCTCTTGGGTAGTGTCCTTGTGTAGAAAAAAGATTGTCCAGTCCTGGTTGCGTGCATGCGCCTGGTCTGGTAACATCAACTCTGCCAACATGTGCTCGTCACCGGTTATGGCAACAGGGAATTGGTGCTCCATGACCGGGCCCCGGTCAATGTCGAAAGACGCCACCAGAATGTACTCGACATGATTCTCGTTGGAACCTCGAGGATACTGGGATCGCAGTTTCCTGGGTGGATGTGCGTCGGGGTTGTACCGCTTGGGCGCCGAGAGCGACGAGTGCTGTGATGATGCGGCCGTGCGGCTGCCAATGGACGAGGTCTTGTTCGACTTTGAGCTCGGGTCCGACGTACGATCTGTGTCGACCTGCAGAGGCGGCTGCGGTGACCGGGAAGGTCGCGAGTGGTGCGACATCTGCGAGGGCGACCGTGAAGACGGGAAGGACGAGAGTGATGCGCGAGGGTTCACCGGCCCAGACGAGCCATTGGACTGGACGTTGGCGAGAGATTGGCCGGTGTTGGTCCTGCTCAGGTGGTATGGCAGACCGCCAGATATCGAAGTCATATTCTAGGTTCAGGGACGGCCCTTCCAAGCCCAGGGCCAGGGCGAGGGCGAGTGGAGGGACGGTCGACGGCGGGGGATGGGGCCGGTTCCGTATGTGCGTCTGATACTGTCGTATCCGCAGGATTGCCCAAGATTTGTGACTGGGAAGATGCAGATCCGCGTGGGCCTGACGTTTCCAGAGAAATGTTCGAGTTCTGGCTTGCCGGGTGGAAAGAATGTGGTTGCGAGGCGCCCAGGCTCTCGTGTCACCGTGATAAGTGCAGCGCTGAGCGCACCTCGTCGAGTGGGAAAGTCAATTGGAGGGCGCTTGTGCCCATGTAAAGGGGGTTTCGAGATCGGCGCGTTTCGTTGCCGTTGGCGGGCAAGGCGAGTGGGCTCTGAACGTCTGGTTCCTGGAGCGGCACGCTCTCGGGCTATGATTCATCAAGCACGTACGTACTGTGGTTATAATTTATACTGCCTGCAAGTTCGCCTTGCTCTTCGCCTCTCGTCTCGTCGAACAATCCCGTCGTTCTCCTGGCGGTGTTCATGTAATGTGCCAGGGGGCGGCCAGTGGGATGAAACAAAAATTAAAAAGCCGATAGGAGATACGGGGTACTTGGTGTGTTGAGGGGCACCGTCAGACTGGGGACGCGAGACATGATCTGCTACGCAGCCATCCTTTTCCGGCTGGCTTTCTTGGAGATGGGACCGGTAGTTTTGAAGGAGAACGGGTGGATCACCCGTCGAACACTTGCCTCAGTCGGATTTGAACAGGTCCAGGTGTCTGTCTGTATGTGCGATTGGCAAGACCAAACAGGACGACACTGCTGTACAGTAAGGACCAGGCGGGATCATTCGTCAGTGAGTGGGTAATCTGGCGTACCCTTCCTTGGGGGGGGAGACAAGATCGTTTCTGTGATGAGGGGCCCCCCTGACTCCAAGGCTGGGCTAGGTATCTGTAACGATTGAAATGGAAGACTCTTGGAAGGCTTCTAAGTTCTGCCACTGGTCTCGATGGCTGGCGAAAAGGTTACAGTCCAATTTGGGGAATTGAATCTCGTCATTCTAGCGCCAAGCGCTAACTTAGGCGGGATTTGGTGGTGTGGGTGGGATGTGGTGCATGTCACACACGCACACTCACCCACATGCCTACATCCACAGTTAGCACACCCACTCTGGACGACGCTCTTTCAGGGGCTGCCTTCGCTACCACTGGAATGGGCGACTACTGCGAGAACTAGAAGTTGCCTGCTTGGCGATCCGGCACCTGGAGGGCTGCGCTAAGAGCTTGCGTGCTCACGTTTAGCCTGATGCTCGGGTTTGTGAGATGACCGCGAGGAGCAAGAAGAAAGCGAGCTATCGCCTCCAGCACAGGCATGCCCTCCGCAACAGTGCGTGCGCAGCTGAATCCTACGCTGCGGTATTCGACCATCTTGTGGAATCGCCCGTGCCTGCTCCATCTCCAAGCTCATCCAATATCTGGCAAAGACAAACGGTATGGAGTAGTCCACTGAGCGGAATCACTGAAATCAGAGGCATCTTTATATGTTTTCTATATATCCAAGGTACACTTACTCATCGCAGGCACCGGCGCGAACAGGCCAGGCACGACTTGCAAGGCTCACAAGACCCTCGAACCTCAGGGTCTCCGTCCCCTGAATCGGCGCCAAGCCGTCAGGGCACGGACTCTCATGGCGCTTCGGCCCCCAGAATCGACCCCAGATTACAGGGGTGATCCGTGCTCGCCACGTTTCCCACCAGTCCGACGACGGGTTGCCGTTGCCTGGCCGCTGTGTTTATCTCGGCCTATCGCTTTGCTCTATCATCGCCAAACACGCATCCCCGACAGCCTCCAACACAGCCTTAAGCTCTGCACCTCTCTATTTTGCATGCCGACGATAGCAGAAATCACTATATGAGCAAGAGTGCACTTTGTGACTCCAAGGTCGCCCACCGGATCGTATCTGCACGATTGACACCTCCTCCCACCCGTTTGTTTACACTGGGTCGTTGACCAAAGCGCCTAGTCGCAACATCCCCAAACAGCTTACATCATGGTACGGGCACTTCAGTGGAGCTTTTCATGCCAAATATACTAAGGCGCTCTTTCATTATTTAGGCCATGCAAGCCGGATACAAACCTTCTCCTCTGGGCTACGGATCGCCACGAAGTTCTCCCTTTCGCAGACCCGAATCCCCAGCTGCGGTATCGCCAATACGACAGTCTACACCACCCGCCTCGCCCTCGAGACCTGGCCCTCTCCGGACACCGTCGCGCTTCGCAAACGACCCCCCCTCTTCTACGCCCCTATCGCCCGAGACCTCGCGGTCCCGTACCTTTGGCAAGTCCGACACAATGGCATCCCAACCATTGGGATCACCGGCGCATATCCGAACGCAGCCAGCAGCACAGTCCATCGCAGGCGGCAATGCATTGTCACATCTGAAGCCTGCCCAGCTTCAAGTGCTGAGAGACGGCTTCCAAATCCTGGATAGGGATAGTGACGGAGTCGTCAATAGAGAAGACGTGGCCGACATGATGAACCAACTAGGTATGCGAACTTCTCTTGTCCTTGTGGCCCGCCCAGCTCTTCTGACAAGTTCCCCTCAAGGCCTTTCGTCGAGTCAATCCGAAATATCGCAGTTCTTCCCAGCTGGCAGCCCTCAAACAATGACCCTCGCGGTATTCCTGAACAACATAGCAAACACCCTTGCCGCCATGTCGCCGAGCGCCGAATTATTATCCGCATTCTCAGCCTTTGACGACGACGACAGTGGCCAGGTCGACCTTGCCGAGCTGCGAGATGCTCTCCTCAATACCGCACCCGAGCCAGGCGAGAGAGCGCTCTCGGCGATTGAGGTGGAGAAGATCATGGCTGGCTTTAGTGGCCGGAGAGCATTCAGCAAAAGCGCGATGGCTGGGGGTCTCGGAAAGAGAGGCGAGGTTTTCAAATACCAAGATTTTGTCAACTCGATCGTAGGTGGAAACGGCCCAGCAGAACCTGCGGCGAATGAGCGGTCCTCGTCAGACGAAGAATAATGATTTGCACACACTCGGAAGGCGTTGGGGAGTCGGTCAAACAATCTGGTTGACGAGCGTGCATGAGCGTCATGAATGAGACATCACTGGCGGGTAGAAGGTTTGGCATCGGGCGGTCTGAATTAATGGAGTTAGATGTTCTCAGCGCAACGAGACGCGACTGAAAGGGTGTGATTGAGCACAAGGTCGAGCAGTACGATAACCGCTTGCGCCACTGCGCCGCCTGTACATTATATATGAGCACATTCACGAGCATACTTGCACCAACGCACTGTCTTGGAGAACATGTAGTCCATCGTGATCCGTTGCACAGCATTATGCAAGCCATTGGTCGACATTGTGACATAAAGTCACTCCAAACTTCCACAATATGAGACATGCGACACTTTTGCTCATTGCACACCGAGATAGGCGAAGGGCCGGAGAGCCTTTCATGAAAGCAAAGCATATCGCCAACAGTAGGACTGTAGGGGTAGGTGGGAGGTCCTGCCACGCAAGAGGCTGGTGGTGTTTGATGGCTAGTTGGATCTTCCATGTTCCTCATTGGCTGGCGTGCGTAAGCGAGCCATCGACAACCTATATAACTGGCCCTCGAATCACATTCCCAGCCGAGAGACCAAGGAACCCAAACCATCAACTGCAGAATGAATCGTGTCGAGTGGTGTTGTCTTGCGGAGGTTGTAGAAATGGTCACTAAATAGTTGGACGCTTCTCTTGACACAAGCAGAAAGCCGCTGTCTACTGAAATGTTTTTCGAGATGTAGCGGAGTATACCAACCACACTTGGCGCTTAGGATTGTTTCATAAAGTAACCAGATCCTGGCACTCCAAAGGATCACGCTCGCTAATTGCACATTTGCCATTATTGTGGATCGCTGGCCGTGTCCGCGTCTTGTCCAACGTCATCTCTAGTGATCCCCTACCTTGGAGGGCTATACTGGCCCGAGCGTCAAGCTGATCACTCAATCGCCCCCCACAGAAGCTTCGAGAAACATGGGACCATGAGCCCTCTGCCTTTTCACAATTCGACGATCTTGGCCCGTGGGAGACAAGGCAGTGCCTGTGCTGCCGCCCGTCGGAGGCTGCGGAGCGACCCTTGGAGGACCATGCCTGCTTGGCATGTCACAAATGGAAAGGGTTGAACGGGGCAGTTGGCACACACAGCATCGGAGCACCATCGCCGGCGAGAGGCTTGGGCTGATCGAAATGCACAACGCACCGCAGCGTCGTCCCAATGCAGGTTCAGCCTCCCCGATTTCTGTAGTAACGGGGTCGATTGGATGGCCACTATGGGTCTCAGCAGTGCGGTACAGCCCGAACAACCACTGAGGACACTGCTCTGCACCTCTAGACGCAGCGCCATGTAGAGAACAAAAATTGCCTGTGTCTATTGGACGAACCGCTCTTCTGTTTGGATATTGAACCTCGTCTGTGGGGGTTGGCTACAAGTACTCGAGACCTGGATTGGCAGTCTGCAGTCGCCTGGGGTGAAAGTACCCGCGACCTCGAATGGCGACGCCGCAAATTTCACAAAAAAAAAAGCTCCCCGTGAACAGCACATCACAACTGTTGTGCATGGGGAGTATGCTCGCTGATGAATCGGAATAATAACAGCTCGAGGAGGATAGGCAGTCTGTCACATTGCCCAATATCTCTCCAGCTGTCCGGACCGTTGACAAGCGCTTGCTCCTCTCCTCCCATCTATCTCACAGGAACTCGTACACATCAGTCTATCTCCCTGTTCCCACTCCGCGCCTCGGGCCTCATCCTGTCCTCAGTTGCCTTTTGTCGGGTCCCAGTCCCAAAGCCTATTCCTTGGATGCCCACTGCAACCAACGTCCTCTCTACCCTCTAGCTCCCGGCCCAGAGACCAACGCTCAGAGCAACTCTGACTAAGAGTTGCGACCGACGGTCCCTCTCGCAGTGCGGAAGTCGCGCCGTGCTAAATCGCAACGCCCCGTCCAGTGCCGGCGAGAAAGCAAGACGCAGGAAGTGCAGTACTTTGGGTCCGCACCTACAGTAGACTCGTCTCGTCGCAGCCGTGATCTCAGACACTCATTGCAGCGGTTGGGGATATTCATCTTGAGCCTACCCGTACCCAGGTATAGAGCCACGCACCTGTTCGTCTGGCTGAAGAATCAAGCTGGGAGGCAGCTTAAGTCGCACGCCACAGGTCTCACTCCAACCTGAGTCAAAAAGATACAGGACACTGTCTCGTGCCGGTCTGCTTTTTTTCTCTCTGCCTGCCTACAGTAGGTACACTATTCTTGCGACCACTATCCGCGGACAGCGACTCATGCACATGGAAATCGTCGCCTGAGTGCCATTTTCCAGCCCAGCTAGCGAACCTTGCGCCCACGCACGGCGTGCGCTGAACTTTTTTGGCACCGTACCCGGACGGACTGGGGGCGTTTCCTAGACACAACCCTACCGCTGGGTCTTGCGCTATCAGCCGCCGGTGGTGTGGGAACATCTGGAGGATCGGAGTCGGCCTTAAACCAAAAGTTTGCCTGCCATCCGCTGCGTTCCCCAAATGAACTTCTTTTCAAAGAAATCCTCGTCCCCCAAAAAGCACGCGACCGGCGAGAACGACGAGAACCGCAACCCTCGTCACGGCTCAGAGCCCCCCTCTCCCGTCAAGCAGCCCAGTGCTACCCACTCCTCGCCCGCCGCCCCAAAGAGGGACAGGGAACGGGACTCGCCCAGAAAATCTGCCCGACCCGCATCGCCCGCATCGTCGCCCGCATCGAGGGAGCAGCCGCCCTCCAAGCCGCGCAGCTCCCGGTCCTTTGGCAAACACGCCCCCGATTCTTCGTCGTCGTCGTCCTCGCGCCGCAAGAAGCACGACCCTAACACTCACCCCCTCAATCTCCACCCCGACGAGTACAAGCGCCTCTCTGCTCTGTCCAACATGAGCAACCGCAGCTCCATGGACAAGATGGACGTCGACCGGGAGCCCTCGGCCGCCCCGCCGTCCTCTCCACCGCAGCAGCAGCAGCAGCAGCAGCCCAACGGCTTCACCGTCCCCGTGAGCTCGCCGACGAATGGCAGAAAGACGCCCACAAACGGCGAGGGGCCCGTCCCACCCCCTCATCGGTCCAACCCCTCCAGCCCCGTGCCCTCAGCCGCCGACGAGGCTGAGGCATACAAGAACGCCGGCAACAAATTCTTCAAGGAGAAGGATTACAAAAATGCCATTGTGCAGTACTCCAAAGGTATGTATCCTGTCTCTTTATCCACGGTCGACTGTCCGTTCTCCGCGTAGGTGATGAGGTCATCACTAACTGTACTGCTAGCTGTCGAGTTGATGCCTGACTCTGCTACCTACCTGAGCAACCGCGCTGCAGCTTACATGTCCAATGGCCAGTACGCAGCTGCATTGGAAGACTGCTCCCGGGCGGTCGACCTTGATCCCTCCAACGCCAAGTTTCTGCTGCGACTCGCCCGCATCTACACCAGCCTGGGACGGCCAGAGGAAGCCCTGACAACCTTTAGTCGCATTCAGCCGCCTCCCTCGGCGAAGGATGTGGCACCCGCAAAGGAGATGCAGAACCACATCAAGGCCGCCGAAAGCGCTCTCGAATCTGGGACGTCAGGCTCCATGGTGCTGCACGCCCTGGACCAGGCTGAGAGATTCCTAGGCCTCGGCGCTCCCAAGCCTCGCAAATGGCAATTGATGAGGGGCTCAGCATACCTTAAGATGGGAGGAGTCAACTCCTTGGGCGAGGCTCAGAACGCCGCCATGTCCCTTTTGAGACAAAACAGCCAGGACCCCGAAGCTTTGGTTCTGCGGGGCCGTGCGCTCTATGCGCAAGGCGAGAACGACAAGGCCATCCAGCACTTCCGCAAGGCATTAAGTGGCGACCCCGATTTCAGGGACGCCGTTAAATGGCTCAGAATTGTCCAGAAGCTGGATCGCATGAAGGAAGAAGGCAACACAGACTACAAGGCAGGCCGCTGGCAAGCTGCTTTCGACAAGTATACTCAAGCTCTGGAAGTCGACCCTACCAACCGAGGTACCAACTCGAAGCTCTTCCAGAACCGTGCACTTTGTCGTCTGAGGCTCAAGCAATACGATGAGGCTATCGCCGATTGCGACAAGGCCATCAGCCTGGACGCCAGCTATCTCAAAGCCCGCAAAACCAAGGCGAATGCTCTGGGCCAGGCGGAGCGTTGGGAAGATGCGGCTCGGGAATGGAAGTCTGTTCAGGAGATGGACCCCGAGGATCGCAACATTGCGAAGGAGATTCGCAATGCTGAGCTTGAGCTGAAGAAGAGTCAACGCAAGGACTACTACAAGATTCTTGGCGTTGCTAAGGACGCTGATGATAATGCCATCAAGAAGGCCTACCGCAAGGCCGCCATCGTTCACCACCCGGACAAGAACCCTGGCGACGAAGCTGCCGCTGAACGCTTCAAGGATATTGGTGAAGCTTACGAAACATTGAGCGATTCTCAGTACGTTGCACCCTGGGCGTGGTAAAAACCGTGTGACATTCTTGTACTAACCACCTCATAGGAAGCGAGCTCGTTACGATAGTGGCGAGGATCTCATCGACCCATCGGACATGTTCTCTGGCGGCGGCATGGGCGGCGGCATGGGCGGCATCGACCCCGAAATCTTGTTTAGCATGATGAACGGAGGCGCCTCTTTCGGCGGCGGTGGCGGCGGCGGATTCCCTGGTGCTCGTTTCTCGACCGGCGGTCGATCAGCTGGTGGATACCCTGGAGGCTTCCAGGGATTCCAGTTTGGTTGACAATCCGAGTCCGAAAACGACGAGGGTGTGGCCCGGAACCGGAAGCCAAGGAAGGCGCGAGGCTCGCGTAGACGTCGTGGCGGCCATAGGCACGCGGCGTCGGATACAAGTCCGGATCGCAACGCCTCGTCTCGCAACACCGATCTTGACGGTCGGGTCACACAATTGCGGAGGTGGGGTATGTTTGTCTTGGCCGCTTTGGTTTTCCTCCCTCGACCACTTGCGGTGACGGTGGTTATACTGCTGGTGGCTGTGTATACGTGTGTTGCCGTGTTTTCCTAGTCAGTGATCTCGACTTGCTCGGGACAACCAGCATTTGCATGAGCATGGGCTGAAGTTCTCACGTCATGTAAGCGACAGTGGATTGAAAAGAGCTAGGGCGGATAGATTTCATTCATCAGATCCACACCGACACGACAGATCATCATTTACAGGCGTTTTGGGAGTTCTACGAATCTTGACATCCGTAGAACCTTGGGGTAATGAGACTCATGGCCTGTGGGGGGTGTGGTTGGTGGGCCAGACGTTGTAGGCTGCATGGTCAGTGAGTGCTTGGAATTGATAACTCAACGGATAGATTCATGTAGACTTGGAACATCATCAAACATCTCATTCACTGCCGGCCCTTGCTCCTTGTCAAGGTTCGATGAATATGTCTTCCCAGCCTTCCGCTTGTGTATACTTGATACTTTATCCTGCTATCGTGAAGCATCGAATCATACCAGCGCGATGCTGTCCATACACCCGAACCCGGCGGCAACACCGCCCTCCTCACTCTGATCCCCCTTGGTCCTCAGCAGGTACCCGGCCATCTCATTGTGACGCACGCCCCGTCCCTCGCGCTCGCGCTGGTCCCAAAGACACGTGCCGTAGATGCCCAGCTCGCAGATGACGCCGCCGCTCTCCAGCGCCCCGTTCCGCAGGATGGTGTTGCGCACGGCCGGCGGCGTGATCAGCTCCATCAGAATGTGGGCGTCCCAGTGCGACTCGGGGATGGAGCGCAGGAAGCCCGGGATCGCGGCGCGGTAGACGTTGTTGCCGCCGCCCTCGCGCTGCGGCTTCAGCACGTACCGCTTGCACTGCTCCGGGTCCAGCGCCAGCTCGCGCGCCTTGCGGCCCGCCGCCGACGTGTCCAGCGGGTAGATGTTGGTGAAGGTGGCCTCGAGGTCGCCCAGCGCCGCGTGCGACGCCGGCGACAGGAACCGGTGCAGCACCGGCGCCTGGCCCGCGCCCACCGGCGTCGCCAGCACCTGCTGCACCTTCTTGGTCCCCGCCACCTGCGTCAGCACCGACGGGCACTTGATGGCCGCCGACCGCTCGATCTGGTACCGCGCCTCCCAGGCCCCCGCGTCCGGGTAGTCGTCCGGCCCGTACCCGCACCGCATGTACACGACCGCCACCTCGAACGTCAGGTGCGGCAGCTGCGGCGGCGTGTACAGGAGCTGGCGGCCCGGGCCGCCGTCGGCCAGCCGCGTGTGCTGCGTCGCCTGCGCGAACGGCAGCCGGAACACGGGCACCGACTGCGGCGGGCCCGCCACCTCGTACTCCAGGTGCTTCTGGTCGAAGATGTTGCGCTCGCCGCCCTGGACCAGGAACACGACGCACTTGGGGTGGCCGGTGGTGGACTCGCCGTACGCCGTGAAGGCGTGGCGGATGCCTGCGGCCAGGCCGCGCACGCTCTTGTTGTCCGGCAGCGTCAGGTGGCCTTTGCCGATGGACGATGCCGAGAGCAGCGGGTACTCGGCCGACGACAGGTACTTGTGCAGCTGCGAGGTCTGCGCCGACAGCCCGCCGAAGGACGCGGCGATCGTGTTGAACTCGACCTGCTTGACCTGCGGGTGGGAGCTGGCCGACTCTTGGTGCACCATGTAGTCCGACCTGAAAAGGCCAAGGGAAAGGTTCTGGGGTAATATGGTTAGATATGCATAGAACTACCCCTTCTCTCCGAATAGGGTACTGCCTACTTGAACGTAGCCTTCTTCCTTGACTCGCAAGTGCACCTTCCACAGTGCTTGTGTGAACTCATCACTATTCCCAATCCTGTGACGCTGTTAGAATACTGTTGATGTATAGGACATGACTTCGAGGGGGTATGAAACCTACTCCTTGACGATCTGAGTCAAGAACTCCTCGTCTTGACTTATCGACGCATACAGCTCGTTGTAGGTCTTCTGGACGTGAACGCCCTGCTCGAAACACACACGCGGAAAGGGGCTGGGGAACAGGGTGACCGGGACGGCTGTTGCCAGAATGTTCCCCGGGTCTGCGTCTGCGGCAAGAACGGCGGGAGGCGGGCGCACAGTGAGGCCATGTGCTATGGACCAGTCCTTGACGACCTCGGTGAGCCGCTCACTCTCGGGGCCCGTAATCTCGGGCGGGTATGCTGCCATGGTCGCTCGTATATATATGTCTTGGGACACGAGAGAGGGGCCGAGAGACAGAAGGCGACTTGAAACGGAGTGTGCAAAGATAGCTTATGTCTGACTGTCTGCACACCCTTGTCTATAATGGCAGTCGAGACGAACACGCGGGGAACCTCCTAGTCTTAATAGTCGAAGTCTTATTAGAAGCGCTCTATTCACGATGCGACTCAGGTGGTCGAGTCGATCTGAGAAAGCTCTCTGCCCCACTTGAGGCCCGTTGACGCGATCACGGAGCTTGGTCGGGCAGTCCCGAATATTCCGCGGGATCGTGATTACCAAGCTTGTATGATGCTAGGTTGGTGGTCGTTGGAGAACCTCAAGAACATCCATGGATGTCGCAGAGGTAACTCGTGAAGTGCACATAAAGCATTGACGGACATGAATCATTCACAGGTGCGTAGACAGAGGAAGAATATATTATGGTCCTATTGCGTCACTCTAAGTACTGTTTCTGAAGCGGAAAAAAGGTAGTTCCAATCGAGACCATGGAAGAGGCCCTGGGAGAGTTCCTTTGTCATATGGACCTATGGGTGAGGGTAGGTAGATGATGTGAAAAAGAGCAGTCACAGGTTCATGTGTGGTAGCCCAGGACTTGTTGTTATCCTCTCGACTGCTTCTAGATGGTCTCTTGTCTGAACACCACAGTCGACGAAAAAAACTACCCCGCCCCCACCTAGAGTATGCTCCCCTGTGACGACGGACAGCACGCTTCGACCCTGGCAGACCCTTGCTTGCTCGCTGGCCAGGGCGGCTCCCATCACGTGGGGACACGCTAGTTTAGCGGCTCGCTTGTGTCGCGCCCCGCTGCCGCTCGGCGCGTACTGCTGCGCTCTAGCCCCCAAGGACCCCCAAGGCTTCCGACGTCAAGCTCGACCAAAGAGAGACATCGCCTTTGCGCCGCCGGCCTGCACACGGCAGCATTTTCCATCTCGAATCGAGGGGAGTTGTCGAAGCGCTTGAAGATATGGTGCTTTATAGAACCGTCACTTTGGCCTCCCGACACTGGCCCTCGCTCCTTCGTGCGCATGCCTTATGACATGACTCCGCCCGAATAGCTGATTGTCATTCGCTCGCGCACAGTATAACAAACGTCCAGCCCCGGTTTCCAGCCAACTGCGGAGCGACGACCGATGCTGTCCTTTGGTGTTTTGGGAGACTCTGCGTCGCCATTGATGCCTTTACGATCGCTCGAGCCCGCCCGCGTACGAGTGATTATTCGAATGCAAGCTTGATTCATTGGCCACTACGGAGCTCGATAGAAACCTGCGGCCACAATCGAAGCTCAGCTGTTGTTTCCCCCCGCCTTGCTTGACGCGACCCTTAGGCTTCACTTTTCCCTTCACCACAAACCCGGCGTCGCCGATTCAGGCTCACTTTACCTTTACACACACACTCTGCTTCCGCACTCGAGCATCCTCACGAACCCATCGCCTGTTCTGCTACGAACCCAACAGTCCAGAATCCCGCCCCCGCCCTTGTTCCCGACGTTCACGCTCGAAAAGCAACTGCTGCGCACACCGCAGGCGTTCGGCGACGGGGATCAAGGGCACATCGCAGAAAACCTCTCTATATTCACAAGCACAGGCTTCCTTGTTAAGGCACTCAGTTCCTCAGATCTTTCACGCAGCTGCGGCCTGCTTGCGTTCCGACGTGTTCATCCCGCGTTACAGTCTCTCCATTCGTTCATCCACACTTGTGATCCAACTCGCACCCATGCGCCTTACTGACTCCCACGAACCGCAGCTCTACTAGGGATCCAAGTGAATGTCGTCCACGAAGAAGTTTACTCGCCGACACAATGCCGGACTCGTCTGATCCTTGGGATTGGGACACCGACAAGGTGGTGCAGGAGCTGTGTACCGACACTCGATCGTGGAACCCGCCCAGCCAGCCCCCGAAGCTGCCCAACCTCGAGCGACTCGAAGCCAGCCTTCGCGACAATGAGGTAGACGGCGAGACATTCCTCGGTGCGGGGTCCGACGCGCCGGACTTCTATACCGATCTCGGCGTCAAAGCCATCAAGCACAAGGAGACGATCCGGTCCGCCATCACACAGTGGCGCCGCCGCAGCCGCAAGTACAAGATCTTCAAGCTGCGACGAAACCACGACTCCGACGAGTCGGATGACGACATCGAACCGCTCGACCAAGAGAGCCGGAAGAGAAAGCTTGCCGACGAGCGCAGGGACGACGACGGGGAATCCGTCTACAGCACTCCGCCAGCCCTGGCTTTTGAGTCGGCGATATCGACTGCTGCACGACGGACTGCCACGCCTACAGTATCAAGACCTGGGTCCTCCCACATCCCGACAGCTCTACCATTGACCACTACTGGCGGGTCTAGCACCGACGCTGGCACAAACCTAGACGCGCCGCCCGTCCGCAAGAAGCGCCGAATTGCTCCAATCTCTCTCTCCAGCGATGTCAGTGCTGATGCTATTCGTACCATGCCAGTCGGCAATCTCGTGTCGGAGGTCGTGCCGGCAGAAACAACCAGTTCAAGCAAGCTAGCCGGCGGTTACCTAGGCACTGATGTCTTCAACCGAGCTGATATCTATGAGATTGACTTCGATGCCGAGCCTCTGTCCCAAGAGGACCAAACATTTGTGTTCGTCGCAGAGCCAGAGCCACAGGGACGACGCCGCCAGCGTGGCCGTCTGCTGAAGCGCCGGCTTGCCAAATGGCAGCATACCTTCCGGCCTGCCAAGGCAGACATGGTTCCGGGCAGCCACGATCCCGAGCACTACAATGTTTTACCCGCCTACGGCGAGTCTGATGATGAATACGACTCGGACACCTGGAACGAGATCCAGAAAGAAGAAGACGAGCGGAAGAATGCCCATACACGCAACAAGGCACTCAGCGACGAACAAAAAGGCGCTGTTTTGGATCAGATCATCTCGGAGAGGAAGTCTGCTTGGACAGAAGACAAGCTACCGAAGCTCGAGCGCAGAGCCAACCGCATCTGGAACAGGGCTCGCAGACAAGGCCTTAAACTCGCCATCAGTCGACAGACCCGGCTTCTACAAGAGTACGAGGAGCGCATGGAGAAGTATCGAAGAGAGATTGTTCATCAGCAGTGGGCGACCGAGGCAGAGATCAGAAAGATTAGTGGAATTTTTGATCAGACCGTCGAGGACCTCCAGCACACTACGTGGATGCTTGGAATGTTGAAGTCCCCAACCGAGCCCAAGAAACTTCCCCAAGCCCCTCGCAAGCCCAAGGCGAACCGGGAACGTCCAACTGCCGGAGATGATGAAGAGATCTTGACCAGTGATTCTGACACCGAGGACTACCATCTGAGAAACTTCATTGTAGACGATGATCCGGAAAGCCAAGACACGTCCATGCTCGACGCTGGTGATGATGCGCCTGTTGAGCCCATGGCTGGCATCGGTGTGACAGAGTCTGCAAGGACGCCTGGCTCTCGCAGTCATGAAGAGTCCTCACGAGACGAACCCATGACCGATCGACCTTTCCAACCCGATGTACAAAGTGATGCGACAAGCAAACCGAACGGTGTCAAGTTGACGCCCAGCCAGAACACAGCCAAGAGGACTGACTTCGATACACCTATGGCCAGCGCTAGCAACAGGACTGTGCCCGACGCCGCTGAGTTTATTGATCTCACCCAGCTGGAGCCACTGGTCAAAGAGGAGCCATCCTCCTCCAAAGGTACACCAGCGGACAAGGGGCGGAAGAAGAACATTACAGTCATTGATCTCGTCACTCCTGAGAAAGGCAAACAGGTCTCTCGTCAAAGCAGCGCTTCACGAAACCTGTCCACGTCGGCAAAGCGCCTTTCCTTCCAGCGACTTCCGTTTCTCGAGCTCTCACCCATGCAACTGAAAGGATTGAGCAAATCGAAGAGATTGGTTCATGAAGAGTTGAATAACGCCACTGAATACCGGGACTCAATTCTTTCCTTCGCCGCCTGGGACGTAGACGACCTATGGGGAGGTTGTATTCTCCAGGCTCTTGAGGCAGACAAGTTGCCCAAAGCCCCGTTCCAGAGTGATAAGGAGAAGGATATCTTCCATGGACTGCTCATTATCAAGCTTTGGGACACATTTCTCGGACAGAAGCCAAGTCATTGGAGACAATGGTTTGCTCACCTTCAAGCCTCGCGCAAGCACGAACTGAAGGAGATGCGTGATCAATTTACTGAATTCGTTCACTTTCTCCGTGACCTGTCCCTTTCTTACCAGCTGAGCAAAGTCCCCGTCAACGAAGTGTCTGTTACCAATGAAGCAGACCGAAAGGATACACGTCGGACAGCCTCTTCAGACGGGCTGCAAGACTCTGATTTTGAACTCGACGAGAAGGGTGAAGCTGCTGGCCGCTCAAAAGCAAAGAAGCGGAAACCGGTTATTGTCCGGAATAAGGCCGCTATGAGTCTCAGAGAAAGCGACGTCCAACGTGTCAAGGAACAAGCCGAACGGAGAGAGGCGATGCGAGCCAAGATTGCACTCCTTGGTCCTACTGTCAGCCAGAGGAGCCGTCTCATCATCAACGAGAGCAAAGAGGACGACCAAGCTTTCGTGTATGTCCCTGATAATATCGCGGCCCACATCAAGGATCATCAGATCTCGGGAGTTCGATTTTTGTGGAATCAAGTCGTTATTGACGCTCAGGTTCGACAAGGCTGTCTTCTTGCTCATACCATGGGACTTGGCAAGACCATGCAGATCATCACTCTGCTCATGGCAATCGCCGACTCTGCCGCCTCCAATAATCCGGCAGTGTCCTCTCAGATTCCGGATGATCTTAAGGAGTCCAGAACTCTGATTCTCGCTCCTCCTAGTCTCGTGGAGAACTGGATGGACGAACTACTCATCTGGACCAATGAGTCCGGTCACCACTTGGGAGAATTCTTCACTATTCATTCAAAGCATAACAAGCAGGGGCGACACGACATCGTTGACGATTGGTCCGATCATGGTGGCATACTGGTGATCGGCTATCAAATGTTTAAATCCTTGTTGAACACTCCATCCCTCGCGGAAACGCTCTTGGAAAGTCCGAATGTAGTGGTAGCAGACGAGGCACATATGCTGAAGAACCCAAACTCAAAAGTTCACCAGGTCACCGAGAAGTTCAGGACGCAAATTCGCATTGCGTTGACAGGCTCACCCCTGGCCAACAACGTTCAGGAATACCATTCCATGATCAATTGGGTTGCGCCCAATTACCTTTCAAATCTGAGAGAGTTCCGACACGACTACGCTATACCCATTGAAACTGGACTGACGGTCGACAGCACGCCTTATGATCGAAGGAAGGCGCTGGTGAAGCTGAGATCGCTGAAGGAGACCGTTGCACCCAAGGTTCATCGAAGAACGATCCATTCACTGAAAGATGAACTGCCTCCCAAAGTAGAGTTCGTCATCTCTGTTCCATTGACAGACATGCAATTTGAGCACTATGAGGCATACATAGCACAGGGCATGTATGAGACCACCACAGCAAAGCTCTTTGCTACTCTGGGGGTGCTTACTTTACTCTGCAACCATCCCGCATGCTTCCGTCAACGCATGGTGCAAGAAAGGGACAACAAAGAAGTCCAAGACGAACTGACAGCGGGGGTCAGGTTGCCGTCTCAGCTCGTTGGCGAAGCACTGTCCAAGATACCCCATACTGCAATCAAGTCTACTGAACATGAGAACAAGTCATGGAAAATACCTCTTCTCGTTGCGATCCTTGAGGAATGCCGGAAACAAGGCGACAGCGTCCTCGTCTTTTCTCAATCGATATCGACTCTCGATTACCTCGAGCAGGTTATTAGACGCCACAGGTTTGAATGTCATCGACTGGATGGGAGAACGCAAATGGGCTTACGTCAGTCCATGGTCAAGGAATTTAACCAGAAAACCTCGGTCGTTTTCTTGATCTCAACGACAGCTGGAGGCATGGGCCTGAACATCACTGGAGCCAATCGGGTAATCATATTCGACTTCAAGTTCAACCCCCAGCATGAACAGCAGGCGGTTGGACGCGCGTTCCGCCTTGGCCAGACGAAGCCTGTCTTCGTGTATAAATTCATTTGCGGTGGCACATTTGAGGAGAAATTGCACTCGAACGGTGTCTTCAAGATGCAACTCGCTCAGCGCGTCGTCGACAAGAAGAACCCGATACCCAGAGGCCAGAAGTTCAGTGAGCTGTTTGCGAAGCCAGAGACCCCGTTGCAGAAAGATCTTGATCCTTTCAGAGGCAAAGACAAGGTACTTGACAGTGTGCTCGATTCCGAGTTGGGTCAGGGCATCCGCTCGATTGTCATGGCAGATACTTTTGAGGAAGAAAACTTGGAAGAAGAGAACTTGACTCAGGAGGAACAAGCTGAAGCCCAGAGACTCATTGCTGAGCACAAGGCTCGCATTACTGGCAAGGCTTTGGACCCCCTGGTGGACGTAAGCCTGCCTGTTGGCCCAGGATTCCTCCCAGTAGCTTCTGCACCTAGTTCAAGCGCACTGTCAAACGGGGTACCGAACCAGGTCGACGGCCACACGCCGCTTGTCCCCTCGAATGGTGTGCCTGACCACATTAGTGGTCATAAATCACTTGGTAGGTCTTCAAACATAACACAGCACACGGCACAGGTGAGGAACTTGACAGGTGCACCACATCCATCATTCCAGGCTGGAGCAGTGCAGCCTATTCTTGGCCCTTCCACCCATGTTCGCCAGCTTCAAGATCAGAACCACGGTAACCTTCCGTCGGGTTTTTGGGATAGCCCCCAAGCATTTAAGGGAGAGCTTGGGAGAATGTTCTCGGCTAGCGCAGCAGATGAACCAGAGAAGAACCGGAGGCGACAGACAGCCCACAACGTTGCCGCTGTCATAAACCAGTTTGCAAGCGACCAAGATCGTGATCAGCTATCACAGGTCAAATGGGCTTTGGTAGACAACGCCAAGTCACACCGTTTCGTCGAGGCGATTGTGGACGGGAAAATATATCCTCCGGTCCTTGCTTCATGCAACCCCCGCGCCATCAATGAACTGAGACAGCGTTGTGACAATATGTCAGATGAACAGTGGCGTTCTTTCGAGTTTGGCCATGAACAAACTCAAATAAACACTGCCAGCTTGTCGGCCACTGTTACGCAACACATAGGAAACAAGCCGGGCACTTGCACTCAATCCCAATCGCAGGAGCAGCCTCAGGCTCAATCTAGACCACAGAATCAATCTCAGGCTCATACAGATGGTCAGCCAGCAACACAGCCGGCCGTTCAGTCTGATCCAGAAGCTGAAGTATGTACACCGTACAATCATTTGCGTTGTCCTTTCTTCCCCGTCCTTTAGCGGGGGGTTACCTAATACACCTGGACACCAAACCTGTGATATTATGGACCACACATCTGACTGACGAAATTGGGAAAAACAGAACGCACCCCGAGACACTCCCGCTACCAACGAAGGAGAACCCTCGAAGCGCAAATCACACAAAGACGACGACCAGGTCGCCTTACAGGAGCTCAGAGAACGTAGAGACGTTAGAGGCAAGGAGCCTCGATTGCCAACCTGGGCTAGAGAAGCGGTTGCGAGCCAAGGCAGACATGCTCCCTCATCATCTATGTCACCTGGACCGTCGTTTACTGCACCAAGGCGGGCGAAGAACCCCTTTCTTTAATCTTCGCAATCGTTGCAGTTGGATTTTCGTCTAATCCCGGAGCAGGATGGCACGGCGTATAGGCCCAAAGTCTGATTATTTTCGGTTCATTTACACAGCATCGTTAGGCGTTTCACGGTGGCTCAAGGCGTTCCTCTTTTTCCAGCATTCACGCATGTTTTTCACAAGATACCCAACGGCAGACCAACGGATTTTGCGAGTTTGCGATTTGCAATTTTGCCTCGGTTTCTTTGACGGGCGTCATTGATGAGGGCCTATACACAACCCCATGTTTGGACATGGGAAACAGGACAAAAAAGAGAAAAGTCAGCCTAGAGCAGTGGGTAAAGGAGCAGGCAATGATGTACAGGCAGGGATGGAAGAGAAAAAGAAAAGAGACACAAAAAAATGGCACGGATTGTAGATATACAGAGCACACTGGCTCTTTGGGACGTACAGGTACTTTTCCTCTGGATTCTAGGAGGGGCTGATCTACTGCTGCAGCCAATGCGAGATAGTATAGTCTACTACGATGCATTGGCGTTGAGCTTGAGATGGCCTGCCTTGCATGCGCGTGCACGCGGCAATCGAGGAAATGAAAATTGCACATTTACTACGGTTGGGGTGGATTTTGAATGTCTGTGACTGATGACCACAATAAGCGACACACGCAACTTCCCCTGGGTGTATGCATGCCTTGCCTCCTTCACTTTCCTCGGCTTCCTTGAGTGTGTAGACCCACGGCGCGGTCACATCATCGGACATAGTTCCATGAAACGCCTCGCAGACGGCATGGGACGTTTGAAGGCCGCATAGTGTAGCCCAAGAGCTAACGCTCAAGAAAGCCACGGTTCGAAAAACGCTCATGGTAATCTCTACTGTATGGTAGGTATGTCAGAAGGCTTGACGAATTTGCCACATCATTTTATTACTCCTTTTGTCGTCTACAAGCGGGCGTTGCCGCAGATCCCAAGCAGTCAACCAGGAAAAACCCTCCCGTGCCCAATCTCTGTCAGTGTTTGCCCTCGTGTGATGGGCAGGGCCAAATCGCCGTTCCTCTTCCTACCAACGCCATGGAACAAAGCACTCGCATCTAGATAGAGAGAGGCTCCAGGAAAATCAAAATCAGAACGCCAGGCGCCACGCCCGAGGACGCGGTGCCTTGGCCCCAATAACACCGACGACCAACCACCAAATGGCATCCAGCACGAGTAAAGTCCGCAGCCCTGTATACTCGGCGGGTCATTCGCGAGAGCAGTTTGCCGTGGTTTGGACGCAGGGCTCTATGTCCCCTTCACAGCAGGCCGTCTACCAGGCCCACAGGACCTTGTGGTGCAGGACCCTGCAGCCGAGGCGCTCGAACTCGAAGGGGGTGATCCAGCTGTCGTTGGTGGGCAGCTTGGCGAAGACGCTGGCGCCCTTCCAGGTGACGACCTGCTCGTCCATGTCGCGGGCGCTGCGCGACACGAGGATGCGGTCGAAGAGGTCGGGCCGCTTGGCGCGCAGGCGCTCCTCGAGCACCTGGGTGAAGCCCGGGGTCTTGGCGCCGCCGCCGATGACCATGATGCTGCCGAGGAACTCGCGCAGCTTCTTCTCGTCGCCCCGCGCCGCGTTCTGGATCGACGTCAGGATGGCGATGTCCAGCGGCGCCACGGGCAGGACCGAGTCCCGCTCCGCCGCGATCTGCTTGGCTGTCCGCGCTTGCGGGTCGACAAACATGCCCGGCGGTGGCGGCGCGGGCGACGCGCCGGGCGGTGCTGGAGAGCCGGCGCCAGTGACGGTCCCGTTGGTGCCAAACAGGAAAGGCGGTGGTACGGGGGTTGAAGCGCCTTCTGGGGCGGGCGAGGCGGCCTTCGAGCCCATGGGGGTGCCCTCGTTCCGCGAGAGGAAGTTGAAAGGCTGAGTCTTCTCCTTGCTGGGAGTGGCGAGGTTGGGGTCTGAAGCCGAGGGTTGGAAGCCGTTCGTGGCTGCTCCTGATGAGGCCACAGACGGCTGCACCAGGGCGAGAATGGCGAACTGAGCCGCCGATTGCGGGTCGTCTGGCACCTCAACGTCGTAGGCATTATACGAACGGTCGATCAGTTTCCGGCGGCCGCGGAGCTTTGTACTGTTATCAAAGATGGTGGGATCATAGAAGCCCATGGGTGCCAATATGACTTCATCGTAGGTCTTGAACTGGTACTTGTGGGTTGGTTGATTAGGGGCGCGGAGGTGGAACTGGTAGAGCTGCACGGATATGTCGGCCTGGGACATGGTGCAGTGCTTGATCTTGAGTTCCTCGGCGAGGAGGAAGTCATAACGCCTCCGCAGGTTAATCTCCTGGTAGGGGAAATTGTCGTATAGCATCATCTTGATGAACGTCTCGGTCACGTCGAAGCCGCCGTACTTCATGTTGATGCGCGAGTCCTCGAGCATGAGCCCGTCCTCCACGCAGGCGATAGATGTCTTCTGGGCGCCAATATCAACCACACAGGCCTGCGTATAGCCGGCGCCGAAGCTGGCAGCCATGCTCTCCTGGATGAAGCATATCCGGCTGAACTCGAACCAGGTCATACATGATTTGAGCACGGCCTCGACGTAACGCTTGTCGTAGAGATCCGGGATGACGAAAACACAGCTGTAGTTCTTCCACACGCTGTTCTTGGTCAAACCCAGCTCCTCTCTGATGGCCTTGTCGAGAAGGGTTTCGAGGTCATCGTATAGATGCTCCTGGGTGGAGTACTCGTCCTCGTTCAGCCAGCCGTGCTGGATGGGCCACCACAGCTTGAACTTGGGATTCGAGTCGTCCGGGACCCTGAGGGCAGCCTGGCCAAGGAAGGCCGAGGCGGGCGAGTCGGGGTCCTCGAGCGTGTTGAGGTCGGTCCACTCAATCTGCAGGGGGTCGTTGTGGGTTGGTATCTTCTCGGGCTCCGTCCTCCGGTTGTAGTTGACGACCAGCTCCTTGGAGTTGGGGAGGACCTTGCGCTTGTTGGCGCGCATGTCGGTCTTGAGGTCGCCGCACTGCTTCTGGTATCTCTTGGCCCACTCGTCGCCGTGGATCTCGTCTTGGTTCTTGCCCTCGAACTTGCGGCGCGGCAGGGCCTCGTACATCTCGGACTCGGTCTGGGGGAACCTGGTGGCCAGGGTGGTGGGGATGGTCCTGGGCAGGGCATCGCCGGCAAAGCCTATCCTCAGGTTCTGACTGCCGGGGTGGATGACGATGATCTTGTTCGGGTCGAGCAGGCCGTCGGCAGATCCATCGGGGGCCGTGGCAGCGCCTTCGTCTTGCTCGGCGTCGGCCTCGGGCAGGGCAATGGGCACCTCGGCGTGGCCGTTCCGTGCCAGGGCGCGGTCGCGATCCTTGGCGTTCTGCACCAGGCGGTCGCGGGCAGCTTCGGCCTGGAGTCTGAGGGCGAGAACCTGGTCATCGCGCTTCATGTAGTCGGTGTAGTAGTTCTTCTGGTTGATGGCAGACACATCGGGCCAGTTGGTGAGCTTCATGCCATTGTCGGTTCGCTCGAGCCCTGGATACCACCAGTAAGCAGCCATTCTCACATGCGTATGTAGCAAGGGGGCGTCAGGCCGCCTATCGAACAATACCGCGACCGAGGTGGCAGCGCAGATTGCGATAGAGAAAACCGACAACGACGCTGGGGACCAACTCACCTTCCCGCAGGAGGACGCGCTCGCTGACTTTGCCGACCATGATGACGGTTGTACGGCTGGATGTGTGGGTGTGTGATACTGTGCAACGCGGCTGGTGGCTGTCACAGCAGCATCTGGTATGTGTTGAGTGAGGACGACGGACGGTCCTGTCGCGAAAACCTGGTTTGTCCTGGCCGCCGGATTCTTTCTCGTTCTCACCACCAACCGAATGGAGGCGCAATCCAGCCGAGCCGCAGACCGCAGACCACAGACCGCAGACCGCAGACTACAGACGGGCAGCCCTGCGCTTCGTCAATCCAAGCGCTGCCGTCCAGCGGACCCCAATGCCCATACCGGCCTAGCCCGGAAGTAGGCCCCCCTGCATTCCCGCCCCATCCGTCCAATTGTGGCGCCTGGAGACCCAAGCTCTAGTAAACTTAGCAACCTACCCCACTGGGGATTAGCTTTCCAAGGATACCTACCTACCTACCTGCTTCAAGGTCCTGTAGATGGAGCTCCAGACCTGAGAGTCTCCATGTATCGAGTATCTCGTGCTCATGATTGTAACCATCTGCGATCTCCGTTACGCTGAACTTCCAACTATCCTCTGTCATGTCAAATCAATTACACATCGAAATTCTTTCTTTGGGTCTGCAAAGATGTTGCACCCCGGGTCAAAGGTGTCTGGTCAAGGTGGTACATGTCTAATATAAGTTGCCGCCTCTTTCAACATAGCTGTATACGAAATATGGTCAAAATGCTATCCTTTTATACCGCGAAAATGGTCAAAATCTTCTGCAGCAGAAACGTATTAAAACCACGCTATCTAATATGTGCACCTCGATCTGCTATGTACAACTATGTCTATCCGTCCTGTTTATGCCCAAGACGCAGTCTACAACTCCCAAGTCTGCCCTCATCTGCCTTGAACGTGTCGATAATACAATCCGATACTCACTCAACCAGAACGAAAGGCCTTTTTTAGGAACTCAATCCCGCCAGCCAATGCCCAGCCTGGGCTCCCCAAACCTAGCCCCCGGCTCTCCCATCCCGGCATGAGCACTGACGACTTCCTCCCCTCCGCCCTCCAGCAATTCCGAGTGGGACCACCGCATACCCATGCCTTCGATCACGCCCATGGGATCGAACGTGTTGCGGCACTCCCAGCCGCACCTGTCAACACGCGGGCATGAGTGCCTTGTACACACCCTCTTGCGAAAGGGGAGCACGTCGAACTTACCACATCCCCACAACCACCGTGTTTCCTGCATTAGGCTCACACGTCCGTGGGTCCATCTGGAACGGGATCTGAATATCTGTCTGCGGAACTGAGCCCGGCGTCCCGGAAATCGCGTCGTGGATGCGCTGGAGCTGTTCGAATATAGGGCGGCACGACGGTCCTGCCAAAAGCTTCGGCTCGTGGTGACCGCAGAGTGCGTGTTGTAGAACAAACCAGCACATGATACAAATTTTGCCGGCTATGGTAGAGTTGGATATCCAAGGAGTAGCGCCATGTGCCTGCCGTGTCCTACCAGATCCTCTGCCAAAATCTCAAGGTAGGCTACATCCAGCAGTTCGCCGTTCCGTGCTTGACGCAGGCTAGACGGTGCCAGAGAGTTCCTAAAGTGCAAAGGCGAGCGGTATAACTGTTGATACACGGTAGATGAATAGAAGACGATAGGCTCACGAGTTAGGCAAAATCTTGGTGAATCTTCGTCATTCCGATGTATGTGTCAGTCAGTATAAAGCCTGCCGGAGATGGGAACTGGGGCTATATACGACGGTGTCACGGACGACTCCGGGATGTTTGGTAAAGAGGCAGACTATGTGGTGAGAACATCCGGCAGCCGGCCGACGTGTCCAAACAGCTTCCAGTTCCGAAGAGAGTTTTCCCCTCTGGAAACATTCTTCACATTCCACCCCAGGAGGCCAGCGAGCAATCGCTTGTCTATCATTGATTGATGGGAGAGCGACTGTATATAGGAGTTGGACTAACAACTGATTGTTTATGCCCACCACGCGCCCATTGCCAGATTCTCGGTGGGAATACCAGGCAAGATATGATGAGCTAAGAGCAATATCACGACTTAGATTTCGATAGAAGAAGAACAGAGAAAAGAAGAAGGGTGGCACAGAGATCCCATCCCAGTGGTGACTGTATCCGTTGCAAGAGTTTGATGCCATTTGTCTCTGTTTGCCGCCCACTGATTGCGACTTTTTGGAACGTTGGCAAAACGTATAGCTGGGTAGATTGCCCCTTAGAGGCGCAAGCCTGGAACTTTCTGACGCAGGATTAACATTTGTCGCTGCGCTACGTTGCAGAACCATTGTTCAAACACTACCATGGATTGGGTATCTTATGTACGCGGCTATTATCCAGACCGTGCCCGGGGAGAGAACAATGCATGAACATATGATTTCCAAGAGCCTGCCCATTAACCACCCGTGCCAGCCTGGAGGAGCCGTTCCTCGAATGCAATGCGACCTTGGGATTCACAACGAGATGAAAACAGAAGACTCTCAAAACAGCTCGACTCCCTCCTGCTCCAGGTGCCGGACCATATCCTCATGACTGGCCCAATGGTCCTGCCCCAAACTCTCAACCTTGGCAGCCGCAGCCGCGGTGGTCTTCGGTCTACGCTCCATCTTCTCCCGCAGCTCCAGAGTGATGGCGTCGACGTCTACATCGATATATTCTCGCAAAAACTTGCCGACGTCTGTGTTCTCAACGTTTCCTCTGATTGCGTCTGTGCCAGGCCCGCCCGAGCTGTAGATGTTGACATCTACGGCTGAATGGCCGTGGGTGCTCCAGCCAATCTGCGCGCGAGTGCTGACCATCCTCGCAAACAACGGTTGCGCGGCCACCGGGTACTTGGCAATCGTGGAAACCTCTTCGTCCGAGGCATCCAGAATGCCCAAATCTGAAACAATCAACTCTTTGATGTAAGTCTTGAGATCTTTATCTGATTGCGCGTCGCTTGCGGGAAGTGATGCCAAATGTTCATGTAGTTTGTGTGCAAGATATAGCGAAGATGACGAGGCATTGGCCAGAACGGCAGGATACCACAGGTAATCCGGGTACTCTGGGGTGAGCTCTGGAGAAGAAGTCAGCAACAAAAACGAAGACAAGACGGCTTGAAAAGATTACTTACGTCTGGCAACGGAGAGGCCACCAGTCTCATGGTCACTTGTTGCAACCAAAACGCCCGGTGTCTTGCTCTCTTCCAGATAATCTACAACAATTTTGAATGCCTTGTCGTACTCGAGGACCTCTCGAACCTGAGCGGCCGGGTCGTTGATGTGGCCTGCATGGTCAATCCTGCTGCCTTCAATCATGAGAAAGAATCCCTTGTCGCTGTTGGCCGTCGCCTTCTCCAGGGCCTTAATGGCGGTCTTGGCCATCTCACTCAAGCTCGGGTACACATCGTCCATGTTGCGGCGGTCTAGCTCGAAAGGAATGTCGGTGGGCGCAAAGAGTCCTAGCATTGGGAGGGGGACGTCGCTTCTGCCCTCCCAGAACTCGTCGAATCCAGCACGGTCATCGACGTAGGTGAACTCGTGCTTCTCCTGAGCAATGCCCACGACATCAATGTCGTCGGCTCGGCAACTCCCCTGAGTGGTGTTGGGGAGGAAATGGCATCTTCCGCCACCGAACATCAAATCCACCACTCGACCGAGAGGACCCTCGCCGACCTGCTGGAGCGCGATCTCGTCCTCCTGCTCGCGCACGTCCACGTGCGCCGAGAAGCAAGCGGGGGTCGCGTCGGTGATGTCGGTCGTCACTACGAGGCCGGTCATGAAACCAGCTCGCTTGGCAGCCTCCAGGACTGTGCCGCAGGGAGTCTGATCTGGCAGCATGGAGATGGCGCCGTTGTAGCTCTTCCGGGCGCAGCTGAAGGCTGTGGCCCCGGCGGCCGAATCTGTAACCAGGGATGAGGCGCTGCGGGTGCGACTGCTGCCCCAGAAGTGCTTGTCCAGGGTCAAGGTATCCCCGAACTCCAGGCCCTCGGTGTACTGCCGGAAGGACCGTGTGAGCGAGAGCGAGGCGGGGCCCATGCCGTCCGAGACCATGAAGATCAGGTTCCGCTTGCCGCTGGGCTTCTCGAGGTTGGTCTGCGACTTGTGGGACATCCAGACGGCCAGGATGAGCACCCCGGCGGTGGCGAGAAGCGCCCAGATGAAGATCAGGGTCTCGCGCAGTCGGAGGTGCCACGACCGGCCGGAGTGGGTGGAAGGGGCGTCGCCGCGGAGGGCATCGTCTTCGGAGTCGGACATTGCCGAGTCGGCAGACAACCGGCGCCGGTCGTCTGCTAACAGCGGAGTCGTTGCGGAAGCCTGGGAATGTCTCTGGTCAGCTCTCGGTCCTCCCAGCATTGCTCACGTGCCCTAGCGACGGGGAGGCTGGGAGCAGCTTCCGCAGGGCGAGCATCTTGTAGCAGGCTGTTGAAGAGCGTAGAAGCCCGGCAGCATGAGGTAGCGGGTATATCGCACTCACCATTGTGTATGGTGGGTTTGTGAACTTGGACTTGGGAGAACAAGTGCCACAGGGACGTGCTCCAGACGGGCGAGGTCAAGTCGTCACTGAGCCTTGTGACGCTTATCTTTGTCACAAGGGGAGCTCTCGCTTGGCGTTTCTGCAGGGGGGTGTAGGTACTACGGTACGTGGGCGTTGCATCGCGCCGACGCTAGCCTGATGTCATAATCCGGGGTATACGCCGTAGCTGCACACAATGCTTACGGAGATCTACCAACAAGAACAACAACTGCCGCTGCACTTCACCACAAGGTTGGTGATACGAACGACTGCCGTATAAATATCCTCTAGTCATGCTCTATACTAAATACCGAAGGATTCTGCCATAGGTCTCCTCTCGGTGCATGGTGGGCGCCCGCCAAGGATCATACAAAGCGACTCTAAGGAAGTGCTTCACGCCTCCATTTCACTGGGCTTGGCGACCACTGGCGACCCCTGCCCAACATTATGGTATGCGGTCTGGAGTAAGCATGAAGTTCATGCTGTCTTTCCGATCGTTCTGGCAGCTCGGGCACCTCGCTCGCATGTGGCTCAGCTTTCCCGTCAAATCCAACACTAATCCTCTCTCCCCGCTCATGGCATGGCTCTCGCCTGGTGCTAATGCCCTTTCATACGTGAACTCGCAAGTTTGCCTTTCCCGTCTAACAAGTGCCTGCTGCCGCATAGAGACAGCGACAGCGATGAGCAGGAGAAACCCGGCCACTCCTCCGGCAATTGCCCCAGCCAGATGTGCCCTGGTAATGGTAGCGGGAGGGATTGTCTCGCCTGAGAGAGGGAATACAGGACGGAGCGCAGTCAGCGATGGCAGCGTCGTGTGGAACGACGTTGCCAACGCATCAAGGGGACCGGGAGACCATAATGAAAGATTCGCCTCCGAATTAACCCATATGACCTCCTTCCAGGCGATCGCACTCGCACAGACGCGCACGTTGCCATCAGTAGATAGTATCGCTTCACCAACGCTCGTCCAGCGTCGTAGCTCTTGGGACAGCACCACGTCTGCGTCGAGTTGGCTGCCTCTATGCATACCGTCACCGTGCAGGCCGCAGTCCAGCCGTCCGCACATGCCGTGCCAGGGAATGCGTATTATAAGTAATCTGCTGGTTGTAGGTCAGTATAGATATGACCAGACCACCTAGTCATGGGACTACACTAGAGCCCTTCCGAGCTGTAGATCTCTGTATATTGAGGCGGAAAACATGACGGACGATAGAATTCGGAAGAACAGTCCGCGTAGAAGTCTCCAGCAAAGCAGTCGGCGCCATTGGGGAAGGCTGGACACCAGAGGTCATGCCGGTGCACATCACAGTCCTGTGGACTTACTGGAGAATATTGGGTTATTTGTGCCGGGGAAAAGGCCGTGTTCGATGCCGCTAAAGTACTGAAAGTCGACGATGCCATTGGGTAGGTGACCACGGTGTTAGAGATTACGCTGAGTGGACACTGACAATTAGCTATGCAGTGTTCGTCTTCAAGATATCCAAAGATGAGTTGTCGAGGGAACACGATTGAAAATACAATTCTACCCCTTCGGGTGGAAAGCCCTGCATCTATGGCGAGGTCACAGTGACCAAAACGTGTCTTGTTCATTGCATAGTGTGTCACGAGAGCGTGCGAGAGTAAGAAGGTTGCGCAACCAGCTCTCCAGCCTTCATTGTGTTGGCCGCAATATTTTAAGGCTTACTGAAAATGATGAGATACTTGAAACTTACTGATATAGGCTATCGTAACGCAGATACATACTGCAGTCCTTTAACGATCTGATCGGGAGTACCATTGAATCGACACTCGGCAGACTATGAGCAGCTGGGTCAGTAATCATAGCCCAGCTAGGAAAGGGCGAATAGCACATACCACGCCAGTTACCACACAATGAAGACGAGCGAAAGCCTGAATTGCTTTGTCAGAAAACTGTGCTCCGGCTGCTCATAAGGTGTGAAAGTTTCTGTCCTATGCAGTGGTGGCGTCTTCATTATACGTTTGAGAAGCGAGTAGGTTTCATAGTCGCAATCAAAGTGATAACCGTGGCAGTGACTTGTGTTTCAGTCAGCCAGCACTGAAGTGACGTATCTATCGCAACATGTAGTTGCTATTTGTGCTACTGCTGTGTAGCTTAGTCCGCGAGACATGGAGTACTTCATAGCACTGAAAGGGAATGTCCAAGATCCCGATTGGACTAGCCCAAGGAATGGAGAGGAGAGCGATATGAAATTCGACCACTTGTGCACAATAATCGTTGCTCAGCCAAATGTGCAAGTAAGTCCTAGGGGATGCCACTTGTACGGCGACTCTAGCTCGGTATCGGATTGCATCCCTGATCAAGTATCTCATGTAAATCGGGACCCGAACTGACTATCACAAGCACTGACCTAAGCGAGATGGAGAGTGGGCTCAACAAGCTATCTGATAAATGCAACACCCTCGTCCGGCACTTTTACCTCTAAACAACCTGCAGATTGACGATTACATAGTGGGAGGTCTTTCGTCTAGAGCGTTAATTGCCACCAGCTGCCTGGAGTCCTAAAGGTGATGAGTATCTCACATTGTGGAATTGAAAACCCGAGTAAAGCAAATAGAGTTCCCCTCAGAGCATATCCAATCATATGTCCCGTCCCAAACTGGCAGTGGATAAATGTAACTCATTTCCACCTACTGGTGTCCTCCGTGGTCTCCTAACTGCAGAGTCTTTCCCGTGCCACCCACAGCATAGAGATATTCCGGAGGGGCCTCAGAGAAAGATGATGAAAATGAAAAACAAGCAAAAAGCGACATGCCAGTGTTACACCTTTGGGCAAATATCTCCCGACATGGGCATTGGGCTGGAGAGCAGGATCATTCGCATCGATGCAAACAAAGCAGATGAACAGCCTGCTGGGTCTATTTGTTTATTGAAATGATATATCATTTGCGATACACAAAGGAGTCCGATCTCTTGTTCTAACAGGATCTCTCATAATTACGCGAAAGTCGGTTCCTCGAAAGGATCAAGCTGCAGATACGTGTTGAATTCTGCCTCATATAAACGTGTTGGGACGCTAAATCTGAGTGGGCACTTGAAAGGCATCAGAGCGTTACGTGTAGATATTCGACGGCGGTTCCATACCCGTATTTAATTTCTCATTGCCCGTTATCTCACAAGGTGTCCATGGGACTTTGATTTTGTGGTCGCAAGTATGCATTATAAGATACAAATCATAATACTATGCCCACGTCACTGTCGCGTTTCTGAATACAGATCACCCTAGTGGAACCGTACAAGAATAGAAGGAGATGGACCTGCAATAAGAGCAAGGATGCCGAACTACAGTATTATGCAGCCAGGATTATCCAGATGTGCTAGTGTGTCATTGCATCGAGAAGCAGCTGTCAAACATATGACAGGTCCCGTGCTGGCCAGATTTGCTGTAGATCCAGCCATGCCGCCGAGGTCACCAGGCCGTCGACTCCGTGCACAGCCATCGCCTTGAGTATGGCTGTCTACCTACCATGAACCAATAAGGACACACATACACCCAAGTTCCCAGCGGTTTGTATACTTGGTTCCGTCATCGGCAGCAAATATGACTTGTCTCAAACGAACATCTTCGACTGTGTTGCGCCTAGAACTGCAGAGCAAGTGACGGAAACGAACTTGGCGTCGCCACTCGCCAGCTGTTCACGCAGCCAATACATATGCTACATGTGCATATGCAACCCTACCGGCTCGTTGGTTATTGGCTGAGGGACATAACGGAGATGACGTGCATGTCTTCGTCCAAGTGCTGAAGACTTTTCTCTTCAAGCCAAAGTATGGCGTATCTGACCTAGCAAAACATCCAAGTCAATGTCGCTTCTGAATAGCTTTCCGAAGGAGCCGAGATTATCGCAGTCATTCCCGTCATTGCTCCAACGCAAACCCAACAGAGGTGATTTATCCAGCCTATCTCCAGGATTTAGCAATTTCCACTCGGAATATGCCGCGTTGTGGACAAAGTCTGCCCTGTCGACGTAGGTACTGGCCTGGACCCAGCTTGCATACAACCTGCAGTGTTCGCACGTCAGATTCCAACGTCAAATTACCTGGCAGCTCAATCTGTGGTAGCAACCCAGTTTGGCCCCCGCAGCTCATGCATGTGCAGAACGGGTTACATGTGTAGAGCCCAAACGGGTAGTCGGTTGGTGCGGACCCCTGCCGGCATATAGTGATATGGATCTAGAATCTAGGATAAACCTTGTCGAAGATCATCATCTATCAATATGATATCTCATAGTTTTGTCATTTTCTCCCAAGTGCCACGGATCGGATCCGCGCAAAGAGGATGGAGCATGGTAGAGGTAGAGCCTTAGAGGCAACGGCCTCGTACGATATTGCGAGTATCTTACCCTGCTGATCGGTACCAAGACAAGCGTGTATCTGCCCAAATTTCAACCCACTTCAATCCACGTCCTTGTCTCGGAAGTCAAGCAAGTCTCTACTCTTTGGACCAACGACAGGCCCAGAAAGTCATGGGATGTTGGCAGTGAGCAGCTTCCCGGATTGCGGAGAGCATACTCCACCAGGATCTGTGTAGATTCGAAGGGAAGAGAACCAATAAGATACATCATTCTGCAACAGGCCGCCTTTTTTTAAGCCAATACCTAACGACGTTAAGATGCTTGGCTGTCTGCGGCTCAAAGACGGACATGGTGGGGGCTATCTAATGGGATGTATATGGTACCAAACACTCGACCACACGTTGCTTACTTGCAGCCTTGCAGTGACGGCGGCTGCAATGATCTTGTGACCTCCAGAACCCCCTCTGAAGGGCTTGGCACGCATTCTGCAACGCACCTTAGCTAAGCCCATAGGGTCGCGCTTCATATGGTTTGCATTCATTGCGGGAACCAATCATATCAGTTGCCCATCCTGCCGTCAATGGTGTCTCGCTACCGTTTTCAAGAAGAGCCGCAGATGTCATATGTGATAGACTTTCGACGTAATGCGATATAGCAAAAAACTTGACGTTTCGAATCATCTTTCTGGCTGTTCAACTTTGCTGTCAAGACCCATGTACGATCAGGTGAAGCGGGAGACAAGATTACTCGACGGCTCTGTCCGGACACATTGGGCAATCATGGGACGAATTCAGAAAGACCTGCCTTCCCGAGCCTCCACTTCCCCATATCTACCCACTCATTGAACTCTTCTGGTGACGGAAACTGCGGGTATCTTGTGGTTGGGGCGGGACTCGGAAAAGGACAATGGCGGGTTTTCCTGAGGAACAGAATATATCGAAGAGATCGAGCTGAGATGGAGATGATTATGTCTAAAGCTTGCTTGCATCTTGAAACTTTATTCCATCATCAGAACACCTTTTGGAACAATATACAGTATCTAGTGTATATTTTCTGCGTTGTCCTTGCTCTTGTAAGTCGTGCTGCTTGACAACAAGAGATATAACCGTGGTCATCCTTCCTGTCCAGAATTCTGCGTGAGTGGCCAACTTCCAGAGATTCGTTGCAACTGTCCTTGCTCACAGATCAATAGCTAGTTGCTATCGTGGTAGTGTCGCCACTCGGAGCCCAACCTTGACTCCCTCCCCAAGCCTGTTCATGCTGCCCAGCTGTAACACTCCAGATCATCCGGAAACCAGTTCGTGACTCCCAGCCTAACGGGAACCCGCACCAAATCTGCTGCAACATCACCTGCGGTTCCTGACCGCCAGGTCTCAAGGTGCCGACTGTGTGTCTACCCAACATCTCCCCTTTCAACCTTCAAGAGCGGGTCCTCGGTACCATCGGCATCGGTATTCCTTGGCTGGCCAAGGCCTTGTTCGGAAGTGAAGAGAATCAGCGGTGAAGTCTCGCTTCTCATCTCGTTGGTCTACTGCCTGACAATCGATCGGAACAAACTGTGGGAGACGGGAATAAAGCAGTAGTAGAGGCGAATATTGCGGCGCGAAAGGGGGGGAACGACTGCAACGCCAAGCTAGACCACAGCTTGCAGATACAAACTGAACCCTGCCAGAAGACAGACGCGCAGGAGGCACTGAACTGGATCTTGATCAAGGTTAAGGGTCACAATGTTTATCTGCGAGACCCAGCCCCAAGTTCATAATGTATGGGACGATTATTCATTGCGGGGTGGACAGCTCGGCTGCTTGAATAATTGCAACAACATTGAGGTGAATACTGGAGCTGTAGGTGAGCTTAGGTCTCAGCTGCGACAGAGGCAGCAAGACAGGACCAGAAGAAGGCAACAGCTTGCAGAGAATCTCCTCTCCGGCCATCTCAATCATCTCACACCACAAGATCTAAGGGCTTGGAGTAAAGCCTTGTCTCATTGCCCTCGCCAAGTCCAGACCCACGGCCTACACCAGCATCAAGCACAAGAACCACGACATCACAGCGAAGTCCGACACCACTTCACACTTCACCGAGGACAAGTGATGATGGAGACAGGACAGTGTGTACCTCAAGTCATCGATGGCGGCGATGAGAATTATCTCGTACGTATCATCCGATGTCAAAAGCCCCCCGCTCTAGCCTGAATCACTCCTCCAACATGTCATGGGATCGCCTTAGAAAACCCTCTTTGCAATGATGAACTGACCGCAGAGACGGTACAGACCGAAGACATGTACAGCGGTGACTACTTCCCCGTGTTCGACGGCCTGCCGGCGCCTAACCACACAGCCCATCAAACACCAGGCGGCTATGTTGTCTCAGGACGGACAGCGGATCCGAGTCACACCCATAATAACCATCTGGACCATCAACTCCTCAACAAAGGAACTGCAGAAAGCAACAGCAGCGGCAACAACAACAACAGCACCTCTCAGCACATGTATTGGCCCACGTTCCAGACAGCTCACACCAACATGTATTCCCCTCCCCATTTTACTTTCGACAACGACTACCCCAGCCAGTACTCAATGCCGGCCATTTTTGGCGACACTTCTACTGCCAACTACCTGGGCTTGCAGCATGACCTGGCCGGCAACGGCTGGTCTTCTAACCAGGGAATGTCCTACCTGCCGGATGCCGCTCCGGGCAACCCCCGTGTCAGTCCCGCCGGCACTGCATACAGCAGCTTCTCGTCGTCCGGAGCATCGGACGCCATGGCCTCGATGAGCCTTGATACTCCCATGTTGAACCATGCCAGACCCTCAGACATGATCATCTCTTGCCCCTCAACCGTATCACCCAAGGTTCTCCGCATCAACCCTTCCCCTGCCCCGACATCCTCATCCGAGTCGGTACATGCCGCACTCTATTCTGCTAGCGATAGCCAGCTATCGAGCTCATCATCCTTCGACCAGTCCTACCTGCCGACCGTTCCGACTTCTTCATCCAAGAGACTCAACGCCAAGGGTCGCAAGCAGCTTCCAGACAAGCCGAGAAAATCAAGCAACACCGACGTACCAGCTCCGTCGGCTAGAAGCAGAGGCTCGTCGCGCCAGAATCAGCCCGCAGAGCAGCAGGCCTTGACCTGCCACCCCAAAAGTCTGGTCGAAATCAAGCCCAAACCTGCACGCAGTGCTGTGGTCGAGTCGCCAGCTGCAGAACTGCCGCCCCAAGCCATTGAGCGCAACAAGAAGGACAAGTTCCTTGTCGACTCCAAGCTGGCTGGTATGACTTACAAGGAGATACGACGCAAGGGCGGCTTCACAGAGGCCGAGTCGACACTGCGCGGCCGCTTTCGAACCCTGACCAAGAACAAGGAAGCGAGAGTTCGCAAGCCCGAGTGGACCGACACAGATGTAAGTCTCTCGTCTCACACATCACTTTCATCGTGGTGTCCTTGCTGACTCTTGTACGCAACAGATTCGCCTTCTCAAGAAGGCTGTGCGAAAGTTCGCCAAGGGCGAGGATGTCACGCCGAGCAAGATCCCCTGGAAGCAGGTTTCCGAGTACATCACCACCCATGGTGGCTCGTACCAATTCGGCAACGCGACTTGCCGCCGGCGATGGGACGAGCTCGTTGACCAAGGAGAGTAAGCACAACAAGCCATCAACACTGGAGAAAGAAGATCCGATCATATCTCCATGGCAAGCTAAAGTGTGTCGAGGGCCACACGCCATGATGGCTTCGGACATGAATGTACGAGTATGGAGCATAGCATGACGATCATGGATGACTTGTGGAAAGGCCTTACTTGTAAAGGAAAAGACGCGACTGTACTTACGTGGGGACAACCCATTCAATTTTGTTTTTGTCTAGCATTGTTGGTAAAGTCGGCGTTCCTTTTCTCGTCTCAAGAGTTTCTGGCAGGGGAAACAACATCTCCTGACCGCTCGGTCTACACTTTGAGTCTAGGTAGTCCATAGTCTAATTCCCTTTCGTAACAAGCTTCTTACTTGCACCTCACAAGTTGCCATTGATCGTATCATGAGATGGAATGCCGATCTGGTTGAGCACGCCGAGTAGCTTCTCCGGACTTTCTCTGAGGGCATCCCACTCCGACTCATTCTTTACCAAGGCAGTACCGGCAAGTAGCGTTCCATTGAGAGCCACGAAACCGGCATCATCCCCAGTCTTGCTTTGTATCGAGGCCCCCTCGGCACGCCTAGGGCATACAGCCAACGTCGTGCTCGTCATGGCCATGTTATAGCTGATCTTTGCCTCACCTTCCGCAGGTGCGTCGCTATTCGGGAGTACCAGATTCACGGCCCGCCTATACAGACTCAAGTACTTTCTGTGAAGTTCCTCAGGTGCCATTTCTGGAGCTATAGTTTCAGTGAGGACAGCAAAAGGCAGGTCGCTCGTCCGCCTCTGAACCTCCTCTGCAAGAATGCCCCATTGCGGCTCCCCCTTGATGTCTTCAAGCCCAGCTCTCATCTCGTCGACAGGCAGGAGTTGAAGATGTCTATGGGGCTGACTGGCGCCTGAGTGCGGGCCAGAGTTGAAAAATGCGAATAACTCTTTCCCGTTATCGCGGTACGCCTTGATGCAGGCATACGTCGCTGCGATGTCGTCCTGCTCTAGCACGTGGGTCTGCGGCTTTGCCGACTTAGTGATGAGGATAAAGTGTTCCGGTACTATTGCGAACTTGTTCAGAACTAAAGCGTGGGAAGGGGGCAACTCCGAGACCGTCATAGACGGAAGGGGGTTCTCGAAGGGGTTGAAGGGCTTGGCACCAGGCTCCTTGGGCTTGGGTGCCTTTGGCTTGGAGGCCAGGGATGGGGAGAAGCGCAGTTGGAACTACACAGGGAGTCATCATACTGTAAGTGCACATTCATCGGCAGGGACAACAAGTTTACGCCTGCTGCGGTCTATGGGCAACGTACGGGTATCGAGCTCAGTTCCAAGAGCGCAACCCGTGTGGGGTAGTACGTCAAATCGCCACTGGCCTTTGCCTTGGAAAATGCCGACTTCACCAGGCTCGGGAGGTTTGATGGTGCGCGTATATGGAACATGTCGGCCATGGCGGCTGAAAGTTGCTACCTGGAGTCGATGATGTGAGTGGTGCGAATGGAATAGGCGTCCTAGGCCAAGTTACGGAGAACGCTACCAAAAGTATCCAGCCGTCAGCACAGCAGGGACTACATCGTCAGTTGGCCGCCACCTGTGCAAATGAACCGTGACTTGATGGACCACAACACCTTGAGTTGACTAATTGTAGTTACTTATTCATTTGCACCCAACCAGACCTATTTTTGTCCACGATTGAGTTCCCTGATGGATCTGTCCATTATGTATTGGGCTTGTTAGCACGAATTGGCCGTCCTTTCAAGTATTCGTTGCCACGCTCAAGTAGAATCGGCTCCTGTATATGGCAAGGGATCCTCTCAATCCACGCACAAAACTTCTTTATAGGCAGTTGCCTCAAGTTTTGCTACCAATTCCTTTCCTATCTGTCAAAATTGTAGAACTGGATATCGTCGTCGGTTTCTGCGTGGTTCTGGAGGTTGCTGATTTGGATCTCAAGACCCTATCGATGCCGATGGAGAAGTCTAGACAGTGCCTCACGGTTTTCTCTTAAGGTTGAAGGGTCTTCAGCGAAGAGCTGCCCGCCGGCCTAGTGCACGGGATTTCGAGGATGCTCTTCCAGCGGGTTTGCGATGATCCAATGTGAATTGTATATGATACAGACAACCATCTGGTCCTCCTCCGAGTAGCTTCCCGGAGATTGGCCCAGGATTTGAATCATCCAAATAACCTGTTTCATCGCCAAAGAAAGAGAGCCGAGGTTTTTTTTTTTTTTTTTTTTTTTTTTTTTTTTTTTTTCAACTTTTTTTTTTTCAACTGAGAAAGCGCGGCGCAGAATTCAGGCTCCTCGTCCGCTCTCCTTTCTCCGTTCTACATTATTTGGCATACATGCATTTATGGACAGTAATGGTTGCTTTTTGAATAGAGGAAACTTGTCGACGGATTATAAGGGAAGCTTTGTTAAGCTGATATATATGCTGCAAGGGACACCACGCAAATCATGCTGTGCAGCCACGCGATCTTGGGGAGATTTCACTCGTCTAAGCTATTGGGAAACTATTTGCTTTTGCAAGAATGATAAACCTGGCCGAGGTCATTCTAACTGAATGTGTCGAAGGCCAGGGCCCTTATAGATGAAGCCGAACTAGACCGTTAAAGACCTAGGAACAAATGGCCTGGATTTATTCAGCAGAGCCAGACCAACGGCAAGATGCATCTAGTAGATTGCAGTCTCGTACAATTTCTGCATCCCGCTTTCTGTGCAGCTACAGTGCTTTCAATTCTCCGTACTGCCGCTCGCTTTCGGACAAAACGTACTTTTCGAAAGGCCCGACGCTGCTATGGAAGACAGAATTGTCGAACGTGGGGATGGGGAAGCACCTCTCGAGGAGAGCGTTTGAGGCCTTGTCCTGCATGAGAATCGGTGACACAACCTGGTGCACGCAGGCACGCAGATAATAATTGATCGGCTGGGCCAGGCTGTCGCTCACATAGACGCCAGCTTCGGTGGGAGATTCGCTGTAATTCGGAACGGACTTGCCAGGATGCTCACGATCCTCCACCTTGAGGCCACCTGGAGCGCCTTGGGAGAGTATATTGATCACTCTAAAGTCCGTGTGTGGCTACCCGCGCTTCTGCTTACCAGACGCTAGCTTCTTTATGGGCGGCGGCGGATATAGTTGGGTCTGATCTCGTCGGCTCGAGACGAACAACGTCCTACCAGCGCGCAGGCCGGGAGCTCCAACCCGGTCCAGATGACAGCCAAGATGTTCCGCGCCACCTCCATGCAGATATTCAGATGTCTTTGCAAGAAAGTACGGAACGCTGGGATGACGGACTCAGCGGGCCACTTGCTAGGAAACTCCTCGTGATTGCGCCACGTAACTCTCTTACGTGGCGCAACTCTCCAACTCTTCTCATTTACAGATGTGCCGAGCCATACGTTCCTGCCGGCAGGTTTCATAAGTAAGAAATACCATAAAACCTGTGCTAATAGCCAATAGTTGCCGTATTGGCGGGACTTCCAGCGTTCATTCAAACTTTCAGCCGATTTACAACACAGTCAGAGACAAGCGCCCGGCTGATCCCGCATTCGAATCCCGCTTGTCAGGACGCAGATACGTTCCCAGTTGGTAGTTCAACATTCCATGGAAAAGGACGCAACGAAGATCGACAGTCTTGAACTCCCCTTATGGTAGCAGATCTTCCTCCCGCGGACCAGTCAGAAAGCGTTGAGTCGCAGTGAGTGCGACTAGTATGTCAACAACATTATATGCAACTTCGGAGTCTGAATAGTGGGGTCCCTCAGGCCCGATTAACCTCGCCAAATCTGGGGCTCGGGGCAATCTCGAGCGAGCCAGTCTGTAGTTACTGTAACTCGTACCCCGTAGTGGGTCGCACCCAGTCTTTTGCAACTAGCCTTGGGCTTTGTAAAGGGCTCTTCGGACGCTGTTTGAGCCCTTTCCTGGTCTTTCCTACGTATGCGGCGGTTGTGCCGCCCCGGAGAAAGATGAAAGTACTTGCAGACAGTGGCATGCAACCCGTGTGACTATGTTGCATTATTGATGTGACATCTTACCGGACATGAGCACTACTATAGGAACCGGTGAAGCTCAGAAACTTGGAACGGGTCTTCACGGACCAAGTAATACAGCATGTCCAATCAAATGGAGGAAGCTGCCTCCTATACCTAAGATAGTACCCTATCTCCCTCGCTATTACCGGCGGGTCCATTCAATAAAAATTGGCCAGTACTTTTATGCTCTAACGGAAGCTGGTCCGTGTGGACCCGTTCCAAGTATCTGAGTTTTTAGCGGTATCCTGGCTTGGAAACTCGACAATCTGTGAATCGGACGAATCGATGCGCCTTTTTGCAAATGAAACCCCCCTGCATTTCCGATTTCAAGTTGCATGCAGCGAGGTTGGCATTCGCTTGCTTTGGTACTTGTCGCGGCTACGGTACAAGCCCTAGCGCGAACCTAAACACTCAGCTGAGCCAATCTCTTCGACTTTGCTGAATAACCTTCGAGTACATCGACGGTGACAAACCTATAGGAAAGGTCCAATCAACTCAGGAGCCACATGACCCTGACTCGCAAACAGTGGCCGTGCTGCTTCTGGTTTTACTGACATCGCCTTCATGGTTCGTCCACGGAGCGTACCCGGAATATAATGAGGGACTCGCAACGCTGGTGGGCAGTGAGTTCCATTTCGGCTCGGAGTCCGTCGAGACACGCGTCGTGCTGCTTAAAGCGGGTCCCGGGTCGGGAGGCTGACGGCCGACTATCCCTTTATGACTGCGTGTACACCAGCAGTGAAGGAAGATGCAACTTGTCGCCTTCCCAGCGCTGCCCGCCGAGTATGATTTGTATCACTAAGCATTGGTTAAGGGCCTCGACGCGCGGGGCGCCTTAGCGATTTGAGCATCCCGGCACACTACTACCAGCGGCGATTATCCAGCTGATCAGCGTGGGTGGGTATTAGCCACTGCCAGTTGCCTTGCGGCGACGGCCTTGGCACCGTCTACTTGGGGTTTCAACCGCTGCTACTCAGCCCTTATCGCCAATCATTGCAACCTTTCCACCCTCATACGCTACCAATAGTCAAGTTTCCTGGTACCGGAACGATCTTGACCAGTGATGACCCCGTCGTGGGCGTTATCCTTATCACGGAGCTGCAGCAGGATGGGTGGTACGAGTCCTTGGCATTCTGCCCGAATAAACATATATTAATAACTTGCCCAAACGCGCCCGCGTGCTACGACCTCGATCCTGAAAGCCCTGAGGCCGGGCCACACATCTTACTACGCATTACTCAACGCGATCTCTATACCGTCCTCACTTCCGATCTTAGTGATCCGGCCGGATATAGGTGGAGCGGGTTTTGTTCCTGACACCTGGACGTAAACGAGCGAGATACACGGCAGCGATTAGGCAGGGTGAGGTACGGAATACTGGCATACCACTTGGACTCTGCCCGGTCAACGAGAATGCCATCTTAGTCGCAGATCCGGGCAATAAATGTCATAAGTTTAAGTCTACACACGAAGATGTGCCGAAGCTCGGCCCTGCTCACGGACAAGAGCTCGGTATAGCCTTCGGATAGAAATGTGGTATCTGGCGTCGACCGGTTGGATATTGACGGTGGCTATTTGTGGTACTCGAATTTCAGTGCGGAATCAATACGACGGGTACCATATGCCACTCAAAGCGATCCAACAAGCCGCTACGCATAATTTGGGTGGAGATGGTGGCGGATGTACTGTCAGCTTGCGACAGGTTCCACAGGTGCTCGGACGGCAAGACGGCCTATACCGTGAATTGTTTTGATGGTTGTCTTGTAAAAACTGACCTTGCACAGACTAGGGATGGATGAGCTAGGTCTAAGTCAACGATGGATAGGCTGATTAGCCCTAGCTGCGTAGAAGTCTGCGCCGATGCCAATGGGAAGCGGAAACTATTTGCGGCCTGTGCCAGCGAGATCGAGGTAGACTGGTTCAGCCGGACAGCATCTTGGAAGGATATAGCAGGCGCCACAGCTGCAACTATTAAGGTAACGATCGAAACTGGATAAGTGCTCCCGCTGCTCGATGACTGATAGTATTTTTTACACACTCCTCTTGTGTGTTTGAGGTACCCTTGGCAAGTCAGGTGGGTATAGGTTACCTCCAAACGTTTGCCGGCACCAACAAGTATGAAAACCGGAAACATTCGACCGCAACGAGGAAAATCATAAGAAAATCAACGAAAAAGTCGCGGAGGGGATACTGTAATTGGACGCAGGGATCTAGGGAGAATGCAACAACTTCCAGGTGATGGGAAATGTTAGTATACTTAAATAATATGCTCCATGACAATTGATATTCGCTCGACATAGCATCAGATCTCTTACTGCTCCGACATTAGTTACCAGGAATGCACTACCGTGCTTGAAGCCGAATGAGTCCCAAGATGCACTTTGGGTCAGGGAGCGCCCAGCAGATCTCAAACCACATCGGTTAGTAAGGCATTGGTGACCATAAAGTCATACGATAGGCTTTGCCTGCGTATCATGTAGAATCAAGGAAGGTGGTTCTTCGGCTATCGGTACAACTGTCGCGCGATGCTGGCGAGCTTACAAGGATGCTCGAGTCATGAGTCGAGCCCTGTCGAGGTTGCATGGCCACTAGGCTAGCCGACGGCTCCTCCCGTGAGATCGACATGAGCATTGCCGGACTGAGCAGAACTCTAATCATGACAGCCAATCGCGGCTGATCCGTCTCCCCCGGAGGCACAGGTCGGAATGTATCTCCCGCCTTTTGTGCAGCAAGAAAAAGCTTATTTGCAAGTTACGTAACTATTAAGTCGAAAGTGGGAACCCGAACAACTCGCGATCAGATCGTAAGATGCCGTAACTACCGTTGAAACTCTGAGAATTTCTACCGTTGACACGGACAGGCTCCCATAGAAGCAAAAAGCACTGTCCAGTACTTATTGGTATAGGAAGGCCGATAATAGCGAGGGAAAAGAGACTTTTCTAGGAATAATAGTAAGTTGTAATTATCTGATTGGATATCTTCTAGTATTTGGTTCGTGTCAAAGCGTAGGAACCTTTTGGGCTTCAACGGTATACCCTTTATGGATAGAGCCACCAGCCTCAACTCTTAACAGGACTTGCACCAACAATTTGGTATATCGACATCTTGCGTCGGTTGAATAGGGGTTCAAGGACCTAACCATTTATTAACTTATGACTACTCGTTAAAACCACTTTTACAGAGTATTGAGTATATAATAACCCGGGGCTTTAGTAAAGCGCTGTTTTATCACTCGCTTGCGCGGTATGTTTTCTGCTCCAAGGACGGTAACAAGAGCGGCAGGATGTCGATGAACTGGATGCCGAATCTCATCTCACCTCAACTGCACCAGGGTCTCAACCCCATACTCGATCGTCATACTACGTGCAGGGGGGTTTCTGCACTAGGCGGCCCACATCCTCCCACCACTTTTTATATTAGAAGAGCCGATGGGATGCATGCTAACAATTCCATGCCGACCGGATGGTGCAATTTGCTGACCCCCGGGTGCTGCGACCGTTTGCTTGCCCCTCTTTGCTGATAGAGACAGACGGACATGACACTGAATTCTACATGCTCCTCCACTTGAGATCGGTCAACGAGGCAGCCTGCCGTTCGCCAAGACACGGCTTTGAACCGCGTGTGCGAGCCTGCTAGAGCCGGTGGGAGGCTGCCGGTCTTTAAACAAACCCAATAATTGACCTGTCAGTCCCCGGACCTCACCCAAGTCGAACTGAATACCTACGCTCCTGAATCTTGTTGGTGGCCTCCCTACGGAATTGGGTGCCCACCAGGCCGACGTCATGGAATTCACAATCCAGCCGCCTACGAACCCGGTGGACCGCCGCCGGCACCAGAACCGCATCGCCCAGAGGAAGTTCCGCCGTGAGTCCACCGCCATACTTGTAGGTAGGCATTGCCTGGGTTGACAGGCGTTACAGAAAAAAGAGACCAGAATCTGGCGGCCACGAGCCGTGCTGCGTGTGGCTCGTCTCCACTGGCGGCCCCTGCTGTCGTCGATTCAAGCATCGACCCCCAGCCCATTGGAGAGGCCACCTTTACTAGCCTCTTGGCTTTCACGCACCAGCCTGATGCAGCATTTGCGGGTGAGGACTACCTGGGCCCCGACGCGGCCAGCGCATGGAGCAAATCGGCTACACCTGCCGTCGTCGACCCAAACCACGAACCCCATGGGCAGCCTACAAACCCGCCACCCATTGAAGAGGTCAACTTTGCTAGCCTCTTAGCTTTTGAGAACCAGCCTAATACGGCCTTTGCTAGCGAGGACTACCTAGTGCAGCTGCTGTCAAGCGTCGCCGCCGCCGACACAACGTCCACCCCCGACTTGGTGGGCGGAACGGCCAGCGCGTGGAATGATAGCGCCGCCACGGCCCTGACTACCACAGGCAAATCGGCCACACCTTGGCTCGACGACGGCCTAAATCCGGCGCCGTACGAGCATGCCAGACCTCGCCATCTCGGCAGCGTTGGCTCGTTGCACATTGCAGCGCAGAAGGGGAACGAGCGGATATTGCGGCTGCTCCTGCAGCATCACAGCAATGCCAACGACAAGGACAGCGACGGCCGCACGCCACTGATGCACGCTACTATGTGCGACCACGTCGGTTCCATGCGGACGTTGCTGGCCCATGGAGCGCGTATTGGCGATACCGACAACGAGAGCCGCTCGAGTCTGCACTGGGCTGTGCTGTGCCGCCGACACAGCGCCCTCGAAGTGCTGCTGGATTACTACTCTGAGAAAAGCGCCGCCCGGTCTTGTGACATCAACGCCTGCGACGATGCGGGGTGGAGTCCGCTGCATATGGCCATCGACCGTGGGTTTGAGGCCGGCGTCGTCCTGCTGCTGGGTCACGGCGCAAATGTGCATACCAAGGCGCACAAGGGTCCGTACGCCAAGGGTCCGAGCCCTGCCCCGGCTGTCTAAGGCAATCCTGTCATGGGAAGACCTATCAGAGACTTTATTCGTGCTGATTAGATTTCAAAGGTCTTTCTCTTCCTTTTCCTGTAGTCACAACTCTTTTTCTGTCTTGTCTTGGCGTTGCTCCGGGTCTCCTTGGCGTTCATTCGTTTGGTCAGGAAGAACAAGAGGGCTTTTACTCCATTATACACAGTACTGATCGAATACAGTAGAACAGGAACTAGCCTCTGTAGGCTGACAATCAGCTGGTTCTAAAAGATAGACCGGCTACTTGATATGCAGACAGCGCCGCCAGTCGTATGGAAAACTGCGAAGGGAGCCGAGTCATTATGAGAAGCATGCGGTTAGCGGGAGTTGCCCAAACAGAACCGTTGCCGTAAAGGCTGGGATATCCTCCAGCCTTGATGCCGCATGTGCGACAATGACTGGGGCTTGTGTGAAAATACCCTACCCGGCACCCAGCAGAATTTGGAAGCGGATTGCCGCAGTCAGGGTTGAGCCCATGCTCAGCGTATATAGCAGACCACCTCCAAGTCCATATAGAATGTGTGCCTGCCGAGAATAGAGATAAAAAGCCCAGAAATCATGGAAAAAAAGGCCTGGTTGTCAAGTTCCTTAATTAGAATTCAGTTCAAATGTGAAGGCGGTTCATAAAAGGCAACTGATATGCTTCGAAAATAAGCGGTGAGCTGTACGGTCCACTCTGCCCGGCCGGGTGACCACCAATGGCCTGAAATACATGTGTGTATGTGATGGCAGATTGACCCGATTTTGACTGTGCAACTCGTCAAGTTTTTGTCCTTGTCAATGACTGTAATTGAAAGCTCTATCCGATTACCACAACACAGCGTATATGTACTGCAAAATTCAGATGTCACAGCGAAAACCATTACATTTAGACATTTCTTTCAGTATTGCTTACTATCGAATCTACGGTCTTGCTTTTAGTCATTGTGCAAGAATGACAGTTAAATTCTGGGATTATATGTATGATGCTGTTTCTGTCCTGACTAGTTGTGTACTCAAACTCGTTGCTTCAATGAGGCGCAAATAGGATAATTATACCCCTGTTTACATCGATGTGACGCTAACGTGTTGCATTGTAAATCTCTAGCTCCTGGCCGCTCCGGCCTTGGTAAGGATCATGTTTGCGAACGATTAATGCTAAAAAGTTGGAAACTTCCTGGCGGGCAAGATTCATGCTGCGATATAACCCGGATCGAGACAGTGACCACTGCAGCTGCTTGCGTTACACATCGTCAGACGGGCATCGCCGATTCTTCCTTTGCGCTGTTCCACCCATTCCATGACAGGCCAGAGGAGATGTGAAGACCCTTGCCGGGACACATTCGCGTTCACCACCCGGAGCCACTCGTCGGAGTCTATCGCGCGCAGCTTCAGTCCAGTACCCTCCGAGACTACCCTCCAGAATTCGCGCACGGGGATTCCTTCAGTCATTTTCAGAGCCTCGGGTGCGCTATCGCGCTCGCATTGGCTACCGAGGCACGCATGGATGATGCGTTGCGCGACATGATCTGCCCCCGCGAGGGAAACTATCGCGTCCTGCTCGCCATCAACGAAGGCCCCGGCTTCACATGCCCCTGCGACTAGCCGCCAGATGAAGTCATCTGTGTTAGCGATACCTTCGGTCGCTGTTCCGATGATAATGCCGGGCTTGACCGTGTTGATACGCTGGCCAGCGGGAGCCCGAGCCATGCACCGATCAACTAGAACACCAGATGCAAATTTGGATTGCGAATAGCCGTTTGCGGATGAGAGATGAGAGGAGTCGTCTCTTACTGCGATCTCTGAAAGGTGCATATCGCCGCCCGAGATGTAGGTGAAGTGTTGCAGGGGTCCAGATCCCACCAACGCGAGCTTCAAGAGTTGCATAGTGCTGAGGACGTTCGTCACACGCAGTCGCTCATAGCTCGAGGACCAGTTCACAACGGCTCCGTTATGTATGATGGCGGTGACTCCTTCTGACTCCTGGACACATGTGCCCTCGAGGCGTGCCCACTGATCCATGGAAACACCCAGCCGCGGCTGTGCAAGGTCTCCTGGCCAGACTTCAACACGGCTTGCCAGCGCAGGTGACCACCATCTAGCGGTGGTGCCGGCTGCCACGATCCGTTGAAAGCCGACACTGGCATCTCTCGCCCGAACTAGCACGATCACTTTCGATACGCTGGCAAGAGCCAGCAGCTGTCGAAGGATTTGGCTGCCAAGGAAACCCGTCGCCCCTGTCAAGAATACCACACTTTTACCTGTTTGCAACCTTATCTTTGGCAGGACGTGTTGGTTGGGCTGCACTTCTGCCATTTCTTTGTCAAGCTCCTCGATGTCTTGCAAGATATTGGCCGCTCTGGCTTGTTCTTCAGATTGCGGGACAACCTGGTCCCAGCTGCGTACAATCTCGGCGATATCCCGAACGTTCAGGTTGGCCCTCCTAAAAGTCTTGACTGGGATGTTGAGGCCATAAAAATCGTTAATTGACCTTGCAAGTGAAACAGTTCGTAGCGAGTCGAGGCCTAAATTTTCCAATGTGGCATTCTTTCCCTTTAGAGGACTCTCTCCCTTTGACTCTGGCCTGCGGAGGACATTGACAAGTATCTCACTGACCTCGAGCGCGACTGTATCATCCTGGGGTATCTCGGTCAGGACTTCCTCGCTCGAACCAGATTCAGTGTACTTGAACAGCTCGCTTGTCGAAAGGCTCCGAGCATGCTCCTTGAGCTTCTTACGGTCGACCTTTCCATTCGAATTGATTGGAAGCGTGGCGAGAGGTATGTATATCCGAGGAACCATATATTCAGGCAGAGTCTCGTTGAGACGAGAGCGGATTTGGGCAATCAGTATGCTCAACTTCTCATCCGATACAGAGCTCGACTGAAGCGTACCAGAGCCTCCGCCGTTGTTGTTTCCACCCAAATCTCGATCCTCTGAGCATTTTAGGAACGCTACCAGCCTGGGTCCACTATCGTGCAATTCCACCAAGTCAACGGCGACATCACCAGTTATTGGAAGCCTCGATTTGATATTTGCATCAACCTGTTGATCCTTCTCAACCGACGAGACCACGTCGACAGCCAATTGCCTTGATCGACCTAGGCTTTTGCGTATGACCGATTCTACTTCTTCGACTTCGAGCTTCTGTCCTCTCACTTTGACCATCGTGTCTTTCCGTCCAATATACATCATTGTACCATCAGGCAGATAGCGCACAAGATCACCGCTTTTGTAGAGCTTGAACAACGAGGCCGGAGCATCAAGATTCCGCCTCCACGAAGGGGCGTCGATTAAGACTTCCTTCGTCTTCTTGGGGTCCCCGAGATATTCTTTCAGGAGACCAGGGCCCTCATAGAGCATCTCTCCGATTGCACCTAGAGGCGACAGAAGCTCAGGATTGTCAGGGTCCACGATCCAAGCATATGTGTTAGGGGCTGGTCCGATAGGTACAATTTTGGGGCAAGGACCATTGAACTCGGCCAGGAAAAAAGTAGCCGACTCGGCCGGTCCATATGCTGGATTTCGGCGGTTAGCAGAGCAGGTCTATATTGCGACAATCAAAACCTTCTTCTGGAGTTCTAGAACTACGTATGACGCTTTCTTGAGAATGGTGCGAAAATGGAAAAAGGGGTACATGTCCCCACCAAGAACTTACAATGAATGACCTTGACGCGATCGTTCCACGCATTGATATCATCGGAAGTAACGACCTCGCCTCCCATGAGCAAGGTCTGCAGACTGGGAAGGTTATACTGTGCGAATAAGCGCGCAAAGGATGGAGTGAAGTAGGCCCAGTTGACGGCCATTCGATTCATGCTCTCCTCCACATTGTTGAGGCGCTCTTCGTCTGAGGGAATACAAATCCGTCCGCCATAGATCAAAGGTGCATAGATCTCTATCATGCTGACATCGAAGGTGAAACTCGACCACTGATAGGTTGAAACACCTTCCCGATCGAGATACTGCGGAGTGGCATTGGAAATAATACCCGTGACCAGAGAGTTGTGTGTATGCACGATGCCTTTGGGATTTCCAGTGCTACCGGAAGTGAAGGCCACGATGCATATATCGCTCGGCTGGACGTTTGTTGGCCGGTAGTGACGTTGTTGGCGGACAAGCTCCACAGTCGGGACCAACACGCAGTGCCCATCAAAACAGCCTTCGTATAGAGTAGACGTGAGTACGAGCGGTGCTTTGAGCGTGTGGATAATGGAATCGTGACGGGCGCGTGGATGGCTCGGATCGAGACAGCAATATGCCGCTCCAGCTTTGAGTATTGCCAGCATGGAAACGATGGCCCAGGTACATTTCTCGAAGCATATAGCCACTTTTTTACCCAGCTTCAAATCATACGTGTCCATGAGATATGCTGCAAGGGCAGAAGAGCGCTTATCCAGCTCCGAATACGACATTTGCCCATCCCAGGATAGAATGGCTATTGCATCAGGCTTGTGGATGAAACCCTGTCCTACCAAGTCATGGAGCAGTTTATTGTGAACACTTGTGGAATGCTGGTTCCACTTGGATATAGTTGCTCGGCTTTGCGCTCCGCAGATATCCAAGTCTGCAATGACCGTATCGATTGGGATGGAGGATATGCATTGAAGAGATGCAGAAAAGGCGTCCGCGAACCCTGTGGCCATAAATTCAGAGACTTGATCGATATTGTAGAGCATATGTGCCGACAGTGACACTTCGTCAAAGCATACAACAAGGCCTTGGCCGTTCTATAAAGACTTGGTCAGCGAGACGCATTTGAGGAGCTCTATATCCCCAGGCAACTTACTTTCTGTGCAGCAAGGCTAGAACATAATGCCTCCATTGGAGTGAAAACAATTTTCGTGAGGACGAGGCTTGCTGTGGGCTTATTGGCGAGCAGTCCGCCGTTTGGCGTTGCAGCGAGAGTAAGATTGACCAGGAGCGGCGCCAAGTCATTGTCGGACGGCAGGTCTGTCTCTCTGAGAGAGAAAGCCGCGCGGATTGAGGTGGTAGAGGCGAGCTCTGGGACGTATTGCACCTGCCGGCTCCTGATTATTGTGTCGCGTGTGTGGTCATCATGGTCTTTTGAAAGAACTTCGGCGCAGGTGAACTCGGGAAGATCGAAGTATCGATGAACCACTGTTGCAAACGCTAGCTTTACTATTGATGCCGGCGAAACCTTGTTGGTTGAACAGAAGACATCCAGCGTGCTCTTTGAGGGCACCGTGATGGCAATCGAGGACGGCATGATTGTTCTGATCTTTAGTCTCCACAACAAAACAAAAAGACTGAAAGAGGGGGATTGTGGCACTATTTCGTGTGGTCAATAGAATACGAGGGAGAGCCGGTCTGAGTTGAGGTGGGCAGACAACAGTAATACCTGTGCCCGGCATCGACACTGATAATATCAGGAGTGAGTCCGACTTACCTTTCTTACCACAGCAAACTCTTTCAACAGACACAGCCCCACCTATCTTGGGTCTTTACTGAAGCGAGTAAAAGTCAAGGACAACGCCGGGCTATTGCTCGATGAGAATGAAAGGCTGCCAAGTTCGACTAGTATCATGAGCAACTTCATGTGCAGCAGGTGGCGCCCATGACGAGGTGCCGACAGCTTACATCCCTGCCTGCAAGGTCAGCAGCTTACATCCCTTCCTGCAAGGGCAGTACATAAGGTACAGGGATACTGAAAGCTTAGCAAACCTCAGACAAGGATTAGATATTCCCCACTTTCGCGGTATAGTCTCATTTCATGTCGCGATTGCAGGCTGCGCAATGAACGGCCTGCTTTTCAGGAAGACACGTAAAGGCAAAGCAGCGCAGCTATCATACCTGCAAGATCAGCTTACACAACTTCCTGCAAGATCAGCCCTGCAAGGTCAGCTTACAACAAACGGAGATATTGGACAGACTGCCAGCATGAAATCAGGTCCCGGATCTCGTCAAAGGCTTCATGGATGCTACAGATTGGCGATCTGCAACCCAATGCTCTGACCTTCGCTTTTTGGAAGTACGAAACACGCATATATAGTCAGCCTGCGTCTCTAGAAGAACGTGCCCATGTGGTAATAATTGCCCATCACTCTTGTACCTCTCTAAATAACCCTTCGCCACCATGACGGCCGATGTCTCCAGACGTGATGATGATCGTCGCATACACCCCGCAACGGTCCCCTACGATGTCGAGAGCGTTCGACAACACTTTCCAGCTTTGCGGGGAGAGAGGATTCCTCTCAATAACGCCACAGGTAGCTTGGTGTATGAAGGCGCTGTCAAGGCGTAAGTATGGTTCATTTACCTTTCAGTGTACATAGTCCACACCTAGAAGCCGGAGGCGGAGCTAATGATTAAGTCAGCATCGCAAACGCTATGTCAACCTATCAACTTGACTTCATCGGTGGTGATACAATCAGCCAGCTTTACATTGACCAGCGGAAGTCGAAGTACGTGGAACTGGCAGCTTTCATGAACGCCGAGCCCGACGAAATTGGTACGTTGTAGCTGGCATCAGCAAGATTGCAATGTATGCCAAAACGCTATCTGACAGCCCTGTGCAGCTTTCGGACCCTCGACCAGTGGCCTCATTCGCAATGTGACTACCTCCTTGCGTCCGTTGCTCAATTCCGACTCGGAAATGATTGTTTCTGAATTGTGTCATGAAGCCGGCGTGACATCGTGGGTGGCTCTTGCACGCTCCTTGGGCATCGAAATAAAATGGTGGCCACCGCCTGGTGGGAAAGGCGATACTGCTGCCAAACTCAGCATCGAGACTCTGAAACCGCTGCTTTCCCCCAAGACTAGACTTGTCGCTTGTGGCCATGTATCAAACATATTCGGTACCATCCATGACATTCGTGCAGTTGCAGATGTTGTCCACACGATTCCGGGTGCCATGCTCTCGGTTGACGGAGTAGCATGGGCTCCTCACCGGCCCATTGATGTCAAAGCAATGGACGTTGACTTCTACTTCTTCAGCTGGTACAAGTTGTTCGGGCCGCACTTCGCGCAAGTGTACGCCCGCAGCTCCGTACAGCAACGATACATGACGAGTCTGAATCATTACCATATCGATCCCACACCCCTTGACGTCAAAGTCCGCCTGGGAACAAACTGCTTCGAGTTCGAGGATGGTGTACTTGAGATAGTACGGTACATTCAGCGCATCGGTTGGGATAACATCATTGCACATGAGGTAGTCCTTGTCCGGCCTCTGCTTGAATACCTTAATTCACACCCGGAATGGTTCACCCTTTACGGCGAAAAGTCGTCCGATCCGAAGCTTCGAGTGTCTCTTGTTTCGTTCACAGTCAACGGAGTGCCCTCCAAGGTGATCGCCAAAATAATTCACGAGTCGTCACCATGCCGTATCTTGGCAGGGAGCGCTTATTCTCTCAGACCGGTGCATGACGTCCTTGGACTGGGTGAGGACGGTGTGCTTCGTGTGAGCCTGGTCCACTACAATAACCTTCAAGACGTCCAAACATTCATCAATGTTCTGGATCGTGTAGTACAAGCACATTTCAAGGATCGAGCTCGATGATAATCAGCGTGTATATGAAGCATTTGAAAGGGAACATTATCGCCTCAGCAGACCATAGATTTCACCATAAATACAGCATATAAACTTAAGCGAGGAGAGTTCGAAGGCGCTTGCTCAATGCCAGCGCCGCTATTGGCAACATATTCGACACTCTGATGCAGCGACTACGGTATTGTTGACAAATCTGGGGTCTTAGATGAACGTGTAAATGCAACGCCAACAGACTTTCTCTCATTTTGCTTCAGCACGCTTCAGGGGATACGAGGAATTCCCATGTGATCATGCGTTGTGATTTCCTTCTTTGCATTTTCCTTCGCACGGTGCAATGATACTTGAGTGCTAGTTGATTCTTACATGGAGGCACCAATCAGCACCAATCACAACAATGCGGAAGGCGATGTAATAATGTAGTCTGATTTCTCCAGATGGCCAATTAACCAACGGGGGAAAATCCAGGTATGTGAAAGAGGCAGAAGTAGGCTGGTGGGAAATTTGGTTATACTTCGCTTCAACAAGTATTGCAAGACTGTAAGAGCATAGCACGATACGAAAGCGATCATAAGGAGGATGTCGATCATTCAGCGTTGATCCCAGGTCATGATGTGTTGGTCAATCCCAAGTCGTCGTCCGGGGATTGTCACGGCCCAGGCCTCGTGCTTGCCAAAGGCTCGGCACCCCACGACCGCCAAATAGAGCAATAATGTTTGAGACCCAGCCCTAGACTTGTTGGTATACGTATCCTACTTATTCATACTGACGATTCGGAGCCAATCAATGAATACGGGTCAACCAGATTGACCACTCCGTAAAGCTATCTCTACAAATAATTTAGTCCAATCATCCAAAGTTATGTTTGCTGTGGGACCACGAACCACGATGCAAACATGCGAGGAACCTCGAGTAATCACCGAATATCTCTCAACAGCGTATTCTCGAGCCTATACAGCCTAGAACGATGGTGTCTGCTGTGGGGTGGTATGAATGTTAACTAGGCTGGCGCCGGCGCTCCACCCCTAGCGTCTACACCAAGCTTTATTATACCCAATTTAAACACAATTCTCCTCCCGCCCTTAATACGCGCCACACTCACGCCATACATGTTATACGCTATACAAACCCCGGTCCCAAATCAATTATACCTAAATCAGAAACAACCTTAAGGCGAGCCCTCCCCCTTTCGCCACCTCTCCTTCACAGACCATTTTATATTCAAATGCACCATGCCAATCTAGGGAGGCACACGGACCATTTTTGGGTATCTGAAGAAGGCCTTGCGTAAACTCAAGGCAAACTCAAGGCATCAAGGCGGAGACCGGCGCGGATAAATATCGCCCCGCCAGCACAGTACGTCCGCTTGTATCACGACATCCAGCTTCCTGCATTGGTAGTCTTTGATCTTCTCATAGCTTTTGTCGGGTACCCTATTTTGTGAGAGCTCTGAAATATTGGATCCTGAAATCTCTACACCATCTCCTTCCTGCCAACATTTCTGACTTTTCGACATTTCCATCTATTGTTCTCCAAAATGGAAGGGAAGACATGGGTAATGCTTGGTAAGAGACCTTAGCCCTCATGGACCACTTACCTTTGAATAGAAACTTATCGCAAATGGCAGAGAATAACCCCGATGTAATGAACCAATTGGCAACGAAATTGGGTCTATCGTCCGAGCTCCAATTCTACGACGTCTATTCCTTGGATGAACCCGAACTACTCGCACATATCCCTCGACCTGTCATGGCCTTGCTGGTTATCATTCCACTTACACCAGCTTGGGATCGGAGTCGCAAGGCTGAGGATGCTAACAAAGAACCCTACACTGGCTCTGGCCCTGACGAGCCAGTCATCTGGTTCAAGCAGACCATCGGCCACGCCTGCGGCTCGATCGGGGTGCTCCATAGCTTGATCAACGGTCCGGCCGTCGACTTTATCAGGCATGATTCAGATCTCGCGGCGATCCGGAGCCTTGCCATTCCGCTGGATATGACCAAACGCGCCGAAATGCTGTATAACAGCGAGCCATTCGAACTTGCTCACAAGTCGGTCGAGCAGGCTGGCGACAGCTATGCGGATCCGACGGATGGGCGTGATGGTGGGCATTTTGTGAGTTTTGTCAAGAGCGGTGGGAAGCTCTGGGAGCTTGAAGGGTCGAGAAATGGTCCTCTAGAGAGAGGAAGTCTTTCCGATGACGAGGACGTTCTCAGTCCGCGAGCACTTGACATGGGCATCAAGAGAATCATCAAGTTGAATGCGGATGACGGAGGGGAGAACCTTGGTTTTAGCTGCATTGCTTTGGCTCGCAGGCCATAGACTCTGACAGGCAATCGGCATACACGCATTACGGATATGCTATGCTGTGTTCGGAGCACCTGATTAGGCTCGAGAAGACATTGTCTTGCTACACAGATCGACACGAGGCCAGAAGCGGCACTCGAATTTCTCTACGTTTTAGCAGGGAGACGGACCGCATTAGCATGTCTGCAAGCTTCTCAGGGAGAAATATCGACCCATAGTTGCACAGAGTAGGCAGACGTGTCATGCAGATGTTCTGATCGTGAAAAGATTGCCGTAGTCCCCTAGCCTACGGCCTAGCGTGGGATGGCCCTCTAGAAGCATCTCTAAAGTCTTCTCGTGCTCTTCTGAAGAAGCAGACTATAGAGCACTGCCGTATTCTCCCCCTTCCACGTTGAAATTTGCGCCCCGGTCGAGGAGTGTACTATGGAACGGGTCAAGGTATCAATAAGCTGGTATCATGTTGGCATAACCCTGCGAAAATACCTATGTAGATGCTCTGCAGTTTGGCATTTTATTACTGCAATCTCGAGTCAAGCTTTTCTTTTCCTCAGTTGAATGAATGCTTCTTGAATTCTTTCGTCGGTAACGCGCAATTTTGTTCGGCATACCAAACGTTAAGTTGCTTGTGGTGAATTCCGCCAAAGTCTAAAGACCTGCGCAAGTAAATAGACACATAAGGGCAGCTGGCCAAGCCAATTTGGACAGGAGGATATATTTGAATTCACTTCTGCACACAAATATCCGACTCCTGTATCCAGACCAACCAATGTCACAATGCGTCCCCAAATCGCCCTACTGACACTCTCTCTACTCATCGCACACGGTTATCGCATCTTGCAAACCAATGAGGATGGTTGGGCCGCGCTCTACCTTAGATCGCTCTTTAACGCTCTCAAAGCTTCGGGACATGATCTGGTCCTCGTAGCACCAGCAGAAAACAAGACAGGATCAGGTTCTCGTGATGAACAACCAAGAACCCGTCTCGAAAGCTGCCACTTCAATAGTTGCACAGTATCGCCTCAAGTTCCTGAGACATTTGGGGAAAATAAGACTCAGCAACGTTTGTATTGGGTAAATTCTTTTCCCATCACGTCTCTGAGGGTTGCTGTCACACGTATCGTAGAGAACTTCTGGTTTGGGAAGCGGGCCGATCTCGTTATCTCCGGACCTCACAGTGGTACGACATTGGGTTCACAGGTCCTTTCCTCTGGTACCATAGGTGCTGCTGCGTATGCGGCCGAGGCACTATTCCTCCCAGCTCTCGCCTTCTCAGGGGCTTCAGAAGCCGACTTACCCTGGAACACTACTGCAATCCCAGAAAGTAGTGTAGTCTACACAGAACTGGCCGAATTTCTCACAAGTCGAGTCCTAGATATTGGAGAACCGTATCTTCCCGACAATACCTTCTTGAACGTCAACTTTCCCAAGATAGAAAGCAAATGCCGAGACCCAGAGGACTTTGAGTGGATACTCAGTCGTATCAACTCCATCGCCATTGAGCCAGATGTTAGACATTGCAACAAAAATCGCCTGCCAACAGAGGCAGAGGTGATTTCGAAAGGCGGTTGTCGTATCTCGGTCAGTCTGGGCGAGGGGACAACCAAGCTTACTGCGCCAGGGTGGAAGCAAATTCAATTGCGGGACAACCTTGAGAGCCTTTGGAGCTGCTTGTAACTACACCTCGAGGAGTATTGATAAGTTGGCCTAATCTGTGCCGCCGTCTTCCTGAGGCTGGCAGTAAGGCATATCTCATTGGGTTAAACCAGCGGATGATAAACAGCGGATTGGGGATTGGACAGCCCTGCTGAGGAGTAATGCTGGTGACAACCACGTTCTCGTCGTTATAATAGCATAAGTGCTATGATGGACCGCTGGCTACAACCAGGCCCCGGGGATCTATAATTGCATTCCTGGCTGTCTAACGGCTAAGGAAGCAAGATTCAGCCTTTACAACACCTAACTCTCTCTGCCTGCACCTAACCTACCGTATGTACGACAATAAGCATCCATACTGTCGCCAGCTCGTCTTTCAATATTAAGCATGACTGATCCTATTGGGTACACTGTTGGCTTGATTTGCGCTATATCGACTGACTTCGTCCTGGGGACGTTGTTGTGAGCTCTCCACGGGGTGCGAAGAGCGGTCTGCTTCAAAATGACTTTGGCAAGACAATGCAAGAGCAGAAGTCTCAGATAGCAGGCTTTCTCAGTCAGGTGCCTAACGTGCCTCGGACGGCGGTCAGCAGCCTCAGGGCAGCGCACGAGATAGACGGCGCTCAACTAGAAGATATAATCAACCAAGGACTTCTAAATTAACCACAACTTCGACAGAATTATCAGCGACAGGATTCCGATAGCGACCGGCTGCTGTGATTGCCAGCCTACGAATTGGGTTCCATGCTTAACCAGCGACGAGTATAGAGATATTTTGACTGCGCACTACGGTCTCCTTGTACCGGCCAACCAGTTCATCAAGGTTGTATACATCCGCGATAAGCTTGCACAAGAGGAGGACGTGCTCTGCTTCGAGATGGAAGCGACCGGCTCAATCAACCATTGTCCATGTCTGGCCACTCGAGGTTCGTGTAACGACGCGAGCTCGCATAAGAACAAGGCGTGCCAAGGGTATCGGCGGCGGCGGCATACACACAGGGACTACTCCCCAAGAATACTCCCAGCAAAGTCGAGGCTGAGAGAAGATTATGGATATACTTGATTCTAGTCAGTTTCTCGTTCTTTTAACATCAATTAAGTAGTAGTGAACATATCTAGTCAAAGCCGGAGTCAATGCTGTGAACAGGTCTTTACAGAAGTCAAGTTCACATTAATAAATTCCCAAAGTACATAGAGTACTTGTTTTCGCATGGTTAGGCCGGTATGATCCTAGTTTATTGATGCGCTGAACTGTTCAGGTGCCGATTGGACAGCGGGCCGGGATGGCGCCCAGCGTGGTCCTAGCGCTGCGAAGGCGCCAACGTCGTCATGAGACAGCTGAGTTTCGGACTTCGTGACCTTTTCTCCATCAGCAGCACGCGTGGACACGGTACCGCACACCGTCTTCAACAATCACCATATCGCAGAAGTGTCTTCAACAGACATCTTCATGAAGGCTCGCCGTGTATAGTGAGACTTGAGTTTCTTGTGGGGGTTTGTTTACTTGCATTGCTAGCGTTATGTCTTCCGTCCCACCGGCACCACCAAGGCCGTTGAGCATCGCTATCCTCCTCAACTCGTATAAGTCGAGATTCCTGCCCGCGATACAGGCATCTTATGTCAGGACGATATCCGCGGTCGCGCCGGACGCCGAGCTCAGTTTCTTCGAGCCCGCCAACAAGGGTGAGTTCCCAGACCCGGCATCGTTCGATCTGATCGTCTTTGGGGGCGCCAACGTCGATGCGAGGAGGTCCCACCCTTGGATCTTGAAGCTGCATGATTTCCTGCGTGAACTGGTCCTGCGACATCCTAATAAGAAGGTGCTTGGTATCTGCTGGGGTCACCAAACTATTGCCCGGGTCTTCGGTGGTGAGATCGCCGACATGGATGTACCAGAGGTAAGTCATCTACCTCCCGAGAAGATGCTTTTGCCAGCCAGTTTGGTACATTGAGAGAGGTTGGGGCTGACTAGATTCTGAGATGGGCGTGACCACGATCGAGCTCACGGACGCGGGGAGGCAGTTCTTCCCCCACGCCACCAGCAGTGGCGTGCTGTCCATTCATCAACATCACAGGCGCGAAGTCGCCTTGCCAGGGAAGGGCTTTCGGCAACTAGCTTTTGAGAATCAGGTTCTCATCAACGAGAAGAATTCCATCCTGACTCTGCAGGGGCATCCTGAGAAGGATGCACAGACAGCGAGACTGCGGATGCATGATTCAATGCGGTGGTACGGATTTGATGCATTGGACGAAAAGTCCTGGGCCAAGCTTGATGCTCAGATAGAATCAGAGCATGAAGGTCAAATCATATGGCAGCGAATCCTGGAATGGATTGATGAGCCCGTTCTTGGGTCTGGTATGAGGATGGGCCGGGAGTTAAAGATGTGACTGTGATTATCTGACTTGATGGTGTTGATATCCAGGCGGCGTGGCTCACTGCCAAGTTTTGTTTTCTCGGAGAATCTGAAGTGTCACTGTCTTTAACCTTCTGGCTGTTCAATATAGGTATGGGGTGTTCTGTTATTCTCAGATCTAGTCTGTAGTATATATCAAAGGCAAATTCTCTTGTCATGATGTCCAAACGAAAGGTATCGCCAAATCTGCAGACCATAAAGCAACCGTGATCGAACTCTGCCCAAATTCAAGAACCACCATCGTGAAAATGCCCGTAATAAAAGCAAGACGTATTAGTACGCCGGGTAAAACAGAATCTAGCGAACTGATCTCTAGTCAATCTTCTTCGCTGCGCGATGCTCTCGTCATAAAAAACATCAAAACGATGAGAAGCAGATCTAATGTGGCATTTCGTGTTCTTGCCATAGTGTCTATGACACTCCCTGTGGGGTGCAATTCTGACTCGGGTCGTCGTGTTCTTCACCCGGGGTTGGCACAGGACTGGAGGACTCGTCCGAGTTGATAGACTGGACATCATACTCTGGAGCATCCGGCTTATTATCGTCGGCGATGTTCGCGTCCGCCTTCTCGGTGTTCTCTTCAGGCTGCACCTTCGCCCTGACAACGGGGGCGCCGTCGATGATCTCGACCTCGTCCTTGACCTTCTCGTTCTCGTTGTTCTTCTCCCGCTCGCCGGCAGCGTTGATCTGGGCGTTGTCGATGTCCTGCGCACCCTTCTCACCCATACCGCCCTCGGCGAGCTCACCGCCTTCGATCACAACGCGTAGGTCCAAGTTTTCATCCTTGGAGTAGACTCGGAAACCAACAATGCAGATGGCATTCCAGGGATCCGGCAGGCCAGCTTCGTCGTCAGTCTCCACGGTCTTGTCGTTGTTAGCAGGCGGAGGTGGAGGTGGCGCCATGCGAGGCTTCTTCGACATGTCGTCGCTGCTGTAGAGCTCCTCCCAGTCCGAAACAGGACTATCAGAAGAATCATTGTCTGACGAGTAGTCGCGCTTGGTCTCTGAGGGAGGAGGTGGAGGGGCAGACTTGGCCTCGGCCAGCTTATCCTCAGGCTTCGTCTGCTCTTCTTGGCCGGCTGCCTGCGAATCCTTGGTTTCTTCACTCTTTGCAGCATCTTGGCCAGAGCTAGACGAGTCGGCCTTGGTGTGAGAGTTCTCTGCAGACGCATCATTCTTGTCGGTCTGGACAGCCTTGTCTTGGGGCTTCTCTGCCTCCTGCTTCTTCCGTTCAGCTTCCTCGGCCTCTTCTTTCTTCTTGCGCTCGGCAGCCTCAGCTTCCTCTTCCTTCTTGCGCACAGCGGCTTCCGCTTCTTCTTTCTTCTTGCGCTCAGCTTCACGGGCTTCGCGGTTACGGTCGCGCTTCTCGGAATTCTTCTTCTGTTGCTTCTTGGAGATGTCGCGGTTGAGGTGGCGCTTCTCCCAAAGCTTGCGACGCTCCTGCTTCCTCGAAGAGCTGGCCTTCTTTGCATCAGACTGCTTGCGAAGTTGAGCGACTTGCTCCAGATGTGCAACTCCCTTGGCGTGTGCGAGGTCGTAGGCGTATCCAACCGAGGCAAGCTTGTCGTGTTCCTGTCGTTTCTTGCACTCACGCTTAACGACATCTTCGACGGTAGAGACGTCAGTGTCTCTCTCACCAACTACACTGACGAAGACCGAGTATTTTCCTGGCTCCATGCACGGCAGCTCGATCGATACCGAGCGATCCATGAGGTAGTTTCCGTGGGATCTGACAATGTAGTCCTCAGACTCGGGTCGCCCCTGCTCGTGAAGACGGAAATGCAACCGGAAGCTATATTGACCGTGGAGACCCTTGTAGTACCTGTTGTCCAGCTGAGACAGGACGAGAACCAAAGGTGACTCCTTGGTCAAAGTGATGTGAAACTTCTCGTTGTACTGAGGCTTCCACGGCACATCAACACCGATCCATCTTTGGCAACAACGCCAATCGGGATCTCTGAAGAGACGGGTGCGATCGAAGTGTTGGAACTTCCGAAGCAGGTCTTCGTACCTGATCCAGAAGACCGAGTCGTTGCCAAACTGATGCCCGAGCTCTTCCTTGGCTTCGTTGGTCCACTCCTTGGAGCCATCGGACCATGGGCCATCCCAGATGCCTTTCTTGAGCTTACCCCAAGGGTTCCTCAATTTGACAAGGCGCTCTCCATTCTTCAAAGTTCTTGCGTCCTATGCAAAAGTTAGTGGGTGCTATCAACGTTACTGCACATTTATGGGAACACCCACCATAACAACGTAAGCATGGCCTTCTCGGATGCCATTTCTCTCGCCATACCCGCCGTCAAGCAGGCCGGTGGAGCAACCAAACATGAACTCCTGGTTTACCTTGCACAGATCATTCTCCCAGAAACCGTCCAAGTCTAGGATGTCACTGCCAAGGAGCTCGGTAGTCACACCACCACTGAGATCTTCCAGGCCTTCACCAATCCAACCACCAATCAAGGAAGAAAAGTCGCCGTGGACTTTTGCAAAAGCCTTCTCGATCAGTGGGACCCAGGTCTCGTTCTGGTTCTTGTTCGAGCCAAAGAAGAGTGCCTTGGACCCGGTTTGATATGTCTTACGGTAGACCTGTTCGGCGTCCTCATTTTCACGGTCAATCTGCGACAGCAGATCACGTTGGAGACTTGGCTATGCATCGAATTAGCGGCTGCTCGATTTGTGGACACCGAGGGGCTTACCGAATCCCAGTTTGGAGAGGTCAGGAAAAGCTTGTCGTCGACGATAGAGTAGACCCATTCTCCATCGCGATAGAAGACAAACCCATATATTCCAATGCCTAGCTCGGTCATTAGCAGCTGCACCAAGCCTAAACAGGTCTATGCGATAGGCTTACGAGTATCGTACTCCACACACATTCTCTTGATGCCGTCCTCTACGTTAGCCAAGGCGCTCAAACTTGCAATCAGCCAGCAGTTGCCAAGATTGCCCTGTTTCACATCGCCCGCGTCCAAGTCTTCCATGAATGTCGGATTGGGGTAAATTTCATGGACACGCTTGACAGATTTGGGAATCGACGTGCTTGAGCTAAGACGAGGTCCAGCAATGTCGAACTTGTTGGAACCGAGATAGTTGAGACAATTGCCCTTAACCATTTTCAAGTCCCAGTCCTGGATGGTATTGTCAATGCTGTCTTCTCTATAACCCAAGGTTTGTAGATTTAAACTTACAATGTCCCAACCAGGATCTCGGTATCTTGTGTTCACCCTCCGGCATTCTTGAATGATTTTCTTCACTTTCCGTCTGCACTCTTCAACAGCGCGCTCGTATCCTGCGCTAAGCAACTCATTTGGTCGGTCTTGGTTGGTCGGCAATGGCACTGGGTCGAAGGGCAAGATAGAAAGCGCCTTGGTAAACTTCTTTGCGGCAAAGTGTCTCCAAATTCTGTTGATGCTCCGCTGGGGGCTAGGCTTGCGCTTCTTCTTCTTCTTCTGGTTCTGGTTGGTGTTCGAGCCGGCCGATTTCCGATTTCTGTCGTCCTCGGATCCGGACGAGGAGCTGTATCCGAATGCATCAAGGTTCTTTCTCGTTTTGGGCCTGGTCGTTCTACGTGGAATCTCCTCCTCAGAGTCCGAGGAGCTGTAGTCAGAGATCTCTCTCCGGGAGCGTGGGCGAGGCATGATTCGTCGCGTTCGTAATGAAAGTCTGGGGCGTTTGGTATAAATCGTTCGACTGATGAGATAGCGAAGGACTGCGGGCTTGGCTCGTTGTTAGCGCCAGTGTTACTGATAAGACCAGAACCAGCGATGGTCCAACGACTAAGATCGTGGGTGCAGAACAAGGCAGCAAGGACTGCTCGACAACAAGGCTGGGGAGCTCACCTTATACGAGTATTCACACACAGTCCAAGAACGGGTTGTTGACAACCTCGGCAGGCTCAAAGCAAGATACAGTGGCCCGCAGTCTTGAACGGTAACTCTACAAGTTTAAAGATAGGCACAGAACCAATGGGTTGGTTCCCTCAAAGCAAGAACGTTTGAAAGAAGGCAGGGGATGTGGAGGAAGGCATACACATCAAGAGGAGGAAATGCGAGAGGACCAAAACTCACCGACTTTGGAGAGGGCGGAATGACTAGGTATAAGAGGCCAGGCCAGTACTGATAGGAGAACAAGCGAAGCCGGATCCAGACAGCCATATCCCGGCCGTGATTGGCGATGGAGGGATGGCGCAACGAGGCGATCTCGCCGGGGCCGTGGCCACTGGTACCGTGGAGAGAGTCGAGGTGTAAGCTAGGGAAGCCAACAGCACCCGTGGACCCTGGATCAGCGCAATAGTCGTGGTACTGAACAGTTGTGACCCCGTGCGACCCTGCATGGCAAGCGCTGTTTTGGGAGAGGCACGCCTGCACGCTGTCAGGAGACCCCTGTCGCGCCCGACCCGTGGCGCATTGGCGGGCCTGTCGCTTGATTCGGTTGGGGGGGATAAGCTGGCCCCGGCCCCCGGGTGGGAACCTCGTACCACTAAACGCAGGGCTGGATTCGTTGTTTTTCCATTTCGAGAATTCAGGGTCCTCGCCACGGTCGGGGGGCCGGGCCTTCAATCACTGGGGATTCGGGGGCACGAGATGTGGTAATCTGCACCGTGTGTCCCCGCTGGAGTGTTTCACCGACTGGCGAGAACCTCACCAGAACAGCGCTCGAGCAGCACAGAGCATTCACCGTCTGTGTCTTTCGCGAATTGATCCACGCCGCAGTTCAATGATTCGAAACGGTCAGATGGATCGTCCAACAGAGCAATTAATTTGTCAACAATGAGCTGCGTCCGCACGTATGTAAGCTTGCTGACCACATCGCGCAATTGTCCCCGATAAGGCCTTGCTTGGGGGATCGTCATTGGCTTTGGCAGTCTCGGCCCCCAACGCCGTGTCCTTCAAAGTCAGGCGGCACACCACCCCCAGCCTGGCAAGCTTGGCCGCGACTCAGTTCGGCGCAGCCTGGTTGCCTTTCAATGCGATATAGACTTTTTCTCGGGGTAGGGATGGCGAAGGCAGTGCTAGTGCTGCCTTGTAGACAGCTATGAATTCAACTTGGCCAGAGTGGCAGATGCATCGCAGAGTGTATTAACCACAGCCACAACAGAAGGACAGTTGCGCTCTGCTCCCTGTGCCTGATCTTGTCTCTGCTGCGGGTTGGCTACTGCATGCAGAAGGTCTGTTGGTGGACGATATGCCGTCCTCACTTCGACGTCGGCACATGCTCCCCATACTCTACGCTGCATACTCCGAGCAACCCCTCCACACACACATGATTTGCTATGCAGCACACATACCGTACTACGGTATATATCTGCGCGAGTCTGCTTTGGCCACTCTGCGTTCGAAACGTGGGATGCGAGAGAGGTTCACCTTCACAGATGGCGAACCGGACGTGCGCACGACTCGAGGCGCGGTTGCGTGGAGACACGCGGAGAGCCGCCAGCCGCACAATTGCGGCCGCCTCATCTGGTGGGGAGATGGACCAGTAGCCTGATGGCAGCCTGCAGCCGAGTGGTCCGAAACGCTGGAAGCCAGTGCCTACTCGACTGTAGGACACGGCTCAGTCATCCTCTTGCTGTATTGGCCTTGGCTTCATGAACCCATCCGACCTGCTTACACGAACCACAACAAATCAGGTCCTCCGCGAGCTGCAGACGTGTTTCTGCACCTCGAGCGAGTGGCATTCCCCACGTCCCGACCGATTGCCAGCTATCTGCAACTCGTGGTCCCGGTGAGGGCGAGTTGGGACTGATTCATGGATACGTGGTGCGATGCGCTGGGCAACTGGGGGGCTGCCAGTAGCCATGGGTAAAGGTCTGGGGAAGGTACTTCCGTGGCGGCGTGGGTCTAGTTTACAGCTCCATCGTGCATCCTCCTCAATCGGCGTGGATGGACCCCTAGCCGATCTTTGCTAATTGAGTGCCCCAGAGATAGGGATGATAAGGAGTGTCTCATCAGAACCGAGACACCGCAGAGCCATGCGCCCCAGCGTCGCCAGAGACGGAGACCCTTTCGATCACCGAGAAAGCCGCATAAAAATCATCGCGAATGTCAAATACCCCCAAAGACATATCCAGCCCAAGGCTACAGGGCTAGTGGGCCTTGTGTTTGATAGTACACGCCTTGTTGCCTTGAAGCATATCGACACGCGGGTGCTTGAAAGCCAGTGTTGCCTACGCTGCCTTTTCAACAGGGCTGGCTGGTACGCAAGATTTCCGGAAGCTGTCACAGTAGCCCGCCATCAATGCCGATAATCCGGCTCACTTAAAGCTTGGTTTCTCCACCGGCATGGACCACCATGGCGACAGGTACACTTCGGACTATCCAATAAGGTTCAAGATGGCGATCTTCAGATCGCCACGCCATCGTCTTCTGGAAATGAAACCCCCGTATGGGATTTTCAACCGTTCGGTCTGATAGTTGACGGTCAGCACCCAGCCGGCCGGTAACGCCGGGTCTGCGACATGTTTTAGACATCCGTAGTCGGTAACGCCGTTGGCCCAAGGGATTTGCCGATGCAACGACTTACTCAGAAATCGACGCTGCATGAGCAACTGACTCATCGAATCACACTTTGTAAGCGTCACGACCGCGCCACTATCTTCCTGAGATAGGCGCGTAGCGTATAGAGGTGAACAATTCCGAGTGCGGCACCAGCATTCTTCCATTATACTACGTAGATTTGAGGTTGCGCGAACTTGCTTGGCATACAAGAGCACAGTCTGAGCTATATCGTCTAATAGCTAACGGGGTTGCTGGTGGTTAACTAGTCGCACATATCCCCCTCCGTATATGTTAAATAAGCCTTGGTTGAGCGTGATTGCCATGAAGCTCATCCGCCTCATGGCAAGTTAAGGTACTAACTTTTTTTCCTCGTAGCCGTCGTAATATGAATCATGGTAACGTGTCAGTTGATCACCTTAATTTCAGCCATCTGATATATAAATGGTTGTGTAACTCGAAAATATACACTGGCGAGTGAGTATACACAACTTTTCCCATTACTCCTGTGATCTGATTTGTCAAGGGCCTAAGGCCTCCCGATGAACGTGGCGGACCTGACAAGTCCCTGACCAAGCTTCGAAGCCCAATTCAAATAACATGCATTCTGCCTGGCTTGCCTACTGCACAGAGATTAATATCAACTGTATGTTCATCGGCCAATAAAGCGTTTCGAATCGTTCCGGCGTGTAATACCATGGCAGAACGTTATCATCTTATCTGCAGCGTCTACGCCTACATGTGTACTAGCCTGCGGGAAACGTTTAATAGCGGCACCTTGGTCGACGAAGCTGCATGTGGCTGTGGGGTACGAGGAGGGGTTGCAGAGCACGCAATAAATTTTTGCTCGAAAATAACCTCAAGTCAGTGGAATTTTTAGATGCCTGAACGTGCTTTTCTCTGAATGTTTCGAGGGCGGAATGGCATAGACCGTAAGACTTATATTACTGCCAACTCGAAACGATCACGGTGCGGCGTCCCCAGAAATGCCCCGCCTAGAGCTTCCGGGCCTCGGCCCCTTAGCCCGGGCGAAGGCATTGCCTTTGCCTGTTATTCGAGTGATCGCGCTTCTGGTGTTGGCGAATGCGGTGGTATGGGCGGCAGTGGGCGTGGTCTTGCACTACTACCCATCCATGATTTCACCAGCTGTGCTGTCTTATACCCTGGGGTTGAGACACGCGCTTGATGCTGACCACATTTCCGCCATCGACCTCATGACGCGGCGCTTGATCGCCTCTGGCCAACGCCCAGTTACAGTAGGCACGTTCTTCAGCCTGGGTCATTCAACAATCGTGATCATCACCTGTATTGTGGTGGCAGCTACTTCGGGAGCACTGCGCGATCGGTTTGACAACTTCGAATACATCGGCGGCATCATCGGCACAAGTGTTAGTGCGGCATTCTTGATCTTGCTCTCCCTCGGAAATGGCTGGGTGCTGTACCGCCTGGTGAAGCGGTTGCGTCAGGTTTTGAACCAGCCTTATCCACACGATGCAGCGGGTTCCACGGACGGAGATGAAGCAGCTGCAAATCTGCAACTGGAAGGCGCTGGTTTCATGGCTACGATCTTCCGCAAGCTGTTTCGTATCGTGGATCGACCGTGGAAAATGTATCCCTTGGGTGTTCTCTTTGGTCTGGGGTTCGATACGAGTTCCGAAATTGCCGTGCTGGGAATCGCCAGCATCCAGGGAGCACAAGGAACGAGCTTGTGGATCATCCTCATCTTCCCCCTGCTCTTCACCGGTAAGTTGAGCCTATCCTCGCAGCTTTTTCGTAATGTCTCAAGGCTGACAAACACAGCTGGTATGTGTATGCTGGATACTACTGATGGTGCCTTGATGATGGCGCTATACACGTCCAAGGCCTTCGCACGAGACACTGTCGCCATCCTGTATTACTCGATCGTTCTGACCGGCATCACGGTCTTTGTATCCGCATTTATAGGGATAGTTCAGGTGCTATCGCTTGCGCAAAACGTAGCGGAGCCCGAAGGCAGCTTCTGGGATGGGGTGAGTGCAATCGGAGACAACTTCGAGATTATCGGAGGCAGCATATGTGGCTTGTTTCTCGTGGTTGGACTTGGTTCAGTCTTTCTTTACAAGCCTTGGCGGCGCAGGATGGAGCGCCGCCGGGCACGTCAGCTTCCTTCGAATGATTTGGAAGACGATCTTGAGCGGACCCCTGCTCTGATTGAATCTTCTGAAGCAGAATATGCTCCGGCGGAACCGAGAGACTCGGTAGAGCATTCAAAACCATCGCCTGGCAAGCAGAAACCCTCAGAAACGCATACATCTATTGGCCTTAGCTGAGATCGCCACAATGAAAGCCGGCATGATACGGTACCAAGTACAAGATAGAGGTAGAAGAAAATAGATAGGAATAAGTTGCAAGGTTCGCGCTGGAGACGGGTGACTTGACCTCATAGAATTGCATTGATATCGCCAGATTCGGTAACTCAAGTCCTCATGGTACATGTCTAGAAAGTTGTATTCATAATCTAAACTCAGCTCAAGATGCGAGACATGAATCTATTGGCATTTATCATTGGTATCCGCTCACGATATCGTCTTCGATGTTCCTGTTCTTCATGAAATGAACATAATCCTTGTCTAAGCATGGTCAGCCTGTTTTTTTCTTCTTCGACGATCCAGCGCGTAAATGCTTACAGGACAGTTTCCCTTCGCCATCAACATTGTTGAGCAGCTGCTCAACCTCGACATCAGTGACCGGGTCTCCCAGTCCGTTCATGAGTTGCCGGAACTGGCTTGCAGTAATCGAACCGTTTAGAGACGGCTCATATTCCTTCCATGCTTTGGAATATTCGGCATCTTCCTCGTCCTTGGGAGGGTAAGGTTGTCCCGTCTGTGCGACAATCAGAGGTCAGCTTTTCTTGTCCAAAGATATACGTCTTGTGGCAACATCGGAAGTAACTCAGAGACGGAAATTGGAACTCTGGGAGTGCCATACCATCATGGTGATGAATTCTGGTAAAAGAGAGTTAGCATTTTAGGTCCAGATATTAAAGCGAAAGTTCTTATTGTGGTGTACAATCTTACCGTTGAAGTTAATGGTTCCGTCACCATCAAGATCAACTTCCTTGATGATCTGCTCTACTTCTGCTTGAGTGGGTTGCTTTCCTGGAGCCGAGGACATCACTTTGGCGAACTCTTCGACTGTGATGCTGCCTTCCTGGATTGTTAGAAAGATCCCTTGATTACAGAAGCCCTGGAAAGAAGCCTACCATCTTTGTCGGGATCCTAGGTAGCAGTCAGCGCTCAAGCCGTAGATGGAGAAACGTGGTGGTGAACCCTTACGTATGAATCAAAGAGGTCTTTGAAGACTTGAATTTCTTCTGGGGACAATTCACGAGCCTGCGCATGCGAGTTAGCTGGCTGCATGTCCCGTATCAGTACCACGGTGAGTTGCTGAACCCACCATCTTCTCAGCTTTTCTGCTTGCGGGGTTGTTCAGGACGCTTTCGTGCGACGATCTAAGGCGTTACCGGCTCCTCGGACGAGACAATGAACGATGAACAAATTTCGACAAGCCGTGGTGAGCGCGATACTTATGTGCAAGGGGGAGCCGGTTTGACAGCAAGCTCGTCCCGTGGATGAAACAATCTCCTGGGCATCGCTCTGAGCGAACTGCATGATCAACACGAGGGTTGACACGGGCCCGCAGTGGCCTCTCCACCCCGCCCCGTCGGTCCTCACCCTGGTACACGCAAGCGCCAAGAGAGGACGCAGTGGGAATAGTGCTCTTAATTCGATTTGAAGGCTTCGCACATCAAAAGCGCCGCGCCAAGAGCTAATTGGGACCTAAAATGCTAGAGATATTGGTTCATCCGTCACCACTGCGTACGCTGTTGCCGGACTATCGCTGCCGACATCAAGTGTGGGTGGGTGAAAAGGGGCAGGCACACTTTCAATGGGACCCGCCCGCACTCAAATATTAATGCAGGATAGCTTCATTTGCTCGTGCTAGCGTGAGGAGTGGAAAACCTCCTGAAGGGCACCTGGAACTTGGCCGCAGTGGAATTTCCAGCAATTTCAATGGCCCAGAGTCAAATGGGCGATAAGAAACATCAATTGACCTCGAGAGATATAACATCAAAGTAACTCACAGCCAATGCCTTCCGTTATGCAATGTTGTAGGTGATACTCCTAAATCTGCGGCACCCGTCTCTTTGTATCACGCACAGAGATATCGACACTAAGCAGCGGCGACAGTTAGGTTGGTGTAGAAAGCATTGGTCCCAATGGTACCTGAAGCCTGTTGGTGATGTGAGAATTGTCGAGCAATGATCTTGGACAGAAAGTTACTTACGCCAACCAAGTAAGGAACAGCTGCCACGAGCTTGTAGTCACCCGCAGAAATGCTGTCAGGAATTGTGAGGTTGACAGTGAAGCTATTCAATGGGACTGAACCAGGGCTGAAGAAGGTTAGAACACCTCCTGACCATCGGGCAATACTAATGCTTACTAGATTGACGTGTAGTCGATCTGCTGCCCAATGCAGATAGTTTCACCGCAGTCCCAGGCGGCTGGAGCAAGACCCCAGATAATCTAACGCTTGTTAGCCCGAAGAGAGCTAACGCATTAGGACTAGGATACGCTTACAGAATAATCAATGAAGTTCTGTACGTAGATAGACGTAGTGAGGGTTGCCGTGATTTTGCTGCCGGCGACCGCAGTGTCAGGAGAACTCAGGTTATTGATGTAGGCGGAAGTTATGGGGATTGCTGCGAGAGCAGCACATGCAAGAGTCTTGAAGAAACCCATCTCGACCTTACGTTGGGTTTGGTGTGATCAACCTAGAGCCAAATTGTGAACAAGACGATATAGGTGATGTTCAGGTGATGCCTAGCCAAGGAGATATGGACCAGCTAGCGAATGGAGGAGAAGTGACTTCTTGGGGTATATGTAGTTGTTAAACTGCCCTGGTCACGCCAAATCCTGCTCATTCATAGCGTTACATAGACGCGCAACGGGCACCGGTAGATACGAGGTTCCGGGCCTAGTTGTGAGGTCATCCCGTCGCTGCCGGATGATCGACACAGAGAACCTGGTTTCCCAACCCGAGCTTCTGAACCACAAAATTACCTGATTCGTTGCGAAAGTCAGTTGGCCATGGAGCTTCGTATCCCGCCTTGCTGTACGACAAGCACCTCTGCCGATGCCTAATCCATAGCCGTAGAGCGGACGGATTAAGGTGCTTCAGGAGGCTGAGTAACTAGCTTCAATACGCAGGCGACTGATCTTTCGGCATCAGAGAAATCAGTCATCTACTTAGGTAGACTAATTCAACACCCATCGAACGCCAGAGTACAATATTGCCCGATGGGCCATAATTGGCGCGGGGCAGGGTCTCTGCGCTGTGCTTTTGGCGGCTTCTTCCCTGAACAGTGCTGAAACTATTGTTCGGAGGCCAACTAGCGTACCTGTCGGTTCTTCGCAGTGGCCACGCCACCTACGCCGAATGGCACCACTTCTGTACCCCTACAGAACGGCTGGTCATCCTACGTGGAAAAACAGCGATAGCTAGTGAGAAATTGCCGCACAAATGTTTGTTTATCGAATATAAAGGACTTTCGATCCTCTGACATGGATCGCGAAGTGGTTGCCGAGATGGATCAGTACCCAATCAGTGGGTTTAAGCAATCATTCTTTACTAGCTGCGCTATACGGTGTGACTCGTTGGAACATTGACTTATAATCAGCTTTGGGAATAGCTAACCAAGTGCTAGTAACATGAGGGAAATACCTTCTTAACGCTGATTGGCTTTTATGCTTGTTCATAGATGACCTTCCCGTCCTCCTGTACCAGGTTATCCTGCTCTGCTCTCCGCCTCTTCTCATTTTTGCCCGTTAGATATGATAGCCCGCCCGTCCAGATCGCTAAGGCGATGGAGCAAGCAATCATTGCCCACATGCCTCGCTGTCAAGAATGCCATGATTAGTGTGAGCTGATGAGAACTCAGGATGAAGGAGACTTACGTTAAACCATGGCGCCATTGATGCGCCATAGAAGATGATCGACCACCATGCGTTCACAGCGTTGGACCCGACATTCATGCCAGCAAGAACAACCCCACGATATACAGGGTCCTCGTATCTCATGGCATCATTGCACCAGGCGAAAAAGGTGGCTTGGCATGCGTAGACTGCGCCGGCCCAGTAGTAAGCACCAAATACCGTTGCAGTGGAAGCTGGGTTGGTTGGGTCCTTCGAGGCTGCGAGAATCATGGCAGAAGTTATGACTCCCGTAGCGCCGATGAAGTACCCGACCAAATAACGTTTCCCATTTAAGAAGTCAGTCAGTGTAGCCCAGACAATCGTCGAGATGATGCCGACCGCTGGAACCCCCGTGGGATAGTTGTTCAGTTGCGTTACGGTATACTTGTTCGTCGGGTGGCTCTTCATGTATAAGGCCAGCAAAGTGTTGGTACTGAAAGACTCGGTTTCGCCCGCGATGATCCAGAGGACTACGAATCCCCACCAGTACCATGAAGTGAGCACCTTCTTTGCAAAGCTCCAGGTGATGGGAGACTTTTCTTCAACCTTAGGCACACGAGCTAGTGCCAGAGTCTTCTCTGAATCAGTCAAATAAAAGGCGGTTGTTGTTTGTGGCGTGTCGGGAAAAAAGATGTAGCCGTAAATCGCCACCGGGATAGTGATCAAACCGTCAACGATGAACAGCCAGCGCCAACCAGTCAAACCGTGCTTGTTATGGAGCGAAGAGTAGATCCCGGTTTGGATGAATCCTCCAATCATGGTTCCGGCAAGGCCTGACGCAGTAAAGATTCCGCTTCGCTTGCCAAGCTCACGCTCGGTGTACCAGGAGCCGAGGATGTAGTGCGTTCCAACAAACGTCGTGGCCTCTGCTATACCCTGGAAGAATCGAATTGCCATGATGGACTCCGGACGATGGACCGAGGCTGTCACCATCGTGAGGCAAGCCCAAATCACCATCATCGAGGGGAAGAATAGCCGTGGCTTCACATAATGCAGGGACAGGTTTGCTGGAATTTGCCCAATGACATATCTATCAGAAACATGTCAGTCAAAGTACAGCAAGGGTAGGTGACAATGACCGCTAACATACCCGACAGTGAAGCAGGTATTTATCTGGTTAAGCTGGTCTCCAACGAAGCCAAGGTCCTCCTTCATCCCAGACACATATGCATTGCTGAGATTTGACCGGTCAAGCTATCCAAAGGGTCAACGACTGCTCTCATCATTTTTGTCATATACCTACGTAGTTGGTGAAGTAGCTCAAGCAGCAGAATGTCAATATGAAGAAATCTATCTTCTGGACCAGTTTCCGTTCTCCAGGCTGGTACTCCGTATGGAAGTATTCCCTGAGTTTGGACCTGGCCGCCATGATGGCAGTCGGAAGATGACTGTAAGGGAGAGTATTGTCCTGCTAAGGTAGCGGGTCCGAGCTGCTGCACGTTCAAGAATCGGCCGCGATGGTAGCGAGTCTTCGAGGGATACCGCACCGATTTATGTCATGACATTACGGTATGGCTGTTGGACAAGGAACCTAGTCGCTTGCGATAAGGGTCCTGGCGACCAGTTGTTTTCTGTTCCGAAATGGCTCTACCAAGCCCGATGAACCGATGGTTTGTCGTCAGCTCATTCCAGAGGCCTGCAGATCGCGTAGATAAGGCTTCCAAAAAGTGAGGTTTGATAGATAAGCTTGTCGCAACGTCTCCGCTTATGGATCCGGGGGATTCAAGGGTTCCCCACCAGATGTTGACTCGGTCCTGATGGGTTACCGGATATGGTGAACCACCGGTTGTCGGAGCGCATTTTCCCAACGATGGATGAAGCGCGCCAAGTCCGGTGCGGGGATTGGACCATGAATTCATTATGCCCTTAGCGGCAAGCATCGGACGGGGCCGATGATGCCATGCCGGGGGCCTAGTTACTTAGAATTGGGGTATATAGATGGTTGGTAATGCAAGGACCCCAGGGCCAAGCTATATCAAAAGTGTACGAGTTACGCAGAAAGCCTATTCGCTCAGAAGTTCAAGGAGTTTTTTTTATCATGGCAAATTGGGAAGAGATCGCGGCCAAGAAGCGCCAGACCCTCAAGGACTCGATTCCTCCTGAATGGGTCATCCCTGAAGACCTATTGCCGGCCGACTCTGTAGACGATGTGACTGGCTTCCCCGAGGCATCGGGGTGGTTTACTCCCGAGGAGCTGGCCATCACCAACTCCAATGCCTTGGAGTTATTGCCCAAACTTGCTTCTGGCGAACTCAAATCTGAGACCGTAACACGGGCTTTCTGCAAGCGCGCTGCGGCGGCGCATCAGCTGGTATGCCCCTCTCCACACTTGCGTTCTACTCGGTAACTAATAGCCGAGCATAGACAAACTGCCTCTCCGAGACCTGCTTCGCTCGTGGCCTGGAGACTGCCAAGAAACTTGACGAGCACCTTGCACGAACGGGAAAACCTGTCGGACCACTACATGGGCTCCCTATCTCGCTTAAGGACAACTTCCACCTTGTCGGCCTCGACTCCACGGTAGGCTTCGTGAGCCATATTGGCGATGCGGCAACTTATGAGTCTGTGCTGGCGGACCTGCTGCGTGAAGCCGGTGCCGTCTTTTACGTCAAGACCAACGTGCCGACGGCCATGATGATTGCTGAATCCGTGAACAATGTCTTTGGCCGCACGGTAAATCCCCTCAACCGGAAGGTAACTAGCGGAGGGTCCTCCGGCGGAGAGTCGGCCCTGATCACGTTCCGCGGCAGTCCTTGGGGCGTGGGCACAGACATAGGGGGCTCGCTGCGCATCCCGGCGGCATGCACTGGCATCTTCACGCTCCGGCCGAGTTTTGGCCGCTTCCCGACGCTGCGGTGCCGGTCTGGCATGCCGGGCCAAGAGGCCGTGCAGAGCGTGAACGGGCCCATGACGCGGACTTTGGACGATCTCGAGTTCTACTGCAAAACAGTCGTCGGCGCGGAACCCTGGCTCGCAGACCCGCGGTGCTTGCCTGTCCCGTGGCGGGATGTTGAGCTACCGAAGACCCTCAAAATCGCCGTTATGTGGGATGATGGCATGGCTCTTCCAACGCCACCGGTGACTCGCGCGCTCAAGGAGGCTGTCGAGAAATTACGGGCGGCAGGGCATGAGATCACCGTGTGGTCGTCGGAGGACCAGCAAACAGGCGCTCGTTTACTCGACCGGATGTTCGTGGCCGACGGAGGAAAGGCAATCCGCAAGGAGCTGGAGCGCTCCGGTGAGCCCTGGAGGACCGAGATGGGCGCATACGAAGTTGCTGAAGAGCTCGGCACTTCGGAAATGTGGCAGCTCCACCTGGATCGTGTCGAGTTTCAAAAGCGGTATCTCGATCGCTGGAATAAGGCGGGCATCGACGCGATCTTATGTCCCACCACACCCTATAGCAGCGTGGAAAACGGCAAATTTAGGCATGGTAAGTCAATGTTGGCCAGCATGAACCTCATGTTCACCTACTGACCGCTTGTTTAAAGTTGGCTACACTGGCGTGTATAACGTTTTGGATTACTCGTGCATATCCTTTCCCTCAGGCGTTCTGGTTGACAAGAGCATTGACAAACCCACTGGGGATTCATATAAGCCTATGACAGATCTTGACAGAACAATACAGGCGGAATGTGAGTTACTGGTCCAAATGATATACGCTTGTGAGCTGTGCTAACTATCGTAGATAATCCAGATGCTGTTCACGGAATGCCAATCAACTTGCAATTGGTTGGCAGGAGGTACGGTCTCCCTTGAAACATGTTTTAGCTGATTACTGACCTCCTGCTACAGGCTCGAAGAAGAGAAAGTTGTCGCAATGGTCAAGACTATGTTGGACACATTATCCTGATGTTAAACAACTTGGGTTCCCTTATCAGCAGCCCGATTATCTATATGATCGATCACCTTGGGAACAATTTGTCCATAAGCACTATGCATTTCTTGGAGGTGTCATCTCAATTCACCATATCAAATTCCATCACCAGCTCGGACGTGCGAAATCTGTCCGAAGATTGCTCAGATACGCTCTCTTCAATCTCGTGAAAATTTTGTTCCCGCTGTAAATGCCCGACACCAACACCATACATACTCCATATCTCAGCCCGACAAAATTCAATTGTAGTATACTATGTGCAGGGCAGAATCAAAACCCAGGTGGATAAAATTGTTGTTGAGGTTGATCTGGCGGTGGTTGCCCCAGAATATCAAAATTCATCAAATCCGTTCCCGTGTAGAAAGGATCTGGTGATTCTGCGCCGTCGTTAGCGATGCGAGCATTACGGAATGAGTGACATACCCCAGAAAATCGAGTCGTAGAGGTCCATCGGAGACATGTTCGACATATAGGTTGCAGGGTCGATTTGCGACATATCAGGCATCCCGTGCATATTCATTGGCTGTTGTAGGGACGCTTGATAAGGTAAATTCCTGATAGACTGTCAGAACTAGTTGCCTTGATCTGCAAGAACCTCCTTACGTTGAGAAATCAGGTATATTTGAGCCGTTCTGGAGTGCTGTCATGGCAAGAGCTGCATCTTGATGCGGATCGAGTGCGGATTGCATTCTCTGCTGAGCGTTTGCCTGAGGTGCAGCCTGAACAGATGCCGTCGGAGTCCTAGAACCAGATGGCACTTCGCTTTTGAGACCGGAAAGGCCATTCAATGATCCGTAATCATAGATATGCTTCAAAGCCGTCAAAGCTCTCGAAAGAGGGCCAGATAGCTCAATGTCTTTGTCGCTCACGAATATGTGCCCTGGTGGAGGACTCGACCTATCTTTGGCAGCAGCTGCGGAAAGCGCGTATATCAGGTCACCCTGTAGTCGGCGGACTTCAGAATCTGCCTTGGCCTCGCAGAGCAAGCCAAGTAGGACGGCTGATGACAGCCCGTGGTAAGTGAAAGCCCAGCTACGAGTTGGGATAACAGAGATGTTGTGCATGGCCAGAAACATGCGGACTGTCTCGGTAAGATTGATCTTGCACTTATCGGATAAGGCCTTCTTTTCGCCTGCAGTGAGAGTATTGCAATCGCTCCGTAGAGCTGGCCGACAACAGACAGAGACAACGAAAGCTGTGTGCAGTCGAAGTGCGTAATGTTGTAGCCGATCCACAGCTGTCTTCAAAGCTTCCTTGTTTCGCAGCTGGGGGTACACCTTCTCTCGAAGGGAAAGCGCGCGTGAGCAGTTGTCTACGATCGTGTCATACGATGCAGAAGCAACGGCATCTGGGTTCAGCTTCTCTGATATTAATTGGCAGAGGTGATACATGGCCTCAAGATAAGAGAGGCCCTGAACCGTTGCACTTGGAGACAGCGGAATCGGGCAGCAGGGAATGTTGGTCATGTTTGGACTGCGACGCCATTAGCGAGCTACAAACGATTTATTCATTTCGAGGTATCCACCTACCGGTCAAAAGACAGGGAGGTAAGTGTGTCATGCCACTGGCACGTCCACCTTTTTCGGATTAGCGGACCGAATGAACTTGAGCAGTGGAAGATTGGGATTATACCAGAGCTTTCTCCGAACATAGTCCTTCAAAGAGAGCTCAGTGGAGCTAACCTCTTGTGAAGAACCGCGATGAAGTCCAAGTGATTGGGCCAGGCGACAAGTCAGTGCGAGGAGGGCCCACGAGCCTTCTGCTTTCATGTCATTTAGTAAAACGAAACTAGTCATCAAGAGGGCTTGGATGGAGTCAAGATTAGGCCTGCAAGAACGATCAGTACAATTTTTGAGTACACACGACCCAAACGCCACTAACCGAAGCAAGAAATTGCCAAGCCGAAGGAAGTGGACGGAGACTTGAATGTACTTCTGCGAATCCCTTGTTCTGATATGGTAAGGTGAATCGTGATATTGAGAGCCAACAGCCAGGACAGCAAACAGGATAGCAAGCCAGGATGCCGACACTGGCCGGGCAGTGGGCGTATTGTCTTTTGCGTGCCTAGCTCGTTCTTCAAGATAGATCATCAGTCGAGACTCAAGATCTTCTACGTCAATGACGAATCCCCAGAAGGGATGTGGCACCTCCTTGTAGGTTTTGAAAAGCCTGTGGGCACCTTGAATCAGCTGGTGCGTGCCTAATGCCAACTTGAAAATAGGCGCTCTGGCTGGAGCTGAGCTGAACACGGGCAGTAACTTACTTTAAAATTTCACGGTCCGACGGCAGCTCAGCGGAGATGTCCCGAGTCATCTTATCAAGGTGATGTGTAGACATGAGAGGAAAGGGGGCAGAGTTGTCCAAACCCCAAATTGGACGCATGTCTCGCCGAATATCAATGCCGTTCTTGGCTTCGATTGGGGACGGCTGATCTCTTAGAATGGCGGGGATACTGTTCTGCCCAATATAACGAGGGATCTCTCCAGATTCTGACTGGTCTGGATGGCATCGTCTGAGTTACAACGTCGGTCAAGTATAAGACACGACAACAAACGTACCTAGTGCTCGCGGCCAGCCGGACGGCTGGTGGTCGTTTCCATGATCATAATCGACGCTGCTATCAGGGGAATGGGGCCGTTTCTTTCCCTGAACAGACCCAGCATCGATGGAACCAGACTTGGCGGCATTGGAACGATTTGGCTTGTAAGAGCAAAGCTGCGGGTGCTCTCTCTTCACACAGTTCTCGCAAGGCTGTTGATTGTCGCATTTGACCTTCCGCTGGCGGCAAGGCCAGCACGCGGTCCCTGTAGGGTTCCCTTTATCAGCAGGAGTCCCGCTTGTGCACTGTATAGTACAATGCAATACGACTCGTCCATGGTCACATCCGAGCAACTAACACGCGGGAGCCGCATGGGCGGGCCACCGGCAGATGAGAAATCGAACCACTCACCATATCGGACCTTGCGGTGTGAGTGTATAATGCGACTAGCTTCTTCCGGGGTCAGATCCTCTACAGGGACCTGATCGATGTCTTGAGCCTTCGACATGGACACAAAGGTTCTCCGGCGACTCTGCCTCGGACGGGCATGCGGCTGCCCCGCTTGGCGGTCAAGCGGGTGGCAGGGCTAGGAACCGCGCGTATGCTGCGAGCCAGAGGCTCAATCGCAATCGGGTCCCCGTGCTTAACGGAGAGACTTCCTTGGCCTGGTTGAGAGTTTCGAGCCGGGCACGGCTGCAGCTGTAAGAGATTCGAGATGGAATGCCGAAGTCTCAGCGAAGACCGAAGTGCGCAACTCCCATTAGACCAGCATCTGGAGCGGTTGCGGGGCGGATGTGAGGCGAACGAGTGGCCGGGTGTGGTGGAGCTCCAACGCCGAGCATGCCGAACTTTCGAATGAGGTCCTGAGGTCCATCGTCGGGAGCTGTGAAATTGTTAATCCGGCCCCGTCCCCTGGGCTCCAGATACCTAGGTTAGGTACCCCGTGGACCTGGGTGCGTGGGTAGTTACCTAACCTGGGTAGCCCGGCAGCTGGGGGTCGGGTACGTTAGGTGCCACCCAGTTACACTTTTAGTGGCAGGCGGGCGGGAGCAGCCGTTCGACTTTAGCGGTTGCGGCACCAGAGACAACCTGGCTCTGGCTCTGTAGGTGGCTCTGCAGTGGGCTCTGGTTGCACTCACCCACCCTCAGCTCCCTGTCTTCAGCGTCCGTATCCAATTGACTACAAACTGCAGGCCCATCCACTCTCCCGAGGGTAACGCCAGACGTGACCCCTCCCTCTCCGTCCATCCAACCCATTCGTCCTCTTCGTCGTCCAGCTCCAGTTTCGACTCGAGCAGCAAAACGGTCCTTTGCTTGTGCTTCGCTCGCGTCCATCTCGTGTTACTCTCGTCTCAGTCGCTGCAGCCGCCAAGGCTTCTGCCATTGGATGCGGGTCGACAACCAGCGTCTCAAGCCCTATCTCTCCCTCTCCGTGCTTGCTTCTTCTTCGGGCCGAGTTACGCCAGTGAAGTTCCTGGTGGTCGTTGCGGGTGGCAATCCATCCAATTGACTCCAAGTATCAAAGGTGCATATCATGTGCCTGCAATGCATACGTGTAAACTTACCGGTGATAGGCCTCCCCTGCATAGTACGGTATTTGATCGCGGATGAATCCCTAGAGTCGGGGTTCATAGGCCACTGCAGCCATGGACCCGGTAACACCAAGCAAAGACCGAAGGATCAACGCTCTCGATTCATACCTTCCTATAGCAAAAACCTTCCAGCTTGTCTCTGAGACGTATGGTTTGGGACTGCGGGTTCCGGAAAGGGCGCAAACTCTCCAGTCGCCCATGAAGTCACGACAGTCTCGAGATGAGGATTACCGGCTCTTCAACAAGACTCGGATTCTTTACTTCCACAAGACTCTGGACACGGCCCTCCAAACCTATCGTGACCGCGCCATCTTGGTTTCCAAAAAATGGGTTCATAAGCCAGGAGGCGAGCTCGATGTTACCCCTTCCGTCACAGGCCTGCCCAAAGCGACCAATGCAGTGGAGAAACAGGATCTGCGGAAACTCTTTGAGGACGTTCTCAATGAGTTCAACCCGAACAGTCCTGGCATGACCCTGAGGAACGGTCGCACTACTGTACCTATCGAGAAATCTCTGCCGATCATCCCACAACCACGACCAAAACGTCCTTCGAATGATTGGGACCATAATACCTTAACGACGAAGCGCCCAAAAAGCATCACCTCTGGGTACTCTCCCCCCGAGGCCCCGTACTCGGAACCCCATAGGCCCCGGAACCGCAGTTTCTATGGCCTCTCCACAGACTCAAGCCGGGAGACAGTCGTCTTCTCTGATACTGACGCGCCTCCACGATTTTCCCATGGGACACAGACGACTGTCGAGGCCGGCACGCAAGAGAAAGCCAGATATCAAGCGCCGGGCCGCCGGCGGCGTACTACACAGGATTCATTTCCCATATCATCAGGTTCTATCCAGGCCCTCACGGAATCCTTTGACCAGTTTGAAAACAACCAAGAGTTGCATGATAATGTCCGCCGCTATCTTGATAGGAGCTCCCCAACCTATCCCTACTCCAACTTGAGCAGCCTGGTTTCGGAGCAGGATCCAGCAGGCTTGGATCAGTGTAATAAAAAGACTGGCCACAAACAGCAATCCGCTTTCATAGAGCTCGATGACCGCCTGGACGCTTCTTGGCGTAAGTAAGGACACCTATATCTGTGATGTATCTGTGCTGACCGCCGTAGCTCGGCTACCTTCTTCGCTATCTGACGCCCCGTTTGCCATCATTTGGGAAGTGGTTCGGGTCCTCTTGCACTGCAAACTTGACCCTCTGGAGTTTGATCTCGAATACGATACATCTTGGAGGGACCAGAAACAACTCTGGGATGTCCTTCGCACCAGGCTCTGTGTTGATTCTCTACCTGAAAAATCCGACCCGCGGGCTTGGGATGCAGCGCTGGGCAACTTCTTTGATGGCCCGAGGGCTGTTTCATTGACCATGTCTCTGGAGCTATCTTCATCTGCTTCAGGGCCATTCTTCCTCCTAGATTTGCATCCTCTTAAGATCGACAATACTTACAGGCTCAGTCGTCGGTTTAGCCCGGATAGGTTCATCAAGATGACCGTTCCCACGATTGACCAGCAGAATATCCCGCAGCTCAAAACGCTCTCAAATGATGCGGTTGTTCATATTAGACGTTGGGTTCATACTAAGCGCCACCCCTTGCTCGGTCGTCTGTGGGCGTCATTTGCAATCCGCTCATACCGAGAAACAGTGACCAAAAGGTCCACAAATAAAAGCGAACGGTATGAGCCCGAACCGAGAGCAACAGTGAAAGACAGACTGTACTTGTTTGCTGAAGATGGAAACGACTTCCATGGTACCACAAAGTCCTGCTCCTTGAAAGGGGAGCCGGTAGATTCTCATACGCAAATGACCGTGAAGGAGCTCATTGAATGGCTTCTGGAACCATCAAATAACCCAGATCAGCCCGTTCTCAAGTTATTCTCTAGAATAACCCTTGGGCTCAGCCGTACTTCGCCCACAGTCGTGCTGAAGCCGGGTCAGATTCGTCATATGCTTGGTGACGTAAGCTCCCCAAGTGGGAAGGTGATGAACGATGGCATCGGCCGAATGTCGCCAGCTCTTGCAAGAAAGGTTAGTGGCATCCTTGGTCTATCGGATACACCTTCTGCGTTCCAAGGTCGAATTGGAAGTGCGAAAGGTGTTTGGGTTCGTGATGTGGCCGATCAGAGTGACGACATATGGATTGAAACATACCCATCCCAGCGGAAGTGGAAATGTAACCTTCAAGACGAGGATCACCGCACCTTCGAGGTTAGCAGCTGGCCTAAAGCTCTCGAGCCTGCCTCGCTGAACACACAATTTCTGCCAATCCTTGAAGATCGAGCTCCGAACCGCGAGGCTAAGGAAGCACTCAAAAATTACATTGGTAGACTACTTACCGAGACTCTCAATGAGGAGATCAACGCTCAACGCGCTGCGTTGCAAGACCCTCTACAGTGTTGGCTCTGGGTCGACCGAAAGTCAACCTCACGGCGGCTTGATCGATTAAAGAGCGGCGAAATCCCTCGGCTAGGAAGTCTTCCTAGATCTGAGGAGGACCGGGTCCAATTTTTGCTCGCTGGCGGGTTTGAACCGTTGAGACAGAAGTTTCTCTGGGATACCACCTGGAGACTTTGCAAAGAGAAATGTGAGGAGTTGAAGACCCGTATGAATATCAAAGTAGGGCGTTCCGTTTACGCTCTGATGGTCATTGACTTTGAAGGGATCCTTGCCGAGGATCAGGTGCATCTTGGATTTTCGTCGAACTTCCAAGATACCTTATCGGGCTTTTCTGCGACTTTCCTGCACGGCATGGACGTTCTTGTCGCTCGATCGCCAGCACATTTTGTAAGTGACGTTCAGAAAGTGAGGGCTGTATTTAAACCCGAATTGGGATTCCTAAAGGATGTCATTGTCTTCCCGATGAATGGACGTATTCCTCTTGCGGATAAGTTAAGCGGTGGTGACTACGATGGAGACAAGGCTTGGGTTTGCTGGGATGATAATATCGTCCGAAATTTTGTTTCAGCACCTGTCCCAACGGGCCCAGACCTGTTCCACGACGGGGTTTTGACAAAGCGAACCGAGAAGTACCAGGCCTTGATTGAGAAGCACGGAAGCGAGGCAACATCGGCATTCCTAGAAACGGGCTTCGATTTCAATATGCAACCAACGCTTTTAGCGCGATGTACGGCATTCAAGGAGAACCTTTGTTACCAGCGCAAGTCGGTAAGCGACGATGTTGCAGTACGGTTGAGTACTATGCTTAGCAACCTTGTCGATCAAGAGAAGCAAGGAATTGATTTTACAAACAAGGATTTCAGTCTCTTCAAAAAGCAGCTCCTACGCCAAAAAGCAGAACCGCCAAAACCGCACTACAAGTCCGAGGTATGGACAGGAAAGGGACGGCCAACGCATATCATTGACTATCTCAAGTTCTGCGTGATGGTACCTGCGGTTGAAGCTGAGCTCGCGCGACTGCACAGCATGATTCAAGGCCAGCAATGCGGACACTGGGATAAAGATTTGGCGTTGTATTTCGACAAGTTCAATGAACTCCGCATCGCAAATAATCGTCGCGTGGCTCACGGAATGAAAATGCTGCAGAATAACCTCGGCAATTTTCATAGCAAGACTATGGAAGCAATGTCAAACGATAAACTGTCCTTCGAAGCCAAGGTATGGCAAGCATTTGAGTTGTTCCGGTCCATTCAGCCAGATGGATTCTCCGGCACTGTCAGGGACATTTTGAGCATTGGGAATTCAGGCAATCAACACACGCAGTAGGATCTGCTGAGAGCATCAACGTATTTCAAAATACACCACAAAACGCCATTCATATGGTGGATCATTGGATCAGAGCTTCAAGCACTGAAAGCTCGATCCTCGAAGAGCGGGCCTATCACACAAATCATCGGCCCAATCTACGCGGCACTCAAGGCGGACGCGAAGTATGTCAATACTCGTTTTGCACAATTTAATGATATAGAAGAAGACGGTGACGACGACGACTCATGGACCTCTGGCAATCCGCTAGAGAGACCGCTGGTATAGACTCACCGTGATCGATGGACGAAAGTTGTTGATACGGCTCAAAGCTTTTTTTTTTGAGAGACGAGAAAGATAATGACTTTATGACAAGATTTTCGGAAGACTTGGCCATAGGCGCTGTGTGATGTGATGTGCTATGGACGAAAGTCATCATTCCGGAATAGGACGCCCTTGTCTCTGATTCAACTTGACATCGCAGGAGGGTATACAAGAGAAGTAATACTGCGTTATATGCTGTGCAATCTTTTCCGTACCAAAAGCCTGCAGAGGTATCAGCGATGTATGGTATAGCAAGTGTTGCTGACCTCGGACTATCGAGTACGTATTTTCTTGATTCTTTGAGGCGCTGGCTTCTCATTCCCCATGTATGTCTAATGGCATACCTATAAGATAGGCTCTCCGGTGCAAACCTCGGAAAATTCCTGCTCTTCAAGATAGAGATCAAGTTAGTATGATGTTGTAAGAAAAGCCAAAGTCAGCTAAAATCCAACAGAAGAATTGGCTAAGTGAGCAAGGGTCGTATATAGCGAACTATTCCAGCCCAAGAAAAATGAGTGATTACTACCATTTTATCGCCGTAAATGGCATTTTTGACACCTGTCCAATTTGCAGAACGCGTACACCACCATCTATTCCTATCAGCTCGCCATCTATCTTCACTGCTATCGCTGCTTAATGCCCGCCATACAACTGACACTGCGTGATCGCCTTAACATGCTACCAAATTCGTCGTTCCCGAGATGCACAAATTCACATCGTTCTTTATGCCGCCAGCCTTACCCACACAGTCCAGGCCATTGAAATTCTCACCCAAGGTTGTGCAGGAGTCGCAGTTCCTTGCGATCTCGACCAACCGGCCAGAACAGCCGCCGGCGACGGAGAGCCCAAAGAAGCCCGCTGCGGGCGAGCCGGTGTACGTAGTTCCTGCCACAAGATTGTTGGGCTTGTAGTTCACAGGGTGTCAGCTTAACCGAGCTCTTGCAATGATCGCTTTATGACATATCAATATGGGGGCGGGGTGTACCTACCAACTGGAAGTTGCATTGAGCGTCGTTTGCTTTGTTGATAGTTACTGAGATGGTGCCGCAGTCGAGGTCGTCTGTCAGCACGTCACCAGCTACCGGATTATCCTTCTCCACACGGTCTCCATCGGGCTTCTTTCCGTTGAAGACTTGTAGGGTGGAAGGGGATTCTCGCTTGAGCAGATGTCGAGCTGCATCTGCCTCAGAAGTTGAACTGGGTGTTACTAGTGCCTGGACGGCAATGGCAGAGGCCACGATGAAGACGAATTTGACTTTGACAACCATTTTGGAGCCGGGTTTGCTGTGGCCTACGGGAGCACTCGTCGAGGAAAGTCTTTAAGGAAGATTGTGAACTTGATTGAGTGGAGATGGTGATTGGGATTTCGAAGCCATTGTCAGGCGTGTCCAACGTGGACCTTTTATATCAATCTGGGCTCAAGCAAGAACATGCTGTTGATGTGGCCGCTGTATAGTAGGCTGGTATACGCGAGTACTAGAGTCCCTGAGTCGCAGAGCAAGCTCTGGCAAGGGGCAAGTGGTTCGGTCCTTGGGAATACTTAACCTTAATTGTTGCTCGCTTAGATTTGAAACCTGGATATAGCCTGTATTGACCCCCCGCATCTAAATGCAGAAGTATGGGCACATCCAGCTGAGGCGATGTGACAAGGCAGGCGACTGTCTTGAGATCCATTTGCCAAGCTTTGCCAAGACCATCATTATGCTGAGGTACCAAAGGAACAAACAAGCTCAAAACAAGGCTGTTGACTAAGCTAGCCTCGTTTTATTCACGAAACATCAGCTCCCCTACTGGATCCACTCGTAAATAGAGTTTCAATGCTTCAGCCACGTAATATTGCCAAGGGTCGGTAGTAAAATCGTGTCAAATCTCATACTAGGTGTTTCTCAGGTTTGTGTGGGTTTCAAACTTTACAGCTTCCAGAAAACTCGAAGCCGTGGTGCATAACCAAAGAAATTGAGTATCCAATCGCGAAACGCACAACGATGAGGATGAGCTAAGACCACCTATAGCATCGCATCATAGAAATATGAGTCTGAACACTGTATTCTTCGGTCGAAGCCCCGTTTCGTCAAAAACTCATTCGTACAAGTTCGATTCCTAGGGTGAGAGTCACGGGGTAACTTCGTCTGCCGCGAGGTTTCATCGTAGACGGCCAACCTAGTTTGGGCTTTGCGCTGCCTTCTAATGGATACTCTCCGTATTCCATCCCTCTGTACCAGATTCACTCCTTTCAAGCTCGCTGCTATCCACAGGGAATCCGCTACGTCTTTAAACCTAATACCCTAATTTAGAACTATTTCGTTTCAAACTGTACCATTTGCGTATTTAGATGTTTCCTCGCCAGCTATACTATGTCTTTGAGCATATAATACAGGGTCCCCAATCCCTCCATCGAGTCTTAATACCGTCCCCTATGACTTCACTTAACCACAGTCAACCATTCTCAGTTCATTACGGAAGCACTTAACCTTTTTCATGGTCCACATTGTATGCTCGTGGTCGACTCCCAAGACTCTTTTCTGCGCTTCACGCGCGCGCGTTTGTGTGTCGTATGCCTCAGTGCTTCTGCCAAGTTCCTGTAGCACGTTTCCCAGGTCGTTCATCGACCATAGTGTATCGGGATGCTCGGGCCCTAGCGTCCTTGAACGACCGTTGTAGGCCTTGCGGTACCACTCCAGCGCGTCGTGAGCAAGGTTCTGGTCACGATAGCATTTGGCTACGTCTCCAGCCGACCACAAAGTATGCACGTGTAAGTCACCGAGGCTTCTTGCTCGCGCTTCATATGCTTTCATGTGTAGTTTGAGAGCCTCCTCAGGCCGCCGCATCTTCCTCAGGGTGGTGGCAAGGGTGTTTATGGTCCAGATCATCTCCGGATGGTCGTCAGGAAGGGCGATTGATAAGTGTTCCAAGGCACGTGAGTGCATCTTTTCGGATTCTTCGAGCAAGCCAAGGTGGCGGTACATTCGTCCCATCTCGTTGAGGCTCCAGAGGGACTTTGGGTGTGATTCTCCCAGATGGAATGTTTGGATTGCAAGAGCTTCCCGATGCGTGTGGATCGCTAGGTCAAAGCGCCCCTGTTGGTCGTACAAGATTCCAAGTGAGTTCAGAAGTAGCATGGTCTTGATGGCTCCCTCTGTTTGGTAGTCCTTTTCTGTTGATTGAAGCTTTTCTAAGAGATCCACAGCTGCAGAGAGTTGTTTGGTATGGTTAAGTCTCCTAGCAAGATCCCTTATTACCATCATCTTTCCAAAGTACGTGACTTCGAATGTGTCATCCGGAACATCCAAGATAAGCGATAATGTATTGATTGACCAATCCTTTCCGCTCCACTCGGGATCTCTGGGTTTTGTTTCCTTGCCATTTGCCAACCACTCTGCCAGGAACTTCTGCAACCAGATAACTTTCGCGAACGGGAATGGTTCGTGTGACTTGAAAAGCATCCAATACAGCCATGTCTGTCGCTGTTTATCTATTGAAAGAAAGTTCAAAATCCGCTGCTCCAGAGCTTCGTCGTAGTCGCTTGAGAGCGCATGGTGGCACCACGTATTGATAGCGTATCGATAGAAGCTGCCCGGCTCATCATTCCTCCCAAGTTCGCTTGGCAGCCTTAATTGAGAGTATATCAGGCAGCGAATAGCCAATTGTGCATGGGCTTGTCGTTGGACGATCAAAAATTTCTTTGCCTCATCATTTAAGGACATGGTCATCCTAGGGCCTAGCATATATTCTCGGAATGAGTGATGAACCGGTCGGATGAGATTGCTACCTGGTGAGATGGCAATAAATGGCCCACAGATGTCAAGTATAGTTCTGCGAAACGGCTTGTCGTCATCATCAACAATTCCCTTTGTGACGCTCGTGGAGAGTGCTGCCTCCAATTCGTTCAGCGTCAATGGCCGAGCTGCACAGCATATCCAATTTAAGATGTCTGAAGCCAGTGTGCGTCGATGCCGCGTCTGAGAAGCCAGTTTATCCAAGAATCGTGCATATATCGCGTCGAGCCCAGCGGGACAATGCCGCATCGTGCCTTTCAAGGAAGTGATGCTTGTAGATGTAGAGATGTCTTCTAGTACGAGGTGCGCCCAAAGAAACATACCCTCAGCCCGTGAGGTGATCTCTTTGACAATCTCCTGCCTTAAATGATCATCATCCACCGGTATTATTCCTGAATTCCTAGCGACATAAGAGGCTATATCGTGCTGAGAGGCGTCTGTTGATATCCTGATGTGAGGTTTTGAGCCAACATGCTGTTCAAATTGTGGAAGCTCTCGCCCCAGAAACGCGATTTGTATCCTGGTGGTTTGAAGTACAAGGCCATCTAGTACCATTATTAACTCTTCGGGGTTGTCCAGCTCGTCGATCCCATCTATTATCAGTATAAGCTGCGCGTTTTCAGGAACAAGCTCGAGCAGCAGATCTCCAGGGGAGTCGTCGTTGGTTATAGACTGTCGGCCGAACGTCGTTGACCGATGATAAGATCTCACGATGCACTGCGGCAAATCAATAGATCCATCTTTCGATCTTAAGCCCTCGAGGATCTGGAAGATTATGTTGGACAGGACATCATTGGCAGTTTTTGCACGTGCGTTGCCCGCATCACAATGGAAGAATCCCACTATCGAGTTTAGGTTTGAGTCCTGGCGTCTGTTGTTGGTTATAATAGTGGAGCTCAAGACTGTCTTGCCAATACCGGGCTGCCCTGTGATCCAAATAATAGGCTCCGAGAAGCTGTTCTTCCACTCCGAGTATGTTTCGTTCTCTAACAGCCAAGTTCCCGATCCTGTATCTCGTGTCGCAGTGATATCATCGAGCCGACTGTAGCAATCTATCGGCGCAAGCCATCGTGTCACTTTCTGGGCGCTGTTAGTCGATATCGTGTTCGGTATGTATGCTATTACCTCAACAATATTAGAGTCAGTTTCAGGGACGATAACTGCTTGTTTAGTGGCCAGTGCAAGTATATGAACCTCCGAGCGATGTGCGAGAGTTGTCTCTTGCTCGAGGGAGGACAAGTGTCGTTTGACGAGGACAATATCATCCCTGAAATCTATTTCGAAATTGGTTTTGAAGCACCTCAACAGCATGGAATACTCTACCAATGATCAGCTAGGGTTAAGTCGATGTTGCAGTACAAAAACAGCAAAGTTTGTTGACTACGGCGCCTGCATTTTGTATGGGGATACGCCTCTCAAAGACACAACGCAATTTTGGATTTGAGGGAGCGGCAAACACATACTGCTTTTGCTAAACATCTTACGGGCCTTCTGCAGGACAAGCATGATATCCACATACACATTCACAAGTGCATTTTGGAACCGTGGATGATGTGAATACATATTGTCGTACTGCGTGTAAAGCGACGCTGCTCTGCCCAGATCCTCCAGCAGGTCCATGAGGCTTGCGAAGTACTTGACTGCTGAGGAAGCCGTCTGTTACGGATATGTCAATTATCGGACGGTAACTGTATTTGATCAAGTATATTCCGCTTACTTCTAGAAGCACCCGCAAAAGCCCCCAGATGAATGCCGCTGGGTTGACACCAGATCCATTCGCAGTCTGTACAAGGCAGTCAACAGCCTTGGCATACCGATCCACAAAGCTGATGAGATGATTCAGCCGAGACCTGATACGGTACTTAGAAACCCATTTCTCCTCGTGTAAGCTTTCAACTTGAGTAATCTCGTCGAGTACATCTTGAAGCGAGCACTCCCGGAATCCGAGGACATTGTTCTTGTCTTGACTCCGCGAGTAGTTTTCTAATGCAAGATGGAAAGATGTAGAAGGAAGGACTTGAGTCTGTATTACCGTCATGATAGCAGATCTACAGACGATGCGAGAAGTTCGAAGAGTTTTTCCTAGACATTCTTCCTGATACAGGTTGACCACGAACCCCAATATAAAACACATAGACCGTGCAAGGCATAATTTTGGCAAACCCATCTGCCGCTAACCAGTGTCACACAACTCTCTGAGCACACACCGGTGACAAGGCATCTAGACATACAACACAGCCACTCCCGGGCGAAATGTGGCAGCAAGTCATGCTGTCATCATGGCCAATCAGCTCCGAAAAGATGTCGATCGAGGGTGGGGGAACATACCCGGCCAATTAGCTACGCTCCTGAGTCTCAGAGCCATCCTTCGGAGGCGGTTTCTTGGTTTCCTTTGAAGATGTGTCGCCTGCCATTCTGAGTGAAATTACTTGGTAGCAAGTACTTGAAGATGTGACGGTTGTTGAGTTGACCGTGAAAGATTGTCTAATTGACATCACATAGCCTTATATGTCTGCGTATCTTAGACATGGCGCTTGAAGGATTGGAGGATGACATCCTGTGTTGTGTTCTCCGAATCGATTGAAGCACACTGACAGGGTGTGCGACGCAAGCATTTAGGCTGCCCAATAAGCAAACGATTGGGGTCTGACGTGTGATCATGCGTTGCTACTGTATGCAGGCTTTGAGGCGAATTCGCCTGCACCATAAGCTCTGGTTGATCGATTCAGAGTGCCTACGAGCAGGTTTCCGGGCGAGTTAATACAATGCAATCACGAGCAGTGCAATGCATTCGGATTGATCTGCTGTGGTCGTTATCCAATGCCTGAGTCTCGTTGCAGAGACCTTAACTCTTTCGGTAGGTGATGCGCCACATCATGCGTTTCTGCCCTCTTGAGAAGTTCCGCTGTTTTGAGAGTACGCCTATGAGACTCGCCCAAGGTTATGCGCCTGATGGAGAGGGCGTTCGACAAATGCGATTTGGCTTCCCGCATATGCCCAAGCTCAAAATACGTTGCGCCCAGGTTATGCATTGCAGCGGCCGTCTCCAAATGATCGTCCCCGTACAGATCTCGTATGCCATTAAGAACGTCGCACTCCAATTCGACAGCATCATCAAATCTGTCGAGGTTGTAGTAAGACACGGCAAGATTTCTTTTCTTCGTAAATATCTCTGGTCTGTCGGGATACATGGTTTCATAGACTTCCAAGATTCGGCTTTCAATGTCGGCGGCCTCAACGTACCGTCGGGTTCTTGAAAGAATCGTGGCCAGGCAAGCCTGTCCGTGGAGGCTTCGCAGGTGGTTGGCCCCAAAATGGCTGTCAGACCTCTGGACAACTCCTATCTGAATAGCACATGCAATATCATACCTTTTCAGGTCGCGGTAGATAGTTGCAAGTTCTTCTTCCGCAAGCAGCACGTCCTCAAGCTGAGACTGGGGCAAGGTCGAATTTGACGTCATTTCCTGCACAACCACTTGCTGAATTTTCAAGGCGTCTTCCAACTTGTCCTGTCTCCGAAGTGCTAATGCCAGCACCCGGCGAGCTACGAGCTCTCGTGGTTGATAGAGTGGCACACTGGGAAGAGCTTTCTCCAGCATAGATTGTGCCAAAGCATACTTGCTCTCGTGTATCAACAGCATTGCAAAAGCAGCAGAGGACTGCAGTGGAATCACTTTAGCGATGTCAATTCCGAGATAACGGGTTGAGAACTCAATGCAGGAATGAACATGCGGCAGTAACCACCGTTGGTTCAGAAATGCCGTACTCTGGTCTTGTTCGGACTGCACATCGTAGGCGAGCTCCTCGAGACAATACTGCAATAGGACCGCTGCTTGAATGAGATAATGGCGCTTCTCTGCCGGCGCTAATCGAAGCCTCGCCCATTCCCGTATAAGTGGATATAAGTCAAACAACGTGCCCCCGTCCTGTTCGCGGGCCTTCACTAACGAAAGACCAGTGAGTGGCAGTAAGTGGTTCCGTAAGCAGTCAGCCGACCATGACTTAAACTCTGGCACAGAATACAGCCAATCGATCTGCTGACGAAGATCATCGTCGAGTGCGCCCGGGTCCCTGGACAAGCGCCGGCGTGATAAATCGAAGATGCGGGTGGGTATTTGCTTGTCGAGTAGAGAGCACAGTGAGAACCATTTGCTTGCATATGTTTGCTGACAAACCTGTGCTAGACTTGTCTCCCAGGCTTCCAACAGAGTCAACTTGTAAGGCCACCATCTACCGACATATTTTAGTGTGAGGCCTGGGTCTCTTCTCAGCTGATTGAGATAAGTGCTAGGGTCCATTTCGCTGTAATTTAAGTATGCTGCTGCTTGCTGGATTCCCAGCGGCAGATTACCCAAAGCAGTGCAGATATCCTCCAGTGCTGACGATTTCCCATATGGATTGGTCCTCCCACCAGCAAGGAGCCTACCAAGTAGAGTGTAGGCATCGGAGCGTTGAAGCGGCTCCAAATTGCAATGCTCTGTTTGAAAAGTAAGGTACTCCCTGTTTCTGGTGGTGATCATAACTCTGCAATCTGCCAACCAAAGATTGCGGTGACTGTCTCCAATTGTTCGTACAAGTGCCGCATCATCGAGGTTGTCATATACCAACAAGAACTTTTGTCCAGTACTCGCAAGGTGCCGCAATACAGCTTGCGTACAATCATTATCGTGAGACAAGCCCAGAGCTACCGCGAAACCTTCAAAGCTTTCCTTCAAGTTTTGTTCTGTGTCAGATCGAATCCAGAGCACTCGACTATACATATCTGACCGCATCGAGATGTGCTTAAGGGCAATCTGGGTTTTACCCATTCCGCCAGTGCCGACAAGAACAAAAACCTGGGGGCCCTCGGCTGACACGAGACAATCTTCTATCTCTGCGAGTACCGAATCTCTCCCCAGGAAATGTCTGTCTAGGGAAGACGGCACCCCAATGTGCGATATGGAATTGCGCACGCGACGCTACACATTTGTTAGCGCTAGACTTGGCACCCTCATGGTGCACCTCACCTGTGAGAATTCAATTATTCTCGCTACAACAGTCTGATAGACTTCACTATACGGATTCTTGAATTTCGCCAAGTCGGAATGGTCAGTGTGTGACGGGACCTGTTCAGTGCTTCGGCTGCAAGCAGACGTTCGGGAGACACTGCGGACTTTGGGCCCAGTGCGCGACCATTTAAGACCCTTCTTCTTTTGGATCATTAGTGTGCATCCAAATGAAAACAAGCTCAGGAACTCACTATGACAGATGGGCTATCCAAAGTCTCATAGATCGCGATCATCGGTACTTTTTGCTGAGTGAACTGGATGGAGAAGTCTTCGTCCAGTACCGGGAGATAGTGGGATTCAACACCAAGAGTCCGCGCGAAAGTCTCGTTTGGGCGACCCTCAGTCATCGGAAGCAGTGACCCGTTGTGCATTCCCAAGTTTGGTACACCGAACATGATACACCCAAGCAAAGATTGTGCAACATCCTTTTCAGCTGGTTTAACACTCTGCGCTGCGTCTTTCAAGGCCTGCAATGAAATTCATAAGTATGATACGGAAGAATGATAGAGTAGTAGGAAGCCACCTGTTTGATAACTAGGCCTCCCAGGCTATGGCCAATGAATACCAAAGGTGTACTATGTCCAGCCTGGATATGATATGAGCGCTGCCCTTTCACAACGAAGAGATGACGTCCTACTGACTTTGATATCGCCTGATCGTGCAGCCACAAGATGATGCAGCAAGGTCTGGCCATAGTCTCGGACGCTCGCGTCACTGTCGCTTGCAGCAACCTGCGATGGATAGCCGTAAGTGTATACCCGAGCTAGACAATTCTGGTTGCTTAGGTCCGGCCCCAACCAGTCGCGGAGCCACATGTGTCCAGCATCGGCAGGTTTCCAAGACCAGAAGGCTCTGCCATGCCATCCTGTAACAGCTACAATGCTTTACATGCGTCATTGTCGTCCGAAAGAAAGGGGGGAACATGGCTTTTACTCAATATGTCGATTTCCACGCGAGTAGAGCGGCGTCAAGCCGTGAAAATGGTCGTCAACGAAGATTTCATGATTGTGTCCTGCATGTCGTATCTGAACCTCGCCTTCAAGGAAACCTACTACTTTCTTCAGGTGTGCTTCCAGCCGCGGGCGAGGCTGAGCAAGGCAGACGGTAGCAGTTTGCCTGTGAGCCAAACCCTTGGCTTCGACTGACGGGATCAATGACACTCTGAGAAGACGGCTACTTGCTTCGGCTGTGTTGCCGTGATCTTCTACTGGCCACAGTTGTGCAAGAACCTTACCAAGCTCCAGCTTCGTCATGGACGCTGGTAGGTTACGCAGACGCAATGTCACAGAGACAGGCGGCAACTTTTCAGCGGCGGCAGAATTTGGGTCTACTGCACACCGTTGTTCTGTATTCTGAGGCTCAATCCCCGAAGTTGGAGGATCATTTTCTATGTCGTGAGGTAGTCTCCCACCTTTGGCCTCGGACGCTGGATTTTGCGGCTCTTCCTTCTCGCCATGAATCAGCAGGCCCTTTTCAAGCTCCAGTGTACTCTGTTGTTTAAGTGGCCATGTCTTATGAAGTATTTCGCCTGTTACAGGCGTATCGCTTTTGTCTTGAAACGCTTGCGGATCGTTGCGTCGTGGGATTGCCTTCTCAGGCTCGCGGTACTGTGCTCGAGCGCGATCTCTTCGTTGGTTTCTAAATGCCTGGAGCCAAAGCAAGGCGGCGATGAATCCCGCATATGCAAGGCACTGGTAGATATCTAAGATTATCATCGTTCAAACTTGCCGGTAACTCCCATGGGTGCCATTCATTCTTTCCGAAATACGCTGCGAATCAAAAAAGGTCGTTGTCTGGGCACTCATCTGTGCGTAAATAACCCCTCCGAAGGTTTTCGGTGAGCCAAGGATTTGGTCAGCATCACCTATTTAAACTTGATCTACAGTGGCGCCCACATGATGAGTCGAGCATGCGTATCACATTTTACCAGCACAAATTGTGCCTAATTTGGCCCGGTCCGCAATGGTTCCGAGGTGCAGAGTAGCCAAGCATGAGCAGCCTCCTGAACAGATTTGTATGGGTATCAAATGCTAGAACATAGGCGTATTACCGGGTTTATTCGCAGGGCTGGCCCCTATACCATCTACGTACTTAAACTACGGAATACTGAGTAGGCAGTGTAAAGTGCGTGCTTGAACATCCCCAGGTTTCCAGTGCCCACCTGCTGTACACAGGGGCTAGGTCTGTGACGTACATATATGGATGATGGTGGTGGCGCACCCCCCTCGTGGTGTTTGGCGGGGCAGTGCATGCGAACCACAACATGCAGGCTTGACAATTCTTTGCGTTGGACTGGGCAAAACAAGGCGCACTACTAATACACACGGTGGTACTCTGTACCAACCTCAGTTGGGGGGATAACGATACCTACGTTCCGTGACAAACGCACTCGCCACGAAGGGAGATTCTTTAGAAAACAAATTCCCCAGCGTTAGGAAGCGAGCCATCATAACCCAAGAGTCAGTGAGATTTGAAATGGATATTAAACTACCCATCCTTCAGGCACCCGCTATTGAGCTCTGACTCGCCCACAAAGCTTGATGTACACATCTATATTCTTTAGAGTCTCTAGACAAAGACGATCAACTGACTATCTACTTGATATCATTTCATATCCAAGTTCCGGAAGAATCTGTACTCTATTGAGGCTAGTGTAAGAATTACGTCTCCATCAGGCCAGAAGGGAAGACTTACCATCAACACCACAAAATTTGATGCGGAATTTCATGTATTCCGAATTGTCTTCTTCTTGAGTCGATGAACTTGTTTCTCGTGAGCTGGCCCTACTAGAGCTCGAATGTCTCTCATCCGCAAAGTGAGCTATGTCAAGTCCTTCGCACTTCCAAAAGTGTGAGACAGTGAAGTCGCAAGTCAATTCGTGGCTGTCGCTGCTTCGCACAGGGACCGGCCATACTTCAACAGGTCTTGGTCAGTATCAATGATCGAACGTCAACTGGAACACCTACATTTGCCATGCATCCAACGTTTTGATCCGGAATTGGCCTTGTCGGGATGCATTGTGACCCACCGCTCGCCTCTTTCAGAGTCCTCCCAGATTAACAGTAGGCCTTGTCCGAGCTCTTTAGTTCTCTCTCTCTTAAGAACTCCCAACGTACGTTTCATAAAGCACTGTATGCCCGACACGTGACATAACAGACGCACTTGCCAGCCTGTCAACCATTTCAGGAAATTCAAGATGCCAGCAGCCCCGTCAGCTTTCGCGCGATCGCCGTCGTCGATGATCAACAATCTGGAACCATCATCCACCGAGGTCAAAGCTCCGGGGGGGATGCTCATGTCGAGGTCATGGTCAAAGCAGCGCCTTTTTCGAATTTTACGAGCGGTTTTCTCCTCGGGTGGCCCATTCAGTCGCTCCGTGGCCTCATAGGCCACTGACTCCAATCCGCTAATGCGTACTTTCAGATCTTTTTCAAAAACCAGACCAAGAGGCTTACTAATGAGCTTCGGAATTTTCCTCGTTAGTGACTTGCGCACTAGATAGAGGGTGTGCATTTCAGGCATGGGGATGCCCCTTGCTTGCGCGCCGACGTTAAGTTCCTGTTGATCCCGGACGCTGGTAAAGCAAGACACAAACTCAGGCTCCTCATCTGGATTTGCCTCGTATTCATCTAACTCCTCCCGATCTATCATGCGTATATCTGGGAGTCGAGAAAGATTGCGAAGAACCTGATTCCCAATCCGAGTTGGGACGAGATAATGTGCATCTGACAAGTGGATGCAATCTGGGGGTGGGTAGCTGTTTGAACTTAGACTAGTCCTGAAATCTTCAGCGTCTGGTATATATTAGTAACGGTCTTAGTTGTACGAGGTTGGCGCTTCTTACCGGCACGAGAGCTGAAGCGGATACCAAGTCTTCGATTTGGCCAAGTTGGATCTGGCCCCTGTAGTTTGTGTTCAGCAACCGGTATATCGCCCACCAGTAAAAGAGCACTCACAAGCCAATAGTATCTATGGTAATTTCCAGTGTCAACAGACCGCACATTGTTGAAATGGGACCATTCAATTGTGACATTACTGTCATCCTCTTCGATGCTAAAATTCGTAACGGGGAGCCCTGTGAGGGTTAGCCTGTCGCCCACGCGGGGTAGCCGAGTCTCGTTGGTGCTCTGCCTCTTTACTTGCTTATTGCTTACCATATATCGGAAGGCGACGAACTTCCTTCAAACCCCGTGTTCTACAGGCTTCTCGGTGCCTTCGAATGCGGTCACACCACCGCAAAACACGGAAGTAATACAAAGCCGTGGTATTGCACTGCAATGGCCTCAGCTCCTGGACAAACACGCAGCCGTAATGTCTATCTGCTGGTAGCGTAAAGTCTCATACCGGGTACGTCGAAGTCGTTGGTCAAGAACCAACCAAATGGGCAACCTCTTTTGATCAACCTTTGGGCAGGCATCTCCCATATTATCTCCTCTATACCAGAATATTATGTGCCTTGGTATCGTATTCGTCGCATGGCGGTATCCTCCATAGGAGATCTGTCTGAGCCAGGGTACCCACCATGTTGATACTTTCAAAATTCCCCATCGGGACGACAAGGACGACCTGCCAGTACCTCAACAAAGTTTTAATTTTATGACGAAGTTCCCTCGCCGGTTTCCACGGAAGAATCAAGGAAGTAGTCCTTCAATGAGGAAACTTACTTGGTGCTCGGAGCATGGAGTATGGAAATAGGAACCTTTCCTCTTTTGTGCAGAGGAGATGCAGGAAGAATTGATTTCCTGCCCCCGCGCCTGCATGACAGCGCGACATTAGTGAACCCGAATGCTCGGCAACTTCCTTAGTAACCATCTTTTCTCATCATCAACAAGTGAGTCCAACTATCGCAAGCATCACAGGGACTTGATAAGATTCGTCGTCTGAATGGGTATCATCAAAGACAGCGGGGTTCCGACTGTTTGACTCTTCGAAAGCGGAATTCCAGAAGTCTTAGCAAATGATGGCAGCGGCTAAATCTGACCCGCATTCATATGTACTTCCTATTGCAGAGTCGCAGCGAATATTTGATCGAGATATCGTACCGGCTGAACTTGGCTCACTCGGGAGCTCGAAAACCACCGATGGAAACATCAAGCCGGTTGCCGTTTTCGTGGTGGGTCAGACCGGCGCCGGCAAGACCCGTACAGCACCGGCGATCAAGGTGGTCATGCAATCTCACCGTGGGCAGCCGGCGCATTTTATAGCCGACACCTACAAAACATATCACCCGGCCTATCCACGTCTCGTGGTAGAAGCGCCGGCTTTGGCATCTCCCGCCACGGGTACTGATGCACGCCGCTGGCTCGCTATGGCGGCAGAGCATGCCATCGGCCGAGGTATAGACGTCCTCCTCGAGTCGGCCTGCAGAAACCCGGCGGACTTCGCCGATTTGGCTCAAGCTTTCCATGATGCCGGGTACAGAGTAGAGGTAGCCATCATGGCTGTGCCTGAGGGTCTTAGTCGCCTTGGCATTCTCACACGGTTCTACGAGCGACTGCCAGAGGCGGGGTCACGAAATTTGCCTCCGCGACTGACACCAACGAAGGTGCATGCCGATTCGTATGAAGGGCTTCTCGACGCTGCAGTCTTTGTGGATGAATCTTCTGCAGTGGACCAGATCGTCGTCGTGCGTAGGGATCATGCGGTGGCGTATGCTAACGAGAGAGTAAACGGTTCGTGGAAACGTGCAGCGGCAACAAGAAAGTCCCTCATGGAACAAAGGGATCGCTGTCTTCCCAAGGAGCTGTCCATTGCCAGAAAAGATATCGAAAACCTGAGAGGTTTGGCTATTCCAGAGTTACCGCCACAGCTTGAGGAGATCGAAAGTCTCCTGGGACCATTGATGGATGAAAACAACAATACTCACGCTCCCCCGCTAAGACTATTAGTACTGCCCGATATAGGGGTTGCTGGTCACTCCTATGATGTCAATTTGGATCTAACTCTTGGAACGATTGCGGATAATCAATGAAACAAGGTACCACGTCACATGAGTAGCTGGTGACTTTCGAAAGTTATATTTACTTCATTGTTTTTGTTTGTGGTATCTTTTACTTAATTTAATGTTGCGTGACGGCTCCTTCAAGCACCCTTAAGAAAGCTGGAGCCACCCATCTCTTTGTCAAACTCGCTGCATTTCGACAGCCCGCAGACTTCGAAAACGTCTCTCACGCCGCCGTCAATCTTCCCATCCTTATCGTGGCGATCCTTGATCTCGCCCGTCTCCTTCAGTTCCCTACAGAACTCCCGCGTGGCCAGGTAGACCGAGGTCATGCCGACCATGGGCCAGATGACGATCTTGAAACCGAGCTCCTTTGCCTCCTTGGAGTTGATCAGCGGCGTCACGCCGCCTCCGACCATGTTCAAGAAGCACGGCGTCGGGGCCAGCTCCTTCACCACCTTCGACATCTGCTCCTTGCTGTCCATACCTTCCAAGAAGGCCACGTCGGCGCCAGCCGCAACTGCGGCCTTGAGCCTGAGGATGGCCTCGTCGTAGCCCAGGGACTGCAGGGCGTCCGTCCGTGCGATGATGACGATATCCTGGCCCATGCGCTCACGGGCGTGTGCGGCGGCCTTGATGCGTGCCGTGTACGTGTTGACGTCGACCAGCTCCTTGCCGAGCAGATGGCCGCACCGCTTGGTGGTGATCTGGTCCTCAAGGTGGAAGCCGGCGACGCCCTGGAGGATGTACTTTTCCGTCGTGCGGGCGACCATCAACGGGCCGCCGAAACCAGTGTCTGCGTCTGCAATGACCGGAACGTCCCGGTCCAGTCCGGCGATCATGCCGGCATTGGTGGCCATGTCGTCAACGCTCGTAAGGCCGAGGTCCGGTTGGCCGAGGCGCGAAACAGCTGTGCCAGCGCCGGTCTACCCAGAGTTAGCGTGCAGTTCGCGGGTTGGCACAATGATACTTCTTACCATGTACAAAGCATCAAAGCCAACGCTCAGGGCCATCCGTGCCGTAAGACCATCGTGAACACCAGGGGCAACGACAATCTTGTCCGGGTCGGAAAGCCACTGTCGGAGCTTCGCTGCGCCCTTAGCCTGTGCCATTTCGTCTTTTTTACGTTGCTGAAGGGAGCTGAGGTACTGGTGTCGAGGATAGTGACTGAGTCGCGACCGGAAACGTGCAATGACTTAGGAGATAACTCTACCGAGGCAGCCGATGGTATATATAGTCCGGCAGTCTACAACTCCGCCGCTCCGTTCTCGGAATCGGCAGCCTCGAAATATGTTCGGGAGGGGCGATTCATCAGACGCGGGTCCAAAAGCCGCCTCGAGCGCCTCGCAGTTGTGGAGATAACTGGACTGCTTGGTAATTTTCCCATCGGAGGGTCCGCCTCACGGATGATAAGCTACGTCATGCTATGGGATTCTCACGACATAATGGTCTTTGGCTTCTTGGACTTTGGAATATATTTTAGACTCGAGATTGAAGGTTTAATGCTATATAGAGTCTCAGAACAGCAGGATAACAACATCATTCACAGGTGCAACAGGTGGGGGCATACCACGGGAATAGCGCCGCTGGATCGGCTGGTGGAGAGCCTCGGGACAGACGCTGCCGATGACGGGACTGTTTTGCGGGGTGCCGACGGCTGGCTGCCGGAGCCTAAGGCCCGGGAGCTTGCCACCGTCAGTGCATGGAGCATAAATCAACTTCTGCTATACTATGGTAAATGTATAGTGAAGACCCACGCAACCACGCACCACGTAAGGCTGAACGTCAAGAATGTCAAAACACGTTATGACGTTGTGGGACCGATTTGCGCGATGATCTTGCCCGGCTTTGGCTACATTTAACCATTCACAATTGGAGACATACGTTTTACAGATTATGACTTGACAGATCCTCACAGGTATTCGTGTAGATGCAACAAGCCCCCTTGATAGATGAGCGCGGCTGAATCTTGTCTAGGCCAGTCTGAATTGCAAGATAACCACAATGTCACAGCATGTTATGGAAAGTAAACTCAGTTTCGTAGTGGTGGCTTGTGTGGGCAATATTGTAGATCGGTTGTGTAAGCGCTTACGGCGTGGCATCTTTGGGCTCGGGTGGAGGCGCTTTGCGTCGGAAAGATCAGGGCAGGGGCAAAGCATTTGTTACAAGTAAGACCTATGATGAGATCCTGCTGCACCTGCTCGTCCGTTTTTGCATTCCTTATCTCGAACTTCTCATAACAGAACGTATGGCCCATGTTCTAGCTGAAGTCCAGTGGCATCACCTCGGCCATTGCCTACAACATGTACTTGAACTCAGGGTTCAGATCTCCAAGTTCCGTCTTCTCGTATTCTGATAACCCAACATTCCTGACGGACTTGGCTCTCCTTCTGTTCTCGATCATCAAAGCGGCGAGATAAGCGACTGAGGCACACCCACTTAGCGCGGTGAAGGCGATAGAGATGGCATATCCCTTTCTGTAATATGGAGCGTCCGTGTCCAGGAAGGCGTAGGTGGCAATGATGCCGCCAATGTTTCCGAAACCAACCTGCCAGGCAGTTCCAATCGACCGTCTGTGGTGCCCACCTAGATTCATGTTGAACCAGCAGACAATGATGGGCATCGCGCCGTACGTCCCCATAACAACCAAGAATAGCGCGCCATATTGAAGGTTGGTGTTATTATGGACCGACAAGAGAATGCCAAAGCCGGTAATGGAAAGGCAAAGTGGAACAATAGCGAAAGCAGCACGGTGCCGGAACCAGTCCGAAAAGGCGGCGATGATAAGTGAGAAGCAGAATGAAACGGCCCAAGGAGGCACAGAGTGCAGCTGGGTTTGGATTGCGTCGTAATTGTACCTGGTCTCAGTGTAAGTGATCATCTCATACATCTTGCAATTTCGCGTCACAAGAAGGACGTACGTTTTGATGATTTGTGGTGCAAAGAAAGCGTACCCGTACGCCTGAAAATAGTTTGTCAGCTAAGACCGCCGAAGTGCTCTTCAGAAAGCTTACCGGGACAATCAAGCCAAAATACATCAAGCCACCGAGCCAAACGCGATAGTCCTTCATGACTGTCAAGGCATCTCGGAAGCCGACTTTGCGTTCGGCGGCACTGCGTCCTTGATCTGCTTGCAGTCGGGCCTTGACATAATTACGCTCGTCTTCTTGGAGCCAGAGGGCTTGTTCAGGGCTGGCCTATAGTCAGCAACTGTTTGTCGAACCGATGGATCTTGTACACCTACAAGGATGGGAACGTGAAGAAGAAGATGAACGCAACCACAACTGTGAGGCACCCTTCAAGAATGAAGATCCACCGCCAACCATGATATCCGGCGACTCCGTCCACTGCGATGCACGTATGATTAGGGCCTGGACAGGATTTTCGATTCGTTTTGAAAAGACTGTTAAACTCACTCTTGCCTATTGCGGACGCCAGCAGTCCGCCGAAGGCTCCTGCGAGACTCGTGGATGAGAAGAACAGACTGTAACGCTTCTGTGCTTCACTGCGCCTATACCACATGCCTGGATGTCAAACAAAGTCAGCTAAGTGCCTCGAGCTTGCAGCCAGCACAGCGCAAGACAGCTCTTCACCTCGACTTGAATGGACCGCGACTCACCTAGCAAATAGAAGCAACCCGGAAACATTCCTGTCTCAAACAAGCCCAGGAAAAATCTTGTTGCCAAAAGTCCAGAGTAGTTCTGCACAAGGCCTTGGCAGACTGATACAATACCGAAACCCATCATGCAGCCTGGGAGCGTTCACGGACGGTTAGAGGATTGAGCAAGAGTTGGAGCAAGGGCTATACTTATCATATTCTAGGTGACAGTCGTTTCAAAAGGATGTTACTAGGTATCTCGAAGCAGACGTATGGTATGAAGAACATGGTCAAAGCTAATCAGGGTCAGTTTGAGTGCTACGTTCAGTCTCGTAGACCAAGTCGAGGCCAGGCACCGTACCCGTGTTGTACTCCGTGCCAGTCAGGCCAAGATCAGCCACCAGCGAAAAAGACTTGGCATTTGCGATATTGACTCGGTCCAAAAATGCCAAAAGATACATGATGCAAATGAATGGCATTCTTTCGGGGGGCAAAAAACATGTTAGCGGTCGTTTGTCGATGGACTGGCTGACAGTAGGGTATGTCATCTTACAGGCGGAGGTCGATGCGAGAGACAATTTTCCGCTCTGTTGTGTGAGGGGGGCACACAACATGGAGCTCGTCGAACTCGACATCCTCGACACCATCGCCAACCCCGGGATGGTAGGTATTGTTCCCGCTGATGGGACCCCCATTTTCTACCTTGTCGTCCACGACTTTGGCTAGGAAAAGCGGTTAGCATGCGGCGGGAGGAAAGATGTGGCACGGCGATGGCTTTGCGCAATGTTGTTCGTACGAATCGAGTCACAGCGATCGTATCGTTGAACATGCGACTGTTTAAGCAACACACGGTGCAACGCCAGCCTAAAAGGAGCACGCACACGTACCTTTGGAAGCTTTACTCAACATCTTGCCTGATCGAGTCGAAGCCAAGCGCAAAGCAACGGCAGCAGAAACACAGAAACAAGGCGGCAATTTGACAAAGGTAAGCGTCTGACCAAGGGAGCGCCGTATGTCACGAAGACTTTATTAATACGCTGGCAGGACGCTGGCAGGTCGCTGTCGGAGTCCGGATCGGCGGCTGGAGGGAGTTAGATCCAGGCAGGAGACCTCGGCGTTACGGGGACGTTGGGACCCTTGCACGCGAATGGCGAGCCAAAGTTGAACGTTAACTCCAGGTACTTTCTAGGGCCCTGCAGATCAGCGCAACGCCTGACAGTCACTCTGCCAGACGCCATACGCCCAGTACGAAGCAATGCACAACACATATCACCCTCCTCAGCCCGAGCTTGGGAGTCTCGTTCATCTGCTTTCACGATTTCACATTCTATCTCTGGACATCTGACGCGAGCGAGTTGACACAGATGCCGATCTCGCGGTCCTGACCCATTCTTGCAAGGTACCGGCGCTGACCACTTTGCCGAATCCATACATTGCTTCTCCACACGGTTCCTTACCGGAGCTCTGTTGTAAGCGGTGTTCGGCGGCTTTGGACTTCGGTGGGCGGCACGCGACAATCCAATTTTACAGTCATTACCTATGTAGCCCGCGCTTGCTCAGGATTTTGGGACCATCAGTAACCGAGTAGCTCCAATGCATGCGTTTCTAGGGGCTACCTGGGTAGGCAGGGAGCAAAGAAGCTACTGCCGACCCCAAGGCCTTCTAGTTGTAGATCACTACTAGCTGCCCACCCAGAGCTTGGCCCGCGGTAGTCGTCTAAGCTGCTACACGATCACAATTCCCATGGCCGCGGGTAATACTTAAAGATAGCATGAAATTTGGGTAGCCGCCAGAGTCGTGTCTGCCTTCATTGTAGATCAGCGAGTCTAGACCGCAAGCCGCCATACTGTGACACAGAACCTTGCCCACGAACGTTCACGATACAGAGCGATTTGACCCAATCCGAGCAGCGAGGTTTTTCAGCAGGATCCAGCGCCCGCGGTTCCCCGCCATCCCCAAATTTTGGCGTCAGCCAACAGGAATGATGGCTGTAAGCCCCCCCGAGATCAAATGCGGGGAACGGCTCGTGCGGGAAGGACGGTGGCTGAGTGGCTCTTGCGCCAACGATTTGTCTGTGGTGTGCACTTGCCAATACAGGATAGCCGCCGTGGTTCTGGGCTGCTCAGCTGATGCTTGATTTTGTGGCTTTCTCATGATGGTGTCCGGAGACATCGGTTACTTGAGGTTACACCTGTCGTAGGGAGAGCGGAATCCCGCCTTCAGCGTTAGTGATGTACCGATTCAAAGACACTGCGCCTCTGTTGCATGCACGGCCTGGAAACGGCCTGGAAAGAAACGTCTCATATTACAGTAACAACCCAGCGTCCTTGCAGCTGCAGTCATTAAGCGAGCAGGATACGGAGCCGCAAGAAAAGGAGGCAGTCTCGTGTGGGGAAATCGCAGGTCCAATGTAGTTGAGGCCGTCTGCCACTCATCTCATCAACTGGGCATTTGTAGTGATTGAGTCAATTTGCTTCGTTCAATACCATGTAGTGTCTATACGTTGATACTCGGTTGTTGAGTGCTTCCACCTGGATGCCCTGTCGTCCTTGCAAATTTTAATATAATAATTCAAAAATCCACATGGGCTTCTTTCAGCGCTGTATTCTGCACCGTCCGTTGAGGTTGCAGTGATGTGGGCAAGGCACCTAGATAAACTCCGTAAGCAGGCGCTGTCTACTCAGAACTGTTTATGCTGGTTGCATCGATTTGCTTGAGATCATCGTTCACGACTTTCCAGTTGAGTGGTAAATATTGTGGAGGTCGTATTTGATCGAATACAGCTGCTCCATAAATACCAGGTTCAGAGAAGTGGACCGACTACCGGCACCGAATTCCGAAGACCATACCTAGGTAGTCTTCATTGTCGAGACTCAAATTATCGGCGCTATGTGAATAGTATTCATGACGTTCCAGTTTAGTTAATGTCCTTCAGAGAGGCTCAACCTAAATAACCGTACACACCAATATCAATACAACAACCAGGCAGCCCGTACATAGGACGTTGAGAATCGCGCAGCAGCCAAAACAGCCGGGAACAAATTGCACGCCAGGTACATAGTACTAGCATCTGATCCCGGCCGCTCGGCCTCATTTGACTCGCAAACCTGTTCTCTCACTGCCGCCAAACGTCACCATCCGCCCCTGCTACAGCCCGCTAGTATCTCGACTAAGGGATGGTGTATCCTAACAATCCGATGCGCCACATCTTATCCCAGCATGCTCAACCGTCACAACTACTGTGCCGCAGTTTGGTAGTGTCCTGAGTCCTCGACAAGCGATTGGATGACCCCCCACAAGGTTCCAGCACGTCATCGTCGAAAGTCTATCTGTGCCAGATTTCTCTGTGTCACAGCCTCGTGAATTGACAAGCTTCGACAAGCATTTTCCACTATTGGACTGCTGGCGAATCCCGACTTGGCGGTGCTAGTCATCAACGCTACGATCAATGTGCCTTAACGTGCCTTGCGTGATTGCGGTGCTACGAGGCTGAGGAAATGTCGGATCCCAGTCTGAAGATCCTGCAGTCCACGGCTAGACCGAGTTTCTGCGGGCTGACTTACGTACCAGGGCAATAGACAACCCTGCGCGTCACTTCTGATGCGGGTATGTAGCACGATGGCTGGCGATCTCTTAAAGTTCGCTGTGTCCCAGGCTTTGCGCGCGCTTGTAGATTTCCCAAGCTTCACCTTTTACTACCTCGCCAGTCTCCGATCTCCTGCCACATTGGCCCTTGTGTAGTAGTGTCCGGTCATATTACACTAATACATCCACATCCCGTACTCTCAATTGCCTGGTGGTTTTACTTGCTCTCGACCTTTTGCCACTGGTCCTATTTCGGCCATCCGAAATAACCACTCCCCCGACATGGCATTCGATAATGCGTCCGACCCGCCCAAGACGGTCCCCGACGAGCGTGGAGCCGATTTCGACCCCGAACCTACGATCCCTCGAGGCTGGTCCGCTTGGTTCGGCGGCCCGGGTGTCAAGATCGGACCGCGAATCGCCCCAGTCGTCGCGCCCATTGGCTCATCCGGCGGCTCGGAGAGCGACCTGAGCAGCGATGAGATCCTCCTCAAGCAAAAAGAGAGCGAGGCCGACTGCGCCATCCAGTATCGCACCTGTAGTTGGCAGAAGGTTCGACTGATCTGAGCCTCACGGCTGCCCAGACGGGAGCCAAGCACATTGGCATGCGCTAACAGGGAATCTCACAGACGGCCGCATTGCTATTCTCCGAATACATCTGTTTGGTAAGGATTTCTTGGCTTTCTACAGAAATCGAGCGCGCTTGATGTTGCGCACCGCTGTGCACGTTTGAGGTGTCGCAATTCGAGTATGCGACCGGTTGCCACCAGGACGAGCTAACGCGCCGATAGGCTATCATGAGCTTTCCATGGTCCTACAGTATTTTGGGCCTTGTACCTGGGTGAGACAGCCCCATTCCTGGTATCGAGTCGAAGGACGCTATGCTGACTTGAACATTAGACTTATCCTCACAGCTGTTCAGGCTTTGCTGGTACTCTACACGTATGTGACCTGTTTCGAGCCCTGCCGGTATACTCTAACGTTGTATTCAGTTCTCTTATCCTGTGGGAGTTCTGCTTGAGGCATCCTGAAGTCCGCGATGTCTGCGACATTGGTCAAATGCTTTTCTGGGGCCAGAAATGGGCATGGTACTTTACTGCTGTTATGTTCATCCTGAACAACACGTTCATCCAAGTGAGTCGCCCCAGTACTTGCCTATGTACAGTATTTTCTGACCAACATCAGGGCCTTCATGTTCTTGTGGGGGCGAAATATATCAACACGATGGCTGGTGTTGATCCTTCGGGTGTCAATTGCCAGACTGTCTCATTCGGCATCATCATGGCTATCATCTCCTGGGTTTGCTCCCTTCCGCGAACATTCGACATGCTCTCGAAGCTGGGAACCGCGTCGGCCATCTTCACCTTCATCTCCGTTATTCTTGCCACGATCTTTGCCGCTATTCAATCTCAACCTGCTGGTTTCACCGAAGCGCTCGGTGCACCCATTGTGACAGCAGTGCCAGTTGCTGGAACTACTTTTGTCTCAGGGCTCAATGCATTCTTGAACATCAGCTACACATTTATCGGACAAATTACCCTACCCAGCTTCATCGCCGAAATGAAGGACCCGAGAGATTTCCCCAAGGCTCTGTGGGCTTGCACCATTCTCGAGATTCTAGTCTTTAGCGTTGTGGGCGCAGTAGTCTATGCTTACGTGGGCAATCAGTACATGACTGCTCCAGCGTTTGGCTCGCTCGAGGACTTGTACAAGAAGGTCAGCAGCTCTCCAGAACACACTCCTGGTTAATGTGGATCTGGTAGTGTTACCCTTTGCAACAACAGTTATACTAATCAACTGCAGGTCTCGTTTTCGTTCATGATACCCACTCTGATCTTCCTCGGAGTCCTGTATGCGTCGGTCTCGGCCCGATTTATATTCTTCCGAATTTTCCAGAATTCTCGTCACAAGAATGAGCACACTTTGGTCGGTTGGGGAAGTTGGGCATTGATTTTGCGTAAGTTTAACTGACTCCCCATCCTTGCGTCGATTGCAGCTAACAGAAAGACAGTGGCTACCTGGATTCTCGCCTATATCATTGCGGAAGTGATTCCCTTCTTCTCCTCACGTTAGTATTACCATATTCTTGGTAGAGGTATAGCCTACTGACTTTTCACTAGTCTTGTCCTTGATGTCGTCACTGTTCGACTCGTTCTTCGGCTTCATCTTCTGGGGCGTTGCTTATTTCCGCATGCGGAAGGCAGACGGCTCTGTCGCACTCGTCAAGGATCGCTCTATACGTGGGTGGTTCGAGGGTATCCTGAATATTGTGAGTATATCTGTAGATTCCTTGCCGTGCGTTGTTTGTTGCATCACTCGACCTATGATCTTCAAATACGGGACGCTTTGAACCTATGATCCAAATGTACAACCATGGTCGCTAACTACATTAGGTCATTATTCTTACTGGAATATTCTTCCTAACAGTTGGAACATATGCCTCCGTGGAGGGCATCATCCTAGAATTCGAGGCTGGCACAGTTGGATCTGTATTCCAGTGCAAAAGTAATGGCATCTAGGAGATATGCTGCTATCATATATTGTGGCTTACGATTGGGGATGCAACTAAAGAGCAACTGCTGATAACAAGGGCACGAATCGGATATACCACTTGGGACGGGAGTACGAACCTACGAGTACACGGATTAGGAGATGGAAGAGTACAATACTTGGATTTCTGGTATTCGGGAATTGGGTTCACTCACGGCGGCCTATGATCAACAATCATTGTGTCAGCATAGTAATGAAAGAGAAGACACACTTGCAAGTGGTCTTCTCAAGATCAACTGCCCTGCAATGCATCCAGTGGATGCTTCTGACGCAAACCCAGGCACCAGCTGTCTCGCTTTGCCTTGCAACTTTTGCTTTCAAAGAATCCTGCAGTTCAAGCTGACTTACTTCACAGACCTAACTCTCACACAGATCACGACCCCTCCTCCGCAGTTTCCTCCATTGCCTTCTTCACGCCTATAACATTTCCTGTCACTGAATGACATTGGAAACGAATTTACTTTGCTAACCAATTCGACTCCAAGCTACATTGTGATCGGCAAAGAATCAGGTAAGCAGACTGGGAATACCCAAGAGTTACGGGAATCTGTCTCCCTCGAGCGTTGTAACATGGCACATCATATCACATATTTTAACATTACTGGGCTGTGTATATCTTCTTTAGCCTTTGCCCATGCTCCTTACAAGCTATCGAATTACGCTCTCCACCTCATCCATAACCCCTCCCTGTTTGTCGTCGATGTTGGTTTCCTGTGCATGCCGGCCCGGAGTCTCAGCCCTGCCGCGAGAGCTGAGAAGACCACCAGTGACGCCGCCCTTATGGAATAGCAATGGAATATCTGTATAGAGATGGTTAGCAACTATTACCATTTGTATGGGATAGCCCTGTGATCTTGCACACACTTGTCTGTGTTCCACGGGCAGTGAATGTAACACCGGAGTATTCGATAACACGTACCCTCTAACTCGAGACCTTTAGTTTCAGGGTAGAGGACGTAGACCATTGGGATAAAAAGGGCATTCAGGATGGCGAATATGATAAATGTCTTCCATCCGATATTCTCTGGGAAATCTTAAGTGAGCTGCTCTCTGCGGTATGGTAATCAACTTACCGAAAGCAGTCGGGTTGATCTTCACCACAGCGAAAATGGCCATCCAATTCCAGCCAGAAGCAATCGATTGCATCCTAGCTCTGACTCTCGCCGTGTTGATCTCGCTGGGATGAAACCAGGGGATCTGCCTACCATGAGCGGACATGATCACAGGGTATATTGGAGAATCTGGCCGGCAGCCACTCGATTCCATAGAACAGCTAAAACAGGAAGATGAACGCGGTAGCCCCGTAGGCCGGCCCAGTCGTTCCCAAAGACAGTAGTATAGCGACCATGAAGAAACAGAAACAGAAGCCCGCCGAACAGACCATCAGCAAGATTCGCCGCCCATAGCGGTCCATTAAGAAAATGGGGATCGCGCTTCCAATCAGGTATGTAATCTGGGCTGCGCCTCCGAGGATGAGGAAGAGGTTTCTGTTCAATCCCATGCTTCCTTCAAATATTGTCGGAGCATACTGGAGAGCGCAAACACTGTTAGTTTTCTCTTCCTCTATTTAGTCGTAAATTTAGGTTATATAGCTTCAACTAGAAGCATCTGGGATATAGCAAGAAAGTGAAATACACGAGATGTTGGGAGTACCGACGTATTCGAGCCACTAGATTGCTGGCCGGGTTGCACTGATATCGTAAACAGCATTCGCCGCAGGTTCTGCTCTGGACCCCATGCCAACAGCTCTTTGAATCTGACAGGGCCGCCCTTGTGTTCCTCTTCGAGCCCAGACTGGATGTCCAGCAGGACCTGCGACACTTGTGCATCGTCCTCCGGCATGGCCGTGATGGCCGCGATGACAGATCAGGCTTCCTCGTGCGGTCATGTGCAACCGGCCATCGTGGTGTCTCCGGGAGTCCGACTATCTGGAGAATCAGAAACAAGGCGAACACGGCCTGGAAGGCAAGAGGGAAGCGCCATTAAAACCCTATATCATACGCCGCAGTGCCGTAGTCGGTCCAATAGGCGATGACGACGCCCAGAATCGTGACAGTGCCTTGATGCGTCGACAGGGCTCCCCGAATCCTTGCAGGCGAGCACTCGCTCTAATAGACAGGGGCTGTGGACGAGTTCATGCCGTTGCCGACGCCTGTAATGATTCGCCCCGTGATCAGCTGGGCGACCGTGAACGAGGACCCTGAGATGGCCGCGCCGATGATCATGATGAACCCTCCCAACATGAGCATAGTGCGCCTTCCAAGACGCTCACAGACAAAGTAGCAGATGATTGACCCCAGGACACAACCGATGTCATACAGCGCCGTGATGTGCCTTGCATGTCGGCGTTTGGGTTGTTGAAGTCGACTCCGTAGCGATTATTCGCCCCGATGATACCGGCCATCACGCCCTGATATTGCCAGAGGTGATGTCTCTGGATGGATTATTCGTCTTTATAGGGGGGAAACCATGGGCAAGTCAACTACCACTTACCCTGATCGTAACCCAGTAGGAGAATGGCCTGGCATGATGCTGCAGTGATGGCGAAGACCAAGGCATTGCCTTGAAGGCTGTGCTTCCACAATCCCATCTTCAGAGCAAAGATGCAAATCTCAAGAGCACCGTTCAAAGTTGACGGGCAAAGGATCTCTCGGGAGCTTGCTCTTCAACGGGAGGTACTTGTACATCATGTAGTCCATGTATCGCAAGCTGGCATGTCGATAACCCGAGGACGAGCCAATGTCTCGGAGTATTTGCCCGCAATTATGGGACTTTTCTTACCCCGAGCTAACTCTAAACCTTGTGTGGGCCCCATTCGCATTAGAGATACTTGGAATTGTGATGTAGATCTCGAGCAACTTGGTCCACTAGCCGGGCTACTCCGCGGGGCGTACGGGGCCTGCGGGAGTCTACTATAATTAACCCCACGGCCATATGGTAAACCCCGTCTTCAAGTATGTTATACTTATGCAAGTTATCGTCGGGATGACGTTTATATTAGTAAGACAATGCTGATGTAATGCCCTAGACTAGCTCAGCATACATAGATAACTCCGTGTAGAAGTTCGCAGAGGGAATCCCGAAGAAGAAAGCTACCGTTCACACTGGCGTTCCAGTTCTGTTTGCCTTGGTATCTGCCATGCTGTGATAATTGTGAACACCACACATATGACTGCTCGGCCCTTGGATACCTAGGCCTTCTTTCCCGACACTTGCTAACATTCGATGTCATGAGAGGCTGAATATGCAGTAAGTACGCAGTCCAAGTGTAACATCAGCTAGGTGTACCCATAAAAGTGTGGAGATGTACGTGTGTTAATATCTCAGGATTCGTATGCATACATATTTATATAAATACAGAAAGGTATATCATGAAACCCTGGCAAATCCTCAGGATATATATGAAATCATCAATATCCCCACATCCCCTTCATAAGAGAGCCGAGAGCGCTCACTAAGCCTGATGCTACGCCTTGATCATCGCTGTGACTGTCATTGCACGGCCCCGGTATGTACTGCTCTTGGTCTGGAAATCGATCGCGCAAGAACTGAGTGACATCGATCTCCGAATTGTTGATAGTTACAATCCTGTCCGCTCCATGGGAGAGCATCAGCCTGCAAGCCTCGAACGTGGATGCTCCTTGGGGTGACCCAGAACCAGTCGCAGCCGAACTGACTTCCGTTATGAATAGTTCCCAGACAGACCTCGCGCCAGCGGACGGAACATTTGGAGAGACGCCGAGATCGAGGAGCAAGCGGAGCATTTTCAAGTCGATGCCAGTGCCTGCAGAAGTGATGAGCCCCCCTTCTCCGTGAACGTTCAGTGAAGGACGTAGAGCCTGGTGGAGGAGGCGAGCCCTGTCTTTGGCTGTCGCTTTGGGAACTTTCAGGCCGATATAGTGGTACAAACCACAGCGCACGGCCAGATCCTCGATAGAAAGGATATGCATTTCGGTTGGGGTAAACCTTTGCCAGCTCGTCGAAGATACCAGCACCTTCACGGTTGATTGCAGCTCGTCAAGCATGGGCTCATCGGCGCAGTCATTCATCGCTTCGAGCTGTTGTGAGTACGATACGGCGCCAAGAACAAAGCGCATGATGCGACTCATTTGTATCAAACCACTTGAAACCCACTCGTGAGGTATGATCTTGCACATGGCGAGAAATGCGTTGGATAGGGAGAGGCGGGGTTCAAAACCCGGCCCGGATCGATGGCTCAGCAGTTGTGTCATATTTTCCGTTCTGAGGAAATCCCAGACCGTTCGATGCAAGAAGCCTGCACGGTCCCTGAGCATAGCCGGCTCATGTTGATCGACGGAGAGTTTCAGGAGATCTCTACATTGTGCAATGAGCTGGTGCCTTTTAGGCTTCACGATCCGAAGCACCTGGCTTTCGGTCATAGGTTTGATCTTGTCCTTCCGGTAGGCATAATCAGGGCAATGTTCCTCCACGTCAAAGAAGTGGAAGATGAGAATGGGTAAGGTCGTGTCGACGTGGACTAGGCTGCTGAATATCCTTGCCGTCCGCTGCCGGTATAAGTCCTCGATGGAGTCAAACATGACTTCGAAGTACTTCTCCAGGTCGGTTGGCAGCTCGTTCAGACGTTTTTGGAGATCGCGCATGTTGTCGCCGTTTCCTGCTCCTCTAATCAGAGACCTGGTCACGAGAAAGACCCACAGAAAGACGCCCTGAGCTCTTCTACAGATCTCCTCAATCAAAGCCTCTGTTGTCCAAGAATCGTCATCCTCAGGCAGCTCAACAATCTCCACAGAATCGAATTGGCCCGTAACAAAATTGCGAATATCTCTCTGTGTTAGATCTTGCACTTGAAGTTTCCATCGACCTCGTTCGAAAGCATTCCGGAATTCTATCCACGGCCTGCTCGAGACGCATATTTTCAGATAGGGCGAGGATCCTATCTCACGGAGGACGTCGATAAGCTCCTTGTGGTTGCCATAGTATTCGTCGAGACCGTCAATAAACATGCATATTCGACAGTCTGGACTGAGGATTTCAGTTAATCTCTTCATGGTGGCAAAAAGTTCACTCCTTGTCCATGTTTGGAACGTGCCGGCCAATTCGTCATCTGCCCAGCTTTGAGGGCAAAGTTTAGGGATTAGCTTCGGCCGCTTCAGAAAGATTTGGAACAAGAGCGTCCTGAACAAACCCTCTTGTGACTTTTGTACCGAGGTACCAGCCGACCAAAAGAAGTGTCCGACTTGGATGACGTTCCCTGTTGCCAAGTGGGTTTTCCCAGCCCATTCATCCAGGATCCGAGTTGTCCCTTGGTGGTTCAATAGGAACTTCATCAACGTGGACTTCCCTGACCCAGGATCCCCCGCAATCCAGTAAACACCATCATCCTTCGAGGAGCGAAGCCATTCGTGGAATGTCACAGTAGAACCATCGTCGAATATCCACTCAAAGGTATTCTTGTATGCTGAAGTTACATCGGCTTGACGCTCTTTGATCTCATTAAAATGTAGACTTCTCAGTACTCGATTAGCGGGCCGGTGGAAACGTAATTGGGAGGAGAACTCTGCTGTAAGGCGAACCAAGTCATGGAAGCCTTGGGGTCTGTCATCTTGAAAAGCCTGCCGCACACCTTCGCCGAATGTCGGGCCATGAACTGCAAGTTTTCTAGATTCGCGACCAGTCAGCTGCTTGCCGTTCAGATTTGAATGCCCGCGGGACGAAGTTGGTGCTCGAGCCGGAACGTTGGACATGAGCTGACTGTCCGTGTTGCTGTCGTCAACTGCCTCCCAAGGCCGTTCGGTTGCAAGATCAGTGATAGACCATGCAGTCCTCTGCAACTTGGCTTGTTCGTCCTCAAAGACGAGAACATTGACCTCCTTGCAAACAAGGTTTGTCCTGAACGCAACGAATGTCAGCCGAAGAAGTCCCAAACCCACAAAATCCATGCAGCTAGGCCTATACACATACATGAACTCGACGTTCATATGATCACAAATGCGAATGCGGATTTTCTCAATACGCTCAGAAAGGTCCTTGATTTCATGCCGTGTTCGGTAGGCCTTGAAGGTCTTCTTCATGCTCTCAACCCTCTTGTCCTTTTCAGGGTCAATCTTTAGATTATCTAGGAGACTGAGGAGTTCATCTGCGAGCGGACCACAAATCGTGATCAGCGCCCGTAGATCGTCAGGAAGTTTGACATGTGCATTGTGTTGGATCCGATGGAGAGTCAACTTTACGTTTCGCGTGAGCAGCTCCAGCTCCTTGTCTGCCTTGGACAGGTCATCGGCACCTTTGTAAAGCTTATGTGCAGACCGCACTGCTGTGATGCCAACCTCGACGAATTGTAGAATGTTGCTTGCGAGCCCAATAGCTGCCAATGCTTCAGCCATGATGTACAGCACTACGATACGATATAGGGATATAGGCTTGCAAGCGGGTAGGAGCAGTGTCCGCCCACGCAGAGACTTCCTCGGCAAATGTATCTCAAAAGGTATTGGCAATGGGCAGCGTCTAGTGTGGACCACATTGAAGGAATCCGCGATTCGCAGCAGAGGCATAAGCAAAAGTATTGGGCAGCACAGCCTACACTCAGGGTGTACCACCCGAGAATACAACTGGCAGATAGCTAAGCCCACGGGGGCTTGGCGTCCTCACACCTCGGCGCTAAGGCTGTTGAGGGAATGCACGGGCCATGCGGCACGGCGCGTTTCCTAAAGGCAGCACTGAGATTTGACGGTTTTACTTTGCAGAGTAAAGCCTGTGCGGGCTGCTATCACGAAAGAATGGATACCCATAGAGTACTCATTGCAAAGGCTGGAAATTGATGACAACACCGGCGACGACCCCTTCTCGCTTGACTCATCAATTCTTGTAGGGATATGTACCCGTGAGGCAGTTTAGTATCGTTCGTTACCTTGGGCATAACACTGAAGGCTCGCGACATAGGACCATCCCCGAGGAGTTCCATTCCAAACGGCGCCTGTATCTTTACTCAAGTACAAAAGCACTCAGCCTGTGAATAAAAGGGATCATGGGCGAAATAGTGGAAGAAAAGGATCTCGAAGGGGGCTCTTCTCCTATCGAACGGGACGCCAAGGTGGTATATGACTATCACCGAATGCGTATGCCGTTGGCATCTCCTGTCGATGCTGTGTTCTGCCTCTGCAGTCTGGACCTTCGGGTCGCGGACCGAGCCGCGCAACTCTTCATGGATGGTCACGGAGAGTACCTCATCTTCTCGGGCGGCACTGGAAGGCTGACCCAGGGCCGCTTTGATAGACCAGAGGCGGAGGTCTTTGCAGACCGCGCTCGGACTCTGGGCGTCCCATCTGACAAGATTCTTACCGAGCCTGCGTCCACCAACACGGGCGAGAATGTCCGCTTCACGTGGCAACTTCTTTCCAGCAAAGGTCTTCGCCTGAAGTCTTTTATTTTGGTCCAGAAGCCCTACATGGAGCGGAGAACATACGCTACATTCAAGAAGCAGTGGCCCGACGAAGACACCAGAATCGTCGTCACGTCACCGCAGTTCGAGTGGGAGGAGTATCCAAATCAGAACAACCCCAAGGGACTGGTGATCAATATCATGGTCGGTGATCTCATACGTATTCGAGACTACCCAGCAAGGGGATTTCAGATACACCAAGACATTCCAGATGATGTTTGGCAAGCAGGGTGCCGTCTCATTGAGGCGGGGTACAAAAGTCATCTCCCGTAGTTTCCATCACAAGGGAGGTGTAGACCATACTCATCAAGATCGCGATGCAACGGACTCCGGCTACGTGCGACCATAACAAATGCTCCATCATGTCCAAGCTAATGAGCGCTTGAGTTCCAGAGGTTTGATGCAAATTCTCTACGTCTTAATCGTGTGCCGGTCTAGTAAATTCCACTGCCTATAAGTTGATGAATGGGAAGAACAGTGAATCCAAACTAACCAAATTCACTTACACACCTGAAATCTTATTTACGAGACCGATATTCTACGTACACTTTGAAATACTTTAAATTTTGAATTCTTCCTTTGAACCTATAATTATACCTATGCAAACTACATGCCTATAATAAACGCCCCGTCGTCCGGGTCTAGGTAGTGCCGCTCGTAGTCTAGTCACCGCTTTCACTCTTCCCCAGGACACCGGAGCGAATGAAAGGCACCTCAACACCCAGGACCTGCCGGGTCTGCGGGTCCAGCACGAACACGACGCGGTCGAGCGGCTCCGAGCCGTAGTGAATCCAGTCCGCCAGCGTCCACGTCAGGCAGTCGCCCGCGGTCAGCGCCGCGCCGGGCAGCTCTGAGTCGGACCGCATCTCGAACACCCAGTCGACGCGCCAGTCCTGCAGGACGACGGTCCCGTTCGAGCCGTCGGGCCGCGGGCGCGAGCCTGGCGCCTCGACCCCGACGGGGTACAGCCGCGCCCGCGAGGGCTCGACGTTCAGGAACCCGCCGATGGCCACCCGGTTGATCTCGAACAGCCCCTCGAGCACATCGGTGCCGTTGCGTCGCAGGCCCGCCAGCACGAGGCTGTCGTCGTCCTGGACCAACGTGGCGTTGACTCCGCCATCGGCGACGCTGACGAAGCTGCCCGTGTACTGCGCGGCCTGTGACCGGGCTATCTCGTCAATGGCCGGGATGAGCGTCGAGAGCACCGTGCCGTAGATGATGTCGGTGGCCTTGGCAGACCCGGCCGTCAGGACTACCACGGCCACGCCGTACTCGTCGATCACGGCCATGTGCGACTGGTAGCCGTACGCCGAGCCCGCTTTGGCGTAGATGTCGATCGTGTGTGGGTGCGCGGGTGTCAATTCCTGCGTCCGGTAGATCTCCCACGGCATCCCGACGAGGGAGCTGGGGGAGCCGGTGCTGGAACTCGGCTTGAGCCACTGCAGGACTTCTGTCTCGCTTTCAAGGATGCTGTGGTCTAGGATTCCTCGAATGAAGATGGAGAGGTCTGAGAGAGAGGATACCAATCCGCCGCCTCTGTTGATTGCAAGTTATGTCAGGTCATCTTCTTCTCCGCCTTCATGTAAAAGTGTCTGACTTACGGTGCATTGTCTCCATAGTCGCTGCCCCAAGAATTATCCACTGGAGGAATAACAGCCTTACTATCATCTCCGGGACTCACCATGGTGTTCGACAGACCCAGTGGCGTGGTGACGAAATCTCGCAATAGCTCCGTGTAGTTTTGGCCCGTCTGTTCCTGAATCGCGTATACAATTAAGTTGAACGCGATATTGGAATAGACGGGTCGCGACTCAGGGGCAGCAACCGGGTAGGAACTCAACATCCCCTGGAAGAACTCTGTCATTTCTTTGAGTTAGTACATACCGCAATATGGTTAATATCAAGTAACGCACGATCTTTGGTGCACCCTCCATTGAGTTCCAGGACGCCGCATGGCGGATAGTCACTATCGGGCAACAGAGGGAAACCAAGGGCTACAAAATACTCTTTGAGATAATAGTATTCTGAGAACCCATCTGTAAATCAGTCAGTCGCATAATTTCGAATATCAAGTCGCCGACCTACAGTTTGGCGGGATACCGGCAACTTGGCTTGCAAGATGTCGCAACGTGATATTCCTCCAGTGTATCAAGTTCGCCTCATCTTGGAGCACGGATAAGTACTCGGTTATGGGGCTGTCCAGCTCCAGCCCACTCTGCAGCAGGATATAGTCTGTAAAGACTTTGGAGATGGACCCGATGAGGTACTGGGAGTCTCTGGTGAGATGCTTGGTGCCGTTTACGTTGGTTGGGGCTAGATGGTGGTATTCCCAAGTCGGGACGGCTTTCTCAGGCTGGTCCCAGGAGACGAGGCCGATAGAGAAGGAGGTATTTTCCACAGGCCACCCGGCCACTATAGCGCCGTTCAGCGCCGACTCCAGAGCGCCGGTTAAGTTGGCCGTGGCTTGGGCGAAGAGCTCATTCGCGTGGAGATTTCTCGGCTTGGGCACGACTGGACCTGGCGGCCGACAGTCAATGGCAACGGCATTGCCAAGAAGTATCAAAGAAGATAGTATTGTTGTAGTATACATAATGGCGACAATCAAAGACTTTCTCCACTACTGCATTAATAAGAGGAGTTCTCCTTGCACTCTCAACGGCCATCAGTGAGAGTATTGACTGAATATATATACTGCAACTTGAGGCTGCCGTGTAATGGATCATGCCACCCTAGATGATGATATTGAATCGATTATTCCGTGGCTCAAGTTATTGGAGATTGGTGCCTTCAATCGAGTACGAGGAATGCGACGAGCTAACACAGCCTCGAGGCATACTCTAGAGAGGAAATCAGCATCAACAGTGACGATCTGAATTCTTTCATGTGTCGCCATTGGGCCGTATTTTTCGCATTGGAGTCCAAGCCACTTCGTGACATACTACTCAATATGCCATCAATGCTAAGCCTTGGAACGCGCCATGAGTCTCCTCTGCTTGGAGAGTTTGTGCCAACCACAGATGCAGTAGCACCAACCTCAGATGCGGGCACCGGGCGGGACGTCTATCCCGCAAACGACGAATGCGAAATACGACGGCTAGCATGGCTCTTAGTGTGACTTGGCGCCCAACCTTAACTTAAGAGTCTACTATCATTTACTGTGCTGACAATCCTGTGACAGTGTAGATCAATACCGTTTTCCTTTATGGTGAGAATCAGAAGACATTCGAAAATGGCTAGAATTTTTCCCTAAGTATGACGGTGCAAGAGCGTCTGTCGCGCAAGATGGTGCTATCGTTGGTTGAAACTTCTGTACTTCACTAGTTCTAACGAATAACCTGTGTAAGGCAAGGCCTCGGACGTATTTCTCAAGGGACTTGAAGACGGTCTGAAAATCCGCCTTTGTATTGAACCTTCGTCTCCATCTGGAAGAAAGCAGTAAAAGACCCGACTAGAAGGCAGCACCCGTCTGATCTTGGCTCTACAATGCTATGCCCAGTACAACTCAACGGCTCCAAGCTGGGGTCTTGTAGTAGAGTGGCCTGAAGTCACTCCAGGCCGAAACAAACATGAAGGGGTAAATGACATTACAACATTGTAGTGATGTAGTGACGAGCCGATGTAAAGGGGGTATCCATCAAGTGAGTGACCCGCTTCCCGTTTTCTCTCTTTCCATCCTCTCTGTACTGATTGGTAAATTCCCTAAGACTCCAAAATTGGGTGAATTGTCTTTCGAAACAAAATAACATTATTGAATCCCTTTTGATTCTCCCTTTTCAAAAACAAGAAAAAGAGAAAAGACCTCAAACCCTTCGCAATCGCTGTCGGAATCGGATACATCATTCAACTCATCCAAATCCGCCATTTGCCATCGTTCAACCCATATCCCGTGTCATAATCCACAGCCCCATGATATAGTCCCTTTCTACGGAGCCTTTGACTTCTCCTCGTGCGTCATTGGTACCGGGGGCGGTGATGTTGGTAGAGGTACGTTGTGTGGCTCCGTATTCGAATCCGCACCTTGACCCTGTTCCTGGTTCCGCTTGATGTCGATACTCTTACCCCGTCGAGGCAAGAACTTGTGGCTGTGTTCTTCAGGCGGTGATTTTGTCCGCTTCTGGTCAACATTGTCCTTTGCCTCCCGGTACTTTGTCTTGATCCATCCGAGAGGACCCCGTGGTTCATCTTTGCTATCTTTGCCTGCAGACTCGCTCTCGGCCAAAGCAATCGCGGCATCAGACGATTCTCCTGTCCAGCTTTTTCGAGGCCGGTGCCCACCACTCCCAATCGTCGACGTGCTCGCCTCTGCATGGCTGTTGGCGCCTATGGGTGCTGACATGCCCGGAATATCCTCTTTCCTCCGGGAAATTCTCCAGCGTCGTTTCCTTTCCTTCTCGGGCTGATCCCCACTAGGACCTGGAAGCTGGTCATCTACCTGATCGAGATCGGAGCCTTCATTGAATGATGAGTGCAGAGACGTGGTTGGTGAAGCTTTTGGTTTCAGCGTCCTGCTGCCTTCCGGTTGAGATGCTGGCAATGTACTCTCAGAAGGGCCTGCCGACGCCTTCGGCGTGGGTTCCGAGGGCGTGGGCGTCTCTGCCAAGGAGCTGTGCTCAGGCACTGTAGGCTCAGGCTGAACCGCCCTCTCCATTGGATTAGACGCTTCTAAAGCAGGCGAAACGGCTCCAGAATGAGTGAGGGACACGGTAGAGCTTTGTGCACTAGGATTAGCACTACCTGGTATCCGCTTCTTCCGAAGCTTATTTGGCTGCCTTTTATCGGCGTCGGAAGCTGGCGAAAGGTTGAATAAACTGGGAAGGGTCCTCTCCTTCGACGGTGTGGTGACTTCCGCAGCCGAGGCTGGATCCAAGAGTTTATCTTGGCTTCTCCCTGCGGCATTGGGCCCCGGTGCCAAGTGAGTTACCGCAGGTTGTGCAGCGGAGGCAGGAGCGGGTGTTTGCTCGGTTGAGTGGGCTGGCTCTTCGGTCACAGTTGGCGGAGGGACTACCGTCGAGCCGGCAGGTGATGGGGAGGCCGGTGCCACGGTTACGTTTGGGGACTCGTCCCGTTGAAAGCGTGAGGAGGCGATGTGAGGCGACTTTTTGGACGGAACGGTATTGCTTCTACCCAGACCACTGCCCGGGGTGGCTGCCAGAGCAGGGCTGCCGGGGGTGGAAGCACCATTGGAGTGTCGTGAATGCCTTGACGACACAGACCGGTTCCGGCGAATCTTGCCATCTCTGCTGACACTTTCCGCGCCAGCACTTGCGTTTGACGCGGACCTGGTAACTCCTGAGCTGCGGCTTTTGCTTGGCGTCGCCGGCGCCACTATCACCGGTGGCGTACCCTTCAAGATGTCCCGTTGTGTCTTCTCATCGGCGGCCGTCCCTTGCATTCCAATCAGAAAGTGGTCCTGGTTTTCAATCAAGAAGATGATGACGCATTGATTCAGACGGTATTCTTCGGGGGCCATGGCGTGGTTGGGATGTGAGAGCATCCCCGGTTGGAAGATGGCAGCCAAGTTCTGTGCTGTCATGCGATTCTCGTCGGCCTTGGCAGCAAAGACGGCAAGCAGATCGAGGATGTAGAGAAGTAGCTGTCGGTTCAACGGAGGAAGAATCTTGATCAGTTCCTGGTACTTGTCAATGGCCTCCTCTTCGTTGAAGTTCTCCGCCAGCTGTGCACCCTCGGCGTCGCCCACTGCCTGTCTGGTGTTTCCCTTCAAGGGGGCGCGGAACTTCTCATAGAGATCAAGGGGTACTACGGGCTCAGGAAGGTCGTTCAGGTAGCGCCGAAGAACGTTAGCCGCATCGTGCACCGTGTAACCATCCCAGACAAGCCCCTTGCCATATCGGTCAGGCGAGTCGAATGCAAGTTTCAGTTCCTTGATACGCTTCTCCGAACCGCTCAGGCGAAATATACCCTCTATGCCGGTGGCTGTGGGATGAATTAGCCATCGGGCACCAGAACAGTCAATAGAGCGAGCGAGAACAGAGTCCTGTTACTTGCTCTCCTCGTCCGGGTTCGACGCACCTTTTTCCTTCAGGAAGACACCGCATTTGGCAACAACAATAGGCACATAGCCGTAGATATAGCTCTTGCCGTCATCATCAACCAGCGAAATGGCTACATTTGCATAGGTGATGCTCTGCCGCAGCGGGACACCGAATATGCCTTGAGGCCTTGATTCTGCACCGAGGAGATTAGCCATGCTTCTGATTTGATTTACGTGCTTTGCGGTTTGACTAGCAGGAGACCATGATCCGTCGCACGCAGGCTTAGGCTATGACAAGAGACAGGACCTCCCACGACAATGCCCGTCAGGCAGGCTCTTTGTGCGAGCAAACCCAAGCCTGGCGCACTGAAAGTGCTAGTCACGGCCGGTCCTGCCTGCTCCGGAATGCCTTCACAACCGCAATCAAGGCACCTTGCCCCGGCTCCAACGTTCACGATCGACATTGGCCTCAGGGTGGAGTCAGGTGGTGTACGTGCCGGGAGAGCCTTACCTTGGGCTTCTTGGTGTTTCGACGACTGGACCTGGAAGCGCTTCCACCATGACTTCAGATCCCGCTTGCTCGGGGGCGACTGGGCATTCGAGGGCGAGGCATGCTGCTGCTGTTGCGGCGGGCTGGCGGGGTGGTGCGGTGGAGGCTTCGAGGGGGTGGCAGCGGACGTCATGGCGGAAACGATGACGGGGACGCGCGGGCGACCGCGGCGACGGGGTTAGACTGTCGTCGCTTCGCTGGACGGGCGGGCGGGCGGAGCGAGGGTTGTCGGGGGCGCTGCGATGGGCCGTCGCGGGGTGGCGTGGTGTGGACGGAATGACAGCAGGAGGACTGCGCAGGAGCAGCGTTGGAGGCACACGACGGCGGTGCGATGAGTTGCGACAAGTGGCGGGCTGGCGGCGGTGGTGTTGTTGTTGCTCTGTGCGCGGGAGCAGATGCCGTACCGTACCGACCCAGTTGGACCTAAGCCAGTCGACTAACTTAGACAGACCAAGGCAATGGATGACCAGGTGGACGAGGTGAGGGCCAGTGCAGCGCGGATGGACACGCCAGAGGGACTTAGGCCTGCTGGAGACTGGAGTCCTGGGCGCAAGAGGGAAAAGGGCTGGGCCAGCGCTGCGACTCCCCTGGCGGTGATCGGCAGCGAATCGAAACGGCCTTGGCCTGGGTTGTTGCGATACAGTAGGTAATGTGATCGATGGAGTGGATATCCCGCCCGCGACTATTTTGGGACCAAATTTGGGGACGTCAGCGCCACATGCGGTTTGATTGACTGGGCCGGCTGCCTGCCTGGGTGCTGGTTGGCTGATGGAGAAGGGTCTGGTTGATTGGATTGATTACATTAGCTGGGCCCCCGAGGCTGTCGTCGTGGGTTGGAGGGGGGAATGGGCAGATGGGCGAGGTGAAGCTGCCGGAGAAGGTAGAAGATGATGAGTGGACGGGATGGGGTTGGGTGCAGGTGGGTGGACGGATGGATCGAGTGACACCAGACTGGTAGGTAACTATCCGTCAGCCCGCCATACCGAGAAGAGAGAGAGAAGAGAAGAGAGAAAAGGCCCAAAGCCCCAGGCCGCCCACCCCCCAGCCAGCCCCAAGTCCAGGCCCAGGGCCCTTTGACGTCGGGACCTGGAGCCTTTTCGCTACTTCCTGCTCGCCCGCCTGCACACCTCCCAGGCCCCAGGCAGGCCCTAGGCCCAGGGGTCAAAAGAGACCTCCAGCGATGTAACAGACCACCTAGGTGCAGGTAATGACTGGGCCACCCCCCCAGGTTTTCCGGTGTGTGTCTACTACCTAGGTATCATGTATGCCCAGCCGATACGATGCAGGTCTTACTGCTGCACAGCTACAGTACTCCGTACACAACTAGCTACCTTACCATACATACTACACTGTAAACTTGCCTCAGCAGCGGGAGGACGGTCCCAGAAGTCGATGTCCCCCCGTCCCCAGTGCTGCTTCCTCTGCCTTTCATCATGTGGCTTTGGAGCCAAGCCGACAGGGGTCAAGCGTGCTGGGCCTAGGACTGGACGCATCCAACTGTTTCCCACCCCTGGGCCCAAAGCGAAGTTCCGGGCCCAGCACAACTCAACCTGCCGTGGGAAGCTTCGCCGGGGACGAGAGACTCCGTCGTGTATGTATGTGCGAACCTTGAGGTTTCATCGCTCACTGACTGCTCTGCCCAGTGCCATCTTGCTTCTTGCTTCTTGCTAGGCCCAAACTCAATTCTACGACGTGGGCCGTCGACCCCTTGAGGTCCACCCGTCCAGGTCGCCCAGCTCCCGGCCGCCACAGGCCTCCCCTGAAGATCAGCGACTGTTTCAAGCCTGGCGACCGACAAGAAACGCCTATTAGGACAAACGTTGCCGGTTTCCCCTGCCCGCCGCGCTATCCCCCTCCCCCCTTTCGGCCACCGCCAACTAAACCGCCTCAAAGGTAATGGAACCTGGAAGTGTCCCAGGTGAAAGGTAGGTTATCAAAGAATCATACTACGTGCTGCTTGCGGGCTCCTGGCTGTCTCACGGCGACTTACGTCTTTGTTGCACCTTGGGCCTTGGGGAGAATGAAGCTCGTCCTGTAACCCCTGGCTGTCACCGAATGCTTGGAGGCGCTACCTCTGGCAAAGTTCAACGGTGCTCCCGCTGGTCCCCAATAAGGCTGACTGACAGCAGGGCAAGCTCGCGGCGACTCTTTCGTGTCCTTTGTTTCTCGGCGGCGCTGCACTTTGTTACTGGTTGGTTATGGGCAATCCGTGCCTCTTTCTGTTCTTCTCCCGCAGACTCCAGAAAAACTCGAAACCTTACCCATCTGTCTGGCGCTTTGGCGCTCCTGGTCACAGTGCATCACACACAGCTCCATCGTGTCATCGTGTCGACTGGGATGGCAGAGTTCTAGCCCGTTGATAATCTCTGCATCGCGTCGATCCCGCCAGATCAGGTACAAAAGGTCGGGGATCACTCGACGCTTAAAGGCCTAGAACTTCCAACACGGCTCTCGACATTCGCTCGGCATTTCTCAGCCTTTGGCTGCGCCGTGGTTTGCCATGGAAGTCACAGTAGACAGACTTATTAGGGGATGAACATTGACGCCTGAAGCCTGCGATGACTGGCTTTCGATGCCATGCCCACATAACTTTGCACCACACACCTGCCACCAACCCTGACCTGCCATGCCATATGCCATGCTGTATGGCCCTGGCAGATCCGAGCTTCAGTCCCTAACCTAACTTATACCCCAACCAAGCTCCTTTCCAAGAAAACCACCGAGCCCACTTCCCGCAGCCCCACATGGTCTCTCGCGCACACATCCTAACCGCCATGCGTACGCAACCAAGCAGGCAAATACCCTTGATATTCCGCCGCCAATGGTACCTGAGGCGGCCCTGACTTGGAAGGACTCCGATGCAAATAGGCACTTGTGCCTGCACAGATCTGTCCTCGCAGCCTACGGTGGGCCTACTGTTTATAGAAAGAAACCCCTCAAAAGGGCACATCCAGCGGTGCTGCGTCATTGCTACCTAGACTGCCAAGTCACGACAGGCCTGCCCGTCTGCCCGTCTGCCAGCTTTTGCTTGCATCCTCGAGATCCACGCTCGGCCAAAGCCGTGCGTGTGTGTGTGTGTGTGTGTGTGTGTGTGTGTGTGTGTATGTGTAGGCCCAGGTGTGTGACCAGGGGTCACAAGCTGCAGCTGCGAAATGACGTCTGCGCCCTGCACAACTGCCCATCCGCCCTCCTCCCCTCCTCGCCTGCAGCTGTGACCAGCTTCTGGAATAACTGAAAACTAGACCCTGCGCTGCATGTGTTGACTAACCAAGCTTCCCATTCGCTGTCACGACGGCGGGTATGGGTTCTTCCCCCCTGGCCATAGGCCCGACAGAGCCGGCTGGGTTGTGACGAGGCGGATTGCAGGCGTGCAAGCGTCCCCTTGTTACGGGAGAGGCATCTCTGGTCAGAAATGGGCCAACTGACCGAAATTACAGATGACCCTGCCTTGACAATGTGCAATTCGTTTGCGCCGCCTGTTCCTTTGGGCGGCTGAGAGCAGCAGTCCACGAGTCCACGCGGCGCGACATGCGAACCCTTTCCCCGGGGTTCACCGTGCTGCTCCTTACCCACATGCTACCTACTCACTCGCTTCCTGTTGTTCCTGCTCTTCCTGCACCGTGAACGAATAGTTCCTATAATTAGCTATAAGCTATGCGGGATGGGCATGTCAGGTCATGCAAGGTCGCGCAACCTAATAGCTACTACCTGCTTCTTCAACCCCCGCGGCCCCCGCTGCCTTTTTCGCCACCGCAACCTCCACGGGCAAGGCAAACAAAAGTTAGACGTCGCCTGCTTGGGTTCTTGGCATGGCATTGCAACAGACGACGCCGTTCGTGCAGATACGGGGTGGATGTGGAGAGAGAGAGAGAGAGAGACATGCCAGCCTTATCAGTTCTTTGAAGATGCCCCAACCCTGGAAATACTCGGCGCAAGCAACCTAGATACTCAATGACTTGAAGTGAAGTACCATCACGGCCTAGGGTTTAGTGTACCATGACGTTCGTAAGTAGGCCAGTCCACGGTTCTGGGTAGCCGTATACATCATATGCATGCAATATGGAGCCTCAGAAGTCCAGCCTGTCTGTCATGCACATGCCAAATAGGTGGTACCAATTGCCGTTTTTACTTTCTTTCAATTTATCCACTATCGTGGAGTGGACTATGTAGGCTGTGCTCTTCTCCTCTATCGCGTACGAATAGCAGATACCCTTTGCCTTCTCCTCTCATGTCTTCTGGCCCAAGGGTCCATCAATAAAAACCAGCTAGACACACAACGATGTGATGCTGAGGAAGAGAAGGCAGTAAGTTCAGGAAGAGAGACGCCCAGACCGAACCCAGATCCCTGAGTTCCCTGCAAAACTCCTTAAATGCTCAACTGTAGCAGCCACCGGCTTAAGTTGGCATTGGCAAGGAAAACCCGGTCCTCTCCTCGGGCACCAAATAAACGTATCTGAAGTACTCCAGTTATCTGAAGACTTGAACGCTTCCAAAATGGGGTATTTGGCGAATTCAAACAAATCCCCTGGCAATCACGACGGCGCCATCATCAGGCCAAGCTGTGCGGACGGTACTGTGGACCTTTGCCTCGCTGCCCTCCAAGTGCCGGAAACGCCTCTGCCCTTTGCCGTTAGGGCACAAAAGTACAGCTTCCCCCAAAGGTCCGTATGAACACGAACCTCAGTTGTCGTAACAGCTGATCAGTAATGATCTGGTCGCCAATCGTGAGGCGACTTCACGACATCCAAGCGAGTTCGCTGGTATAAGATTAACAAGGCAAAGAGGAAAACAAACAAAACAAATAAAATCCCAACCCCAATTCCCCATCCAAACGCCTGACCATGAATGCCCCCCCTGGGAAATAATTTGTGAAAGGTTGGCTCAGGTCTAACTCCAGTAAACCAAACCAACCAGATCACCCAAAAGCCGCGGGGCCTGGAGCAGTAGTAATGCAATCTTATGCGTATCTTCGTGAGTCGTAAAGGAGAGGCTATATGCATCATGTGTGCTTGGGAGCACTTCGCGACGTGATGTCACCGCTTCGTTTCCGAGGCAGGCTGTGCTGTTGAACCTGAGACGCATTGGCAATCATCTGCATCTTCTTGCGAAGGCTCGTCAATCTAGTGGTAATCATTTGTATCACTGGAAGAAAATTTAGCGTGCATTCAGGGTGTGATTTGATGGATGGGGGGCTCACTCTTATGAACAGCCTGTTGGTCGTCCTGATTCATTTCCGACGCCCCTTCACGAATGAGGTCACGCTGTTCTTTGGTGTTGCTGGTGATCTTCCGTTTGGACAAATCTTCATCGTTGTCCAGTACAGCCTCAAGCATGCGAATAGCAGTAATATATGAGAGTTCGCAACCATTAAGATCTTCGTTCGCGATCTCGTTGATCGCCGCGGCGCGACTCATCTCCAGTGCTCGCTCATACATTAGCTTTTCAGCGCTGAGGCCGGCAGTAAGGACTATGCCTTCTGCACTCGACGTGCTCGTTGCCGCTTTTTCTTGCTGGTTGTTGTTAGGATGGCTTGGGTGGTCCTCTGGTAGCTGCTTCTGTGCCTCGACTAACTTCAACCTCACGATTTCAGCCTTCTCTAGAGTCTCGTTGAAGCGTCTGCGCACCCACTGAACCGCTGAGTTGATTCGTGAGACGATATTCTGCGTAGCAATATGGTCACGGGCAGTCATGGGGTCGCCCCTAGCCTTTCGTCCCCACCAGATGCTGGCAATGTCCATTGACTTGGCAAGCAGGGACAACGCCTTCACATAAAGTACCAATGCTTCCTCGGAGAGTACCACCACAGCCTCCACGGTGAGACCGTCGTCATCATCCGAAGTAAGCTGGTCTGCTGGTGCGCCGCCGAGGAGATGATCTTGTGATGGAGCCATGGGAACTAGCTGCTTATACTTTACTTCCGCAAAGCCCCATACAACATCACTGCGAGTGGCAAAGTCCTCGATACATTGCGCTACTCGTGCGTCCTCGTCGATAACTCCGCTTTGGCGGCCATCAGTAAGCAGTCCCGGGTTAGCGTTCGGCGTCGGGTAAACCGGGAAGGGGTTATACAAATGCGGCGGAGAGGCGCCTTTGCCAAGAAGGTGAGCTGGGTACTTGAAGCCAAACAGTCTCAGACTCGCATCTTGAATGGCTTTGGAGATGACTGAAGTTGTCGACTTTGGACTACCGGAAAGGTTCTTGTCGTATGAGCCTCGTCTGTAAGGGTCCGGACGGACGCCCTGGGCAATTTGTAGGGCTTTGGATCGCTCCGCCGGAATGGCGCCTGTCGTGGACGTAGGTACACCTTGTTGTGTTGCCCTACGAACGATTTGACCAGCTTTGGGTGACATAGCTTGAGCCTGCGCGCCCTGAGCTGCCAACTGGTCGGCAAAAGCGTTGACCTCGACATGCCTCTTCTCAACTACCACATAGTCTCTCATAAAAGCGATATCTTGAGCGACTTCCTCCCCCTCGTCTAGTGCACCACCCCGGCCTTTGCCTTTAGTAGCATACTCCTTGGGTGCTGAAGATGACGGGGTTGCCCCCTCACGTGGATGGTTGGTCAAAGATACGTTGGAGAGTCCACGTCGGCGTCTTTCTCCTAGAAGCGCGGGCCCTGTTGGGGCTGATGTTGAAGGTACTGGCTGCGGCCGTCGGATGCCGAGACCAGGGGCAATGTCATCCCGTGGTGAGCGAGACACGCGTGATACAGGCTTCGCGGGTTCGTCACCAGGAAACTCAGCGGGGCTGGCCAAGGGCGAAGACCTTAACGGCTTTTCGCGTGGGGGTGAAGGGCCAGGCTCGGGACCTTGATCAGTCATGTAATCGCGACGACGGAAAGACAGGCGCCGTGCCGGACGCGGTTCATCGCTCTTGTTGACGTTTCGGCTCTCAGTCTTGGACAATGTCCTCTGCACTTTGGGGACATCATCCTCAACCAGGCCAGGTATCTGTTCCGTGACAACGGTATGGTTGAAAAAGTTCTCGAAGCTCATCCGCTCCACCGGCTGCCGCTTCAATAGGCCACGAATCAACCCCTTAAGATCTGAACTGACCTGGCAATCTCTCGAAAATTTGATCTGATCCTCGGCATTTTCGATCTTTCTCAGCAGTTCAACATGATTACTTGCCCTGAAAGGTGGCTTGCCGGAAACCATCTCGTATAAGACCGTGCCCACAGACCACAGATCGGCCTTGGCATCGTACCGCTCGTAACGTAGAATCTCGGGTGCCATGTATAGCGGCGAACCACAAAGGGTTTCGGCTAGAGATGTCGAGGGAAGAACGCGGGCAAAGCCGAAATCTGCCAGCTTCAACATCGGCAAGGACTCCAGGCCAACCGCCGGGATCAACGAATCTTGGCTGGCACTGAGCACAGGTCGCGCGTCCTTATTGCTCTCCCTGTACTGCACCGATGGAAGGAGCAGTAGATTCTGTGGTTTGACGTCGCGATGTACGAAGTTTCCCTCCCGGAGGAAACGTAATGCAGAAGCAAGCTGCTTGAGAAAATGCCGAATGACGACCTCGTTGAGGCCAGCATTTGGCACGCTGGGGTACTTTCGGGCCATATCGCAAGTGGCGGGATGCGTGACTAACTTCTCCCTCTTTTTTATGAACAGGGAGAGATCACCCAGCTCGCAATACTCCATGATGAGGTTGATGTGAGTCGACGATTCAAGGCAGTCATGAAGGGCGACTATATGGGGATGGCGGAGCTTCTTGAGAATGTTGATCTCACTATAGAGATTCTCCTTCAGCTTTTTGTTCAACCGGCCGAGTTCAACAGATTTGATAGCGACAGCAGCGCCAGAAGTCTGTGGTAAACAATAGTCAGCAAAGCCTACTTGGGATGGCGAAACGATGACTCAAAGCTCGAGTTGATGGGAGGAATAGCGGTCAGAGGTCGCAGGCATGCGAGCTCAGCCATACAAGCTGTGAAGCTCGGCAAGAACAGCAGCGACTGTGCTCCAGAGGGTAGGACGACGAGGAACGGGGTTTCGGACCTGATGCTTTCCCATATAGACCTGCGCAAAGCTGCCTTTACCAATCTCGGAGCCGATAATGAACTGGCCGATGGCGCCATCGCCAGTCCGCGTCCGCCGGGACGACGACGCTGATGAATGTCGATCGGCCATGGCTTCCTGTGGGATGGTTGACTTGGACAGGAAGCTTGGTCTCGGAGCCCGGGGGCTTATAAGGGGATCGAAGACGGCGATGCGATTCGAGGTATCATGTAAGCTCTCGGAAGTTCCGGCGTATCAGAATAGAGGTAGGTGAGATGAAGACTGGATGCCAGTCTATTCCACCAAAGCGTGCGATGAGATTGAGTGCCGTTGAGGTTGTTCAGGGTCCTGCAGGGCGGTTCGGTATTAGTAGGTAGTGAGGATATGTAGGTCTGGCGGGAGCTGGGGTGGTCGAGAGAGGAGCGCTGCCAAGCACACGTTTGGCAGCTGCCGCGGCGTCGCCCACTTGGTAGGCCACTATATACGAGGCAGAAGCCGCCAGGCAGTTGAATGGAAAGCAGGCTACCCGGAGGAGGCTGCAAGAAGGAAGTGCGCACCTGGGTGTTGGCGAGAGCGGCTGGTTGGGAAGTGGATGATGGTACTTACAACAGCACCCGGGCGGCAGGTATCCGATAGGTTCAAAGTTGGAGGCGACCTGGGTACGGTCGAGGGAACCTTGAGAAAAGGCGGGGATGGTGCTACAGGGCAGGCCTGAAAGGTTGTCGAGACACCGAGAAAGTGAAAAAGCTCTCGACTCGAGCCCGGGGACGCAAATGATGCCTGGGTCGGGAAGGGCAGGCGCGAGAGATGGGAAGGGGTTGACTGTACGTGATATGCGACTGGGGGCCAGCAGATGATCCACCGACGATACTGGGCCGTTGGGTGGTGGTCGTTCTAGTGTCAGAGCTGGGAGCTGCAGGTGCCAGGCCGTCCTCAGGGTGGAGGGTAGCAAGCTGTGGTTGGCTGTCCGATATCAACTGAATGACTCGGCGATGACACAAAGCAAACCCCCGTTAAGCGACTACTTTCGATGAGTCGACGAAGATGGCTGGGGGGGAGAGGGTCTCCAAAGAGCAGGAAAAGAACAGGAAGATGTACAACGAAGAAGCGTCCAAGATGTTAAACAGAGCGGGTTCGAGGGAATGGGAGAAGAATAAAGGCGGCGATGAGGTGATAAGAAGAAGAGATGAGGAAAGCGACGGGGCGACGGCAGCAGCTGGGCCTAAGCTGGGTCGTGCTGGAGTAGGTATCGTATCAGATGACCGGGCGATGAGAAGAGAAGACGTGATGAGGCGGCAAGTGATGGGATGGGGGTTCGATGGGCTGGATCCATGGATGGGGAAGGGGACGACGTGAAAGTGGGTAATAGGACCTCCAGGCGGACTGGGCGACTGGTTGACTTCCTGGTTGTTGGGCAGGACTCTCGTACTCATTCCCTCACCACAGTCCTGAACAAGTGCACCAGACTGTCCAGATGTTCGATTCATTGATTTGATTCACCCATCCAACCCAGTCCCAATGCATTGTTGCTCGTGGCTCGTGACATGCGTGACACGTCCCCTCGCTGGGCCCAGGTCAAGTGCAGTCTGGGCCGCGCATTGGACGGGACGGGGGGCCACCTGGGGGGCGCCTTGGGGGGGACAAGGGACGCCGCGATAAGAGCTGCGAGTCCAGGCACTCTAGGTCCGATAACGTCCAGTTACAGCATGACGCCGGCGGAAACCCTGCATCGCCTCACCACATCCGGTGGATGAGCTACCGCTTTTGTGCATGGCTGAGGAGAGCCCTTGAGCCCCGTCTGAGGTTAGCTAGCCGCTACCAAGCTGCCATGTACTTCCCAGATCTCGCTCTTCTCCACTTGGGCCTTGTTGGCCATGTTGCATCTGCATGTCCCGTACCAGCAAGACGATCGCTTTGTGAGGCCGTGAGTCACCGAGATCCGTGCATGGCTCCTCAGGCTGCGTCGTCAGGGTGCTCCGTGGTGGACTGACTATCGCAGGCGATCAACAAGACGGCGCGAGCTCGTATGTCCATAAGCGCTCGGGGCCCAAGCAGGTCACCCACGTTGCTCTCCCACCCGCGGACGGCCGAATGGCACCATGGGCACCAAGAGCAGTGCTAGCTAAGATCTGTCATATGACAGCTGAGTCCGATACCGTTGCGCTAGCCCCGACTAGTCGGTACCTCCACGTCCTTTTACACTTCCATTGTTTCGTCAGTGCTTCTGGGGGAGGTTGTTCTTTCAGATGACAAGAGGCGGCTCAAACCTAGAATAATACAGGTGCCAAAAACGTCATGAATTCCACGAGACCTTCTGGAATGAAGACAGGAGCACGTTGCTATGACGCCTGTCTTATTGCGAGTCTCTTGCAACAAAAGAGCCTTTGTCTATACTGGTCTCAGACACCCCAACTGGGGAGGACGGTGCTTGACGATAAGATACAGTATGCGCAGTAGATAGATGATCGCAAGATAAGGACCCGCCGATATGCACATATGTATGTACTGTATAAGGATACAGCGGTACCTACATGATTAGGTGGCACATACATGCATTCTGAACTATAGAGGACCAGCCAGCGCATTTAGCGCTTGTCCGTGATTCCCTCGATTTGCTCCCTCCATCACTTGAAACGGAGTGGATTGTAACCCACCTTGAGCAGGTCCCCTACTTTTCCCTTATCGGAGCTCTAGGGGTTCCCCGCGATTTTGTTGTTGGTGTGCAGGTTTGTCTGCCTACAGGATATCGGGTGTAGGACAGGACAGGACAGGACAGGACAGCCGAGTGTGAACCACTCTGTCTGTGTATGGAGGCTAGCGAAACGATGCACAGTCCTAAGAATAGGTGCATATGGCCGATTGCGGTTGTCGTATCTTGCTTGACGTGATCCATTGTGCACAAGTTAGATTATGTTGCATAAACCCAGCTTCCCAACCCAAACCTGCTGGCCTGATGCGATGAATGCGGATTTGAGGAACCATGGTGACGTCCGCGGGCTCTGTTACAGCCTGATCAGGCAAACTGGGGTTTTGATGGGTCATCATGATTGGCAAGTTCTTTGGCTTTGGAGCTTCTGCAGGTCTATGAAAAGGCAAAAACGCCCTGGAGGTACACACCGAAAAGACTGCCCCTGGCGCCGTGCATGTGCCCGTTGCCGGACAGGAACACTCTTACCCTCACTAGAACCTTGATCAGCTTGCGTAGGTGTTGCAGGTCCACCTCGAGCCAACAGCTCGATATCGCAAAAAGTCCTATTATATACACAAGTCACACCACAACCTCGAAACCGCCCGTCATTTGCTTCGGGATCTGACAGGCGGGAACTCTGACAAGATCGACACAGCCGGCAACAGTTCCACCTTATTCACCAGCCTGCCTAGCGCTGTCCATGCAGCCACGTCTGTTTCCGAGCATGTAGGCAAACAGTCACCGGGCGACGCGACATGCATGGGGGCATGCATCCGGCATGCGGCCAGATAGCCATACAGAAAGGCACAGACGTCCGGAGTGCCACATTCAGTAAAAAGTCCAGACCCGAGACTGCCAGGGTCTTGCGGGCCTCCCAATCAGGTCCTGATCATCGTGTATAGCATTGGGATGTCAATTCTGCACTAGATAGGCCAATTCGACCATTGTGAACATGCCAGCTACTCCAGAACCTTGCACCTGAAAGCATTGGGCCCAAGACATCAGTTTCTGGCCAACAACAGAGTACACACATGACAAGCCGGCGGCCAACATCCCACACCGACCAATATTTCCCCTAGGCTACCACACTGTTGTGCCAGGCAGGGTGGAGGGGACCCTGTTGGTAGGTGTTGGGTCTACACCACCAACCTCGTCCAGGGCCTGATAGCCTCGCTGCATAGCACCCAGCTTGTGTCCGATCATGTAAGCCCTACTCTGATTAGGCAATTCCGATCAGAGCATAGCCGGACCGTTCCTTTGCCTGCCACTACTGCGCACTTCTCATTGGGAACACGAAATGAAAGCAGCTGGACTCAGTTGTCAATGTTGACGTGGACATCTTCGTGCTGCTTCATTTTAGGGAGCTCGTGAAGGGCCTCGCCAATAATGCCGATCGCCTTTCGCAGTTGAGCCTCAGAGATGACTAGTGGCGGTGCGAAACGGATAATGTTACCGTGAGTTGGTTTAGCCTATAGCGCCAGTCAGTCTCACATCTTGCATACTACCAATCAAATTCATTCCTACGTACCAGAAGGCCCTTCTCCTTGAGCAGGATGCAGAGGTCCCAGGCCGAGTGGCCGTTGGCCTGCGATTCGTCAATGACAACGGCATTGAGCAAGCCCTTGCCACGGACGAGGCTGACGAGCGGCGAGTTGAAGGCGGCAATTCCCTCGCGGAAAATGTTGCCCAGCTTCTCGGCCTTTTGAGTCAGTTGCTCCTCCTCCATGATTTCCAGGGCACGGATGGAGACTGCGCAACCCAGGGGGTTTCCGCCATAGGTCGATCCATGGGTACCAGGCTCAACGACCAGCATAATCTCCTTGCTGCTGAGAACCGCACTCACGGGGTAGAGGCCGCCGGAGATGGCCTTGCCGAGAGTGACCATGTCAGGCTTGATCCCTGCCCACTCGGAGCACAGCATCCTTCCGGTACGGCCGATGCCGGTCTGGATCTCGTCGCAGATCAATAGAACATTGTGCTTCTTGCACAGGTCTTGGACCTTGGCCAGGTAATGGGCGTCAGGGACGACGACACCTGCTTCACCCTGGATGGGCTCGACGATGAAGGCAGCAGTCTCCTTGCCATGCGCCTCGAACACTTCCTCGAGATCCTTCAAGTTGTTGTATCGGATGGGCTTGCCGGTCGAGGGGGAGATGGCGCCAATGTTGGGAATATAAGGACCGTAGTTGTCCTTGGACTCGGGATCAGTAGAAAGGGTGACAGCAGTCATCTATAATATATCAGGATCAGTTCTCCGCGGGGGCTGCGATGAAACTTACCGTTCGGCCGTGGAAGTTTTCCTCGACGCCAAATACCAAGGCCTTGCCCTGGGGGACTCCCTTGACCTTGTAGGCCCACTTGCGAGCAATCTTGATGGCGGTCTCGACGGCCTCGGCTCCGGTGTTCATGGGCAGTACCATGTCGTAGCCGAACATCTGCTGGACCTTCTCGGCCCACTTGGGGAAGACATCGTTGTAGAAGGCGCGCGAGCTCAGCGTCAATCGGCCGGCCTGCTCTGTGAGGGCCTTGACGAGCTCAGGGTGGCAGTGGCCCTGGTTCACGGCGCTGTAGGCGGACAGGAAGTCGAGGTACTGCTTGCCCTCGGGATCCCAAACGTCGACACCTGAGGCACGTGAGAAGACGACAGGCAGAGGGTGGTAATTGTGAGCGGCAAACTTCTGCTCGGCGTCAATTGCACCCTTGGTCGAGGAGGCATGATACCTGGAGGAGGCAGACGACCCGTTGCGGGAGGTCTCGTCAGCGTGGGGTGCCATGTTGGTTTGGTGGTGGTGGTGGTGGTGGTGATGGTGGGATGGCGGGGTGCTCAGGTGGGAGCGTTGGTGTCAATTGAGGCTACAGTAGCAAGGTATACGAAGATGTGGTATTCTCTTGGGCAACAGGCCATGGGCAAGAGGCAGCAGACAGGTGGTGATACGATGCAGGATCTCCAGACGACCTCAAGTTGCTGCTGTCGATTATAACGGTCGAGGGAAAGGGAGAGAATCGGCTGTAGGCGGGGTGAACTTTAGGTAATAATACACTGGCCAAGCGTGCATTGCGTGGGAAGACGGCCGGCCACTAAGCCTCTAAGTGCAAGTCGATGCGGCTCCTGCAATCGGAGGAGGGCAATTCGTAGGAGCTTGACGTAGCGGACCAGGTCACATGCAACCTGGAAGCCGAAGCAAAGCGGCCGCGTGGGTAGTCCGTGAAAACAAGGAAGCGTTTTTGTTCCTAACTCGGAGGCTTGCCGCCGCCTCATACGATGATGGGAATGCATGTCGGGAGACCGCCTTGGTCGCTCGACCAGCTCATCGGCCCTGGGGAGAAGGAAAGCGCGGCGGGCTACGGCGGGCGGCATACGGCATACGGCACGGAGTCGCAACCCGAGGGGCGGATATGCCTTGGAGCCAGCCTGCGGCAGACCAATCAGAGCCCGGGTATTGTCATGTTGGACGAGAAAGCAGCGCGGAGTCCATCTGTCTGGACGGAGCACATGCGGCCTCGACTGACACTGCCCAGGTGACACCCTGACACTGCGGACGCCGCTGGATAGGGTGGATAGGGCTGGCCAGACCCCGTTGGCGTTGGTGTTCGTCAACGCCTGGGCGATTTCGGTCGAAAGTGCCCCTCGGGCGGCCCCCAAACCCCCTTGTGGGAGTGCTGAGCCGAAGTGGGGGCCCACTCCCTGTTCCAGCTGGCCTCCAGCTCCAGTGCTTGTCAGCCTCAGGCCTGCCTGGGGTTAGATTAGTCGCGGCGCCCCAGTTGCGCAGGTCCGCCGGTGTCCGGTACGTACCGAGCACTAGATTGGCGAAGACCAATCAAGCAACCAGTCCAAACCGTTCATTGAAGGCGATAGCTCGAGACGTTCAATGATTGCGACGAGACTTATCTACGGGGACTCTCCTATTCTTTCTCATTGTCCAACTTCGCAGCTCGCTTGTAGCTCTCGTCAAGAAAATGGTCAAGGAGGATGCCACTGAAGGTGTGGTTCAGGGCGTGTCTGCCGCCGCCCCAGACCAAGCCCAAGACGCGCCAGCATGTCCAATGCGGCAAAACGCAGTAGCTTCACAGCTCAAAGATGCGCTCGCTGTGTTGTTCGCTATACGCCTCATCAATGCGCTGTGTGTTCGTACCTTCTTCCAGCCTGATGAGTACTTCCAAGCCCTCGAGCCGGCATGGCAGATGGTATTCGGGCCAGATAGTGGTGCCTGGATGACCTGGGTATGTCATCAGGGGAACCTCACATCATGACACACCCATCGCATCATCTAACAATCGCGTAGGAATGGCAGAACCAACTGCGCTCCTCGCTTCATCCTGGCGTCTTCGCGGTTGGCTACACCATCATGGGAAACTATGTCTCCTCAATCCCCATGCCTGCTCACTACGGGGCCTATGCTTTCCTGGCAGTACCCAAGGTCATGCAAGCTGGCTTTGCTGCCTTGAGTGACTGGTTTGCCTGGAGGCTTGGCGAGAGGCTATTCGGACAGAACACTGCTTCTGCCTGGTCTGTGGCAAGTGACGTTTCCCACTACCCAATCGAGAAGAACCACCCTAACCGTCTCCTGCAGCTAGTCATGAGCATTGTGAACCCCTGGCAATGGTATTGCTCTACAAGGACCTTCTCTAACTCTCTGGAGGGTACCTTGACCATAGCTGCACTTTTCTACTTTCCTTGGGAGTTGCTTGGCACCCAAGGTCAGAGTCCGGGGAATGCAGGATCTCCAGAGGTCTTCAAGAAAAGGGGTTCTGTCAATAGGTAATATGAAACTCCTCTTGGCCGACACGACAAGTATTACGCTAACACACACTATAGCCTCCGCCTGTCCATCATATTTGCGACACTGGCGGTTCTGCTGCGTCCCACGAACGTCCTGATCTGGCTCGCCGTGGGGACCCTTGCTGTGACCAGGCTTACACTTGATGGAGTCTCACCACTGACTGGGAATACGATTTTCGTTCTCATAAGGGAGGCTCTTCTTTGCGGGTAAGTCCATCCATGTTATGCACGCTCTGGTGAACATAACTCACCCGATTAGGTCTCTCGTGTTGGGGCTGTCATTGTATGCCGATAAGCAATACTTTGGCGAATGGACCTTTCCGCCCTTGAATACGTTGTATTACAACATTTCTCAATCTTTGGCCATTTTCTATGGCCAAAATGACTGGCACTACTACCTCTCGCAAGGCATCACCTTGTCTTGCACCACCATAACCCCTTTTGCGGTTCTGGGTCTGTGGTCAGTACCTGAGGCTGCTCTCCACTCGGTCACAACCAAGAACGCTCTCAAGGCCCTAAGCTTCGCGGTTTTGATAACCATCTCTACCTTGTCTTTCATCGTCCATAAAGAAGTTCGCTTCATCTATCCCCTCATACCCATTCTCCATATCCTGGCTGCTCCACATATCACTTCGTTCTTCACCCAACCTGAGGAAGGCGGGATTCCAACTGCAAATGGCCCGATCGGCGCACGAAGAAAGCCTCTCCTCGTCCTGGGACTACTTGTCAATCTCATCATTGCCTCCTACCTGTCGTATTTCCATGCAGCTGCGCCAATATCTGTGATGAGTTACCTGCGCGGCGAATTCGAGAGGATTCACCCAGAGAACATGACAGTCGCGACACCTTTCTTGTTCAAGAACGAGACAGCGGAGCCGCTCGAACTATTCGCGTTGTTCCTCACTCCGTGCCACACCACACCGTGGCGCTCGCACCTGATCTATCCGGCCCTCAGGGCAAGGGCATTGACCTGTGAGCCACCGCTCCACACCGCTCCAGGTTCGCCTGAGAGAGCTGCCTACGTCGATGAAGGCTGGCGATTCGACGCCGACAAGGTGGGCTTCCTGGCCAATGAGCTATGGCCTACCGGCGGAAAGGGCGAGGAGCTGCCACGCTACATCATTGGTTTCGAAGGCATTGAGGACGCGCTGAGGACCTACTTCGGGCCAGCGGGTCCAGGGGCAGACAAAGGTGTTACGTTGAAGCAGACTTGGAGCGAATGGAATGGTCTGTTCACAGATGACGACCGAAAGGCCGGAGAGATCCGTGTCTGGGAAACAGGTATCTACTGACCAGGCCAGTTAGCTGAGTCTGGTCTTGATCACTACCTAGAATTTTAATTAATTTATCTATTTTCGAATACAGTCTTCCTCCACAGTTCAACCCCGTGTCTTCCCTCCCGAGAGGCACTAGTCCAGCTTTGCGTATGCGCGGTGTTGATATGACTTTCTCAGGCTAAATACGCATTGAAAATTTTCTAGTCGTAATTCTAACTCCGTTGCAGTTAATCTCAAAAGGCTGACGCTGTTCTTCATCTTCGGTTTCATACAAATACTCGGTTTCATCCAAATCAGATCCAGAGCGCTGAAGGTATTGTTCTCTGAGAGTCAGCGATTGTTTTTCATCCTGACGCCCATGTCGCCTGGAATGTCCAACTGTTCCGTGTTCAGAAGTAGGTGCTCGCATACCATTATCTGTGGTTACATAGTCCCCTGAACCAAAATATGCCTGCGAAGGGGCCGCTTCAATGCGACGACCGCGGGGTATAGTTTGTTGTCCGTGTGACGAATTGCGTGGAAGTCTGCCGTGCTGATATGACGCGACTGACCCCGTCACTGTTGAAATTGTTGATCTTTCAGCATCAGAATAGTCACTTGTTACATCCGAAGTCATCGCTATAGAGAATGTCGATTCGTCATCTCCAGATCCTGACTGTCTAATTGAGGCCTTTGATTGTTAGGTGAGTGTTGTGATGAGATAGGTAGGATATCTTACATTCGACACATAATTTCGAGGGACTTCCACGAATCCTCGAAGATAAGGGCTTGAAGTCTCCCGATGATGTGGATGTGGAGATCCAACGCCTACCGGATGGTGCTCGCGGGCTAGTTCTGACTTAGATATCTGCCGTTGCCGGTCCTCCCTCGGTTGAACTACTTGACGGCGCTGCACTCCATAATAGGGCGTCTCCTCATCGATCTCACTTTCTGACATGGGCCGTTGTTAGTCCTCTACAGCGTGATCTCTCTGATCGTAATGCGCACCAAAATGAGATGATTCGTTAGCCTTCTGGCTTCTTGACATGGGCCTCTCTCTAGTTCGATTTGGTGATGGATGTTCCTTATAAACGTCCGAAGGATAAATGGACCCACGCACATTCCTTGAACGCTGCATGTGGCGCGACGAATCGTTGCTCAGTTGCCGTGGTATTTCTACGGGATGGCAAAGTTCTGCGCGGTATTTCAAGAGTGTTCTATCGTTTCTGCTCACCACCATTCGCCTGGTATTGCACCGGTGGTCTACTGCGGAACGCAGGATGTCTGTTCTTCCGGTCAGGTTTCCCCATTTGTTCCTCAAATGTTCCCTCGGTAAAAGGAGTTGATTGTCCAGCTATGGGTTCCGACGTGGGTTACTCACACTTCTTGCGTTTGGATTTATGCCTCCGCTATCCACACTTATGAGTATGCTTGCCGAAAAGGGTCTGTAGAGGTAGAGACGAATATCGAACTGTACATGAGGAAAGACATATAAGAGGATAATTCTTGCTCTCATCCAATGTAGACAAGGAGGCAAGTTGAAGCCGATTTCACACCTTAATATAGTTATAGCTGCGCCCAATGACACCAAACGCCTTGTGGATGGAAAACATTTCGACAACGCCGCGTCTTCCTGGCATACGGTCATTCCACCACCTGACCCGCTCTGATAGGGTCATGCTACCCAGAAAATGGTATGATTCCGGTTATTAGCTCACCAGTGAGATCAGTCGCAAAGGGCTCCTTTGTTCATTGTTTGGTGAGCTTGGACATGATAACCAACAACTTGAAGTCAACAAAGGCAATCGCCCAATTTCAGTCCATGAGCCACCATAGGCCTGTCACGTTCCAACATAAATGATTAGAATATCCAGTGATTACAAGCTCCCCCGAAGCACCATGTCATGGGATCGGAGTTCCACCATCGTAGCCAGCTTTATGTTGATCAGTAATCATAGATTTGGAGGATTGAACATTCCAACATGTTGCTTTATTCGGTATGATTATATAGTTGCATTTCCATCTATCGCATATCGCAAAGGATTGCCCTTTCACATGCTGACTAGGCACAGACTCCTTTGTTTGTAGCCCGTCGTTCATAAAACTCGTGATCTCCACAACAGCCAACAAGCAACAGCCGGCCCGGTAGCATTATGCCAAGTACTCGTAAGAGTTGCCATCTCTCTCGAGGTAGTCCTTCTCAATAAGCCTGCAGCTGGTCAGTAAATCGGCATCACAACAAAAATGCGGAGGGCCACGTACTTCTCAATATTCTTCTTGATCTCAGCTGTATCAACCGCGCCACGGCTCTTCGTCTGGTTGATGACCTCTGCCACCAGGTTGGCGTGTGTCATGTTCTTGCGGCTCTTCATGATGCGGACGATGGCCGCCTGAGTCTCGAACTGCCTGTCGACGGCGACCTTCTGGTGTGTCGCCTCGTTCTCCTCTTTTGTCTCCTTGAGCTGGATCTGGTTGATCTTCACCCGATACTTTGGATCTGTAAACGCCTTGTTGACAGTGAACGTATCGGTGTTCTTGACGTCCTTGCCTTTGGGGTGCTTGGTGAGCACACGGGCTTTGCCACACGCTAATGACTGCAGTGTGCGGTCCAGGTCCTTTCCGGTCAAGCCTGACGCTTCAGAGATTTGAGAATAGGAAAGAAATCCATCCGGGTTGTCTTCAACCTGATTGAACAGCTCGAGGACGATAGCCTGAAACGCGCTGACGAGAAGTTCCTTCGAACCTTTGTTGAATTTCGCCTTCACAGTGCAATGCGCCAACGAATGTTTCCATGTCAGTCTCCGTCCCGTATGTTTGCCGGTGTAGTATGATTCGAACTGCTCGATCTGTTTCGCGACCTCCGAGGGCAAGCCAATACGTGAATCCGGATACGTAGGCCAAGCCGCAGCAGATAATATATCAACGTTAAGGTCCACGGAACTCTTGTCGCGGCCAGTGTTTTCTCGGTAGGATTTGTAGGCGTTCATCTCCTCACGCGCAAGCTCCTTGTCCTTGAACATTTGCTCAAGGTTGTGGGTGAAACTAGAACCGCATTCGCTCTTGAGCTTGGTGAGCATGCTTCGTTCGGCATCTGCACTGGCACTGCGGTTCATCAAGAGCCGGCGAGCCAGGTCCTGTTTGTAGAAGGCCTCAAAGACGTCTTTGCCCTCGATGAATCTGAACAGTTCCAGAGCCTGGTCAAGCTGTCTGTCGAGCTCTGCGTCTTCGTCTCCTGTGCTCGCTTGACCACTCTTCTCAGCTGCAGCTCGGTCCTTGAGATCCGATAGTAACGACTTCGGAATGGTTTTGAGACCGCCTCTAAGCAACAAGTCGATATACTTGGCTATCATCTCGCCCACCTTGGAAGTTCCGGTCTTCCAGGCAGATAGGATCTTCTTGTCATTGATGAAGCCTCCAAATGCCTCTCTCAGGCCGTATGTGAAATCTTCGTCTTGGTTGAAGGCATCCCGCACCATGATGTCCAAGGCTCTTCGGAACTCGAGCAGCCGAACCACCATTTCATCCCCCCTGTCAGTATCGTTGACGATAGCGGCGCCTGCCTTTCTTATATACTCTTCCCACGGACCCCTTAGCCGCTTCTGTATGGCCGACAGCCGCAATAGCTCGTATAACGCCTGCATGGACTCAACATCTTGTTCATCCAGTAACTTGCTTACGCTGCCGCTGTCGAGCAGCTTTTCGGAGTAGCTTTCAATCAACAAGGTGTGGGCGTCAAGCATAAGTTGCCGCTTCGATAAACTGTCAAAATTGTAGGCGTTGCATCTGAAGTCTTCCGCAGCCAGCAATCGCTTGCAAGCAGAGATATACGACTTCAACGACGATGCGCTTTGCTCCTCCGCAAATTCTTCGAAGTAGGCCCTGGACGTCTCCAGAAAGCGAGGCTCGAATGACTTGCCGTAGATGTTGAGCACGTGAAGCATCGACACAGACTCACGCAGTAACGAGGCATCAAAACGGGAATCTCCCCTCCGATCGTAGTCGATGAGATCGCACATACCTGCCAGAACGGTTGGGCCGAATTTGGAAGACAGGAAAACCATCCTCCTGAATAGGGTTATTGCCATGTCATTGATCATTTGCAGGTCCTTGAACTTCAAGAGAAATGTCCTGTCGAGGAAACTGAAGGTGGATCTAATCATAGCCTGGATCCTGTGAGCGGCTGGGACTATCCGAGCGTTGAGGAACCTACCGATTGTTGGCCCCAGATCACCCAGTATTTGTGAACACTGCGCAGAACTTCGATGTTGGAGGCCCCGGCTTGGCTCTTGATGGCCTTTGCCATATCCTCGTTCAGGTACGCCTCACATTTTTGCCTCAGAAATTCGTACAGCTTTCTCGACTCTGGCTCCCCGCGCATGCAGATGTTCTCTACACCCCTATATATGGTTTCGAGCGGCTTGTTCGGCAGCTGCCTGGCAAAGAATGCCTTCAAGGCTGCGTCTAAATCGGCCCATGTCTTCCGGTAGAAGTCCTCGAGGTCGCTCGTCCTGGAGGCGGTCCGCAGGTTCTTGATGACGAGCTTCTTTGTGCCGCGCTGGGGGAGAGAGGGACCGGAGGGACCGGAGGGTTTGGTCAGGTCGATCAGATCGACGGGTTCGGGTCGTTTGCCCTGGACTTTGCTCATCCTGAGAGCAGCCGCGGGGCTCGGGGCGACGTTGTCCTTGAGGCGTTTGGAGTCTTGGGTGGACGGCCTGCTTTCGGACGGTGGTCGTTTATGCGGGAGGACGCCGCCAGCCGACTTGTGCCTCGACTGGGCTCCTGAAGCACTGGCCGATCCGTTCTGTGGCGATATCGAGGATGGAGGTGGAGGCATGGACTTGATGGCAGGCCATGCAACAGTGTCACACGGACCTTGGAGCGAATGTAGACCGACGGCTTTCTCGGGGGCGCCCAGAGGTTGGCAGGCGTTCAATTCTATCGCGAATGCCGGTTATCAGCTTACTACCTTAGTAGAAGCTACCGAGCGAGGTGAACGAGCTCCGGGAGCTTTATCTCTCCATGATGATGCAAGCCGCCTGTAGCGCGCGTCGGCCCAGTCGCGCTTAAGTCCGATTTGCTGCTGGACACAGCCCTGGAGCCATCCGACGCGGGGGAGGCACTGCACTTAACTAATGGCGTGCCCCTCCCATCACCACCAACGACGACCCGACGTCGCTAATGTAGGTTAACTTACAAGGCTGTCCAGGTGAATTGTCTATCTACCTGTCGGCGCGCTTTTCAGAACAATCGTGACCCCTTTGTCCTGATGTGTTCGACTTGCTATCATCTAGCATGAACAGCAGTTTTACACCATTTTGGGCACCAAGAGCTGTTCGCGCCTCTTTGAACGAGTATTGTCATTTTCAATGGGCCCTGTACCTATCATATGACGAAGCCGATGTTTGAGTTCACTTCTCTGCACTAAACCTCCCACCCCAATGTACCTTTATATGTTGAACCCATCGACGGAATGCTCCCCAGGTTTATCCATTACGAGACGAAAGTATTGTGTATATTCCACTTATCGGTGGGAACACCCGCTGAACCCGCCACTTGATATCAACCGTCGAAGAAAGCCGCCTGTATATATGACACGACTTGCCAGAGTGTCAAATTGCTCGACATAATTCTGGACGAATTATCACATCCAAATCCGTGAGAACAAGCACCATGGTTACAAATGACTTGACTAGTTTCATTACATTGTCACAATGCCTAGCTTCTCTGCCTAGCACTATAATACAAGTTTCGGAGAGATAATCCATCTAGAACTGCTCCGACTCACGAGATGCCTGGGTGGTCGACTCAGGCGCCTCATATCCCTCCGCAGAGATGGATCCAGGGACAGACTCCGGAGTGTAGTAATCTGAGCCCTTGAACTGCTGCTTCCCTCGCGGCATGCCCTTGCTCTGCATGTTGGATTGGGCTGCCTCCTTGCCTTGGGGCATCACATCGCGACCAGAGTGCCCAACGGGGACGGAGGATTCTTGGGCGCTGTACTCGTATTGTGGTTGATGCCTTCCGCTAGGGTCGTACGTCTGTTCACCGCCGAAGTCACGAGCCTGGTCCGCAAACTTGTCGTCAGGGCCACCGTGACCTTCGAAGTGCTCGCCACGGGTTTGTCTTTGAGCATTCTTAGCATATGCTTGTGGTATTTCACAGAGAAAACCGAAACTCACCTTCCACGGGCATCCAGGTCACCTCCCTCCTCGGGAGGAATTCTCTTGTTGTAACCACGGTTTGTGCTCAAGTCATCGCCGTATCGGACTTCCGCACCAGGGAACTTCTGCTCAACTCGAGTGTCGACACCGGCATCGTCGGTAGCGGTTGACCTGTGGCCCGTCTTCGCTTCGTAGGTGTTGAGGTCACGCTCAGCCTGCTCGGCAATATTGCGCAGTTTATCTCCGGGCGCCATTTTGTGTATGTGTATGTATTGGTCAGCGGTTGAAATATTTCGTGTGTTTTGATAGCTTTGAAAGTGTGCTGGCGGGAGAATATGGGTCTGAAACGAGCCCAATTGACTTTGACCGGCTTTATGAAGTTATATATATGCGCTTCGACAATGTAGGGTACGTCATGGAGGTTGGTTGGCATCAGTATAGCTTCTGACTTTTACTTGACTTCATGATGAAATCATATCTCCAATTATCTCATACGCGCCCGAGTGGCCTAACAGGTCTGCTACATTCCGATGACAAGATCTAGGCTTGCCATCCCGATTGCAACCAGTGTTGCAATCAATTTCCCAAAATCTCCAGTTGATTTGTAGCGACCTGAAGAAGCCATGATGCAATCCGATCCCAATCGCGCACCAAATGCTCCGGCGGCTCTGCAAGTGGGTTCCCCTAGTGAGTAAGTCCCAACGCGATCGTCTCCACCCTATACTCAGACCAGTCTTGGCTGTACCAACTCGGTGCGTGAGCACATCATGCCTGTGGATAACATGCTAAGTAACAACTTACTCAAGCGCATTTGGTATTGCGAAAATTCTGCAACATGACAGCATTGCTTTGAGTTCATGTTGCACACTAGAGGGGTAGAGATTTGCTCTTTGTAGTCTAAGTCCTGTCTTTCTGTCAGCTTGATTAGTGTTTTTCCTGCGGTGTAGACTAAGCGGAAAGTCCGCCTCCCTCTGATGTGGAGGTTTTCGAGACAGAAAGTATAGTATATTCTCCATAATGACTGTTCTTACGAAAACTTTTCGGACACATCAAACGTTAAAGCCGTGAAACATGATGCCCTGCAACCTTGCACGACCACCGAATAAATTCGTAGGGCTTTCTTTCTATCCCATGACGCAGACCTGTTTAGACATGAGCTACCGAGAGCTCTCATACCAAGAGAGAATCAACGCCGGAGGGAACCGGAAGGTTTCCGGCTGCTGACTGATTTGCGTGTTAAGATTAAGGTTAACGATAAGAGCAAAGTCCAGTGAGATGTTGCCTTGCCGGATATTGAGATCTATATGTGAGCACTCCAAGCGTTGCTACGGCATAGTCAAGAGCATCTAGGTTGTCCTTTCTAAAGGAGTACATCTCGGCATTGATAGAGAGAAACCTCCCTTCCAGCCGACATTCAGATCATCTGGCCTAACTCAGCTTGTCGGTGTTACTATTCCATCAGGGAAAAAATTGCCGTTTCGCCAAAGTCGCCCTGCTCTCCCGTACTCTTAGGCAAGGATATTTGGCGTGCTTCGGTGTTTTACGACGAGAGGTACAAGGTCTGGCGTGTCATAATGCTCCCGACGCTGCGGCGACTTGTGTCAGCTGGTAGCCGAGTCTCGAATAGAGTCCCGTCAATATACAGTCGAAGTACTCCCCATTATCGATCTGTATGCCTTGTCGCGCGTCATATAGGAACTTGGAGGAACATGATAGACAGGTACGCCCGGAGGCGAGAGGGGCATGGCTACATGTGGCCCGGGTATTGCTGACGAGGCAAAAGGAGAAGAGCCTTTTGTTCAGCGAGGCTCGGCAAACCTTGAAGAAGGCCTGAAGTCTCCTCCAGATGTCGCGAGACGGACGTGTGACACCCGTGGCCTTTACCCAGTCTCGTCCCTGGATTCCTGCCGAGGTCGGGAGAATAGGGGACTGCCCCTTCCCGGGAAGCGGCAACGCGTCGCGTCTCAGATGTTTCTTGCCCTCATTTCCGAAGCCGTTTTCTTACGTACCACCGGGCTAAGTTGTCAGTATTTTCTCACTATAGATGCCGATATAGGGGGAACTCACTATCGGCAACGCCACTTTTCATTAGGCGCACAATGCAGAGGCTCGTAGCTCTCACGTCATATTGGAGGTTATCAGCGGCATTGTTGGATATATGAAGCCCTTTATGTTTTGAGTGCCGAGAAACTGAATTTTCCCAGTGGCCCGTTTTCAATATGGAAAGTTCCAGGACCCTTAGGAGGTTGCGGTCTCGGTGCCGTCCTTGCAGTCGCGACCGTGCCTGGGGACTGTACCTCTGGTACCAATACGTGAAGTAAACTCACAATTGGCCTTGTTGTGCTACTAAAGAGTATTCTCCGATGTTCCATGCGCCAGCTACGCAAAATGTACTGCAAAATGGACTATAACAATGCTAAATCTTGGAATCGAGTCAGCAATGTAGCTCAATGACTTGGGAACATGCAGCACGTGTGAACTCACAGTACACGATTGCACAGATACCGCCTTAAGGGAATAAACGAAGCTGCAATAACTAAACCAGGGCCCAATACCGGGTATACAGTGCCGTAACGTTGCAGGCTGACGTACGGCCCTGGCAGATGCAGGCGCGAGCTCGTAGGGTGCCCGGGAAGTTCCAGGCAAGCGAAGGGGGACCCTCAATATCGACCTCTGCCAGGCGTGCGGATCAGGCGCGTCAGGTGCCATTCGCCTGAGGAGATTGTGGGTGTAGGCAAGGGGCTCTCTGGCGGGAAATGGGCCGTTACGACTTTGCCCCAGCGAGGCCATTTCCTGGAATCGGGGTCGACGCCTCGTCGCTGGCCGGCTCAAGCGAGTGCTGCCGAGTGGGCTCGCTAGACGGCGACAGGATCAGTCCGATATGAAGCCGCCGGGTTATCTGGACTCCGCAAAGGCAAAGTAATCAATCAACCTGTGGCTTGTCAGACGAGATATTTGGAGCCTGCGAGTCGCTGAACAACAACGTGATACCTCCGTTTTACCCGGCGTCAAGTTTTACGTAGTCGCGAGCATCTGAAGCATGCACTTCCTTGGAATTGCCGTCTGAAATGACACTTTTCAACATTCTAGAAGAATGGCGGGAAGCGGAAGTGTCAAATCCGAGAGAGGCTAAAAGCTTGCATCAAGCCATCCATATAGTCAGGTGTTTGATCTACGTCTATCATTGATCTGCGAGACTTGGGATGAACTGTCCGTGTTCAGAGCGAATCGTTGACGAATTGTAGAAGAACGACTGAGACAAGATTAAGAGACCATCGTAGTCATAACACTGTGCAGAGTTCGATTTTCAGGATCGACATTCGAGAATATCTCTGACTAGGTTCACACGGTTTCACCCAGACGCATCCCGTTGATATCCTACAACCAGGACAAGCGTTGTGTCTCATTTTGGTAGCAGTCAGGCCGAATTAGCCACCGTCGTCTTCACCTACTCTTTAAATCCGGATGACACTAATCCCGACGTGTCCGCTACGATCATTCGATCAGGTTAGTAGATCGTTGGAAGTGTGGAAGTGTGGATTGTGTGGTGTCGGGGTAATATGTGGAAGGAGTTATCTTAAGGTTTTTGCGGAGCCTGATTTGCATGAACCTGGTACGGTTGGGGTCCATTCTCTGGTCGTCATGGGTCAAGAGCTCACAGAGTGATCACCGTGGATGGCTTGTCGAGTTGCATGCGTCAATCATGGGTTGTTGATGGCAGGCCATGTGTAGCATTTGACGAAGCCCACGAGGCCCGCCTCTGATGTTACCGTTCCTGACTATATCGTAACAATAGCTCAAGAACAAGTCCGCTAGTGGTTTGCCGGGAGAAAAATGACATATCATTTCCAGCGGGCTCACACCGTTGCAGTATCGCTGGGCTGCTCGGCTGGGGCTCCGAGAAGTCGGAGATTTCAGACATCGAGAGAGTAGACAATATTCTCCTGTAGCGTCTTGCGTAGTTGGGAAACCAAGAAGTGTGAAAGAGCCCAGGATTCTGCATGGACATGAAACAAACTATTATCCAAAGTTTATGCCTTCCCTCCAGAGAGCGCCTTACGGAGCCAAATGTCCCTCCATCATTTGCGGCAAATGACACGGGCTGGCGAACCTATGCACCAACCGAAGATCAAAGAATCCTGACGTCCGCTTTTGCTTCAAACTCGGAACAGATTCTGATTTGCGTGCAGGGCTTTGCACCCGACTCGAATCCTCCTAGGGGAGGGTATAGAGAGCCGGGTATTATTATAGCACGCGGCAAGTGGGTCCCATAGTCTGCTGCCCATGCAAGCAGCCCCAATGACTGGCGTCTTGCAAGGATGGGCGGGACGCGGGATTCTGACTACTGGATCCCCAACAGGGGGCTCTGAACACCCGAGCAAGAAACATTTTAACCGGCGTGGGTCTGAGTGAAACCTCTGCCAACTATGGTTCGTCCCGGTTGTTGGACATCTTAGTTGGCTTCTCCAAGCTGGAATTGCACGGGCTTGTCAAAAGTTCCTTGTGGAGTTCTGTGGGCGGATGTTGAGCCGATCCCCATCATCGGCAGTTACATCCTCATCGGGGAATTTTTGATTCGCTTGGCCATCCACAGCACTCAAGACGCCTCGCTGTCTTCTGCCAGATCTGAACTTAAATCTTGAATCCAAGCCTGTAGGGTACTTCGCATTGATGCCACTGGTCCAGCTCTTCTGCATATGGTTGATTGCATCGATGAGCGTACATAATCGGCATCCAGCTTTTTGTCCCGAACTATCGAAAGAGGCTTGCGGATCTTTCCCCAAGCTTACGTTCAACGGGGCCATCGTATGATGGGAGTGCTGCGTTCTAAAGACAGTCGCGCGGCAGTTGGGCAGGGGGTAACACGCGCATGTAGATGTAAAGATGGAGCCTACTATGTAGCACTGTCAACGCACAAAGCGTCCGGATCCGACCCGTGCCGTAGCTAGGATGAGCTGTGTGCCATGTGACTTTTCCCGTGGTGGTCCTTTTAGCTTGCCGTGTTTGAGCCATCGTTAATGTTCTGGTATCTTCGCATACGCGGGCTGCAGAAATAAATTATCACCAGTCCATCTTCGAATGTTGTGTAATACGGAGGCTACATAGATTCGGTACGGCTCCGTTCACTTGGCCATCTTGAACTCATGCCACATATGTAACTTGGAGCTGAGTCTTGGGGTTGAATTGATATATGGGTTCTTGCATTTACTAGTGTCTATGACAACTAAAGAGTTGATGGTTTTCCAGATTAGGATATATTGATTAGACTGCGACCTTGTATGGATCTAGACATTCATCGACACTTTGATTTGGAAGCTCATATTCGCAAAGGGCTGCTTTGGTGTGGTTGACTGACAGCGTAGTCGCCCAAGAATTACCTCCCGTAGCCCAGCACATTTTGACCAACCAGTTACGATGACAGGAGCCAGCAAATGATGAACTGGCGACTATTTGCATCTCCAAGCAAAGAGGCTTGCTACCACCATTATGTCTAATAGAGAGGCAAGAGTATGTTGAGCAAGTTCTGAACCTCTGATCAACGTAGGCTTAGGGGCGTTCAATGTACGAAAGAGTAAACCCGGAATCAGGGTAGTATTGTGCAGCACACGACAGGCCCCCTTGCACACACAGCGCCCAATCTCATCCAAATCTCGATGGCGTTAGCTGGGAGTCCTCCCTGCGTCCTGACCCCTGTCGTCCCTGTCATCGCCAAACCTCCCGAGAATGACAGCTCACCAGGAGCCCTTGTTCAGACAGAGGAGGTGGAAAAGAAAACCCAGGTTCAAGTGGAACACCAGCTCCTTGAGACGTTAGAATCATCATTCTGCTGTTTCCCCAAATTCAAGTAACCAGCGAAACCAGTGATTGTGGAATTGTCGACGCATGTTAGTTACAACGGATGTCCCCGCAAGATGTACATAGTAGGCAACTTCAGGCGTCCAGGATGCGAACTGCCGTCCGATGCGACTAGCCGTTTCTTAAGAGTTTAATCCAAGCCCCAAAGCGCAGAATCGTGCCTTTCGAAGGCATCGTGCAGGCGCTGCTCTGACGCTGACCTTCCAACCAGAAAAGCAATGCGAAGGTTGCTGGGCACTTGAGCTTATGGGTGATTGCTAAGTCACAATGTCGAGTTTGAGCACTTGTTGCTGGCATTGATGCAGCCCCACAACAATGTCACGGCGGCAGCGAATGCTACCGTCCAAGCTTCGTTCCTCCGAGCCACGTAGAGAGCGCCGTGGAACAGAGCGTCGCCATCTTTCAAGGGATCCCTCGCCTGTAGTGACCTGGCAGTACCCGGGCTTTCACCATCTCTAGATGGGCCAAGGGCCTGGATCACCGGTGGTGTGCAATCGTGAGTTTGCTATTGGCATCCCGATTTCGCACAGTGACATGTAGTTCGGTAGGGACAATAGGGTACAGGTCTCTCGCCCAAGTCCTTAGCGACCCTCAAATAAGTCCACTGCAGGTATAGGAGAGCCAGACTTGCCAGAAAAGGCCAGTGCCCCGGCCGGGAACATCCTCGATTCTTTGGGCGCGATGCGCAGTCCGCTATAGCACGCCCAAGCTGTGAGTGGGGACTATGACATTGAATGCCAAGTTGTACCCGAGGATGCTGTAGATCCGCGTGTGAGGTGCTTCTTTCTAAGTTAGTAATTCACTGGCTCCCGTACGGTGCGGGCAGGGTCTAGGCTGACTGTCATCCGAACTTGTCGATCAAGGCCTCCTCCGGTAAAACGGCCTACCTAGGTGTACGAAACCAACGGCAGACGATTCATACACGAAGCCTTCCGCACGCGCACCGAGAGTCTGTGGGCAGAATATACGACACATGACGAAGAGGATGTTCCAGATGGCACAGGTCACGGTAGCATTGATTCTGCAGTGCTCAGAGCATAAGGAGCACCGTATATCCCTTCTGGGCAGAGAAATGACCGTTCCGGCATCGAGAGGCGGCACGGATATTTAACATGAATCAATGAGGAAGAGGTGGAAGAAAGCAGGATGAATTTAACGTTGATGCGGGACTGTTTGAGGTTGTGCTCCGCATGCCATGCCCCATAGTTCGCCTAGCCCGCTTCCAGGAAGCGGGAATGAACACCACACCCCCCAGGGCTCGACTGGGTCCAGATACTCGGGTTCAACATTTTGCAATGTAACTTATGGGCTCACCGTGTCACAATGCCAGGCTCGCTTGTGGACGGTGCAGCTGCCATGTACGATGGCGAGACATGGGGGGCCGAATAGCCTCTGAACTTTTCACCCCCATGAGACCACCCACGAACGGGCGTCGTCAGCAGAAGAAGTCAGTACCAATGGGCCTGACGCCTCATCCCGTCGACCGGTCTCCTGGATCGCGTTCGGTCCCGCCACTTGGGACGATGTGAAGGGAGGCCTATTCCTGTTCATCAGAGGCGCGTACATAAACTTTTCGCCATGCCTCAATGTACCACTCTGTACATCGATACAAGCACCGACCACAAGGCATGACCCTGGTCCGCCACCCATCCGTGGTTCGCGACTGGGCTGGCGACCCTGTACTGCTGCAGCGAGGGGCATCTGCTGGCGCTGATCAGATCAGTGGGATTCGGCCGGGAACACGGTAGCCCATGTCCCGGGCGTCACAGCAGCTGAGAAATCTACCAAGTATTCAAAGTACCATACCCCGCTGATTTGATATAATATCAAATTTCGCGTTTTGGTCTTATACTTCCAATCTCCTCAAGATAAAACCTATGCAGCGCCCCACCGACTCTCTATCCTGGTGTGTCAGCCCAACCCAACTTTCCTATGAGTATTTCAGCAACACACAGTCACAAGGAGACACCCATCACCCGTCACCGTGGCTGGCATGTCTTGCAAGGGCTAACTGGGAGAGACGTACCACACTCCGTTAAGATCCCACCAAGCACGTACACAGGTGCTGCAGCGCCCGCTTCCAGGTTTTCAGGCGTTGCATAACCTTGAACCCCTCTGCTACACCATTGGACCGAGCGAACGTGAATCGCCCTGACCGGTCTGAGTATAGCACCTAGCTTTGAAGCTTCAGTGTGGGCGACGCTTGGCGGCACATCGATCTTTGCCGCCTGTCGACGTTACTGTCTCAGCCACCATTTGCTTTTTGGACAATTCAGCAGCTCTACCACGCTGTCGGTAGCCGGTATCTGCACAGTCAGCTGCGGGTTGCTTTGCCGGAGTTACCTATCGGAAGGCAACTCGAGGACGACCATCATATACACCTTCCTCTCCACCCTTCCTCCAGCACAACGGCATTCATGTCAGCAATCGCGGTAGACACTTTACAGCACGGATTTGGTCATAGGATGGGCGATCCCATGACGAGACCGCTTAATGCTTGGGGCCCCGAATCTTACCATGGCAGATACTATCCACAAGAGCGTCCCAGTCCGGGCGTGCGACTCCCTCCGCCGTCCAGTCTCGTGACTGGGAGATATCCAGCAAATTCTCAGGAGATCGCCAGCAAGCAAAGCTCCTATCCTGATCATTACGTTACGACATCGGCCTATAGTCACCGTGCGGCTCCACAGTTGCCGACGCCTACCAGTGAGCCATATGCTGCGTCGACTCTTATCAACCGATATAGAGAGGACAGACCTCCCCGGATGTCTCCAGGTAACTTATCGGCTACGGGCGATCGGTCAGAAGAGATGTCTGAGTCTCTGAGACTCCGTCAGCTGGTGAGGGAACAGAGTTCATCCCAGTTACCCAGAATCCATCCTCCCACGCGACCACATACGGAATTCCCTCCAGAATCGCCACGAGCATATCCCGACCCTCATCAAGTAAGACCAAATCCGGCATATAGAAATAGAGATGTGCGGCACGAACAGTCGCCCCAGACCACAACGCCTCCAAACACAGTCTGGTCGCCAAGGTCAGATACCCGACCGCCCGAGAGGATGAAGATATCAGATCTTCTCAGTGGGGAACCGAGGCCCAGCTCTAGGAGCCTCTCCAAAGCGCCGATGGCGCCGTCTCCGTCGCCGACTGCTTCGATCGGGAGACAGCAGTATAGTATCACGGTCCGCCAGCAGCCAGCAGCAGCCAGGTCCTGCGGTTTCGGCGAGAGAGACCGTCGGGTCATAGATCCGCCACCCATTGTGCAGCTCAAGATCGACGACCCCAGCGTAACGCCCGAGGAACGGGGCGAGAGATTCCGGAGCCTATTTGCCGTGATGCACTGCACCATCTGGAGCGAGAACGGCGATGTGGACTGCTCCCTGATGCCCGAGGACTACCGGCAGCAAAGGAGGCTCATGGGAAGTCTGGTCGCGTCATCATTCGTTGGGACTGATGAAAACGGGGAGGAGGGGAGTTTCTTCTGCTTTCCAGATCTTTCGTGCCGAACACCAGGATCATTTCGGCTCAAGTTCTCGCTGCTCATCTTGGACCCCACCAACCATGTCCCGGGGTCCAAACACCCAGTTCGTGCAGAGGCCATGAGCAGCGTGTTTACCGTTTACAATGCCAAGGACTTTCCTGGGATGCAGGCCAGCACACCGCTGACCAAGAGACTCAAGGAGCAGGGCTGTCTCATCTCGATCAAGAAGGGGAATGAGAAGGGTGGCTCCAAAAACGACCGTGATGAGAGCGACGACGACTATGACGACCATGACGACGGCGGATCGTCGGGCGGCAGGCGCAAGAAGCACAGAAAATCGTAATGGGGAAAACCAGTCTGGAACAGATGTTCACGGTTGCTCCGGCATACCTGCCAAGTTATTACACGAAGGGGCATGATGGATGATAGCGAGGCGTTTTGAAAGGATTATATATACCTGGCGGGTGCTTTACAACGGATAGTATACCATGGGTGAATTTTAGAATGGGCAAGAGATGGCGGCGTTGTCTCAGCGGCAAGAATATTCGGCATTGGTCAAGATCTGGTTGGCATCATGGTTCAAGGGGGTACAAGAGGTAAAAAAAGGGGGTCATCAGAGCTTTGTTTCTACTGCTGCTCTGAGCCAAGGACCTTCGCGTCCTGGTGAGGGCCGACGACGGTTTGGATTTCAGAACACGGACTGGCTATCGCTCGCTAGAGTGAGTTCGTTCTAATGTCTTTTTATGATGGGATGGCCAAGGGATACATATACAACCGGCTCGTTTGCTAGGATCGAGTCGATGAAGGGAGTATATGCCTGGCGTGCACCCTTGCTCGTCGAATTGACCAACAAGTCTGTTTACACCTACCTGTTTCGACCTGTGCCCGCAGCAACGAGAATTGACGCACTCGTGATCTTTGTGATAGACGTGCAGAGACTCGGCAGTTCCCGGTTTGGGGGGCCATCTCAGAGGCGTTTAGAGGAAGCGCCTGAATGCCTTCCAGGCGCACACAAAACGTCAGAACTTGGCTGTGGCAACTCGGCCTCTTTACGATCATAAACAAGTAACTGAGGATAAACCAGGCATTTCGATTTGACTTGAGGAAGTGGCACCAGAATCCTATCGAGACTGGACTGGGGTTGGGAAGGTGACCCCTGCTTTCGGAACCCTGACTTGGTGACCCGTCAGCCCTGCGACCAATGAAATGCCAACTTGGTCAATCGGCCAGATAGGGAGCTGGTAAACCGGCTGGCCGTCTGGGTGCATAGGGACGGTCTGAAGCAGGAATGCTGGGTCACGGAAACTGCTCACCCACCCACTCACTCACTCACTCATTCGGCTATGCGTAAGGGGCACAACTGAACCTCTTATCAGAGTCAATGAGAGAAAGATTGTAAGTGCTTGGCAGGGCTGAAGGCTGAATTGATTGCCTTGATTGCCTGGAATCAATTCACGTTCTCTTGTCTTTGTCGTCGGCCTTATTATTTTTTTTTCTCTCGCACCCAACAAGCTAAGGGGAGATCCACCAAAGCTCCGAGGGGCTAAGCCCGTTCGGGGATCGGGCGGCTGGCTGCTTGGTGAGGGAAATCTCGGAGCCAAGGAGCGATTTGGCGGCCATGTACCTCCGTACCCTCCCAGCGAAAATCCCAACGACAAATTAATTTGTTGCTGGCTTCGGAGGAACCCCATATCCAAATCCCAAAGCAGAGCAGCTTCAATTCCCTCTCACCTCATCTCTGCCCCCTCCCCCTTCGTCGTCCTGCCCTCCGTCCGCCCTCATCCCACCGCCGGCCGCACATCATGTTCTCTCGTGCCTTGAGGGTACCGCGGGCTGCGGCCCCGTCGCTGCGCGCTGCTCGTGCCGCCCGCGCTCCCACCGTCGCCGCCTTCAGATCCGTCACCACCGATGCCGCATCAGCCTCGCTCGAGAAGGGCGTCCCGGAGGTATGCACGCCACGCGCCCCTTCGAATCCAGCTGTCACGAGGCTCAGCCTTGTCGCAATTGGGCCCCCTCTTCGCCGACCATTTCCCCTGAGAGAGACTCGAGCATGCTGACCGTGTACGCCTCCCCCCTTGTGTAGGAAGACGATAAGCCCTTCCAGGTCAACCTGAGCGACGAGAGCTTCGAGACCTACGAGCTCGACCCCCCGCCCTATACCCTCGATGTCACCAAGAAGGAGCTCAAGCAGATGTACTACGACATGGTGGTCACCAGGTACGCACTAACCGCGACGGGCAGATGAGGGGGGGTTTTCCACCGGCGCCGGAGCTGACCAGGTATCGCAGACAAATGGAGATGGCCGCCGACAGACTATACAAGGAGAAGAAGATCCGAGGTTTCTGCCACTTGTCCACCGGCCAGGAGGCCGTCGCCACCGGTATCGAGCACGCCCTGAACAAGGAGGACGACGTTATCACAGCCTACCGATGCCACGGTTACGCCCTGATGCGCGGCGCCACCGTCCGATCCATCATCGGTGAGCTGCTGGGCCGCCGCGAGGGTATTGCCTACGGCAAGGGTGGCTCCATGCACATGTTCTCCAAGGGCTTCTACGGTGGAAACGGTATCGTCGGTGCCCAGGTCCCCGTCGGCGCCGGTCTGGCTTTCGCACACAAGTACACCGGCCGCAAGCAGGCCACCGTTATCCTGTACGGTGACGGAGCCAGCAACCAGGGCCAGGTCTTTGAGGCTTTCAACATGGCCAAGCTCTGGAACCTGCCCGCGCTCTTCGGTTGCGAGAGTGAGTTTCCCCGAAACATTGCGCCCCGTGACATCTCCCATCACATTTTTGCTGACAACTCCGGCTAGACAACAAGTATGGTATGGGTACTGCCGCCGCCCGTTCGTCTGCCCTGACGGACTACTACAAGCGTGGCCAGTACATCCCCGGTCTCAAGGTCAACGGTATGGACGTCCTCGCCGTCAAGGCCGCCGTCCAGTACGGAAAGCAGTGGACTACCAACGACAACGGCCCCCTCGTCCTCGAGTACGTCACCTACAGATATGGTGGTCACTCCATGTCCGACCCCGGTACCACCTACAGAACCCGTGAGGAGATCCAGCGCATGCGCTCGACCAACGACCCCATCGCCGGCCTCAAGACCAAGATGCTGGACTGGTCCGTCGTCACCGAGGAGGAGCTCAAGTCGATCGACAAGGAGGCCCGCAAGCACGTCAACGACGAGGTGGCCGCTGCCGAGGCCATGGCCGTGCCCGACACGACCCCCCAGATTCTGTACGAGGACATCTACGTCAAGGGCACCGAGCCCCAGTTCATCCGTGGCAGAACGCCCGATGAGAACTTCTACTTCAACTAAGAAATGCGGCGTCTCAATTTCGTATAGTCACTCTCCTGTATCATATTTAGAAGGTGGGGAACGGAATTGGTCTTGTTGGTAGGAATCAAGACTTGTTTAAAGCACATCGCCTATAGCTGTGTAAGACCTTGGGCTCGATCCGAGTGAAGATGAAACGACGGCTTCAGAACACTGTGTCTCTAGAGCGAAATCACTGGAAGCTGATACTTCTCATTTGTCTCCCATGATATGCGAAGTCTATAGCAGATAGAACGCGTACTGCACCCAATAATTGAAATTTCTGTCAAGCAGAGGGGGCCACCTTTGGCTCTGGAGATGCCACCTGGTCTCTGTCGGTGATAATCAAGAAGTGAAATGGTATGCGAATCAAGGGCTTATAAAGGTTTCAGTAGCCATAGTCTGACGAGTAATACAATCACGCGGCAATTAATACACATAATCAACCTGACTACGTGTTACATACGAAGACTATACAGTGGTTTGGCTCGTAGTCAAGCTGGTTAGGCATGGTCCAGCTGTCCGTCAGCTGCGCGACCCCGGGCGCTACTGACCTCATGCCGCATCCATGATCCAAGCTTCCCCCAGGCCCAGCACTCGCTAACCACCGCCGCGCTCGGGGCATTCGTGCAACCATCCATCCAACTGCACCACGATCCATCAACCTTCTTGATCTCCTCGCCACACCGCCTCACCGACACTCGGTCACTTCAAAGGCGGGCAGAGCAGGACTAGGCACGAGGAATCCGCACAGAGCTACGGCAACAGCAGCAGCAGCTCCCACCATGTCCATCCCAACACAGATCGCCGAGACGATCCAGACGGCGCACATCAAGCGCGACCCGTCGCCGCACCACGACGCCAACCCGTCGACGTCGGCCTCGGCCAAGGAACCCGTGCGCGCCTCGACCGCGGCCGAGTACCAGCGCGGGCGCCGGCAGCACCACGGCCCGGATGACGACCATGAGCACGACGACGATGTAGCCGCGATATCAGACGACGAGGACGACGAGATCCCCATCAGCGTGCTGCGCCCCCACCGCCGCCGCACCAGCTTCCCGCCCATGCCCGACCTGCGCTTCGAGCAGAGCTACCTGCACTCGATACAGGACGCCGAGGGCTGGGGGCGGGTGGTGTGGATCACGGTGCGAGATCAGGTTGGTGTCTCTTTTTTTCCCTACCTCCTTCCTATGTCTAGCTCCCTTCCCTCCCCTCCCTTCGGACGGGAGCGCCGAAAGAAGAGAAACTAGTAAACTGACAAACCCGCAACAAACCAGGTCATGATGCCGCTCGCGCAGGGCGTCCTGTACAACCTGGCCATCTGCGGCTGGCAGTTCTGGAACCGCAACGCGCAGTACAGCGGCGGGTCGGCCGGGGCCCGCCTGCGGCGGTGGTGGTACAGCGTCAACAACTGGCCCATACCGCCGAAGAAGGCCAAGGCGGCGTGAGCGGGGGGTGTTTAATCTGGGAGACGAAAGGGTGAACAAGACCAGCCTCAGTGTGTTGTGAGGACTACCAAGAGGGTGGCAATCCGAGGAGGCGTCACGCTTGATATATGCGCGGGCTGGCTACAGAGGACCACAGCAGTGGCGAGGATACATGAACACAATGTTACGAGTTCAGAGCACTTCGGAAATAGGAGGTGCGAATACAGCAAACGAATTCGTTAGGGTGGGCACGGGGTCTGATAGATAGACTGAATCTGTCACCTATTTGTACTATAGCATGCCAAGAGGGCGTGTATGTCTGACGATCTTGTCAGAGATCCTGTGCCCGGGAGGCAGCACGCGCAGCGTACATCACAGATAATGTACTACACCCCTTGTCTAGCAAGCAAATTATAAGCGTAACTCAGCGGTGATCCCTTCCCCTGCCGCTTCTAATCATTCATGATATCTTTTCCTTCCCTTTGGCAAGGCCATGACCTTCAGGGCCGTCCAAAAACGCCACAACACACCCCCGAACACAAGAAGCACACGACCATACACGCAACAACGCCAATGCACCTTCGTAGTTGATTTGACGGTCAACAAACCACCAGGTTTCAGTCTCCAGCTTGCGAGGGCACTGCTGGCGGTACCGCCGCTGCGCCTTGCAGTTTGTCTGGGCTCTCCCTATAAGCCAGACTCTTGGATTGCAGAGCAGCAGCAGAAGGAGTCAAGGGCGGTCGGTGGGCAGGGTCCAGTGAAGATGCGATGGTCCCCGAGGGCTGGGGCTCAGGGGTCCTCTGCTTCTTGGGCGCAACGGAGATGGAGTCCTCGGTCTTCTCTTCCTTTTCTGGTTCCGAGTCAGGTTCAGCCTGCGCCTTGGATGAGGCCTTCGCTTCAGAACCATTGTACCGAAACTTGTCGAGATCGATCTTGGGCCCGTCTTTGCCCGGCACCTTCAACTTGACTACCATACTCTTGGGACTGTCCTCCAAGTCGTTGTCGTCGTCTGCCATGTCCTCGTCCTCGTCGAACTCCTCTTCTTCCTCGCTCTCGTCGGGCACGTGGTCCTCCTCTTCGTCATCGCCCAGATCAGGCTCGCTGTCGTCCTCGTCCTCGTCCATGGAGTTGTAGCCCCTCCTGCTGCGCGATGCCGACCAGCCATTGGTGCCGTGGTTGACGGCTGCACTACGGCGCGGGCGACCTGTAGGCCCTACGGAGGACTCCTTGGACGACCCACGATTTGAGGCAGCCCTAGTGGATGACTGATCCTGGTCGGGTTCGGTGGTCACAATGTTGTTGGATGCATCTACTGTCATACGGGACGGAGCCTTGATCTGGCGTCCGCTCGCCGTCGTGACTGGTCCGGACGGCTCAGCGGGGGTGTTGGTCCCGGTGTTGCGCGCCGAGCGTCGCACACCGGTAGAGTCTGTCAAGAAGTCCTCGTCGTCCGAGTATGTGTACTTCATGCGCTTGCCCCTCGTCCTTCCCTCGTACATGGAGAAACCCGGCTCGGGGCGTTTGAAACGCTCGCGCTGCATCTGGCGGTACTCGCGCCTCTTGCGCTTCTCCTCCGATGCCTCAAACCGGGGAATAGCAGCCAGCATCTTCTGCGCCAGCTTCTTGGCCTTGGGACCGGTATCTTGCACCTGGAGCTTGTCGACGAGAGCATTGAGCTCCTCGATGCTTCCCGCGACGCTCCACCACGTTCTATTGAAACCGGCAGGGTTGCTTTCACGATAGACCCGGAAGTTTGTGTCGTCCAGGCCCTCGATGAGGAAGTACCTGCGCTTGTCGCTATCAGAGCCCCACGGCTGGACCGAGAGGGGCTGGTTCAGGTCGTCGTCGTGCCGGTTTCCCTTGTAGGATTGGTTGATGATGCCCTTGACTGCATCGGATGAGGACAGACTCCACAAGACGAGCGTTCGCAATAGTGTGATCTGAAGCACGATTGTAAGCTACCAGAGATTTTTTGCAACGGTGGGGAGGAGTAGCGAAAGAGAAATTGGTGGGAGACAGGAGCAGTCATGTACGTACTCGTTCGGTTGGGTTCATCGAGGTGAAAGTCGCGCCGCCGGACAGTGGGTTCTTGTCCTGCCAATCCTTGGGCCATTGGCTCTTGTGTGTAGATATGGCGTCTTCCAGAGCTCGGTTGTAATGGCCAGGTCTGTACCAGTTAGCTACCGGCAAGTCGAAGTTGGGCGGATCATTGCGTCATACTTGACATCTTGCTTGCGGTTCAGCAGCAGGCCCAGCACTGCGCAGAGGAAATGCTCGGCACGGTCGCCGGGAACGGATTCCGTGACATCGCGCTCGAGTTCTTGTGGCCCGAAGTTGGAAAGCGATTTGGGGAAGGCGTCGTTGAAGCGGCTTCGGAACATGACAATGAACTGCATGTAAGTCAGGTTAGCATCGCGAACCTACGCGACATTTCGCGTTTTCGACGCGCCTCTGGCGTGGCTACATACCGCGATGGCCGGGTTGTCCGCCAGGACATAGTCATGAGGTGGTGAGGGCGACCTCTTGCGCGGCGGAGGGGAGGGCTCTCTGGCCACGGCCGCTGGCTTGGAGCCCTTGGGCAGCTTGTGGAAGAACTTGAGGATGCCCTTGTCCTGCTTCAGCTCGACGTCGTTCTCATCGTCGGACGGGGCAGGAGACAAGGAGGAGAGCGACGACAGCTCGCTAGACTCGTCGTCGGCCATTTTGTCGAGGTGCAATGGGGGTGGTTGTGAGGTGGACGGCCGGGCAGGTCAAGTCTTGGTGGATGTGGAGTGTGGAGGTCAGAGTAAGGTCCAGGTGCGAGGTGAACGGCTCCAGGGCGACCGGCAGTCACCCACACAAATTGGGCCGCACTAAAAGCCACGGGCACCCCTGGCCACGAGCCGCATATCGGGCATGAGATGACTTTGATAGGTAAAGATATAAAAACTACTAGGCAACTACGGCAGACGTCCCAGAGACCCCAAGTCACTGCCCAGACCGCGTTGGAGACCGCTCGGTCTCTACACCTGATCCATGGAAGACAGAGGCTCGAAAACCCTTCGTCCATCTATCAAACCTCATATCAAAGCTCGTCACAACCGTTGATACATTGGTCCTCCGCGTTCTTGGGGCCAGGGATAGTGGCTCGTGCAGGCCTCACCTCTCTCCCCCATTATCCGCAGCCAAGCAAGGCAGCGTACAGACCCCACGGGAGTCAAAAACTCACCTGTAACCAGCCTTCACAATCATTTTGCGCCATAATGGCTCGGCTGGATTGCGCTGCGAAAGCCCGAAAACATGTTGTCGGACAGAGAAGAGGTGGTGAACTCGGGCGCCTCAGATAGAGCCTGCGCCACACCCAGTGGTAGTCCCAAAAGATGGCTGACCACCACCGCCAGAAGGGACAAACCCAAATACCTCTGCCACGCATCAAGAACCTGCAGAAACCAATGCTCTCATTCCCGCGAAATAGGTGGTGTCCCAACGTGGGTGTCCTGCTCTTAGCAGGGTAGAATGATTGCCGTCCACGTGCTTGCGCGCCATATGCTCCACCGCGGATTGGCACAGCACCCCAGCCCAGCCCTGAGGATTTGATCGGCAACTCCCGAAATGAAGTCATCACCAAGACCGAAGCCTTTCCAAACAGCGTTCTGAGCGAAGTTGAGAACTGCTCTGCTCCCCCGCTCTGCGTCGACCGGGGACTTCGAGTAGCGCGCACAAAGCCTGGCAGCCTGAGCCCATGAAGGCACTGCAAACCGGTCTTTTCCGAAGCCTTGGATTTTCCACATGGGTGCAAATAAGCCCATGTCTGTCATCTCATGGCGCTGCGTCCTCTGATACTGGCTCGGGCAGTCGATAGTGCCTGGCAGCCAGGATGACCGAATCGCCGCCAGGCTCCTCTCAAGTGAGCAGTGTTTCTTCGCAGATGGTCCTGTGCTCGTGGTACATCGTCCATCTTAAGCCAGGCCCTGCAGTCCGTAAGACATCGGATCTCCCGTGGCAGAAGTGTCCGGAGACTATTCTGGGTGTTGCGGACACTGGTCACTCCTGCGTGCCTGACCAACACGGCAAAGGTGTCAAGACACCAACCAACCTTGTAAAATGGATATCCACACCCACACTTTGATAAAGCTGCGCTTCGACAAGCAGAACACGGGCATTTCAATCAAGCCGGCGGCGCAGTCTGAACTGCAAGGCACTTCTGGGCTGCGAGCGTATGCATGATGCTGCGTGCAGGAACTGTAAAACGAGCTCAGTAAATGCACGACCTGTCAGTGATCAGGAAAAAGTGTGCCCATTGACTTGCAGCAACGCGGAGTCGAGGGCATGAGTGCTGGGGTAGACGAGCGGCGAGGGACCGGACGTGACTCGGCGAGGGCGGACCAGAGTGTTGTTGTGAGAATTGAGGTGGAGGCCAAGGCTCAAGCGCCTTGCCCGTTTGGCGCCACCCAAAAGAAAAGAACCACGGCACGGGCCATGCAACGCCACTTTTAGATTTTGGGCCTGAGGCCGACCCGCGAGACGCTGAGTCCATCTGCCACCCAATCAAGCCGAATCAGCTTGGAGGACGCGATGGGGATTCTTCATTGCCCCAGCGCTCCCAGCGTAACGTCGATGTCCGCTGAACTGCGACCTTGTGTTGAGCCTAAGGATAAGAAACTAGACTGAAGGGGCTTCTTTGGATGACTCCGCCGGGTCGGTGTCACAGTTGGATTCTGCCACAGCCGTGGCTCGTCTAGGCTGTATTTTCTGATTCTTCAGAAGAGTCACAACCCAACTCTGCGCCGCAGCTTCTGCGACCACCTCCAGTCACATCCTGGCTGCCTGTCTTGCCTGCGCTGGATAGTAAATGAAGTGAATGGCTCGATGGGTTCCAAGGTTCAGGGACGGATTGAGTGAGTGAGTGAGTGAGACGGAACTCGGGAGTCAGCGCCGAGTGCTGAGTCGTGGGGCCGGGGCGAGTCGGGCGGGCGAGAGAATTCCATGCCCAGGTGGTGCTTGTCACCGCTGGGCGTGTGCGGGCGGCGAAATGTTGCGGCGTTGACCCCCCAGCGAGTGACGCTATTGCAACCTGACGGCCTGCCAGCCTGCCAGCCTGCCATTAGCTGCCAGGCTTCTGCCCGCCCCAGCGCCAGGGTACGGGGTGAATTTCACACGCGCGACCCCCCCGACCAAAAGCGCACCTGGCTCTTGCGACCTCCACCACGAACCGAGTCCATTTTAATTCCTGCCAAAAATTCCACTCCCGACCGACGCCTGCGTTGGTTTCTGCCCAAGGGAGCGTTGTTTGCCAATCCTCTCCTTTTACTTCTTACTTTCATTTTCGAATCGATCGCTCTTTGCAAAGTAGCCCACCATGAGTGACGCCCAAGCAAGCGAGGCGGAGAAGAACGTGAGTGTTTCCCAGCGCTGTCTTCCGGCTCCTCTCTGCACCAAAAACACACCCAGAGACGTCACCCCGCCCTGCACCCAGGCTAGCTGCCCAGCCCAGCCCGGGCAACACGCCCACCTGCGCTCGACTGAACCGTAGCTGACCTCGGCGATGCCCACAGATTGAGATATGGAAGGTGAAGAAGCTGATCAAACGCCTCGAGGCGGCCCGTGGTAACGGCACCTCCATGATTTCGCTCATTATCCGTACGTCTCCGCGGCCCTCTCTCCCTTACCCCGCCATGCCTGCCCATGCGCGCCTCGTGAGCAGAATGAGGGGCGGTCAAAGACTGACTTCAGTGTACAGCTCCCAAGGATCAGGTCTCCCGAGCGGCCAAGATGTTGGCAGAAGAATACGTATGTTGTCGTCCTTGCCACGATCCAACCGGCCCTGCGAACCGCTCCCGGCTGACTAACGCTCCCTACAGGGTACTGCCTCGAACATCAAGTCGCGTGTCAACAGACAGTCCGTGCTCTCGGCCATCACCTCGACCCAACAGAGACTCAAGCTCTACAACAAGGTCCCTCCCAATGGCCTCGTCGTCTACTGTGGTGAAATCTTGACCTCGGAAGGCAAGGAGCGAAAGGTCAACATCGACTTCGAGCCCTTCAAGCCCATCAACACGTCCCTGTACCTCTGTGACAACAAGTTCCACACCGAGGCCTTGGCCGAGCTGCTCGAGTCGGACCAGAAGTTCGGTTTCATCGTCATGGACGGAAACGGCGCCCTGTTCGGTACCCTCAGCGGCAACACCAGAGACGTCGTCCACAAGTTCTCCGTCGATCTCCCCAAGAAGCACGGCCGTGGTGGTCAGTCCGCCCTGCGTTTCGCCCGTCTGCGAGAGGAAAAGCGACACAACTACGTCCGCAAGGTCGCCGAGTTGGCCGTGCAGAACTTCATCACCAACGACAAGGTCAACGTCGCCGGTATCATCCTGGCTGGTTCGGCCGATTTCAAGAACGACCTGAATGCCTCCGACATGTTCGACAACCGTCTGGCCACCAAGGTCATCAAGGTCGTCGACGTCTCGTACGGCGGCGAGAACGGATTCAACCAGGCCATCGAGTTGTCCTCCGAGACCCTGGGCAACGTCAAGTTCATCCAGGAGAAGAAGCTGATTGGCAAGTACTTCGAGGAGATCAGCCAAGATACCGGCAAGGTCTGCTACGGTATTGAGGATACGCTCAAGGCTCTGGAGCTTGGTGCTGTCGAGACCCTGATTGTTTTCGAGAACCTGGAAATTACTCGCTGGGTCCTGAAGGACAGCAATGGAAGTGAGATCCAGCTCCACGTCACCAAGCAGCAGGAGCAGAACCGTGAGCAGTTCATGGACAAGGAGACTGGTCAGGAGATGGAAGTCGTCTCCCAGGATTCCTTCATCGAGTGGATCGCCGAACACTACAAGGACTTTGGAACGAATCTGGAGTTCGTCTCGGATCGGTCGACCGAGGGTAACCAGTTCGTCAAGGGTTTCGGTGGCATTGGCGGCATTCTCCGCTACAAGGTGAACTTCGAGCAGTTAGCCGAAGTAGACGACGATGATGACTACTACGACGATTGACAGTTTGATGCCCTCGACTCTACCGAGGGACAGACTCAAGCCATCGCATCAAAGCCGGCACCTGTTGGCAAAGGGACCGAGTGTCCGCCGCCGCCCAGCCCCGTACCCACGTCAGAGCCAAAGGCAGAACATCTGTCCTTCAAAGAGCGGCGCCAGCTCAAGACGGGGCCAGCGACCTCTCTGCACACGGCTAAACAGGTTGCCCGACCCAGCCCGCTTCGCGATATGATGACGGCATCTTGAGTTGATTCAACAGCTCGAAAGGAGGTAAGTCCATTCTCTGTATGATGAGTAGCACAGAACACAGGCTAACTGTACTTCTCGTCAGATCGAGAAGATACTTTCCGGGTGCTACCGGAAATCAAGACCCTGAGTTCGCTATGGGGCCTTTCGTTGTGTCGGAGCTCGGAGGGGGAGGTTTTGATAGTGTTTGGTCTGCTTCCATTTAGTCAAGGATTCCTAGCCACGAACCACCTCAGGTTGAGGTTGTCTTCGTATTCTTCGTGGACGTAGGACTCGAGGGAGCAAGTCAATTCGTCAGATTTTGCCTTAACGTACTCGGTAGATTGATCACATGAAAAAAAAAAGTCGCTCGTTTGTTATGTCGTCTACTCTGCGATTCCCTCTCAACATCTTCCTGGAAGCCAACATACGTGAAACACTACATGCAATGGAGTCCTCTCAATAATATAGACGAGATTTTCTTTAACGGCTTCCGCGGCTAATATAAGTAATTACACTCCATGTCAGTAGTACAACCACATCGAGCGAAAGGCTGCAATGCCAACGACCTCATAGACGCAACCCAGGTGTGAAAGAAGAAAACTCCTATCCAATCAACTAATGCAGAGCAGGAGGGGGTGCATGAGGGTAATCCCAGTCGATCTGAAGGTGCAAAAGGGCGAGGAGGTGAGGCCAATCGTACCTAGTTGTCAAAGTCGTTCATAGGGCGCCGACTTAGGGTGGGCCTAGTCCGGAATCGCAGTTGCAACTTTCTAAATCCCCCTCTAAGTACGTTTCATTCCTCGTAGAACTCAACGTGGATTCCATGCAAGCAATTGAAACCACCCGAGAGCTGGATAATCGCAAGGCCTAGTCATGATGGAAGCGAGCCAGCAGGGAGCAGAGGGCGAGACCGCCACACAGGGCTCGAAACCGGTCGTCTGTTTCCTTGGTCCCGTCACATCTTATACACACCAGGTACGCCATGCCCGCTCATCCTATACTCCCATGGACACTCCTAGCTAACGCATTGCATCAGGCGGCAATGCAGACCTTCTCGCCCGATAGGTACGAGCTGCTGCCTGTCGTGACTATCAAGGGTATGTGCCTCCTGCTCCACGCTGCGTGCGTGAGAAGATTTCTGATCTTTCACTCCTTTGTACTATTCCTCTGAGTGGTCGGGCTCACGACTGGGGACGGCGAACAACAGATGTCTTCGAGACCACCCAGTCCGGCCGCGCCGCCTACGGCGTGGTCCCGTTTGAGAACTCGACCAACGGCTCCGTGGTCTTCACCCTGGACCACTTCGCGGACCGCGAGGGCCGGTACGGCGACCTCTCCGTGTGCGGCGAGGCGTACCTGGACGTGCACCACTGCCTCCTAGGCCGCCTTCCCAACGCTGCCGCTGCAGACGGTGCGGGTCCCGAGTCGTCCTCGCTGCCAGCGGGTCCGAAGGGACAGCCGCTGGCGAGCCTCGCCCACGTCCAGCGCATCTACAGCCACCCGCAGGCCTGGGGCCAGTGCACGCGCTTCATGGGCGCGCACCTCCGGGGCATCGAGACCATCGACGTCAGCTCGACGAGCCGGGCCGCCGAGCTCGCGGCCACGGACGCCTCCGGGACCAGCGCCGCCATCAGCAGTGCGCTGGCCGGCGAGGCCAACGGGCTCGGGTTCCTGGCGCGCGACATCGAGGACCGCGACGACAACACGACGCGGTTCTTCGTCCTGAGGAAGCTGGGTGCCGATGCTGATGCCGCCGGCGATGATGCCGGCGATGCGTGGTGGAGGCGGCCGGCGGGGCGCAAGACCAAGTCGCTGGCCTCGTTCACGGTGCCGCACACGGCGCCCGGGGCGCTGGCGGGCGTGCTCGAGTGCTTCCGCCAGGGCGGGCTGAACCTGACCAGCATCAACAGCCGGCCCAGCCTGATCGAGCCCTTCCAGTACGTCTTCTTCGTCGAGTTCGAGGGCCACCGGCTCGAGGACCCCAACGGCCGCGTCCGGGACGTGCTCGAGGGCGTGGGCCGCGTCGCGCAGAGCTGGCGGTGGCTGGGCAGCTGGGTGAACATGAGGGTGTGAAAGGGGGGAGGATCTGGATCATGGAGTGGTTCAGCTGTGGGCGCATGGTCGGTTGGGCACTCGACTGGGAGTCGTTACTGAAAAAGAATTGGCTTTCATGGTCAATTGAAGGCGATCAGTAGTTCCTGAGACAGCCTACCGGAAAATACAATGTGGATTAGTTACTGGCCAAGGGGGGAAATAGATATAGTCGAAAAGGGTAACGAATAGGCCACATCTTATTCAACTTGTATGAGACGCATTTGTGGTGGTCACGGGGTTATTCATCAAAGTCCCGAGCCGGAGAGTGTCTTTCTGGTTTCCTAGCTCGAAACAGACCACAAATCTTCAACTAGATATTCCATCTATTTGCACTCTATATGATTTTGCCAGGTGCTTACCTCTGTGGACAGAACCGGCCGACTAAAAGTTATATAGTAGGATGACCAATTCTGAGTCTTCAACCCAGGCCCAAGACCCGCGAAAGAGGCACGTTAGATAGCATTGAGAGTAGGCGGCGTCGGCACCAAACAAGACCATGTGCCTCCTGCCAGCATAAGACTTTATCATTATGATATCGCTATCATCGACTGAAATTACAGCTGGCTGGATCGCCCCTTCCCTGTTGTCACATATCATAGAGCAGTGACAGAGCCATCCCAAGCCACGTCTACCACTCAACCGGCCTCGGCCATTTCTCGTCTGCAACAAACATCATTTGGCACTTTCTTGAATCGTGTTTCCGCAAGCATGGATACCAAAAAGCATTCCGGGCTCGTCGGGTCGTTCCGTCGTAAATTCAAGACGCTTTCGAGCAGAGCATCGTCAAAGAGAAGCTCCAACACTTCTATCGACTCCCTCATTCCCCGGAGATCTACGTCCACCAGTCTCTCAGATCCCCCAAGTGTCGCCGATCCTCCGGCTCAACCCATAAAGCCTGTCACATTGCCGCAGCTTGAGTTTCGCAATGATGATAGCTTCAAGATGTTTCGTAAATCACTTCATCTCTCTCTCTCGTGTTGGCATGCATTCTGGACTGACAACTCAACCAGAGACGCGATACGGTCTTGACGAAATCCTCACCGATACAGCCGCGCCACCGCCCATTCGGAAACCGGTCAGGATCATCAAGCGGCCAAGCGAGCACAGAAAAGAGCTTCCTCGGTCAGACAGTCCCATACCCTGCCGAACCGATGCCCCTTGCAATGCTACTCCCACTTCGATTCCCACGTCCAAAGACACGTGGCGCGTACCAATTCATTGGATAGACAAGATCCTCGAGACATCTCTCCGAGTGCGGCGACCGGTTTTCATCACGCTGAAGCAGTCGGAAGCGCCCGAAGATCACCCAGCTATCACGTTTGCAACGCCAGGCTACGACAGCGCCAAGCCTCACCAAGAGGATAGTATCTCGGTAGTATCCCTGGGTAAAGCGAGCGTTGTGGACCAGTGGTCAGAGGAGTCGATACTTACAGATTCAGAGGACAAGGACATGGCGCTGAGGCTCAGCTCCTAAGGCCGCTAGGAAAAGGCCAAGGTGGCAGTTACTACTATTCGTGGTCTTTCGTTCACTAGAGTCAGGGTTTTGTGCTAGCGGGAAGCAGAACATTGTGGTGGGACCTTAGTATACCACTCTCGTTTAGGGCTAGATTATTACAATACAGGCTTTTTCCTTTCGACCAGCATGATCTGAGGAAGTTGACCTCAATCAGAGGTAACAGTGATATACTGATTCTAGGTGTTTCAAGGGCTATATTTTGTATGAACGTCCAGATGAACGCTAATCTCGAGGGTTTCATGAGCTGACAAATCTGGTAATACTTTGTGTCCACCACGAACTTCATCTGCTGCATCACTCACATCCTATTACTTTAGCAACTTAGTAGCACTCTACTTAATTCCTATAAGAAAATAAAAAAAATAAAATATGAGGATCACACGTTGGGCAGTCTAACGATTACTCTTCTTGTTCGCTGCTCAAGAGTAGTTCTTTTCTCCTCCCCGGCCCTGATACCGTTCTGTGGACGCGTCTTCAAGATTGGAAGCACGTGGTGATAATATGCTTAACTTTGGACAACCGAAGACTAGTATCATTTCCGAAGAGACTTCTTGTTTGACCCAACGGTGGTACATTGAACCATGGATGAAGCCTCATCGAGAAAGGGTGAAGGATGGGCACAATGATCCAAGATATATGGATTCGGCCCGGTTAATCGTCAACAGTAATTACTTACAACGGCAATAATCTGAACGTATGCCACAGATATATCAGGAGGATACCTCCAAGACCAAACCGATGTCTAACTCACACTTTCAAGTTGCTGTATCCGAGGCTATAGACGTAGTTTCTGACCTGTTGTACAAATCTCCGAAGGGCTGCGGTTATGCTCTAATCTCTTTCTTTCTTTTCCCTTGTCAGGACTCGCCTGTGCTCCTCTACATCAGACGTTTTCTAATCTGAATAGCTCCGAGTACCACTTGATCGGGTCTCATGATCAAGATTCGCCAGGTCTAAGTTCCACGACCTTTCAATGGGTTGCGAATACATTACGTAACTTGACAAACATCTTCTTTCAATGAGGTACACATTCATAATACGGGAGACGAATGCCCTTGTGTAACGATCCATCTCTCTTCTAGATTCTCCAGGAATGGATGGACACCGCTCTGTATCTGACTCCACAAGATAACGAAGAGTCGATCGACCCATATCTAAGATTAGGTCCGCCTCGTATTCTCTCGTGCCCCTTTGTGTTTGCTCGAGTCACGGAAGAGAGGCCCCTGGCTGGGAGCGGAAAGGCCACGAGCCTGTAGCAAACATGCAGGATGTGTTTGATAGCACATTGTGTTCCACGTGCTGACGACGGCCCGAACCACCTCCAGAGTGGGCCGTCTCGTGATATAAGAGCAGTCGGCGGTTCTTGTCAGCGTACCTTCTATGTTGGCTTATACCGAAAGATGCGATTCAGATATTCCAGATACTAACTCTGAAAATAAAAGATTAGCACGGAGATACTTGTCGAAGTCTTATGAGCATCTTGCAAACTCCACCTGTCGTTAGAACTACACCAAGGAGGAAACAAGAAACAAATCATGCTGATACTCTTGTTCTTCCTCACATTCAGCCCGACGGCGCTCGCCTTGATCACGGTCACCATCACACACACGACCACGGTCCAGGCCTCCGTGCCAGCGACGGCCGAGGCGGCGCCACCTCCACCGCCAACCCCTGCAACAACGGCTCCGGTGACTCCTGCCCCAAACCCAACAACGTTGGCAACGTCCTTCACAAAGCACTGCGACTTGAGCTACTGCAGTAATGGGTCCATCTGGTGCCACTACTGGGCCGGCGTCACGGGCTGGGACATCTCGCGAGGACCGCTGCCTGGCGAGACGGTGACGCATCTGGGGTCATGCACGGCAGGCTGAGTTCTGTAGTGTAATAGGAGAGGGTATCCAGGTATAGTCCGTGGTGCTATATCAGGTGGACTGGTATACCTGAGATAAACAGCTAAGGAATTGTCCAATATTTCTAATAGCGTCAAGAAAGGATACTGCAGGGCGGAATTTGGACTGCTGTCATTGTATTACTTGCAAGAAGCAGGCAGAATAAGACCAGGGGCCGGAGGTTCAGTTGCCAACCCACTGGGATGAGCAAGGGACTCATGGACGGGTTTTCGATTCTCATATATACTTTCCCATGCTTACCTGAACTATCTACATGACTGATCGCGTCTCATATGCTATACGTGTAAATCTCCCTCCCTCCTTCCACACATTTACCGTGCGAACGTTACCTTCACTCTGCCCTCTTCATCCGTTCCATACACTCCTGGGGTTTCCCACGGCAGCCAGTCGTCGCTTATTTCGGCCCGCCGATGGTCGTGGTCAGGGACCCGTCCTCGATGTAGACGCCCGAGAAGTAGAAATCCTCGGTCGAGTCGCTGTAGCCGGACCGTGGCAGCTCCAGCACGCCCAGGTGCCAGTCGGCGCCGTTGGACGACGTCGAGGCCGACTGCGGCGCCACCTCCTGCTTGAGCGGCGCCCCGCCCTCCGAGTGCCAGAAGCCCACCTTGTTGCCGGAGAAGTCCTGGTTGGGGGAAGGCAACTGTGGTCAGCCAGCTGAGACTTGCGTTGGGGAGTTTCCGAGCACTGCTTATTTAAACGGGACAAGGATTCAGCAGAAATACTCACAACCTCAAAGGCAACGTTGTGCCAAACGCCCGCCTTCCACTCCGTCTTCCACTTGGAGTTCTGGCTGATCATGAACTGGAGGTTCGGGTTGCTGGTGCCCTGCTCGCCGCTGATCCAGCCGTACTTGAGCTCGACGAAGTGGCTCTCGAAGAAGCAGATCTGGTGCTCGCGGTTGGGGCTGGGGGCGTTGGTATCCTTGCGCATCAGGCTGAAGTGGTACCAGACCTTTCCCTTGTTGATGCCGGCCGTCGTCTGCGGGATCAGCTCGGTGCGCCGCATGTTCTGCCCGTTCCAGAAGGCCGTCGAGTCCAGCGTGAAGCGCGCCCCCTGCTTGCTCACCGTGTCGTTCGGGTTCTTGTAGTCGGCGCTGAGGTTGATGTACTTGTCCACGCTGCCGGACCCGTGGATATAGTCTGTAGAAGGGGTTAGTCAGCATAGGAGAGCTGGACCGGTACTCCTGCACGTAATGCCCTTTCCTACTATATGAGGCAAACCCGTGCGTAGATGTCTAGGGCTACACTTCTGATATCTTGCCCTCTAGCCATCATTATGCCCCCAATCTCCAATTTATTACCCCAGCGGCATGTATCAGGAAATAGAACAGTCCAAAGACTCACACTGATAAGGTCCGACTTGATTCGACCAACTCCACTTGTTGAGGTCAGCCGCCGAACTGAAGTCGTTGAAGCGGCCATCCCAAATGACGGCCGCGTGGGCGAGGGGGGCGAGCAGCAGAGCCGACTTCATCTTCAGATAACGATTTACAGGACGATTCTGAACGAGCAAGGAGACTAACGAGCACCAGATTTTCCCCAGGCACTACAACGAGAAGAGGGAACAAGCCTTCGCAACGGAGGTGGGAGCAACCCGGGTCTCTGGTGTCCATTATATACGCCCTCAGCTCAAGCTGTCGCAACTCGCCGAGGGGTAATAAGCATTGCCAATCCGAATAGACCCTCGATGCAGGAGTGCCACCAGGGACCCCATCCTGGTATGGCCACGGATCTAAGCCAGGGCCAGATGCAATATAGGGCAGGCAGGGCGGACCGCGGGCAGCAAACGTGATTCTTGGACTTCGCGGTGCGTAGTATTAGAGAACCGCGGACTGCAGCCTCCGCTTGCCGCAACAGAGGCGCACTTAGATTGAGAATGGGGAGATGGGCTGGGGCCTCCTAATTAGCCTGTTATAGGTAGAGAGACCTGTAAGCATCCATGTTCAGGTAGCGGTATGCGTTGTAGTCCCAGGATACAAAAAACAAGATGCGTGCAGGCTCAAAAGTAGCATTGACCAGAGCCCTGACTTTGAAAAAGCTAACACGTACCTGCTTAGCAATGCAGAAGCCTTGAATGTCTGAGGCTCAAGGGCGCCGCTGGAATCGACCTGAAGGTTACTAATGCACTGCCGAAAGACTCGCACGGGGTGTTCTAATATAGCGCCGGTAGCTAAGTATATAATACTGCATTCGACTTTATTTGATATGGTCCTATTATATTGAACATGCACCCAAACCTTAAAAATCTAGCTCGACCCTGAGCCTCCCTCTCCATTCCCTCTCGGACCCCCGGATCCGTCTAGCAACAGCTTGGGCTTGATAAAGTCTTCGTCCAGCTGGCGGAATAACGCCTGAGGGTCTTGCGCCGTAAACAGCTGTCTGATGGCTGTAGACGCGGACACTGGCTGGGAATCCCGGTGACCCGACGTTGGATAGGCAAACACGCCGTCGCTGTCACCCTCGGAGGTCCCGCTAGGGGTGAGCATGGGACTCGATTTCCTCCTGGGCCGCGGCCTACGCGCCGGCGGCGGTAGGTCTGAGGTATCAACATCACTGCCAAAATCGGAATCTTCCGTCATGCTGCCGCTGCGGCCGCCCAAAAGATCGGTCCGCTCCGCTTCGTCGCCGGACACCTGGATACGCGAGCCCTTTCGGCTCAAGCTCGATGGCCGGACCCCACCACTGAATGATGGTGAGTGGTGCCCGGAGACATAGCTGCCACGCTCGGGTTCGTTCTTGGACTTCATCCTGGACAGGCCAACCGAGCCGTTGCGTGCCCGTGGTGTGTAGCCAATACCCGTCCCCGAGCGTTTATAATACGAGCCACCAGGAGCGGCTTCAATGTCGAACTCGTCATCGCTGTCGACTTCATCCACCACGCCAGTACGAATGCCGAGGATTTCCAGCATCCGGGCAGTGGTACCTCCGAAAATGATGACGGTGAGCACGACGACGACTAGGACAGTCGCCTTCAGGGCATATGATTTCTCTCCCACCAGCAAAGCAGCCAAAGCCACGCCGACAGCACCACGCAAGCCGGCCCAAAACAACATTGCCTGATAGTTATGAGGCAGCTCGTCGCTGACGGTCTCGTTCCGGCGCCGTGCCCTATAGCGGATGAACCAATTGATGGCCTTGGACAGGGGGAAGACGGCAACATATCTTGCGGCACAGACCGAGATCACGGTGACAATAATCAAGAGGGGTTGAAATCGCAGGTCGGTGTCTGTAAACAGCGATAGACCCAGATAGATAAAGATAAAGTTCTCGGACAACTGAGCCAGGACCTGGAAAATATACTTGGTACTGAGCTGTGTCCGTCTCGACATATTGAAGTAGGCGTAGTGCTTCAACGTGATGCCGCAGAACAGCAGAGACACGATACCAGACATCTTGGGCAGCGCTTGTGCCAGGAAGTAAGTCGCGTATGCGATCAAGACCACCAGAGAGCTCTCGATCTGGGGGTAGCGCCTCACGTAGGTGAACTTGAGGATGAGAGCGGTGCCGACGCCAACCAGGACGCCAATGAGCAAGCTGCCGAAGAAGGAGAGCATGAAGATGCCGACACCTTCGATGAAGCTGAAGAAGCCGTAGGAATCCGTGCCGCTCTTGTAGCCCTGAGCCGTCTCGAAGATGACGATGGCGATGGCATCGTTGAGGATGGACTCGCCAAAGATGATGGTGTACAGCTTCGGATCGACCTTGTAGGTGTTGAAGATGGCCAGGATGGTGACGGGGTCGGTGGCCGACAGCGTTGCGCCGACAGAGATGGCGTCGACAAAGTTCAGCTCAAGCCCCTCGAGAGGCAGCCGGGTGTACAGCCAGACCAGCACGCCAATGACGACGGCGGAGAGGAAAGTGCCGGCAAAGGCAAAGGTCAGGATGACGCCGATGTTCCGGAAGAAGTTGGCCTGGTGGAGCTCGTAGCCCGAGTTCAGGATGATGGGCGGGAGCAGCAGGTTGAAGAAGATCTGGTAGTCGAAACTGACGAGCTGCTGCAGGGAGTGGCCGGTCGTGACTCGGAGAAGCAAGCCGACCGTCATGCCGGCAAAGATGGAGATGACGGTCTCGTGTACGGCCTGGACCTTCTTCTGCTGCAGCATGTAGCTCGTGAAGAAGGATATGATCAGCAGCATCAGCAGGATGAACAAGGCCCATGATGCCTCGACTTCCTGCTCGGCATGGTCGCCGCCTGGGTCTGAGTCGTCGTCGTCGGCGCGGCCTGCGATGGGTTTATGTTAGCATGAGAGTTGGTGCAGCGCAACACGGCGCCAGGGCGACCGTCGGGACGACATACGGGCGAGGTGCTGCACCGCCGCGTTGGTGATGGTTGACAGCATAGTGGTGCTCCTGCTGCCCTCCAGGGCTTCCAAGGGGTGGGAGGGGGAGTCCTTTGTCCTTCAGATGGTGAAGCCTGAGGAAGGTCTCGATGCGACGCGGGCAGGGTGTGGCATGTCAGGACGGAAATGACATCAATTGCGAGGGCGGGAATTCGGCGCGTGGGCTGGGCTCGGTCGCGAGCAACGATGCGCGGCGCTGGGTTGGTTCGGTGGTTGCCCAGGGAAATATGCGCATTCGGAGCTGGGCTCGAAGTCGTCTTGCCAGCTATCATCTACGTCCGGAAGCTGTGCAGTCTTGGGCCTTGGTCGGCCTGCAGGTGGTTGCGGCAGACCCGGTTCTAAAAGTAGGGACTAACTAGTTGACACCTCTCCTGCCTGCCAACCTGCGGGCCTGCGCCGCCACACCCGAGACCAGGCTTCCAGGTTGAGATGAGAGATCAGATGCCTGCTGAGGCCTGCTAGGCCTGCCCTTCGGGTCGTGGAGCGGTTATCGATAACGCTGTCACTGACACTGCTGGACTGGACATAGCAGGCCCCCTGTCTGCTGGCCAAGTGCTGGGCCTCTTCTCGTCGTCTGCCGTATGGACTGTGTAGAGCCGTGGACCAGTCCATCCCTCCCAGCTCTGTGGCGTGCATGTAGCCAAGCTACCCAGACCCCGACTATTTAATGCTTGTTTCACTGATTACTTTTCACCATGAAACACCCCATCGGCTTCATTTCGACGCGATCAACGCTGCACTCTGGCGACACGGACGTGCTGAACAAGGATGCTTGCCGGGTCATGTTAGAGCGGCGCTGGAGACGAAGCGGGACAAGACGTGCCATCGCGTGGATAGGAGATGCCAGTTGGTTAGTGGTTACACCAGGGTAGGGACCTAATAAGACGCAAGTCTTGCTTAAAGTTGCGAGTTATCAGTTAGCCATTTACTACGGTAATAGAGTAGACTACAAAACACATGACGTTGCGGCACAAGAAAAGCATCTGCGTCCTCCTCAAATAGAGGGCCTACAAAGTAATGTTCGTCGGCTTAAGTCTTGTCAGCCTTGTCTCTATCAAGAGAGGGAGAGAGAGCAGAGCAAGTTCAGAGAGGTCTGTACTGTACCCGCGTCTAAGCGTCGAATGCCAGGCTGCCGCGGAAGGGGGAGCACTCTGTCCATGTGCTACCGACTGCCGACCCCCCCTCCAACCCACCATGGGGACGGGACCCCCGAGCTTCCGTACCTGCATGCCCCAGTTAGCACTGATGTAATGGCAGCATCAAATTCCATGTTGGCCATGACGATGCCAGACTCCGAGGCAAGATGGCTTCTTGCGATTGAGGTGCGCCGGAAGAATGCAGGGCACCGCCTTGCCCTCAACCGCACTCCTCAGCCACATCTGGTGATATAGGTATTCCTCCCATGTTTCGCGAGTGAGCTCAGCCTCGCTCCTGTCAGCTCCCCAATCCTGGGGAAGGCCATGACACCAACTTCCAACCCCACGATATCGCGTGGCCCCTCTACTCCAACCTTGGGTCTCGTGGCACCCTTTGACTCGACCGCCTGACGTCTCGAGATATCAACCAAAAAACCCCATAGGGAAATTCTGAATATTCAATCATACATCTCAACAGTGATCTTTACGAGTTCAACACTTTTGACTTCTCGCCGTTGCCTTCAAGCGTAACACCGTCCACCCCCTGCGTACAGCCAGCTGGTTACTGGGTTATACTTCTGGCGTGCATCCATACTGCCTGGGTGACGATCGGCTTCCCATACCTGTGCGCTAAGATAGTGTCAACCTACTTTATCGTTACCTGCCAACTCAATCTGGTTCGGGACGAGACAGCTTATCACGACCAAGATACCCCACGTCCAAACCCGAGTGAGTCTAATAGACTCGACCGAGTATTCGATCCTATCCTCGATCATCTCCTCGAGCAACTCTGCTCGCAGCTTCCGCACCCTCCCGACAGAGCACCATTCCAGGGGACAGACGCATTGCGTACCTACACCACAGTGGCATGACGTCGTCACTGTCGAGCTCCTCCTCTTCCTCCTCTGCCTCAAGCCGCGAACCTCCGTCGCCCAAGTACAGAAACGGCGATTTTCGACCCGATTCGAACAGCGATGGCGCCGTGAGTCTGTCGGGCAGCAGCACACTGCAGCAGGAAACCCCGGTACATCTCGGTCCAGATGGCTATGACGAGCAGACGCGTCTGTTAGGGGCATCAGCACCCACCGCCAGCCCCGAGCGGCATGGTGTGCCTGACGCGCAGACAGAGGATGATGGGCAGTCTACAAAGAGCCTGTGGTACATTATCCTACTGACGATCAGCATCGGTGGCCTACAGATTGCATGGTCCGTTGAGTTATCGAATGGCTCACCGTACCTGCTGTCTCTTGGCTTGAGCAAGTCCCTGATGGCTCTGGTGTGGATAGCCGGGCCACTCAGCGGGACACTTGTGCAGCCCTACGTTGGTATGCGAAGCGACAACTGCCGGGTACCTTGGGGCAGACGCAAACCCTTCATGCTAGGCGGTGCTCTTGCTACTTCCATCTCGCTGATGTTTCTTGCTTGGACCAAGGAGATTGTCGGAGGGCTCCTCGGCCTGTTTGGCACTGACCCAAAGAGCGAGGGTGCCAAAGTGACCATCATCGTGGTGGCCGTTCTCTGGGTATACATCCTGGATTTTGCAATCAACACTGGTATGTCGTTCTTTGGAAACCCACCTTCCAAGCCTAATGTCTAATTCTCAACTTCAGTTCAGGCTGCAATTCGAGCCTTCATTGTGGACTGCGCACCTGTCCATCAGCAGGGTAAGTCAGACCAGGCATTCTGAGCACAACTCTGACTAACATCCGCATCAGAACAAGCCAACTCTATGGCCAGCAGGATTGTGGGTGTGGGAAACATACTTGGCTACTGCTTTGGCTTTGTCAATCTCCCCAAGTATGTATGGTGGCTCGGCAACACTCAGTTCAAGGTGCTCTGCTCGATAGCTAGCATCGCACTCTGTGGGACGGTCCTGCTCAGCACAATACTGGTGAAGGAGAGAGATCCTCGACTTGATGGGCCACCACCAAAGAATCAGCCTGGCGTTATTGCCTTCTTCCGCACCATCTTCACTTCCATCAAACGCCTGCCGCCTCAGGTCGCCAAGGTCTGTACTGTCCAGTTCTTTGCATGGATTGGGTTCTTCCCCATGCTCTTCTATACGTCATCCTACATCAGCGAGATATACATCGAGCCGTATCTGGAGGAAAATCCACACATGACACCCGAAGAGCTGGACGACTTGTACGAGAGGGGAACACGCGTTGGCACGTTTGCGTTGCTGATATTCGCATTGACGAGTTTGGCGACTAACGTGCTATTACCTTTCTTCATCGCGCCAACCTACGAAGCTCCGATCACGAACGGCGTGCCAGGTGAGGGACCCGGTGGCGTCACGGACGATCACAAGTCGGAAAAGAAGACCTGGCTCGACTACCTGGTCATCCCGGGGTTTACGCTGCGCTGGGCGTGGATCTTGTCCAACCTCATCTTCGTAGTCGCCATGTTTTGCGCCGTCCTCGTCCGCACCGTCGAGGCAGCGACCGTGCTCATCGGGCTCGTGGGAATCACCTGGGCTCTCACCCTCTGGGCGCCGTGGGCCATCATCAGCGCCGAGGTCAGCCGCCGCGACGCCATCATACGCGCCAGGAGAAAGTCCCAGCTCCACGCCGCGGGCCGGGCCCCGGCCGCGGACGGCGAGACGGAAGCGCTCCTCGACCAGGAGCGCCGCCTGCACGGCGACGAGGAGGAGGTGGACAAGGCCGGCGTGATTCTCGGCATCCACAACATGGCCATCGCCGCGCCCCAGATGCTCGCCACCGTCGGCTCCAGCGTCGTCTTCCGCATCTTCCAGAAGCCCCGCGGCGTCCCCGGCGACCACAGCATCGGCATCGTCTTCGCGCTCGGCGGCATCTTCGTGCTCATCGCCACCTACTTCATCTACCGCATCGACGACGACATCCCGCCCGCCGAGGTCGTGGCCGCCGTCGAGGCGGGCGACGGGCCCGCGGCCGGCCGCCCGGGCCTGGACAGGAGGAAGAGCACCACGACGGGCCGGGACGGCATGAAGCGCGCCACGCTGGCTAGGAGCACCAGCTTTGGCACGGGTTTGGAGTACTAGAATCGCAGATGCGTCATGATGATGCAATTCTATTGTCGGGATTGCATGAATAACATGTAGATATGGTGGGCTACACATGCCGGGGTTGGTAAGGAGCATCATAGAGCTTGGATCCTCAGCAGGAGCCTACAGCCACATTCATATGGATTGCATTTCTCTTACTTTCACCCAACGCCCAGAGGGGTTTCACCAATTCATGAGGACACGCCTCATTGTGATTTTGAATGCTTTCAATTCTATTCTTCTCCAGATTATACAACCAGCACAAGGCCGCGAAATGCCCGCCACTCCGTATCTAGTTCTAGATGTAAAGCCCCCGGGTGTTCCTCGCCGCCCGCGACAGGGTGAGGGGACGTGAAGTCAACTGCATCACAACCGGAGTGCGGCTGTGCGTCTCTAGAGTGTCTCCTTCTCTATCCAGACCTAGGCGTTTCTTCTTCTCTTTTTTCCGGTTCATTATCTATGGACCTTTTCTCGTTGCTTCACCGGCCGCCCTTCCGCTCCGCCTCGGCCCCCAGGTCGCGCTCCACCATCTCGATGGCGCTGAGGCTCGGGAACCGCTTGCTGAAGTCCCGGAGGTAGTCCTCCTTCTCCTGGGGGCTCATGTCGAGGGTCGGCCGCCCGGGAAGCCCGACGCCGACCAGCTGCTCCGTGTTTACGGGTAGGGCCGGCGGCCGCTGCTGCTGCTGCAGCTGCTGCGGCTTGGACGGGGACCTCCTGCCCCCGGTGGGGATGTTGTTGAGATGCGTGGGCTTTGGTGGCGCGCTCGGCTTGGGCGGAAGAGCGGGTCGGCTGTTCGACGACGCGTCCGGTATGGCAGCCGGCATGGAGCTCGTGTGCCTCGCCCTCGCCATCGCGTCGACGGAGCTGGTGGCTGGTTTCGCGGGTGGCGCGGCACCACGGCTGATGCCGACGGGCTTCCGCGGCAGTTCCGGCAAGGCCTTGTCGACGCGGCTCGCAGCCGATGCCGCGTCCGTGAAGCGGCCATATCCCTCTGCGGTTTTGGGTACGGCCGGGGGCTTCTGGCTCTCGCTGAGAAGGTTCTGCACCCTGTTCTGGATGCTGACGGCGCGCGAGACACCGCCAATGCTCCTCGGCGGAGGGGCGGAGCTGCCGCCACCGCGCTGTGCCATGCGCTGGCGATATTCTGCTGCAGCTGCCTCGACGCGCCGCTCCTCTTCCGCCAGGGCTTGCGCCTCAAGATCTCTCCGCATCTCAGGGGTCATTTCCTCCTGATCGCCGAGTAACCTACCATCATCACTCTTGCTATCTGTTGCCTCGGACCCAGCTATGGGCGTCAAATCACGGCGTTCCAGATCCTTCAGAGGCGACGGTGTGCGTGCTGGTGGTGGATTGTTACCACTGCCTTCAAATCTCTTGAAAGCATCGCCAAACCTGCTGGCCAGTATGTTTTTGGTCCCAGACAGAGAGCTGAGGCTAGACTTCTTTCCATGTTTGCTACTCTTATCTCTCTTCCTGTTGTCTGTCTCCTCCATTGACCGAAGGAATTCAACGTTGGACTCGATGGGGTCTTCCTGAGGCTCCAAAGCCGGGGACGCTGCTTTCTCCGGAAACTTGGTGCCGGTGAGGCCGGGAGATCGCAAAGGCCGGGGCGCCGCTTCTTTTTCCCGCAAGAAGTCCAGGTTGGACTCCAGGTACGTACTAGCAGGTCTGGGACGTCCTGATTGGGAAGACGACTTCGTGAGCGGATCCAGTAGATCGGCACTCGGGCGACCACCTTCAAGCGATGGCCTCGACGATGACGGCTGCCGGGCGTGGCCTGCGGGGGACTGGAATGACGAGACACGTTGGGTTGCGCCAGGTCTTTGCTGCTGTGGCGTTCCAACTCTGAAAGGGTGTCCTGAACCAGGCGTCTCCGGCTGCCTTGGCAGACTTGACGATCGGTGATGATCCGAAGAAGGGAAGCGATATATAGGTGGATAGTCCCGTGTAGGAATCTCTTGAGGTGGCGGGGTGCTTGTCATGGTACCAGTGGAAACCATGGACGGCCGGCTAGGAGTCGCCTGGATCGATTGCGGTGGAGGTGACGCGATAGCTTGCAGTTCAGGGTTGTTTGAAATAATAGCTGAGGCACGGCTCATAGCTGTACCGTCAGGTTTAGGAGGAGCAGATGCTGGTTTGTTCACGGAACCAGGCGGCGGCGACGCCTTTTGCAGCTCGGCTGCATTTGCAAGCGACTTGACCCGACTGAGGTCAGCAGATTGCCTTTGCGCTGGTTGGGATACTGGAGCACTGGCAAATGCATCGTCTACTGCCTTGTCCTTCACCCGCTGATTGAAGTCGCCTGGCGGTGATACCGGGCTGTCAAACTCAAATTTGGCGCCCTGATCATGCAAGATTGCAAACTGGTCCAAGGTGGGAAATCTCGACGAGAGCTCGTCGGTGTTGACCTTGATAGCCGATTTTGAATCCAGTGCAGCGAATGGGTCTCCATTGGTCACCCTCATTGGGGATGGACTCGGCCTAGAAGCCTGCGGTTTAGGCTGGGCTTGGGGTTGAGGCTGGTTCGAAGCGGCTGGCAGTCTTCCCCGTCTCATAGGCACAACCTCCGGGATCTTCTGCTCCTGTTGTGGCGGCGGCGAGAACACGGCACCAACGACAGGTGTGCTCTTCCCCTTCTGGTCTGGGCCAGGGTGCGTATCTTGCCCCCTGGGGTCAGACTTCGACCGATTGGAGTAAATCTGAAACATGTTAGTAAATGGACTACGATGCAGCATGCAGAATGACGAACATCTTGTACTGGTACTTCGCGGCCCTGCAGTGCGCAGCCCTCGCGCAGTACTTGGTAAATGTTAGGTCTCGAATACTGGTTTTCTTGCAGCATTGAGGCTGGTGGGCTGTTAGCGCTGGCCGTCAAACGTGTCTTCATGAGTACGTGAACTCACCTATCAGTCGTTTTAACTTATCAGAAAAGGCAGGATAGCTAGGGAACTTGTAGCTTGCGTTTAGAATTGCCAGCTGCCCCTGATCCTCAAAGGGGGTAGTATAGTAGCAGAGCTTGTATAGGAGAACACCCAGAGCCCAAATGTCGGATTTCTCGTCGATCGGCAGTTTTCGATAGACATCGATCATCTCTGGGCTGCGGTACTGCATAGTTGTGTGTCGTTGCACGTCCTCGTCCATCAGCCGACACTCGACTATGCTCTGCGGCGCAGGTTTGGGGGCTGCGGCCGAGCCAAAATCACAGAGCTTGAATTTCCTTCTGGACCCGACCATGGTGATCAGAACGTTCTCGACCTTCAAATCCCTATGCAGCAGCGGGGGCTCGAGGTAGTGCATGCATGCCACGCCCTCGGCGATATCGGTGAAGATGTTGAGGATCTCGGGTTCGGTGAGGCGGTGCTGCAGCCGGGTGTTCATGAAGTCGATCAGGCCGCCTCCGTCACAGTATTCCATGAGGAGAAAGACCTCGTAGCCGCCGCCCTTCAGCTCGGACGCATGCGAGTCGATGTAGGTGACAATGGGGCGGTGGCCCTTCAGGCGCTTCATGGTCTCGACCTCGGTCCTCATGCCGCGCAGCGTGTCCCTGTCGGGAACGGCGACCCTCTTGAGCACGGCCAGGTCGGTGCCGTCGACGGACTTGGGCATCTTGACCAGGTAGACGTGCGCAAAGCCGCCCTCGGACAGGTACTTCTGGATCACGACCCGATGGTCGCCAACCTGGATCTTGGTGCCGGGCGAGAAGGTGCCGGCCGGGGCCGTTGGGGCGTGCATGGGCAGAGGGTTGGAGTAGGCAGCCGGCTGGCCAGCGCGAGGAGCGGCCATTGGCATCGCGCCCCCGTACTGAGCCATGTCAGCGGCTGGTGTTGTGTCTCGATACGTGCGGCGGGCGCGAGGTTCGAGCTGGAGCCTATCTGTCGTCGGTTGGGAGTGGGACGGGGCGATAGGTGAAGTTGGCAGCAGGGGGGGGTCTACAGTCTGTCCCTAATCGGGGGGTGACGGCATCGGGGAGACGAGAGACGAGAGACGCTTCGGCAATGGCGAGAATCAGGGCCGTCGTTGCATGTTGGAGCGAGCGGGCAGAGACGGCGACAAGGCTGATGCTGCAGATGGAGCAACGACGGGACCGTACCACAAGAGAGGGAGTCGAACAGGCAGCGCGGCGCTCCAAGCTGGGCTGCAGTCCAATGTCGTCAATCTCGCGACGCCAATCCTCAGGAGTTACCGCAATCAAGACCAGCCGGAAAAACCTTGGGCGGGGCCCCCTTTGGCGGTGGCCGACACCTCTCTACACAGTGAGTACCGGTAGTGAGTCCCATCCAATTCTGGGGCACAGCCAAACAGTGGCTCAGCCGGTGCACTGCACAGGACAAATCCTGCTGGTGCCACTGCGTACTTATTATAGCCCATTTGTTGCAGCAACAAACTGTCCAGAGTTTGCATACACACAGGGCGGGTTTTCTCAACTCCCCATTTCGTTTCCTACCGCCTCCATGAGAAGGTCGTGTCAAAGAACCGGCCTGCTGCGATACCGCATGAGTAACGCTGTTATAACGGGTTAGTGGGGACAAGTCCACCATTAACCCCACCATGCTCACAAGTTACGGGGTCTCACCAATGTTCCTGTCTCATCGCAGAGACTCAACTAGTTAGGGGTGAGTATACTCAGTAAAATGTTTCCACGTAATATACTAAATACGTACAGGCGTCGCTGCTTTATTTGGAACAATACTCAAGTGGGTTTGGGACTTTGTACCATGACACCAAAAGTAGTCCGAGGCTGAATTTTGGCAACTATGCCGCTCTCTCCTCGACTGCTTCATGCCATTCATCTCGGACAATGCTATTGTGCATTTACCAAGTCGAACGGGCAGCTCGCTTACATTGCGACGTACTGGGCGTTTGCATTCCATTTTGGCTGCCAAGACCGATCCCACGGACTGGAATCTGTGCATTTGCCAAGGCTACCCGTCTTCAAACCAACCTGTTGATCCCATGTTTCCGACTCCGCCCACGGACAAGACCTGCCAGTTTCCAAGGCTTTCCGCCAAGTGCATAGTGCAAACCTCGGCGCTTGGCCTATTTGCTTGTATCAACGTTGCACATCGCGTCACGCCTGTGGTCTTGTCGAGTTTAGCATACTGTCCGCACATCTCAGCGCGCTGAAGAAGAGCAGGCTCAGGTGTTTCCATGTTTGGCCCTGTGCCGTTGTCATGCAGCCGCCCTACCTAGTGAGCATGAGTCAAGCCAACAATGATTCCTCCAGACAATGACAAGAAGCACCAAACGTGGCTTTCGGTTCAGGGTGGCCAAGAGTTGGTCCTCGTATCTGCTTGGATAGTGTCCCCCGTGTCAGAAGGTATACGTGTAGTAATCACAAGTTAAAATCGGTCGCCCGCGTACGAAGAAGAGTGAATTGTTTGGTGGAAAAGATTATTTGGTATCTCAAAAGGAAGCTAGATAGGCACAACCAAGTTGTACTGGTATCATGGTTGACTGCATCGAAGTGCGACGCAAAATCGTGCAAAATCTATACACTATGTATACTCCTCCATCGGGAGGGCCACTGATATTTCTCACAGGCGTGGCGTCTGTCTAAATCCCTTAGAACAGGGCGCGAACCGCACGCATGGGAAGGTTGGCCCAGGTCTTGACGGGCATGGGCTCGTCGGTCGGCTCCAAGATGCGAGCTCCAGACTTGAGGTCCATCTCGTGGGCCTTGACAAAGAATCTCCAGTCGCGGGTGTAGACCTTCCAGAAGATGTACAGGAATAGGACGACGAAAGCGGCGAGGAATTGGGAGAAGAAGTACTCGGCATCGGGCTCAGCGTCGGTGCTCGGCTGCAGTAAATGTCAGTACTCGTCCAATAGATGACTCTGCTTGTAGAAAACTTACGTAGAGAGAGGTGTAGAAAGTAGCCATGATGGCCAGAATGGTGATAGTCAAGCCCATAGCGCTACCCCAGATACCGAGGGGAGCCTTGTAAGGGAGCTGGGCCAAGGTGTAGCCCTGGGCCTTCCAGCCAGCACGGAATCGAATGTGAGCCAGGCAGATGGAGCCCCAGACGAAGAAGTACGACAGACCGGACAGAGCCAGCAGCCAGGTGAAGATGTCACCCTGGTTTCCAGCAACACCAATGTAGGCCAGCAGACCGAAGGCGAGCTGGAGAACGACACACCAGAGAGGCCGTCCGGCCTTGTCAATGTAGGCAAGGAAGGCGGGAGCCATACCACGCTCAGACATGGCCTGGAGGGTACGGGTAGAACCGTAGGTACAAGAGTTGGCAACACTGATGACGGAGATGGTGATGACAGCGTTGAAGATGGACGGGAGGACATCAACGCCGGCGTCCTGGATGGCCAGGACGAAGGGTGAGTACCGCGAGTTGGAGCCACTGGCGTTCTTGAGACGCTCATCGTTGTAGGGCATGACAAGTCCGAGGATGAAGAGGTTCAGGACGTAGAAGAACAGGATACGCCAGAACACCTGCTTGGTGGCCTGGGGGATGGCCTTGCGGGGGTTCTCAGATTCGGCGGCAGCCAGACCGCTCAGCTCGGTACCGGCGAAGGCGAAGGCGGCGACGGTGAAGACACCAGCAAATCCGTTGAAGCCGTTGTTGAAAGCACCAGGGTCGTACCAGTACTTGGCACCAATGTAACCCTTGTCGCCAACACCGCCACAGTTGTAGACGATACCGAAGATGATGAAACCGGTACAGGCGGCAATCTTGATGACGGAGAGAATGAACTCAACCTCACCGTAGCCACGGACACCGAAGAACTGGATGATAATCAGAACGACCAAGAAGACGGTAATCCAGACGGCGACGTTGACGTCTTCTCTCCAGAACCGAATCGTCAAACTCGCGGCAGTCAACTCGAAGGGCAAGACAGTGAGCCAGGACAAGGCGTAGTCGATACCCATGGCAAAACCCCACGAAGGGTCGACGAATCGGACAATGTAAGTGTAGAAGGCACCGTTGACGGGGTACAGAACAGCCATCTCGGCCAGGGCCTGCATGGTGAACAGAAGCATGAAACCGACGATGAGATAACAGATGACCAGCGAGGCGGGACCACCGTTTCTCAGAGCGCTACCAGAACCGATGAAGAGACCAGCACCAATGGCACCACCTAAAAGCAGTCGGGTTAGAAACGGCGTTGAGAACAGACGGCCACGGTGGGCGGCGAGGGATTCGTACCGATGGCAATCATCTGCATGTGTCTGCTCTTGAGGTCCTTCTTCAAGGGCTCACCCCTCTTGGTGACACCGACCTCCTCGTCCACCGGCTCATTGGTGTAGAGGTGCGGGTCAACCGCCTTGCTGTTCTTCTCGAGGTCCGACATGTTGAGTCTTGCTCTCGTCAAGAGGCACGCGCGCGAATGGGAAGAGATCGGCGCAGTCTGCGACTCGGTATGGGTTGAGGCAGATGTAGGAGGGGAAAGGACGAGAGGCCGGAGCGGATGTGGGTGGGAGGTGTCTCAAGGATATATACGAGGGCGCGGGTGTGCCATTCACAGCAGCAGCAGCAGCAGCCTCCTCGAAGATCGCTCTAGGGACTACCCAGCTCTGGCTTCTCGAAAACGCCCATGCTGCGGGACGGGGAGCCAACGGAGCTACCGCAGAATCGTAGCACGACCTGCATTTCAATATCGCCCAGGGTCTCCCGTACTAGTACAATTGCACATCTGAAGTCCGTGATTGGGCGGTACTTGCAGACATGGTGTAGGGACAATATTACTGGGAAGTCCTTCGCTTCAGACAACGACCCCCGGGCAGCCTCCCAGGCTGGGCTGGGCTGGCCGGCTGACTAGATGTGGTGCGGTCCCATCACGACTGACAAGACGCCCGGCCGCCACAGGAGGAGACGCATGTGCCATAACTTAGTAACGTTCGACGTGATAGTGATGACAACAGCTTATTACAGCGCTCGACGGCAGCTCGCCTTGGTTAGCCTGCTTGCACCAGTCAAGCACGGCGAGTCTCGAGCGCAGCGGCTCCCCGACCATGCTGCCAGCTAAGGCCTAGCGAAACGATCAAGATGCTGATAGTCGAGGCGCGGTCGCTCCGCGCAACCCACCGCAGACGGACCTGGTGGCCCCCCTCGAGAGTCTCGATCTTTGGGGCGCGGGTGATTGGGTGGCCAACCCCAGATCCGGCCGAGCCAGTGACAGCCCCTGCCACCGTTTAGCGGGTTTTCGGTGATACACGGGCCCACAAGCTGCGCTAGCCCCATCGCCCTTGTCCCTAGCGTACTGATAAGCCGCCCAGACCAATGGGGAAGGTGGGCGGACGGCGCGCGGACAAGGCTCCCTGGCACCCCTGTACCCACCGAGAGCTGGACGCCAGTTTCGTGCATCGCACCCTGGGCTGCCTTGAGGGATCCTGTCCGCCGACACAGTAAGCATCATTGCTGTCTGACTGGAGTCTGTACTGCGATTGTGGTCGCCAGTGATCGCCATCCACTCAATCCGTACACACATGCCTACCTACGGCTCCTACGGCAATCTGTGGTTTATGTATGTATCTAACGGCTGGCAGAGATCTCACGACGTGGGCAGATGCGGGCACGAGACACAAGACTCGGTCTGTGCTGGAGCGATGCGTGCTATACGCCTTGGCTATGCTTAACTGGCCACGGCGCGCTGGGCGATCGCCTTGAATCGCGTGAGCGTCGTTTCTCAGGGTTCCAGATCTCACCACGCCCAGGGCGTTCTGGAAATGGTCCGTCTTCTCCTCTGTTTCCTAATTGGAAAGATTCCGCCGACCGGATCTGCTCAACTCGTGCAGGACTACGACGTTGCGCCATATTGCTGGGAACGCCAAGTCTCGAGCCATTCCCCCGAATCCTTTGTCGTTAGAGTTGGCGGCCGCTCATTACCTGCGGCCTAACCTACTAAAGAGGGAATCGAGCCATCTGCAGTTGGGGGACCTTCCACCAGCGGAGAGCCCTTCGTTACGGGTTGCTATCCCAGTTGCAATGCGGCCGGCTTGGCCCTTTACCAATAGTATGGGACTCCAAAGCTTCCAAGGCTTCGGAGCTTTGATTGCGTCCCCCTGATAGGCTGCCGAAAGCGAGAGACGACTCTAGCTGTACGTAGTAAGCCCCTCAAAGCCCGTTCTGCCTGTATCGCGGCGTACAGCACCCGCCAGCCACAAGGCCAGGATCAGTTGCCACCCACCACCCATTCACTATGCAGAGCAACCCTCCAAAGTCTCGCGAGCGGGGCAGGTATATGAACCACAGCCCTCATCGTCCAATCTAATGCGCATGTGCCCCCTTCTTGGGCTGCCTCGGATCAGGCTTCTAGCGCTTCTAGAATATTGCTGGTTCAGGAGTTGCATCCCCAGCATCTGCGCGTCTGACGCTCATGCTCCTATGTACTGGTACCAGGTTGTCTTGAAAGAGCGCAGATTGGGTGCAAGTGGATACCGACTGGTTGGGTCTGCCAGTCTTATTCGTTATTCCCTCTTGAACGAAGTGGTGTGATTCCTCAAGATCACGATGAAATCCTTTCCTCATCCTCCCGCATGCAAGTGCAGGGCAGAGCAGACCGGACCAAACCGCTGGCTTGCCGTAGCTTGTCGGCACTCTGGCGACAGCATCGGCCATCCCAGCAGGGAGTATAAGCCTCCGTTTACAACGAGTATAGCTTGGCAACTCGCCTGTTTCCCAGGAATACGTATCTCGTTCCCCAGACGCTAGATCCGTAGACTATCGGACGGGCCAGGTATGTTTATAATTAGCCTTGTCTCGATAGAGAACGCATGTTTCGCAAAAACGAAGCCACCCTGGGGCCGGTGCTTTTACTTGTCTCATGGTGGCGTTGGATAACACCGAGAACGCATCAACGACGTGGGCCTTAGCTTCTATCTTGCGCCGCGTTATTGTCTCTACCGAGATCCGCGTTTATCCGATATCCAATCCCTCGATTACCTAGCTTCTTCATATTCGGTGTTGCCGATGCAAACCGTTGACTATTCAAGTGCGTTTGAAGTTGCTAACAGGGCTTATCTGACGGCTGAAAACAACAAAACACATCGTGGGGGCAAGTAAAACGTACAACGCTGACGCAAGCGGACGATAAAGATCGTGGGATCATTATAACGGACATCGTTATGGATACCGTCTTATCGGCTCCCGAGCTATTACGAGAGACATTCGTTGACAAATGCCCACATTGTCAGCATTGTCAGTCTGGGGTTGATGGGTCGATGGGTCGATTTCAGCGGGCCCAGCGTCATTGTTGTCCACTGATGATGCTAACGTAGAGTTGTCTGTAATAAGTCCACGACGAGATAGTCCCCATCGTGTTTAGAGTAGCTCCCGTATATGACAGCCGCAATCACCATTTCCCTATAGAGACAGTGTTCGTTATCTGGCCTAAGCGCGAGGGATCCCAACCTGCCGAGATGGTAGAAACACCTACCGGGTGGTTCACGGCAGGTTAGGGCCATCAGAACAGCCATTTTCGCCGCATTGTTGCACTCCCGCATTCGGTTTCTCAACATCGACAACGTTACTCGGACCTCCTCAGCTGAGTTGGCCGTCAGGAGCTACTTCGCCTTCCCTCTAGTCAAAACGCAAGTGAGCCCCATACTACTGCAGCGCCTAACAGGAAGAGACGACCGCTACCCGGCCCGGGGCCTGTTAGTCTCGAGTCAAGCACCCCAAGAAACCCCTAGCTGCATGTTGAGCTTGACTTCCGCATGCGTCGGGCAGACCAGGGCCCCTTCGCAGGAGGAATCGAATGCTTGTTCACCCAAGAAAGGGCAAAGGCCCGGGATGTGAAGCTTAGGAGCATACGACAGCAGCACAGCGCCTGTGAAACGAAACGAGATGCGGGGTCCTTTGGGCAGAGGTAATCCCTAAGGGTGCCAAGTGTCTTGGAAACTCTTGGGAAGCCGCGCAGAGTAGGCATCTCATCAATATTCCTACACTCAGGGCAGTCTGGACTCCTTGGCTCGGCAGGATGCCTCATTTCGCACCAACTGCTGGAACCAGACTATAGCATGCAGACTGGACTGTCAAAAAGAGCGCAATAGTGACTTGCACGTGCGCAGAGCACGCGGTTGGCTGTCACGACTCGCCCCCTCAAAGCTTAAGATTGGCACGCGACACACTTCTGACGTGGTGGACTGCAGCCAATCCTGGGCTGAAGGCGCGACAAGCCCCCCCCCCCCCCCCCGTCGTCAGTCTACTGAGAGAGTTTGTGTGTGTGTGGGAAGGGAGGATTGCGTCGAAGTGTTCTAGAAAGCAGCCTATTTGCTAGCTTCCGCCGTGACGGCCTCGGCAGCTTTTGGGGACGTGTATTTCGCCTATCAAGCTCTCCAAGACCGCACTAAACCTCTTGGGCCACCGAGCCGGTCAAAGCTTGAACGCTCGCCAGAGCTGAAAACCTTGTGTGTCGACTTGAGGCGTGTCCCTACACCCTGGAGCGGCTTTGCCTGCCGCTCTCAGCTTAGCAGCCCAGCACCGTTGGTCCCTGGCCTGCCTGGGTCGCCCAGCGTGTCGCTAGCTCGCGGGGATCATCCACCGGCGCGCGTTAAGTAAGATGACCCATTGCGTCTCCAGAGCCAGTCTTGGAAGAACAATGGGCGGATGGGTCTCGAATTACTGGGTCCAAGATAGAGTTGTTGATGTTACCTCATGGCATTATGATTACACATTTTGGGTAGGCGACTGCTACGAAGGATCAACGTACAGTACAGTACAGTACGATCGTCGTCGTGGTTAGAATACAGGGTCTGCAAGCGAGGGCATTGGTCATTTCGATTACACTTCTACGAACGCGACCCGCTGGGATGTCGGACGGCGCTCCTCCAATTGTACCCTTCCAGCCTCGTACATGGCCAGCCATACTGCGTCCGCGTTAACGGCGTCGAATGCTTTCCTGGCTTCCGACTGGTGCGCCAGGCTGTCGCTAATTAAGCCAAGAACCTGGTCAAAGACATCGTCGTCAACTCGAACGTATCTTACGATGCCGACAAGGAATTTCTGGACTGCTTCCCAGACTTGTGCAACCTGAGTAAATTCTCCCAATGCTCCAGTTTCCGAGACCAGTGTTCCATCCCCCCTTTGCAGCGACTCTTTTGCTTGGAGCCCATCTGCTGATCTGATAGGGATCACGAGGCTATTGCTCTTTGAGGTAGGTTGGCTCGGTCGAGCACTTCGACCAGGTCGTGATCTCTGCACCGCACTTGCTTTCGCTTTCACACACCACTTGCCAAGGCTATCCCACCATTCGGTCTTGATTCTGGTACTGAGGAAATCCCCGGCGCTGCTGCAGAGCGCAGTGAGCGCGTCGCAAGCTGCTACCACGACGAACGGTTCAGGGTCATATAGACGCGACAGCAAGACGGGCCATATGGCATTGACGATAGGCAGGAAAGCCTCCTCGTCGGGTGAAAGTGCAGGACACACCTTTGCGAGCAGGTCAAGGAGTGATTTCCGCAGCGTCGGCGAGGGCGACGTAAGGTAATGCTGCGTGAGATCTGTAATCCGTGCGAGCAGCATATATGTTGGGGTTTTTGGTGGCGGCTTCTTCTCAACTTGCTGCCCTGCCTCGTCGCCATCGTCATCGTCATCGTCTTCTTGCTCTGTTCCATCAGCCATAGCCTTCCACGGCTTCTTTGGATGGCTGGTTAATTCGATATCGTCCTCTTCAAGTCTCTTTCTTTTCCTCTCTGAACGAGACTCTAGAAACTGACTGATGTCCTCAATCCTTGCTATATTCGGCGCCGTCTTCTGATGGTCCGCGGCCTTCTTTGAGCCATCATCGATGAGTAGGAGATCCGATTTGGCACCTTGGTTCACAACCTCAGCCAGCACATTGAAGAGACTTTCCACAAACAGAGGATACCCGTGGTAGTTCTCTAGTGCACTGAAAATCGAAGCGACTACATCGTCCATGAAGGGAACCAGCTTGGGACCGGTGAGCCGGATCATCATCTGCAGCACCTGCGTCGAGGCTGGGGAAATATCAAAGGTGTTCAGTCTTAGTGAGATGGAATTCAGCATGTAGTCGACGTTGTCGATAACGAGGTCTGCAACATTGGAATACCCACACGATGCAGCAATGCTGTTGAGAGCTACCACAGCATGTTCTCGCAGCTGAGGGGTCCTGGAGCCTAGGTATGTTGCAATCGGGTACAGGATATCGATCAGTTCAGGGCGAAAGTCGACACTCAGTCTTGACGCCGTGTAAGCTGCAACCTCAAGGGCTAGTGACTGGGCCCTCCAGTCAACACCCTCCGCTTCTTCTGTTGAATCGAGGATTGACACTGAAAATGCGTACAACTCCTGAAGGAGCTCATCATGTTGCGCGGTGGAATCACCCATCGAGCCAAAGTCAAGAAACTCATCGAGGTCCGAAGACTGTTCCAGACCTGATTTTACGAGCTCGAAGGCTAGCCAGTATGAGGCGATCTGAGTGATGCCAGCAGATTCCCGTAAGTAGTCAAGCATATCTCTTGCGAGTCTTCCATGGTACAGGAGAGCACCGCTCCCAGATATAAGAGCTGTCAGCTCAGCGCGTGTAGATCGTTGATTCGTGTGGTCCATGAGGAGTGGTCGGAACTGGCGAGAGTCACCCAACTTCTCAGTACCACCAGCTTGCAATACTATCTCATTTGAGGGCAAAACCTCAGCCAAGCTGCTGGAACTGTCGTACGAGGCAAGCAAAGAAGCTACACTGTCCCTAAGGGAGGTGGCGAGAGAGTTACTCAAGGTGGATGAGTCGATCCTAAGCGTGTTCATGAAACGTTGTCCTTTGAGCAGATTGCGGATCGCTTGCTGCTTTGCCTCTTCGTCGCTTGATTGTGTGATGCGCGGTAAACTCGTGACCCAGTTGTAAACTGTGGTTTTAACCGTATCAACAAGCTCTGGGTAGATGCTCGTGAGGTCTGAAAGGTCCGTACTCAGGCCTGCACTTATCAAGGACCTATTTTCAGTGTCTGGAGTAAGCATCATGGCTGTTTCGACGAGAATCGGAGCGCATGTTGCGAGTGATCGATGACATTCATCCAATAAGGCGATGCAGAATCTTTCCAGGGCGGCCTTTACATCCTCAGATTTGTGGACGCGCAGTTTCAGCACACTAGAAAGAGCAACCTTGATCTGCTCAGTTGTGGCTTTAAGCCAGGCCTCAGTAAACACTTGGCCTTCATTCTCTGCACTTTCGTCGACTTTGGCCACCTTCTTCAGAAGGCCAGTGACCTTGACATCTCCTAAAATACCGACGAGAACGCTCCTCAGCACTGCAACACCTCCTTCAAGGACTTTCCTAGGATGTTTCCAAGCCGAAGGCGGGGTGAGGAGTTTGCTGAGCGAAGAAACTACTCCTGGTAGAAAATTTGCAAGTGATTCGGGCTCCTTGAGCCCTGCAAACGTAGCGCCTAGTGTCTTGAGTGCTTCAACTTGGATATTCGTACTCTCACCATCAGTGATGGTGTCTAGGACGACAGTTATCGTGTGGCTTAGGGCGGGAAGGTTTTTGTCTTCCACAAGGGATTTTGCTCCGGATATTGAGGAGCTCGAAGCCGTGATGAGAGCCGTAAGGGCTTTCAAGGCTTCTACTGTCGTCTCCTCGGGGACTGGTTCCGCTCGCGTCGACCCTGGAACACCGCCAATAACGTAGGTGAGGAAAATGAGGAGCTGCTGAGAGAGCTCTTTGGAAATTTTCCCTTTCCAGCCTTGCTGAATCAGAATTCCCATGCACTTGATGGTGAGCTCGGTGAGCCGTATCGGGAAATCCTGATGGTTCCTCAGAATATTAGAGAGCGGGAAGGATACGTAATCCGCAATCTTCTCATCCAAGATGGATGGATCTCGTTTGACCTGATCAAGCAGGACATTCGAGAGGTCCTCGGTCACGACCAATAGCTGCCTGGCGCTTGCCCTCCTGTCCGACGAGCGAACGGCAAGATCGTTGATGGCAACGCATCTCGGTTTGAGCTGCTCACAAATTCAGTGGGTCGCTCCCAAAAGATTGCACCGTATAAGGTGGCATACCTCTTTGAAAAAATCAGTCCGGGCCGAGGATGACGTGGAAGACATCTTAATGCAACACCATCATGGCACCAGAAGGTCAAGGTGGTGGTGGAAACCTGTGTAGGCTTCGGCGCTGCTGGGTTCGGCAGCGGATGAATTGCGGCCTGAGTCACCACGGCGAATGCGCGCTCCGTAAATGCGGGTGCAAGTTCGTCTCCACTAAATTCTCCGGACCGCCATCCCACAAGCTGATTTAGGCGTCCCGTGCCTGAGCATCTGTGAATCTGCCGGCGAAAACAAAATAACATTGGTTGGCGCAATTGAGACATCTTTTATATAGTCTCTAGTCTCTTCGCGGTTTTATCGTTTTCACATTGGGTGAAAGTATAGGCTCCCCAACTCCAAACCCTCGAACATGACATCATCCGCTGCGTTCACCACTACGGTGCATCCCTTTCCGTCACCTACGGCACACGCTTGTGCCTATGAGCTTGGCCTGCCCTCTGCCAAGAATGCCTTCGTATTCATGTACGTAATCATTTGGCATCTCATCCTTTCTGTCCCCCTTCTATTATCAAAGCAGATGAGTAGTGCGCAGTCGCACTAGCGTATCCTCACCTCAGAATAACACCAGGTCCTGGCAACCTCTTGATCCTATCTTCGTCCTCCCATAACTCGGTACGAGATCGAATGCTAATGTTGAATCTTTCAGCGGTGGACTAGGTGACGGGCCACACACGGTTCCCTATCCTCGAGCTATCGCGAAAGCACTTGAAGAATCTGCAGAGCTGGGGTTTTCTGTCTTCGAGTTCAGGCTAACAAGCTCCTTCTCTGGCTTCGGTTTCGCTCGCTTGGCAGATGACGTCGCCGATATATCCGCACTTGTCAAGTACCTCCGAGGTATTGGTAAGGAGAAAATTGTGTTGATGGGCCATTCTACCGGTTGTCAGGTAAGTGCCAGTAACCTTGAGTATCAGACGACCAAAGAAAGGCCCTTAGGTCGCTCTGACACGCCAAAGCTAACGCTACCTTAAGGACATTATGGAGTACACTTCTCCTTCCTACACAGAGAATGCTCCAGTCGATGCCTTGATTCTTCAGGCACCTGTTGCTGATCGGGGAGCGCTCGAGCTAGAGATGGGCAAAGACGGGCTGGACAAGAGCATCCAAATAGCCAGGGACTTGATCGCTTCTGGAAAAGCCCACGAGCGCATGCCTATAGAACATGTCATCAAAGGGTTCGGTCCTATCTCTGTCCATCGCTGGTATGCCCTTGCGGCTACCGAGTAAGTTCATCTTCATGCCTGAACGACCGAGTACTGACCTTTGAAAACCAATAGTGGCGAGGACAACTATTTTTCTCCTGATCTCCCCAAGGAGGTTGCTGGTCCCTACTGGCAGAGAATTAATAAGCCACTTCTCATCCTTCAGTCTGGTGAAGACGAGTATATTCCGCCGTCAGTTGAAAAGGTCAAATTGATTGATGAGTGGAAAGCGATGTGTCGTTCAGGGGTTGCCAGCGACTTGTCAGGTTGCATACCTGGGGCTAATCACAGAGTTGAACAGCCGAATTCAGAGAAATGGCTCACCAAGACAGTGGTCGAATTTCTCAAAACCAGTCTATGAACCTGGAGTAAATCTTCATGCAATTCTGCTGCTATATATAGAAGTCCCCTAGGTCAAACATCGCCCTCGTGATAGGCGTCACTTAGATCAATAATTTGCAGTCATTCGTTTGCTATCTCGATGAGAATGATAGCCTCTATACCAGACTTTTGACGCTCACACTCAGAGGCCCTGGGTGTTATTATAGAGCTCATCGATATGACGACGTGTCGAGATCCACGTTCCATTAACATTCTCAAAGAGAAACGCATCATCGTGCCGCGGCGCCGGAGTATATCAATCAGTAGACCTTATAATCTCGACATTGACAGACGAAGGGCGCGTGTCAAGATTGTGTGACTTTGACCATTTCTTCAGCACACTTGTTGATACGTAATTTCAATGGAGCCTCCAACTTACATTTTTAGTAGACTTGGCAGTCTGCTAAGTATGCCTCTGATTATTAACAATCAGATTATCACTGGCGGTTCCGAGCCTCTTTCGTAGCTGGTGCTAGTGGGTATACCCGCCCCACAGCAGCCACCCCGCCCAATGCCCGTGTCTCCTCACTGATAAGCCGAGATCGAGTCAGCTCTATGACTTAGCCCTCCGATACTCGCACCAGAACCAGCTGAGGGTTCACTGTTTCCAACCAGGCGCTGTAGGAGTCGTAGCTTCATCTTGCCAGGCTTTCTGAGTCCTGTACTGGCTGGTGAGGTGGTAGGAACTTCCGGATAAGATCTATCGCCCTGTCAATTCTGTCGAACATGGCCCTCATAAACCCCTATTCCGCAGTGGGTTTGCTATCAATCATTGTGGCGACTTTGGTCTGGTCAGGCCTTTCATCTCCTCTCAGAAGAATACCAGGACCAAGGCACTCACTATTTATATCATGGGTACTCAAGTGGCACGAGTTTCAGGCCAATCGGACCAGATGTGAGTCTACAATACACTGCGTACTCCCTTGGATTCGGCTCAAGGTTGAGGGGCTATGCGTCCTACCTTAACAACACAGAGAACAAACGGAAGTGCCAGTGGAGTCGAGACTAAGTCATAATCGTGATACTGACCGAAGTTGCTCCCCAGATATCCACCAGCTGCATCAAACCTATGGGCCAGTTGTTCGAATAGCGCCGAATGAGGTCTCCTTTGCTTCCATGGAAGGTGTAAAAGAGATTTATGGTTCGGGAGGCAGCGGTTATGATAAAACAGAATTCTACAACCTATTTCGAGTATACGGCAGGAGGTATACACACTTGCTCCCTAAGGAATCGTGGAACGGCCTACGGCTAACCCTTGAGTTCTCAGAACAATGTTCAGCACTCTCAATAAGACCGATGTAAGTGCAATGAGTGATCGGTAGGTTTTCATCTTGTTAATACGGCTCTATATAGCACGCGAAGAGAAAACGCGTACTTGCCGATCGCTACGCCAATACGAACGTCATGCGCTCTGCATCCGTGGAAGGCATCAAAGAACGATCCAACAGATTCATTGACCGTTGCTCGCAGTCTGTCGGAGGCACCTTGGACTTATTCGTATGTAATACCTTCAATAATTATGCTTGGTATCTTAACTGACATAGCTGGTTAGATCTGTGAGGAAACCTGATTATTGTCAATTCCCAATACTGACGATCATGCTTACACGATTTGTAGGCCTTCACTCATATGCATTCGACTGCATAACCCATCATCTCTTTCATCCTTACGGATCCGATTCCCTTCGGAGCACTGAAGATGAAGAGATCATGAGGCAGGTCACCTTCGATGATAGCCTTCAAAGTGAGCAAGAGAAACACCCCGTTCTCGATAATTGTTCTGACAATTATAGATCGTCTGATTAAATACTACAACCCTACCCTACATGGCCTAATTGGAAACGTGTTATCGCTCTTTGCCAAACCGCGAGAGACGCCATTGGCGGATGATCTAGTTCTGAATGCCAGTTCTAAAACGGAACCTGCTCCCTTCACTCTACTAAGCCGGATGCAGGAGAAAACATACAACATGGAACAGATGGATATGGCCGCGGAATGCCTAGATCATATGGCCGCAGGTATTGATACCACCGGAGGTAAGTAAACGCGCAATGCCCATCCCTTCGTATAGAAATGGAGTCTCAACCCTCTCTAAATCATAATTGTATTTTTAACACGAGTTTTCAGACGCGCTTTGTTTTCTTATGTGGGAAATCTCGCAACCATCATCGCTCCATGTTCAGAAGCGGCTTCAAGAGGAAATTCGATCAAATGAAGGTGTGAGCCCGGACAAGCTGCCATATCTTGACGCCGTGGTGCTTGAAGGACTGCGATGCTTTCCTGCGATTCCTATGTCACTCCCTCGATATGTTCCAAGCGGAGGGCGTACTATTGACGGCTATTTCGTCCCTGAGGCAACAATTGTCAGCACCCAGCCCTACTCGATTCATCGTATCGACGAGAAGGTGTTCCCGGAGCCCGACCGATTCAATCCGGACAGATGGCTTGAAGAGACTGGAGATGCAGACAGGAAACGAATGTTCTTCGCGTTTGCCAGTGGCGGCCGCGGGTGTGTCGGCAAGCAGTAAGTTCCTGAGCAATATTTCATTATATACTAAAAACTAATATAGTGCGCAGTCTGGCACTTGCCGAGATGAAGACGTTGTTGGTAGATGTCTACTCTCAGTTTTCGACAGTACCCGACGAGTCGATGAGCGCAGATATGATGGCCATGTCAGACCAGATTATTTCGTCGCAACCACTCGGCCAAAAATGTTTGATGCGGTTCGTTCCACTGACCGAAGGAGGTGGAAATTCATGACTTCAGCACGGCGAGGCCAACGAAGCAGACAAGCGCAGCTTCAACTGGACTGCAAGACTTCATTTCATACAGCTAAAACAATTATAAACATCCAAGAAGTTGAAAGCACCGTAACAAAATGTGATGCAGTAGGAATTGGCATGAATATGTGGCACAGCCAGCAGTTTCTGAAGCTCGCGTCCACGTCTTTGACACAGCACGGCCATACAAAACGTCCAAAGTGACACTACCTACGGGGAACAACCTACCTCCTGAACCATAACCCCAGGAAAACTCGAAAATCGCGAGTAGGTTCCTTTACATGAGAGCTTATAAGGTGGGGAGAGGTATATAAACATCTAGACAGGGTTTGATATGCAGCAAGTCATGAGAAGTCGCCAAGTCATGTATGCCTCGGGCAATTCAGCAGAGACAAACACCTATTTCGGAGCAAAACAAACACTTCTGGTGTGAGGCGTATCCGCAAACCCACTCTGGTTAGAATTCCGTAGGCGAACTTGGCTCTGTCCATCCGGTACTTAGTCCAGAGGTATCTCGACGCCAAGTCTGGAGGGCGTTGGCAGCTGCGGCCGGTCACCGCCTTATGCACTGATATACTGTAACATCGTACATTCTGGCTGTCAAGGATTAAGCCACGACTCACGATGCGTCTCGACATGGTCGTGTGAACCACAGTAATAATTCAGATATGCTTCGATGCAGATAATAGCAAGGGTACCACAGAATGTGTCTCCAGCCCGTGGTCCGATCAGTCTCTCAACCTGCATCATACTCGCATAGAGGCGACTGACGAGAATCAATGCTCCCCATGTCACTCAGAGGCAAAAGGAAAAGTTCAAGGTACGTTTGCGAAAGATCGTTGCAGCAATTATGGATATCATCTCAGTCTGTCATTGTTTTAAGAGAATCAATTACGTTGGAAGTTGTATGCGCTCCCGGACGCAATCTCAGCCGGCAACGTAATCATCATTAATTAGACCCTTCTACAGATGTATAGTTGTACCATAGGTGGATCCCATGCATTCCTCCAATCTTGACAGCGCCGCAGGTCTATCTTGAACTCCAAGAGAACCTAACCAAGGGCCGCTGATTTGCATGCCACCTATGCTGCATAGGAAATAGCACGAGGCTAGCACCATGACACAATGAGAGCTTCCTCGTCATCTTTGAGCTATGTCTGCAGCCCACTCGTTGAGAGGTCTGCTGACCAGGTTACTGGGAACCACTTAGCTTAGTTGAGGGGTGAATTGGCCAATACCAGCCAGGTCACGGAATAGTATGCAAATGCGACCAAGAAGTAAAAACGGGGATTGCGCCCCGGAACTCAACTCCCGCTGCAGAAAACCTCTTTGCCCCTGTCCCAAGCTAGTAACTAATAGGATGATCTGGTATGTGGAACCGCTTTCAAGCGGGATGGCCAACAAGGGCAAGGTATGCGCTTCTCCATCCTCGATGACAACGAGTGCGCAACGTCTCACTCCTGTGCGCCTACGCGATGCAGAGTTGGCAAAACGTTGGCACGGTCAATATTCTAGACCGACAACGAGCTGCATGCAAACAAGTTTCTGTTCGACGCAGAAGTACCGGGGGCCAAGGATGAGAGCGCTGCATGTGAAGCTCGCTTCCACGCTTCTGAGGGAAGGGGACATCGAAGAAAACGACTAGTCAGATCGATCATCTTAGATGTCTCCAAGATCATAGCCAGACGCCCGGGAAACCCAAGGTTCCGGTCGCCATCCTGCGGGCATATGGGTCTTATGTATTGGAAAACTCTCTCATACGAGCTGCAGCCGACTAGGTATGTAGGCGACGAATGGCCTGTCGTCTGCCCCGCAAACGTGCCCCCCTCTATTGCCAAAGGAGACAGATATACAACTGCATAATGTGAAATGTGACAGGGCCGCGCATGGGTCGCGAGAGAAACCAGGGCCTCTTGCCTGGAACTGGCTACCGTTTTGAGTATTTCTCTGACTTGCACACACAATTGAACAGAGCCAATTCGTCCACCATCGTCAGGTCATCTCCCGAGCAGGGGTAGGTCGTTGGCAATCTAGCGAAACCAGGGGGCAGGGCATCGTGGGAAGAGACAGGCACCCGGGCGGACGGGAACGGAAAGGACATCCCGGAGAGACCCAAGATACTATGGTACAGATAGGGTTGCATTCACTGCAGACAGCCTTGCGGGACGGCCCATAAAGGCAGAAACGCATGATAGATCAGAACTGGGCAACCCTACCCTACGCCCACCAACCCAGCGCATGCATCGGGTGTTTGCTCGCTCCGGCGTTGCCTCTTGTCTGTTTGACAGGTTGAAGATATGCACAGCATCTGAAAACGTGCATGCGTCTGGGCTCACGCCGGCCAAGTACTCAGACGTCATTATCCATCGAATAAAGGCTTACAGGGTTCCTCATTATGGCACTGTGGTTCTCACGGTGCCGCGATGTACTTGGATGTATTGCAACGCCCAGAGAATGCACTCGTCAAGTGAGCCAGGTAAGATATGATATCTCAACTTCGGACGAACGACCGCTTTCTCTTCCCGGGCCGTCTCTCGGACGCCAGTCCGTGGCCTGATCCAGATACAACCACGAGTCGGCAACATAAAGCACGAATCAAGGAGAACGCTTTCGAGTTCTCCCGTGTTCAAATGGCAGAAGCGCTGATTGGTGGAAGACACTTGATACCTCAATAACATTAATGTAGCGACGGTAAGGAAAAAGACATGATCGTAACAGCATGAGCTCAAAACGAAGTAATCCAAACAGCCACCTTGTGCTTCGCCTTCGAGGTCTACTCCGCCCTTGACAAGCCGGAGCTTGGAAACAGGGTAAATAAAGGCAAATAAATCAGAAAACCACCAATGACCCTTGACGCAGAAGACAATAACCACCAACTATGCAAATAGAGTCGAGTTACCCAATGTGTGGTATCATACTCGAAGCACGTAACCGCCCGCCGTGTGTGATGCTTTTCGTTTCTCGTTGGAAAGACCTGGGGACACGCACACTCGCCGAGCCAAGCCTTGAAAGACCGCTGGCTTGGCAAAGCAAAGAAGCGAAAACCCTTCTCACCAGGTAGACAAAAGAAAAAGGGAAAGTAGAAATGCCTCGCCACCGCCTAACCCACGACATCCGTGTCTTTTCATGTCGCTTTATATCGTTCTATAGAGACCAACCAACAGCACCGTGATGAATGAGGACCAAGAGGAGCACTGAAGCCACCGCCTGAATGTTATAATGCGTAGTAAAGAAGTTGTAGAAGGTCGAGTTTCCATCCAACTGAGAAACATATGTGATGAACATACGACAGTTTCATCGTCCGGAAAGTGTTGTAATAGTTCGCACATATCATCGATTTGTCCTCGGTATATCTCCAGTCCATATATCCGTCCATGGCGAGCTCATGCCAGGAAATATTTATTATACGCCAGCATCTTTGGCTCATGAAGAATACAGACCACTATGCTGTATTCGGCTGACATAACCAACAGAAGCTGTCTCCGCTTACTGGAGTATGTTCCGCGCGAGAACTTGAGCTTCTTGCTTCATGTCAGGCCCTTGTCCCGGTCTTCCACTCTGATGCATGTAGTCCGAATACCCTGATTGGTGAGGCATTGTACCCGGACCTACACCTCTCAGCACATTCGGATGGCCCAGATCATGGCCTCTTGGTATACCATCTCCGTAATCAAACCAAGATTGAGTCTGGGCCATAGGCGCATTCGCTTGTCCGTACGAGTTGTGAGCGCTGGAGTGCTGGCCAGGCACAGAATATATCGAAGTATTGTTTGGAGCCGAAGCACCAGAAGTCCACGGTGAGTACACGCCAGGCGTCGTTGGTGTGTTGAAGTCTGAATGAGAGTTGGGTATCGATGGCCTCCTTCCAGTATCATGGGTGCTTGTGTATATTTCGGAGAGCGGCATCGATCCAGCAGAATTGAGCGGTGCTGCAACAGGCATATTACCTACGTCGCTGTAGCTGTGTTGCCCCGTGTGAATATCAGAGCCCATGACCGGCTGGCTAAAGTGTTGCCCTCTCATGACCATGTCGCCTACGTAAGACGATCCTTGCATGTGGTTGTCTGGGTGGTCTAAAGGGCCATGAACATTGCCGTATGGTACCATATTCTGAATAGATCCTCTGGAAGGCGTCATACTCCTAGAAGAGGTCTTTCGTTCCTGGTCTTCATCAATTCTTGACGGGCTGCTGTCCTCGTTGTCAGATGCGTATCCTTCGGCGACTCTTTCATCAGACATGACATGGATTTTCGTCTTAGCGTCTGGATAGTGTTAGTCACGCCTCAACCAAATAAGAAGGAGAGGTTAGGTACCTATCCCACCAGCAAGGAACCTCTCCTCCTGGTGAGCTACCTTGAAAATCTCCTTCAGATACGGCTTCTTCTGGCGATTTCCGGGATTGGTGGAATCTGCAAACCATGAAGACAGAGCCTCATTAGTAACCTCCTCCAACTTCGCGATGTTCAATTGCAGTTTCCTGATGTCTCTGTGCTGGTACTCGTTGGGTTGCATCACCAGTCGCAGGATATGGCAAAGAAGGTGGACCCGCTCTATGAAATCTGTTTAGTCTGAGTCCCTCTCGAGTGTTTAAAACCAAGATTACCTTTTTTGTAAAGATGGTCTGGCTCCTTGTGTCGGACTTTCTGATCTCTGAGCTCACCCCAGGGCTCGGGCCACCAGCCTGGTGCCTTCTCGTCCTTTCCTGTATAAGGATGGGTAGACTGCTTCTTAGGCTCGACTGCCTTGATCCAAGCCTTCGCGATGAGCTTGCAAGCAGACTGCTGACAGTTTCTGAACCTCAGTTCGTAAAATTCCTGCAATTGTGCGGCATTCCCAACTTCGATAGATCTCTTTTTCGTAACGACAGCGGTCGGAATGTCCTCTTCACCCAGTTTGCCGTCAAGGCGGTTGCTGGTCTGCCTCAATCGCTTTCTTGCTGGTTTTTGAGGGCTGTAGTCATCGAAGGCCTCGATACCTTGACCGGGGCGGCGAAATGGGATTCGCGGCTCATCGTTCAGACTGACTGGTACTTCTCAACGTTAGACGAGTGTGGAGCAAATTACTGAAACGGAGGTACTCACCAGACGTAGAGGATGACCGGCATTTTTGGTACTCTTTGGGTAAGAAAAATCTATCGATCTGCTCTTGTGATAGTGTTCCAGGCGAAGAAAAGGTGACCACTCCCTCTGGCCTGAATGCAGCAACGAAAAAGTCCGTGGCATCAATGCCGGCGTACTCTCGGAGTGCTTGATGGATAGGCTTGACCAGTTCATGTCAGTACCCTTGGTCTGAAACGAAGAAAAGCCAGATCAACTCACAAGAGGACGACCTTCTCTTGGTACGAACTGTTGATGTGTACTGCCTTCGACAGGCTGCATGCGATTCTCCCAACCCCAAGCGTAGCTTTCTCTACTGAACCTGTCTTGCTGTCCCATATCGGAAATTTGTGACAGGTTCTCCCTGTCCACGTCTCACGGCTTGAGCCGGTCAATCCTATCAGTTATTTTCTCTCCCAGGTGCTGGTAATGTGTAAATGAGCGATGGCATGCAGCGGAGCCGCAAGGGCACGTTCCTGACCATGTCAGCCACCGAAACGTAGCAAATTTCTTGGAAACCTCCACTCTTACCCTTCCTATATAAATTATAGGATCCTCGCTGTTGTAGCCTGTCGTATTGCTGAGGTCAGTGTGTGTGAGACAAAGCTCTTGGCTGAGAACAGAGGTAGATGATTCGATTGGTGGTGGAGGATGTGCAAGGTCCGAAAACTGGAAAAAAAGAGAGAACTGGCAGGTCGTCATGTAATAATGGTCACTGGTCCATGCCGTGAGATGCTGGTCCGCGTGTGGCAGACTTCGGTATATGTGCAAGGGTGACTGTAGAAGGAAACGTGGGAGTCTGGACGTACTTCCTCTGTGTCGACGAATCGAATGGCTACCGGGAGGTAGTCGTATTTAGTTAACACGGTGGAGAATCCCAGCAGGCATGCAGAACGCACATCGAGGTTGATGGCAATAAGACGAGACGAGATTTCTTTGTTGACAGACGGCTGCGGGAGCCTGCTTCGCGGCGAGGTTGGTGCAGACGGGACAGCGCCAAACGACGTGGTAAGGTCTCAGCAAGTATACGGCGCCTGGTATGGCGAGCTATGAGGAACCAGGTGGAGACGGCGCCAGCAGGAACAAAGAAGCCAATATAGGTGTTGTCAGAGGTCGAAGGTCGTAATATGGCTTGAGCAGATTCGCAGGGGAGTCCCACACAATACTAACACCCAGGCGCAAGGATTGCACGGAACAGGACCTCAAAGCCCTCTGTGAATTTTGCACGATCCTGAGACATCAGCGAAATGCCTGCGCTCGTCTTGCGATGAGATAGCAAAGCTGTCTCGGAGCCAGAAGAACAAGCCCGGTGGGAGTTTCGTGTTCTGGAGCACGAGGGCTCAACGAGGAGCTCCAGTCAGACCTCAGGTTGTGGGCGGCGTCCCCCAGCACAGCATCCAAGAAAAGTGATTGCGTCGGCTGGGCGGGTAGTTACAGGCCAACGGCCTGTCGAGATATGATACCGGGGAAGTTCGCTGGCGACTGCGGTGCAGAACGAGCAGCCTCTGAGCTTCGAGTGTCAAATCCAAGGACCGGTGAACTGCGAGTCTTGTCACACACCCCTTCAGAGTAGTATCTTCAGAGGTTGATAGAACTATATGGTGGAGGGCCCTGTGTGGAGGCAAACGTCCATCTGAACGAAGAGGTGGGAAAATGAACTACTGGACCGGAGGAATACGTTGCAGCGACTCGTCAAGACAGCCACGAATCGCGCTTACCCAATCCATTAATACGTTCTAGATGAAGTAGGAAAAAGAAAGGGTCTGCTAGATATTTGTTGGACAGCTGTGGTGGAGAGCCACTGTGTGTCGTAGTTCCCACTGGCGGACAAGTACCTCGCCTATGATGTACTCCGTACGGAAACAGTTGCAGGGATTGGTGGGAGCAATAGGAAAGACCCCTGCCCCCCCTCCCGGTCCTCGATTAGCTGGAAGGGGAGCGACATTACTCCAGTCTCGAGTGATTCACAGGCTGGGGAGGGCTGTGTGGGTGCCGCAGTAGCTATGTACGCCGTAGGTTTCGCTTTTCGCAGGCCAGGCGGCCGACAGGGCCATGGTGTTTTTGTCCTGCGCGAGCAAGGAGGACAGTGTACAAGGGACACCAGTACTCCATGGGCATGGCAGGGAGGTAGGCCACATCACGTCTTGGTAGCGGGTAGCCATGCAGCAGCGTCGCAGTATCTGTGCTATCTCTCAGTTATCCACGTAATGTAATTCGTTTCGACGAGTTGGCCTCGCGAGGACTACGGAGAATCTCATCTTCTAAGCCATGAATGTTGGCAAGCAGTTTTGCCCCGTTTGGTATCTTGTCACGTATTCTACGATCGCTCGACGCCCTCGTTGGGGATCCGCAAATCTATCAAGTACCCGCCTCGCTTGCGCCGACGATCAGCAAATGGGCAAGCTCGGGACAGTGAATGGTGGGAGGCAGTTTGCGAGGGGGGCACTGGGACGGAAGCACAGAAAAAGCAAGCAAGAAAAGTAAAGACCAGTGATGAAGTGCATGATGTGTGGGAACTCACCCATGTCAGTGACAAGGGGTCTAGTGCGCGACTGTGGACTGAAATGAAGTCTTGGAGAGCGTGGGCTCGGGTAGGCCAGCGGGTTGCTAGTTGCTAGTGGATGGAGAAGACGGCGCTGAACTAAGCCAGCCAGCCAGCCAGCCCAGTCCTCTGGGCGGTCCTACCGCCCGTTTGCTAGAGAGAAGAAACAGGCGCCACACTTACCAGTCTGTGCATTCTTCTCTATCGCCGTGACGGACGAGTCAGTTATGGGAGGACTCCCAGAGAGAGAGATGACTACTAGGTGAAATGAAGTTTCAGCAACCTCTTGAACAGGCAGTGCTCGCTGCATGCGCCCTCTAAGCGATGCTTGGAGGAATAAGCGATGCCCACATGTTTCCAGCAGTTTTTGCTTTTTGCCCTCGCCGGCTCTTTCTCAGCTGTTTCGATGGCGATTTGTGTGCGTATCTAGGTACATAGCACCCACAGCACAGGCTGCCCCGCTCTAGAGTTGTATAAGTCATCGGTGTACCTGGGCAATTACTATGTATAGTGGTTGAAACCTTGACACAATACCAGGTATAAAACCCGGCACTTTCGAAACTCTGATTAGTATTCAATCTACAGGGCCTCTGGCTTCGTCGGAGCCACTCAGCCAGCGTGTCCCAGTTGTCTGCTTTAGTTTCCGGGAATCCTTGTTAACCTCAAGGGGTTAACTATGGGGTACCCGAGATCTAGATCAGGTAGTACCGTCCGGGGGTCACACCCCTCTGGATTTACTGCACAATTCACCGTAAAGCGCATGGCCTAGAAAGCACCTGCAGAGGAGATGAACCCCGCCTGCCATGTGACTCGTTGGAGTACACGCATGGCTACCCAGTTATGAGTGCGACATCGGTTGCGATCGTGATGGAGTTCGCTGACTTGTCACCAGCCTACCGTCTAAGGAGTTTGGCTGCTATAGCGACATCTCCTGCTGCTCAGTAACGTTGAGATATCGCGAAGCATGGCATGGCCGACGGTTCGTGTAGCGATACAAGTCTCATAAAAGTCCCGAGGGGTTGTTGCACCTTGACTGCGCCGGCAAGTGGAGCTGTCGAGTATTTGTGTAATCCTGTATCATGCTACGGGAGAGCATGCTTGCCACCGCGTGCTTAACTCGAATCCGAACCATGATCCGCTCGACACTGCCGAAGTCACTTGAACTGCATCAAGGAAACACTCACACGGCAACGATATCAAATACCAGTCTGCGTATCCTTTCGACGCCTGACGAGCTGGGGGCCGAAAGCCTGTATCTTTGCTTGGGTGGGGGTCATAGATAGGCTTGCGTGTGACATTGTAATATGGCAACCCGCCATCGCAGATCCAGCACGCGATACGGTTGCATGGAAGTGGCATGACATCGATACATTTTATCTACTCTTGAATGTTTGTTTCGAAGGTAAGTAATTTGTGACGCGGGAATATTCATACGTTTGAATTGGTGAGTGCACTTGTGATTGAGGCCAGTATTCACTCACAGATGTCGTTAGGTTCTCCTACCAACACTTCTGAAGTTAGCAAATTTCAAGCAGAGCCGTCTCAACCGCCTCTGGGTTCAGGGGTTATCACCACTGATGCTGGGCCCTATTCAGACCCGTGAAGGCTGGCTGGCCAATGGCTTATGAGAGCCTGAACCAGCCCTCTACATTAGCTTGATGCCTTTGTCACTACCGTTTCAGGGGCCCTTGCAGTCATGAAGCTGCTCCGGAAGCACGGATGTCATGATGAATGCCGCTACGGTTCCCCCACGCGGATACCGCCTTAGCACGGTTCCAACTTGCGCTCGTCTCTGGTTCACTTCACCATTGCGGAGCACATCGTTATTTGCGATGACAGGCTAGAGACCTTGTCAGACCACTCCCATCACACTCACACCTCGTTACAAATCACGCCGTCACACCGCGGGCCTTAAGCTGAATCTTTATATATGCCAGGCTGCCCACTTTGAAAGGCAGGCCCTAGTATCATCATGTTCAATTTCTCCGTCCGGGGGACAAGGCGGTGGTCTCTGTAACAGGCACGAAATTCCGTCCTGATTGAGACAGAACTAGCCTCATCGTCGTCCGGGTTTCGAGAGATTGGGATGAACCAGCAGGTCTTTGCACAGTTGCTGCTGATTCAGAAGTTGTCGATAATCCATCGGCTTTCTAACAATGTTCTGCCAATACCGGACAACCGAAAGAAGAAGACACTGCATCTCATTTAAACTGTTTGCGTACCGGTTGTCGACTCCGTCCCCCCAAAAAGATTCCCATCTTGATCTCTCCTCTCATAGCTGCCTAACAGTGTGCTCTGACCCGCATCAAGTCTTTGGATCCGAGTGGCAGCGGTCGTGACGTGAGGAAGCCATCCACGTTCATGGCTTGTTTGCTACACAGCATAAAAGGTGGTTTGCGTAGTGCCTGGTATCACGGAGAACCTGGGTATTGACGACTCTGGTTGCCTCAGCGGATGTTGACACACAGGAGCCAAGCGTAGGCCCACCTTGCCCTCGATTTCGTTCTGACGGACCTTACAGAGTGGAGAGATGGAGAGTATCGTATTGCCCATTGCCTCTTGGTGATACTACCTGTGTAATCTATCGAATTATTGATCTCTACGGAGAAGATCAGTCCTCGCTAGGCAAAAATTCTGGACTGGTGATGGAACAATTCGAGTTGGCTCGACTCGAATTTTTAAATATACTCTGAACGCTGGCACAACAGACTGTCCGTTGCTACAAGCTGCGCTAAGTACTGACATCGTCGCTGGTTTGTCTTGGCGGCCAGTGACCTCGGGTTACTAATGAGGTTCCAGGGTTCACGAACTGGTACTGCGTGGAAACCCAGGACTCTGGGCGATTAAACATGCACGAGAGGCTTTCGTACCTATTTGGGCGAGTTTCAGCGGCAGCTCCTACCAGACCCAGACTGTTGGGTTTCTTGGTTGTCCCCACTAACCACATTCAGAATTAGGGATCACGAACTTTTGACGTCGCCAAAGTTCCCCGTCGGGCCCGTTTCCACGCTCTGTGTCTGGCCAGGCTTGCCCCGTTCAATAATTAACTTGGTGATAGCAGCATGCAGAGACGTGGGCCCGTCAAGGCAAGCAATTCCGGCCGTTCCGGCGACAGCGGTGGAAGTCCTGTTGGGTGACTCGCAGGCAGCATTTTGGCTGCGCTCAGGACAGGCTTGCAACTACTGCAGAGCTAGGCAGTGCCCATGCCGGGCCAGCGAGGCAGAGAGCAATGTTTGCCAGCACTGGACTTACACCAAGTTGGACGGAGTCGCTCGGTCCATTGCGGGCGACCCAACTTCCCGGGTCAGGTACTTGCTTGCGCGGCTGACACCCCCTAACCAACTCTATTTCTGGACGTCACAGCAGGATGCGACCGACAGAGAGGGCTGAAAGCCCAAGCTACCGTGGGCCGTATGGTATCCTCCAGTTCGCAGGCGGCGATCCACATGGCGGATGGCCAGTGTCACGTTGTCATTTCGAAACGTGTATTTGCCTTTCGGCAACTGCGCCGCACGCAACCCTTGCCAGCGAAGCCGACTTTCTCACGCACGACCTTGCGTTGACATATGCATGCCATGGATCTGGCAGAGCCAGATGCAAGGGCCAAGATAACAGAACAAGCGCTGCCGTCGCTCGAACCGTGATACGGTATTGCTCACAGCCAGCCAACTCGATCAAGGGACTTTTGGCCGAGCTCTGGTCCCGTGAACGTGTACCATACACAGTACTAAGATCTCAGCCCGGGGTAGCTGCCGCTTTTCGCAACCCGCGTCTTTGCCTTGGCATGGCATGGCAAGTGTAGACGGTTTCCGGCTACTGCAGGTTTCGAAGCAGATCAAGTCCGCTATTGAAGCTCTTCGGTACGTTCTCCGAGTCGCGAACCGGGCCGGCTTCGACTAGCCATGCCTTCAACATTGCATTGGGGGCGCCCTGTGTTATTCCCGTTTTGGAGCTTCTGGGGTAACATTGAAGGCCGATGATCTGCGCGAGTGTGTGTTCAGCACCAAGCCACCCAGCCCAAGCGCAACGCGAACGGTTGAAATACCCTGCTCGGTATCATCAACAAGCTCCCTGCCCTAGCCAGTCCTCAATAGTTACAGGGAAAGCCCCTCCTGGCAAGGCGTCTCGTCACGACGTGCTCTTTCTTGCACAGTTTCCGCGACGGCGCCATGATTTAGGATGCCGATCCCGTCCCATTAAGTCTTGTTATATTCCCAAGCTCCGTCCATACGGCTGTCTTAGCCCCGTTTCGACGTTGAGCGAAATGAATAAGTTTCGTCCTTTTGCCATCTAAACCCCTCCTGGCAGAAGTCAGGTAACACAAACATATGCAGAAGGGACTCAAGTGCTGACAGCCCAGTCCCTTTTCGATCTTCTATGCATAATCTATGTCTTAGCCCACACTCCGCGACGCACTCCGACGTTTTAGTTAGTACGACCGTGGCGTCAGGGAGTATCAAGGTCGTTGGCCTGGAGCTGAACACCAAAGAGCCTATCATAGCAACCTGTGTCCTTGCCATGTTTTCCGAAGAAAAGAGCACCGACGGACGTTAGTAATCAGATCGTCCAACCAAGGGCGAGCTATGCCTCCTAGGCCCAATAATGCGTGGTACTATTCAAAGTTTCCTGGTGAATCAAAGCTTACTTGGACCACAGTCCATTGGAACACGGTGATATACCCGGATATACCCAAGGGGCAAGTACAACAAACAACTGCCGCTCGACACAATCCTACATGGCCGACATCTCCTTCCTCGCGCATCTTGCTCCGCGGTGCAACTATTTATGCCTCGCAAAACCCACGCGGAACAGCAGTCGATGCTGATTCGTCCCCGCAATGTGTTACCCTACATGGGTGGCGCCCCTCCATTACAACGCTGGAACATATACACCCTTTTCCTCCTCACCCACCCTCCCGTTTGGCGCATGCCGCACGCAGATGTATCTAGCCGGCAGCCAGAAGGAGGGGACATTCGATGGAAGCTGAGTAACGCAACAACGACACACAAGCATTCTGGCGCTCTTGCTCGGCCCCCTTTGGCGTGTCGTAGGGAAAACAACCCGCATGATCCCCTATTTCGAGCTAGCTCCTCGTTGTCTCACGTTGCACCAGACCTGCCCGCCCTGCCCACCACACACACACACACACAATGTTGACATGAAGCGGAACCCGGACATCCGCCATCGGCTGTGTTGTGATGTGATTGCAATTTCCCCCCGGGCGGCGAGTGATACTGACGCCGTCTTGCCAGGAAACAAGTCCTGGCGCCTGATGACGTTGCATTACCGTTGCAGTCACAGACCGAACGGCACCAGGAGGTAAAGGGTCTAGACTATGTGACACTCTGCATCTTACCCATAATCTCAGCAAATCCAAAGGAGCACACGGAGCAGGAAAATGATGGCCTATCCAGAGTCCCAGGGTTATTCATTCGTCTGGAGCGCACTTGTTGAGAATGGCCAAGTGGCCATCGACGTTGCGCGACACCTGGCTCCTCCGCCATCTGCCCATTTGGAGGACGATTACGTTTCTTGGTGAAGGAAGGGATGCCGTCATCATTGAAGCCGCCTCGGCTGTGCGCCGTTTCATACTTACACACAAAGCTACATCAGTATCAGTTAGCAATTTAGATGCAGATAATGACATGCGGAGGATGCTTGCTCTGCGGTGCTCGGTGCCGTTGCTGCTATTTTGGTGCATATCACGACACCACCCACATCACGGCATTCTCACACGTGAGCTTATATTCGGTCCCAGCATAGTCGGCCAAGTCCGGGCGGCACAGACTGCTACCTGGCTGGGCCCAGCCATCCCTTGTAGATAAGAGAAGGCATCCATTGACGGATGGGACGCAACATGTCTATGAGGAGGGTAGGAATGCCGTCTTGAGCCGGCGGAAGCCATCTGGTGATTTGGAGGAAACACGGCACACGTCTGTACTTTCAGACGACGGGCTGACATGCCGCATACCCCTGTCTGCAGCGAGGCTGCCATTGCCTCGCTGGAGGGCATGCATACACTTTAGGGATTGGTAGGAATAGCTTGGCACACGATCAGGTTTAGAGTGGACTGCCGCAGCTCAGTCATCTCTTGGAAATGAGTGCTGGACCACGGGTATAGCAGAAAACCTTCTACAAAGGTGTTTTCGCGACTCGGCGCAGACCTACCTGTATACTGGTCAATAACTGAGTATGCCAACCTGTGTACTTAGCAATGCATCGTCGCCATGCTTTTCAGTCTCATCGGGGTGTATAGTTAATATGCACATTCAGGCGTGTTATTCTATTGTGTCTATTTTCCTTCCCTCTTCCACAGTGCCGCAGCTATCTACCTAGGCATGGAGGCTACAATTCCTCGGAGTACATTTGGTGCCTCACACCGTTGTTGACATCTGTTCCAGCTCGGGAGGAGCAATCTATTCCGTATCAAGACCAGACTGCTTGACCAAGCCGTAGAAAATGCCCTTGCGCTTGATCAACTCCTGAGGGGTGTCGAATTCCACGACCTCACCCTTGTCGAGGACCACGACACGGTCCGAGTCCAGGATCGTGTTGATGCGGTGAGCCACGGTGATTATGGTACGGTGAGCGAATAGCGGGCTGCGCAGCGTGGTCTGCAGTGCGGCGTCCGTCTCGACGTCTACGGCTGCGGTTGCCTCATCCAGGACCAAGATGTTGGACGGCGTGAGCATGGCACGAGCCAAGGATATAAGCTGGCGCTGGCCCTGTGATAGGTTCGAACCTGTGATTGAGGATCAGATTAGGCTCAACATGCATATGCGCTGGGCTGCGGCAATTGGGTAGAGGATGGGGGGCAACAATGTGGTTTGGTGTTGATGTAGAAAATCGGTTGGGAGGATGTGCGCTGCCATCTTCACGATGTAGGTGCATGCGGCGAAGATCATGCAGGGTCTCGGCGAAGATTGCAGACACAAGCAGATCAGCCACCGGAGGTAAATGGCCAAGATAGCCAGTATTGGTGTCACTTGCAGCCCATGCAACCACGAACAAGCATGCAGATACCCGAGAATACGATGGGAAATGGAGTTGTGACAGACAAGCCGACGACAAGCGCAGCATATCAAAATTCAAGACTCACCTCCTTCGTTTATTTTAGCCTCCAGTCCTCCGTCCATGGTGGCCACATGGTCCTTGAGTCGAGCGTGTTCTGCGTGTAGAAATGCGTTAGCTATTAGAACTAGTGAGACGGCAAAATGCGAATGGGCTTTGACAATCAGCTAAGCGAGAGCATGTGCTCTTCCCGTCCTGCGGGTAATTTTTGGGTCTGTCAGCATTGTGTAACCCACGTACCTAGAACGCTCCATAACTCCGTGTCGTCGTGTACGTGGCCAGGGTCCAGGTTGTCCCGAACAGTACCCTCGAAAAGAGCCGCGTCTTGTGGAATGATGGCAAGCCGCCTTCGGAGATCCAGCAAGCCGATTGTCGACGTGTTCAGATCGTCGATGCTGATATTGCCTGTATCCGGCTCGATGAGACGGAAGAGCGAAAGTGTCAATGACGACTTTCCTGCACCAGTCCGTCCCACCACACCGATTTTCTCATGCGACTTGATGTCCAAATTAATGTTCTTCAACACCAGGTCCAGGCCAGCTCGGTAACGTGTGCTGTAGTTGTGGAACTGGACAGCGCCATTTGCAGGCCATGCCACAGGCGGTCGGTGTCGGTGAATAATCTCAGGAGCTTCACTCGGGAGGCGTGCATATTCAAGAACACGTTCTACAGACACAATATTGGTCTCCACCTCCACGGTCTGACGCACAATCCAATTGAGCGACGTGGTAATCTGAAGAGCATACGACATGGCCAAGCCGACCGAGCCGCCGGTGATGCCGCTGTAGTTGCTCACGGAGATGACTGCGAATCCCGCAGCTGCAAGAATGATGATGGCCCCGATAAATTCCAAGCGAATAGCCAACCATCTGTTCGCGCTAATTGACGGATAGTAAGCACGCAGGTTGGAGTCGACTCGCCACTCGTTCTCAAGCTCAAACCTGTCTGTCTGTCGGTATGCCCGGATGGTGCTGATTCCTCCAAGTGACTCTTGGAAGTGGGCATAGATGGGACTGCGACTGACACTGTCCAATCGCTTGAGTTCTCGTGATGTTCTCAAGTAGTATCGCTGGACCCAGTAGTACACCGCACCCAGAGGAAAGATCAGCGCTACGAAAGCGGGCGTAGTAACAGAGATGACGGCTAGAGTGAAGCCCGAGCGCGCGAGATTAACGAAGAGCATGTTGAAGGTGCGCGCGAGAACCTCATCCAAGCGGTAGATGTCGCTAGAAAACCGGTTCAGGATTCGGCCAGCAGGGGTAGTGTCAAAGAAAGACATTGGCGATCTGAAGATAGCCGTTGCCATTCTCTCGTGCAGTTTCCTGGAGGCTTCGATAGAGCAGAAGATCCAAAGGATGAGGGTCTGAATTACAGTCAGGGCAGACGAGCCAACTCCGATGGCAAAGTAGATGCCAAGGTACTTCCCGACCTCAGGGTTACCGCCAGCTGCGTCGTTTCTCTCCGCCCAATCTTTCAACCAGAAGCCGCCAGCAATTTGCGCGGTCTGTGCTGCAATCAAGGTGCCCAGGTAGATAATGACTGCAAAGAGATTGCTCGTTTTGGCGTACTCAAGGTAGACATCCCATTTGACCTTGCCTTGCTCAGAGTGCTCCTTGGCCTGCCTCGTCTTGCTGCTGGGATCCTCCTCATCAGAGAGCTTACCGCGCGGGCCTTTGAAACTGGCTGCACTCGCGCGTCGAAGAGTTGACATACTACCGCTTCGCTTCTGCATGCTTGACGATGCACCAGTCTTGATGGGAGCCAGTTCAGGTACATTTTCTTGGGCTTCCTCGATTTCTTCCTTGTCCCTGGCTGCATCTGGCTCGATGTATGTCGAGGAAGCCTCGCTTGAAGACCCTTCAGGACTGGCATCTTCCGACGCTGGGCCTGAATCTTGGCCGGTTGATTTGATGAGATCCGAAATACCTCCCTTCATGGCGATCAACTGCGGGAATGTACCCTTCTCGACAATTTCTCCATCCCTTAATTGATAGATGTAGTCTGCAGAAGTCAGAACTGAGATCGCATTGGTGGCCAAGATACGGCACTTAGAGCTTAAAAGCCCCTTAGAGCCCAAGACATTGTCGATGATATGTCGGCCGACGTGAGAGTCGACTGCGGATAGAACGTCATCCAACAGATAGATATCAGCGCGTGCGTAAACGCCTCGAGCAAGCGCGACACGTGCTTTTTGGCCTCCGCTCAGCGAGATACCTCGTTCTCCCACGACTGTCTCATCTCCGTCAGGAAGTTGGACGAAGTCGTCGAGGAGAGCGCAGGCTTTGACGGTCTTTTCGTAGAAGTTGGAATCATATCTGTGACCAAAGATGATGTTCTCTTTGACCGTAGCATTCATGATCCATGGTTGCTGAGCCACATAGGCTACGTTGCCCTTGACTCTCACCTCACCCTTCTCTTTCCATAGGTCACCCAGAACGCTCTGTAGGAGGGATGACTTTCCGGACCCTACCCTGCCAACAACACAGGTCAATTCTCCTTTGTGCGCAACGAAGTGGATATCCCTGAGGACGCTCTTTGACTCATGACGGTTCCAAGAGAAGTTGCCATCCTGGATGACGACCGTCTCCTCCCCACGTTCCTCAGCTGCCGGGCCAATTTCAATGGCGTCAGGCTGGATTTCCTCGGCCGTGAGATACTCTGTCAGTCGACCTACAGCCACCGACGCCTCGATTATTGACGTAATGACCATGGGAAGGACTGCCAGAGGGAACGTGAGCAAGTTGAATAAGGTGAGCGCAGGGAAGACGATGTCCGTGGTCAACGGGACATCACGAGTCCAAACAAAGACAGCGAAGGTTGAGCAGGACACCAAGAACGGCGTCGTAGACCAAGTAAAGTTGGCAACTGCCTGACCAGCTCCAATCTTCCGAAGGTTGTGGAGCTCCTGGTCATTTCTAACGTGATTAAGCTTGTTCATGAAGGCAGTGCCCCACGCATACAACTTGATGCTCTTCATGTTGTTGATGATCTCGGCAATCAGGCGGCTGCGAGCATCCTTGTTCTTCATCTGCTGCTTTTGCAGACGCTTCATAAATCTGGCAATGAACCCATTGATTGGAATCATGATGATCATGACACCGATGCCCGCGAGCATAGACCATCCGACCAACTGGTACAGAGAAACCATGCAGATGATGATCTGAAACGGGGCAGACCATACTTGCTGGGCGAACTGAGTCAAGTCCTGAAGGCGCTGAGCATCGACGGCCATGTAGTTGACAATATCGCCAGTCGTCTTGGAAGATCTACCCTCGTTTGAGAGCTTCAAGGCCTTCTTGTAGATCGCTGAGGTCAGTCCAGCCTTGATCCGCATGCCAGTAACGAATGCAAGCTGAAAGTATTGATGCTGCACTGCGTTAGCCAAGGTCCAGATTCCAGTCTCTATAATTTTGGGTTCATGATGCACTCACAATCATGCTCGTCTGTAGACAGGCAACAAGAAACATGGCAATTGCAATGGAAGCACCCTTTATCACGGGCTGGGGCTCATTCCCCTCCCGGTAAGAATCGACGAACGAGATGAGAAAACGCAGCAACTGAGGCTGGGCAAAGGCCGACAGGTCGTTGAACACCTTGAAGACAGTGGCGACGAGGTAAGGGCCACCGTAGGACCTGAAAAGAGCAATCCATAAGGATGGGTGTTTCCGGTGCTTCAGCTCGTACTTCCATGCCTTGTCGAATTGTTCGCCAGTCGTGGATGACTTGTCGTTTGGTCCAAGGCCCCATAGGTCTTCCTCGGTGAGATACTCTTTGTAACCATATCTCATCATGGGGGTCATCCATGAGAAAGCAAGCCGGGAAAAGATGGTCGCGTACTCGGCGGGACACTCGATCCCCTCGTCATCCACCAATGCTTCGTATGCACTGGCTCGCTTTGGCCATAGCCACTCAAAGAGGAATTCGGCCACCGACAACCCGAAGCCAACAGTGTAGGTTACGAAGTATGGGAGATTGGTAATGTAAATCTGCTGAGAGACCAGGGATCGGAGCTTGACGGCGTATGCCAGCAGCAGAAACAGCCAGTAGAACAACACAACGCCATTGGCGTTTCGGGACCGGGCATGCTCGACCCATTGGATCGCGAAAACGACACCGAGAGAGAGGAAAGTCAAGAAGGTAGTCAGGACTCGAAAATCGCCGTACCAAATGCCGGGGAGGTTGATGATCTGAATAACGAGCTGGGCGACGATATCGGCGATAACGGCAACCAGAAGTGTCTAAGCGGACAAAGGCTGTCAGAACCCGGTAATTCTTCTACTCTGGCAGTGCCGGGTCGTTGTCGGAGGGGGGAAGACGACTCACTTGCTTGGTCCAGAAGTGCCAGTCCTTGGGCACGTCGGCAGCCTTGGACTTCCTCAGGACATACCAGAGCGCCAGAGCTCCGCAGACGATGCCGAAGGCGGCGACCAGCGAGACCCAGACGTCGATGAAGCAGGGCGTAAAGTCGTAGCGGAAGGGGCTCAGCGGGCCCCAGCCCTCCTCGTTACCGCATAGCGGCTGGACGAAGCGCTCCGAGGCGCTCAGGTAGCCGTGGCCGAGCTGGTGGTGTTGCGGCCGGTATCCGGTGAAGGAGCCGGTCGAGTGTAGGACCTGCTGCGAATGGTCACTGAATCGCATGACCAGAGTTAGCTGCTGCAGGGACGGACGACCACGCGGCTCATAATAGGGGGGTTCGTGCGGGAGAAGGAAGATTGCGCGATCGGGAGGGTTTGTGGCGGAATTTTGTGACAGCGACGCGGACAGAGGCGATCCTACTGTTGATGATGTCGTCCTTGGGGGGTTTTTTTTCTCTGGGGGAAGTGTTTTGGGTGAGGGAAGCTCGCGTCGGCCTGCAGCCGCACCCTTGCCGTACCGCTTCCACTACTATGCTCACTAACTAGCACCTACGGAGTAGTTAGCCACTTATCGCCGAAGGCCCCGAGGATCCTTTGTCAGCACTGCGCGAACTAACACGTCACTGGCCAATTCCAGCAATTTCAATGACCAGTCCATGGAATCCCTCGGGGTTGACCAAGACGCAGACCCTCATCGATCCTCTTGGAACGGCAGAACGGGTAACACTCGTGGACCTGCGCGCAGGCACCCAGGGACATACGCAACAGAGGGGGAGACACTGGAACTTTCCACAGCACAGCTTACCTAGCATAGGGACAGGAGAGCTGTTTGGGTGATCCCGTAACCCCACCTTTGGTTGCAGGGTTCGGCTTACCTTATCGCGCGCATCTGCAGCGCCAATGCATCGGCTGCAGCCCTCTGTTCAACTTATCCAGCGGCCAATCAAGACCGCCAGGTTTCACACCGTCACAGGGAGAGACACGTTGAACTCTATCGCACGCTGTTTGAAATCTTCTCCGTCTGCTCCTGTTCCGCCAGAAGCTACCAAGTGCTCGGGAAGAAGTGCAACTACTGTACACAGTACAATGCGACGAATTCCCCAAGCCGTCGGAGACTGGCGACTGGCTGATGTCGGCTGCGTTAGTTAGGGACCTGTGCTCCAGTTCAAACAACGTTATTAGTCATGTATACTAGGTAGTATAGAGCCGCCAAGACCAAGCCTCCCCGCCGCCCAGGATTGTGCCTTAGAAATCAATGTAAGTGCCTATGCGCCCTCACCGACAGTGTGATCACCAATCAAACCCTCGCAGCCTTTCCCCGTCTTCCGGATCAGATACCACGAGTCGCAATGCCTCCAATCGTCCGAGTCGGTCCTCTGCCGGATGGTGCCGTACGGCTCCCACCCGTGCCCGTCTAGCACCCCCATGATGCCCAGCAGGAGCTCGCGCGCCTTCATGGACTTCTCGCCGTGGCACCGCCAGGGCCGGCCCTGGAGGACGAACTCGTACGCATCGTGACTCCACCCGCCCTTGTCCAGGTAGCCCGTGCTCGCCAGCATCTCGCGGAACGCCTTTAGCATAGGCTGCTGCTCGGCCGCGTCGCCATCGGCGCCGACCCCGTGCAAATAGATCGTCTTGGAGTGGTAGAACTGCACGACCAGCCAGTCCACCGCGGGCAGCGCCGGCGGGTGGTCCGTCCCCCGTCCGGCCGCTGCGTCCCGGAACAGCAGCGTGTCCTTGGACCCGATCTTCTCGCTGAGGTTGATGGCCGTGGCCAGGACCCAGCCGCGGCCGTACAGGAAGGCCAGGATGTCGCGCAGCAGCACCCGCGAGCCGATCGCCTCGGACTTGCCCATCATTCCCCACGGCCGACCCTTCAGCTGGTACTCGTAGGACCCGGCGTACAGGCCTTCGGCCTTGATCCCCGGGGGCCAGGCACGCCGGAGCACCGGCTCGGCCTGGCGGCAGATGGGCTCCGGGAATGCGAGGAAACGGATGCGGTCGGACTTGCTCAGAGACAGGGTTGCAAATTTGCTGGACGCTGAGTATTTCGCTGCTTCCATGGTGCCCAGCGCTGAGAGAGGAGAAGTTGTGTACAGGTCAGTACTCGAAATCTTCAAGGCGTCAAATTATTATATTTTCCAAAACATCAACTCCGTCAACCCTTCAGTAAAGAGACAGATGTAGCTACAGATTGAAATGGGCTTCGAGGACTCGCCGCGGGTAGCCCTGAGCTCTTATACGTGCGATTTGGTGGATTGCAAACTATCTCTGGGCGCCCGATTTCATCCACGTGCAGCAGTCTCGGTGAGTGAGGCTGAAGAACGTCCGTATTTCGTATTTCTGCTGTGACCCCGCCGCCCCGGCTTGATGTGTCTGTTTTATGCGGGCGCGTCATACCACAAATCAATATAGCGATGCTTGTCATCATCTTTAGCAAGGTCTCAAAGGGTTTGATATCCGCTGAATAAACACTTAAGCGAATGAGTACATCTGAGGTTGAATCTGAGAAGAATATATTTTCGACTTCATCTCTGTCCCGCGTCAATGTGGGGAGAAGGGATAGATACGTATTTGTACAGGTGTATATACCGTTTGTCAGTTACAATAATATACACGGGCGTGACGCCCGCTGATCCACTTTATGCTATGATGAAAATGATTCCGTCTCCAACGCCATACTGTCCTCCTCGGTCTTGCGATTGAAGGACGGCTCAAACTTCGCCCGATCTTCAAAGTATCTCACCACAAACCGATTCAAGAGGTTCCTCCTAGGAGCGATCCTCTTGGCGACATCAACAGGGGCCATGTTGTCAAATATGATGCGATCGTGCGCTGCGATCATCTTCCTCGCCAGAGCGGCCAGGTCCGCGATCTGTGCCTTTTCTTTTTCCCAGGCCACGCGGTCTGCGTCGTCCACGACATTTCTATCCGCGAGAGAATCTAGTTTGCGGAGGGAGAACTGCTTGGCGACGATCTGGTAAGGCTCCCACAGATTCTCGAGAGCGGTGCACATCTGACGTCCCCACATCAACTTGGCCTTTTCAGGGTCCTTTTGGGCGGTCTCCTCGAAGAAGCGCTTGTTGGCATAAGCAACGCGCAGGTAGGTGCGCAAGACGTATAGGTCCGGGATACGAAGCGAGGTCAGCATGATCTCGAGTATGCCTGTGGCGTTGTTGAAAGCGGACCTGTTGAGGTTGTCTCGCAGGCAAGTAGTCATGGCATACTGAAAGATACTCGGGGTTGTCATCTGCTTGGGTACCTCGGACAGGTACTCAACAGCCTTGGTACTACTCTTGCCGCGGCAGAGGGCTCGAAACAAGGCACGCCAGTTCTCTGCATCGGGGACGACACCATGGTTCTTGGTGAAGATGATCCAGTAGCGGCGTGCCAAATTAGCCTTCCCAGTGTTGTGGATGGCAGTCATAACCAGTGAAAGCGAGTTTTTGCCGGGTCGCGCGAATGCTTTGGAACTGCCGGAAGGCCTCGCGTCAATTCGAGAGACAGCCTTCGTGGATGGCGTGCTATCGCCCTCGGGGGGAGGCGCGGATGGGCTGTCGTCCTTGACTCCTTTCCACGCCAGACTGCTAAGCTGCTCTGGCTCTTTTGGGATATTCATGGTCTGCTCGATCAGGGAGAAGATGTCGTTGTTATCGTGGTAACTTCCCAGCAAAAGGATTCTGCCCATGGCGCATACGAGCTCTTCATCCACGAACATGCTGGCGGAGCGCCACTTGGCCATGACATCGTCCCATATCGTCTTGGCTCGCTGTACGGTCTGGGTCTTGGCCTGTGCCACATCTTTCTCGGTGGCGTCCCGGTCCTTGGAACCGCTGACGCTGGCACGCAGAGCGTTGAGTACGGTGGTGAATGTGAGGTTGTTCGGACTGCGCAGCTTGTTGTCGGCCGTCTTGAGCACTGTAAACATGGTGTCAAAGTCTTGAGCTCGGGCGCAGACGTGCAGTACAGCATTCATGTGGACAACATTCGGAGTGATGCGCTCGCTGGCGATCATGTTGTTGTAGATGCGTTGCGCCTCGCTGACGGCGAGCTTGGAATGGGGAGAGGCGGCGCAGCCCCGGAATATAACGGTGTATGTCTGGGCGGTGGGCAACTGGCCGCGCTTCTTCATGTCGTTGTAGAGCTTGATGGCGGCATGCAGGCGGTGTTTCCGCATCTGGTAGTCGATAAGATGGTTCCAACTGACAGGGACCTGAGCAGTCTTGCTCGCCTTGTGGACGAGGAGGGTGGCCTCTTCCAGGCGATCCCGGGCCAGTGTCCTCTCGACCTCTTTCGCAATGTGATAGGGATCGTCGATGTACTCGAGCTGCTTATTTACGGCCCACTCTGTGGACTTGGAGACTGTGCGCTTCGGCTTCTTGCCAGGGACTTTGGGCCGGCCATCTTTGAGGTCTAGGTCTCGAAAGCTGGATTCATTCGCGGGGGCAGCAGTCGTGGCAGTCGTGGCAGTCGTGGCATATGTCCTCGCTGGAGCAGGCGAAGACGTCCACGAGACAGGCGGGCGCAGCGACGTCGCTCGGGGTTCTGCAGGCAAAGCAGCCTCCAGGAGGGAGGCCAGAGCCCGCCGTGTACAGGCGCGGCAGGTGAGCATGATGTTGGGAGCAGTGCAAGAATGACTGCGGATTCCTTGTTGTAAAGCACCAGATCGCAAAGGTGCTGGGACGACTTTTTTTCCCTCCTAATCAGGAGCTGTCGCGCTATCGGGCTGGCTTATCGGGTGTGGCCACTGACAACGTTGGCACTGGCCCCGCCCGGCCACAACCTAGGTACCACCTGTAGCAGATCCCGGGCCCACTGGAAGTCGGTGTCAATTAGGTTCCAGGTTGTGGTTAGAGGAGCGACAGGGGTTCGCGGGTCCCCAGCGCGTCCAACACGCGTCCGCGCCCGCGCCCGCGCCCGCGTCTTCCCTCCCGCCTCGTTGCTAAATTGAAAGAGCTAGCTCCCCTCGTCACCCGTTGACTGACACCCGACAACATCACACTTTACACCAATTGATCAGATTGGACTACTTCTGCCCGACAGGCCATGGTCGGTTCCTGGTGATATCTGCCTCTTCACTTGGAACTGAATATCCAAAAGACGCCCGCCATGTCCAAGGTTGCCAGCAGACGCGCCAAGCTCGCCGAGCTCAAGGCCCTCAAGGCCTCGGGCAAGAAAGCCTTCGATGCCTACGAGGTCGAGCAGGAGCAGGACCTCTACGAGGAGGTCGACGAGAATCAGTACAAGAAGATCGTCCGTGATCGTCTGAACCAGGACGATTTCGTCGTCGACGACAATGGCGAGGGCTATGCCGACGACGGCCGCGAGGACTGGGACCGCGTTCACCACTATGGCAGCGACAGCGAGGACGAACGCGTCCTTGGTGGCCACGACCGCAAGACAGGTACGTCCGCCAGAGCAGAGACCTCTTCTTCAGCCTCTCTGATCATTGCCCTACTGACCACGAGCAGACAAGCGCAAGCGCGAGGAAGACAAGGCCAAGAAAGACGCGAATGACCGCGACATCAGCGAGTACTTCATGAAAGGCCGCACCGCCCCACAGCCGAAGCCAAAGGTACCGCCTGTACTCCGCGGCAAGACAAGTGCCTAGCTAACAGATCCTACACAGGCTGTCAAGACCGAGGCCGACGACCAGTTTCTGGCTGACCTCCTCGGCGAGGTCGACGCCAACATCCCTGCCCCCGTATCGCGCGCTCAGAAGAAGATCACCCCGGAAAGGAGGAAAGCCCGCGTCCTGTCCCCAGTCCGCCAGCCAGCCAGCAAGAAAGCAAAGATAACAGAGCCTTCCTTGCCGTCACCCGATGCCTTCGACGGCGACGACTTCATGGCGCCAATGGACGACGACCTGCCCCTGCCCCCTTCGGCAGACGTCCCCATGAGCGATCCGGAACCCGCACCTTCATCGCCGACCGCAAAGGCCTTTGAACGCAAGATTCAAGTTAAGACCGAGCCTGTAGAAGACGAGGATGACGATATCATGGAGGTCGCCCACGCCGGCACCATCAATGCCGCCAGTGTCAACATGTCTGCCTCGAGGCCGATCAAGAAGCTAGTGAAGCCAGACCCATATCCTTCTCCGGCCAACAGTTCCCCGGCGAAGGCGCCAGAGACTTCTGTCGACGCATCGTCATGGAACGACCTAACCAGCAAACTCAATGTCGTGAGCTCCCCTGCTACTGAGACTCGATCCATCGGCAAGATGGACTACAAGGACGCGATCGAGGAGGATGGCAGCCTCAACTTCTTCTGGACCGATTACACCGAGGCGAACGGTAGTCTGTGTCTGTTCGGCAAAGTCTTGAACAAGAAGACAAAGTCGTACGTAAGCTGTTTCGTCAAAGTCGACAACATCCTTCGGAAACTGTACTTCCTGCCACGCCAACATCGCAAGCGGGGCGGCGTTATTACAGATGACGAGGTCGAGATGATGGATGTCTATTCCGAGGTGGACGAGATCATGACCAAGATGAACGTTGGCATGCACAAGATCAAGGCGTGCACCAGAAAGTATGCTTTTGAATTGCCCGACATACCCAAGGAGGGCCAGTACCTCAAACTCTTCTATCCCTACAACAAGCCTCAGATTGCACCAGAGACCACTGGTGAGACCTTCTCCCACATCTTCGGCACCAACACCGCCTTGTTTGAGCAGTTTGTTCTGTGGAAGGACATCAAGGGTCCCTGCTGGCTGAAGATCAAGGACGCCGACTTTGGCGCCATCAAGAATGCGTCGCACGCCAAGTTGGAAGTATTGGTTGAACATCCCAACATGGTCTCGTCCATGAGCGAGTCAGATAACCTAGATGCTCCCCCATTGACCATGATGAGTGTGGCGATGCGCACCACGTTCAACGCCAAGGACAACAAACAAGAAATCCTCTCGATCAGCGCCCGTATCTACGAAAATGTCCTCCTAAGCGACACTACGCCGGCTGAGAAACTGCCTTGTCGAACATTCACTCTGATCAGACCAAATGGTGCATCGTTCCCGCTTGGTTTCGAGAAGCTGGCCAAGGAGCGAAAGAAGGGCTTGATCAAGCTCATGAAACAAGAGGCCGAGATTCTCTCTTTCTTCTTGGCTCAAGTTGACGTTGTAGATCCTGATGTCATAATGGGGCACCAGCTCGAGGGTGTTGACTACAGCATCTTGCTCAACCGGTTGCACGAAAGAAAAACTCCGCAGTGGTCTCGTCTCGGACGGTTGCGAAGAAGTGTATGGCCGCAATCCATAGGCAAGGTTGGCGGAAACGTCTTCGCCGAGCGCCAGATCATCGCCGGCCGTCTGTTGTGTGATCTCGCCAATGATGCAGGAAAATCCGTCATGTTCAAGTGTCAATCTTGGAGTTTGACGGAGATGTGCAGTCTCTACCTCGGTGGAGAAAAACGAAGAGACGTTGACAATGAGGCGGCTCTCAAGACATGGGCAACGGAGAAGACCGGTCTGATGGACTACATCACACACATGGAGGCTGACACACACTATATTGCGGCTCTTGCCCTAAGAACCCAGATACTTCCTTTGACCAAGGTGCTCACCAATTTGGCGGGCAACTCCTGGGCACGAACCCTGACTGGTACTCGTGCTGAGCGAAACGAATACATTTTGCTGCACGAGTTCCACCGCAACAAGTATATCGTTCCGGACAAGCAAGTCTTCAGGGGCAAAGTCAAGGCCGACGATGAGAATGAGGAAGAGGCCAGTGACACCAAAAAGAAGGACAAGTACAAGGGAGGTCTAGTTTTTGAGCCGGAGAAGGGTCTTTATGACAAGTTTGTCCTCGTCATGGACTTCAACTCCCTATATCCGTCCATCATCCAGGAGTACAATATTTGCTTCACGACCGTTGATCGAGCTGGAATGGTAAGTTGGCCGCTAGTGATTGTCAGTGGAAAAGGTTTCTAACGGGTCTTCTAGTCTGACGATGACGACGCTGTTCCTGAGGTGCCAACCGATCAAACGCAGGGCATTCTCCCAAAGCTCATTGCGACATTGGTCAGCCGTCGTAGAGCTGTCAAGTCCAACATGAAGGATAAGAATGCCACCCCTGAGCAGCTTGCAACCTGGGATATCAAGCAGCTTGCCCTGAAACTTACTGCCAATTCCATGTACGGATGTCTTGGTTATACCAAGTCCCGATTCTACGCTCGCCCTCTTGCAGTTCTCACAACCTTCAAGGGTCGAGAGATTCTGCGCAGCACAAAGGACTTGGCCGAGTCCAATTCCCTCCAGGTCATCTACGGTGACACCGACTCTGTGATGATCAACGCCAACGTCAACTCCGTAGCGGATGCGCTCAAGGTTGGTCAGGAGTTCAAGAAGGCCGTTAACGAGAGATACCGACTTCTTGAGATTGATATCGACAACATCTTCCGCCGCATCTTGTTACAAGCCAAGAAGAAGTACGCCGCCATTAACCTGATCGAGGTACCCGGTGGCAAATGGGAGGAGAAGATGGAAGTCAAGGGTCTGGACATGAAGCGCCGAGAGTACTGTGGCCTGTCCAAGGAAATCTCATCGCGTATTCTGAACGACATTCTCTCTGGTGACGACACAGAAGTCTCCATCCAGCGTATTCACGAATATCTGCGTGAGATTTCAGCCAAGATGCGCGAACATACGATTCCCGTGCAGAAGTACATCATTTTCACACAGCTTGGCAAGGCGCCAAAGGAATACCCCAACGCCGACTCGATGCCTCAGGTGCAAGTAGCCCTGCGAGAAATCGCCAGAGGCAAGAACGTCCGCCGTGGCGACGTGATATCGTACGTCGTCACGGGCGATAGCAAGTCGACATCTGAGCCCGTAGCCAAGCGAGCCTACACCCCTCAGGACGTCATGAAGAACGATTCGGGGCTCAAGGTTGATGTTGAATGGTATATTGGCAAGCAGATATTCCCTCCTGTGGAGCGTCTGTGTGCAAATATCACCGGCACATCTACGTCGCAGCTAGCTGAGCAGCTCGGGCTTGACGTGCGACGGTACGCCAACAACTCTTCTTCTCACGGCCAAAACAGCAACGACCTCGAGATCCACCCTCTAGAGTCGCAAATCCCCGACTCTATCCGCTTTAGTGATTGTGCCCGTCTCCAGCTGCGCTGCCGCAAATGTCGCACTTCATCCACGTTCGAGGGCCTGCTTGGCAGCAAGAACATTACACCTCAGGGTGTCTGCTGTGCTGCATGCTCTGCAGTCATCCCTAACCTCAGCATCGTTGCGCAGGTTGAGGCCGCCATCCGCAAGCAGACAGCGCGCTACTACGAAGGCTGGCTGGTCTGCGATGACTCGTCGTGTGGTGCCCGCACTCGTCAGATGAGCGTCTACGGGCACCGATGTCTTGGACCCAAGGGCCTGGCTTCTGGCTGCCTCGGCAGGATGCGGTACGAGTTCGGCGAGAGGGACGTGTACAACCAGCTGGTGTACTTCGCGAGCCTCTGGGACGTGGAGAAGGCCAAGGCCAAGGTGAAGAACGGCGAAGGTGCCGGTGACGGCGCGGAGAAGCTGCCCGAGGCGGACAAGGAGATGATGCTTGCGCTCGCGGTGCACAACCAGGCGAGGTTCGGAACCGTTCAGAGCTGCGTGGAGAAGTACCTAGACAAGTGTGGACGCAGATGGGTCGCCATGGACACCTTGTTTGGAAAGCTCGGTTTTGTTGCCTCATGAGCCGCGCAGTAGCTTGGATGGATGGATGGATGGATGGATGGATGATGGACCAAAGGATGTCATGTCTTGGTCAGAGAGTATGAATCATGGCTGGATATCCGTTGAGCGCTGGATGGATGGATTATTGGCTTCATTGCACCTGTAATATTGGGTTGGCGTATGGTGTTTGGCATGGCATCGAGATATAATGATGAATTATACGCATTCACACTGAAACTTCCCATTGTCGTGTTCGTATGTCGCGACGATGCTCTTCCCGTACCTAAAATGATGGAGTTGCCAGGGTTTCTTGTCTGGAGGTGTCGAACTCATGCCAAACCCAGTATCCCTTGATGCATTCGATGACCCTTCTATGTGAACAATGTTGGGCTCTATTGTATTTTCTCAGCAGCACCTTTGTCAGACATTCGGACAGTATAGTCTGCCTCGGAACCAGCTCGTCCCATACCAGGAGGTAAGCAATCAGCGGTTACAGCAAATGGGGCACTTGAACGGGCGTAGTCTGGTACGCTTACAACTACCGAGCAAATCATCATTTGGAGGACCTAAACTCTGCCGTGGAACGATGTCTCGAGGTGTCTCGTCTGGGCCATATCATTTCCATTATGATGCGCCGGAAACCGGGTCACTAGGCGCTCAGCCTCATCGCTTGCTCAGCACGGCCCGGATGGAGCTTTGATCAAGGCGGAAAGCCTCCAGATAATAGGGACTCTTCGGGATCAGTGACGTTCTTAGGATTTCCTGACCTTCGTAGGAAAATATCAAAGAGGGGGGGGCATTCACATTCTTATAGCCTGTATATATTGCCAACAAACAACCCATAGGCGCTACCGAGCTCTCCCCGCCGTGATGGGATTGCTAGTTGTTCCGGTATAAGTGTTTACCATTGCAGGACCTGAGCCAGTGATGGTGTACGTGCCTGCGTTAGAAATATAGCATTGAGAGAGTTCCATGCTTTAGGTAAAAGAACCTCGTTAATGCTAATCGAATAGTAGCCAACCGAATCACATTTCTTTCCACATACTCCTTGAAGTTCTGGATGATATCACTTTAGTACGGGCCCTGCTGCTTCAATTACATACAAGGGTATTGGAAATGTGTGGGAGTGATAAAGTCGGCAGCACCATCTAAGTACTTGTGCCTTCAAGATCGTCATATACTGTGTCCATATAGAGGCGTGCTATTCTAACGCACAAGCACAGCGCAGAACTGTCCAGGGATCGTCCCAAGCAAGTCTCGAAGTTTGTTTGTTTATTCACGCCACGCTCGTATACCATCTAATTTACTACATATTCGTACAACGTTTCATTCATTCCTTATAGCCTGGTTGCTAAGCACAAGGCTGTGCCCCAAGAGTCCATACGCAGTGATAGGAAAAGCGAAGAGCAACTGTCTGACCTGCAAGCATTCCTCCTCTTGCAAAACTTACACCCCTTCCAAATTGCCCGAGCGCGGCAGCTGCTAGCTATAAGGCAGGAGATCCTGCGCCTATATTCCATCTCTTTCATCATCCGACTACCCACCTTTCCCGCCCAACGGCACGCCTCAAAGGTCCGGGCTACTCGCCGCACTCTCAGATATCTTCGAATCCTCCCTGTCCCGCCCCCTTCCCGGGCACCCCTCGGTGGGGGTGCACCCTCGTGTGCGCGCGCCCAGGCTCCTGCAGGCCGGCGCGCACGTCGTCGAAGACCTTGGCGTCGAGGGCCTCGCGGCGCTTGCGGTCCTGCTCCTCGTCGAAGACCCGCTGGCTCTCGTCCGCGGTCCAGTTGCCCGCGCCCCCGCGGCCCGTCAGGCCGCCACCTGTCCTGGGGGGCCGCTCCGTGCTGGTGGAGAAGACGGGACCGCCGCCGGTGGTGTTGCCGCTGCCGGTGGTCGGCTGGGCGAACGACTGGTTGCCCGTCGTGTGGACGGTGGCGGGCCGCGCCTGCGCCTGCGACGAGATGCCGGCCGAGGCCGCCGCGGCGGTCGAGGAGTCGACGTAGTTCCCGGCGCCGCCGCGGCCGGTGCGCGCGTAGGCCGGGGTGCTGGAGGACGGGGGTCCCGGGGCCGGGGGTTGCGCCGGGTCGGAGGGCGGCTCGTCGGCCGGGGGAGCGGGCTTCTGGGCCTCGAGGTCCGATGGGGACGTCGACTTGGCGGCCTGTTCGATATCCTGCTTGGAGTAAAAGTTGCCGGCGCCGCCACGGCCTACTTTGCGATAGGCATCGGCCATTGCGTGCAGGGAGGGGTTGACCGGGCTGGGGAGCGGCGGCGAGGTCAAGTTACGGCTTGAAGCTGGGATATGTATGTCGCCAATGAGGGTAGTCGCAGGTGGGAAACTGGTAGGTAAGACTCTTGTTTGATATTCTGCTTTGCTCTAGAAGTTGTCAAGCAACTGTGAAGCTCCCTTTTCCTTTCGCTACAGCTATCCTGCTATAATCAGGAGCGTTGCGCCAAGACCTCGCGGGGTCGGCTGGCACCCCCCGTTCCAGGCGAGTGCGTGCCTGCTACTGTAGCTAGAGTGTCACGTTGGCTTGAAACTACTAACAGGATCTCCAGAACCGGCGATCACGGCACTAGCACAACTATCCATAATGCACAATTCGACAATCCCATGTCTCGACAAGTTCTCGAGGGCACAGCAAGGCCCGAGGGTAACCTAGCGGGCTGTAGTTCGGATCTCGGTCTCGGCTGTCTACAGCTTGAGGCCACTCTACCCGCGGAACTGGCCGGCGACGTCATCGAGGGGCTCTTGGGTTTCGACATCTCCACTGTGGGTCAAGTTCGTGAGTTTTTGGCGGCCGCCAGACCAGGCGTGACCGACACGGCTTGGAGGCTGGTCACCGCTCACGATGTCTTGCGGACGGCCCATTTAGGGCAGGGTGTGAGGATAGAATCATTTAACAGCGAGCATGGGGATTCCTTGAACCACGCGGCTCGATCACGATCGTCTGGTCTCCAGTGCTATCAAGACACCTTTGGCAGTAGGAAGCCCGCTGACAGTTGCGTGTGTGAACTTCTTCCAGCTGGTTTTCCGGAAGGGCTATGTCCCTTAATTAAATACAGAGTTCGTGAGAAGGAGTCCCAAACATGAGTGTGCGACGAGGTACCCAAATTGATATTCAACGGGAAATATTTGGGCCCCAATTAACCACGGGAATAGCTTGAAACTCAGCTTTCTCTCGTAGGTGCGTACCTGCAGCGAATTGCAGGTCGAGAGCATTAAATTTGCTCAACAGCCAGACAACCTTAAGTTTACTCTACCCAGGGATCTGGGGCAGCACAAGCCCACAAGAGCGCCAGCCAAGACCTGGGATATCAAGGCTGTACACAGTAATCCGCGCCCAGAGGCGCCGGATTACAGTAAGCACCGAAGAACACAGCTGCTTATTATTGTTATTGTTTGGCCAGCGCTTACTGACCTTCAAGCCACCACGCTCACATTGTCCGTTCGGGGCAGTTTGGGTTCATTGTTTTGCCGAGTCAGATCGCTGCCAACTTGATACACCGGCCCAAACCGGCATTTATGTATCTTGCAGGGCGGGTAGGGCAGTGTTGATCGTTTGATGCCAGGAACCGTGACCCCAGCCCGCAGATGCCGCCTCTGAATGGTGCTATTTTTGTGAAACTGGGAAAAACGCCTGGGGGCCGTTGACTGGGGTGTCGACGCCCTGGCCAGCTACCTAGGTTTACTGGGTAGCTGTCAAGTCTCAAGATCACAAATCCGGCACGTTCGGTATTGCAAGTGTTGATCAAATGGTCTGGACCGCTTAGGGTTTCGACGCGTTCTGCCTGTTGTAAACTGCGCACCACGGCGCATAAGCACCACGCGTTCAGGTCCAGGCCGCCGAGCAGACAAGCGAACGCAATGGATACGTCCTCGAATCGACCCGGAGTCCGGGACCAGGTTGCAGAGACCCGATCTATGCGCAATTGGCGATTTCTGCGAGGTATCCGTCAGGATGACGTCAAAGTTCAATAATGCTTCCAGTCACCGATTTGGCAGTATCCATTTCGTGGCCGACCTTACTCCTTGGGAACGCGCCGAAACCGACAAGTCAGACGGTTGACCCATATCCAGCTGTCTGGTATGCAACTACGGGTCTTGGTAGCCAGTAGTCACGGCACCATCAGACGGTGTCTCTCTCAACTGGAACCAAGCACAATTTCTATCACGACGATGCGGCCGGGGAGGGCCGCGGGGTAGTTCTCTCGGTCCGGCGCCGACCCAAGTAGCCACATAAGCCATTGATGACAAGTGCATGCTCGTGCCTTCTATGGATACTTCACTTGCGGCACGTAGCTTGCCTAGATCGTGATGGTATCAGAAGGCCGGCATACTGTGTAAGACCAACAAGTCATCGATACCCAGATACGCAAGAGTAGAGTGCCACCACCTCCAAATTGGCGGACCCGCAATCCTCAGGTCTGATGAGAGGGCCGAAACAGGACCCGTGAAAGGAAGCAAGTGGCAACATCGGAGTTGAGTGCTGACGGCAATGCCAAACGAGCGCCTCACCGTAGGGACCATCTACTGGGCCAGTTCATAGATAGAGTTCCTGACAAACTGGCGGGCAGATTAGTTCGAGATCGGAAGGCGCCTTGCTTCGGAAGAGTCCATCGCATGATTAGGTGCAGTAGTCAACGTATCCGGGGATTTGGTAAGGCCACGGGAAGGCCGCGTGATGTGTGTAGACCCTCCCGGTCAGGTAGAACATGATTGATGGTGTGTAACTGTTCGTACCACATCAATGGACGGACGATCTCGTGGTCCAGATCAATCGGTTCAATCTTTGTGCTGCCTACAAGCGAAGGCTGGCCATGTACACAAATATATCCGGCACCCAGTCTCGGCTACATGTGGGAGCTGCATTTATTATACGCGCGCACTGTCGACCTGAAGGAATCGGTTAGTGTTCGATAAATGTCGGATCATGAAACTTTTGAATCCCCCATCTCTTCCTCGAGAGCGACACCCCATGCTTTATTGCCTCTCAATGGACGTTGATTCGTATTTTTGGAACATTCGCAATTGGGAGAGCTGCCAAATTTTGAGCTGTCTTCTTGGTGTGGAGGGAACCAACATAAAGCTGGCGCACGAAATCGAGCTAAGGGAATTAACCCCTCCTTTCCATTCGTCCAATGGGCATGGGACTCGTGATGTCCTCGAGGGTGTGGATACAATTTTCGTGCATAAGTTCCCTGTGGCCGCTGGGGTTGTGGTCAATTCAACCAAATGCAGCCTAGGGGCCACGCATAAAGTCAGAGTACCTGCAGGAGGAATAGTCAACTGATCTGCTGACTGCCCTGTGAGAATTGTGTACGTACATACTGTACATGCTGTGGTTCTCATCAGCTGGGCAAACCCCAAAAGACACGCCTCGGACGACGCGACTGCTGCTGGGGAGCTGAAGACGGCCAGGCAGGCTCGACGGTATGTATTGAAACTGATGATTTGAGCAGTCGAGTGCCGAAGACGGGATGCTCTAACGGGGATCCGAGCAGGGAATCCGGAACTATTGAAATCCCCATATCGCAACGATCACCAGCGTATCTTGGTTGTGGGGAGCTAGGTATCGTCGCACGAAATTCTGAGGTCGCATCAACAAGTACAGTGAGTTAGATGCTTGCTCCGCTCTGCTACCCCTCCTCACTTCACGAATCCTTGACCTTGTTCGACGGCGTGCGTCTGGACGTGCCTGGCAGCAGCTCGAGGAACCATGATACCTACCTAGACCATGATCCGAGTCCAACACTGTGACCAGGAGAGAAAAACAACACCATTGTCTCAGCAGCTTCAAAGTTTCAAGTTTCGGCATTCTTTCTTGCAGAAACATGTCGGGGCATCTTGCTATGCCGCCCCGACCCTTTCGTGCAGCTGGTGGGGGCTACCTCTAGTATCCCGCAGGGCAAAAGGACGGACCTCCCAGGCCCCCCCAGGCATGTGTCCAGCCAGGCACGCTACCAAGAGACGCGCCGAAATCATTAATAGATTGGCAACATCAGGTGGTAGGCATAATACACAGTAGTTTCGTACTTCCACATTCGCGTAATTATCCAGGCCAGCCAGCGAGCGGCTAGTAAGGGTGGCCGAGCCCAGAATCAGGAGAGGAGGGTAGAAACCAACTCATCAAACATTGTGACCCAATATTTCCTGTCGAAGTGCAAGGTTACTTGAGGTACGGTATGTATACACGACCGAAAATGTGGTCTGACGGGAGGAGGAGGAGGAGAGCGGCAATGAACGCGCCGATACGACGAATGTACGTACCGTACTCGAGGTTGTGGCAGTGGGCAGTGGAATCTGTGGACCTCCTCTCTCGGGACACCTCCACCCCTCTCAGCATTCAACGCCCTCTGAGCGTTCAGCCAATGGCAGTCCACGGGCCCAACACCTGCTGGACAGTAACCAAGTCACAGGTGATACTGTCCATGTTCCTCTTTACTGTGTACAGCACATACCTCATGGAACCTAGCCATCGCTCCAACCAACCGTTCGTGGACAATGACCGTCCAACTGTCCAACACGACTCCGCGTCGAATGCAGACGGCTATAGCGAGCGCTTCTTTAATATCCGCTCTCGACAAATGACAGGAGATCGAGGACAACACACGTCGACATTTCCGAGCTGTCCCAATTTGACGCAAGGCCATTGAGAAGTACAGACAGGGCTCCAGCGGCATGTGCTGGGGCATCTTGCTTTGTCCCCTAACCCTATCGAGGGCCACCACGGTGCAGTTCACTAGTCCGACAAGGTACGCACTTTGTGCAAGGCTGCACATCTTTCGCGGCGCGCCTCTATTTTATGGACATGGGAAAGTAACCTGGGGAAAGCCACGATGGTATGTATGGACTGTAGCTTATGCGATGCGATGCGACCAACTGTCCGGGGGCCCTGCCCGATCGCTTGCACATCCATTATTCCCGACCCTTCCTGGCTCCTTGCTCCATCCAAGGCAGGTCAAACAATGGTCGTCTCACACACGGCTTTCCATTGCAGGTTGCCCTCGAGGCGCGCGAGAGGCCTTCTCGATCATCTCATGTCCCAATTTCCAAAGGCAGAAAGCAAAGCACCACGTTCAGCCTGATTAGGGCAAAGCAGAGAGCACTGCGCTTGGTCCGATTCACGTGCCCCTATCCTCCCCCACAAGGAAGCCGGGGAGATAAGGGAGGCAACGACTCATCATACAGGAGCAGCGCGGTCGAGAGCCCTAAAATGCCTATCAGGCGGATCCCAGCTATTGGGGATGGGATGGGATGGGGACGGGGAAATTCGTCAGGACCTACAGCCCAGTGTTGGAGCCGTATGGCTCATGACTGATGGCTGACTGCCCTGGGCAGCTGGACAAATCTTACTCGTTCTACTAACTATGTGTACATAGTCGCTGGCGCTTCCGTGGCCTTCCACGCGCTGTCGCATCAACTGATCGGTGGATTCCTGTTCCTGGCGCCGGACCGAAAGCTTGAGCTACACGCCCAGGCAGAGCGTGCCCAGGTGAGGGCCAAGCGCAGGACAGTTGTCGTCGGTGCCGCGCGCACCGTGTATCGGGCGGCGCGCAGGCCGTCCTTACTTATTATAGACATGTGGATGGGCGAACGGTCATCAGTGCGTGCTGAAAGTGAAGAGACCCAGCCAGGCCAGCCAGCATCGGCGCGTGGAGCACTCCCAGGGAGCGAGGACCGGTGTCTGGCGTGGCAGGCAGGCCAGCAGACTACCACAGTAAAGGCAAGATGCCGCCCACAGCGGACTAGACTGGCTGCGACTTGCCAGGATGGACGTGCTGCCCTCTGTCCCCCCCCCCCCCCCGTCCACCTGTCCCGGGCTTCCCTCCACTTCCATTTCCATTTGGCAACGCAACTCCCCCCCTCTCTCTCGAGTCACACCCCCTCCTTGATCGCTTGCTTGGCTTGGCCTGGCCTCTGGGGGGAGGCAGACAAGACACACTTTCCATCCACGCCCGCTCGCTCGCGCTGGCCTCTGGGACTACGAAGGCGCAGTCGGGCCACTTGACCTTTGTTCCCAATTCCTCTGGCGACCTTAGCAAGTTCCCGATCCTCAGGGTTTAAAAAAAATAATTTATTCTATTGACCTGTTCTGGCGGGCGGCCTTTTCCCTCACACCACGCTCTGCTCTACCACCACTTACACACCTGACCTGACCTAAGCCCGGGTCTCCCAATTTCCACACCACACCACATCACGCCTTACACTTGCACCACACATGCCTCCTCCTCCACCTACCTGATCCCTCTCGTGCTTGTATCTCGCTCGCAACCGTCTTTGCTTGCTTCCTGCAGCTTCGCTACTTGCTCTTGCTCGACTCGCCAGCGGCTGCTTGTATAAAGACCGCCTTAAGGACCGCATTGGGTCTATCACCTCCACCTGGGAATGGCCTCTTCAAAGGTAACCTGCTGCTTGCTTACAGTCTTCCCCCCGTCACCCTCCCGAACCCCGGCGCGATTTACGCTTCCAGGAACAGAGCAAGCATTGCTGATCACCCTCGTCTTCTCTACAGGAAATGTCAACATCGACGAGGCCGTTGCTCCACCGTCAATCGATATCAGGCTCTACGAACCCCCTAGGTGCCACACGCCTACCGTCGCACTCGCGCAACAGCTCCCACTCCCACGCCCACTCGGCTCTGTCCGGTGCCCTCAATGCCTCCCACCGCGTCAGCCGCCGCAAGAGCATAACCAACGCCGCCAATGTGGCAGCCGTGGCCGCCGCCCTGACCGAGGCTGGTGACAAGATGACTCCGCTCCCCATGGCCATCAGCTCGCGCCGCAAGTCGGTAGCTGCCAGGTCGTCCATGGCCGGCAGCCTGCCCTCCCCGCCCGCAAGCATGCCCACGCACAAGTTCGTCATGACCGGAAAGCCGGAGGGGCAGGAGAGCGCCATCGACGATGACTCGAACGAGATGTCGGCCGAGGAAGGCGAGAACGACCCCCAGAAGGCCCGCGTTCGCCGTGCTAGTGACGGCCAACCCTTGGCTAAGGAGGGCAAGAAGAGCAACCGCATCGAGCTTCGCTGCGACAAGTGCGGGAAAGCATACAAGCACAGCAGTTGCTTGACCAAGCATTTGTTGGTGCCCTTTTCCTTGCTCACTTCCTCCTCCTTCGTATCTCCCGTCCCGGCTGCTGGGTGATGTCTCATATACATCCTTGCGGGCTCCAAGTGAAGACCGATGGATCATATCTGATGACCCCACACCGAACCACCACCCCCTTAAGCTTGCACCCGTTCCGAAGGAATTCATGTGTTGACGATTTGCTGGCCAGGTGGGAGCATACTCCCGAGTGGTCGTACACGTCCAAGCTGCTTATCTCCAAGCACCAACAGGTCCAGCTCCTGGAAGCTGCATCCGTGTTGGTGCAGATGAACATCAAGGACGGTTCCACTCCTCCGGACTCTGCGCGCGATTTTGCCAGTGAACCGGAGTCTGCTGGATCTCCAGCTGCGTCGGGATACTCGGACCAGTTCGATGGTCGTAGCTCAGCCGACACAACGCCGCCGCCTCAAGCTGAGGCTTACCACGGCGGCTTTGCCTACCGCAACGCACCCAAGAGGTACAGCAACGGCAGCGGCTACTCGCGATCGTACCAATCTGGCGCATGGAATGGCTCTCAGGCCGGCAGCATCCCTAACGGCGCCGGATTTGGCCACAACCGCCACGGCAGCACGGATCGCCGCCCTCCATCGTCCGGACTTGGCGGGTCTGGCCAGGAAGATCAGGACCTTGCGGCCGCCGTAGAACTGCTTAGTTGCAGCTTCGGCAGCAGCGGAGGACCTCGGGACTCGAGGCTCCCAGAGGACGCCCCGCCTGTCCCACCATTGCCTGCTCAATACCTCGACCAAGCGGCCTTCACCAGCACAAGCTTCCTGAACAGCTACTCGGCACGACAGATGCCCGAGAGTTTCACTCGCGGCGAATTCCGTCACACTGAAGATGTGAAGATGGAAGACAGCGAGATGGATGACGACGAGGACGACAGACGTTCCCGTGTCCGCAGCGAGGACGACGACGACGGCGTGTTCGGCCGTATGGAGGAGTGAACTCACGTCTGATTCGACGCCTCGCTGCTCCACGTGGCCCCTAGCCTGCTACGCGGAACGAACGACATGAACGTACTCTTGGCCTTTGTTGTTTCCTTTGTTTGACACCAACCTATATACCAACCTTGTAAATGTGGTGGTTCGCTCCGCTACCGAAACCTCAGCACCGAAGAGTGGATAACTTCCGGGCCCGGGCTTGACACTTCAAGAAAAAGAAAGAGAACAGGAACGGGCAGAAGAAGCACAGTCCACGAGGTTAAAGTGAGGATTCGGGGGAAGCGTCGAGCAAACGCCCGAATAAGAATATTCAGACTAAATCCGGCCAAGGGTTTACGAGGCAAACGAGAAGGAGGCCTAATACAGGACATGACGCTCCTTTGCCCTCTGTATGAATCAAATGAAATCAAACGATTAAAAACGCACCCCGTATTACCTGTGCTCAGTCTTGGTGATTTGCCTTGACCTCGGGATGGATGTATAGTCAAGTAGTCCAGAATGCCGGCGAAGTCTGGGACGGGCAAGCCCAGTACGTCAGCCGGGAACAGGTAGGCACAAACATGCTCAAGGGCAAGGCAAGCGATCTAGCGTCAGATCCAACTGATATGCATGGAGCCTCTACGCGTCAAGTCTCGGGGGACGACTCGACGCATCTGAGGCGTCTGCACAGCGTAGAAATATGGCAGCCATGAAGAAGGGAGGAGGGTGGCTTGAAGGAATCAGACCGGGAGGCAGGCAGGCGGGCAGTGAGGCTTTCTACCTCTTTTCAATGCAGCCAATCGATCGATCTGGGGGTGCGCGAGGGACGTCACCAAGGTTAAAATGAAACCGACTAGCTGGGACGAGAGGTAACGTCAACTGGGCTGAACGACCTGCTGGGAAAAGAAAGCATCAGGACGATCGCGCGGGCGGACGGGTGCTGTTCGACACGTTGTGTGGGGTGCGTGGTGCACTCGAGGGGCAGCTTGGAGCACGCTTGCACGCCGCCAGGGGGGGAGCCAGGCCGACGATCATCGGTGCTAGAGAACGGAGACGCGAGAGTCAAGACAACCTTGCTGTAGCAAGCTGGAAAGCGATGATGGATCAGGAAGTTCGTGGAAGGGAACCAATCGCTGGGAGTCTACAGCAGCCTCAGCCTTATAGCTGTAGCTCAGGTACATAACTACCTAGGTAGGGCAGAATCTGGGTCCTTCTGCCATACGATCTCGGGGCATCAGAAGAGAGGTTGCGGTTGGTAGCAGCCTGACAGCCTGGCAGCCTCGCCAATCCCTAGCAACCTGGAGAACAGACAGCCCCCAGCTGGGACAATTTGGTTCGAGGATGCTGGGTGTCGTCGTTCCCAGTCGCGACTCGACCTGTCTGTCTCTTGCTATTGGTGCGGTACCTCAGATACAGCAGGGGGTTCAGAGGAGCACTAATACCTACCTCCGTACCTAGGTAGGTGCTACATAAGTAAGCGACGTCACGGCCCCATGAGTGCTGCCCTCTAGCGCCCAGGACCCATAGGAGCTCCCCACGCCCGCCGCTGCCGCCTGCCGCCTGCAGCCCTTGCAAATCCACTATTGACGTCCCTGTCCTACCGTCATCGCATCGCATCGCTCTGCTGCTGCAGAGTTTTGTAAACAAAAGTGCACTCGACCAAGGCCCAACAACCCACCCACCCCTTTGCATCGCCCGGCCTCCCGCGCCTTGGACCTCCCATCTCCCCCATCTCCCTCTGCCGCACACCAACGGCCAAGAAACTGCTGCAGCACCCATCGACGTGGGTTATTTTTCGTCCCCGAGCTATCCAGCAACGCGAAGCAACCATGCGCACCCGACGACAGGACAAGCCCGCGGCCGGGCCGGCCGAGCCTGCCTCGACCCGCTCCGAGGAGCGCGGCACCGCGCCGTCCTCGCCGACCGTCTACTCCATCACCAAGGTCGAGAGCCCGACCGTCGGCGTGCCGGTGAAGAGCAAGGGCGCAGCGGCCGCCGCAGCCAAGTCGAAACTGCCGGCCCCGGTCCAGTTCCCGCTGGTCGTCGTGCTGAACATCGCGACGTCGGCCATTCTGTACTCGATCACGCACCCCTATACCAAGGCCGTGCTGGCCGCGCATGCGAGGAGCCTGGACACCTGGGCCGAGCTGGGCGCGCTGGTGGGCTGGAAGGTGTAAGTCTTGCCCTTTCTTCTGGTCGCGTTCGCCGGGCCTCTTATCATCAGTTCTGAAGGGCTAACGTGTGATCTTGAACTGCAGTATCGAACTAGGCCTTGGCTGGTTTGGTAATTACGATGGCTATGATCTTGCGGCGCTCAATTTGTTGTCGCATGGCCCGCCGGTAAGTCTGAATCTACAGCAGAGCCAGAAGCTTCTCGCGTCACGCGTCAGACGCAGAACTTGAACTGACTATCCCGAAGTTGTATCTCTTGGCGGCTTTCTACAACACGCCGCCTTCCGCCCTGCTCCTGACGCTTGCGATCGAGACTTTTGCCACCTACCTGCCCTTCAGGCTGCTCCGTCCTCTCTCGGACGCGCACAGGGATCCATCGCAAGCGCACAATGCCGACCTCTTGACGGACAAGCCGATCCAGCTGTTGACATCCCTCCTGTCGGGCGCCATCTACACCGTGACCCTCTTCGCGGCGTACGCGACCTACCTGCCCACGGCCATGATTGTCTACTTCGACAGTCTGCCATCGATCGCGGCCGCGCACGAGAGCACCTACGTCAACCTCCTCCCTGTCACGGTGACGCTCGGCTTCGCGGCCACCTTCTTCATCTTCACCCCTGCGGAAGCCGAGGAGAACGAGAAGCCCAGGGATTTCGATCCTGCCAACGCATCGCTGAAGGAGACCGTGTCGTGGAACTTCTGGGGATGGAGCAAGAGGGCCAAGATGATCATCAAGCGCACGGCCACCATCATGATCGTGACTGGGGTCAGCACGACGCTTCAGACCTCTCTTACCGTGGCCGGGGCCGAGACCAAGGGTGCCATGGCGTGGGCTTCGGTCTGGGTCATCGCAGCCGCCATCACGGGGTTGGGTCTCGGTGCTGTCGGAAGCGAGTAAATTGCAGTACGAAAAGAATGAGTGCTGTTCTGAGGGCGGGCAAGGGCCCAAATGCATCATTTGACCTCACGAGAGGATATCCACCTCGGAAGATGCTGTTCGTCAGTTGGCTTTCTCGCAAAGACTATGTCCCGCAAGAAGGAATCGCATGTCGGGTGCTGTATGTATAGCGGAACCTAGAAAGGCAAATTTAGCTGCCTCAAAAGCAAAGGTTGGCTTTAGTAATTCTTGGAACGGAGGAGTTCTGGGCAGGCTGGATGGAGGCACGATACCACTGGTTTGATTTCATTGCGTGGAGACCTCATACAAGTAATAAATAAGAAAAAACCATTTAACATAACATAATGTTACACTTGTTACACTTGTTGTTTATTGGTACATGGACGGGTCGTATAGAATGAGCTGGCGAGTCCTAAGGGTGGGCTCTAGAGATTACATGTTTAAGTCTGGAGTCTGGGGTGCTTCAGCATGGGGGCAGGATCTACGCAGATATTATCTCATGAGTAATGCGGCGGCAACAACCTGGAATTCAAAAGCTGCTGAAACTGAATTTTTTTTTTCCTTTATCATCTATACTTGGTGTGCATGTAAGAGCTCATTCTGACGACCTACATAAACTACACGGTACCTAACTTAGGTGTATGTAGTATGGACGTTGGCTGTTGGCTGTAAGACGTTGCAAGTGTCACGGGAGAGGACCGTGGTTTAGCCGCGCCGGGGTCGACTGACCGTTGATGCCCATTAGCACAGGCAGGGGGCCCACCAAAGCTTGGCACATGGAACGACGGGAACGCGGTTGCGACAACTCCAGTCAATCGACGGTCCTTGCGCGCGTTGCAGCTCGCCCCCATCAAACGAACGAGCTGTTCGCAAGCCTGCCAGGTTAGCGATCAGTCATCGACGGCTTCCATCCACGAGATCGACCTCCTCCTCTTCCTCGTTGTCGCTCGGTCGCCGTGGCCCCTCACACCTCGCCGTCGCGCTGGGACCGAGCTGTGCTGCGCGCCTCTGGCCACGGGTGTCTGCAGGCCACCATGATAACGTCGCCGCTCTGGACTCTGTGATTCCCACCAGCAACAATGGCGACTGCTGCGGATGCAAACGCGAATGGCGGCGCGAGGCCGGTGGACGACGACCACCCCGTCTCGCCCACCACCAAGACGGCCGCCGCGCCCCCGCTGCCCCCCAACAACCCGCTCGAGTCGCTCAGCATGCGCGCCGACCCGGATGCCCAGGCCACCGTCACCGACTACCTTGACTTCACCGAGTACCTGCCCGCCGACGTCAACCGCAGCTTGACCCTGATCGGCAAGCTGGACCAGTCCTACATCGACGCCTCCAGCCTCGTCCACGACCTCACCACGCAATGGGGCAAGCTGCCCGCCCTCCCCCTCGACCAGCGCGCCGACCCCGTCCAGCTGCGCGCCGACATCTCCGAGAACCTGAGCCAGGCTGTGAGCTCGCGCACCTCGTCCTGGTCCGAGGCCCAGCGCATGGCCGACTATGTCAACCGGCACGTCAACCGGGCCAAGACCATCCTCGCCAAGCTCCAGCACATGCGCGACAACTATCCCACCGAGGAGCAGAAGAGCCCGACGCAGACGCGGTCGCCGCAGATGAGCCGCACCCCCAAGGTCGCCCTGCGCCTCGACAAGAACGGCCAAAGGGTTCGCCAGCCGCCCAGGATCACCGTCCCCGGCGAGGTCCTGGCTCCCTACGAGGTCGACTTCAACGCCTACACCTCGTCCAGCGAGGAGAGTTCCGAGGATGACATGTCCGATTCGCCGCCGAGGACCACCCCGGCGCCTCGCATCAAGCTCATCAAAAGCTCCAAGGTCCCCAAGCAAAAGATCCCCAAGCCCCCTCGCCAGCCTCGCCAGCTGCTCAACGACGGCATGCCCATCCCCTCCACCAGCTCCGCCCTGGCCAAGCTTCAGCCGCCTCCCGAGAACGCTGTGCTTGGTGGTCCGGACGCCCCTTGGCTCCAGCTCACGCCCTACGAGCTGGCCAAGCTCAGGAAGCGCATGAAGAAGAACGCTGTCTGGAACCCCAGTGACACTATGATTGCCCGGGAGCTGAAGACACTCGGACGCGGCGTCGAGGCCTACAGGGCTGCCATGCAGAAGGCCAAGGAAGAAGGCAAACCTTTCGAGCCTGCCCTGCCCACCCCCGTCACCGACGCTGCATCTGGTACTCAGCATCCCCCCGTGGGAGCCATCAGCTCTGAGGCGCTGGGGGCTGAAGAGGTGAAGCTCAGCAACCGCGGCATGAAGCTGAACGAGGCTAAGAAGCTCAAGAGGGAGCAGCTGGCGAAGCAGGCCGTCGAGGAGGCAGAAGAATCCGCCAGGAAGATGGCGGAGCGTGCTAGAATGTTTTTCAGCCACGAGGCCAGCCCTTCGGTCGCGGAGAGCGTCGCAGAGACGGAGCCGTCCTCGCAACCAAACACACAGTCATCATCTCAGAACAAGGCTTCCGGCAAGTCCAAGTCCAAGAAGCGCAAGCGTGACTCGGCGTCAGAGCCTGGCCAGCCCGAGATCAAGACCGAGGCTCCCGAGAACACAGCGTCCGGGGCCAACCCACCTGCGAAGCCCCAGCTGAAGCGCACCAAGACGGAGACGCCTGTTCCGCCTCCCCAGCTCACACCCAGGCCGACGTCAGTGCCGCCTCCGGTTGAGACGCCGATTCCTCCGCCCCATGTCGGCCAGGCTGCTTCTGCGCATGTCACGTCTACCACGCCTGTACCCGTTCCTGTGCAACCCACCGCGGAAGGATCAGCCGCTTCCGCCAGACCCAATGCTTCACCTTCTTCAGGCACAAGTCCTGTCCCTCCCCAAGCCAGCACAGTGACTACGACGGTTCCTACCAAGCCGCCGGCCACAACGCCGGTTCCTCCTCCCAAACCTACTACTGTCACCCCCGTACCTCCGCCTACTAACAGTCTCGGCAAGAGGGAAACCAGGAAGGATGCTCAAAAGAACCTACAGCCTATTGCTACTAATGCGAAGCCGTCCAGTGCATCTCGGCCTAGCACACCCGTGACCACACCCAGCCTGGACCAACCTTCAATGAACACACGGCGGCCAGCCTCTCGTGGTAAAGCCAGTAGTGTTGAGCCGCCCATGACGCTGGCAGCTGATAGACCTCGACGCACTAGTACCGCGCGAAACACACCAGCTCCCGAGCTCCGCCAGCCCAGCAAGCGTTCCAAGCGACCGGCACCGGGTGTCGTGAGCACGACGTCGGGCGGCACCAGCGCCGTCGGAAAGCGCAAGGCGGCACCCCGCAAGCGACCTCGGATCAAGAAGAATGCCCAGAGCCAACAAGTCGAACAGGACGCCGAAGTCGAGGTGGACGACGACGGCAACGTGATTGACCCCAACGAACCGAGATACTGCATCTGCAACGGGGTCAGCTTCGGCACCATGATCCAGTGCGATAACGTTGATGTGAGCAAGACCGCCGGCAACTCCTCATCTTCTTTGTCTTCGTCCATGTCTACTTTGTCTACATCCGCTGCTGCCGCTCCTGCAACCAGAGCACGTAAGAGGCCCAAACTGACTGAACAACCCGTACAGAACTGCAAACAGGAGTGGTTCCACCTCGAGTGCGTGGGACTGACCGAGATCCCGGCACGCACCACCAAGTGGTACTGCCCGGACTGTCGTGTGCTGCTCAACATCGGCGGGCGCGGCGAGGTGACCTCACGGGGCGTGAAGATGTGATCAGGTCGGAGGCAAGTGTACATTACTGAAGGGGCCTGAGGGCGTGGCCATGCGCTGGAACGGTGGCACGCAATCGTTCTGCACCAGCAGATGTCTCGGCGTCCGGCTATCCTATACAGCTGATATACCCAGACAACGCCGGACTTTTTTTTGTTTCTTGCTCTAGCAGGGGGATGGAGTTTCATTGAGACGGCTAACACGGCCAGTCATACTGTGGAGTTTGATGGATGGGGCCTTGCTCTAGATTATACATCGGTTTGGTTTCATGGCTTATTGAATGCGATTCGGAGCCGCCTCTATTGAGTGAGCTAGGTTCTTACTATAGTAGCAGTTGTGTGTAGAAATCCAAGTGAATTGCTTGTAACTGGGCAAGTCTTGGGAAGTAGATTGTGACCGTCTCCCACAGACGCTCTCTTGTTGGGGAGCTTTCTGCAAGTCTTGTTTCAACTTGGTATGTGGGTTATATTATATATAGCCGTGCCGAGTCTATGGCGCAATTTTAAAGGATCAAACAGCGCCGGAGAAGCACGCATGTATCTAAACTCTGACAGGTTGACGTTCCATATAGATGCCTTGACCAAGTGCTCCCGAGTTATTAGTATAGAGGCCCCCTAAGCCGAGCGGGTCCAATAATGCGGCTGCTCGGCAGGCATCGCAGGGACGTTGTCGCTGCTGGAAAGGACTAGCAGACATCGTGAATCCTACGCCATGGTACTATTGCTATTGCTGGAGCTAGTAAGCGTGATTGGACAATTGCACCGCCTCCAAGCAGCCTTCCCCAAAACACGTACCTAGGGACAACTAGGATCGTGGGGTAACGATCCGAGACTCCGCATATTCGACAAGCTGGGGTAGGCCACCGCGCCCGCAGTTTGGACCGTCTCCACCTGGAGGAGCCGAGGCTCTTTCACATCGGGTTGAAGAAACCCAGGGGGTCGCTTACGTCTAGTTGCGATAGCCTACTGTCCCACGCTCCCAAGTCCAGGGTACTTTATTGTACGATCCAAGTCGGCGGCTGAACAGAAAGTTTCCAATCGGGGAGCTCTTGTCACAATTGATATTGCCATCTCACAACGCTACAAGTGAGGAAATATACGGTGGCACACTCAGCCGGCAAAAACAAAACCACACCCAAGTATACATCCATACGTACAGGCACAGATCCACAGATAGAATGCCTTCGGAAGCGTTCTCGGTCGAGTACACGGGGCGGGTGGCCATCGTGACCATCACCAACGAGAAGAAGCTGAACGCGCTCTCGGGCCTGCAGTACTTTGAGCTGTCGCAGATCCTGCGCGAGATCGCGACCCACGACGAGGTCTACATCACGTTCCTGACGGGCAAGGGCCGCTACTTTTCCGCGTGAGTATAGTCCCAGCACCAACCCATGAAAGCTCTCCTCCCCCGTCGACCTTTTCAACATATTGGTCTTTCCCTCTTCGAGAATACCCCAGAAAATCCCACCAGACGATTCAATCAATGTATATAATGAACTCGGCTGACGTGGCACTCGGTCCCCCGACAACAGAGGCGCCGACGTCTCGTTCGGCAAGAGCGTGCCCGAGGGCTCGGACCCGTACTTTGAGTGGATGCGGTCGTTCGTGGCCAACAACCTGAACGCGACGCAGGCCTTCTACACGCACCCCAAGATCCTGGTGGTGGGGCTGAACGGGCCGGTGATCGGGCTGTCGGCGGCGCTGGTGTCGTTTGCCGACTTTGTGTACGCGGCGCCGCACGCCTTCCTGCTGACGCCCTTCTCGTCGCTGGGCCTGGTGGCCGAGGGCGGCGCCAGCCGCGCCCTGGTGCAGCGCCTCGGCATCAGCAAGGCCAACGAGGCCCTCATCATGAGCAAGCGCATCCCCAGCGACGAGCTGCTGGCGACGGGCTTCGTCAACAAGATCTTCGACTGCGCCAAGGGCGAGGACGCAAAGTTCCGCGAGCTCGTGTTGCGCGAGATCGACGACCGCCTGGGCGAGCACCTGATCGGCGACAGCCTGACGGGCATCAAGGCCCTGATCCGCCGGCCCGAGAGGGACGTGCTGGACCTGCAGAACACGAACGAGGTGTTTGCTGGGCTGGGCAGGTTCATGAGCGGCGTGCCGCAGGAGGAGTTCGCCAAGATTGCGAGCGGGAAGAAGCGTCACAAGTTGTAAAGAGGAGTGTGTTGGCAGCAGGCATTTGATTATTAACGACGTCTATGGAAGCTCATACGTTCGTGTTCTCGTCAGTCCCGGGTATCATGCAAGAAGTCCAAACAGGAGGCTTGTTCTCTTCCAGTAGTCCTGTGATGTCTTGATCATGCGCTCTTTGGCTCCCTTCTGGAGGCCGGTCTTTTCAAAGACCTCCTCAGCCAACTTTGCGCAACTCTCATTAGCGTCCTGGGGAGTGCCTAGATAGACTTGGAGTAGGTAGATATCGTACAGCCACTGTACTAGGAGATCCTTGTTTCCATCAGACTCCGTAGAGTTTTGTTTGACTTCTTCTTCAGCCTTCTGTTCTGCACGGTCCTCATCGTCGTCGCCCGCCCCGTCTGACGAAGTGTTAACATCTTGAGGCTTTGCTGTTGCCTCCAGCTTGCTTCGCCACGCGTCACTCAGCCGAGCACCAAACGTTTGCTTTAGCAAAGCAACAGCCGCCGGGCTCCATAGATCTAAACCTGCGTCGCTCATGGATGTGACTAGATTGCGCAGCAGCCTGAAGGAACCGGGTGATGGTTGGGAGGGCAGAGCAGGTTCGCCTTCCCAAAGTCCTCGGCCAGTGACTTTTGCCTTGGTCAGGGCGCTGCTAGTGAACTGCTCAAGAGGAGCCGCCACAACATGTGCCACTATTGACTCGTGTAGAGAGGAGACACTGTTCAGGCCAAACGCCTTGACGGTCTCAAGTTTTGGCAACTGGCCGCGAATGCTTCTCACGACTCTCAGCAGATACATGGCGATTTCGCCATTATTAGCACCCTCCTTGTGCTGGGCCCAGACCTCGCTGACTTGTTCGTCCAGGCTTTGGTAAGCTTTAGATAGAGCCTTGTTCAGTTGAATCTCGATTGCCTTTGGGTCGTTTTTGCTGAGAAGCTCTTGACGAGCCTCAATCGTCTCCTCGTCCTCGATTTCTTCCACATCGTTGTCCCATCTTTGACGTCGCAGCTGCTCGACGACTTCTCCAACATCGTCAATGAGATGATACCAGGATTCGTAGCTTGTGACCGCCCGAGACACTACGTCATTCTTGCCATATAGACGGGATAGAACTTCGTGAGTGACTTGCGGTGCACCACTTGCTACATCCATTTCTAGCATCTGCTCATCCCATAGGCTTTGGTATACACCGGATGTTGCAGATTGCCATGTGCCAAGGGTAGCTGCGACCTCGGAACCGACAAGGCGGAGTTTGGAGACTTTGGTATCTATCACGTCGAGCAATCGTGTGTTGATGGAACTTCTCAGACCATCGAGCATGACCGACGGATCAAAGCCTCTTGCCTTTCCGCCATCCCTTATCCAGTGTTGCAACACGCTTGTCCGCAAATCCACAATCGCCTTGAACTCAGTCACGTGGCCGAGCGTCTTGGTGAGTCCTTCGAGAAGAGTCTCGCCTCCTTTCTTGGCCCAATTCGTGAGCATTGACTTGGCTTGCTTGCCATCCAGGTCGTCATGGCGTATGAAAGGGGTGAAATATTGGATATCTTCTCCACACCACTTTTCGTAGACGTCCAGGCGCAGACCTTCGAGTGTCCTTAGTGACTCGTCGGTCAGCAATGGGATCTTCTTGAGGCTGGCAAGAGCGTCGGCAAGCTTCGATGGGACCAATGCTTGGACGTCCAAGAGAGTTCGTGTATACAGATCCAGGCCTCGCAGGACATTTGCCGTACCCCTGTCCCTCTCGTGCTCCTCGATATCGAACTCGAGCACCATTGCCTCTGCTCTGACACGCAGGAAGTGCTGCAGCACGTCTTTTGCCCCATAATTCTCTGTCAGACTATAGGCGCATAGTGCCTTCAAGATGTCGCTTTGCTGGACCTCGCTACTGATGTTGTCAAGGATCTTCCCAATGCCTCGCAGCAGTCTGCTCTTCAAAGCTCGCTGCGTCTTCTTTGCGGCCTCAATTGAGACCCGAAGGCTGTGATCCACTGTGGTCAATGTGCCAAAGCTCGCGATCAAGAGACGGATCAAGACGAGGACCTTGGCCGCAAGGACCAGTCTCTCGCCTCTGCCCTCCTTGCCGCCTCTCAACAGCCGTGCCACAGCCAACGCAGAGGCTTCCAGCAGCTTCACCCTAGCAACCTCCCCCATCTCCGTCTCGACAGCTTCGCGACCGCGGAACCTGCCCAGCCCAGTCACCTTGCCTTCTACGACAGTGCGTCCGCACGTACCGCCCATGCGCCCCAACGAGTGCTGCACATTGCTCATATCCTGGCGCATCTGCACAATGGTATCGGCGGTTCCCAGCAGCTCACGGTAGCTGTTGCCGACCTGTGTGCGCAGGCGCGCAGCCTTCTCGTCGATCTGGACATGGAGCGACTTGTGGATCGCGCGGATCTGGGGGAGCGTGTAGGTCTCGAAGACTTGAGAAGACGTGGTCAAGTTGGAGGTGTCGGGCGCAGCCATTTTGGCGACCTTGAGGTTGGTATGGGACGGATGGGTCAAGAGCAACACTGGTTCTTGCGCATTGGTAGCATTCGGAGCTTGTCAAGGCATGGATGCTCGACGATTTACTTGTGTAGTTGGACTCTGAGGACAAATAGTTGACACGGAACTATTGGTTGCTTGACCACTGCACTGCAGACAACACGCCTAGTGGGGTTCATGTAGCTTGGTGGGCGGCTGGCGGCCAGCTGAGCCCTCTGACCACAGTAATTGCAAGCACCAGGCCATATTGCATCGATTTGTAGTCTCACCCACTAATACATGACTTGCTCAATACAATAGTAGTCTTCGCGACCTCAGAAGGCCGATATTGGACTGCGAGAATGGGTAAAGATCGAATTGGGAAGTATGGCGCGATGCACCTCTGAAAATCTGCTGGCTGTCTCCCGAGAGACTGAACATCCGTTTAAGGCGGTGACTCCGGTCAAACCGACCAATGCTTCCAGCATACACAGAGAGCATGGCATGCTTGCCTTGGCGTGAATCCTCAAGCCTATGTGCAGTCGGCTGAAGCCCTGGCGTGTATCCCGAACTGCCCACATGCTGAATACCCGTTCTCCATCTCTCCCTTTGGCACCTGTTCCAAAGGCGTAGGTAGTACTCAGGCCAGTGCCCACGCGGTGAATTCTGGGTTATAGTGCAGTATTGCCTCGGCATCATAGTCATCGTACTCATCGAACCACTTCAAGCTGGGTCGATCTGGGCACGGTTCTCCCCCTGGCGAGCCCTTGTTACAACAGTAGGCACTGATGGAAACCCATCTGTTCTCAGGGCCAGCTCGGTCGTATGGATGGCCGATAAGCCAGCCTTCAGATTCGCCATTCTTTTGGGTGCCACAGATGATGCCACATATGCATGCGTAATCCAGTTGCAAATTCTCCCGGATATGGAGTAATAGGCCCCGAAATGACGTAAACTTGAGCACGAAATGGCCCAGACAGAGTTCTTTCAAAGTGCTCCTGTGGCGGTCTGTGATTTCCACAAACTCCTCCTGTTCGCCCAAAAAGCCTCTCAGTGCTAGGCTGCGCAGGTGTTTCCACGTGTAGCCCAGAGGGATGGCGTCCGCCAAGTTTACTGGCGAGTAAAACTCGACACTCAATACCTCGAGGAGTGGAAGGCCTGTGAGGAAAAGTTTAAAGGGGCGTAGCTCCATAGGTGTGGTTTTCTCGGATAGAAAGAGTTCGAGGCATTTCAGACAGCAGAGGGCCGCTATGGGTTGCTGCAGGAGCTCAGAGTACATGTCGAAGAATAAAGGGTTCGTATTTCTCGCATGGATGGTTTCCAATCGGGCCTCCGAGTTCCGGAGACCTGACAAGAGCAAAGCCATAGGCCGGCAGCCGATGGGCTGTGCCTCGGTATGAAATATTGACAAGATCTGGTCAAAGGGGCTCTTCCCGGGAAGCACCGCAAAGCGGCCGCTCGCTATTGGATAGATAGACTTGAGCTGGGTAAAGTTCGATATGACCTCTGCCAAATACCCAATGTCGTCGCCATCCTTCAGCCAGCCGTCCTGGTCTTTCCAGCTCGAAATGTACTTTGCGTACTCTTCACGAAGCCGCTCCTGGCTCATGGACGGGGCGACACGCCTTTTACGGCCTCCAGAGTCAACATTGAAGCTCCGCTCAAATTCCTGGAAAGTCACCCCATCTTTCAGAATCGTGTTCTTGCAGATGAGGGACTTCACATAATGAGGATAGTTCTGCGCAATGTTTCGAAGCTGCTGAAAGTCGTCTGGGTGTAGGTAGAAGACGACCTCCTCAAACGTCCGGCTCGCGCCTACCTCTGCACACCGTCTGTTTATGAGGCGAAACGGGTAGACATCTTCTAGGTCGAGCTTCGAGCAGACGAGATGTAGAATCTCCAAGGGGATTCTGTCCATGACGGGTTTATCTGAGCATTGTCTCGGAGGCAGTGTTGATTCACGGGTCCCAATAGTTGTAAGTCGCCACAAGATTTCAGGTCATGCCGGACCGAGGTGTTTGGCCCGAGAAGGAGCACAGGCTTGCCAGCTGACCTCGCAACTGCCGGTCCGGCCGTGTTACTATACTCCTTCACGATTACCAAGGAAGTCGGTCAGCAAATTGACACAATAATTCTGATTACATTATTTTCAGAAGTTGGAAGTTCGCAAGCATCTCGTATGGAGAGATAGTGGACTGCCTACGGAGAAGCGCAGTGGAACAAACAGCGGGTAGTACCGCACTAGTCATTACGTGTAGAATGTCCCCATTTCCATGAGATCACATAGGCCTTACACCATACTCAAACCAGCCATTTGACCTCAAATTCGTCAAATCTGGCTTTCAATGACTCCTTAGCTGACTTTTCCGGCCTCGCAACTAGTGGGCTAACATCGAGAACCCACTCTTCGCCTCCTTTCTCATCTTCGTCTGCAAAGATCCAGCAAATCTCTCTAAGCGGCAGCTTCTCCTTTACGTTGCCGGCGCCATCGAGAATCACTTGATAGATCCAAGCGCTCTTGCCGTTCTCGTCGCTCTCGCGCACGACCTCGAGCGTCACCCCCTTTTCGGTCTTCCCCTCGGTGAGGGGCAAGATGCTCCAATCGGCCCAACGGTCACACCCGACCGTGCTGAGGTGCGGCTTGCCGTTGTAGAACTCGATGCCCGTCTTCACCCACTTCTCCACCGGGGAGGGGGAGGTGGTGGACGACGTGCGCTGAAGCGCCAGGAGCAGGCCTGCTTGATCGTAGCGTTCCGTCCAGTCGGCCCAGAACGTCACACGGGCGGACTGGAATTTCTGAAGGAGGCCAGATGACGCCCGGGTTATTGGTGCTGGTCCGCATTAGTACAAGATCTGTCCATATGGGAAGAACCACATGAGCTATGGTGCTGTACCGTTCCATACGTCGGTGCTAGGCGGCTTTTTCCAGATATCCGTCCCAGCAGGAGCTTCCAGTTCGAAAGAATCATGGGTCACATCCATCCTAGCTGACACCGAGTTGACCGGGTAATAGTATTGTGACCAAGCAGCTTCTCTGGAGCGAGCGGTGATGTCGGTCACGTCAATCTTTATACGATGTCAACCCCCCATGTGCCATTGTGTCATTGCCGATGATGACCCGACTTCCCCAACTTTGTATATACCCTTCCTCCCTGTAGCATTGTGTCATTCCCGATGATGAACCGACGTCCCCAACTCTATAGGATTTGACCCGCCTGCGCTCCCCTGTGGTTGCCAGTAATGATGCGACTTTCGCAGCTCTGTAAGCCCTTCGTCCGGCTCTGCGGGCCACGAATCCGGAACAGGTCAACCATTTAGGATTTAGACATGTGTTAGTCAACTAAATAGACTTTATTGGTCTGGCCTTGTACGCTTTCAAGACTGTCAGTGCGGCTGAAAATAGATGCAAAAGAACATACCCACATCAATACATGGATCCATGCTTGCTCCAACGCCAGTGATTGAGGATATAGTGGTCCATAAATGGAATATGGTACGGTCCCGTAACCGCAGCAGAACCGACGGGACAGCCCTTTCGCTCACCTCCAGCTGGTGTAGGTAAGGTGGGCCGTCTTTTAGCTGTCGTTCGAAAGGCGCAGGCCAGCGCTAGGGTAACAGCGGCTCTTCCAAGCACTTAAAAAAACACCTGAACACTTGCAAGAGAAGGAACTGAAGGCCCCAGTACCAAGCGAAATCTTAATAGGTCTGATCTTGTATAGATTGCCAATATGAACCAAGTTGTGGTCGAGCTTGTTTCAACGGGCAACGGGCCCTTAATAGCTCCTCCAGAAGCCCAAATTGGCCATGGACAGAGCAACGGAACCGAGAGCTCCCGTCAAGAATTCACTCTGCCTCCAGTGGACTCGGGCAAGGATGCATGGCTCTTCTTGGCGGCATGTTGGGTCGTCGAGGCGCTTGTATGGGGTAAGCCATCTTCAATACACCACACAGTGCCTGACGCCTGAGCCTTTGATTGAGCCGAAAGCTAGGCTTTGGCTTCTCATTCGGAGTCTTCCAAGATTACTATAGCACCCATGAACCATTCGTGGGGGCAGGGAATATTGCCGTGATCGGTACATCCACACTGGTGAATTATATCCATTCTCTTCCTATGGAGTTAGAAAAGACCAATCAGTCTAACTGGGGCCAGGGAACCATGTATATAGGGACTCCCATCGTGATAATAGTCTGCCGGCTCTACGCCCGGCAGGCCCGCTGGTTCACGCAGGCCGGGCTCTTCGCGGCCGCGCTCACGATAGCCCTGAGCTCGTTCTGCACGACGGTGCCGCAGCTGGTCGCCACGCAGGGGGTGCTGTTCGGGATCGGCGGGTGCTTCGCCTACACGCCGTGCGTGCTGTACATCGACGAGTGGTTCGCGGCGCGCAAGGGCCTGGCGTACGGCATCATGTGGAGCGCGGCCGGGTTCGGCGGCGTCGTACTGCCGCTGCTGCTCGGGTCGCTCCTGGATGCCTACGGCTTCCGCGCCACGATGCGCATCTGGGCCGGCATCCTGTTCGCCGCCTCGTTCCCGCTCGCCTTCTTCGTCAGGCCCAGGCTCCCCGTCGCGGCGGCGGCCCATACCAGGCCGTTCGATATGCGCTACGTCCTCACAAGGTTCTTCGCCCTGCACCAGGTCGCTAACACAGTCCAGGCCACGGGGTATTTCCTGCCGGCCATCTATCTCCCCTCGTACGCACGGATGGAGTTTGACGCCTCAACCTTCTTGTCGGCGCTTACCGTGCTGCTTGTCAACATAGCTTCGACTGTTGGGTCAGTTGCCATGGGCTCAATGACCGATAGACTCCACACTACTACTTGTATCATAATCTCTACGATGGGTGCCGCAGTAGGCGTGTTTCTGCTCTGGGGCCTGTCCTCGTCGCTTCCGGTGCTGTATGTGTTCTGTGTTGTATACGGTCTCTTTGCCGGGTGCTGGACGACCATCTGGCCTGCGATCATGAAGGAGATGACCCGCCAAGGCGAGGTAACTGGTCAGTACGTTGACCCGACCATGGTCTTTGGTTGGTTGTGCGTGGGCCGCGGCATCGGAAACATCGCGTCAGGCCCCCTGAGCGGCTTGCTGTTGACGGGAGGTAGCACCTGGGTTGGTCGTGTGAGCGCCGGGTTTGGAAGTGGCTATGGTGCGTTGATTGTATACACTGGTATCACTGCTCTGCTTGGGGGGAGCAGCTTTGTCTGGAAACATCTGGGCTTCTTATGAGTTCAGTGATCGTGCTATAGGGATTCCATCAGAAAAGTCATTTTACGATGCACCGTCTCAGGAATGATACTATCGGACTATGAATAAATACATTTTGATGAAATATCACAGTCCTTTGTTCGCAATTGGCGTCACTGACTTGTGTATAGCCAAATTTCACATGTTTATAGCCTTGACCTACAAGGGCCCAGTGCCCCTCGATGACGTAAGTCGTTCGTTATCAGAATCATCTCACCTTTGCCCGACCGTAATGTCGAGAACTACAACTGCCGAAGGACAAGAAACACCCCGGCATGCTTCATGAAGCCCATCTCCGCAGCTTGCAGTATTCGTCAGGCTTATAAAGGCCTTGTTAGCCCCGCACGCAGTCCAGCTCGGGTGTTTAGCCAAAGGTGGGCCTATCCACTTCGCATCTTAACGCCGAGAACGCCTTCGTTCGAATGAGAAGCTTGTGTAACTCTAGAACTTCTATCACGCTCTCTTTCTCTCTCTTGTCGAAACCTTGGTTCTCTAAAGTTGACTAATACGGCCCGGAAACCAGGAAAATGTCAAAATTCACGTTGGAATCCAAGGTCAAGCTAGCCAGCGGCTATGAGATCCCGCTGCTGGGCTTTGGCGTAAGTGAGAGAATGTCTTAATCTACTTGGCGCCAATGTACTGAATCAAATTAGGTGTACCAAACGTAAGCTTTCCCAACCTCATTGGAGGTCAGAATACCTAGGGGACATATAGCTAAACCCAGACCACACAAGACCGGCGGAAGAGGCCGAACGTTGTGTCAAGGACGCCCTAGAGGCCGGCTACCGACACGTCGACTCGGCTGCGGCGTACCGGAACGAAGAGCCATGCGGCAGTGGCATACGAGCCTTGGCCTCGAAGATCCCCAGATCTGAGGTCTTCTTTACGTCCAAGGTCCGCACCAAGGGTATGTAGTCAACAGTTACCCTCAGGCTAAATCCTCCCGACTCCTCTTGCAGAAAGGGTCGTATACTAATCAGACACGACATGGTGCAGGAATGTCCTACGAGAGCGCCAAGGCCACCGTCGACGAGACGCTCCGGCTGACGGGGCTGGGCCACATCGACCTGATGCTCCTGCACGCGCCGTACGGGGGGTCGGCGGCGCGCAAGGGCGCGTGGAAGGGCCTGGTGGAGGCGGTGGAGGCGGGCAAGGTGCGCAGCATCGGCGTCAGCAACTACGGGGTGCACCACCTGCAGGAGCTCTCGCGGCACATGGCCGAGCTGGAGGCCGAGCGCCCGGGCGGCGGCGGCGTCGTGTCCGTGGGCCAGTGGGAGATCCACCCGTGGCTGCCGCGCAACGACATCGTGTCGTGGGCGCGGGCGCACGGTGTCGCCATCCAGGCCTACTGCCCGCTGGTGAGGGGGGAGCGCTGGGGCGAGCCTGCTCTGCAGCGGCTGGCGGAGAAGCACGGGAAGACCGGGGCGCAGGTTCTGCTGCGATGGTCGCTGCAGAAGGGCTACATTCCGTTGCCCAAGAGCGTCACCACGTCGAGGATCCGGGAGAATGCTCAAATCTACGACTTCGAGCTGTCCGAAGAAGATATGGCGACGTTGGAGACGACAGAGTATGCGCCTTGCACGTGGGATCCAACGACGAGTCCTCTAGATAATGTGCAGAGCAAATGGTAGCCACACAAATTTAGCTGTATTGGTTTATATCTGATTGGGTGCTGGTGACCCATGTATAGGAACCTGTTGAGTAGTCGCAGGATCCAATCCTGTGTAAAGATGGATAGTGTGCGACAAAGTGTAAGTATATACGGTATCTGAGGTTCTCTTTTGATATTTTGGTTTTCCTGCACAACGCCGCCCAAATATGCATATCTCTCCCTTTTTTTACCGACCCAAATCCCAATGCGAAGCTAGCACAGCTGATGCCAGACAATGGTCCCCTGGCGGAAGCAAACCGACGCCGTAGATATTTCGTGAACTGTAAATTGATGGGATGTTTCAAGTATGTCCAGATCCCAGACGCTGAAGCACGGGACGCTGATCCCAGCGGTCTTCGTCGATGCTGCTCTCCTCATCCTCGAAACCTTCGTCGTCGTCGTCTTGGTCTACGGAACCTTCTGAGCTGTAGATGAAGAACTGGGCGAAGATGGCCAGGTCGAGAAGCAGGGTACCGAAACTGCCAGCCAACCACGAGAGGTTCACAAGTATGTACCGCCCGTAGATTTTGCCGACTTCGCCGGGGCGGCAGCGGTTCGGCCGAGCACAGGTTGGCTCATAGGCCAATATAGATAGGACATAGGTAAGGTTTCCCAGGCAAGCGAAGAGGAAGAACAGCATGGAAACTCCCTCAACAGACTTGCGCCGCCAATTGAGGATCAGCTGGGGCAGGCGGGAACCAAGATAAAGTACAGCACAAAGCCAGCCAAAAACCTGGCCCAAGGTGTCGAACTGAGGGAGATTCTCTTCGGCGGGAGTAGAAGGGCCACTGCTTGCATAGCGGCGGCTCAGGTACCAGCCAGCCACGCCGGCCACGCAGACCATCAGAATGGCGACTGCATTCCTGAAGACGACCTGCAGGCGGGTGGACACGGGCGGAGGTGTAGTAGGTTCTTCGGGCAGCATGGGCACAGCTGGGGAGAAATGGGTCCAACTCTGGCCACTGCCTCTCCTCTCACGCTCATGGGCAAGGGGCCCATGCCCATCAAGCAAGCCCGTCCTTTCATTTGGCTCGCCTGTTACAAGCACCCTCGCGGGCTTGGGGGGAGGAGGCACAACCTCGTCCTTCCAAGTAAAGCCCCGGTAGTAGAAGCACTGGGCCAGCAGCACCACGTCGGCAATCGTGTAGTAGATGGCGAGGATGAGCATGGTGGGCAAGACGCCCTGAAAGACGGCGCCCAGAATATTGAAGACATCGCCCAATAACCATGCTATGATGAATTGCAGCGAAAGGCCGTCAGCTGAGCTCCGGCGGAAGTTCTCGAGGATCTGTGGGCTGAAGACCACAACCCATGCTGCGATAGAGATGGAACTGGGGAGGAAATGATCAGCACGGCCAAATTGACTGGGGCAGAATATTGCGTCTGTTCGGAGCTACCACGCATTCCCCTGGAAAGATGGAATTCTACTCACCCGCATATGCCGGAGATGGCCTCGACATCCAGATTCAATGGCCCTGTTGGGGGTGCCATTTTGACAGCCGGCCTGGGGTGAGCAGGGTGAGCAAGGCCAAAGGACGGCCAGAGAGATGCGCCTCGACAGCTAAAAGCGTTTTGGTGAAGTCCCTCCAGAAGACAGAAAGTGGGCTCGTAGAAGCTGGTCAAAAATGTATGAGGATAATATTATTGCATATGCATATGCATGGAAATAGACAGACTGGCCGGAGCAAGCTTTACGATCGAAGAAGAGTCATTGTTGTGGAGGGATTTTTTTGGAGGTGAGCTCCCAGCGATGGCAAAGGTTGGTTGGTCGGCCTATGTCGAGTTTTGCGCCGCGCCCGCTTCCAGCCGCGGCACTGGATGCGCTGGAATCCAAGTGCCCATGTGCCCTGAAAATGACTTCATGACGCGCCAGCGACTGCCCCACGTCCCATGTCATGTCATGCCATGCAACCAAAGTGCGCCCGGGGGCCAAGTCCGGCGGGCCTGCGCAGCGACTCTTTGCGGGGAAGCTTGGTTGGCTGTCGTTGGATTTCAGACTGCTGGGCCACGCTGGGCCGCGCTGGGTCTCGGCTGGGTTCTGGCCGTCGCGGCGCTAGAACGTTGCAAGCTTCCGGTGATCAGGCCGATCAATCAATGCCACCTTGCCCCCGTCAAGCCCGCCCAATCCGGTAAACAACCGAAAAAGAAAGATAAGTCGTCCCGTTTCGCGACCTCAGCTCCCGACGACAACCCCACGGGTGCATCCACAGCCCCTGTAGAGGCAAGCCTGATCATGCTTTCTATATCCTACGTAGACGCCGTGTGAACCAGCAACATGTCGGCCGACCTCTTCGCTGCTTTTGACGATCCCCCGCCTCCAAAGCCCAACCAGGCGCAACCACCCAAGCCGTCTCCTTTGCCCGCCTCGACGGCTACCGATCCCTTCTCCTTCCTTGGCTCTACCCTCTCGAACACAGCCAGTCAACAGACCCAGCCATGGCCTTCACTGCCGCAGTCGGTAGCCAACGACCCGTGGGGCGGTCTCTCAACTGGCGGTGTGCCAAGTCAACCCGCAGCGAAGAACACCTTGGGTGACGATGGTGAAGATGAGGATGGCTGGGGCGACTTTGAGACAGCAGAGCCTGCGTCCAAGCCAGCACCCAATGTCGACGTGCCGACGAGTCAACAGCCGCCCCAGCATCCGGCCATACAAAGAACCCGGATAGTGAGGGCCCCGACCATTGAGCTAATGACGAACAACCTCATCGACCTCCCCGGCGCCAATGCTCTGCCTGAAGAAGTGAGATCGCCACCTTGGATGCGCCAGTCCTTCGCCCAACAGCAAACAAACACACAAAGGACGAACCTATCTGAGCCGAAGCCGCCGCTGAAGCCCAAGCCTCAGACCAAGCCTGTCAAAGCGGACCCAAATGTGCTATTTGATGCCGACGAATTTGACGGACAAGATGTAGGGGCCAGCGATGATGATGACGACTTCGGAGAGTTTGAGACTGTTGCCTCGCCTGCACAGCCTCCCAAGGACATCATGTCTGAAGATCTGTTTACTCCGCCAGCAACCGCTCACAAGCCCCCGGCCGACATGTTGTCTGGTCTCACCTTGAGCGAGCCGACGTCGTCGTATCCGAGGGCGCCAAGGTCCCCGTCATTTCAAGAAAGAAACCCATTTCCAGGGCTGGCGCTGCACACACCTACTGAACCCAAAGCGCCGTCAAGTGACAACCCCATTACATCGCCTGTTACCGCGTGGCCGACGATAGACCAAGGTTCTGCCGGGAGTAACAAGATGGAAGATGACTGGGCTTCCTTCGATGATCTCCCTGAGAAGCCACAGACCGTGAACAAACAAACCAAGGCCACTGGTGACAACTGGGATTGGGATGCATTCGACGATCAGCCACCTGCTACATCTACTAAGCCGCAGCCTGCTTCTGTTGCGGCCCATGACACAGACTCATCCTGGGCATGGGATTCGGCAGATATAACAGGTGACTTGCCGACCAAAGAAGATGAGAGCAAGGCACCTCCTATCAACGTTCCGCCACCGTCGGTTCTTTTGTCCATATTTCCGCAACTGCTTGGCCAGGCAAACGAATCACTCTTTAAGCCCGTAGGCGGACAGGCATTCTCCATTAAGAATCGAATTCTATCTGATCCAAAAACCATCGAGTTCCTACGAGGCTACCTGGTTCTCGCAACCGTCGCTGGTCGCGTCATTGCCGGACGAAAACAGCGGTGGCATCGAGACAAATTTCTGTCCCAGAGCATGTCAATCTCGGCAGCTGGCAGCAAAGGGATGAAACTTGCTGGTGTTGACAAGACGCAAGCAGCTAGGGAGGATCGCGAGGCAGGCGACATACTCGACCTCTGGAAAGAGCATGTCGGCCGCCTTCGGTCGTCGGTGGCTGCGGCGAATTCTACCATCAAGGACACTTCGCAGCAACTCAAGATCCCCGAGCTGCGGGAAAACATACAGATCCAGATGGCAAAGGGCGTCCTCACCGCCCCAAAGGCTTGCATCATTTGTGGGCTCAAACGCGACGAGCGCCTTCCGCGCATCGATTTCAGCGTCGAGGACAGCTTTGGCGAGTGGTGGACAGATCACTGGGGTCACACTGCGTGTAAGCGGTTCTGGCTCAAGCATGAGAACGATTTACGACAGCGATGAGTCCGAATCAAGTCGCGACTCCCCTTCCCTCAACGTAGAGACACTTAGATAGACTGGACTTGTCAGCATGGAGGCAGGAACACATGACCGCATTGCAAAGGTAGGCAGTACATGCGCAAGGCGCATATTGCGTATTCGTACATATAATGGCCGGGTGTAAGGCTCTAGGCCTGAACGAGTGGTCGTTGGTGATTGCGGTTTTCTGTGGCAGCACGCCGATGTCTTGTGCGTGACGAAGAGGGACTGGGATCAGCCCACTCTTCATAGTTTGGTGTTGGGTTGCACTGGACGGATCTCCCGCCGCTGGGTATGCTCTGGAATGGTGAAGACTGCGCATAGTCCGTTTGTGGATCGTTCTTGGCCCCACCTGCATGCATAGTATGTAGTCGACCAGCCGAAGACACATGTGTTTGGCCAATAGGAACTGCTGGCACATGATTCCACCGTTCGTGCTCCTCTGGCAAATGTGTGTAGAGGTTCAGGTACTTGACCTTGTAGCTCGCCGACCTGTCAGTGTACCATCGCCTTGACTTCGCAGTGTCCTCATAGACTCTGTAGCGTTAAGTGCTGCGTCGACTAATGGCCGAGAGCATGCTTCTAGTCGTTCGGCCCCGTTGATGGTCGAGCACCGCGAATCCAAACATCTGTATATCTACACCAGGAGCGAAACATTTTTGAGAACACAACTCAATTCTGCCCAGGCTACAACAAATGAAGTTCTAAATACGTAAGTGTGTATGATGCTGTCGGTGGTCGTACCGATCGACTTGATCATTGGACGCTGCTCTGCCAATAGCGATGCCAGACACGACTGTTCCCAAAATTACGGGATGATTGGACAATGGCTTTTCTGGCAAACCAAGAAGCTGCATTTGGCTGATGCGAGATATGAAGCCTAAATCTGACAGAGGATGGGCCTGCTAACCGGATGTCGGCTTACAAACTTCATCGGCGCTGATCCGTGTTGAACGGCACCGCAACTGTATAGAAGCTGTTCTCATCGAGTATAGCTTGAGGGCGAGACTAGGATATAAGTTAGCACCCCTGTTTCCTCCCGCGTGGTGAGATATGCCGCCGCTTCTGCTCTTCGCAGCAAAACAGCTAAAGAGCGGGACAAGACCCAGTGATCATATGAGACGCTGCACATGTAGGTATGTGTATCCAAGAATGTACTGCCGCATGCAATGTGCCGTCCGTGGGTTGATATGCGTGGCAACCCCGCCCGGGTTTAGTCACTGCAGAGTATTTTGAGGGCTGGGGTGGTGGTCCTGGTATCGGTTGACAAACCGCATCAAAGCGACCGATACCTAGTTGCAAGGCAGGCAGGGAGAGCCGAACGACCAGGGGACCCCGAGACGACCGATGAGAACGGGACACAGCAGAACGGCGTCGTCGCATCCTGCAGAGCTCCCCACACAAGCTTCGCTGCACCAGCACCACCCGTGCAACCACTGGGGACGTTCCTGTCATGGGGCAGGGAGGGGAGGGGGGAAGCTTCTGACCGCCTATCGCAACGGTCCCAGCTCCGACGCCCATGTGTTCAGCTCTTGAGGTCGCCAGCCTCCGAACGTGGGCTGCAGGCGATCCTCGAATGTGCGGTTCATCAGGTCAGGTTGGCAAACCGACCTGTCCGAGAACGTACCCGCGGGGGGTCTATGACAATGCGACTGCCCATGTTTCTGTTGGCGTCATTGCTTTTGCGCCGGGCCATCTCTGTCGCACCCTGTACTCCACCATGTACCGAGAATCATGATTGTCTGGTCTTGTATCAGGGACTATCAAAGTGAAGTAGAGAATTGCAAGACCGGTTGTCAACCCCGAGAAGCTTGAAAATAAGACTGCCGCTCTGTCCCAATGCATTTCTGTAGGCAATGAACTCTGCAGGAATACCTGTCGGTTGATAGAAGGGTGTAAGGACGCCCACTCCGTACCAGGGATACGACTGCGTCCCTGTCCTGTAGTCCATCGTTCGCGCTAAGATTGTTAGCACCGCACATGGTAGCCCACTTTTCGATTATCTCTGCCTCGTCCATTTCTCCAGGCCGGTGCAGCAGATCTTCAGGTCGATGGCATGATGCTCTCCACGGCTTAAGTGGTGCGAGATAGCATCACGCTCGGTGGCCGACTTGCGCCCTTGTCTCCTTTGGAGCGCAATCGGCCCCCAACGTAGCACGGCTCTATAAGCAGGCCCGGAGTGAACCGCAGGTCAGGTCAAGTCAAGTCAAGTGCTGACTGGCGGACTGGGAATGGCAATATACACATAGTGACTTGGTATACAGTTTGGCCCGAATACGACCGAACCACCGTCACCCGATGACTATCTAGGTCCAAGTTGAATGTGCTACATGACTGATGGACGACAAATCCTGACGGCGTTGATTCAGCAAGAAGGCTTTCGAGAGCTAGGCAGGCAGGTGCCTGAGTAGCACTGGATGTGGTGATTTTGTATTTTATTTTTGCCCGTCTTTCACGGCAGTGGCTAGTTTGACTAGCAGCCGTGGTATGGGATGGATGGGATTGGGATTGGGATTGGGATCTGGGATGGGATGCTGCTACTGGCGCATCACTCTCCATTCAAAATGCGCCCACGCACCACTCACCACTCACCACTCACAGACGTCGAAACGAGCTTTCCCAACCGTCCAAGTCGCTCCAACCGTCTCCAAAGTCTCCTCCTCCCTTCTCTTCCCACTTCACACCTCTCTCTCTCTCTCTCTCGCTCTCTCTCCCTCCCCCTTCCACCTCTACCTCTCGCGTCTCCGTCCCCGTCCCCCGTCTCTACCTAACTTTAGTTCCCACCTCCCACCTCCCCTCCCCCGCTGCCGCCAAACAACAACAGCACCCAAGCACCCACACACACCCCGCCATCGCCAACATCATTTCCGTGAATTGACTGACGACGGCCGCTCTCCTCCACCCACCCGTCCCTCCACTCCATCCCGCATCCTCCCAACTTCTCCCCACCCACCGTCTCCCCTCTTTCTCCCATCATGTCCGCTCCCCAAGACCTCCCGCCCAACGGCGAGACCGAGCTCGACCAGGGCCTCGACAACCTCAAGCTCGACGGCGATCTCGGCCTGGGCCCCGACGGCCAGCCCGCGCCCAAGACGGACGAGGAGTACGCCGTCGCCAACCTGACCCTGCGCGCCATTGTCTCGTCCAAGGAGGCCGGTGTCATCATCGGCAAGGGAGGCAAGAACGTCGCCGACCTGCGCGACGAGACCGGCGTCAAGGCCGGCGTGAGCAAGGTCGTCCAGGGTGTGCACGATCGCGTCCTGACTATTACTGGAGGATGCGAGGCCATCTCGAGGGCCTATGCCATCGTCGCCCGCGCCCTGCTCGAGGGTGCGCCCGCCATGGGCATGGGTGGAGTTATCCAGAATAACGGCACACATCGTATGCGACAAGCTCCCCTCCCGCTCGGCCCAGTGCCGGGGCGCCACCCCCCGATCGCGTCGCTAACCTGTCTACTCATCTAGCCATCAAGCTCCTCATCTCGCACAACCAGATGGGCACCATCATCGGCCGGCAGGGCCTCAAGATCAAGCACATCCAAGATTCGTCCGGCGTCCGCATGGTGGCACAGAAGGAAATGCTCCCGCAATCGACCGAGAGAATCGTCGAGGTGCAGGGGACGCCCGAGGGCATCCAGCGCGCCATCTGGGAGATCTGCAAATGCCTGGTCGACGACTGGCAGCGCGGCACCGGCACTGTGCTGTACAATCCTGTTGTCCGCACCCAACCGGGCGGTGCGGGGTCCCTTGGTGGTGGTGCCGCTTCGCCTCCTGCCGCTGGCGCTGGCCCTGTCGGCGGGGTAGGAGGATACGGCTACTCATCCAGAGGCGACTATGGTGGCCCCCGTGTCACGCGCACTGGGAACGGTGCCGACTTCAGCAACGGCGCTGGCTCTCGACCGTACCGCCGCTCAGACTCGGACGCGGGCAACCGGGATCGCCAAGGGCCCCCGACGCACGACGAGAACGGCGAGGAGATCCAGACGCAGAACATCAGCATCCCCGCCGACATGGTTGGCTGCATCATTGGTCGCGCCGGCAGCAAGATTACAGAGATCCGCAAGACCTCGGGTGCCCGTATCTCGATCGCAAAGGTAAGATTGCGCGACCGACACTTGAAATGAAATCCGTTGTAGCAGACGAGACTGACACCGTGTACATAGGCACCTCATGATGAGACGGGAGAGCGCATGTTCACCATCATGGGAACGGCCAAGGCCAACGAGTCGGCCCTGTTCCTCCTCTACGAGAACCTCGAGGCGGAGAAGATGCGACGGAGCCAGGCCCAATCACCCGAGTAAATGCCAGCATTTGCTCGCCCGGCCTCTCGCCTTGATGGCGATGGGGTGCAGTAGAATTTGGTACATCTGTCGGAGTATTTCCTAATGTTGGTCGGATTTGGCGACGAAACACCAGATCTGACTTGCCGCAAGGCTGACCTCTGATTATGGGAGGTCTCTACGACACGACGTGACGATGACAAAGTTTCTTGTTTTTTATTTTCCCAAAACCAGTCCGCCGAGACTGCCTTCTCTCTCACTACGCCTTTTCTTAATCATCCCCAGCCACAGTCATCACCATCATCACCCCCGTCGTCATCTTCACCATCAAGGCAACCGCACACGGTCCTCTTCTGTTGCTGGAGCTAGAGCAGCAGCGCCAGACTTGCCTGGCGTACGGACGCACATTGGTGGGCTCGATGCTTGACCGGGAACGACGCACGAAAACTCACCACGCAACTTCTCTCTCCTCCTCTCTCTCTCCCTCTGGACGAGAAACGACCCAATCTCGTTGCACGGCGCCCAAATTGCGCCCGGCACCACCATCTCTCAGCCTCTCTATTTCTTTTCACGACATTGGAGCTCTGCCAAGGTCTTGGTTCATCTCCTCCTCTCCCTCTCTCCCAGTCGCAGACGTTGGGTGGGCCGACCCCCCAGCGCCGGACTACAATACTGTCACTAAATAAATAGCGAGACGGTATTCCTCTAGTCGGATAGTGCCGCTTTGCACCCGTCACATACGCTTCTCACCTTGGACCTGAAGACCATGTTTACCACGACAAATGACGGAGAGGCTTCCCTGGAAGCTCGGCGGCAGGTGGTTCCGATTGGCCTGAACAGAAACAGATAGTCGCCTACAATTAACTCTTTGAGGCTGGCTGCAGCTGGAACTCTCCTAAGGAATGAATGACGCTGGGGAAGGGGGGTTATCTATCAGGCAAAATCAGAGCTTATGACAATTGAAGACCCACGAGCCGAACGACTTTACTTTCTGTCCCCCTTTGGTCTTCCTCTGGTGCATACACACACGTACATGAATTGGCCGTCCGTAGTAAGTTGCAGTGCATGGTACCTGGCAGTAGTAGGCAAGGTAGGTCGGCAACTGACTTTGAAGCTATCTACTTAAGTCGTACCTAGGTAGTTAGGGGTCTAAGGCGGTGCCTAGCTACAGTACCTCATGCTGCACGAGTCCCACGCAAACCACGGGTGCCCGTGGACCCCCCCATCGCCGGCCCCAGCCCACTAACGTGCCCCCTGTCGTGGGCCACGTTTAGCCCCTCACAGGACCTCATCCCCCCCCCCCTCCCCCCCTGTGCACCCCCTTGTCACCGCCTTCGGTAGCGGCCTCTCGATTTGGGGCTCGGGATGTCATCTGCGAGATTCTGCCAGTGCCAATCTGTCATCAACGGCGCGCATCCAGAGCTTAAGTTAATTATGATGACCATCTCAGGGTCCATTCTGCCTCTAGGACATCCGGGGCTTCTCTTCGATTCCTGTCTCACACTCCTTCGCATTAACTGTTGATACACGTTCGGCCCACGACTTGCTTTTGTATTCTCTTTTCTCTTCATATTTTGTTGCTTCTCTATCTATACCCACTCCTTTCCTTACATACTACTTCCCACACCTGCAACTTCGTCATACCCGGGTGCACATCGTCTTCCTCGTCGTCCTCCTCGCCTGGCGCCAGATAAATGGCCCGCACAAAGCAAGCCAGACCGGTCGAGCGCCAACCGTCGTCGGAGTATGTCACGCGCCAGACTGGGACCCCGGCGAAGCGCAAGGTCAGCTTCGATGTGGCCGACGAGACCGTAGCCAATGGCAACGGCAAAGGGAACGGCGCCCTGCGTGAAAGCAGGAGCGCCCCGGCGACGGCAGACCGCGCCGAGGCCGGCATCGTGCAGCTCGTCATCGCCGTCGCCGGTATCTATGGCTCCTTGTATGTGCCTTCCCCCCCTACCCCAGCCCATACCACGTACAACAGGTTCCGTGGCAGAATCGGCCCGTAGGCTAACATGATCTCTTCGCCAGCTTGACCTGGGCCTTCCTGCAGGAGCGCCTCACCACGACGCCTCACGGCCCTCCCGGCGCGACCGAGGTCTTCAAGTACCCCGTCTTCCTCAACACGATCCAGTCGCTCTTCGCCGCGACCACGGGCGCCATCTACCTCTACTTCAGCACGCCGCGGGGGTCGGCCATCCCGCCCATCTTCCCCTCGCGCCGCATCCTCGGGCCCCTGGTCCTCGTCGCCCTGACCCAGTCGCTCGCCTCGCCCTTTGGCTACGCCAGCCTGGCCCACATCGACTACATCACGTTCCTGCTGGCCAAGTCGTGCAAGCTGCTGCCCGTCATGTTCCTGCACATCACCATCTTCCGCAAGCGCTACCCGCTGTACAAGTACCTGGTGGTGGCGGCCGTGACGGCGGGCGTCGCCGTCTTCACGCTGCACTCGGGCAAGAAGGGCCGCAAGCACGCGACCCCGGAGCACGAGCGCAACGTGCCCTGGGGCATGCTGCTGCTGGCCATCAACCTGCTGTTCGACGGCCTCACCAACAGCACCCAGGACTACATCTTCGGCGCCTTCCGCCCCTACTCGGGCCCCCAGATGATGTGCGCCAACAACATCATGAGCACCGCCGTCACCGCCGCCTACCTGGTCGTCAGCCCCTGGCTCGTCCACACCGGCGTCGGCGAGTGGCTCGGCATGGACGTCACCGGCAACGCCGGCGAGCTGCGCGAGGCCCTGGCCTTCATGGCCCGCCACCCCAAGGTCTGGACCGACGTGCTGGGCTTCGCCGCCTGTGGTGCCGTCGGCCAGGTATTCATCTGTACGTCTTTTTCCGCCTTCCCTTTTCCCCCAGACCCCTCTGCCCCAGAGACAGTTTCCACTAACACAGGAGATCTCCCAGTCTACACCCTGTCCACCTTCTCGTCGGTCCTCCTAGTGACGGTCACCGTCACGCGCAAGATGTTCACCATGATCCTGTCCGTCGTGGCCTTTGGCCACAAGCTGAGCCAGATGCAGCTCCTGGGCGTCGGCCTTGTCTTTGGCGGCATCGGTGTCGAGGCTGCCATTGCGCGCCAGGAGAAGCTGGCCAAGGAGGACGCCAAGCGGCGCGCCGTCGAGGGCAAGAAGGAGTCGTAGCATACCGGGGGGAAGAACAGGCCTATATAGAGATAGCGGGGCCGAGCCGAAGAAGCACAACTAGAAGTGGAAACAGATGCACAAGCTATGGGCACGCTCCACGCTCCCTCCGCTTTCCGGGGGCAGATGATGTGTGTCAATGTCATGTAGAAGACACGCTATTTATCACGGTGATCCTGTCTGTAAGCGACACATCAAGAATAAAAGAAAAACATTCGGAAAAGACCAATATAGTCGAAACCACCGGCATCTTGATAATTTGCTACTGTATGGGCCAGATAGTCGTCTTTGATACGACTGGTCCTTGGCCCTTGACGCCCCCTTTTCCTCGTCCCGTTCACCCCAAGGCTCACAGAGGCATTAGGAACTTTTTGAGAATCTGCGGAGCTCTTTTGCTGGGCAACTCGGTATTGGACTTACTACGTTTAGCAAATATCCGGCAGCCCCTTCGTTGGTTCAGTCATTCAATTCATTCACTTGCACGAGAGATAGGAACACACGGGTATTTGTGTATCGAAAGACGCCGCATCGATTGCACGGTCGCCAGTCTGATTTCGTATCGAATCCGCATCCTCTACATTATGTACAGCCATCGGGCCCAAGAGCTCCTCTTCCCCTTCCCCTGTTGATCTTGGCCTCTCCTCGCCTACACGCCTTGCACCTTCTGTGCCCTTGTTCTTTCGGCCGTCCCCCCGGGGCATATTTTTCGGATGCCTTTGTAAATTACACATTTCTGACCCACGGTTTGGGTGCGTAGATAGAACGCCCTTGCCTGCTAAATTGGAAAAGAAAAAAGAACCACTCCCCATCACGTCCAAGACGCCCCCTTTTCGCACAATGGATGATCGTGATAAAACTCAGAGCCATCTCCGGGGTATCCGGTTTCGCCGTGGGTCCCCCACAATGCTGTGCTATGCTCGCAGGAACGAGAGAGAAAAGATGAACCAAAGGAATATCGACAAGACATGGTCGTCGGGATCTTGACAAAGAAAAGGTTGGTTTTAGTTTGGTAATGCGCCCTGATTAGGGTGTGGGACGTTGCTAAACTGGCATTGCGGAAAAGACGTCGCAAGTGCGGTAGGTCAACTCCGCGATCCTGGCCAAGTTGTTGTCCAAGGCTGGAGACCGCCAGTCCAAGTAAGAAACGCCAGTAGATATCTCGGCAAAGATGGATCTGAAATCAAATATCTCGCCTTCGCAGGTTGCTCGTGAGCCGAGACACGTCGCTACACTTCGAAGGCATAAGAATCGTAGGGTTATTATCGTAAAATTCATACGCTCATGATGTAATGGCTTGACGATGGTCGCCTATAACACCTCGTCGATTGATCGCACAATGGGAGTCTCTCCTTTGGTCGGAGGACTCCTGGGATCCGTGACCTGGGTTGGTCTCCCAAAGGGGTAGAAAGGGTCCCTAGGAAACATGGTCTCACGTGGCGAGAATAAGCCGAGTTGCTCCTCGTTAGGGGTCGGTGGCACCTCCACGAACTTCATACCCGCCATTTCGCCAAATGAGTCATGCAAGGGATTGTTTGTCATAGTCTCAGCTCTTGGTGACATCAAGGCATCGTCGTCAGGCAGGGCACGGGTGACGTGGACATCCTGCTGAGCGGACTCATGCAGTTGGCTGTCGAGCGAGGCTTCCATACTGCCGAAGTTTAGACTCGAGAAACCAAAACTTTGCGGGCCGTTCCCGAACCGATGCGCCCCAAACCCGGGTGAAGGCGGAGGCTTGAACTCCTGGGAGACGGGGGGGAAACCAGGCGACGGCGGGGGTCTAAAGCTCTGCGATACAGGTGGGAAACCCGGCGATGGAGGAGGTCTGAAGCTCTGAGAGACGGGAGGAAATCCAGGCGACGGCGGGGGTTTGAAACCCTGGGACATGGACGGGAAGCCGGGAGATGGAGGGGGCTGGAATGCCAGTGACGGAACCGAGTTGAAGCTGAGCTTCGGGGCTTGCGTAAATCCTAGGGAGGTCGCCGGTGGTTTTAAACCGGGAGACGGAGGAGCTTTGAAGAAAGATGATCCACGTGGTGGGAATGTTTCTTCCGACTCGGACTCGAAAAACCTGGGCGGGTTCAACAGCTTGTCCAGATTGAACTTGCCAGGCTCTCCAGCCGATTTGTTGACGTCCTGCTCAGACCACGAAAAGCTCGATGGGGCGGACGAAGGACCAGGCGAAATTGCCTCCAAGTTGGGGGTCGACTTTCCGCGGGAATGTTGCGGGCTGCGTTGCGGACTGGTTGCCTGCGCATCCTTGGGACTTTCTTCGGGTAGTGGAGCAGAGAGAGGCTCCTTAGGTTTGATCTCGATAGCATCGGCAGACAAGGTAAGCCGATGCTTTGTAGGACTTCTCCCGCTTCGTGGGCCCGCAGCTGATCGTGGTAACCTTTTCTTCATCACCTCCTTCTGGAAATCTTGCAGGCAATACATAAGCCTCATGTTCGGGCTGATCCAACGACTCTTGGTTTGGGCGCGATAGTAGGCGTCGTTCACACTGATGCCCGGGTTCTGGTAGAGGCCGTATGCGATGATCAAACTGGCGGATCGGCTAGCACCCTGCTGGCAATGTACGAGTACCTTCTTGCCTTCCTTCGTCCGCTTCTCAATCGTCTCACAGAGGCTCATCAAATCAGTCGCGATATCTGTGTTGTGGTCCCAGGGCATGTGAATGTACTCGGGTTCCTTCAGAGTATTGGCTGCCTTCGGAGTGGTAGGCGTCTCAACGCGGTCTTCCATGGGGTATTCAAAGGCAGTGGCAAAGCTATCAGTTGTGAGAGCAGTGTCTGGTATCGGGGACTCTACATCTGACGCCCTGCGTTTGCCGAAAGTGTCGTCAAAGGGGTTGTGAACCTCCCGCGCGACGTTAATCACAACGTCAAACTTGGCTGCCTCGTCCGCTGTCGGTTCGAGATACAGGTACACGTTATCATCGTATATGGCGATCGGCCCGTCAGGGTACCCAGGCGACTTTTGGTCCTCGTTGGCCTCGCTCTCGTCACGGAAGGGCTCAAAATCCATGGCGGCACAGCTTGCATGCTGAGCTCGGATTGGAGACGAGTCTTCTTCCATGATGAGCGATACCCGGTTGTTATTGCTATTGTTGTTGCTGCTACTGCCCGAGCTGTTGAGTCTGGAGGGTCGAAGGACCTCGGACAAGCCCGACTGTCCTCTCTCGGAGAGAGTAGGAAAGGTCATTCCACCAGCAGGACCGAATGTCGCCGACTTCATGCCAGAGAGCATGTGCGGCGATGAAGTCGAGTGTTTGAGTGCTCGCCGCTGCAAGATAGGCACAACACTCGGCGAACCTGGTGCCTCGATGGTCGTCGGGCGGATGTTCAACCCTTGAGTGTCAGTCTTGAGACTCAACTGACTTGGCTTGCGCTTCATGCCTGGAATCTTGGGCTTGATGAAGGAGGGCGAGGAAGGTTCTGAGACCAGGGTCGTGGAAAGCGAAGCTGCAAACGGAGGCTGTATCGAGAGACCCTTCATGTTGCGTCGCCTTGGTGAGGGCGATGTCATTGGTCGCTGAAAGTGGTTGTTGGCACTAGGCTCGTTCACAGTAAGTGTGTTCATGGTGGTCGAGAGGCTGCCAAAAGTAGTTCCCGGGTAGTTGTTCAGTGGTATCAGATTGACTGGCGAGTCTGGGGATGAGGACGGTGACGGATCTGACAACGAAGATGTGTCTGTGGTCAGGGTTGTCGTAGGTGACGAGTCAGCAGAGTTATGTGTCGAAGTGCTGTCGTGGTGCCGGTGTAAGGCGTCGGCAGGCATAGCGGAGAGATGCTGCGAAAGCTGCGGTGTCTGGCCTGGGAAAGGCGGCACACCATACGTCGAATCCATCGCCATAAACTTGGAGTCCACCACGGGAATGATTCCGGCCGTGTCGTCGTAGTTTTCTGAGTCGGGGTCTATTATGGACATGAACGAGGGTATTTGGTCCTCATACAGTCGTCGAGCTGCGGCAGACGGCATGTTTTTTCTTCCAAGTATTAAGTCTCCTTGCTCTTTCACCACGGCAAACTCCCACGAAACTTCTTGTTCGTTTGCCTGCTTCCCCTCTCCCAGTCGGATGGCCTCGCGGAACCAGTACTGCGAATGTTTCTTTCAATCAGAGAAGACCACGGCAATTGCAATGGTCTGGAATCGGCGGAGGTAATGGTGGTGTTGTTGGTGGCAGTCAAAGCCAGAAAGGTGGACAGCGCTGCTGAATCCTGTCGTCTCCTCGGGACTGCTATTCCCTCTGCTCGTCCGTCAGGGCTGGGCTGACGGTAGCAAACAAGAGACCGGTCGATGATCCCTCTCTCTTTCGCCTGCACAACTTCTCGCGGGAGTATTACTGGACGTGAGAGACCCGACACACGGCTTGCGCTGCTGGCACAGGCGCACAGTAATACGGATTCGGCTGCGTGTTGATCGGTAACAACGCTCCTGTCGAGGGGTGGGTGTTTGCGACGGTTTGGTGACGTTGATAAAGACCGGGAAAGGAAAGCCAGAGGAGGCGGTAAAAGAGAATGAATGAGTGTGAAGCGGAATGTATGGGTTGAATGGAGAAGGGCGGCGGCGGGTAAGAGTGTCTCGTTTCCAAACAACAACTATCGGACGGCGGCCATTGGGTGTCAGCACATGCTCTTGACTGCAAATCCCATAATAGATACAAGGGAAGAATTGAAATGCTGGCGGGAGGCAGTAGGCAGTGCGGCGGTTGGCGATACAGACGGCCGTCAAGAATGTGTGCGGTGTTGAGGGGAGGGAGAAAGAAGCGGTTGGGTCCCAAGTCCCGACAAAATGACAAGAGACACTGGACAGCCAGAGAGACAAGAGTCGAAGAGAGGCACCTACCTGGGGGGGGGGTTGACAAGGGAATTGGGGGGTGTGGGCGAGGGAGAGTGTGAGGAGGGGGGGGGGTGTGTGGGTGGTCGGATTGTCCAGTCCACTGTGGTGGGAGGACTCTGGAACTGTGGACTGTGGACTGTGGACTGTGGGCGGCGGCGGGCGAGCGCCTGGCGCCTGAGGACAGGTTCGCTCCCCTCTGAATCAATCAATCACGTCCCGCCATTCTCTCCCCCGGCGCTGGGATTTGCTAGGGCCAGACGACAATAGCCGGTACAGCTGGGGTACAGCCTCCGCGGACAATGGCTGTGTCAGGGACCTGCGAGTACCCACAGGAGGCCCAGAGGCCCCGAGGCCGTGAGGCCCTGGCAGTGCGAGCGCCGCGGCGGACGGCAGAGGGTGCACGTAGCAGCAGGCTGGCAGCGTCAGTCATTAGCGAGCAGCGAGCAGCGCCCGCGCGCCCACCCATGGCATCCATGGCATCCATGGACCAGCCATAAGTTCGAGTTCGTCCGCCGTCCGGTCAGCTTGTGAACCATCTGCCCCCCTCAGTTGCTCAGGGCTGCCCGGGTGGATCGAGCAAGCCCCTCCAGTGGCCAGCAACTGCCTAGACGACCGAGACAGGAACCCTGCCGCCGCTGCTGCAACTGCTACCGCGCTGCAGCGCAGAGCGGCGAGCGGGCAGCTGTGTGGGTGGACAGTTGCGCCAGGCTCGCACAGCAACTGGCCCTGCCCGCCTGCCCGCGTGCTTGTGACTGGTCCGTGGCCCCTTGTGGGTTGGTGTTTGCGAAACGAGCGACGGGTATAGTCCTTCTAAGAATAGATCGCCGCCAGCGCGAAGCCCGCCAATCACGGGCCCCTCGCCAAACCCGGTCGTGCAGCTGATAATTTCGAGTCGCCAATCAGCGTCCCGCGCCAATGTAGGATAGCCCGAGCATTCCTTGCAGAATCGCACCGTCGAGGCCGTACTGGAGATTCGCCGCGTTGGCCTCTGGGTCCTCTTTCCGATCGCTAATTTAGCACCACCTGGGCCGCTGGGGTTTGTCGACTAGGAACCTCTGCTAATAGTGGCCGACGTTGCGCTATAGTCGAGCCACCGGCGACGGGCGACGTGGTCAACGTCCAGACCACGACAGACAACAATGGTGAGCGAGCTGCAGAAGGGTCGTGGTTTTATCACGGATCTCAGGCTTCGTCTACGGGGAGTACAGTACGCTCGAGGCACCAACGAGCCCGGTTCTGACATGTGTCGAGAAGGGAAGCCAAAGCCTGGTTCATACTGCACTTCACGTTGGGCTTACACGTGCAGATCTAACTAGGGTAGGTACACTCTCAGGTACTTATGTAGCTGGGTGCTGGGATGTTGGGGCGATATGGAAGAGCATTTTATTGTCAGATTTGCCATCTATGGGGCTTCGAGGTCGCCAATCGGGGCAATCCGTATACAGTCGATCGCCCGGAGATGGAACAGTTGACAATTAGATATACGAACAATCCGAGGTTCATACCATTCGAAATATGTGGGATAGCAAGAGCATCAATTGACTTACGTCAGTTCAGCCTTGCTGTCGCGTCAAAAAATTCCACGTTGTCTGCACGTTTCCACCCGAACCTTGCTGTCATTGTTCATGGAGAGGTCTGTGCTATGGATAGTCTCGATCGCCCTGTTCTCGCATTGTCCACCTCTGCGCTCCCTGGTTGACAGGGCGTTCGTGTTAGCAAAGCTCAGACGAGGACACAATCTAACATGTGTTATGCCATGACCCAGTAACATAACTCTTCAATGCAACGCGAGAAAAGACAGTTTGCTCGATAGTCCCTTAATTCGGCGATGTTACCACAATGGCCGTGCTTGGTAAGACTATAATGTCAGGAACGGTAATAGTGCACCGAGTATCCTCAACCAGCATCCAAGTAAACATGCACTTCGGATCCCTACTTATCGCCGAATGCTCTCCGTCCCTTGTCCTTGGCTCCTTGGATCACCTTCCTAGCATTTGCGCGAAGGACGGACTCCGTCAAATCCAGCAACCAAAGGACTAACTTCGCTGAATCCTTCGCCGCTTGCCGTGACACAGCAACCTCGCATGCGGCCAGAAGAAACGCTATTTTGATGACGATAGCAAAACCCTCCGAAAGGTGGCTGGACAACACAACCCCGGATTTGATACAAACCTACTCCAGCAAGATGGAGTCACGTCGCCCCGTGCTCGCGTTACTCATGTGGAGAATACCCAAACCCAGCAACAACGTGACATCGTTATGTTGAGAGTGTCGTTTTACGTTCAGCGTCTGTCTCATGTTTAGATTAGAGGAGCCGCATCTCTCGCCGACCCTGACCAGGCCCAACGTCAACATTGCACAAGGCTGCCTGCATGCCTCGAGGTACGGAGTAGTAATTTTTGAAACGAAACAACCGCGGTTGGCTCTACGACCACGGCACGGCTTCCAACTTTTGACATCTGGCGACCATGGCCCCTGTGGACGTGATACGTACCACCCGGCTTGTCAGTAGTATGTCAGGGGTCCAAGGCTGGTGAACCAGACTTGTTAGACACGGTGCGTCGTTGTTTAAACCTGACACTGAAACAACGCACCTCTCAAGACATACACGGCGCCGTACAGATTCCGAAAACAGACAGCTCGGCCCTCGAAAACCTTGCTGCCTTGATGCAGGTCAATTGCGTAGCAGTTTGGCAGTGAGCACCGTGGCACCTGGGCATGGGACAAATGTCGACTAGTGGAGATCACGACCTGCAGGCACTAGGCCGAAAGCGGACGTGGTCGCGTCGGTGGCTCCTTCTATTTTGAGTCGCGCTCTTGGCAGGAATCTGAAACAGCCCGTCCCACAATTCCCATGTCCACGGTTGGGCCCCAGGGCCCCTCGATTCACCGCTACCGCTAGCGCCCTGCTAGCGCTCGCTCCTTTCATCCCAACTGCAACAAGACAAGTTCCGCATCACCCAGTTCTTGTCAGCAAATGGTCGTGGTGGTCCGTGGGATGCGGCTCAACTCGACGCGAGCTTGACCACGTAGGTATTGCATGCAGCCTGGCCGAGTTCATGCGCACGCAACTTCTAAAGATATATACACACGTACGTATTGTTTCTTGGCCGGGGCCGTCTTCTCGAGACGTGTACGCCAGAGGATCGTGCTTGTTATTGTTGACGGATGCCGTAGCTCGTACGTAGCCCTTGGGTTCGCATCTCCAATAGTAGCACCTGGTCTCGGGCTATTTCCCCAGACCCGTCTCATCTCGACGACGAAGTCAGCCCCTCGGAGACGGAGGCAGCAAGCTCGACCTTCCGGTGTCTCCCTGCTCATCCTTTGCTGCAAGATGCGAAAGCGATCGTTAATGTCCGACGCTGTGGGGTAGAGTATGCCTCATACTGGTTCACGTGCGCTGCAAGACGACCGCGCATGAAGAGCGCCGTCTCAGCTGAGATGCTCAACTCGAGCATCAATGCACTACGAAAGCCCTCCTCCTCCCTTGAGATATGTTAAGCAGCGCCCTAAGCCGGTGTAAATATCAATTTGCCTTGTAGAATACGTGTTCATCTATCCGCCGGCCGTTCGCTTTGTGTACACTCTCTCCGCATCCCGAAGCGGATTCTTGAAACCATTTGCTCCGCCCATCCCTGTCCAAGATCGAGCTTGGTTGCCTAGCCACATATCCGAAGTAGACCAAGAAAGCTTGGAAAACATTGCAAATGATGCCACAATACCAGACGGGCCAGCGGTTTACTGCAACCCCGTTCGCACCTATTTTCGTTGTCTGCTAGAATGACTCGCCAAGGCTACACGATCTATATATTTAGCATCAAGCACTCCTTCCAAGCTATCATGTCCGGGAAGTTCACCGGCCAGGGGCGATAAATTAACACCAGACAGTTAAAAAAAAAAAAAAAAGAGAGTTTAAGATCTAGCATCGGCAGTAACCTATCCACTTCATAATAATAAAGCCTCTAGCAGGGGGCGACTTACTGCTCGGCCTCCCTGAGATCGGGTAGAGCGCACTAAGAGGCTGCCGGATTCACCTCCGATCGGTTCTTAAGAGTCATGGCCCGCAGCGGATACCGACAGACTGGATCCAGGTTTAAAGAATGACTGATTCGCATTCAAGAAACTGGGTCAAGGCCTTGAATCAGTAGCAGCAGCGTGGCTTCTAAATTCTATATAACGGCATTTCTGTTTACAACCCGGAGGCTCACCTCTTATTCCCGGGCTCCATAGTCTTCCAAGTAGTGGTTCTAATCCACCGGAATCTTCGCACCGGTTTCCAATAATGTGAGAGTGGTGGGTGGAACTGGTCTTCCAAAGCATACCTCATGTACCTAGACCGTTGCTTTGTCCAACGCTTCATCGATGTCCGCGTACGATCATACAATTAAAGTCAGGCACACCACATTACTAGACATATTATGCTTCCAACTATGCGCTGTGAGCTCCAAGGCTACACTAGAATATTATTGAGTGCCCGGACGGCTCAACATCTGTGGCATTACATTGAATAATTTTACTCTTCTAGTCCGTGGCACCTCTTAATGGAGATTTTGCCCAAGCTCTGGCTCCTCTCACACTGCCGCGGATGTCATGGCCTTCTGACTCGCTAAAGTCAGCGAAAATGATCATGTAAGTCGAGCCCAAACACCGCACTTCACGAAACAAGAGGTACCGTTAGCTCAATAACATAACCACATTTTATGACCGGGCTATATTCACTGTGCTTTGGGGCGATCTCCAATATGATACGCTGATGCGGATTTGATCCCCCTTCAGTGCCAGTCGAGTAATTATTGACGTTAGATGGCAAGCAACACCAAGCTGGAAAAGCTCTTGAGGCCATACACGAGGTACCCCGACGAAAGGACGGCACCACCGTGGTCTCGGCCAACCGTCCAGTTTAAAGACCACTCGACGTAATTAATAATCTATAACGCTCGTCTTGGCTCTACCGTGAAACAACCACGAAGCGCATTCCTGATGCGACAATTATACACTAGGAGATACATTGCGGTACAAGACAATGTGTAGATTAACATGTCTCTAGGTGACTTGTGGAAGTCACATGGGGGAGACAACGATGCCAGCGTAGATCACCGTAAGTGGCAAAGGAACTCAGTTGGTTTGACTGCACTTTAGCTGTTATGGATGCAATACCGTGCCTGCAAGACCAGAACTAGATGTTTCTGAGCTAGCTGAGTTTTTAACTAGTTCGTATACACTTAAATCTGTTCATGGCATAGTGCCTGTAACCATGCATGCCATGTCAGGTGGATATCGAGGCTGGTGGCTATGAACTTGAGAGTGACATGTTGCAACCCGGCGTAGACTGACTCCTGGTTCCTTGGACGCAGAAATGTACCGTATGGAGGCAGAAAGCGTGCCGAGATGGAGATGGAATTGGGGGACAAGACCGGCTCTCTCGCGTGTCGAAAATACGTGATGATCTCGTGAACTCGATCGGCAAGGAACGAATTGCATTGCGTGTAGACTTTAGTCAATTGAGATCGATGCAGCCACCGTATGGTAGCCACAGAGGTACACTTACGATATCTGGCAAGATGTTCTTGAAACTGCCGAAGATGCCATCGCAACATGAGTCTATGCGTTGTTCCGCTGGGAGCTGTTGTCCCTCTCAATGTGGCAGTAAAGCCCTTTTGATTGCACTGTTCGACCTTGAGTGACAGTGCATTATGGATATAGAGTGCTAAAAGCGTACCAAAGGGAGATGTGTAAGAAATTACATTCGGGCACGCAACTCTATTTCTACGTAAGTTGGATTACGTTGTAGATATTTGACGTTCTATGACTTGTGCACAAGGGCTCGGTCTCCCAACCCAGTGTCTGCTACGAAGTTCTTTCGCTGCAGACATAGTGAATGAACTCAATGAAAGCTCCTCTTGCATCAGTATTGATATAGTGATTACTTGTATTTTCCACGACGAAAGTAATGTCGGCCGTTCTAGTATAGTATAGCATTTGCGATCAAGGCCCAATCGTATATAATTCCGACTAACACAGAGAGCGATGTTTCGACTCTCCACTGGATCCCTACAACCCCGCTAGCACACGGGTTCGGACGGAGTATTGATGGTACGTTGCGGCTCTCGCTGATGAGCAGACTCCTTCCAGTTCTTTTAACTTTCATGATACGCTTCTAATATTACCCTTTCCGAACCGCATGACAAGGATTAGACCAGGGCCCGAACGACCGAAGACGACATCCGGAGCTGCGGGATGTCCCATCGTTCCATTCCCAAAGATTACGTGGACGCGGGAAGTGATGATGCATGACAACCAAGAAACTTCTGAAGTGGGCGCGACGACATTTCAGCAGCCCTAGGACATCGGGAATTACTCTCGACCTGCCTGCATGGCACTACCTCGTGTCGCCGAGATCAGGAAGTCAGGGGCTTCGCAAGGTGCAAGGCGCGATACAGCAGCGTCCTTACGTCGACTGGACGTATCCACTTGGTGATGTCTCCCTTATTGAAATCTGCATTGCCCCTGATGACCTGCAGAAGCGATCTGGCTATCACCTTGGGGTTGCGGGCGGGTGCCAATTGGTGATTGGCAGTGCGATTGTGCGCCAGTAGCTGCAGGCATGCAGCTAAACAGCCACAAGCGAGATCAACCTTTCGATACTTGTTCGGCCGGTCGCACCATGTATGCACTGCAAGCTCGAGTCTGCAGCTAATGGCTGCTAAAAATCTGTGATGCCCGGCGTAGGGTCCAAGACCATGTCTCGGATACTAAAGAAAATCTTCCTTTTCTTTGTCTTCCATGCCGAGTTTCGAACGGCATTCTATCCGCTCAGAAATCACATTTGTGGCCGTGCGGGTGCTCTACAAGCAAGGGCAATACTAGCAATAAGACAAGCCGATCCTGGTCGCGAGCTGGATGCCCCGTAACGAGCACAGCTTACAATGGTCCCACAGATGGTAGAATGCGGAATGGATGGCGCTGGGCCTAGATACTGGAATTGCTCTATTCCTGTTGTGTGCAAGTCGCTGTACAGGAAGAGCCTCCTTCAGGACTCCCAAGGCTTGTCAAAGCGTGCCTTCGCTTGAACCCAGCCTCCCGAGAACAGCGGCTACCGTTTAACTAGCGTCTCCGATGGGCTCTTGAGATGTCCAATGGCATTATACCCGGCCTCACTTTGTGGTTTGGGCTTTTCGTCTCCTCACCTTCCATCCCAACTTGAAGACCATGTCATGTTAGTTATGAGGGAGATCGGACCATGATGTTATAATCAGTCTCTGCAGAACCTACTGTAGACCACCACACAGTCCGATGGTTCACCGCTATCTTTGGGTTCTCGAGAGGTATCCTCATTCAGTTAAGCTCAAGCCAGGTCAAGCTATCCCATAGGCTAGCCAGCCTGGAATATTGTCCGAACGACGGACGAGCGAGGTCCACGTCGGCTGCGTAGCGTCGCTCGCGGGCCCGGTGTATCCCCACGCGCTTTGCCCATGTGGTGGTGGTTGGCATTGGGGAGACGGGCTGGGTGATGTGCACCGACCGACCGACTGACTGACTGATTGATCCGGCGTGTGGATGGTTGGCTGCTCTCAGCAGAGTTATAAATGAAATCACTCTTCGCGTGGAGGTGCATCTGCGGCCGTGGAAAACGTGCCTCATCACTGCAGGAATACCCCGTACATGTCACTTTCAACTTACATGATCCCCTGTCGAACTCGCCCGTCACCACCCAATCCCCCCAGCCATCTGCAAATGAACCGGTGGCCGTAAGTGAAGTGCTAGCTAGCTAGTTGGAACCCGCCCTTGACCAGGCCCAGGAAGGAGACGAGAGACCGTTGACCTTGACCAACACGGTGATAGTGGATTTCCCAGGCCCCTCGCCCCGTCCACCAGCGGTGTCGTGACCTACCAGTAGCCAGCTACCCATGCATCCCAGCCCGACTCGCAGGACTCGAAGGAAGCAGAACAACTCGACACTTTCCCCTTGGAGTATTTGCACTCTTTCCAATTTATTTGGTTGTTGAGCGCTGATTCGGACAGACTAGCCTCTGCACCTTTTGTGACGGGCAACCGATTTGAAATTCCCAGCTCGTCTGATCTGCTCCCGCAGCGAGGTTCATGCTCCCATCATCGACCTGACCTGGCCTGGAGCTTCGCACGAACGCCGGACGCCGAGGCCGAAACTTGCACATGGATGTTGCTGGGAACAAACCCAACTCAGACCGACGGCAAAGCAGAAAAGAATCTCCCCAAAACTCCACTGACAAGAGCGGAACAAGGAGAATCGCAGGGCGAAAGAAGCGCGGAAGAGCAGGCCATCCAAAAGTTTTGAAGTGGTGGGCACAGCTTCCGGGGGGGCCCATTGGCATTGACGGCCGTCGTTTGACTGGAAACACAAGCGACCTTGACCATGGCGGAAACACCTAATAACCATGTCACAACGACGCAGGACACAGGCCTGCGCTTCGACTTTACACCCTCCTCGACCAACTACCACAACCATCGCCAAAGTCACAATCCCTCCAAGTTGCCGACCTTTCGCTTCGCTGATTTGAGAAAGGAGAAGCTGGCGCTCCCGCCGCTGCTTACCCCGGACCAGACCCAGAGCCTGAACCTGAACCTGAACCTGAACCTGAACCAGAGCCAGGACCAGAACCACCCGGTCCCACCGTCATTTGTCTCACCTGGCACGGATCCATCAGCAGAAGCACTCGACGCGACACAGAAGCAATCCACACCGACGACAGCGCCTCATAACAACCGCGTTCGTGTCTCACCTGAGCTGTCTTCAGCTGCCATTGATGCCGAACCCCCCAACAGCGCTGCCGACGCGTCGCCAGAACCAAGCCCTGACAGGTCTCGGGCATTGACATTTCAGACTTCATCCAAGACAACCACGTCCGCAACGCATCCCGGCAACCCTAAGCGATCCACTTCCCTGGACTCGACCCTGGCGCTCGCGATCGCACGAAATCCAGCAGCTTCAGAGTCCACAACCACCATAGTGCCGGCGCGGTCGCAGCAGAGACGCGCGCCCTCCTACAGCGAGTCGACGTCTGCCACCAAGGACGAGCGGCAATCGCACGACAGCCTGGCCGCAACACCCGTAGACGACGTCACCAAGGAGTGGGCACAGGGCCAGCGGGAACTACTTTTGCCCAAGTCTATTCAGAGGACGGACTCAAATGAGAAGAGAAGCTCGGTAGCGAGACGCCCGCCCATATCCTTCCGGCCGCCCGCCGCCCCGTCCACCTCTTCAGGCGTCACAGCTTCTATTCCTCCGATCCGGTCTTTCAGATCCTCGGGCGACAGAAAGTCTCTGGGTCTCGACATGAACCTGCGATCACCAACTAATTACGACGACCGGTTCGGTGACCCCAACCACCGCGACCGTACGTTAAGAGCCTTGGAAGGCAGGCAAGACGACGAGCCCTCCCGATTTACGCCGCCTGACTCTGCCGTGGATCGTCTAGACGACGACAGCGGAGATATATTTCTCAGGATGGCACGCGAAGAGCCTGAACCACCATCTGCAGTGGTAAGTAATCGTCAAACCTCCTATTTCTCCCCTCCGCGCGATGCGGTTCGGAATGCTTTTGATGCTGAGCATCTCGAGCGCCTGTTGCCAAGGCCGACAAATTCGTGTGACGAAGACATCTTGAAAGAATTGATCACTCTATTAAGTGTGCATCTGCTAACGCTGAACAGTCGCGGATCGTCAGATCCAACCATCGTCGACCACTCTCCTCCGTTATCCCTTCCTACCAACCCATGTCCCCGCCCCAGGTATCGCGCCGGTTGTCTGACCAGGCAACAGTCAAGTCTAGAACTGCAGGAGATGATCAGTCTAGTGAAAGGTTGGCACGTCCCTTCACATTTCGGGGTGCTACCGGGGACAAGGCTACGGAGGATACGAAACCCAGAGCCTTCGGCTTGAGAGCGTCACCATTAACACCTAGGTCCCTGACTTTTCAAGATGGTACACCGGAGTCAAGTTCTGCCTATAGCCGTAGGAGGCAGTCCATTACAGATGGCGGGTCTGCACTCCCATCCCGAATGTCGTCCATGAAGCAACCCGCCGGGTCTGCGTACAACCAAGGACGCTTGTATAATTCATCCCCCCTGGTTCCCAAGTCAACGGACCCTCCAAAGCCCGATAACCATCAGGGTGACCATCACACGGAGTCTTCGGCCTCGACAGCGGCGCCATCGACAGTGTGGGACGAGCTGGAGGATCTGAAATCACGGATGCGTCGACTTGAGCTTACGGGCAAGCTACCTCCTACGTCAGGCGCAGCGATATCTCACGCCACAGACGAACGACCCCCAACCGCCACGACAAATGCGACAACCATGTCCGCCTCCCCTAAGCGCGGTTCTGGGAGCAATGCGCCGCAAGCTGATGCAGCCAGCACCGTATCCTCTGTAACCCAAAAGGAAGGCCAACCTCTACTCCGCTCGGCCATAACCAAGTCCAGACCGTTCCTAGCCCCTGACGTGTATAGCGCTTTGGAGTCCGCAGCCAATGATGCTATGAATTTGTCGACCATGATTGGTACCATTGGGCAACCCGGCCCGGTATCTAGTGCAGCGAGCAACGTTGGCGGCTCGGCCGTCACTGATCGACAGCTCAGGCGAAAAGCCGAAAGCATCTGCCGCAACTTGACGGAGCTGTGCCTGGCTCTCAGCGAGAACGCTGCTCAAATCAAACCGCAAGAGAGCAGAGCTCCTGCGCCCAAGGAAGAACCCACCAGCCCTACGATCACAAGGTTCTCTGGTATCGCTGCGCAACGCCGCCCGAGCGCCGCACTCGTCGATCGAAGTCCGGCATCTGCTGCAGTTAGTCCCCGAGCAATGACCCGACTCGAGGAGAGGCGCAATAGCATGCTTCTTTCTAGCGCGCTTCCGAGCCCTAGCACTCGCTTGACTTATCAAATGCCGCCCACTCCGACCGAGGGGACAGGTCGTCGGACGTCACTCCTAATCCCTCGGACGCGGAGAGCCGGGACCGAGGATCCAGAGGAACAAGCTGGACGGAAGTCGTCTCTGCTGCTCAGAACACGCCGGGCTGGTACGGAGGAACCAGAGGAGGCACCGGGCCGCAGATCCTCGGCCCTATTGCGCACCCGCAGGGGAACTGTGGATCAAGAGGACGAAGACTCAACTTTCCGCTTCAGAGCGCCTTCTCGCGCTGTAACCGAGCTTACCAGCCCCAGGGTCCCAGTTGCGCGCGATTTCAGGCCCGAAGTTGCTTTGCCGTCTATTGAGACCACGTCCATGGGTTCGTCAGCTCTGCCGAGGCGACGGCAGACAACCTCAACCCAAAATACACGCCTCGTACAGCCGTCTGCTCCGAGCAGTCTCACAGCACGACGGTATATCGAGAGAACAACACCAGATCGAGAGTCCAACACCAACAATGTTGCCCAGAAATTGGCAGAAGACCGCGGCCAGCGGCAGTTCACCCTGTCGAATAACAGCATGCTGAGCCGCTCGGACAGTCTGAGCAAGCGAACGAATCGCGACAGCACGTTGACGAATAGCTCCATGATGGCGCAGACGGGGAGCTACCGATAACGATTATCACGACATCTTACGGCCATGTTCTTGTACTTGATAGACTGCTTTCAGCGCACTTTCGACAAGGTCGATGTTTATGCATGAGAAGGAGTTGTGCTTGTCGATTTCTCGGAGTTTTGTATTACTCCCTTTCCACCTCAAATACCCTCGCACTTGCGAATCCCCGTATATATTTCTTACCTTTTTCATGGAGTACCAGCGTCGACAATCATCGTCACTTTGTATATTATTCGGAACGGGTGCATACGAAATCTGACATTTGAAGGAGCGTGGAATATCGCGAGGCAGCCAGACACCCTTCATGAGTTACAAGGGGGCTAGGAATATCAAGTACAGCACTGAAGAAGAAAATGAGAAGATGCATCTGCACTCACATGCGGAGAGGGACTTCTCAGCCTCAAATGGATACTGGACCCGGCATTTTCTGTCATGCTTCATCGCGGACTCTCTGCTGATGGCGGCACAAGTGTTGAGGTATGAACTGTACTGTGATTACAAGTCTGGGCGATAGGCAGTAATGTATAACTACTTAGCTTGGGTGTATACATCGAGAACCTTTCATTTTATGTGTTGGTGCTTATCTTTCATATCGCCACTGTAGCTTGATGCGCAGTTTTAAATAGTGCTATATGATGCAGTGTGATACAGAATGATTCCATGAATGTCTAGGTACTGTGTTATGAATGAGTCGAGTGAATGAATGAGTCAGGCCGGCTGGGGGCAGTCTGGTCTGCGTTTGCGCCTTCCACCCACAATTGAAGCGGATACGTGCGGCGCACTAGTTCAGCATTTTTGTACCAACGCTCACTTGGGCATCTCAAACGGCCAACCTCAAAAGTCACCTAGCCCAGGGAGCCAACATTCACAAGTTACCAAATCCCCATTCGATTTGGGATCTAGGTCTTCACAGGGATTTCTTGTACCACCCTAGTCCTAAGTTCCACACATTCACGACCAAACAGCTGGCCTCGCTGCCGCTTTTGACCATTCGTCCCCTCATCAGACCAGCTGTTTGCACCTCGGTGTACAGGGCGATTTCCCCGTCTCGGTCATATTCTCAACGTCCGCTTCAGACTATCAGTTCCGTAATTCATCGTGCGTGCGCCAAGATGGCTGACGGGGCGTACGAGGATACAGCTGAGCGCCTGGAGTCCCTCGCCCTCAAGGGCAAGGGCCGCGGTGGCGGTGGTGGTGCCGCGGGCAAACGGGGTGGTGGAGGTGGCCGTGGCGGAGGCGAGCAGAACAGAGAGATGATCATCAGCAAGGCGCTGTCGAAGCTGTTGCGGCACCAGGCCGCGGACGCTGGGGTCGAGCTGGACGCAGAGGGTTTCGCCGGCTTGGACAAGGTGGTCAGTTGTCCAGTCTACTATGACGAGAATATGATCACATTACTAACACATTGCAGCTTCAATGGCAACGCATCCGCTCACTCAAGCCAACATTCGCGGAGATCAAGGCTGCGGTAACAGATAACGCCAAGCAGCGCTTCAGCATGAAGCCCGCCCCAGGCTCAGATGACCCCGAGTCTACCAACCCAGCGGATTGGCTCATCCGTGCCAACCAGGGCCACAGCATCAAGCTGGAGAGCGAGGGCTTGCACACACCTATCACCCTTGACAACATCCCAGAGGTCGTCGTTCACGGTACCTACTTCGCCTTCTGGCCCCAGATCGTCGAGAGCGGTGGGCTGAAGAAGATGACCCGTACGCACGTTCATTTTGGCACTGGAATTCCTGAAGACAGGCAAGAAATTTCCAAGGACGCCAAGGAATCACAAGTTCATGACGCCGGCGATGAGGCGGCCGCCGATGCTGCCAAGGAGCAAGGCCAGCCCAAGGTTATCAGCGGCATGAGAAACGATGCCGAGCTGTTGGTCTTCGTTGATGTGGCAAAGAGCATCAACGATGGCGAGATGAAATGGTGGTTGAGCTCGAATGGCGTGGTCTTGACCGAGGGCAACGCCGATGGTGTCGTACCCCTGAAGTACTTTAAGGAGGTTCGGGGGCGCAGGCAAGGCGTTGGCGAGCTGTGGAAGGATGGCGAGAAGGTTGCCGACCTGCCGCCAAGTGTTGTCGCGAAGGTGCCGCAAGGGAAGAGAGCACAGGGCGGCGCAGGTCGTGGCCGAGGGGGCAAGAAGACTGGAGGGAAAACTGCAGCGTAACGAAACTACCATTAATAGACAACGGCATCGTTCTAGGCCAACTACCTGCAAGGTTGTCCTTTGAGACTTGATAGTCGTTCGTGAGCTCTTCTCAAGAGACACCAAACGCGATATAACCTCGACCGCGCATGTGAGCATGAAAAACCTATAGAAATCGACTCGATGGTGACGCTCAGAGCCTAATGTGACTCGAGAGATGGTACACGGACTTCTTCTTAGATCTACTTTACATTCGTATGGTTGAGCCAGGTAAAATTTCATTCATCTCAACCAGGGGTCTAGCCGTGCAATAACAGTGTCCAAGTACCATGCAAAGATTGCACTATCACTGAATATTTCTCCGTAGTTTTGCACCAGTAGTTGCTGCCTAGGCTAGTAGTGTTCAGTTGAGGTCATGATCCTACTTGCAAGATCGATGCTACCAATGAAATCAGGCTGTCAGATCAAGTTACACCTTGATCTTGGTAAACGCTCCCACTCGCTGCCCTCGAGTCCAAAGAAAATGCCAATTCTTTCGAAGCAGTTGCCGCTATTAACAGGTCTAAGAGCAAGAGCCATGTATTTTAAATCAGAACGCCGTAGTACTACAAAAATGGCAATGGCATCTCCTACACCGACATTGTCTCCACTTCGGGACTGGACCAGATTGTAGTCTTCGGTGAAGTCTAATTTGCGCTGGCCTATCCATACGCTGTCATATCCAGCAAAGGTCCCGAAGGCCATGGGCGCTGCTAATGTAAGCAAGGCTCTCCGCGGTTGACTGTAAGTATCACCACCAGCCACACGCTCGAAATTGAAATGAATCAATCCTACAAGACTCAACGAGTCTGACCGGTTATAGAAATCGACCTCGTTAGATATCGAAGACCACGACCACGTAGGCCCAGAGCGCGGGTTCGGCCGTAATTTGGGTTGCCCGTATCTGTACCATAGTAAATCACGAGAGATCGATTCCCGCCACAGGCCAGCTAGGTATGTCTTCCCATGACGCGCTGCATATCCCCTTGCAATCCCTGCTATGCCGGGCAGGCGGTCGGTCAGGAAGGAGAGCTGCATGCCGCTGTATTCACTTACCAGTTCCCGCCATTCACGTGTAAATATGCTACGAGTCGCACCTCCGTGCATTTGATGTCGATCGTAGCCGCATTGGCACCGACAATCCTCTATGCACTCCCACAGGATCTCATTGTCAGTGAAGTGAAGGAGTCGACTCGACAGAGCTCGTTCCTGAAACGTCCAACCCCGACGTAATAGGGGGTTTCCAAGATGCCCAAAATCGAGGTTATTGGAGACCGGGTCTTGAACCGGATGGTAATTCTCTCTAGCGGCGTTCGGCCGGGGGTTGCTGAAGAGATCATCCCCAAGTTTGCCTCGATTTCCCATGATTGTGAGATACGCGTTCTCGTAGACCGCAGTCATCGTTGCTGCTTCGGTGTTCCAATCTTCCTGGTCATCCTGGACGATGCATAAGCAGTCAATCCAAATATACCGCAGGCCAAGCCAACCAGTCACGAGGATGAACTGCTGGAGGAGTGGGTACAACACATGCCACGGCCTCTGTTTTCTCTGTACTCTGCCTCGTTGTGTCTCTCGAGAGACACAAACTTTGTCAAGGTTCTCCATCGATGGCTGAGGGCTGCGTATCTACCCTGCATGTGCCTGCTATCGATCAGTCGCACGGTGCCGGAGTTGGAGTCGATGATCTCGAGGACGCGATTCGGAAGAGGTCGATCATCCCCTCCACCGCAATGGGGGTGGTTTTCCAAGCAATCTGACAGCCAGCTCTGGATTTTGGTCATCGATTCAGCACTGCCCGTGCCCTGAGAAGCATGTGTGAGCTGGCGTCCATACACCAGGTGACCTCAAGAGGTTGAGCATAGGAGAGTTTACCTGCCCGCTGGCTGCCTAGAGGGGGGGGATATAAAAGAAACAATAGTCTACATATGAGGCTCAGTCTCATTGGTGAATTAGGTCGCGCGCGCATGAGCCAGACGCCCGACGCTGCAGAGAATCTTTACTGGCCTGTGAAACTCGCGAAGCCTTAAGAGTCAGCGTCTGATGGAATGAACAAGTCCAGCAAAGACGGGATCGATCTCTTCAACCTGCTGGCTCCGCTTCAGCATAGATACAAAACACAAGCGGGTCAACATTCACATCCCACTTGGGTTCAAGGGGTTACTGAGGATGCATACAACTCCTGCGGAAACTGTTGGCTTCAAGTTGCACCACCCATGCCGAGTTATGGGAAAGACAAAGTGTTGGGGAATCTAATTTACTGAGCTGGTCGTCTTGAATCATACTCAGCTGGTGGCCGTCTATGCGTTCACCGTTCGGGACACTCATTCTGCTAACAGCAATTTGGATTGAGTGGACACAAGACTTTCACAAAGGTTCTTTGCGAGAAACCAGCGTTGTATATACCTAGCTTGAGGTTGTCGTTTAGTACGCTCAACTTCAGTAAGATATCGTCTGAAAACCTTGATAATTGGTAATGTCGTAGCACCATCCCGGACTCCATGAACGTAAGCGTCTCGTTGAGACACAAAACAGCTTTCTCTATGGCTGATCCCTGGATTTGTCCCTCCTGAACGCCGAAGCAATGCAACATATCTCATCCAAATGCAAATCAATACCGTACAAGTGCCAGTTGAAAAGTTGATACAACGCGCTACACAACGCGCCCCGCCATTCGTGCTTTGCGCGCGTCTTCCTCCCTCTTGGCCTCGACCCTGGCCAGGAAGTCCTGGCGGTGGGCGAAGGACTGCTTCGACTTCCCGGCCAGCTCGAGCTCGTCCTTGATCCCCTCCTTGTCGACGAAGCCGGCCCAGTCCATGCGGCTCTTCTCGACGACGTTGAGCTTCTTGGCCTTGGCCTGCTCGCGCATCTGTAGCCGGACCGCCATGCCCAGGTTCAGGTCCGAACGCTGGGACAGGCCCAGGTCCGAGACGGGCTCGAAGATGGAACGAAAGGCCTTGCGCGGCTTGCGCTTCGTGGGCTCGTCGTCTTCGGCATCGAGCGCGAGCGCGTCCTCGGCGTTCTCGCCGAGCGATGCCAGATAGACCTTGGCTTCCGCCGAGTCTCGCGGTACGATCTTCTCCTCCGTGTGCACCTTCCCGGCGAAGTTGTAAGTCCGCTTTATCTTGATCATATCTGAAGGCTCCTTCTCAGCCTGCTTCTCGGGCCGCGGTGCTTCTGCATCCTTGTTGTGATCCTCCAGGCCGCCCGGCGCCGCTGGCTGGCTGGCTGCTGGGTTCTCTGGATCCTCTTTGGATGGCACGACCGGACCTGCCATCATCTTCGCCCAGAGATCGTCGACATCGACAGTCACAGGCCCAGTGACGGCAGCCACTTTGCGTTCGGCCTTCTCGTTCGCCCGCATGCTTCTCGTCTTGACGAGGCCGCCCTCACCGCCGTCGTCATCGTCATCGCCAGCGCCATCTTTCCGCTTCTCCTTCTTCCTTTGGCGCTTCTTGCCTTTTGTGATGATTGCCTCGTCTCCCGAGTTGTCGTAGCCGTCGTCGTTGTCGGCAGTGTCGCCCGCGGCGCGTTTCCGCTTGGCAGCCGCGCCGGGGGCGGGGGCGCTATCGTCCTCGGATTCTGAGGCTTCTGACGCATCGTTCGCGACCGCAGCATCTGGCGCAAAGTCCGAGTCCTCTTCCGAGGCGTACTCGTCGTCTATGAGCGGATCTGCAGACATGGTGCGTGGTCTCGGTGATGGGTGGAATTTGTAGAACGTACGGTTGCGCACTCTAGCGTTCGAGCTCTAAATTTTGGGGCGCATCTGCACTAAAACGTGCAGGGGTTGGCTCACTCAATCAGCAGCTGCCTGCCTTGTCGCTAAGTCGTCCCAGCAGGCTTGATATACTTTTATGCCCCTTGGTAAAATCATCAGACAATCCTTAAGATATGCGCATTGGAATCTCGTTTGATGTTCTCGCATATCAATCATAGAAAACAGACAAGAGTCGCGGTGATGGAATTGTTAACTACAATTTTTGAGATATCATGCGCTCAGGTAATTATACACTGCTATACTATAGTTTTTGTATGTCTGCATTCGCCATGAAGCACAACACTTTTATACTCCCCAGTATCCCCGGACCAAGAAGGCAGCATAGCCGGCCAATCCCAACATGGTGCCGATGGTGCCGAAGTATCCGATAGGCCGTCCCAAGCCCATACCCTCGGGCTTCACGATGCCTAGCTCAGTGTGAAGAATGCGGAATGCCAGCAGCGCGCTCAAGGCACTGGTCAAGATCTTGCGGTTTCCGCCGTTGAGCTCGGCGACGGCAGCCAGAGCAAAGGCAAGAGGCACGTTCTCGGCAAAGTTGGCGTGAGCGCGGCTGGACAGGTATAGCTTGTTGGTCTTCTGCGACGATGCGTCGGCGACCTTTGCCGAGTTGTCGCCGAGGTAGTGCTCGTCGTTGACACGGTGGCGCACGACGCGCAGGCTCAGCCAAGAGAAGTAGGCTGTGAAGGGGACAGCGAAGGTTCCTGTGACGGCTGGAGAGCAGAGAGCTGTCAGCGGACGGAAGAGCGATGGCAGCAGTTCAGTGATCTAGAGCGACTTACGCAGCAGGGGTGCCAAGACCGGGTAGTTGAGTCCGATGGTAGACGACATCGTGATTGATGGATGCGACACGATAGTTAGGACGTATGGGTAGATGGATTGTTGAGGGAATTGCTAAGGAGGAAGCGCAAACAGTTGATCGTTGCAGGCGATGTTCCATTCTTTAAGCCGCCCACACACCCCTGTGGGGGAACGGCGTAAGCTCCGAATTTACATCATCAGCCTTCATTAGCTTGGGCTATCTGTAGATGATCATACATGCTCACCCGGCCCTCTGGGATTGGTTAATGGAGGAGCCCAAGGCGTAGAACCATCCCACCTGTCACGGAAAGGCGCGATCTGCGAGGTGATAGCTCCCAGGACATGTCAACTTAAGTGTTAAGCATGTTACACTGCACGTCAGAGGTGGCCCGGCGGTCAGGCACAGATAGCTCCATTGGCTGCTCAACAGTATACTGACATCGTGGTAGTTCACAGGACACCAAGTAAACAATCGGGAGACTGTCAAGACAACATCTCACTCTCACGAACAACTCCATTGCGTGTTGGTTTTACTGCCGTCGTTCCATTGCACCTAAGCACCCATTCCGTCCTGTGCTTCGGAGCTGTCCCCTCATGTAAGACCTTCCCCAGACTCGTGACGTCATAGCGTCTACGTCATGACCACAACACCCAACCGAGCAAGTGCAATAAAGACACAGAGCGGGCGAGATAAACCAGGTAGTTATACTGTTGAATGTGTTCCACTATTGTAAAGATTCAAGTAAATCACAAGCCACTGTCTATTATACTATTAAGCTAACCCCAGGCCATCAACTCAACATGTCTCAGAACAGCAACACCCAGCAGCCCAGTCTAGTTGGCGGCCACGCCGAGTATGTCAAGGGCGCTGCACAGGTACGTGAATGCTGGACCGCCTCGCAAGATCAAACACTTACCACAGACATTCAGGCGACCATTGGAGACTTGACCGGATCACATGCTTGGAAAAGTTCGGGCGAGCAGGCAAAGGCCCACGGTGCCGACGTTATGAAAGCAGCCAGTGAGACTCGCGACCCGGCAACACAGGGATTCGGCAAGGTGGAGGAAGTCGCTGGCAAGGTCACAGGCTGCGAAGGCATGGTGAAAGAGGGTACTGCCAGCAAGAAGCCCGAGTAGAACCTCGACGTCGTATGGTATCTGATTCTCGACAAGGCATTTGGGAGAAATGGGATGGCAGGGAGGGAAATGATTTGATAGGGTATTGGCAGATCTCCATTGTCAACAACGATATTGGATCGTTTGTCTTGCACCGTGCCATCGCAGCCCGGGTAACTCAACGCAGGGCTCCTGATTGAACCTGTAATTTGGCAGGTGTGCATGCCGTATATTGGTGCACTGCAGCGTCTAGTGTCTTGAGCGAATCAGTGACAGTGCCTTTACTCCGCGCGTGTGGCAGAACGACAAGCCCCCCTTGCTCGCGTCTCCGGGGCGCACGTTCAGTTCCTGTATGTCACACCCTCAACAATAGCCCTGGAGACGAGAGGAAAATTGTCAAATCATACCACGTGGGCAGGATGGTGACTTGAAACGTAAAAGCAATGCACACTCCTGAAAATCGCACCACCACGCTGGTTGCTACCCTTGTAACCGAAGCCAGCTGCCAGTAGGCGGACTCCCGCAAACTCAAAGTGCCTCTTCCATCTGATCTACAGTACGAGTGACGCCAGTATGTACATACGTGCAATAAGTAACCTGGATTTATATGAGCCGTGATCGCCATGCTACATAAAGCCCGATGGCTCTGAGAAGCACTGCATTCTTGAATATCGCCGACGACACTACCGTATGTGAAGCTGGGGCACCATAGATACCTAGGTAGTCTATGCGCAGCCATGACGTCAAGGCCTAGACGTACCCTGCAACGAAATCAGGAGGGAGGTCTGGTCGCATGGCAGCCGATCGACGGCGTCGAGCAGACAAAAGCCCATCGGCAAGTGAAATAGGCGTGCTACCGTGACGAGGAAACCCTAATAACAGCGGCGCAGGGATGGGGCACGCAGGCAGAGGCCCGGAGCGCAGCCATCAGCGCCACTGATTGGCACGGGCGTGGACCCCGAACCCCTCCTGGAGACCCTGAAAATTCGCGGAAGCACCAAGGGTCCAACTGCGAATCAGGGGACCTGCAAGAGCGTCCGCAACCTTGGAAGGCTGGCCCTGGAGTCCCTGGACCTGTCAGCTTTCCCACAAACAGTCCGCGTCTAGGCCCCTCCCCCCTACCTGGGCAGAAACCTGGCCTCGAACTAAGATTTCCCATCTTGTGTCGTTGGGAAACGCCATTCTCGCACCCTTTTCCCGATCCCGCGTGGTCGAGGACGTCTGCCCGCCGCAGATTTTTGTCGCATTTTCAGCGGCGCTTCCGAGGGCCCCACGGTCGAGTTCCCACCACCACAAGGCTCAAGCGACCTCGTGCCCCTCTTCGCGTCTCCCAGTACTGAGCAACGACGCAAGAGTCTGCAGGCTCGACTATCCGTTGGACACATTTCCCGGAAACGTCACCTTGACCATTTGCAGCCATTGCCGTTCTCACTGGAGGATTGATCTACGCCCATCGGAGGTCCCTCTCTCTCCCTCTCCCTCTCTCTCTCTCTCGCTCCGTGTACCTTCTTTCCTACTCCAATACCATTCCTCCCTTGGGCCTAGCGTACGACGCGGGGAGATAACCGCATTCCCATCCTTGCGACTTCCAAGACGAACTGGGATGAGCACAAGATCGTCGTTCGGCTGGCGGCTCGACTGTTGACTGTTGAATCTCCCACGAGCTCACTGTCATACGATGGACGACTCGTCACAGGAGGATGCGTCTCGCGTTGAGGCTCTCCTGTCGGCGCGACAGCAGCTGACGGACCAGCTCAGCCAGAGTCCCTACGATTTCATTGTCTACCTCAACCGAGCTATTGTACATGCCGACCTGGGTTACCCTGATCTCGCTGCCGGGGATGCGTACCGAGCCTTGCTACTTACCGATGAAGTCCGTGACGAGAGCTTCGAGTATCACGAACAGGCGCTGGAAGCCCTGCAGAGGTACCGCGATGCGCCCTTCCCGGCTGCTCTTGACCATGGCCTTTTGAGCCAGATGGTTGGCAGCGAAACTGTCCTGGACGCAAACATTCTCGCCCTCATAGGTTCCGTCCGCTCCTACCAGGTCCTCAGCCTGGGTCTGCTTCTGGTCGGCTGCTTGAAGAGCGCGTATACCTTCTGCGCACGTGGGCTTGCGTTGGCCCCAGAAAATCAGGAGCTTCTTAATGTCCGTGGCTATATTCAAACTGTCGCTCAGCGCCGAGCGCCGCAGAGTCTCAATGATCCGAGCCGGCTTCCGGAGTGGGGTATGGTTCGGCGTGAGGTCTATCCATGGAACACCCACGAGCCAGACCGATTCGCGCAGGAGTCGCTCGATTTCCTGAACAAAGAGTTGTCAACAATGGCTCCAAAGTGTGCGGTCCAAGTGGCCACCTTGCCGATACTGCTCGAATCGGCCAGCGATACAGATGGCTACGAGATCATCCCAACCTGCAAACAACTTGGTGTCTTTGCGAAGGAGGACATTGCAGCTGGAGAGACTGTGCTCGAGGAGTACTCACTTGTCACTGCCAACAATCGCCTGAAGGAATCAGTTTGCGATGCATGCAGTGAGGAGCTTCCACCCCTAGGCAGCGAATCACAGGCGATTAATTGCCCCGAGTGCTACGACACCGTATTCTGCAGCCAATACTGTTTTGATAAGGCGCAAAACCTCTACCATCCTGCCGTTTGCGAGAAGGACGTTGACTCCATAGCCAAGGATACCGAGGCCAAAGACGCGGATGAGGCTCTTCACCTGCTCCTGCTAGCCCGAATTCTCGCCATGGCGGCACACCAGGAGATACATCCTTTGGATGTGAGTCAAATCAAGTACATATGGGGGGACTTTGTATCTTCCAAGGAGAACGAGATCGACTTGTCGCCCAACGCCGGACCACCGCCAGAATGGACCTTGCCATTCTCTTTCCAGTTCAACATCGAAACCCCTCTCCACATTCTAGAGAAGATGGACATTGATATATTTGCCAATGCGGAGCAATACGACCTGTGGGTTTTAAATACACTTTACAGCAAGTTTAGAGGCACAGCTTCGGCTCGAAAGAACCCCCGCGACGGAAGACCCGATGTAGCTGCTGTGCACCCCTTCTGGTGCTTGGCGAACCATGATTGTGATCCCAATGTCACTTGGGAATGGGCGGGGCGCATGATCCTTACTGCACGGGAGAAACGGGTCGTTGGCGACAAGCCCGGCGGGATTAAGAAAGGAGAGGAAATTTTAAATCACTATTGCGACGTAACCTTGCCGGTCCACGAGCGAAGAGAATGGGCTCGTGGGAGCTTAGGCGGATGGTGTATGTGCGCCCGGTGCCGAGCAGAAGCAGGCAGCGCAACGGCCGACACAAACGGATGGCAAACCCATTAGAGCCCTCGAGGCGCTTTCAGTACGCCAAAAGTGTCCAAAAACGCCTAGGCCACAAACATTCAAGAATCTGGTTCTTCCGTGGTTATACACGTGCCACGGTTGCCGATTCTTGATCAGCACCAGCAACAGCGCCGTCCGGTCAACCCTTTGAACCGGATGGCAGATCCTTCAAAAAAGGATCATGGCCGACCAAGCAAGCATCATGGGTTGCAGGTTGCGTCCTGAAAAAGCGCTGCAGAGAATATACACGGGACGCGGTTAGCGTCAAGAAGCAAGCCAAGAGGACACAAAAGAGACGCCACGCAACGGAACGTGTGTCTTTTGCAGCGCCCGCTGGCAACAACAGGACAGCAATAGCAATGTCACGCAGCATGGATGCCCACGGAGGTCATGATCTGACACACAATTTTACTACAAAGGCCGTTTTGACTCCTTATTTGAAACCTCCCTTTTCTCCTTCCGCACACGAATATATGTCGTATCTTCTCTCCTACCATCGAAAGCCCGAAAGAACGAAGTGAGGTTCATACACGAAGGAATACTAGAAATAGCCAGAGTAGGATTACGCAAAAACAATCGCAAAACACATAAACTTTTCTTCAGAAGAATCCCGCATTTGCCTTGCCGCCCCCGTTCAACCAGGGCGATCGAGACAGAAATAATCGTGACATGTAATAAGCTTGGCGTGTAAGTCTTTATGCACTTGTGCATCGTGGACTCTGCATATTATGATCATGTACATCATGGGGAATTTTGATTTCCTATAAGAAACTACAGACTCGTTGCCTCATTTCATCCCCGCGTTAAAACCACATTCAGTGCATAACGATGATATCGCATGTCAAGAGATTCATCCGCCCAGAACGCCGCTCCAAAGATAAGTTACGTATGTACATGAAATGCCCTAGAGACCCCAAAAGAGAAGTCATCTTTTCCCTTAGCGGTTCACGCGTCCAACGGAAGGGTAGGATAAGCAGGCTGTCTTGGGGGCGAGTCGACGTCCATGGAGTCCGACGAGGCAGGGGAGTCGGCATCGTAGTCCTCGCGCTTGAGGCGGTCGATGACGTACTCGCGCAAGTACTCAATCACACGGATGTTCTCCAGCCAAGACTCGTACACTTGGTCCTCACCACCGGACTCGGAGTCAGCAGACGGCGAGCTGACGACGGACTCGGAAGGCTTGGGAGTGCTGTCACGGTCCTCCAGCTGTCTGGGCCCGGCGTTGGCGCGCTGCAGCATGCCGCCAGAGTAACGACGACGAGGGTCAGGGTCAAAGGTAGGACCCAGAGTCGAGGTGGCGGACTGGCCGGGGTAGCCCGAGGTCACGGCTGGCAGTGTGGGGTACAGCTGGGAGGCTGTCGAGCTGTGGCGCGAAGTTGGCGACAGACCAGACGAGGACGCGCTGGGCGAGTGTCCAGATGTGTAGGACAGGTTGCTGCTAGGCGGAGTGACGGCAGGGGTGCCATTGGAGTGGGTGGAGGACACAGCGGTCAGGGGGGATGCCACAGCCGCCTGGGAGTAGGCGGGCAACGCCGACTGCGACGCACCAGTCGTGTGAGGTGGCGAGTGGCTGTGTCTGAAGCCCAGAGGAATGTAGTGCGAGCCAGGCTGGTGGACTCCGGCGGCAGCGGCGGTGTTCGAGTTCTCATAGACAGTGCTCTGCATTTGCTCCAGGATCTGGTCGATCTGGACGAGATCGCTCTTGGTGCGAATGCTGGGCATGGGAGGCAGGGAGTAGTGCTGGGCGTAAGGGTCGTGAGCACCAGCACCGCCGCCACCACCACCGACGGCAACAGACGCCGGCATGTACTCGGTGGCCAGGGATCCGGTGTGAATGGGGAGGGCGCCGTGCAGCGGCATGAGGCGCTGGCCAACCTGTGCGTACGAGGCCGGGTCCAGGTGACGGCGCTTAGCATCTCCAAAGAACTCGTTCAGCACATCGTAGGTGCGCTTGCGGCTGTCGTACTCAGCAGCAGCCGTGTTGTAGCCAATGTGGTGGTCACCACGGCTGCCCAGGGGCTGGTAGTACATGGGACCGCCGAACGAGGGCGCCTGGTGCTGGTAGTAGCTGCTAGGATGGCCGTTTTGGTGTGGCTGGCCAAAGGCAGCCGAGTTAGTACGGATCTGGCCATTGTGATCATAGTAGCTGGAGGGAGCTGGAGGCGAAATTAGCCTCGAAGGAAATCTGGGGGCGTCAAACCGAACTGTGACATACCTTTGGCCTGGGTTCTGTAGCCGCCGCCTAGTCCGGCGTGCTGGTCAGGAGAGCGGACCAAGACAGAGTCATCTGCGTGAGTCTAGAGCACTCGAGTTAGTCGTTTGTTCGCTCTTCGTTGGAAACGACTGCCAAAGAGTCCTTCGTTCTTGCGGTGTTTTGTGTTTTGTATAACACGAGATGGAGGTGAGTCTTGGTTTCAACTTACCTTGACATGCTTCTTCAGGTCCTGGGGACGCTTGAACGACTTGCCGCAGAAGTCGCACTTGTGCGGCTTGAGGGGAACGTGCACACGGATGTGGGAGGTGATATGGTCGCGCTTGACGGTAGTGGTGCGACACGAGTTCCACTGGCAGGTAAGATTGAGGTTGTTTGTGCTCTTGCGGCCTACATGGCGTTCGCAGATGTGCTCGTAGAGCGACTCAGCGGCAGTGAAGCGGTCGTTACAGCTTCCCCAGCGGCAGACAAGGGTCTCATCCGAGGACGAGGACGATGCCGCCGGCGCGGCAGCAGTAGAAGCGGCAGCAGGCGCCGCGGTGGTGGCAGGCGCAGCCGTTGAGCTCGTCTGAGATCCGGTGGTGGCGGTGGTTGCTGTTGAGGGTGCTGGTGTTGTGCCACTTGACGTGGAGCTCTCGCCAGATGGCGGGTTGCTCTCAGCTGTCGAAGACATGGCGTAGCAGTGGAGTTGGGGTGGTGCCAAGACCTGGTACCTGGTAAGTGCAAGGCCGCGGTAAATGCCGATGGGGGACGGGTGATGGATGATGGCCTTTTCCAGTGCCCGATGGAACAACAAATCCAATAATGGAATTAAAAATAATGGGATAACGATGGATTATTCACGGCTTCTGCAAACTTTGCAAGAGGGAGAGAGACGCGCCCCCGTTGAAGGGGCTCTGGTCTCCTTAAAATGGCATTCAAACTCATGACAATCAGCGGAAAGTTTCTGCCAAGACTGCCAAGGCCTTGGCGTTCGGATTTCATTGGATTTCTGAAATGCCAAGACTCTGTACATGGCCCGACACACAACTTCTGGTGGCGGAAAAGTACCGCTCCCCGCCCGCCAAGACCCTTGGCCCCGGTTTAAAACGCTCAGCAGGCGAGCGTCCGCGATCCCTCTCCGATGCCAATGCGAACAGAGTCAGCTTGGCTTTCCCACCTTTATCATTCTCCCCCGTGTGCTGTCCTTCCGGGCTATTTGTGCGATTTCGTTGCTGCAGAGCTCCGGATCGCAAGGAGCATGAGACCTTGACGAAACCGACAATAGGCTGATCAGCTGATTGAAATACCACAGTAATCTGGCTTCATAAAGCAGCGACACGATGATACTTGGCTGTCTCCCAATGCCAAACGGTGCTGAGGCGGAGCACTCCTTGGCTGTCTTGGCCCTCTCTTGGCTCCTCGTTTTCTTGGCTCCGGGATTTCTTGGCTTCTTGGCTTCAGCCGGAGAATCGCCCCAAACGCTCACCTGCCCGTCTGGTCGGCGAGGAAGGGGGAAGACTAATAACAGCGCGGCATTGAGGGAATACTTGCACAATTCGCGGCGACGGACACCGAATCAGTTACCGAAAGTCGTCTTTTTGTCTTCCTGCAAGCTCGTCTCCTTGGTTTGTCTGACCAGTCGAAATCGTGTCCTGTCGACTTCGCAAGTCTATAAAGACTGGATGGTCGTCTGCAATGCTTCCACAATAGTCGACAGCTCGGCTCTCGCTTGGCAACTTACTTGGCAGCTGGAGCAACGGCGGACAGCGAGCGGAAATCCTTGGCGCTGGTGGCAGTGCACCTCAAGGGGGGGCGAGCGTTGACTTGGCACTCTTACACACTGCATTTCCAGAGTCAGTTTGTGGATGAGTGTTCAACCGTTGTGTCGCCTTTTGTTCAGATGCAGAAGCGAAACGCGCAGTTAACCGTCGCTAACTTGTACAGTCGCATGTAATTGTGATTTGCCTGTGTGCGATATATCGAACCGGGACGTACACTCGTGCTGACATACGAATCTGTGTAGGTGACGGTATGTTTGTTAATGACGCACCTGAGCTACGGTGAGGCCAATGGTTCTCCCATGGTTTTCCCACCGCTAGGCCTCTTGCTTTCAGAATAAGTGCTACTATAAGTGCGGCGCGCACTGGCACGTCTTCAACTATCCAATGACCTTGCTTGGGACTTGCGGGCACAGCTTCTTTGAGAATGAGAAGACAGCGGCCCTGCGACAACCTCTGGCCATGATTTAGGGTTTCATAGCTCGGGTCGCCCTTGCATGTGTCGTCATAGTTGATTGTCTATCAAAGCTGCTGATGATGTGTAACATAGCCAGGCCTCGTTAAGGACGCCGTGCTTGTGCTGTACCGCAGTTTACTGGTTTCGTTGGATATCGGTCCACTCATCCTAAGCATCGAGATCATGCAACGCCGAGTTCTCAGATGCTCATGAAGCTTATCCCAAGGGGCAAATAGGTAACAAGCAATTATTGGCACTGGCGATTGCCGTTGTCCCGTGCCCAGAGGTCTTGTATATTGTGCCAAGCGAAATAGGATGATGTTACGGAGCGGACGGCCAAGGGAAAAGGAGTCTGCTCCAACGAAACGTGAACCCAGAGTAGACTCCCAAGTCAGGCTGGCCAAGAGTCCTTGGCATATCTGTGCCAAGAAGTGGACGTCGGAAAGGCAGTACTCTTGGCTCGCTCCGCCCTTGGCGCAAAGGCTCAAGTCTCGGCAGATGGAGGCAGTCCTTCTTGTGGAAGCTTGGCTTTCTGGGATGGCCACTCTCGCGCAACACAATATTGAGACATTCTTACTATGCTGCATCTTCAGTTGGTTCTCAATCACTTCTAAATTGGCTATCAAGAGCGAAGTACAATCGCTGAGGTGCTATGAACCGACGCTACTCCAACGAGTAAATACATTCCAAAAGAAAAAGTTCAAGATGGATTTCGCTGTAACGTCACTGGCCTGCGATACATGAACTGTCCCATAGGGCATAGAGGACTCTTCTCCCGCACACGCCTCTTGTCCATTTCGTCGACCCGTCTGAGCGTCTGTCGAAGGACCTGATATGCTGGGGAGGGCGGGAACGTAGGAAGTGAACGAGGACGTTTCATGAACCCGACGACTCCGGGATCCCAGGGTCCCCTGTGTATTCCATGCTCACGAACTGTAATTTCTGTAGACTGTGTGGAATCCGAAAGTGTCAAACGAGGCACCGCCATGACCGGATCCTCCGGTACCAGCATACGGGCCGGTGTAGACGGTGGCTCTGTGAGCGGTTCCGTCGGAGCCGGTGCAGCCGCGACTACTGCCTCCTGCAGCCAGAACTGACTCAGAGCCGCGAACTCCGGGTGACATGTATGATACTCCGTCGGCCCGCCCAGCAGGCGGCTTTTGTCCTCCATTTGCAGGTTCTTCCATCCTCCCGAGATGGTCACGACCCTCCCGTCGTGCGAGACCACACGTTCCCTCAGAAGGGGTCGCGAGCGTCGTGTCCCCCGGGTCTCGTCGACCTCGTCCCAGATGCGCTCAGCCATGATCTTGGCGATCTTGAACTCGCGCACGCGGACTGCGCACAGCCTCCGATACCTTGCCCTGTTGTTTTCCGTGTTTCCCCAGTTGCCGGCGGCCTTCGAGTCGCGGATAGTTAGACAGCAATAGCGCAGCTGCTCGGCGAGATCCGCGACGGCTGGCTCCCCGAGCCAGGCCCTGAGGATGTGGTACTTCTCGAGAGTATCCAGCTGCTCCCGTCGCTCTGTGGGGTTGCGGTTGTTCTGGAGCCACCGGATCTCCCCGGTGCCGAAGCCGTGCATCTGGACCAGGCCGTTGCTAGCGAAATGGGCGTCAACTGGCTCCTCCAGGATACCCATTTCGTATATCCAGCAGCCCAACGTGATGTTGGGGCCGAGGCATGGAAAATATCGGTTGCTGCCCTGGACGTGCTGCGCCGTGAGCCCGTACTGCGTGTAGTTCTGAAAGGAGTAGATGTACAGGCAACGATAGAAGATCTCGTCCCTGAACTGGGTTTGCCGGTCAGGGACAAGTTCCTGGCTAGAACTCTGCAGTAAATAGACTTGGTTCATCTGAAGAACCGCGTCCAATTTGGTAGCGTTGACGTGGAATTTCAATAGCGGCGCGAGAACGTCAGGGCCCGGTGTAAAGATGGTAGCAAATTGACGCAGCCTCGAGGCTAGGCTTAGTAGACGTTCAAGATTCTCTGACGGCTGGATCCTAGGGTCGAAATCGATACTCCATTCTCTAGCCACCTCACCGAATGACAGTCTCTCTCGCCCAAACATACTGGACCGGGTCAGACGCTCCCTTTGGAGCAGAGCAACTGTGGTTCCATCTTCTCTCTTGGAGGTATATAGCTCGAAATGTAGCCCCCGAGCGGAAGAGGCTTCTCTGGCCGAAGCGAATTGACAAAAGCACTCTGGAGGAGACATGAAATCCATGAAGGGTTGTACAGCAGCTATATCCATATCGCCAAGTTGGAACGTCTCCGGCACGATCGGGCTCATCTCGTTGGCTCTCTGTAGTGTTGACGGGAGCAAGTTGCCAAATATCTCAGAGTAATGCAAGGCATTTGAATTTATTTCATTCGAATGCAGTGGGTTCAGCAGAGTTATGTAAGGCCGTGATCTCCAGTGCGCGCTGACCGATGCTCGATCATCTCGACTGGGTGGCGAAAAGATCATAGCGCCGGGGTTGCAGCCGGGTCTCTGCATCAGCAGCGGGCTATTGGCTAAGGGCTGGTGTTGTCGCGCGTTTCCCTCAAACGGAGCTCTCGAAGAACAGAGGTTCATCCTGGGCTTTGTGGGCTTGACTGGCCGAACGGTTGGTGAAGCGGAGAGCACTTCAACGATAAACCGAACTATAGAACAACAACCGTAGATCGCGGCAATGGTATGAAAGTATAGGATGCGAAACGCTCTGGATAAAACATTCAACAAGAATAGAAATGAATTGTTGGTCTTGTAGATTGAAACACTTGGGTGTGGAATGGTTATTATATATATCCTCTCAGGTCTTTCCCCGATAGAAGCTGTATGTACAACGTCGAGGTCGATAATTCTCCTGTACAGGAAGTTTAAGCGCAGGGGCACTTTACCAATCCTACTACTTAGACCAAATCGATCTCTGGGTTCTATCGATTATGTGAGGCCTGTTACTCTGTTGTCACCGCTCCCCTTTCCCAAATGCTCGTTGTTTCAAGTCGTGCGTAAGGCCGCCTATAGCTACCTTGAGTTTACCCATGTGCAATTGAAACTATTTCCCCGTGTCTTTTGAGCCCGTCAGAAAGAATGGATGCGCCCAGTCTTGGCTTCCAATATCCGAGGACTATGTCACACTTGCACCTCCCTTGACACTGACTGGCTGAGCATACCTACCTTAGGAAGCCAATAGGCAGACCCACATAAGCTCTTGGGAAAAGTGGAACCCAGCCGCCGCAGCACCGGGGTTTCGCAACCTCAGAGTCAAAGCTCTCACTCCTCTTATTGACTGCCCCTCCCCCACCACAGACGAAGAGCGTCCGATCGAGCAGCCCAACTTCTTTCTCGCCAACGTCACGACCTCGCCTACGATTCCCTCGAGGATTGTTCGCTCTCAAAGGGAACCTCTTTGAACCAACCTGATCGACAGACCGACCCACCGACGGCCCGCCCGCCATGTCCATCCCGGCACCCACGACCATGGGGCCGCCGGGCCACATCACGTCGGCGCAGGAGCCGTACCCGTCGCCGGCCTCGCTAGCAAGCGCGACGACGACGCACCGGCAGGGCCGCTTCGAGATCAGCACGCGCAAGCTGCCCATCTCCAAGGCGGGCCCCATCGACGCCATGGCCGCCGACGTCGGCATCCCCATCCCCGAGATGATCTTCGGCGACAACCTGGTGGCCGTCGCCCACGCGCCCTCGGGCTGGCGCATCGAGTTCACCGCCCGCGACGCCCTCGACGCCGTCGACAAGACGGGCGAGTCCATGCTGCAGGTCAGCTACGCCCGCGACTGGAGCGCCACGCGCGAGATCAGCGGCGTCAAGGAGGTCGTCAAGCCCTTCGACTGGAGCTACTCGACGACGTACCGGGGCACCGTGGTGGCGGTGGCGGCGGAGGGATCAGGGGAAGCCGCGAACGGGGAGAGGAGGAGGACAAGCTTCGTGGACGAGGACCCGGCGGCGGGCGGCAGCGGGCGGCAGATCCCGCTGGAGCTGCTCAAGCGGCGCGACCCGATCCTGTTCTTCGACGACGTCATGCTGTACGAGAGCGAGCTGGACGACAACGGCATCAGCGTGCTCAGCGTCAAGACGCGCGTGCACGAGCGCCGCATGCTGCTGCTGGCCCGCCTCTTCATGCGCCTCGACAACGTCCTGGTCCGCATCCGCGACACGCGCGTCTACGTCGACTTTGCCACCGACGAGGTCATGCGCGAGTACACGGCTCGGGAGGCCAGCTTCGAGGACATCAAGAGGGTGAGTTCTCTCTCAGTGGTATGCAATTTAAATCGAAAGACCGAGACGCTGACTTTATGTGGTGATTAGGGACTTCTCATGTCGGGCTTGAGACCTGATGAGATCACTGTTGCGCTACGCGATGCCAACAAGGTCGCAGAACTTCGCGAGCTGAAGGTGGTGGATTACAAGATGGAGAGCGTTTCATTGGCGACGTCGTAGGAGTTTGGAATGAATTATTGTCGTTCTTTTCCCCATGACAGCCCCATTGTGCGAGGCGTTGTGCTAGAGATTTCACCAGAACACTGGGAGGCACTTGACAAGTGCCCGTCCCATGGCTGGTAGAATGAATGACAGAGCCGGTTCTGCATGGCTGGTGTCACGGTTTCTTTAGAGCATCGAGGAAGGCTGGCGTTTTGGGATATTTTATGAGGGCATGACACGGCTATTGAGATATGAAATCACAAAATCTATGCCAGGAAGAAAGCATGAGCAGGAGTGTAGACTTGGAAGAGAGCAAATAGACGACTTCGATTGAAGAAGCATCGAGGTATCAATGGTACGCGAAACAACATCCCTAGGATCCACCACGTCTGTCCGACCCCTAATCGTTCTCTGAACCACCGACCAACACCAAGGCCAAAAGCCATAGAGCCACACTCACAGTCCAGGCATTTTTCACTCCCCTCCAAACATAAGCCAGCGAAGACCCTTGTCAAATCATCAAATGTTGCCCCTATTCTGCATCAATTATTCACACGCAAGCGTTGCTACCTCGCGTCCCGAGGCGAGCTGCTCTGCGTCACCTCCTCGTATTCGAGCTCCCATCGATCCACCTCGGCAAACTTTCGTGCGGCGTTCTTGAGCTCCTCACCCACCCGTGCCACCATGTCCTCGCTGTTCTCGGAGGCGCCGTCGTCGTCGGGGCCGGCAGCCGTGCCCGCGTCCGAGCCGGCCTCCTCGTCATCGAGGTTCTCCTTGTCCGACGAGCGCCCGTAGGTCCGGGACGGGTTGGCCGAGGCTGGGGTCTTGCCCTTCTGCTGTGTGGACCGGCCTCGGGTGGCGCTCTGGTTGCCGGTGGCGGCGCGCGAGAGCGGCCGTGCTGGCCGTCGACGGGTCCTGACGTCGAGGTGGGACAGCTCGTCGTCGTCATCCCCCAGACCGGCCGTGTCGACCTCGGCATCCGAGTCCTCTGCGGAATCGTTCCTAGCACTCCTGTAGCGGCGGCGGGGCAGCAGTCCCTGCAGATCCGCCGTGGTGATTTTGGGTTCGGACTTGGATGCGGCTCTGCGCGTCTGCCTGGCTGCCCGTTGAGGCGGCGACGACGGCTCACCGTAGTTCGGCGAGTAGGTCAAGGACGGCGGTGAGGACATGTCGGAGCCGCTGTCGTCGCGGACGGGAGTTCTGCGCAGCACAGGCGCGGGCCGGCGCGAGCGACCCTTGGCGAGCGACTGCAGAGGCGGCCAGACATCGGCCTCGCTTTCAGAGCCACTGCTCTCGGGGGGCGCAATGCCCTCGTCATTGAAAGGCGTCGTGGGCCTGTCAAGGGCGTCCAGTACGCGCGGCAACGAAGGCGAAGATGACAGGACCTCTTCCTCAGTCTCTTCTGCTGCAGCACCGTTGTTCTCAACGTAGGGAGACGACCTTGGTCTCTGCTGGTGCGCGTCCGTGGATTTGCGCTTCCGTGGGTTGACACTAGAAGTCTGAAGAGCTTCGTCGTTGGCATCAGCTGCTGCTGATCGCCTGGTGGATCGCCGCAGTGGCGTGCCCTCGGCCTCTGGCTCGAATTCATCGCCTGCTGCCGGCTCCTGTTCCTGTTCCTCTTCCTCTTCGGGGTCTTCGTCCGACTTGTCGCCAGTCTCGCTCTGCAGCACAGGTCTCTCTGCCCGTGGCTTCTGCGCCGTTCCGAGAATACTTGGCTCTCGCGCTCTCCTCTTGAAGACACCAATGTTGAAGGTGGAGCTGATGCCGGGGGTGTTGGGACCGGCTCGACTGCTTGGTCGCAGAGGTCCGTCGTCCCTGCTCAGGAAGCTGGCGGCACGCGGTCGACGCTTGAAGTGACTGATAGACAGCGTCGAGGTGTCGTGTGATCTCAAGGCGCTCGCGGGGGGAGCTGTGTCGTCAAAGGTCGTGTTCAGGTCGTCAAACATGTCGTCATCCATATCCAGGCCCGAGACCTCGTTCAAACGTCCATGTGCAGGCGTTGCCGCGACCCCGCGACGTCCCATTTCCAGCTCGATGGAGCTCTCAGTGTCGTCAATGTCGTCGTCATCGTCGTCGGCAGTGTTTGTGTTTCCAGTAGATGTAGACGTCATGTTCTCCAGGCGGTCCATAGCCGAGTCGCGCTTCTTTCGCGACACGAGCAGTGCTGATGCTTGAGCCGAGGTCATGGAAGCTGCTCGCGAGGAGCTACGTCGTGTTCCTCTGCGTAGACTGTGCCCGGTATTTCCGCCTTCGCTTGCGTCGACAGTCTCGACGTTGGCGTCTGGCACATGCTGAGGCGCGGGTTCGGGCGAGGCTTGTTTGGTGCTGCGGGTTGCGCGCGTTGACGCGACCCGGGTCCTCTTTGGGCGCGGCATCGCGGGTTCGGTGGCGGGAGATGCAGAAGATTAATTGACGGGGCACAAATTTCGTGCAAATCGCACAACAACAAGAAGTACTGCGAGCTGCGTGATCAGCTGCAATGCTCGTTCAGCGGTGTCCTGTAGGCTGTGATATGGTCGGGGTGGGAGGGAAAAACATGGCCGGCAGGGGAGGACGGGCTAGATGGGCAGATGGGGACCTTGACGCGTCGCGCGTTTTTGGAGACCAGAGCTACCCCGAATAACGACCATAACCCCCCGTCGCGATGGACCTGCCCCCACTTATTTCTGTTTGATACAAGTCTGGTCTGTCCCTCCCTCGCTTGAGTGCTCTAGGTCGTCCTCGCACAGGATACCAAATGTAGGTACAATTCGTCATTATATTTGGCTTCTGATCTCATGTTTGAACTGTCGCACTAGATGGCCGGCGAGTGCTTGTTTCGAGGTCGATTAGGGCTGCCATGAGGAGAGATATCGTCATCTCTGATCTGTCTATGTAGTCTATACTAACTTACATTATGTCGCTGTTTGGTATAATACAATTTTCCCCTCCATGCGTACGTCGTACAGTGTTATACAGAATTGCCAAATCCGCTGGCCATGGATTAAATCAGCGCCTGTCCCATGAACATGCTCTCTCTAACCTCAGCGACGATATCCCGTCGGTCGTCTTTGCCGACCAACACAACGCCCCTGCCTCTCCTGCCCATGCGCCCCGCCCGACCGAGTCGGTGGATGAAATCAATCGTAGTGTGTGGTACATCATATAGAATTACATGGCGCACTGCGAGCGTGTCGATGCCTCGGGACGCGAGATCTGTCGCCACAATGACCTTGGTGTTGGGCAACGATCGCTTGCCTGCCGGGACCTGGGACACCTCGATGGCCGCCTTCATGGGCTCTGTCGTTGTGAACGAGCCTAGCATCTCCGACTGCCGCTGCTCCGAAGTATCTCGGTGCAGGGCCACGGCGTCGATGCCTTTGGACACCAAGTACTCGGCTACCTCCTGCGTCTTCTCACGTTCGTTGACAAAAACCATGATGCGCTTCACGTCGATCTCACCAGGAACAGAAGTCTCGTGTCGCGCCGCATCTTTGCCGATGCTCCAGATGGCATCTGCACATGCAAGGTTCTTGTTGTTGCGGTAGGGGTCCTTGGATACGTCGACCACGCCCAATTGGACACGGCGAGGAATAGCATGCAGGTTAGGCGTCGTGATGCGTACCATGTCCGGGAACTGCGTGACCATGTAGTTGTCCAGTCTCTTGGGGATCGTGGCCGAGCACAATACCAGTTGCTTAATGGAGGGTAGTGCGCGGTCCAAAATGGCTGTGGTCACGGCCGAGAAGCTTCGGTCGAACAGGGAGTCGGCCTCGTCAACCACGAGATGGCTGACCCGGGAGAGGATATTAGGGTCGGAATCTGCAATGGAGGACAGCAGGTGAGGCGTAGTGACCACCAAGTCAACGCCGCCGGGGCTGTATATGCCCCGCTCAATCACGGCGGCCGACTTGTTGGCCGACAGCGTGACGGACTTGAACTTGGCAACGTGCGACAGTGACTTTGCTACGGCGCCGATCTGGTCAACGAGTTCCGCTGAAGGGACCAGGACGACCACCTTCGGCCTCGCAGCCGTTGGGTGGGGTTCGAACTCGCGAGGGCCGGTATAGTCGGGGGCCTGCATGGCCTCCCTCTGCTGGGCAAAGTATTCACGATACTTGGCGATCTCTGGATCCGCCGCCTCGGCCTGCTTCAACGCGTGGACAGCAGGGGCAAGATACGCAAGAGTCTTGCCCGAGCCGGTCTCTGCAGCGAGCAGGAACTCCTGTCGCCCGGGGTTGGCCTTGGGTTTGGGTCCTCTCCCGGTGTACTGGCCGAGCAGGGCGGGGATCGCAAGTCGCTGGACGGGCGTCGGCTTGATGTCGGTCATGCCCTTGAGGACCTCGTCGGTCACGGCCCTCTTCACGTCCGGTAGAAGCTCAAACTGGTCGAAGGACTCGACGTCGCTAATGTTGGCCTTCATCCGTGTCCTGTGGCCGTACGAGACCGTGGCCAGTGAGCTCTGCATCTTCATGGCCTTCGTTCGCCGCTCGTCCTTCTTGCCCCTGTCCCTGTTCTGACCGCCCTGGCTGCCCTGGGACCTCGGCGCGGCGCCGGGAGACCTGTCTCTGCCTCTGAACTCAGTCTGGTTCATGCCGCCGAACGGCCCGGGGCGCCTCCTCGCCTTTTCGCTGTCTCGGCCTCGGCCGTCTCGTGCGGCAGCAGGTCTGCTCACATCATCGGAGAGCACCATGCGGGATGGGCTGGAGGAGCGGCCGCCCTTCCAGGCGCCTCGGGCCACGGCATAGGACCGTTGTGTGGCCCATGGCTGGCACAGAGCCGGTGCTGTCCGCGAGCCCGTCGTGAACAAGCACAGGGGGCATATCCGCGTTGATAGGAGAGGCCGCATCTTGCTGTTTGCTGGCTGCTCCAATATGGTGCAGATGCCGCTTCTGCAGCGAGCCTTGCGCCTCAGAAAATTTGGCACCCAGCATAACGCGCACATGGCGCTAATGACGTACAATTTAGGTGCCATGGCCTGTGCGCTTCCCGCGGTCTAGCGCGCGCCGAGCTTTCCTCTTGGCGTGTCGCCGCTAAGTTGCTATGAGAGTCTACAAAGGGACAACCTAGCATCTCCCTGACGCCGATTGGCAGCACTCGGGTTGCCATGTAACCTCCAATCGGGCAATGGCAAACGAGACACGCATCTCGCATGAGCCTTGTCATCGGTCAATGTCTGTGAACACGATCTCAAGTGAATACCGGAGGTAATTCTGCTGTTGTGCAGTAGCTTCCGTGTCTTACCGGTTGCTGTATTCCCGTCTCACTGCGCAATCCACATATCCACAACGGTTGTTCCCGCAAGCCACGACGGCCCCTTCGGTATAGTCCACATCTATTTCATCGTCCTTTTCTGCAGTAACGGTCCTCGTTAAGGCAAGCCTTAATATCCGCAACAGCTTGAGATGGCTTTACCTGAGGGCTTGCGGTAAGCCTTGCGATACGGAGTTCGCAACATCCAGTCAGCCATAGAACTTCACATCTCTACCTGAACATTGATTGCTTTCTCTTGGAGTATGAGCCCCGCTTGTGTGGCTTTCTTGAACTCCAGAATCACCACATTCCACTGCATCTAGAGAATTATGTCTCACCGGTTTTCCGCTTGAGGGTCAACCTGGGCACCAATAAGGGAGCCTCAACATCGGATCTGCGGCACATTACCTGCAAGGTGCACCATTGTCTTACCGTCAACTAAGAGCACACAGTGCCTCGTACATCACTCAACGTCAAGTATGATTTCATCGCGTCGAGGCCGGTGAAGGAATTGTGTAAAAGAGCGGATCTTTACCTCGCATGTAATGCGGGACATCGTGGTAAGATCAAATATGGACCCGCAACTGAATAGTCTTTCTTGCGTCAATGTCTATATAAGCAGGTAGACCGGCTGTAGGTTACTTCTTTTTCATTGTTTATCCTTGCAATACTGGCTACTCCTATAGTTACACAGCTAATATTACCATGTCTGCACAAGTCCAAATCCCTAGCTTTGACTTGGGGCCTCTGGCTTTGCATTCGAAGAAAGCCGAGCCTGCCGCCCAAGTCGACCAAGTCAAACCACAGGAGCCACTCGATCGCTCAGGCTCAACCTCGTCGGATGTCACTGCTGTGTGTCCAGACAACACCTGTTGGAACGAGAAAGCCACCCATGAAGATGTTTCTCATCAGATCATCAGTTCCTATTTCATCGGCCCTCAGGCCGAGAACCTTCCCTACTTTGAACGGAATATCCGCACCATCCTTGAAGAGCTTCGGTTAGCTCGTACCAAATATTTCCCTTGTGACGGGGTATGGTTGACCTCAGATTTCCGTCCTGGTCCTATGAGCATTGGGTCTCTATCCATGTGCCCTGATCTGCTTTCATAGCTCACTTCCAGCCTGGGTATTTCGATGCTAACACACAACTAGAAATTCATCAACGAAGATGTGCAAAAGACCCCTGCATTCCGGAAGTCGATGGACAAGCTCAGCAGAGCTGTCCAGAAGGCAGCCAATATCCTCGGACGTACATCTATCCCATTTTGGTCACCACGATACGAGGCCCACATGTCAGTCAACCGTCGGCGCAACTGACATTGTCTGACGAAATGACTAATTCAATATTTACTAGGTGCACCGACATGAGCATGGCGTCACTGCTCGGCTACTTCATGACCATGATCTACAATCCCAACAACGTCGCGCTGGAGGCTAGTCCTCTGTCGACAGTGGCTGAGATTGAAGTTGGTGAGCAGCTCTGCGAACTTTTCGGCTATAACATCGATGAGGACAACCTTGAGACCCCAACGGGTTGGGGGCACGTCACTTGTGATGGGACCGTTGCCAATCTGGAGTCTATCTGGTATGTCTGCTTGCTAGTCACATACCATGAAGGAGGCATGCTAACTATTATAGGGTTGGTGCGTAGTATTTTCATGACGCTGCACCCATTATACGATTGTACTGACTGCATTCTTGACTCAAGCCCGGAATCTCAAGTTCTATCCTGTTTCCCTGCGCGAGGCTATGAAAGATGGCCAACCGCTGGATTTTCTGAGCTCCAGGTTCTACGTGGAAACCTGCAAAGGCCAGCAGAAACTCTTCTCTGAGCTTTCGAACTGGGAGTTGCTTAATCTCAAACCGACGGATGTGCTGGACCTGCCGGATAGATTATACCAGGAACACGGTACGGCTTTCATTGTAATGAGACTTCCGCCGAGTTCTACCAGGCTGACTCCCCCGAGGCATTTCTAACTCTTTCCTCTCGAGCGTCATGAACAAGTTCACCATCCAGTCTACTGGCAAGGATGTACTAGAACAGGAGTATACCAACGGCAAGCCTGCACAGTACATGTTGGCAACCACGAGGCACTACAGTTGGCCCAAGGGTGCTGGTACGTATCGCTGTAGTGACACATGACCCGAATGTGACTGATCTCTCCAATGATAGCAATCTGCGGTATTGGGTCCGATAATGTGGTGGGTGTTCCGGTTGACAATGCAGCACGTGTCGACCTCGAAGAGCTGGAAAAGTCACTCGAGAAGAATCTCCAAGAGGAGCACCCCGTTTACGCAGTCGTCGCCATCATCGGCTCAACTGAGGGTAAATGCCACCAAATACTTGCATTCACGCGTCGCTGACCCTTACTCGATAATAGAGGGTGCTGTTGACCCGTTGTCCTCCATCCTGGCGCTGCGCAAGCAGTTCCAGGCCAAGGGACTCTCGTTCCTCGTCCACGCCGATGCCGCCTGGGGCGGCTACTTCTGTTCCATGCTGCCAAAGGAGTATCACCCGGGAGATGTGATCAACCTGCCAACTGAGATGGGTAGTGCCGACGGCTTTGTACCCGACGCAAGTTTGAGGGCACAGACGCAAGAGGACTTATACGCAATGCGTTTCGCAGATTCCATCACTGTCGACCCACACAAGGCTGGTTACATTCCGTATCCGGCGGGAGGTTTGTGCTATAGGGATGGGCGCATGCGCTTCCTAGTTACGTGGACTAGTCCTTATCTTTCCCGAGGCTCGGTCACGAGCATCGGAATTTACGGCGTAGAGGGAAGGTAAAGTCCTAAGAGCATGCCGTCACGAAGATTTTGTTCACTGTTAACACCTCACAGTAAGCCAGGAGCAGCGGCAATGTCCGCTTGGCTTTCCAACAAGACGATTGGCCTTGACCAGAAGGTACTTTGCCGTCCTTCTCCTTAGTTCGTCACAGTGCCGTTCTGGTATCATGCCATGTTGAAGGACTATGGTTGAATCGTTGTCCGCAGGAAATTACATACTGACAGCTTACATTAGGGCTATGGCACTCTACTCGCTGAAGTAACTTGGACCTGCACACGTGTAAGCTGATGCTCTCTCACAGTATTTGGACTGCAACTAAGATTGTGCGAAATCTAGCTTTCCGCAGAATGGGCCGCCTTAACCGATTCTTCCAGCCCTTTCATATGTGTGCCTTTCAACGAACTGCCCTCGGAGCTTGTTGAAGGATTTACCCCGGAAAGTGTTGAAGCTGAAAAGGCTCGAATCCGGCGCGATATTCTCCAGAAGAGCAATTCCCAGATTGTCTTAGATGATCAGTCTCGACCGGACGACCAAAAGGCCATGAAGCTCATGCGCGACCTGGGTTCTGATCTCAACATCAACGCCTTTGCCCTCAACTTCCGTCACGCGAATGGTAAACTCAATGAAGATGTGGAAGAAGCCAACTACCTCATGCAACGAGTCATCGAGGAGCTATCTGTTGACAGTCCCACGGATGACCCAACTAAGATCCCTCTTTACTTGACCTCCACCGAATTCTCCGACGAGCTCTATGGAAAATGTAAGAAGCACTTCATGAAGAGACTTGGACTCGAGGACAGTACCCAGGACCTCATGGTCTTGCGAAACGTTGTCATGTCTCCGTTTCCTACAGACGGCAATTTCATCAACCGGCTGGCCAAAACATTCTATGATACAGTCGAGGCTAAAACAAAGGTTAATGCCCCATATCTTAAGTTCTGCCCATGTATGTATCAAGATTGCAAGTGCTAATTGGAACTCTGGTACAGATTGTTCGCAAACGCAATGAGTTGGGTGAAGATTTCCACAGTTTTCTCATCCAAGGTATAGAACAGATCTACCTCGTCCACCTACCGATGTTTCACGTTGCGAATCACCGTCAACAACTCATTGTCTCAGCCACATTTGACAATAAGTCGCGGGAGAAGTACCTCGAGATGAAGAACTCCAACCCCACAGAGCCCATGATGCTCGTCACTCAGCACAAGACCTACATGCAAGACATTGTCAAGAACAACGGCACTTTCAAGGGTCAGATTATGACGAAGGAATCGTGAGTATGAACCTGCATCGTTGTATGTACAGTGGCTGATCAGTGACCCGTGAAACAGTGGGATTATACTCAAGAACATCAGTGTTACCGTGACGGCCACAGTGGTCAGTCGACCCCTAAACTCACGATGGCGGCTCAAGGACTACCCTGCAAAGTGCATGCCTTTTTACCTATACGGCACCGGTAAGGCTTCCAGCAACAGCGACTGCCGCTCGTACTAACCTTGGCACCAGCATCCGAGGCGAACATAGATCATGTCATAGTCAAGGCTCCCAATACCCAGCTTTCAGCCGGTAGATGCAAGCTAGAGCTCGAAGGAGAGACAGATAAGGATTTCTGGTCGAAGCCACTGGTCCTACTGCTCGAGGACGTCTACGAGGCCCCCATGCAGCCCTTCCCACCCAACAGCGAGATTGCAAGCAAACACGGCGCGATCATCGCGCACTCACACCACAATGCCCCCGCTCCCACCTCAGCTGGAGACTCTTTGTCTCCACCGGAAAAGGGGTATGATGTCGTCACAAGTGAGACACGCAGTGGAAAGATGCGCGGCTCGGGCTTCTTCTTCCGACCCGGCGCGCGCTTCAGGATCAGCGTGTGGGAGGAACGGGGCCGCGGTAATGACAGCGCTGAGTATGCGAACAGCAAGCGCGGAAAGCAGCTTGGCAAGGGGACGCTGGAGCTGGGCCAGAGTGTGTTTGTGGACAGCGAGGCCATGAACTTTGATCCATTTAAGAAGGCCGAGAAGGTTAACGAGTGGCGGTATGAGTTTGACCAGATTGGCAAGGAGCTGGACTAAGTCATCAGGAAATTCCTCATGATCACTCCGTAGAGTTTTTGTCAAAGGGTTTGCAGACCGAATTAAAAACTGCGATTCTTCCTAGCGCACGGACCCGTGCAGGCCATCACGCTCATTGGGTCGCGCGTGAGTGGGCGCGAACCAATAGTGTCAGTCCCTTTATTGCTAGCGCGACGCGACTGGCCAATGAGACAACACCCTCTCATTGTATAGTCGGCGACACTCAATGCTGCGCAAGTTTCCTTAAAACCATCCTCGAACAGAACCCTCCCCTCAATCAACAGTAGCTAGTACCATAGGTTTTCCGAAACATTGTAAATCAAGCTTCCTACCCGCGCCGCGACATGACCAGAATTATCCTCCCCAGCTTGTCTGCCCTTTGCCACGGCCACTGCGGCGAGAGATGTTTCTCGATTCATCAGTTCCTGCTCCAAACGGGATGGGTCCTGAGACATCCAAAACTCCGCTTCCTGGTGGACGGCCATCAGATGGTCGTACTCACCAAACGGTGCACCAAGAGGGGTCTCGGGGCCTGCGATGGGCAAGGAGGCAGGGGTGGCGGGAGGGAGGGTTCCAACGTCTATGGAAATTCCTTGTGTTAGCTTACATTGTTTGTTTTTCCTCTGAGTTTTGGATGATATTTCAAAGATTGGAGGACTGGGTTGACCTAGGGTTATCAGAAGAATTGGGAGGAAAACGAAGGACAATAGAAATAACCTACCGGCAGCAGGGAGGAAAGTAGGAGCGGTACCATCAAGAGCAGGCTCAAGGGCGGCATCGCCAGAGGTGGAGGCATCACCAGAAACGGCACCAGAAGTGTCGGCTGAGGAATCGAGGCCAGCCAGGGTGAGCAGGTGCTCCCCTTGGGTGCCAGCATTGAGGTCGTAGGGGTTGGCATCAAGTCTGGGCTTCAATACCTTACGCCAGTAACGGCTCCATCGGGCTCTTCAAGGAAACCACCAGTCAGTAGGGTTCTTTGGCTTTGCGCCGCATCTTGCACTACTCACTGGTACGCCGTCATGTCAGCGGTGTAGCCAAGGGCTTTCATACGCTTGTGGACTCGATCCCAATCTTTCACCTGGCCCAAGGGGTAGGCCTCGGTGGTGTATGTTGTCAGACCGACGCCTGCGATCGCCTTGATCAGGGCATCATCTACACTGCCATCGGCCATCTTCGGTTGGTTGTGACTGGTGATGGGCTTGTTTGGTGTGAGTTGAAGGTGGGGTGTGGCCGATCTTCGCAGTATCGGACAGCAGTGTTGATTAAGTGGTGCAGGGTGAAGAAGAATAGGGCACTATTTGTGCTGCTATCGAATACGGGCGCGTCCAAGCGTTTATTAACCGAGCTTATGGTAGATTTTTTTTCTTTCCTTAGTCAACTTGCCCTGTAATTCCTGATAGTACTGCAATTCACCAGAAGGATAGTAGAATCCAATTGTTCCTTCGCTGTTTATTCGATCCCTACACTTGGGTGAAATTCTCGAAACGGGCGACATCCTCTCACACGGGCCTCTTATCACTCTGGCTTTTGTAGAAAATCGAGAACCCTTACCACACGTCAGTACATACCAAACAAGGGGCCTTCAGAGCCATCTTGGACATCGTCCAGAGCTTGTTTAGCCGACAAACGAAGCCCACTTGGTTAATACTTTCATTAGGTATCTAAGAGAACGATCGTACTCGGATGTCATCCAGCAAATCACAATCTTCGTTGTCGAATCCCTACTACTTCTCAATACGAGGGGGAGGTCATAAGAGCTCATACCAGGCGGTTAATACTCCAGTCTGCTGCACGAACTCACAGCTCGTAGTCGCCGGCTCGTCGATGGAACTACTCCCGCTACACCCAGAGAAAATAAAATACAAGGGATCACTACACCATGACACCGTACACTAACTATCAAGGTCCGCCATCAACCGATCACATTTTCTACGTCTATCATTCGTGGGACAGCGCTCGAGGATTCTCGTGTTAGTAGTCGAAAGAAAGACTCTACACTGAGCGTTCACCATACGTGGACATGCTCGATATCGTATCAAACCGGCGGCGATGTTACTAAAGTCTCGGCTAGCTGTAAGCGGATGTTCAATGCTAATTAGATAAGGACGTTTAGTCGTAGGGCTTTACAGTTGAGATCTTTGCCACCATCAACCACTCGAGATGCATTCTGTCTCATTACATCAAGCTCTCTACATGTTATCAATATCCGCTTTGCATGGCTGAGATCACTTAGGCTGAGTATCCCCTCGAACCCGGAACTGACATGAAGGATGTACTAATTCGGACGGTGCCGTACAGCCTCTATCGAATCATTGATATACTAATGTTCTCAACCAGGGGATTACAGCTTGTTGACCATCCCTCGACGCCTTCCAAAACACACCGCCAAGCAATGCTAAAGTGCAAAGAGCAAAAAGACTAGGGAGACAGTTAACGGCCGAACTCCATGTACCTCCAGGCCAAACGCTAAGGAATCAAAATGAAGAAAACGGGTGCATGGCTTACGCCTTTGGCTTGTTGCCGAAGAAAAGATTCGAGAAGAATCCACCAATCCAGTCCACAAAGATGACGCGTAAGAAGGACTGAAGCCAGTTGCCACCCCTGCTGACCTCGTGCAAGGAGTTCATGGAGGCAGCCGAGACGGGCCGCTCGTGGGGATCCTTAATGTTGCGCCGGCGCAACTGGCTGTCGGGTTCGTCGTCCTTGCTGCTGCCAGAACTTAGTGAGACGTCGGGACCTTCACCCGCAGGGGTTTCGAGCTTTACAGTAGGGATGCCGCCTTTACTTGCCGAGTCCTCGTAGATGGCAGATCCGTTTTGGTGTTGTCGAGCAGAGTCGTCCTCGGCAGCTTCTTGGATGGATTCGAGGGAGGCTTGCGAACGTTCCGAGTTCATGGACCCAAGCGACGTCCTAGGCACGCTGAGTCTTTTGGATTCGGCTTGGGGTCCACCGGAAGTAAGTACGTAGGATCCGGAGGAGACCACAGGCGACGGCGGCGGGATGTCGAGAGATGACTCGTCTTCGGGCATGATGTTCTGGAGTTGTAGCAAAGCTTCCACAATAGACCGACGGTCTCGATTGGGGAATACTTCCACCCGCGGGTCATTGTGGTCGACATCACGGTTACCACTCCCCATGCTAGGGTTGCGTTGAGCAGAAAAGGGAGACAGGTCGTCCGGTGCAAGGGACCGGCCACCTTTGAAAGGTTTGCCTTGTGATGAGAGAGGATATGCTTCTTGGCTGCCAACGGATTCGTAGGCAAACAGAGGGCATCCGGGTTCTTCTACGTCATCGTCATATACATCATCGAAGTCTTGGTCGTCGGAACCTGCAGATTCAATTCGCATCACGTTGTTCACATTTCCTTGGCCGTCGCTAACTGCATTCCGGTTCGTTAGCTTTCATCCGTATAGGGCGAAAAAGAATAGGTACCCGTATCAACCCCTTCGTCACAAGCCCACCAATCGCCGTGCCCAATGCGAAATTTATATAGCACCTCAGCTCCCTCTTGGACGGAGACAGTGCTCTCGAATTTGTTTTCACCATGCTCATCAACTATGTGGGTCATCTCTTGTGGTTTCCATGCTGGATCTGTGAAGGTACCTGCCACGAAGATTGGCGGATGCGTACCGGGGCGTTGGTAGGTGATGGTGATTTGTCGCTGAGGCATCGTACTTGGAATTCGTTGGTGGAACAGGGATCGTATTTGGCTTGTCGAGACAGGACACGAGGCAACACGCGGATGTACTGTGACGGTCTGAATTCTGCTGGGCCTGGAGCGCCGGTGGAACGGTTTTCTGGCAGTCTGTTCAGGACAACGTCATTCCTTCAGCAAATCTACAACGATAGCGTCAACTGGTCAAGGAAGCTTGTGCTTAGCGCCCAGTGTGACACTCGAAAATGAAGTAGCAGAGTCTTGATCTCGTGTCTCGGGCATCTGTTGTAACGCTGGCTGGCAGCTTTTGGTATGCAGGCTTAACAACGTGCTGCTCAATTACTCGGCGGAAACCGGTTGTAGATGAGAGGTGTGGTAGAGAAGCCGGCGGTCCCGGAGTGAGGTTGCGTGGACAAGCTTTTGCCTGGGCAATAATGGTTCGATATCAAGGGTGAATGCGGCGAATTGCATTCATCTGAAGCAAATCGACCGAACAATTCTTTCCAATGTTGAGGAGGAAAGATGAACCGGCAGGGCAAGGTTCAAGATAAGTATCAACGTATTCCAGGCTCAACAAGGCACGGATGATTTCGTCACACCATCAGTCTCACAGGGCTGACGCATCCATCGCGCTTCTTAGCCTCCAAATCAGCCTTTTAACTACGTGCTGAAGAACGACCAGACTAGCGCTGGCGAACAAGACCATAGGCATTCTAACAGTGTGCCGTTGTCACACTTTGGGGGCAGCTGCGAGGGATGAGGGACGAGGGACGAGGGGATCTCGCCACACGTTCTGGCCCTTACCTTGCAAGAGCCCACTCAGTCCTGCGCCCTTATCTTTGGGATGATGTCAACCGAACGTAAGGTAAAAGAAAGCTGTGCAGTTCGAGCCTGCTTGCATGAAGGTGGTAGGCTCTGCGGTGACTTGAGCGCCCAATGGCGCTCAAACCGTCCAAGAAAAGCCCGGAAACCTGGCGAGACTGGGAAGAGTGGCGGTACGAGCCATCCGGGCCATCGACGCCGACGACGCCGAACTGCATGATGTAGCGCTAGGAAAGATGGTTAAAGTAAGAAAGGGTGTCAGACAGGGATGGGAGTGGGAGCTCCGGGTTGCTCTGCACCTTCAACTATGCCCTGTCCAAGAAATCCGGCTCTTGACAGCGGTGCAGAGACACAGGCAGAGCTGAGATGCTGTCAATTGTCACCAGCTTTCCCAGAAAGAAACGCATTGACGGAAGGTATAGGCATGTTCTGACGGAGACCGATGAGCCTGCCAGCTAAAGATGGATATAAGTGGGCACCTGGGTACCATGTGGAGGGGTGTCTACCCCGCAAGAAGCGTGCGCTAGGTACCTAACTTGAGCTAGAGCTCGCCTCCAAGCTCCAGCCCTCTATCCAGCACAGGTACTAGACACGCCAGTGGCTCTGTCTCAAATGCTGCTGCTGATGTGTCCGATTGGATCAGCGCCACGCTAGAGTGAACTCAATGTGATATGACACTGCTCCCGAAATCCCTACGGCAGCGGAGCGAAAGACGGCAGATCAGCGCTTGCGGTGGCTGCAGTGATGGAGGGGTCTAGACTCCATGGGGAGCTCTGAAGACAAAGGGGGGAGCTTAACGCTGGGCTGGGCCTCGAGCTCCGGTATCTGATTCTGCCCCTCTTATCTGCTCGGGCAGATGGCAACAAATGCCGCCGTCATGTAAAACATACTGAGAGAGTTGTTCACTAATTGGTGAACAGTTCGCTCAGGTCCAGGTGTTAGTACGGGACGACGGACTACCTGTATTTCCAGCGCAGCCCAATGTTGATTCATACAACTACGTACTATACGAGCCGTCTTGGGCTGACAATGCGATCCGTCACAACCGACTATAGTAGGCCGATGGGTACTAGTCCCATAAGCGCGATGCTCAAAGCTGCGAGTGCCTGTTGCTACGACTCGACAACACAACTTAACGCTTAATACTTGGCATTTATCTGTTTGAGGCCCAGCGTGACGCTATATTATTTATCTTCCTTGCTGTACTTCTGGCCCGAAGGATTTGACATTGAGTCTTCCGCCACGCGAGAACTGATTCATGTTCAGAGAAAGTGTGTTGATTTTTCCAATCTCCCGCCGTAGAGTTGGAGAGCGGCCAGTCGTGGTGAACAGGACTCGTAGCCTCTCGTTCGCCAGCACCGTGATCAACTCCCCCATATAGTTCTCTGTGCTCCGATCATCGACCAGGTGAACGCCATCTATGACACAGAACAACCTGTTGGGCATCTCTTCCACCAGGTCTCCGAACAGCGCCACCCACTCTTCCCACGAGCTTGCTGTGCCATCCAGGCGCGCGAAACGTTCCCCGGAAAAGTCCGCATTGCTCTCGAAGGTCGATAGCAAGAGCTCAATCATTTGGCGAGTCAATGAGTAGCAGAGGGCAATCAGACCTTGCATTTCTCTCGTGTTCCCCGGAAGCAACCCTCCACTGCGGCTTAGCTGGCAGAAATATGATATTACGGGCACTCCAAATTGTGCGTTTAGATGAATGAATTTCATCGACACTGCCGTTAGTGGGTTGCTCGTGTCATCTGCACGCATTGCTGATCCGTCAATCCAGAGTGTATGAGGCGACTTCTCCCCGGTAAACTCGACGAGCCGCCGAATTGTCTCCTGCGATGCGACTATAGGCCCTTGAGGATCGTGAGGCAGCCGCACGCGGTCGCGAGAGAAATAGTCTTCGAGTTGGGCGGAGTTGATGGCTACGTCGTCGGCCATATAGCGACTTGTGGGCATCTCCGCGATGCCTTTGGCCACATTTAAGTGACCAGAAGCCATGAGGAGCTGCGCTGAGACGCTGGATGGCAATCCTACAACCGTTCTGATGTTAGTCTTACATGATTGATGTAGTAGCTGTACTTGGCTTACCGCTGTCGTTCTCTTGGGAAATGATATAAGCACCCGCGTTGGATTGCAAGAGAGCTATGAGATAGGAATGGATCTGGTCGATCTTGCTTGACTGCTCCCGTCTATCAATCATGTCTTGGGAAGTCTGTTGACTTAGACGATCGGCCTTGTTCGTGAGCTCGGCCAATCGCCTCGCTTCTCCTTCTCTTCCAATTCTTAAGTCGAGCCGCATCTGCTGGGTCTCGAGAAGAGTTCTTTCTGCTAGCAGCCTGGTGACTCTCCCCTCAGCACGAGAACTCTGTTCCGCCTTGCGCTTAACATTGTCTGCCTTAACTTTGACATGTTCTATCATGCCCTCAAACTTCTTGCCACACTTCTCATTGAAAGACCTTAGCATTCGTTTATGCCATTTGAGCATGAGCCAGTCCATGATATCGGATAGTAATGCAAACAGTGAAGCATACAAATCGGCGACAAGCTTGAGCATCTCCTCTGTTTTGAATATTTCCAGGTCGAGGTTGCAATCAATGACACGATTCCGGAGTGAAGCATCCAGCGCTTCTGACAGAATTCCCGCAATGCTCTCATGGTTCACACTCGCCTGGAGGGGAATTAGATGCGTCGGAGCTTGTGGCAGATTGGCATACCTGGATGACAGTGTTCAATGCTCCTGTGAAGATTGATACATATTCATTCCCATTAGGAAGCATCTTCATGATTGAGCTATGTGCGTCCAATGTCTCACAAGCACTGTGGAATAATTTCTTGGTCTTGCCTCCTTTTCCGGACTCTCTATCGCTGTTCCATCGACTGTTCATCCTCTCCACCATCAGGAGAACACTCTCCATATTGGGCTCATAGTCTTCAAGATCTAGCTGATCGTCCTTGGGGCATTGGTCACGAAAATGTATCCATTTATTAATGAGCATTTTCGCTTCAGTCGAGATGACCTGCGTCAGCGGATCTCTACATAATGTCAGCCACGCGTCACCCTCGAGCTGATCACCTCTACGTACTTATGCTCGGGCGGTGGCTCTTCCCATTCGTAGAACCTACGCCAGGGATCCGCCAGATATACTTGGCTCTCGCCACTGCTCCCCTGTCTGAGAACCTGACCCAGGGCATAACCATCGCTGTCAAGATCCAAATTTTGCGCTGCATCGAGGCTGTGGGCTCGGGTGAGCCTGTTTGATTGCCTTTCAAGAGCGCTGCTCATGATGTCTTCCTGGCAATAAGACTTGCAAGTATGTCTTTGGGCTGCGATCCCACAAGTTGAGTCAGTAATGCAATCCGCAAGAAAACGCTGGCTTGTTTCCATGGGGGCTGCAATGGCACACCTCTCTGTTACATTGGAAACTAGGCGACAACGCAGCCTTGAGGTTGCCTTCTTGACTATGGGACCCAAACCATTCGCAGTCTTACTGCATCATCACTTGACAGTTCCGTAGTCCTATTGGGCCGGCTAAGAATGGCGAAGTGAGTATCATTTCTCAGCTCATCCGAGCCAAATGAAGAGAGAAGTACCACTGGCTGATGATGCTTGACTGCATACAGCCTGCTGCTGGCCTGCTATTTTTGGACTGGCGAGCCTGCTCCTGTCAGAATAAGAGCCGGACAGGGCGGGGATTTTCCCAGCCTCGCGTCCCCGAATGAGTATATTTACTCGGCATCAAAGGACATTGACCTGGGCTTATAGGGGCCACGTCTTTAGCATTCACCATTTCTCTCCTAGTGGAGGTATAAAGTTGCAGCATCGACATCTTCTTGGCCGCTGGTGTCGTATTGACCTGATTTATGACCACCATGTGTGAAAGCCGACCGGAGAACACAACCTTGGGGGCAGAGAGCGGAGATACGGGTCACATCCTCAATGTTACTGCTTCTAACAGGCGTAGAGCTTGGGTGAGGTATCGAGTGGAACATCGCCATGCTGACACGGATGGACTCATCAACAGCCAGAATGTGGACGACTTCACCGTTGGAAGTTTAGAAGCAGAACCCAATGTTCCCGTGTTCGAAGTAGTCGGAACTTATAAGACAAGCTACAGATATTCATCCTGGAGTTCAACAGACGAGGCCCCGCCCCTGACAACATTTTCGGCACCTACTTTCCGCATGAACATCTACTCGCCGGCCATCATCAATGCCTTGCAATCAGTTGTTAAATACTACCCATCGCAAAATCTCGCCGGCGACTTTGTAGATGTATACTGGCCATACCCGGTGCTTGTCCACCATTACGATGAGCTGACCGCATTTCGAACCACTTGCGCCAACAAAAAAGCTAGCGACATGTGCATCCGAGAGAAGGATGCAGACGAACATTTGGGCATTCTCCTGAAATTTCTTGACGACAACATCATGAAGGATGTGCGCGCTGAGCAAGAGCGTAACAGGAATGGCTTCTACACTTTCGATTATGCATGGGTAGCCATGAAGCCCGGCACCACAGTCTTGGTGGACTTGTCGGATGCTACTGATAAGTCTGCTAAAGTCATACACTCGGTCGTTGGTGGAACCTTCGGCGATCGACCAGAACAATGGGAGATTATATATTGGGACTTATGCTATGATGGTAGTTTTCTGGGAAGATATCAGCATATTGATTGTGGCCAAGTTTGATGGGGAAGAAGGTATCCGTCATCGGCTTGTATCGGATGAAGACCTAAGCGAGGAGTCTCTTACAAGTGGAGAGGGAGCTGTGGCTCAACAATATCAATACGGCAAGGTATATTGGGAACTTCTTCAAAAGCAATGCAAGTATCACAAGGGCACAAGTTGTGATTTTCCTTACAACGAAGTGAGTTCTGTTTTATCACGATAAAGGCTTCCAGGTCCGCTGACAAAGTATTACAGGTCGAAGGTCTTGTGATGATAGACCTCGCAGCCCAATACATGGAGCGTGGATATGATAGACCGGTGTTGATGGGAGATGATGACTGTCGAAATTGGGCGACTGATTGTGTGTGCTCCTTCTGCCGCCAATACAAGCCAACAGCGCGAGGAAAACCAGCATCTGCCTTCAGCAAGTACAATTACATCACGCTAGAAGAACAGTTGACTTCCCATCAATACCTTTTGTGCCAGTACGAGGTCATGGCATTCATTTTCGCAACCCGCCACTGGGGTAAGTGTACAATATATATATTTCAAATGCTTTATGTTGGAGAACCGGAGCAAGAACGGTGGAGACAACGGCGGCGCTTCAACTTTTCGTCACCTCCCCTGAGTACATGGAAATTATCTCGTTCTATCTACGATCATTCAGCTGATCTAGTCTAGAAACGTTGCACGTCAAGAACTTGGCAGAACCAAAGTTTGATGAGGACATGATCAACAACCTAGTCATGGAAGAGGACCGGAAGAAAACACTCAAAGCTCTCGCCAAAAGTTTCGCGAGGATCGATAAAGATGGCAACGAGATGCTAAGGGACATGTGGGCTGCCGACTTTGTCAAAGGGAAGGGTCAAGGTCTGGTTCTGTTGCTTCATGGGAAGCCCGGTGTCGGGAAAACTTGTACTGCCGGTAAGCCTGAACGCTTTAATTCCTGTTTCAAAAACGCATGAAAATGATTCTGCACGTTCTATGGCCGAGAGGCTAACTTATCCGATAATGCCAGAATGTATCGCGGCATTCACCAGACGACCGCTGATGGTTCTGACCTCGAGCGATATTGGCACGGACCCGGTCCGAGTAGAAGCAAACTTGACAAAGAACTTCAAGTTAGCAAAAAGTTGGGGGGCCGTGTTACTGATCGACGAGGCTGACGTTTTCATGGAGCAAAGGACATCTGACAACTTGATTAGGAACAGCTTGGTCGCAGGTAATCCAAATATGGTCCCAACTAGCGAACCAGGAGTGGCACTGACAATTATCTACCCAGCCTTTCTACGAGCACTTGAGTACTACAACGGTATCCTGTTTCTGACAACGAACCGGGTCGGAACATTCGATGATGCCTTCATCTCAAGAGTTCATCTTCAGTTGTACTATTCGGATTTCGATGACAACCAGCGGCAGAAGATTTGGAAGACCTTCATGGACCGATTAGACCGCGAGCGGCGGAGCTCCATCCGCTTGACTATAGCTGCCAAAGAATACATTGAGAGTGTCAAGGTCAAAGCAGTCAAGTGGAACGGAAGAGAAATCCGCAATGGTAAGTCTGGGAAGCCCCTAAGTTGGTCTTGGAACATCTTTGCCTCCCCAACACGTTCAGCGGATGTCAACTAACCATGGAGAAACAGCTTTTCAAACAGCAGTAGCTCTGGCAGAATACGACGGAGAAAAAGACGAAGATGGCAGGATCCGTGTGACAGATGCACACTTCAAGCCGATCCTAGAGATGTCGCAAAGCTTCAAGAAATATCTGGAAGAACTACATATGGGTGACGAGGCAAAGAGGGCGGAAAGGACGTATGCCAGGCTCGATGGTTATAAACAGTAACGTGACGTTAGTTGATGCTATGTGTGATACATAATGAAGAAAGATTTTGGGGGCTCGAATACTCCTTATGGCGTTGAGGACCAGGAATGGACTAGCGGACGCTGACGCACTGCAAGCATTGCATTCCCATCATTATGCATTGGTGAACACAACATAGTGTACTATGCTCCCAAGAGATGTGAGGTCCTGTGGGAGACCAGTATGGCAGCATGAAATATTTGTTGTCGGCCGTTGACCGCCCGTTACCGTGAAGCAGGGCAGTAACTTGTAGCTACAGTAGTATTGGCGCTGTCCTAGAAGCGGGTTCTGATTGGAGGGAGGCCAGCCATGCGGGGCGCAATGATGCTCCTCTAAAAAATACCTAGGTAGAAGGCCTTGAGTGCGATGCACGAATTACATCATCCTCCGTTTGCGGCATCGCGAACCGACATCTACATCTTGCGCCTGGCTTGCCCAACAAGCGGCGGAAGATCAGGGCGCCTCATTCTGTGCAGATAAACAATCCGCTGGACCGGTGCTGTCCGCACAGAATCACAATGTCGCTCCCCCCTCAGCTCATTCGCGTCAAGCGCAAAGCGACAGAGGACGAGCCCGTCTCATTCCTCCGTGAGTCGCATCCACGGCAACGGCCGCCGCTTCAACTGACAGCTTTCACCTAGGCGTCCAAGAGCACAAGCGCCATTTTACCGAGGCCTTTGTGTACCAGCGCCAGAAGCAGGAGGCCGCATTCGCCGACATTCCCTCTGTCCAGCGACCCATCATTCATACGTCCGCCCCCCTGCAAGATGACACCACATTCCAGAGTCCCAGGGACAAAAACACCCTCGAAGCGAGAAAGGAGGGCAATGGGAAGGACTCGGCGCCGCCAGGCAACGCCGCTGGTGCGCCTATCTCTCCGACAGAGCAGCGGCGTTTCCATATGTCAAGAGCCGACATGATGCTAGCCACTTCGAACTACCCAAGCCAACGCAACCATGGCGGCGTCTCCAAGAAACGCGCAGCGCCTGCACTGTTCGTTGAGCGCAAGATCAAGAGATTGCCTTCCACCACCATCAGGAGCGTTGCACGTGGGCTCAATGAGCACGTCTCGAGAGACTCCTCGGCCGAACCCCCGCCTTCTGTGCAGCAATCTGCCCAACCAGGGGATATGGAAGTAGACACGACCGATTCCAAGAAGCTCAAGAAGCCCGGACTGGCAAAAGAGGCTCGGGGGACTGACACGCCCAAGAAGGCCGAGTTGCCTGCCAGCATGACGAACCGATGGAATGTCGACTTGGATCAGTTGACCGCTGACATGAATGCTTTCGCCATGGAACAGATAGGACTGAACCTTCAGCGTGCTGAGGAAGAGAATCAGAGAAGAGAGAAAGCAGCGCGTCAACCAAAATATGCTGTATCACAGGCCCGGCAGGCCCCGCAGTCGCCATCTAGATTCAAGCCGAAAGCCCCGGCCAAGAGATACGCCGAGCGGCATCCCGGAGAGGCCCAAGTGAATCAGGTTGATCAAGAAACAGCTACGCCCGCTGTCGGTGCTAGTGATACCGATGACGACGAGTATATCATCGAGACCTATGTTCGTGTGCCCGTTAGTACCATGGAGAAGCAGCAGGTAGCGCCACAAAGCATCGGCTTGCTAGTGTTTGACGAGGAGCCGGATCTGGAGTTCTTCTACGGAGAAAACAGCGACAGCGAAGACGAGTGGGCGGAAGAGCAGGAAGACGAAAATGGTAGGCCTCTGGGTGACATCTGCGTGTGCCTTGACTAACTTGCAAACAGCCGAAAACTATTACACGGCCGACTATCCTGACGAAGAGGTGGCCTCCGACGATGAGTTTGGACACAATGCTTATGCCTACAGAACTGGCAATGCCTCTGATCTTGAGGAGTATGATGTCAACGGCTATCTAGACAGTAGCCCTGATGAAGACTCGACCGATAAGGACGGCTTCAAGTCTTTCGTAGGGAGGGATGGCCGCGTTAGACGACATCTTTGATCGACCAGCTTCCATGTGGCTGATATGATTTGAGGGTCAAGGCTGTTTTAAAATTTCAGTCTCAACGATTGCCTCGTACTATACAGTTGAGCGCCTTTTAGATGCCTCAGTGCAGAAGTTCTGTATGTGCTCCATCCACGACCATGGCGAGGCCAATGTGTATTCAAGGTCATATCACTGGGTGCCCAATGAGACCAGGCAGTGATCCTCTGGTGAGGGGGCCTCTATGCCGTCCATAATCACAAAACCAAGCTGAAGTGCTCTATAAAACGAGCTGGCCATTGTGGTAAGAGGTTTATTGCGTAGTTATTGCCCATGAATCATGTATGATACGGTGTCTGCTTGCGAATCTTTAGTGCGATCACGATGTCTGGATGTCTCATCTTCTCCTGTCGAAGGAAGTCCCCTTTCTCCTTCGATGTCGCTTTGCCGAGAAATGTCTTGAACCAGTCTGCAAACCCGAGAATCCTCGGCTCACGAAACAGGTATGGGTCTCTGACGCAGACAGAGTTTGACGAATCTTCCCGTGACATTTCGAACCCGCCTGGCTGCAGGAAACTGGAAGCCTTCGTGAACAACGCATACCTGAGGCTGAACGCCGGCGTCTCAGGGGTACACAGGCATAGAAGGGGTACAGATACGCAGGTCACGAAGACGACGAATGAGGGCATCTGCATCCTCTGGAACGGGTACTGCGCATGCAGATCTCAGTCTTGAACTTTCATCGGCGCACCTTGTATGTAACGCCTTGTCCGGAGTTCGCCCCGGTTTAGCCTACATTGGACGCGAAGTCATGAAATGGGCGGGCTGGGCGGTCTCATTGGTTGCGACCTCCTTCCAAGAATACATCGAAACCCGCTTGCGAGGCACGCAGAGGCACAAGGAGGGGGCGTGTGGACATTCTGTCTGCATACAGAATGTCTCGACGTCTCGAGTCTTCACCTTGTCCCGCTATGTACTGTAGATACATCTGCCCTCCTTTTCAGAAGGGGGAGGGAGGGGGCGTGAAGGAAGGAATCCTCAACAATTCCTTGCCAGCGCAGACAACACACCCCAAACTCTAATGATTACTACAGAGGTCTCGTGAGAGTGCCTGCAAATCCGCAGCAGGCAAACACAACGCCACCGCGTCGACAAGTATCCGCTGGTACCCAGACAACCCTCTGCGACCCAGAGAGGCAATTTCGTCAAAGAAACCTCAACGTGCTCCCTTTCTGCCCTTCGGGTAAAGGCTGGTGAGTGTGACAGGACGTATCATGTGCTGGGTGACAAGGGCCTAGCACACGTCAAGATGCTGCGTAAGGGGGGAACTGAACCGTGTCGTTGGGTATGGAGCACAGGCTTGCCAAGCGTAGCGTGTGACTGCCGACAGTCCAGGCTGACCGACGAGGCCTTCTGCGCGGATAACGGGCAGCAAGGGAGGTGCGCTTAGGACTGCTCGTCCGGATTGACAGGCATCGCGCCCTCTGCGCTTAGGTCGCTGTTGGTAGGTAGCGCGAGGCGTACCAGGGAGCGTGTGTGCGCGTGTTGTTGTGTGGGCTCGATGGGCTCCTGAACGGGCTGACGGGAGCGCCATTGTGAAGAACGGCTTGGGCTGAAGACCCAGGTGTGGCAATGTCTCTGGCAATATTTTGCGACGGAGAAACATTTAGAGGAGTCCGTACGCACAGTTCCTCCAGGCCTCATCTCGGCTATTTGTTGGTTCCTTGGTGGCCATTGAGACAGGGAAGTAGGGTCGGCAGCTCACAGGCAAATTTCCATCAAGATGAGCTGCATTCGGTATTGAGGGGACTTTGCCTTGATGGGACATACAACAAGGCGTTGTTCGTTGGTGGACCTCCATCCCAAAGGGATAAATGATATCCAAGGGTCCGTGTAGATATCGCGATGATCATTCGCGACGTACATATCTCTGGTCACGGCTAAGTTTCACATTGCTTGTGCATGATAACAAGATACCAGAGGTCACAGGTCTTGACTTGCAGAAATATTGTCTTCGTAGCAGGATACATTTTGGCCCTGTGTCAAAGTTAAATGAAGGTCAAAAGTTGTTTGAGTCACATGTGGCTACGCAAGAAATAAGAGGTTGGTTGTTGGCTACGCCTTGTAAATTTTCTTAGACTAACACCATGTTCTCTTCTCCTCCCGACGGGAGTTGAATTCTACCTTCGCTTGTAAATATGCCGTTCAGGGATTACTCGAACGCAAGGGAACACATAGGTGGATATTGAAAAAGTGTTGCATGTTGGTCTGCGGTGATAAATCGTTCTCAAGTAGTAACATAGAATCTGCTTGGAAATAGGTCTCCATCGCTGTCAGAAACTATGAGTTGGGTGGAGTAGCAGCGGAGTGCCAGGTCTACATGTCATTTTTCCGCGTTGTACTGCTCCTCACGCCTCCCCCTGTCCTGAGTACCGAGAGGCCTCTTGAGGTAGCTACGTACACGCTTGCGCAAATCACCGCAAATGGTTACATGGGCGTCAACCGAGTCAATGAGTTTATACAGTTGGTAGTCGTCAACAACGTTGCAGAGGAGCAACGTTTGTGCGAAACAGGAGGAGAGAGGACGAGGCTGCAGATTGTCCGTCACGACTCAGGGGGCCACCGGGCCATTCACGATGACGGCTTCGGTTCTGGCGGCAAAAGGGGAGAGTAATAAAAGAGTGATCATTTGGTAACGAGATTAAACCATTGTCTTGTTTCAGTACGAAAGCTACGATGTGTGGTGCGTAGTGTCGCAGTGCGTCGCGATGGTGTAAGTCAAGCACGATAGGAGTAGCTATGCAGACCTTAGGCCTGCAGGAAGGGCTGATGACGTGGAGTGTCACTAGAGCCTGGGTGGATGTGACGGTCTTGATTGTGAGGTCTCGAAACGCAACAAGTATCTAGTAATCGTAACTTGTCACCACCTCGACGAGGTGTTTAGACTATGTCTCAGGGTCGAAGGTTACCGTGAGGGTATCCTCTCTCTGAGTCCCCTCAATTTGGACGCAAGCACTCCTGAAGTTAAAATGTCCGGCTATAGGATGCGATCAGAGGTCTTGTCTCGCCTTAGTGTGACATATCTTTTGGGCCTCCGCCGCACCGTCAAGTATAGAATAGGGGAATGTCTCTCCGGCGCCATTGTGGGCAGATCTGGCCCGACCGGCCAACAGACGGCGCCACCACTAGCCTGTCGGGGTCGCAATGTCTCACCTGGCAGCGAGCGCTTTAGTAGATACGGGTTATCGGAGACAGCATAGTCATTAGTGCACAAGCATGTCTTGCTCGTCCGCCGAATCTGACTCGCGGGAGGTATACATCTAAGGACTGTCATGCGGCTCGATAACTCTGGTCGTGTCGGCTTGTGGGGTGAGGCGGCCTGAACGTCATGCGCGCCATTTCTGCCACCTTAGTTAGTATTCCCGCTGGGCGGTTGCTTCGCCGTAGTTGCAAGATGCAGTCTTGAAAGTATGGTGTCGACAAGAAGCGATGGCGTTGTTTCGTTCCCGCATTCGAAAAAAAGGTGATGCTTAGAGTTGGACCTGTGAGATCTGCGTACTAGCGTTAAAGAGAGGACTGGACACATCACCTTCGACGTACACAATCTGACGGAGACGACAGATGGCTTGAAAGTTCAAGAGACACCTGAAATAAGCTTAGAGGTTCCCTCTACATGTGCCAAACCGAGATCTGCCTGCTCAGGCAACGCCGGGGGTGGTCAGCAAATAAGTGGATTTCACGGAGGGGTCCATTTGACTAGCAAGATGGAGTATTGTACCCTGGGAGGCATTATTCGATCGAGACCAACCAATCGTCCCTGTGGGCTGTAGGCATCCGTGGTGCCTTCTGCTCGCGCTTAGGTGGTGCAGATATGAGGCATCACAGGGGGAACACTGCTACCAGCCCTCTTTGGAGTGTTGGTCCCCAAACACACAACCATGGTGCAGATTCTGGAGCAATGACACCCCGGACATCGCTCGATAGGACATTGCGCCATGGTAACCCTGGTCCATGATAATTTGGACCCGAGATGCCTGCTCGCCCGGCCCAGCGGCTACCGTACTTCTGGTGACTATGCCCCGGGCCGAAGGGAGAGAGCAAAGCGGCTTAGACTTCTCAATCCGTGTGTTGGCCATGAAAATATTGGAAAACTGGTATTATTCCGGGTGTTGTACCCGTACCCCAGTCATCGCTGGCCTGGGTTTGGGAACCCTCGCCGAATACCACATTCAGTAGATTTGCCCCGGGAACCATCATCATGACTATTTCGCATATGTATTGAAATGGTTAATTGGCTCGCTATTTATTTTCGTCCAGCTATGTGCAGATTTCACATATACAATGAGTGACAGGCACCAAGTGCAACTGTCTTGGGGGTTCTGTTTTTCCAACCACCAGCTTCCCTTGGGAGCTTTAAACGCCTTGCTTCTCCAACCTTGTAACATAATGCCCGGGATAACGCCTTTGAAATACACACAAGTCTTGAGTTGCCGTCGATACAACGACTCACGGTATCCTAATTTTCTTTTTGAAAATAGTGTTAAATGGATAGCACCCGCCAAAAGTGATAGCAGCTGCTATGAGGCACAGCCTGATAGCGTGTATAATATCCAGTATTGCAAAGATCCGTTGCTGGTGAGTATACTGAGAGCCAATCTCAGATGCGAGGGGTAGTATTGATGATGAGGGAACCGCGCAAACGGTGGCTCTTCCTGAAGAGGACCGCGCCAAAAAAAAAAAAAAAAAAAAAAAAAAAAAAAAAAAAAAAAAAAAAAAAAGCATGTTGTACATCTATTGTCGACTTGTTGAGTGATGGAATGCGCGACATGTATCAGCTGTCGAGAGATCATTTTTCGCGCTTCTGGTAGCAGCAGCACGCGCATTCATTCTCTGGCAATGTCTCCTTCCAGAGACCATTGTCGACTGCGTGCCTATACGCATCTTCGCGTTCTCCACATCGTCTGGGTGCTGCATTGCGAGTTAATTCCAAGGAGCTTATTTGATCAATAAGAATGAGGGTTCGTACCTAGTTTAGCAGCTAGTTGTTTATGCTCCTCCTTGACCCAAGGGTAGGTTAGGGCAACCTCTGGCCAGATGTTGATGAGCCCATAGACCTTCTTGTCTGGTTGGTCTCGACACTTCTTCTCCCAACGGTCAATGTGACCGTTTGGCAGATACTTGAGAGCGTTCGTCTCAAGGTCGACAACCGGCAAGTTCTTGTTCTGCCGATAGTATACTCCTTGCACTCCTTGGGTGCCACGCTCAAACTCACTGTCCGGAAAGTACTGCTGAACTTGGTGTGCGATCTCATTCCAGGTGAGAATGACGTCAACCTTGAGGTACCTGATGAAGTCCATCTGCTCCCTAGTGTACCTCTTGTTGCAGTGAGGTGTGTCCTTGGGCTTCTTCCGGATGCCTCCATGTCGGATATGCCTTAAGGAGTCAGCTTTCCGGGCGTGGTTGACTAGCCGATGGTCGTAGCCAGGGCTCCGACTGGGACTCGGCTGCGGATATTCAACCTTGATGTGCAATCGGCGTGCAAGTGCAGGAGGATGAAGAGCTTCTGGCAACGGGCTTTCTCTCCACTGCCGGCCATCCCTGCTTTGTCTCCGTCGTTGTTCATTCAAGAAGCCAGTAATCGGATCATCGTCACCTAGATCGCCATGGTATCGCGACAGAACGTAGTCTGCGCAAGCCGAGGGCTCCGGGGATGTGCTGTATGTGTAATGTGTTGGAGGGCTCTGCAGATTTGGCGCTTGTGTGACCGTGGTGCGCGGGACATTGAGGATACTGCTGAGACCAGGTAGAACACTTTCTGCTGACGCCCGGCGCATCATGGGTGGTAGTTTCGCGATCCCCGCGGCTGGAGTCGCGTCAGGCTGGAGCGACGGTCTTCTCCACGGCACTCTTTGTAGTTGAGCCTCCATGGGCTCGCTCTTCCGTAGAGGGGAGCGAGGTGGCGATGATGGCGCGGTTGACATTGTCACTTCTGATTCTGTGAAGGAGTCATGCGAGCAGCAAGACGTCGTTGGCGAGCGCAGTGATGGTTCCGCGGTGGTAGCCGATACAGAGCTACCGTGCCATCTTTGTTTTGGCGTTGAACAACCGGCGCTGTACATGTTTCGAGTCTCTGAGTGACGGAAATGTAGAGCAAGAGGTTGCGTTGTGGTCAGAGGGGCGGCCGCTGTTGCCATCGTCCTTGGGAAGTCGTCGTATATAATCACGTTGTCGAGTTGCCCGGAACTAGAGTTGCTTCCTGGGTTCTGCGAGTGTGTGAAGACAGAGTGAATAGACTTAGACAGGATGGAGCGCCAATCGTGGTAATGAAGAAACAGGTGCCAGCTTATTTATGAACAGGATGACCAGTGTAAGTCGACCAAGGTAGCGATGTGGGGTCTGTCAATCCACAATGTCTAATATACCAACGGCGTCCCGAGCAGGAGAGGACCAGATCAACCCGAAGAGGATGGTTGTGACTCGAAAGATGGTTTCTTGCAGACAAGCAGAAGGCGAACCCCGGGGTGCTGGTAGTGTGCGGCGATGAGAGCCTTATGCAATGGCTTCTGGGCTTCTGGGCTCCACAAGCCGCGATACAAAGGACAGCAACAAGGTACCTAGGCCAGCAGGCCGTCGAGATACATACAGCAGCGATAGTGCAAGAGGCGTTCGAGAAGCAGCCACCTGGTACACTAGGGTCCAAGACATGTTCAGTATAAGTGAAGGCCACTGACGGGTGGGGAGCGGGGGGAAGGAATGTATTCGTACCGCCAACGCAATCAGCATAGGAGAAAGGGTAAAGTCCCCAATGGCGATATACGGGCGAGGCAGAGCGCCAGGTGGTCCCACATCATGGCTGCAAGGGGGGTCTGGTTCGAGGGTGACCCTGGACTATCCCATCCAGGTCGGCATACTGAATACAGTGTCTCAAAACTGACAACTTTATCTGTCAGGTAGTGGCCGCTCCTGCATGCTTATTCGAGCACAATTGACTAGCACAAATCGCCTAGCCCCAAGGGGCCGCATGTACCACAATGTATACCTCGCATTAGCTGGAGGAGCCATGATGGAGTCGCTGGATGGATAGGTAGATTTCACGACGAGTTGCTCCGTCGTCCGCTCGGTGGCCAGACTGATGGGGGGGGGGGGAAAGCCCTGCTCGCCACCGGCAGGACAGCGCATTGCAATCATGATCCTTTCGGCGGTGGGTTGACACTGTGGCAAGCATTCTTCATTGATTGTGTGATTACAGAAAACCACCGTGAGTGGTTTCCAAGCAGTTGGGTCGAAGCGGCCAATCAGGGAGCCGGATATTCATGGAGATGGCAGGCATGGCCAGCGGAGAGGGGGCACAGTCGCCGGCGGGCGTGCAGTTCTGTCCAAGGAGGCGCTGCGCCGTTGTGGAGCGTTATGCAGTATATGATATGATCTGACAGATCTGCTGTTGGTCCGAAAAAAACACGACAAAAATCCCTGGGCTACAGAGGTCAGGGTAAGGTAACTCAGACAGAAACCTGCCAGGCCGAGTGGCCGCCCCAACCACAGCCGAGCACGGCGTCAGAGCCTCCATTCACAGCCGTGGCCTCGTAGCCGAGCCGCGGGCTCCAGGAGGCAAGATGGCTAGGTTGGTCCTGAGCCACGGCGAGGGGCTTGGATGGCCAACACAGCACAATGGCGCGCGGTAAGCATGTTTGTTTGCTCCTGGCAAGCCCGGGGTATCGTCAAGCGCGGCGGTAGAGGAGGGCCTGGGCGGCGATTGGGTCGCCCGAGCAGCGAGAGGGGGGGAGGGATGGGCATTCTGACCAGTCTTGACTGGCCTCACTCGCTGACCCTCCCTTCTCGGGCCGGCGCGAAGTGGGTGGTTGGTCGGCTACCAGAACCTTGTACACAGGAGTCCCCATACATTCCTTGCAGAATTTCGGCAGCCAGGCGACAAATAAACAGGTTGAGCAGGGCCTGAGCCGCGGACCCCAACACTTTATGCAGGCGACGCCCAATTTTTCCGTTTTCCGAGTCGCTGTCCTTGGCTTGCACAATGGCAAACTTTGGGGACAACAGAGTCACCTCACCCCGGGCGCTAGTCGTCCGTCAACTCCGACCCTGACACATTAGAGTCTAGGGCGGAACAAAAGCAACGAGGCTGATCGTCGTACGTAACGCTTGATGTAGGCCATTGTGCAGGAGGTGCGCTGCAGCTTGACCCTCTACCTACCTTGGGTTGTCCTTTGTCTATGGCGAGCCCTGCCGAATGCTCATGTTCCCGTGAACGGGAAGGGCTGCTGGCGGGAGCATGTCACGCCTGGTTGAAGTTATGCTGGACGTGCATGTCGAGGTGACATGGCAGATGTGACTATCAGCATGGTGGTGCATTGCCAAGGCCTGAAGATTGTCCGTCCAGAAAACACCCCCGCCCAGATCCGCCGACCCTGTCCGTCACGGCGTGCACCCTAGGGGCCGCTGTGCTTCTGTTTCTGGAGGTCACGGACCTTGACAGCTCGGAAATCAGTTCTCGATTTGGTGTACGGCACAGCTCGAGTAGATCTCAACCTTATGCCACTATCAAAGTTTATTGGGAGGCCTTGAAGTGCTGAGGGCCTCATGGCCTGCGCGCTGCTTTTCGCGGACTTTTGGCAACCCCGTTCGCACAATCATGACGATTCACGGAGGAGCCGCACTCCTCCTATGTGTTTATCGTTGGGTCAACTACATAAGCTGCTTCTAGATCTAACTCAACGCGGTTACGGTTCAGCACGACCGCGGCCTTGCAGGCGTTTTGTACAACGTCAAAGGGGCTATATTTCTTTTCGGGGAACGCTTTTATATATTTGGCCAATGAGGGCTCGTGCAAGCAGCTTCTTATATCTAGCTGAACGGTCGGCTCCGACTTTGAGGAGACGGCTGAGTGAACCGATCGTCATCTGGATCTAGTCGTTATGACGAGTAGTAGCCCGTCCTACGTGACTTGAAACATACAGGGTTCTCCAAGTTGATCTTGGCCCATTACGTCTCGCAGCCACGGTACGCAAGCTCTTTGAGCTTGTCAATCTGGCTTGTCTGCTTGTCTAGATACCAATACCCGGACTGAACTCTAAGTTCGTAGAGCGCATTCGTGAGCGAGAGTGCGAGAGACAACGCTGATCTGGGTTGATTGGTCCTGATGCGCGAGGCTGAGATGGATCAAAGTCAACACCAGAGTCCGGTCCTGCAGGGTAACGCCTAATCAGGCCAAGGTGGTCTTCATTTGTTTTTCACAAAGCTGCAGGACCGCCCGATCTTGCATCACTGTAGCTGGGTACTCGGGGTGATCAGGGGGCATCGGTGACAGAGTGGCTGAGACATGCAGAACATTATTTTGATAGAAGACGGACTCTAAACCGGCCAGACTCAGCAACAGTTGGCGCAAGTTCGGCACGTATAACTAGACTAACCCATCTTAGCGTACACGAACCGGTTCGTATAACGCTGTTACACGATCACCTAGTGAGCCGTAGTTGGGAGGGTGTAGAGAATAGTGGCACCACTTGTATAGCTCCCGAGGTCGTCTCTTGAAGGTATGTATCATCCTCCGAGAACAACAGGTAAAACATACTCTGGAGACACTGCATGAAGAGATGACCTGTCCTTGAGAGTGGTCTGATGTTTCAATCCAAAATTCGGACGTCCTACTCAGAGTTTGGAGCTGTCCACAATGGGTTGATCGTGTTTACCCCTACGCTCGGATTTCGGTACCTCGACATCAACGCCGAGGCCAGCGTTGGACCCTGCTAGGTTTTGCCGGCCGACGGCGCTGAAGGACTCGTCCCCGGAAAATCGCCTTTGTGCTAGTCAGAAATCATACGTTCATCGCAGAATTAGGCGAGTTGTAGCCGAAGAAGCAATGTGTCGCCGGGGGAACCGCCAAGGGGGCAACGCAATCACTCACCAGCCTCTCTCTGGTCCTCCTTTCAGGAACGAACAATCCGAGTCCAACTCGCAATCCCAGCCGCCCTGAACCCCTAAGCCTCCCCTCCAACTGGGCCCCGGACTGCACCCCGACGGATGATCGCTGGTGCCTGCAGCTTGCATATCTGCTCCGGCAGCAGCTCCCGCCCCTGACATCTGCGTGATCCCTGAGATCGCAGAATCGTCAGCTAAGCGATCTGGAGCTGCCATCGGTTGCCGTTCCGAAGTATCTGTCTGACGTCCACTGTGGCTATTGCGACGTCGGTAGATGCTTAGGCCGCAGGTGAAGGCGGCGAAGTCTTCCTCCTCCACATGTTCGGGCATGCGTCCAGTCAATACTCGGCCCAAGGCAATAACCACAGCTGCGTGACTACTCAGTACGATAGCTCTGATACCCTCCTTGTCGCACTGAGCGATGATCGCATCCATAGCGCTGGCGACCCGGTCGTGCAGCTCTGACAGAGACTCCCCATGGCTTGGAGGCGTAACTTGAGAGACATAGTTCGCATCGATGTCCGGGAAGAGCTCCTGCAGCTTGCTCAGGGGTGCAGATGCTGGGTGATTCCATGGTGCTAGGCCAAACCACTCGCCAATACCTTTCTCTACACGAATCGCTGCCAGATGCGCTTTAGAGTTTGACACTGTCTCCGAGGTCTCATTGTACTTTGCCACGAACGGGTTTATCGTCTGCAAGCATCGATAGTAGGGACTAGAGTAGATCCGTCCGATGGGCGGGTCAAGTTTCAAAAGACGCTGTGCCAGCTCATTGGCCTGCTCGACACCATACGAGGTCAGGGGAGGATCTGTAGGCACACCCGTTGGGGAAAGAATCGCAGTCGTATAGGTTCCTGATGCCGGATCAACAGTGAAAGCAGGACGGAACTGACGGAAGTCAGCTCAGATCCAGCTAATTCTTGACATGATTTTTGCATGAGGGGCTGCCAGATAAGAGTGCTAAGCCCAGAAGGCGTGACTTGCGGCTGAATAGCAATGCTGGCCTCCAAACTCTAATTGGCGTCTTACCCCATGACGAGTCACATAGATGAACTCGAGCGGCATCGGAAATGCAGGGGCGCTGTCAAAGCGCGGGAGACCTCTTCGCGGCTTTCGTCACCTTTCGGATATGGATGATGATCTTGCGAGGGTATGGACGAGCGACTGAGTCCAATGTCACCAGTGATGGACGTTTGTGAGATTTGCTTGGGCAATCCTTGTCGGACACGGCACTGCGACTTTTCTTTTCAAGCGTTCGTTGATCTGCAGGTCAGTTGCGCGCGAGTCACTCAGCTCCGCCCCTGTCTATTGTGTTGAGTGAACATTGGGGCAGATCAAGGGGAGCAGCATCCTTGATATCTGATAGGCCACCAGAGAGACCCTCTGCTCACGTGCCGCTTGACCTCGGCTCTCCAGATTCTATGCTCGACCAATCAGCATCCAGACGAAATTGCTTGATGCAGGTATCCGTTGAAGAAACCTTAGCACAACGTCGTGTTCAATCACGAGTGGTTATACTCGTACAGCATGTTCAATCTGCAATTGAAAACAGTATGGATCGCAGAAACCTCAAAGGAGGAGGAAGTGTTCCCAAATGAAGAGTGTGCAGGGATTTCTGATTTGGCCTAACACCACGAGAAGGTTGAGGCAAATTGCAATCTGCGGCACAGTTTCATCGTAAACACACCTACACACCTTGATGGGATATGCATGAAATGCCTCGATTCAATGTTCGTGAGTTTGAAGGAAAGATCCCTTCCTCCAATTGACCACACATGGCTGGATACCGGTGGATTGTCGCTTTTCCGTAAATGAACACGGCTGAATGAAGCCACGACGAAGAGGCAGCAATCACTCAGGTTGCCATTAGGGGCAATATTCAACCAAGGCGGCTTGCATACAGCCGTCTTGAAATATGCTGCTCTACCTAAGCTCAAATTACGGCAGTCCCCTTGCAAGTACTAGTACTTCGCATCAGAATGGTCAGCCGACCTCCACGAAGCAAGGGATGAAAAATATGCCACGCTGGCGCATCACCACCGAGACACGGGAGTGATACTCTGCAACATATTCTCGACACCTTTCTGCAAAGAAGAGTTCACTAGTTGCTACAGAATAAACACCTGAGACCTATCCGCAAGTATAGATAACGAAAGGTAGATTGCAAGAAGGATATAGACACAAGAGAAGTGCTTACTTCTACCCTAAATAGAAACTAACCAAGCACATACGACCATAGGTACTAGAGAACTCGGGATCCCGTCCGCTCTCCCATAGATAAACTGGTAACCGCTGGATTAGTAGTTGGGTGGGTGACCACCAGCGAATACCCGGTGTTGTATGTTTTTGCATCTTTGGATGGTCTTTTATTTCTTTTATTTTTTTTTCTTGGTTGGGGACGGTGAGATGATGGCCCTGAGCGCGAAAAGCGAACATGAGGTTAGCATTTTGAAGGGTCAGACTTGACTTAACCCTGCGAAGAAGCATTTTCATGTTGCTACGAGGTCTAATCGCAAATATGGAACACGGGAGTGAACGCACGGAGAGGCTTCGCAGGCGCCTACAGGTAGTATTAAGTATAAGGAGAAGAAACACATATATTAGGAAACTCGGGGTCAAGTGTTCTCTCCTATGGATAAAATGGTAGACAGACTCTAACTTACTCCGTAGCGAGAGTGGGTGATTACCCTTTCGGTGATAGCGTGGCGAAGACGGCCTCATGAGGCTCGCAGTGACCTATTCAAGCGTTTCCATAACTTCGACCCGTGTCATACAAACCACTCCCAATATCAGATTTGGAATCAATCATAAAGTATCAATCATCTCATGTATAAAGGTTTATATGACGCAACCCCACCATATCGTTGGCACAACCAGCGCGACACTGTAACCCAAACCTACGAAGGAAATCCTTGAGGGAGAAGGCTGAAGTCCAGCAATATTGAGCTTTTCGTCACTATTTTCACATTATTTACCATGTAGTATCGTTATATCTACATAACGGAACAGGCCGTGTCCGCTTGATCATTAAACTCATCGTCCTCCTTTCGTGGAATCTCCTTGTCCGTCTTGAGCTCCGTCTCCAAGTCCTTCCAGTAGATGTGGTCCATGAAGCCCGCGCGGGGGTTCTGGAACTGCTCCGCCATGATGCGCAGACACTGCTCGTCGCCGCCACGCAGGGCACCTACCGCGAGGCTGAGCCTCTTTTCCCGCATCAGCGTCGGGTCGACCTCGTACGCCCGGACGTACGTCGGGTTCCGCAGCTTCCGCAGCTCATCCTCCATCTGCATGAACTGTATGAAGAAGCGGGCCGTCACCCAGACAAAATTGAGGCTCGACAGCGGCTCGCGCCCGCACACGTCGGCGTGGATGTCCCACTTGAGGAACTCAAGTACGTCAACGCCGTCCAAGTCCAGCTCCTCGTGCTGAACTTTGCTCTCAGACCCGGCCTGGCCGCCCGTCTTGAGTTTCTTGCTGAGCTCACGTAGCCCACCGGACTCCGTCATATAGCCTGGCTCTGCCATGGCAGCAAATCTCGCCATCATGGCAGGATCCTCGTGATTCTTGTTGTTCATCCGGCGGACCATTGATGACATACCCGCCAGTATCTCTTCACTCAGCTTGGCAGCGCGCATACGACTGGTCAACTCTGTCTCGGCAGGCCGTAACTTGCCGGTCTCTGGGTCGACGACGAGTTCTGTCTGCGCTACGCGAAGCATCGCCAGCATGCTGATCGGCTTGATGTCACTGTCTGCAACGCGCTCGTAATTCCAGTCCGCCTTGCGGTACGACACCAGAGTAGTAGGTGTCTTGAAAAACTTATTCGCGTTCACGTCTAGCATTCCATGGACGTCACTGGCCTGGGCATTTGACCTCCTTGCGGCCTGTTGTGTGGCTCTGGCACGGGCGGTGTTGTACGCATCGACTTTGGCTACTAAGGCTTCCAGAAAGTTGGAGGTTGGAACTTTGCCGTCAATGAAAAAGGCGTCCGTGAAAAGACTCTGTAGGCTCGCGTACAAGCCGACGGGTTGAGCAATGTAGCCTCTTTGTACAAGCATGTTGTGAAGGTGAATTAGCAGAAACGGCTCTGGGATCCGATCCCAGATCATCATACCAAACAAGTACGAGATCTCGAGGCCCTCCATCAGCCCCAAGCCACATAAGAAGGGTGAGTATTCCCAAAGCCCGTTTGCGTTTGAGTTGCTAAACTGAGAAGGCGGAATTGATTTCAGAACGTACCCATACTTGGACTCCCCTAGCCAATCGATAAAGTCCTGTTGTGCTATCTTGAGAACTTCCATGTGTTTAGTGTGGCGTTTTGGGTTTCCATGCGTTTGGGCATCCCTCTCGAACAATTGCTCCAGAATGTCGACTGCCTGCAGAAATCCAGAACCACCCCGCTCGTTTTCACGATCTAGAAACAGGTCCACATCGCGTCTTGGTCGAAACTGGTGCGCCGGTGGTCTCATTACGTGGCCTCTGAAAGTGCTTGTGGAGAACCCGCGGGAGACCATCAACGAGTCGACGATACACTGAAGCTGAAATATGGAATGAGGCTGGACTTTATTGCGGACATCCGTGCCCTGCTTTTGCGTGGCGAGGGAGGTGACCCAACCAGCGAACTCATTCAGGCCAAAGAGTCTTCTATGTACGCTCCACGGACCGTCTTCAGACCAGTCAACCTTCTCAAGAGCCCAGTTCTGGCCCTTGAGAGTGTTGCGTTGAACAACAACTGACGAAAAGAGGTTGACAAGATCATAAAGCCAGTTGATGGTGTAAGACCGGCGCCATTTCAGTCTCTGCTCGGGGGTTGCCTGCTGCAAATTGAAAGTAGGGTCCCAGTTCTGTATCTCGGCAAGCATGGACTTAGTTGGCTTTCCACTGCGTGTCTTCTGGTAATCGGCCACAAAGTCAAGAAGATCATTGTAGGTGTGTATCATCAACTGCTCCTTGACATCAAGCGCCGCCTCTTCCACGCGGGTTTGAGCTTGGGCTTTATAATACTTGATCAACCGTAGCTTGAAGTTTCCTTGTATCTTCTCCACATCCCCACGCGTGATGGTGTTCATGATCGTGTGGAAAGAATCATGGCCCGGAAAGTCGAGGTGCATGGCTAGCTCCGATCGTTTCAACATGGATACAGCCACGTTGCTAAGTGTACCAGCGACCGCGGCATTGAGGCCATCGTATGCAACCTGGCGCCAGGTCTTCTGCATGAAGCCTCGAAGATCAATCCACTCCCGGGCTAGTGCGTAGGTGGCCATCAGGTAGTCCGTCATGATGCCTTCCTTGTCCGCGATGATGCGGTAGCTTTCAATCGGCACGCCGACAAGAGGCGGCTCGTTGGCGACTTGTTTTTTCTGCTTCTGCTTGGGTTTCTTGCCGCGTTTGCCTTTCTTGCCTTTACCAGAATACTTCTTCTGGGGCCTCTGCGCAGCCGCGGGGCCGTCAGATGCATCACTGGCAGCTTCTGCATCGTCCTGCGCCTCGTCATTGACTGTCCCAAGGTTCAGAGAGGCAAACTTGTTGGCCAGGAGAATTATATTAGTCTCAGCCGCTTGAGCCTCGTGGAGGGAGCCGGCGTCAGCTTCCCTCTTCGCAGTCTCTGATTCACCGCCCAATGCCTTGAAGGCCTCCTTGAGGGCATCGATGAAGTGCTTGTGCGACGCGTTGTTCTTCTTGACCTCTGGGTCAGAGTTCTCAGCCGCCAGCTGCTTAAAGGCTTCGTGGGCCTCCTCGCGCGCTTTGATGACGGATTTGAACAAGCGGTATACGATGGGCGGGACTGTCTGCCTTCCGATATGCTCTGCGATGAGCTTGGCCTGCGACATTGTGAGCACTCATGCCGTCCGGACAGCCAAATGTGTATCGGTTCATAAAAGGGTCGATGTCCGACGTACCATAGATACCAGGCCGTAAACCGTAGTCTTGCCAGTGGTGTTCAGCAAGCTTAAGCCATCTTCATCTTCAGCACCAGTCTTCTGGATGATGCTGTTGGACGCCTGGATGACCCAGTACAGAAGCTCTGCCGTCTCACGCTTGTACGTGAGGTAGGCATTGTGGCCCGCCATCTGGAAGTGGTATTCGGCACCTTTCACAGCTGGTTCTTGCCGGAGATGGTCGTCTGTGTAAGCCGTTTGTAGATGACAACGTCGCATTACCTGGCCCGCATTGGCTTGGTGGGGTATGAAAGGGGACCGTGCGGTGCAGCAAGCATTCTGCACACTCCATGTAATCTGTGTTAACTAAATTCAAGACGAGAGGTCTCTCAAGTGCATACGCATTCCGTTTACATGGAGCATGCTGCGCGGTCTCCGGCTGTCCCATCATGCACTCAGCTCCTGTATCTCCAATACAGCAGCAAGGATAACAATAATGGTCACTGCTGTGGCTTTAGATTGGCTGGTTGAGGGTTTATAACGTATACTCATATACACTTGCAGATGAATCGTAGAGGCGCCAGACACTTGACGCAGGAAAGCAGCAGGTTGTGACGGAAAGAGCTGGCTGGTGGGGCGGCTTTTTCAAGATGACCTCACCCCTTGAAGCGATGGGCCGGTTGCCTTAGTTTTGCAAGTCGCTCACCAGGTTAGCAAGCAACTCCCTCACTGTATATTCCGTAACTTCTTCTCGGTCTTGGTCTAGTCTCCTTTTTGCCAGCACAACGTTGATATCAAACTCAGTATCTGTGAATTAGCAAGACTGAGTTCGCCCTAAAATCCCCAGTCCCTGGTACGATGATGGATGTAGTCGACCAAGCTCAATCCCTTTCTACGCAAGGAGGCCTGGCGGAAGAGGAGGAAGATAAAAAGTGCAGAAACGCGAAAGCGTAAGAGAAATTCAAACAGCTATATAGCGAAGAGTACAGAACGGCCTCCCCAGAGGCTTACGACCCCTTCAAAGAACTATATGACATTGAGTACAGAAGGGAACACCCAAAGGTGAACGACTCCTCCAAACAGAAAGGTCGGCTTACTAGATTCACAGCGTTTCTTTGGTGGGTTTCAATCTCTACCAGCACTTCAATTGGAGCCATATGTCTCCAAAGTTGCTGCAGGAATCATGTCCTCTTACCGTAAGAGTCTTTAGCAAAGGGCTCACCGCAGACATGGACCCACAGCAAGTGCAGAGATTCTACCAGGAGCGGAAGACAGTGTGTGGGAGACCAGCACCAGATGTGCCGAGCTGAAACAGAAGCTCATGGAAGCACCAGTCCCGCGGGAGACCAACAAGATCGTCTGCTTCGGTCCGGTGTCCCTCACGTATGACCTCCACTGTCTCGACAACGATAATCCAAACAATCAGAGGTTCAGCTCCACCACACAGCACGCTGCCGCAGTGACGATGGCTGAGGTTCTCAGGCTGAAGACCGGCAACATGGTCAAGCTGCTAGCAGAGGACCCTTGGTACGACAGTGCCTCCAAACACGTACTCCGCCAGGAGGGCTTCCAGGTCATCGAAGGGCACGGCGGCCGAGGCTTCCTGGAGGTGGACGAACATAGTCTCGTCTTCACCGTCAGGTGTAACGTCCCCGTCAAGCAGGTCGTTTGCGACTGGTTCAGCCCGCCGCTTTGGTCTGGGCTCCTGTAAATCTCACTGATATCACTAATGGCAAATGGAACAAGGAGATTATGAATGGAGAGACAACAGTAATAGTGTAAGCATATTTCTTTCTCCAACCTATGTTTTCCCCTTAAGAGCCGAAGACCGCCGGCGCTGATGAACCGAGAAAGCTCGTGGATGGCTGATAATTACTCACCAAGGACGATACAGCTACAAGCAGAAAACTACTTGGAGACACCTTGGACGAATGACAAAGACCAGCCATTCTCCCAACTGTCGATATTTGTGCGCCATAATAATGATTTATTCCTACTTGTTCATCTTGACTGGAGGACTTATGACGCTGAAATTGAAATGACCTACTGTGGAAAAGATAGAGTCTCGAGCCGGAACGAAGGTGCAGAATACAAACGGGAGCGGATCAATATTAGTGCTTTTAAAGCAGCCAAAGAATATCTCGTGAGTGCTGCTTGTTCTACTTCAACCAATTCACATGATTTGTTCGGTGAGGGGGAGGTGTCATGCATAAAACTATGAATATACTACCTCAGGAACGTTGGATAGCTATCATACTAGCCAGTAGCATCTGATAATATCCCTCCGAGTCTTACCTCACACTATGCCCGTCTTACTCACGGGCTGCCTTCTTGCCCTTGCGGTCCTCCCCCTCAAGACTTGCCACGCGGGGAATCTCGGGCAGCGTTATCTGTCTCAGTGCAGCCATTTCCGCCTCATAGTCCACCTCTGTCTCCTCCTCCCCTTCGTCATCGTCGCTATCGAGCGACATTCGGATCGCGGTGGGCTCATCGTCGACAACCTGCCTCTCGATAGAAGTTGGGTCAAACCTCGGCTTGCGGCGAACCTCTCGGTCGTCCGCCCCGAACTTGTACTCACCTTTCTCGGGGGATGTCAAGATCTGTGCGTGAACGACCGGGATAGGTGCTGGGGCGGTGTGTCCCGTTTCCACGAAGTCGTCTCCCGACTGGTCGTAGGGGCCAGCTTCCTTAGGAGCGTTGGCAGGCTTGGGGTCGCGCTTGGGGCTGCCCGATTTGTCGGACCTACCTTTATCCTCAACAGATCGCATGACATGATTGCCAGACGGCTTGACCGGGAAGGGGCGGGTCGCCTTCGTTCTCTCTTTGCGGTCCTTGGACGAACCCTTCGGTGAGCTGCTGTGTGGGCGCGACGATGACCGGTCATGGTGGCGGTGGTGCGTTGCACGTCTGGCGCTCGAAGCCTTGGACTTTTCCAATGCCTTCTTCTTCTTCTTGTGCCAGCAGGCCCAGAGCCCGCAGAACATAGCTACGGCAACGACGGTAAGTACGATGCCAACGATCAGCATCGTGTTGTCCGTTGCAGGAGGCGATGCGACGCCATGTGGCTCCACATCCTGCCTCTTTACAATGAACTTGATCGCAGCCATAGGAGCCATGTCAAATGTCAGCCAAAGCGAAAGTAAGCCACCGAGTTTCCTGAACTCGGTATGTACTTGATGTGTCTGAGCACACGTATCAGTTGAAGTGGATATCTGAAGCGCTTCTCTGTATGGAGGGCTAGACGAGGCCAGACACCGGACTTTGTATTCAGACGCTCAACAACGGCGTTGAACCAAATACCTCACAATGTTTTGTTCCAAATGCCGGCTTTGTTAGTGCACGAATTACTGGCGCGTCACTTCCAGTCAATTCCGTTGAATTCGTTAGGTACCAAACTTAGACAATGATACACAGCCCCTCTGATTCCTTGATTTTCCGTGAGATACAATGCATGCAATGTTGCGTATGCACAAAGAAATCTTGTCTACGGCCTAGATAGCCTCTTGGGCCACGTGAGGTTTCCCTTGAGCAGTCATTACGTGATTTAATACCCTTGGAATAACAAGTACAATAGTATTTGCTTTCTCCATGTAGGCTACGATCGTTAAGTCCATTGTCTGATTCGACAGTCATTCGCTAGAGATATCCTCTTCTTAATGACACTAGCGCTTTTACAGTGAGGTCTCAACTTCTTATTGTTGGTTGGTAGTTGCGTTGTATATCGTAAATCTATACTTCCGCCACCCAACTCATTTATGGACATAATGCAACATTTGCAGTCTACCCATGATGCTCAAGTATGCAGCCGGTCCCGATCTTCTATAACTCCGTGCCAGAAACACTACATGCCGACTCCCAAAGTCTTTTTGCTGTTCTACTTTGCAGGATCTCGTATTCGCTGAAGTGCAGATTGCTGTTCGAGGGTATCACGCGCCAAATCTCTTCTCCATGAGTACCTGCCCCAATATTCGTCACCACTCATCGCCACCAACTACCGAATTCCTTCATTACCCGAGTATCCCACCCAACTGTTCCCATCGCACCTCGTTGTTGCCTTTCGAGGTCCAATAGACCTTCTATTCCTCCACCTGGCACCAAGGGTGCTTCATGACTTGCTCGATATTGAACCGCTGGGATACGTCACGATTGAGCATGCAACGGATGAGATCGATGCTGTCGTCGCTGATCGTATATGGTACCCGCAGATCACGATCCATTATCTCGTCAATGCTGTAAAACGGGTTCTCTTTGTAAATGATAGTGTAGAGCAGAATGCCCAGAGCCCACACATCTTGTTCTTTACCTCCATACGGTTTGCCTGCGAGGACTTCGGGAGCCGCATAATCTGTACGTTTGTTAGAGTGATAGACTCAACTGCTATGCCAAGGGACTCACCAATCGTGCCCACGAAAACATCGAAAGGCCCACTTTTGATATAAGCTGCGCTGCCGAAGTCAATAAGCTTGATGTGACCCTCGCCATCAAGAATAACGTTCTCGTCTTTAATGTCTCGGTGCACCACAGTCGCCTTCGTGTGCAGGTGATGCACAGCCTTTGCAACCTGTACGAATATGCTGCGGCATTCGTCTTCTTCCATGTTGGCTCGAAGCTCAATGTAGTCAAATAAATCCATCCCAGGCAGGCCGTGAGGCGCCATTTCGATGTAGTAGTTCGTCTCATCCTCGAAAAAGTCTTCCATTTCGACGATGTTCGGGTGCTTCAAGTCCTCCCGTCGGAGATAGTTGAGAACGTGAATCTCCAGGGGAATGGTACCCAGGCGGCGATCTCGCGTCCAGGTGTCCACCAGGATGCGTCGTTTAGTCACGTACTTCAGAACGACTTTCCGACCTCCGTTATGCTTGTAACGAGCGAGTTTGACCTGACCGTACGCTCCTTGGCCCATATCTTCTAGGATCACGAAATCGTTGATCGTCTTTTTCCCTTTCGGTGCTTCGGCTGGCTTGGAGGCAGATTGCACAGTCTTTTCGTCGGCTTTTGTAGAGCCAGTAATCCTCCCTACTGCATTCTTGGCCACGTCTTTGAGCTGTTGCGTCAATGCGGACGCTGTCGAGACCTTTCGAGGTTCGTCGGAATCAGACGCCACTTCTTGGGGCGTGTGTGCTGGTGTTTGGCCTGGAGAGGGCTGGTGTAGAGGTGTAGCTGCACCAGACATAATTGGTGAGCTGGGAATGATAGAGGCAGTCCTTGGAACGTGAAGATGTCTTGAATAGGTTATCCACAACGCGAACACCATCTCGGATTCCTTTTGAGAAACCGCTTCTTCTATTGGGGATAATTCATCGTCGCTTGCCCCTGAGTCGTGTGCCGATTGTTTCTCACTCTTTACTACTCTCATCTGGAGATCGATTTTGAGTTCAGTACCATCACGGTGCTTAGCGGGCAGACCCTCTGGATTCAGGAAGTTTGTTGCGGCATCAGGCCTACCCTCCCGAATGGCAAAGAAAGCCGCAGCTCTCCTGAAGTTGTGCTCGGGGATAACAATACCATCGTGAAGGTCGACACCTTCTTGTTCGGTGAGTATCTTCAGAATCCTATCGAAATCGGGTATCAGAGAATTGATGGGAAGGCCGTCGGGCTTTTCGTAGCCAAACAGCGCTCCGCAGAACACCGAGTTTGAGCTCTTGATCTTCAGAGACGCTGTTTCAACGACCACAATGCCGGCAATATGTGGATAGCTTGAAACACGTAGCTCGGTCTGCCCTCTTGTCTGAGAAATCGTTGCAGGGATGTTGATCTTGCTACTGTTGCGGCAAGTAAAATATTTTCGCCTTGCAATCTGAGCATAGTCAATGGCACCTTCTCGTGGATCGATTCCTTGGCGCGGAATACGTGTTATGAGCTTTCCCACATCGATACCACCCTGAGGGGTGTTCTCTCCCCAGATGGGGACGGTCTCGCCAGTGATTTTGGTCACCATGCCGTCTTCATCTAGAGTTAGGAACGCGACATCCTCGTGGATTTCTTCCAGCACCCAGATTAGTCCAACTCGCTTCTCCTTGACCCATATACTAGCAGCGCCTGTGGCCCCATTGCGCTTCTGAATTGGTACTACGTCTCCACAAAGCAAGACGCCCCTGGATTTCGTGCTATTATGGTGTGAACCTACACGGGACTTCGAAGGAGTCAAATCCGCATTATGGACGGTTTGTGCCCGACGTTCGGGAGCCTTGGGTGGCTGCGTTCTCGAGTTTGGCTTGCTCAATAGCTGAGCTGTGATGCCTCCCCTGCCTCCGAGGAAAGCAGAGCCACTCGAGGCCTGGGGTGGCGAAGGGGCCTCCCTTTGGGCAGGCGGCTGCACCATCTCGTCAACATCAGAACCTGTGAGCTTGTTCTCTAACCATGCCCGGCGCTCTTCTTGCACAACTTCAAGAATGCCCATCTTCCGTACCTCGGCCTTAGTGACACCGAAGACCAGACATGCGAGATCGTTTGCGGCGAGAATGGTCCATGGCGGTTTGGCCTCTGTGGTGAAGATAGCCTGAGCCGCCGGCACCCACCGGGTTGAATGGCCATGCACAGCGGGACCGATGGCCCCGGGAACATTAAGTGACGAGCCAAGCTGTGTGGGCAGAGTCGGGGATACCAGCGAATCAGGGTATATGCCTGGCTGACCAGTGACAAACGGTTGAGACATGGCGTCCATCAGCTTCTGCTGCATCGTCATTGGTGCCACGTCTGTATAGGTCCTCTTCAAGCTGGGTTTGACCGATGCTGGCGGCGAGGACTTTGCCGTTGTCCCACTCTCGTTCGTCGACGCCCTCGAAGACTCTTCAGAACCTGGCTGGTCCTTTACAACTTGCAAATATCTTGAACTGGGCGAGACAGCTAAATTCTCATCTATTCTGTTCTCCGCCGCCAGACTCCCTGGGTGGGATTCCCTCGTATTAGTCGGGGAAAGCATTGCTGTCGAGTATGAATCCGGACTGCTCGTCCTCGGAATGAAGTCTCTCTCGAAGACGTTGTCGGCAGACATCTCGGCAGGCCCAGTGAGAGGCCCAGGAACAAAAGCCGACTCTCCATGTGGGAGGTTTCCAGCACCAATCAGTTGTGCTCTTGCCAAGAGATCGAGCATGGTTTGTGTCTCGACATCGCCAGTCACTCTGGCTTGAGCACTGGCGAGTGCAGCATTCGACGAGACGGCCCATCCCATGCGGTCTTTCATAAACTCTATGGAGCGTTTGAGTACACTCTGGCGGTTCTGTATAAAGTCTTCGGATTGGTGTGCGAAGGAAAACGAGTGTAGCGACTCTGACGGGAAACGTGTGAGGTCCTCTGTAAAGTTGGGAGACGATGGCCCTGGCGACAATGGCATCTGATGGCCAGATGGCAGCATCACCATCGAGGTAGACCTCGCGAGACTGGTGGAAGGGCTTCGAGAAGACGCGGCGGAAGATGGCAGTGTCGGTGCGCGGATCGGATGGTTCTGGCGAATGCGGCGCAGACCGGACAGGCCGAGCCCGTGGTCATGGTCTGTTACGAGGGGAGATCTAACCAGAAGGATTAATACTGACTCCCGCGTCTACAAGGGTCACTGTGTACGCGCAGCACTGAGGATAGTAGGTGTAACATATGCGTAAGCAGGGTAAGCTAGGCAGAGACGAGGGATCTAACAGCATGTGACATGCAAGCCGTGTGCGAGGTGAGATAGGTCGCGAGGTACAAGAAGCAATCATCCCCAGCACGCAGTAAGTGACTTCATACCTTGTGATTGAATCATAGTCGGCGTTAGCACCTGACCCAGCATCTAGCGAGAATCTGATCCGCGACGTCGATTGCTGCGGCTCTGATGCCTCAGACACCACGGCAAGGTTCCCGGTGCTACGGTTCTTGGGGATCTGGAGCGCGGGGGAGAGCTTGCTCCGGCCGCGTCCACGGGGCGGCTCCCCATCGTGATATGTGTTGTCGTCGGCATCGGCGGCTTTTGTCAGAGGGTTGGGTCAGTACGGACTCGTCCTGTGACCGCGGCGGAAGCAGCTGCAAGAGAAGAGGGGCGGCTCGCGTCTGGGTCGTATGCGCCCGAGTCGTGGCTCTTCTGAAGACTCACCGTGTTCCTGATATCCACCATGATTATTTTTCATAATTGATGGCGATGGTCGTGGTCACGGTGCCGGGCGAGACGTGGAGGGAAGCTGGACAGGCTCGCTGAGGATGTTGCCACGGACAAGGCTCCGGTGCTGGCGAGCTCGCGACTCGACTTGGGACTCGGTGCTTCAGAAGGCCGCCGATGGTTTAGCAGGGCGTCGCGCGCGGGGTTGCGGCGTGACCTGGGGGGGTTGACTCGGAGGGATCAGGTGAAGCGAAGCAGGCTCGTACGTTGGAGCGATCACGGGAAGCTGTCGCCTGATGTTGGAGCTGACACACGGGGGGAGGGCGGTAGGCTCGGGCTGCCAATGACCATTTGAGTTGCCTTCGAGGATGTGATTGAAATGAATGCCTTTCTTTTCTTCAAAAGTTGGGTGCCCAGCGCCAGTGACTGGACTAAAATCGAGGCGAAAAAAAGCTGGGGAACCCTGGTGGGCCGTTCTTGGCCAAGGTAGCAAGTGTCTCTATTGCGCTCGGTCCCGTTAGAAGGGACTCTGCAACTAACTACTCAGGAGCAGAGTCAAGTTCTTATTGCCAGTGCTGCGGCGATTGAATAGAAAGTTAGCTGATATGAAAAGTGGTTGCGGACACCTTGCTACATGTGCCCCGTGACTGGCATTCACAGAATTGAAGTAGACCAGGAAGCGGGATACCGCCGGGAGTTGTTCCAAACTGACACCGCTAGGCTCATGTAGAGTCACGGCGCCCGCCTGGTATGCAGACGCGGCACTGAGTGGCGTCTCTTCAACGACATACACATTAAAATAAGAAATAATAGCCAAAAACCAATGGAGCGGCCATTCGGGAAACGCAAAATTGCCAAAAGTCTCATAAACACTATGGACGGGGACACAATTTCGAGACGATAGGACTTCATGTCTCTGTTCCTGTACAACTCCCGCCCGTAGTGGGGGTGAAACTACCCACCAGCCAGTGACCACTTGGAAAAGACAAGGATTGTCCATGATTGGATTGACAAATTGAGGTGGAACTCACTTTAAGTCTCAAGGACGGAAATTTGCAGACTCGTATTTGCTGGGGCTGAATCTTCGCCATGTCAAACAACAAAACATGTAGTTGCGTCGAAGGCATCCTTTCGCTGCACTTGCGACCTGGGATATTGTACGAATCTTGACAATTGAACTGTCAGCTTGAGGCTTATGATGTCACTGCTAGCATTCGGAAGACTGCACTCTCCGCCCATCCGCGAAACTAATCAGGTCCGAGTTTCTCCACAGCCTGTTGAACGCCAAGAGCTGCTGCTGCTGCTTCGCTTGTGACAAGAGAAGTGCTCTTCGTACAATATCTCTCCGTGCTGCAAGCTTCTTGGAGGGCATCTCGCCAGTAGGATCGCGAACGCGAGTTCCGCGACCCACTTGTTAGAGCATCATGGGCCGTGATTGTAGCATCCCAATGGCCTGATTGCGGAGACTTGCAGCAAGCCTGCAGTGTCACGCATCATTACCCGCGGCCGGATATCGTGAAGAGTGGGGGTTGTTTCCAAAGCAGCTCGGCTTCCCTCTTTTGCTGTTTGGAGTAATGGATCGCCGGGGCCACCACAGGTAGAGTATAAGAACAGAAAATCATACCCGAAAGTTGAGGGCAATCGACGCCGGCCGGTGCGGGCATCGACCGGATCCAATCAACTCCTGCTCGATTACCTAAAACTTCCTAAAGCAGCTTGTAGGCCGGCAGGGAACGTTTATACTGGCTCACACTCACAACAATCCGTACTCATATCTCGAGTCACCGACAAGAACTTATAAGCTTAGCAGGTTATGCGATGGCTCCTAGGATTCATTCACTGGACTTTTCATCAGAGCATGCGTAACATCTCACTGTTGCAGATCACACATCATCATACCTTCAGCTTCACCTAAAGTTGCTGGACAGTTTAAGAGAAGGTGTGGCATTGGCATAGCCTGCGCACCGAATTTTGAAGACTTGGTCTGTTCCATAGGTTAAGAACGAATGTGGAGAGCAGAAATCAATGCATGTGGCTCGTCTAGCTGGTAAGAGTTGGACGACGCCTAGATAGGTTTGAATGAGACAACATGGCCTACAGTCTATTCGAGGGTCTTGCGTAGAGTACATTGCTGATGTGATCTGTCTTACTGGTATGAAATCTCGAAGCGGATCCAGTAAAGGTGGAAAGAAAAGAGCACGCCCTAAATCTAGGAAGACCTGCAAGGAGCTTAAATACGACAGCCGCAAATCTATTCGAACTACATTGCAAGATCATATACTCCCTATACAATATTGACCAACGCGGTTCTACACCCAACGTCAGATCGTTCACTAGTCACTGGTAATTACTCGCCGGATAGAAATTGGAAATTCACAGAGAAATTGAGACTCATGTGAGTGGCTGATTGACCGGCTCGTCTTATAGTGGTTAGGGAATTTGCTATAAGTTAAAGGTTCATGACTCGCAACTTGGAACTAACTACTTTTACCATGGTATCCAGCGACTTTTCCGTTTCAACCAAGATCTGTCGAAAAGGAAGTGCCCATAGCGATGATTATATCGCTCAGGATAACTTTAAAGCGAAAACAAACGCCATATCTTTAGGGTCTACTTCGGTCATCTCTAAGCTCGATTCTCCTTGCTGCTAGCGGTAATCAAATACGAGGTCAACGTCCACTTAAAACCGGGTGCTACTGTAGGACGGAGAATCCACGCAACAGGCACGGGGAAGAACCTCGTACTCGGTTTGATCTTTGACGATATCTAACAAGCTGTCGGAATGCTTACCGACACCCTGGTAGTTAGTACTGGGCCCTCCCGCCCGACTTTGACAAATGTAGTAGACATTCAATCCGCTATGATGTCAAATCCTGAAGTGCGAGAGTCAGTTGCGTACATCTTGTTTGGCGCGCAACGGGGGATTGCACCATTTGCGAGTCATGAGAAGGGCTCCTTCTTAAATGCACTGCCCTCAATGGGTCAAGGCATACAGACACAACGACACCCAGCTTCTGAGCTGCCACTGGTTAATGTTAGTCTTCGCATTGGTTGTCCGAAGTTTGTGCTGGCGTTTTTGATGGATGATTTTGCGTGTATCACCAAGTTGGGATTCCTTGTGACTTATATGCATCTTGTCAGCTGGTAGTGCAACCTGGTGCACGTGGTCCTGATCTCCCGCCCAGGTGTACAACTGGCCATCGTCAGCAGGGCTACCCCACTGGATAAGATGTCAGGGAGTGGTCTAAGAGGTGACGAGAGATGATAAGATTTGCTGCCCCTAGCGTCTCCCACGTCCCATCCAGTCCTACACTGTAGTAGGATCGCAAGACACTGGATGTTGTTTCCTCTCGGGACCGTGCCGCAATTTTGGGGAGGGAATGGAGTACATATCGCGACGGGTATGTACGTCCCGTACCTCCGAAGACGCATTTGCGCTGCGCTGCCCCTCTTCCCCTCTCTTCGGGTTGGGGTCAAGACACCTTGTGGAGCAGGCAGGTCGCGGTCGCTTAAGAGAAAGTGGAGAGACCCCTGCTGCCGGGCACCCGCCCGTTGATCGTCACGCAACCTCTTGGCGGGGTTCGACGAGGCCTGGAGCGTCAACAGGATAAGGGTAAGCAAGAACAATTTTGACATGTCCGCCCCGGATTGGGCTGAGGCCTGGAAGCAAACCAAGCGGGAGAAGTGCATAATTAATTAGGAACCTTCTGAGCTGCATTCCGAATGTAGCGAAGAATGGCGTTTCCTGATAACGGGTATTGGGTGCCCTTTAGCGAAGTGTGGTAGGAGTGTGCGCGTGGCGCGTGGCGCGTATGATTGACCCTTGGGGCTATTGAGTAGCGCAGTATGTACGAAGGGACCGTCAATTGCCCTTGGGCTTCTGCAACGCTATGCAGAGTCGCACTCGATGGCCTGTCGTTAGCCTAGGAGCCTACTGCATACTTGAGTAACTTAAGGTACGGAGAAAACGCATTAGAGTCCCCATCATGCGTATTCGCCTGGCGGAGAAACTCAGCTCTCGCAGCCAAGAGCACTGGAACCCGGGGGTTCGGGGCTGGGGTTGAAAGGGGTCTCTGACCTAGAGGCTGACCGTGAACGCTTCGGGTAATATGCCATGCTCCCATGCGTTTGCTGCAGCATATCGGCGCTACGTGCCGCTTACTCGATATAACGAAGCAACCCAGCTGGTCGGATCATGTACATTGTGGCGTAGAGTGGTCCAGAACAGCGCCATCTCGTCGTGCTTCAATCATAGTCCCTTGGTGAGGAATCGGGAGTTGCAGCGTCTCCGGCTGTGTTGGCCAACAGAACAAACCCAACCAACAAGCTGCGCAACCTGCACAGCCTGCCATTCAGCCGACGCTCTCCACCGTCGTTCGCCAGCACCTGGGTACAGCCAGAGCCAGTGCAGCACCAATACTGGGTCCGACTATCAAGTAGCGTGCCACGAATAACCTACCAAAGCAAATAAATCCCTTAATACCTACCTGAGCCGCCCGAGTGTTAATGCCAAGTGTCGAACCGGACGAGAAAAGGTCGGTCAGGACTATGTTTGACTCCAAGATAGTCAAGAAAGCACGCAACCAAAGACCCAACGGGCAAACAGAGACAGGGATGGGCAGCGTGGAGTAGTGGCGCCAAGATCCCAGGGTCTCGTAGCTCGGTGGGTGGGTGGGTCCCGCCTGTGCTCGTGCCGATAAAGTCGTGCTCCTCATTGATAAGGAGTCCCTCGGCCGGGGGGTCGGGTGGTCAGATGAGACTGATCTTATGGTTCACGAGCGACGCTCATAAGAGTTGTGCTTTTCCCGATTATCAAAACCGGGCTCTTAGCCGTGAGATGCACAGCTCTCGTGTTTGGAACTTGATCCCGAAAGAAAGGCGCGCGTCCTGGAGATGCAACCGAATGGGTTACGACTAGCTACTGGACCCAGCGAACCCGAAAGTTTACTGTTAGTCAAACGCATCGCTATGCCCGTTCTCACCTACACTTGACACGAGTCAACGCTGACCGGGAAGTCTTAGGTAGCCGCTAAACAGGAAATCTTTTGGCCCAGTTCGGCGGCCTCGCCCCAGGTTTAAGCTGGCCAACCTGCCCCTCGGATTTGATTGAGAACGTGAGAGGGAAGAGTCTCCCCAACCCATCGAGCTCTCGCACTCGGGGCCCTGCAGTCGTTTACTCCCCAAGCCATCCCGCCATCTTGGTACCAAGTCGGCCCACACTCGCTACATCACCTACTCACAAGTCAGAACCGTCGACTAGCGAGCAGGAGTGTGTATCAGGCAAAATTTCTGGCCCTTAACCTTACTCTGTGATGTTCCAACCTCTACACAATTGACGTCCACGTACGTCTTGTGATCAAGCTTGAGCTTGTTCCCCATCTTCGAATACGCCCCGCATCTGCAGCCACCTTTGAAGCTCCAGACGGATTCGTACAGCAACAGAGCTTTACAGGTACGGCCTTGCCATACTGCCCTTGCTGATCGATCAACACGAGCGCTGGTCTTTGCTCTTGTATGCACCCGGTTCTATTTTCACCTTGATTGACGAGGCCGCGAGCGGCAGACCCAACCATGGCCGAGACACTGGTAGAAACGACGACGACGACGACATCATCGTCGTCGACTACCCCGCCTAGTTCTATACATGAGACAGCTGCAGCGCCCTTCGAAGAAGTCCGTTTTGAAGAAGCGCCCAAAGAAAGGCGACGACAGAGGCTTCTTCGCGGCATTCAGAGAATTTCCTCTTCCCCTTCGCTGGCACAAATTGGACGCGCACGTTCTTCGAGCTCTCCGTATAGCACACGGGGCAGTCTGTCATGTGTCAGTTTAGCAGCAACTTCGCCATTCGCCCAATACACCCCTGGGACCTCTACTCCCAGCTACTACTCCAACGGGCAACCGTCCATTCCTGGCAGTCCGACAGTTGAGTTTCCCGCGTTTGAAGGCATAGAAACTCGACTCGCCATTCGAAAGGTTGACAATGCGTCGACTCCCTGTTTGACCCCGGCCACCGTTGGCCTACCTCCCGAGCTCAAGACACGATCCCGATCCGGCACGGCTCGCAAGCCCCTGTACGACTTTTGGGCAAATATGCCTGACGAAATCCGGTTACATATATTTTCGTATCTTCACCCGAAAGAGCTTGTAAGGGCTTCTCGCGTGAGCAAGGAGTTTCACACCTACTGCTTTGATGGCCAACTGTGGACGATGCTCGATGCCTCGGACTTTCATCAGGACATCCCGGCCGAATCTCTGGCTAAAATCATTGTGGCTGCCGGTCCGTTTGTTAAAGATCTAAACCTGCGTGGGTGCATCCAAGTCGAGCATTATAAGAGGGCCGAGGTCCTTGCCAAGGCTTGTAGAAACCTGATCAACGCAACGCTGGAGGGCTGCCGCAACTTTCAAAAGTCAACACTTCACAGCCTCATCAAAGCCAACGAAAAGCTGGCCAATCTGAACCTCACCGGGTTGCCTGCTGTGTCCAACAGCACTTGCAAGATCATCTCCCAACACTGCCCGCAGCTGGAGACATTCAACGTTTCTTGGTGCAAGCACATGGACGCACGTGGAGTCAAGATGGTTATCCTCGGCTGTCCCAAACTCAGGGATGTGCGAGCCGGCGAAATCAAGGGTTTCGACAGTCTTGATGTTGCTAAGGCCATATTTGAGACCAACCGTCTGGAGAGGTTGGTCTTGAATGGCTGTGTCGATCTCACAGACGATGCTCTGAAGGTCATGATTCACGGCGTCGATCCCCAAATCGACATTCTGTCAAACAGGCCTATTGTGCCAGCTAGGAAGCTGCGGCACCTCAATCTCAGTCGGTGTCGTCACCTCACCAATCGGGGTATTGAAACGCTCGGTTACATGGTCCCTGACCTAGAAGGCCTGCAGCTGAGTGGGTGTTCGCAGGTGACAGATTCAGCGCTCGAGCCTATACTTGCTAGCGCACCGCGCCTTACTCACCTGGAGCTGGAGGACTTGTCAGAGCTTACCAATGACCTTCTATCTCAGCATTTGGCTAAGGCACCTTGCGCTTCGACATTGGAACATCTGTCTGTCAGCTACTGCGAGAACCTCAGCGACACGGGCATGCTTCCTGTTATCAAAAGCTGTGTGAGCCTCCAGAGTGTTGATATGGATAACACCCGCATTGGGGACCTTGTTCTGGCGGAAGCAGCCGCCATGGTCCGGTCTCGTGCCAGCCGCACCTCATGTCGGGATTCACGGCCACGGATTGGCCTTCGCCTGGTTGTATATGATTGCCAGATGATCACGTGGACGGGTATCCGCGAAGTGCTTTCGTGGAATGCCGAGATCAGACAACCCTCTGGTAACTCGACTACATACCCCACGGAGATCATCGGGCTTAAGTGCTTCTACGGTTGGCAGCAGACTGTTGACCAGCATACCCAGCGAGTCCTGCGAGGGGACTTCGCCTCGGCAGGACGCTTGGAGCGAAAGTGGGCAGACTACATGCAAGCGATCGAGGAGGCGGGCGTGACGGGAGCGGGCTACCGCCGGAGGAGACGCAGAGCACGGGAGGCCCAGATGTTGCATGCGGATGAGGAAGAGGGAGGCACGGGCGCAGGACGGCGCCGGGCAAGAACGGTAGCATCATCCTGCGCGATCATGTGAGCTTCTTATGTATGACTGTCATGTCGGATATTGGCGTTTTTCTATTGCATGGTAGGGCGAAGGCATTTGCCATTTTCGGCACCTGGGGCGTTCGGGAGCGGTCAGTTTTCTTGGTGCTGCTTCGCGTGTATACGAAGGGCTTTCGATCATACAGATTCACGATGTACCTGACGAACATGAACATATTCATATCCTATTTCCCGCTGATGTCTTTTGTCACTGGATTTGCATTCCCGAGTCACGAGTGCTATGCTCCCGCGCCTCAGGTGTGCATAAAGCTCACGGTATAGCAACCTATAGCACTGAGAGCTGCCATCGTTGATGTCCATGTATCAACCTACTTTCTTAGAGTCTCCTCCCACGGCCTTGAACTCGCGCTTGCCATCATTCTAATGACTCAATCTCCGATAGGAACCATCCTCAGTCGGCGTGAACTTAGGCATCGTGGCCTGCCTTTTGGTCACCATCTTCCGCAGCTCCCCAAGTACCGCATCGGCAATCTTCTCCCTGGCGTTCTCTTTGCCCAGGACGTTGCTGACGTAGCCTAGGTTCTGCGGGAATCGCCGGTAGTTGATATCGTCAGAGATCGGGTAGCCAGACCAGTAGCCGCTCGTTCCCTCCTGCAGAAGCTTGTACGAAGGCGGGCTCCAGCCGAGCGTCTGGCACAGGTCCGAAACCAGTTGTGTCGATCGCGGCTCGTCGCCATCGACGTCATCGAAGAATACCGGGGGTGTAGTGTTCTTGGGATTTAACGTTGCGCCGCCCCCTGCCCCTCCTACTTCTCCTCCTGCTCCTCCTGGCGACGGAGCAGAGACGGACGCCGAGACAGATGGCGAGGACGAATCCGACGACATCCCCCCCTCTTCCTCCATCGCGCCGGGGCTCTCCCTGGCAGGTGCCGTCGGTCGCGGGAACTTGACGTCCCTCCCGTTCGAGGGCATCAGGTTCTGGGCCATCAGCCACTCGGCGGCGCACCGGGCGGCATACTGCTTGGCGTTCATCTTGCGGGCAAAAGACGGCGTTGCACCGGTCGCCGGGTCCAGGCCGCCGGCGGGGCCCGGAAACGGCCCGTCGCTCTCCGCGATCGAGACGTAGCATGCCCAGCGCGGGGCCGGCGAGTGCTCGACAGGCTCGTCAATGAAGGCCATGTCGTGCGGGTCTGCCGAGCCAGGGGTCAGTGGGTTGGCCTGGCGGTAGCCTGCGAGGCTTGTCAGTGATTGGGAATAGCAGAGAATGTGTCGGTCGGACTTCTGACGCAATCCGACGCAGTTCAGAACGACTTACGAAAGAGCAAGCCAACCCAGTTGGTATCACCGATTTCAGGCTCGGTCGGGATGGCCGATGCAGGTCTGGTGAGCTGGTGTAAGTCGAGGAGCGCCCTTCTTTGTGCTGGAGGTAGGGTGACGGGACTGCCGTTGGCCGCCTCGTGCCCTTGCTGGGCGAGGGCCCAATTGATGACGTCCTGGTAGATATTCGACGGGACGGCCATGGTAGCTGAGGCAGATTCACTATTATTGCCTACTCTGTAGAGCCCTCGAGGCGAAGTCTGATGTCGGGCGGGAAGAAGAGAGAGGAGGAGGTTTATACAACTTGCGTGGGCGGGGCAGCTCTTGCGACCGACCCTCCGCAAAGGCGACCTACAGCAAGGCAAAAGGTGCCTTTGAGATGCAGAAGTGAGAGATGGCAAGAGTGCACACCAAGAACCAATAAAATTGAGTGAGGCTCGGCTTGCAGGTGTAAAAACTCCAGTGTATTGGATTGCGTAGCGATACAGAAGTGGGCAAGATACTGAAGAGGGGGCAAAAAAAGTAATCATATCTTGAACAGCAACGCCTTCAAAGCAGATCTAGACTCCGAGCCTGATGCAAAAGCAACCCCATGGGCAGCCCTTCATTGAAATGTTCCTTGCTATGTCTCTTTTGTAATCATCAATGCTCCAACGCAATTGTCTTTTGCCTCCTCGGACCAGAGGACGAAACCACGCATTCGCGGCGTTTTCGAAGCAGCTCGCATGAGCCGACGGAAATGCTGCTTTATTCTAAGGGGTATCAAAGCTTGACTCCATGCCGGTTCTCACGTTCATTCATCGTCCGCCTCAAAGAACCCGCCGTCGCTGTCGCTATCGTTATCATCGGATGACTCAGCTGCACGCTTTGAGTTCTTTGGGTTTTTGAGCGCCATTCTCCCTTCGCCGGCCTTGGTGGTGGAGGGTCCAGCGATGAGAGAGCTCTTGGCCTTCAAGGCCTCGGCCTTGGCCGCAAACGAGTGTTTCGAGGGTCGTTCCTTGGGTGCCTTGCTTCGGGAATCGCTTCCCAGTTTGCGATCCCTGAACTCGATAAGTGCCGGGACGCCCTTCTTGGACAGTTTCTCTACAGTTGCCCAGAGCTTTGGTCTGTCGGTCTTGAGGGCCTTCGCGGCAGAGCTTGCGGTCTCTGCCTCCTCGCCACCTTGAGTCGCCGCCACGGGATAAAGACTGACATATCGCTCGCGGTATGGAAAGAACTTGGCGTAGAGACTATCGATCTGCGCTATGTGTAGATCGTCCTTCAACTTCTTGATCTCCTCGGGGTCCTTCGATTGCTCAATCTGCTTTTCGATTTGCTTGGCCAGTCGATCGGCCTTCTTTCTCTCTGTGCAGTATGTCAGAAGACTGTATCCGTGACTGAGTTGCTAATTTGCGAGGTAAGCGAGTAACATACCGAAAAAGCGGACCATGTGGTATTTCTTGATCATCTGCTTGGTCTTCTTCTCCTCCTCGGCCTCGGCAATCTTCTGCTTGTGGTGGACCAGTTCTCGCTCCATGTCATTCTTCGCGTCCGCCGGGAGGTTCTGCCCGGTTCGGAACCGCCGCTCTATGGTTCTCGCTCGCTTCTTCACCCAGTTGAGATTGTCGGGTTTGGCTTTGACCTTCTTCACATGTTTGCTCTTCTGTCGTTTGAACCCATCGTTGTCGCGCGCTTCGGTCTCGCCGCCCTCCACAGGTTCCGTCTTGAAGTCCGAGAACTTTCGCTTTGAAAAGCCCATGGTTGCGTGCCGTAAACCCTCGGAGGGTGCTGTTCGACCTGCTGGGGGTGATTCGTTTTTGGAAATGTCGAATTGCGCTTGGGCAACTTGACGGATAGAAAAAAAAGATGGAGCAGGCGGGCCTGATAAGAAAGTTGGCGCCGATAACGATACCAACCCCACCCTTCTCACAGATGTCGACCAGCTGAGCGCCAGCTGAAGTGCTCAAGAGCCGAGAGATGGCCAATGAGGACTGACTTGATTCAACGCGACCCGCATCACTGCTCACTTGAGTATGCACGTAACGCTCGTAACATGGAGCTGAGTATGAGTCCTAGACTGGGAGTCGCCAAGCTTGCGGATTCTTGATACATTTGTGCTGCTCTCTGCGTGTTGCGTGTCGGCACCCTCATCACATAAGCTATTCCGACCCACGCCTCTCACTTCAAGGTTGACCAGGTGCACAAATGATAAGAGCGACGACATCCTGCTGCTAACTCTGCCGCTGCTGCCAGGGGGCAGCTCACAACGGCGATGGACCGCCCGGAGCCAGGTCTCATCAAATGGTCCCCAAATCCGGCGTACAATAATTTCCTACACGTCAACCTGACCCACCGTGTTGTGCAGGTTTACGAACCGACGGGTCACGCACAACATGGGCGATTCGACTTCAAGAAGTTGTCCAAGCACGATGACTTCCCTCCGTTGACCACCTACGACTGGTCGCCATCCATTCCTGGCCTTGTGGCTGTTGGCACGGCATCCGGTATTGTCAACCTGCTGAGGATCGATGACAATTCGAATGCCTACATGGAGCTCAACTTGCGGGTCTCACGTCTTTGTCATGCAGTAGCCTTTAACACGGGGAATCTGCTTGCCGTTGGGTTGGAGCGAGTCCGCAACGACCAGTGTCTGCACATTTGGGATGTGAACCGGGTGTCGTCCTTGGACCCCAACACCCCTGGATTCCCTCTGGATAACTCGACCATCTTGGAGCCTTACCAGCGCCTGGAGCCAAGCGTGGCTGTATCGAGCGTTAAATTTTTCGAAGACAGCCCTCAAACCCTAGCTGTTGGCATCAAGAATCAGGGCATACGTGTCTATGATCTGCGAGGTACCTTCACCCGTCATATGTCTGGGCGTTTCGTTACTGACTATCCCACGAAGACCCACATGGATCGGTGATCAACTATCAAACGAGGCTGAATAACAACCTAGCCATTGACTATGCTGATCAGAACTACTTTGCGTCATCCGCCTTGGATCACCCTGGCGTGATTATATGGGATCGTCGAGCCATGTCACGCCAGTTATCGTCACAAGTCTATGTTGACGCACTAGACAACGATCACTTGCCCTGGGGAGCATCCTTAAGGATCGACAAAGCAATCGATGTTCGACCCGAGCAGTTTGAAGATAAGCACTCTCTGATCCGGTCGTTGAGGTTTTGTCGGGATCAAAGAGGTTCACTCGCAGTACTGTCGCGGACTGGGCAACTCCGCGTCATCGATACGCAGAAAGAATTCACAACAAGCGAAGTCGAATTTGAAGGCAGCCCTGAACTCTTGCAAGCCAGGAGATCGTACGAGCTCGATCTGAACCATTCCAGTCAGGACAAGAAGAACGATCGGATAGTGTCCTTTGATTGGGTCACGCTTGAATCACCAGCGCTCAAACCTCGTGCTTTAGTACTCCGTGCCAATGGCGCTTTCGACATTCTTGAGAAGCCTACAAATTCCACAGATCATATATACAAGTTAGTTCCGTGGCAAGCACCATATCGGGGGCTCGAAGGTAGACTTCCTTTCCATCTAGGAAAATTATCATGAGCGACTAACTTTTAACAGAAGGCAGCAGCTATCATGGCCTGATGCGTTTTGAACAACAACAGGAACCCACCATGTTAGGCCCTATGTTGGTCCAGCAAGCGCTCTCTGACATACCCATTTTTGGAGAGCACAAGGTGGACGTCGACGAGCTTATACAGAAAGCTATCCAGCCCAGTACGACACCTCGAGATCTTGTCCAAGATGCCATTGCCACCACGGAAATGTTACCTGAATCGATTAGTAAGGGGACTTCTATTGCGCAGAAACTACAAGACTTGCGCAGCTTCTCGAAAAATAACTTGAGGTCGTCTAAGTCACAGTCTCAGAAAGATCGACAGCATGAGAGTATTGAAGACTTGACGCAGAGCATGGATGACCTGCTATCAGGACGATCCGCGCCGCCTTCTAATCGGCAATTGCATGAGAAGCTCTTGACATCAGGCCTAGATACTCGAGGATTTCCTCAGCAGGCCCAGATAATACTGGATCACGTTGCTTTGTTCCGCGCTAACAGCAGATACCTGTTTGATTTCACGATCAATAGGGATGTTGTCTCGGACGATCCATGGCTGCGGGACTTATGGGACTGGGTTGCTGGTTCGTATTTTCCCGTTTGACCATATCTCATGGCTCGTGGTTCTGATACATGTATAGGAGCCGAACGGGACGCTACTGACGGCGACATGACTGCCCAGGGCTTGGACTTGAGTTACATGGGTGCTCGAACCATCTGGGCCAACGATCTCGGTAATTCCTTGCCCAGTACTGCATTTTTGTTTGTGTGCTAATCAAATCAAAGGCGAAGAAGCATCAACGCGATTAACAGAAGGGGTGGCAATTCCTGATCGAAGAACATGGGAACGTTGTCTGCAGACCATTAGCCAAAAGCTGAGACTGCCCAAGTACGACGGGGCGGAGACAAAATGGCCTTCGCATCGACAAGCTTGCATAAGGATATGCGGATTGGGAAGAACGTCGCAGACAGCCTTGAGTGACTATGCGAAAACACCAGCATCCGAACGGAACTCATCTTGGCACACGATGGCCACGGCGCACGCATTGTTTCAAGGAAATACCGACCAGGCTATTCAGCTACTGAAGAAAGCAAGCACAGAGTACCCTGAGCTCCTGTTTGTGTCCTTGGCTTTACAACTGGTCGGAAGGGGAGATGCTGGTCTCGCCAAAGAGCAGCTTGATTTCGACGACGCCGTTGCATCCAAGACTGACCCTTACCTGCGTGCCATTTCGTCTCTCATTGCTACTGGCGATTGGGAAATCATAGCCAATCAGGAGTCATTGCCGCTCAGAGAGCGGACATTCGTGGCTTTCCGCTACTTTGACGATGACAAACTTACGAAGTGGCTGGATAAGCAAGTCACCAAAGCCATGCACACTGGCGACATTGAGGGCATAATTCTTACTGGCATAACGGACAAGCTAGTAGATATCTTTGCCACGTACATCGAAAAGTTCAATGATGTTCAGACGGCAACGCTCGTCCTCTCAATATGTGCGCCACGTTACATCGACGACTATCGTTGCCTTGTCTGGAGAAATGCATATCGGGCCTACCTGCAACGACACAAGGCGTTTTTCCAGCGGACCAAATTTGAGGTGGAGAGTACGAAGCGAAGCAAACGGGACGGTGTGCCTACCGTCAAGCCCTCTTCCCGGCAGATAGCACTCCGCTGTGTGTACTGCGATGCTGAGTACGAATTGACCAAGACTGGGAATGGCCCGCCGCCAGCTTCAAGCCAGAGAAATCCTCTGATGGCGACCAACATCAACGCCGGCGTGAGTTGTCCGAACTGTGGCCGCCACTTGCCCCGGTGTGTTGTGTGCTTGGAAGTGGTCGGCGTCCCCCGAAGTGACAGGCCTGGCGTACCCGTTGATCCCGAGAAGCGAGTGGCTGCTCGGTTCCCGACATTCTGTTTGAAGTGCGAGCATGTAACCCATCTGGACCATGCAAGGCAGTGGTTCACGAGGCATGTCGAGTGTCCTGTTCCCGAATGCCGGTGTAAGTGTAATATCCGGGCGAATCCTGATCTGAGTTATCACTGAAGAGGGCTCGTCACACTTATTACATAGTAGTATATAATTATCGAACAGGGATTCGTGACTTAGATATAGGAGCTACTGAAGGATCCTGGTCCGAGAGTTGAGATTATGACATGTCTACATCATCATAAGACACTGTCCATCATTCATTACACTTCATGAACGTTACTGCCCTGTCCTCCTTCTCAGATGGTAGCGCCTGCGGGTTGTCCCTCTACTACCAAGGTCGTAGCCTCTTCTGTAGTGGCAGCCTTCAGGGTAATGCTAACCTCAGGATCGCGGGCGTAGACCCGCAGTCCGACTACGGCTACAGCGTTCCAGGGGTTGGCATTCTGGTCGTCGTCATCGTCATCTGATTCCGACTCTGACTCGGATTCAGATTCTTCTTCATCCCCGTCGTCGACGTTATCATTCTTCTTCTCGTCTTTCTCTTCCACGCCATCCGCTTCTTCCTTCAGATCAGACTCTTTGGCTTCGGATTCTTTGGGGTCGTCCTTGTTATCGGGAGGCAGAGGCGCATCTTTCAGGCCACTTGACGTAGCCGGTGGCTCCTCTTTATTTGACTCCAGGGCAGGCGTTGACGAAGTCGGTCTGCTCGAGGGTGTAGGATTTGGCTTCGAATCCGCCGCAGACTTGGGTTCTTGAACAGCTTGCTCCTTTGGTTCCGTCGTTGGTCCACCCGCCACATCAGGCTTTTCCTTGTCATTGGACCCAGTCTGCTCCTCGCTAGATTTGGCATCCTTCTTGCCCTCAGTGGAGTCGGACTGGGCAATCTCCTTCATGGCATCCGCAGCTGACGCCAAAGCCTCGGCGGCCTTGCCGACAGCCTTTCGACGCTTAGCTTTGACCTTTCTCTTACGCTTCTCTTCTTCTTTCTTCCGCTTCTCGTCGGCCTTCTTCTTTTCAAGAAGATCGTCTTCGTTGGGCAGGCCGCCCTTGGCGTGGGCTAGATCATAGGCCATGCCCACTTGTCGCAGCTTCTGGGGATTCTTGTCCGCATACTCCTTGACGATATCTTCAACAGGCTTGGACGAACTTTCGCGAGTTGCAGTGATCTTGGGGAGTACCTCGTACTTTCCGGGTTCGAGCTCGACTTCACAGGTCACGGAGCGGTTCTCCCACTTGTGTACAGGGCGAACACGGCAGATGTGGTCGCTAGCTGCAGCACCGACCTCTTGGAGGATGAAGTGGAGCTCAAAATAGTATTCTCCTTGGAAACCACGGAAATACCGCTCATCCAGCTAGTTACTTAAGTCAGCAGGAGCAAGAACGCTAGAGGCGGAAGGGCAACACTTACTTGGGTCAGGACAATGATCACTGGCCCGGCCTTCTTGACTTCGATTTCAAACTTGTTCCGCAGGTAGCCGGTAACCCATGAGACATTGGCGCTTGTCCACTGTTGAACAACGGTCCATTTCTCATCGAATAGGCGTGTGCGGTGGAGAAACATGAAAGTCTCCAGCATGTCCTTATAGGACATCCAGAAAATTCCGTCGTCGCCGAATGTGTGGCCTATCTTCTTGAGCCAATACGGCGTCCATTCTCTAGAGCCATCCGACCAAGGGCCATTCCATTCGCCAACTCCATTCCAAGCTCGCTCTCCCCAAGGATTGCTAGTCACTCATATCAGCCAAATACACTGGGGTATTGTTTCCCACGAAGGGGGATGTGGTTGTTCCAATAGTTGACTTACCGAATCTTCACAAGGCGAACTTTGTTGCCGTCTTCATCCACTTCTTCGCGGGCTTCGAGGATGCTATAGGCATGTCCGAGCGCTAGTCCGCTCTTCTGCCAGTCCCAACCGGTTCCGAATGCAGCTAGAGCAAAGACAAACTCGCCATCACTGTTCACAAGCTCCTTCCAAAGCTTGTCTTTTCTGAGAACACGGTTAGACGCAATAGTGGTTGTAACGCCTCCAGTCATGTCTTCTACAGCTTCACCTGGCCACCCGCCGGAGATCGCCTCGTAGTCGCCGTGGATCTTGGCGTAAGCTTTCTCCAGCAAGGGCAGCCAAGTCTCATTGGGGTCCTCGCAGCGAGCAAAGTAGAGCGCGTCTGAGCCTGTCTGCTCTGCCTTCCTGTGCTTCTTCGCTTTCCTGCCGGTGGCGTCATACATGTCGCCGTACGCATCAAAGTCGGGCGATTTCAGGTACAGATTATCATCAATGACAGTCGAAAGCCACTCGCCGTCTCTTTGGAACACGAAGCCGTACACGCCACACTCCTCGTCCCTGGCAACGCAGACCTTGTTCATGAGGTCTTTGCGGTGCGCAATCGTGGCCACGGCAGCAAGCCACCAGCAATCGCCGTTTGCGCCTTGCTTGATATCGGTGCTGGAGAAACCACCCACGGAGAACTGGGGCGATTCGAAGATCCAGTCGACACGGTGCACAGATCCCGGGCTATAATACTCGCCAGCAGATACGCCGTCATAGTAGTTATTCGAATCAGAGGCCATGATTCGGCTCAGTGCATTGGCATCCACGTGGATCCGACCGCTACCGCCGAGCACCTGACTTTGCGCGAGAGTCTCGAGGCTATTCTTGACATCCCAAGCACTTACGGCCGGCTGGGACACGGGAGCTTCATTAGTAGAGCTCCCGCTGTCCCTGACGAGGCCATTCAGGCAGTTGTTGTCATCGTCCCGCTCGATGTCGAAATCCGGGTCTGTGAACTTCTCATTGGTACGCTCACATTCCCGGATGATGCGCTTGACCTTTTCGCGGCACTCCTTGGCTGCCGCCTCGTAGCTCTCGCGGGCATTGCGAGATGACCTAGCCCCAGCCGGGTGGGTTGGGGGGAGGATGTTCTGATAGAGACTGCGCGGGAAGATCGAAGTTACCTTGCCGGGCTTCTTCGTGTGAAACTTTTCCCAGAACTCGGACAAGACCTCTTGGGGAGTTTTCTTGCCCTTCTTGGACGGCATAGGGCCAATAGGCAGAGGTGGGGGCGGACCTCCGAATACCTCCATTATAGGCGGGACTGGATTTAGCCTCGCCAAAGGGTATCAATAAATAGTTTCTGCAATTCTATAGTCAAGTCTGACTGACACCATGAAAAGAGTCCATACGAGAGCATCTATATTATCATCACCTTGAAGCAAACTGAGTCCCATTTATGCGGACTCCTGAAGCCTTGTGGCACATAGGCGCCAGCCTCCTGTTCGGTCAGTTTCCGCCCCCAATGCAGGATCAAACACGCCGTCGTACTGGTGTCCAATGAGAGCGACAGATCAAGCCGACTATCCGCTGACGACAGTCCACTTTCTATTTCAGCCGCTCTGCCTAGTTTCGTTGTCAAACGACCATTGGTGCTTACAGCAAGGATTCAATAGGCATGAATGCAATGTCCCTTGATTGCTTTCCAACAGTGTAACGGGGCAGCAGGCATCGTACCAACCTCCAATAGAGCAAATGTGGGCTACGCGCAATCCTTGGCCCTAGCACAACGGGCTTCAAAGTTCCTTGCAGTAAATAAATAATTACTCCCTGTTTTAGGATGAGCCTGATGGTCTAAAAGATGACAGACGATTCATAATTTTCAGTATTAACACATTGTTTATGGCGACATGAAATGTACATTATTGAGGTGTACAAACTGACATAAAGCCTCTCTAGTTCCATCTCGGACACCTGGGTGTAAGCGCCTATAAATTTAATATGTCATCCAATATATTAACACGTTAACAGTATCGAGATGTAGTAATACTCCTCAACTGTCGAGACTTTCTTGTTTTAATCGATTTACGCCGGATACTGTCAATCCCCGAGGATGCGACGTTTTTCACAACGGCCCTAGTTATCTCATTTTATGATTTTTATTCATTTTTTCTTCGATAATGATCTATCTTGATATCAAACTTCTGCTGTTTGCGGTTGGAAGCCCAGGTTCCTCAATAATCAATCACCTGCCCGCAGTCTCCCCACTATAAGTACTGCCCTCGTTGACAGGTGGGGCATCAACTTCTGTACCCGCCTCTCTGCGTATTCTAGCCATTTCTTCTGGTGACGGTGGCTCCCACTGCGATGACTTGGTGGGCTTAACATGCTCAACATACATGGTGTCGATTTCCTCCAGTGACCGCCCCTGGCCTTCGAGGACAAAGAAATAGACCATCGCGCCAGCGACCAAGTTACATGCGGCAAAGACATAACCACTAAAGTACACAAAGTCAGTAAACTATTCCCCAGACAAGTTTGTAAACATTAGACTCAAAGGGGCACAGATTTCTAGACCGTGCGAATGGGAATGCCCAAAGTAGCAAAACAGGGACTCGGAGCGTAACTCACTATCGGAAGTCGATCGCAGAGGTGATAAAGGGCGAGAAGAATGCGATAAGAAAGTTCCAGGTCCAGTTGCTGGCGGTGGCAAGTGCCATTGCTCTCGCACGGTATCTCGATGGGTATAACTCGGCGATCAGAGTCCAAACCATGGGACCCCAAGTAGTTGCGTAGCCCAGGACAAAGATACAAGCAAAGACGATCAGAATTATACCAGCCGTGGGTGTGTTTGTCGGTGTCTCCTGATCCAAAAGGAAGTGGCCAACCGATGCAAAGACCATAAAGCAGGCAAACATCCATACACTGCCAACAATGAGCGACTTTCGCCGTCCGTAATGCTCAACGAGGTACAGTCCGATAAACGTAACGCCAAAGTTGATGCCGTTCAAGATCATCTGAGTTACAAAAGAACTGATCTGAACCGATGCGAAAATCGTGGTTCCGTACTGTAGAAAGGGTATACGTTAGTCTTCCATCTTTCACTATTTTGTGCAGAAGATAATCGTCGACACTTGTGTTAGATGTGTCGAAAGCCTAGTTAAAATCCCACATGACTCCAACCGCAGCCATCGACACAGCATCTAGAGAAAACAGACAAAACAGGATACTGGGAGTACGCACGTAGAAAAAGAAGTTGGCGCCTGTCAGTTGCTGAAACATCTGCAGAAGCACGCCGAGGATGATACGATAGGTCATCCGTGGTGCCTTGAACATTTCGAAAATCCCCGATTTGGCTTGCGTCTCAGCACGGAGTTTGCTGGCAATCTCCTCGAGTTGCACATGGATGGCGTAGTGGTTCGCCGGCGCGCCATAGACCCGCATAAGCGTTTGCTTTGCTTGATCGATTCTTCCCCGGCGATAATCGAATCGTGGGGTTTCGTTGAAAGCCAGAATTCCCACACCAAGGATCAACGTCCAAATCCATCCCAAGCCAACGACGATGCGCCACGATGAAGCGTTGTCTTTCTGGTGCGTGTATGTTCCATAGTTGAAACAAGCAGCCAGGAAGATGCCGAGTGTGATGAATAGTTGATAGGTGCACACCAGAGCGCCACGGATCCACGGGGGCGCTGTCTCGGCTTGGTACATCGGGACGAGCAAGCTTAGTGCGCCAACACCAAAGCCAGCCACTAATCTGCCTATCATGATCTGTTCCCACGAGGTTATAGCGGCAACTTGGATAACAAAACCGACAGAGACGACAAGACACCACAAGCAGATGGATATACGTCGGCCAATCTTATCGGCAATGGGCGCAGAGACGAGTGCACCAACGAGCGTACCAATTGACAGAAGACCGACAACGAGACCAGACCTGACGTTAGTGAAGTGATACGTGACACCATCGCTGTCAAGCTCGCCAAATCGGCTCAAGAAATCTGGCATTTCCAAGAAACCAGAAATCTGACCAGTGTCGTATCTGTTACACCCGTTAGAACACGAAACCCTTTCCAGAATAGATCTTAGACCAACCCAAAGATTAAGCCGCCCATGGATACTAAGGCACCCATTGCCAGTGAGCGTCCAGTAAAGCGTGGCAGCGGGGAATAGTCGAGTGATGCCTCCGGTCCATCGATATGTCTAGGCTTCTCAGCCTCGGAGGGATTAGAGTCGTGAAACTCGATATGGGATCTCATGCCCAACATGATGGGCAACTTTTTTTCCTTTCCGAGATGAGATGGAAAAATTACACAGGTCGAAACTAAACCGAACTCAATTTGAAGTGCCGGCTGCGGTCCCTTTAAAGAAAGTAGGAATTCTGGCTGTACATCGGTCTGTCGTCATGACCTTTGGCTTGCGGCTCAGGTTCCATGGGAATGGATCCTTCCAAGGCGGGAAGCGACCCATGCCACATAGGGAACTGACATGGAATCCATCCCGGCATAGCACAAAGCCAAAACGGCAAATTTTCCTGGGCCTGACCAAAGGCACAGTCGTGAGTCGTGAGTCGCGAGACGCGATTGGTGGTGGGGGCTATCGTGGTAGGCTGGAGAGTCTGGAGGCGCCCCGGTAGCCCCGGACCCCGTGCCTAAGGCGGATCCCGATCGGGGGAAGAAGACGCCCAGCAACGTCATAATGGGTCCGTCTCACCGTACGTCACCTCCGCCCATTATCTCCAGACTCCACAACCGTCCTCCCCCAGAGACGAGCTTTTGCGGCACCGCCAATCTCCAGAGAACAAAACCGACATCTTTCTGGGGACAATCGGTCCTTCTCCCACCTTTCTCCATCCGCTAAAGCGCGGAGAGGTGGAGGAATGCAGTGTTTCACAACGAGTCACTCCGGTCAGACTTGTGTCAACGGACCGAATCGCGCTTCGGATTGCCATCGTGGTATGCTCAAAACCCGAATTGTCATACATGATCGGGAAATCTGCCCACGAAGGCAAAATATCCTGTTGATCTCTCAGCCTGCTGTGGATAAGCTCCCAGGCTCCGTGGTCCAGTATAAACACAGATAACGCCTTTTCCTTAGGGCGTGCAACAGCGGCGAGGCGCGGGATTTTTACGCTCATGAAGTTCACAGCCTAAAACTAGTGGTGAAGTATCTAGAGAGAGTGGAGAGCTGGTGTATTGTTCCCGGATAGAGGGTTACAGCAGCATGACAAAATTTAGTTGTGGCCCGAGACTTCCGATAATCATCGCCTTCTTCAAACGATACTGGGACTGGCGACAGAGACGAGCACTTCTACCATGAAATTCGCGAGCAACCAGGCCATGACTTGCCTTCATAGTCCCATTCTTCCAACCAGCTGCGAGTTGGAACACACAGTCGCAAACGTAAAACCTGGACTTCTTCACCATCTAACCTTACGGATGAGAGAGCAGTTGTTTCGCTGAGTGGTTTAACCCAGATCTCTTGCCACTCTCGAGTTTCCTATATGCGTCTTGATCTTCTTGTTACACTTTGACAAGTGTAGCGTTCCCTATCCAGTACCTCGCATCCCTTAGTTTCTGACTCTTAATCCCGCAAGGGGACGTTGGCACCTCGAGATCTATATTGCAATTGAGTGAAGAAGTCTAGCGATCTCCACCCAGGAAACAACGAGTCGGCATAATAATGGAGCTGTTTGGCTCCATGTTGCGGCCGTCTAGTGGAGGAGTATTCACACAGTCAATGCTCATGATACTTGGGCTAACTGATATATGCTCCTTTGTATTTTATTTCTTATATATATATATATATATATATATATATATATATTTTTGGGAATGGAGGAGTCGCGTCACAATGCATGTGCTTGATAGACCCTAGCTACTACCCAGACTGCAGGTCCAATCTACGATAAACGTATCAAGATGTAAAACCCTAAGGTGGGATGGATGCATGCTGTGAAGGCATTTGGGTGAACGATTGTAGGTCTAGTGTTTCTTGAAATTGCCATTGGCTCGAGTTGGGCATTGAAAGCTATGATTCCTGCAGACCCAAATACGAAGGGAGACGGTTGCATACGTCTCAAGTAAAGGGTATGATATAAATTCTCATCTTATACCCAAGGGCTGTTTCAAGGTCCAGTGTGGTGTCCTTCCTCCTCAAGTCCGAGGGGAAAGCTTTTCATACTCGTGGCTGCATAAGTCTTCTCCAAGCGATGAAGCCACATGGCGATCCAGGCCTTTTGAGTGTCATCCGCAAACTCCACCGCAATCCTGATGCTGTAGCCACATCGGTACGCACCCATGAAACCCTTACTGACAGTCTCGATGGACCTGAGGATGTTGAGCATAAGGATTCGATTGCTTTCCGTGTAGTTGATGTGGTACCCGCAGACATTTAACGTCTCTTGGAGGACAAGCATGGATGCCCAATATCCCATGTGCAGCGAACCAAACCAAGGGTGGGTGAACTGCAAGACGGTCGGGAAGATAGAAAAGGGGTCAGTACTAGGTACCTCAATTGGGACTGGGTTCATGGCCAGCATTGTAGGATACCAAACTAGGAAGTCACTGTGGATTTCTTCAGCCCTTTGGGCGAGCAATATAGCTCTGGTGACATCGATTGGCATTCCACACTGACGAGCCTCCCGCAACGCGTATCCATGACGTAGAATGGAAGGGAGTTTAGCCAACAGCTGGAAATACCGGTCGACAATGCTGAGACTATCCCTGGCGAACGTTGAGCCGCCAATCGTTCTACTACTCACTTTTGGTTTGTGGACTATGACGGCTTGCCAAGGGCGTTCTGCCAGGAAACAATCTTGGCCCAGGAAAAGAGCATTCATTATCTATGAGATTAATATTCGGCCTCACTTGGTCGAAGGGAGTTCGACTTACGATGATGGGGCGGAAGGAGAGCAGAAAATCTCTTTCAAAATCCCCTTCGTAGGCTCTGGGCCCCCTGAGCTGTATAAGTCGGCCAACTCCAGTAGCGTGGGTCATCCAGCTGTTGGGCGCGGACGTTCCTGCAAAAAGCTGCGACTCTTAGCAAAGGGCTATCTGTGTTCTTAGTATAGGGCGCAACATTACCTCGAAGAGACAGAGAATCATTGAAGCACCTAGAGTCTCAGGAGTTCTCCATTCTTGTGGATGATTCAGTGATCTCTGCAGACACCATAGGGATTGTCCATAGAGCGTCCGCGACTGTGCAATGACTTGTTCATCTTGGTGTATTTTACCAAGGAGATGAAGCGTGAAAGTGCATATTGCGGTATCTAGGGCAGATGAATTGTCTACGCGACCCGCTACGCTATAGATCCAAGTCCCGAAGGCAACAGACTCATCCTTGGGCTGAGCATGCCGCAGCGAATCCATCAACGTGCCCACAAAGAGAGCCGTGTTATGCCTCGGGGTATAGGGCATGGAGCGGGCCCGTCCAAGCACCGACTGGATCCTCTCACGAATGGGAAGCGCCGGGCTTCCGACCACGGCGCCGTCTTGAGGAGGCTGCTCTGCGGGTACAGCATCCTGACTGCCCGGGATCGCAGCGTCGGTACCCGGCCGAGACCGCCTGGCGTCTGCGGCACTCGGCAAGGAGGCGCCACCTCTTGGCTGCCGCCTCCCGCGTGGCCTCACAACATGCTTGCCGGCCACAAACTTGAGCTCGCGGTCGTACCCTGGGCACACGACACCATACTTCACACAGTTACGACAGGCGGGCCGGGTCTCATCACACTTTGTCCTCCTCTGTAGACATGTCTGACACCCCTTGCTTCGAGGGACACCGACCATGCCCGCTTGGCAGATTTATATGAGAGTGTCGAACTCAAGGTCGAGGAGGCGGGCGTGAACGATATAGTGGATAAGCGGGACCGCGGCTAGTGCTGGTGGGCAGCCAGGGAGAGCTGCTTGTATGTCTATGTAGCTCTAAAGTATCGATACCGGAAGTAATTAAGATTGAGTATAGTTGGTATATCACATTAGTTTGTAAGTAAGCACCGAAGGCCGAATTTTCTCGCGGGTCAGATATTGAAGGCAACCCTAGCCATGCGCACGATGCCGGACCTGCTGACTTTCTTTCAGCTCTTAGGCAACAGACTAGTCTTGCCACCTGTGGTGGGGGCAGGGGTCGGATCAAGACCGTGTGTTTGGCTTTTGCTGCCGAGAAGCGACAGAAGCGAACACAGAGCTTTACTCTGGACTCGCTCTTGGGGCAGGGATATCGCGTCAGGAGTTTGGAGTGCAGTGCTCTGTAATCGTGAGGGGTATGGCAACTCGGCATGTGCTCACTCGGGTGCCGGCGTTGAAGCCGTGAAACTTCGCCGGTGCGACTCCACTTCGAGGGCCGAGTGGATGCGACTTACCGTACCACAGTAGTGCTCATCTTGGCGATTGACTCGAGAGAGGATGCAAATATGAAAGGTCAACCGGAAATTCCGCCGTTGGTGCCTTTCATTCTGAACACGGCACTTAGTGGTCAAAACTCTCGGCCCCATAAGTAGATAGGCTTGTTCTGAAACGTCCCATCAGCTGCGAGGCCTGATTGTTAGAAACCCAATTCCCATGGGTTTCCACAAACCTCTAGTCTAGCCCTGCTGTGTGACAAAGTGTATCAACTTAGGGCTGTTGCACTGCCCTGGGAATCGGCTTGGTAGAGCCTCGTCTGTAGGTCAGCCTATGAAGGGCTCCTATGGCTTGGATTAACTATAGCTAACCACGGGTTCGGCCCCCGAGGATCGAACTATAATCTGCAAGGGAGGGGATCTAGATTCTTCCCAAAATCCGATCGTGCCTGAGTGCCTGACTCAATACTTCCTCGTGTGTCCTGAAAGATGTGCTGGCACCTGACCATCGGGACGGTCATCTGAGACACCGAAGACGTCCCATTATTTTCGCGTTGGCGACGTGTGCCAATAAACCCGGGACCACTCCAAAGTCTATTCTGCAGCTGGCGAACAGGAATGTGCTGCCAGGGATATAGCTACCTGCAAGAGAAGAGACCGCGTCTGCCGTGCAGTAGGAAAACTGGCCAAAGAGCCCGCTTCGGGCCCGCTACATCTCGATGTACAACTTCGGGCAATGCGAGGCTCGGCACAGCAGGAGGAGCGCAGTGGCTTCTTCAACAGCGGTAAACCATACGTTGCCATCTTTACCGCGTCTGTTTCCACTCGATGTCTGGATATATCGGCTGGCAACCTCACCGCCTGAGGACAACGTGATAGACGACTGTCCACGGTAATGTCAGATGCAAGTCAAAAGCCGACATTGGTCTTCGATTGCGAGGCTTGGACATGTTTCAAAGCACAGATTCTCACAACGCAGTATTCTACAGCTCCCGAAACGGCGGCCTTGAAATTTCTTTTATGATGGCGCTTGGGTGTAAGCCGTCGTGAGGCTCGTGCAGCTCACCTACAAGGATAGCCTCAGTGACCTACTTGAGTGACAACTGAAATTAATGCGTGACATCGAACTCTGCCGCCCTTGTCAGAATTCAGATCAAGGCCTGAACTATCCATGGAGAGCGTTGTGTAATGTTTGAATCTGAACAAGGTTCTGTCTTACTTAGGAGTTCCCTATACCGTATACCAGCCCATTGAAGACTGTCCTAAAGCTTTTTCACACCCCCCGCTGTCTCTTCCAACTCGTCAACAGTATGTGCGCGAACGCGTCTCCAGAGTAAACGAGGCTGTGACCATCGCAAGTGGAAGTGATCCGAGTTGGGCATGACTGGGAAGACATGTTTCCAAGATTGCATGAGGGCTTACTTTATCTCGATGTTAGCCGAACCAAAGGGTCGGTGATAGCATTGCCGGAGTCCGGGTAGGGAGTCTTGTCGCGACGAACACTGCGGTACAATAATCAGAAAACCCGTGCTGTGTGGGTGAGGGGCTGGCGCGGAGACAATATGCCATTTCTGCTATCCTGCCCGGCTTATTGTTACATTGCACTATGCTTTAATGCACAAAATCAAGTCGTGTTCCCAGCCGATAGAGTATGCGCCTTATCGCCACCTCCGAGCGTCCGTGTAGACCATGTGTCCGTCTGCTATTGCATCACCTTCTCCGGGATGACATCGTCACCGGAAAACCGAAGATATTTGCTGCTTACATCCTAGCAGGCTAGCTCTGCCTCAAAAGGTGTTGACAGGCGTAGTTCAGCCGAATAAGCAAAATGAGACGAAATGAGAAAGCACACCCTTGAAGACAAGTCTTTGCCTTGTGTAGCGGGGACGAGGCATCTACCTATGTATGTACGTATACGTCTTTCATCAAGACAGGGGTCGCAACTACATAGTACAGTGAAGAGTCCGTGGCCTCAAATTAAATAATCATATTCTGGAGACAACCCACCTGAGTCTTTCTCGGCAAAAGTATAGATCCAGATCGCTCGGCGGAGGGAACTCTTTTATCACTTGATCCAAGACTGGCTGCAAAAGAAAGACAGCAGTACGAAATGAAGTGTAATGGTAGGGAAGAATCGATGAATCACAGTGTGGTCCTCAACCATTGCGGGAAACATCTGCATCGTAGAGCATGTGATGTTGCAGGGACGCTGCGTCAGTTATTTCGAACGTTAGCGCGCATTCAGGCGGGAGTATTTGTGGTTGGACAAACACAAAAATAAACAAAAAGGCAAGTATGTATGAGTACCTACCTACCTTACGTAGCACATCATTGCCTTGTTAACGATACGAGATGATTCTTGCCGATCACCGCTCACCGCTGACAGAAATGACCACAGATCTTCTCGAGATGGCAGCTTGGAATCTTGGATACTGGGCAGCTTGCCACGAGAACAACTTTTTGAGCAGTCGGGGGCACCCATGCTTTTATGGGGAAGCAGAGAGTTTACAGATAAACTCGATTTTCAATCTTGCTGCACGAATGGCCCGAAACGTGCAATTTATGCACATGCGTTGCATACAGCGCAGCGGGCACTTTTAGTAGCGTCGTCAAACGCTTCTGGATTGCAGCAAGCGATGAATGCACCGTGAAAACCATCCGTATTGGCACATCATGTACTGTAGGGAAAGAACAAGAGCCAATGTAAAACATTCGCGTCCCCTTCTCCAAGGACTGGTCTGTTTGAAATCGGAACGGCTTCTAAAGTTGGCAGCGCCATCCGCCCCCTCAATCTCGTTCAACGAAGCTCAGGCCACTGCAGATCCGGAGTTCCAACTTGGACAATCTCTGTGCCTGCAGGGTGGAGTCGTGAGATCGTCGAATGGGCATCTGAAGGCGCTCCAAAGGATCTCTTGGAGCGTTGCTCGCGACTGGCCACTGGCCAGAGCTGCTGCACGAGATCACAGCCTGCAGGCGCCCCAAACAAGCAAGCAACCAAGATGCCACGGGAACTGCTCAACAGATTTGAATTAGCCGCAGCATTGGAATGGCTGTTTACTCAGCATTAAATTCTCCTGAGGTTCTGCAGTAGTTCCATCATCCCATTTGCAAGGGGAGGACAGGGGATGGGTGACAAGCCACGCTCTAAATGCATAAAGCGGAGCTAACCCGTAATCTTGGACCCCTGATCTGCCCTTTGGACTTTTTTTTCCCGCCGACAGGATAGCCAAGCGACCAAGAGAGTTCGAATTGCATGCAGTCTTGGACGACAAGGCCGACCTCTTGGCTCTCTGCCCGTTACAGTACAATGCCACCGGGATACCTACTGTCACTGTTCGTCGCCGTCTTCTTCTGCTCTACCAGAGCAAGTCGATCAATTCGGCCACGTACTTGAAAGTTTCCACTTGGGGCAGTGATGCCAGATTTCGGCCACGCGTGTGGATGCGACCGAGGCTACCCAGACGGGATGCAGTCGGGGTTTAGAAAGAGTCCGACACGCCAGAGCCATTTCAGTCATCGACATCCAGAAGCTCCAAGCTGTCATAGAAATTTAGAATTCAGAGCTGCTGGTAAGACGTCATGGGAATCCAGTAAATATGTACCCGGTACCCTGCAATCACTATGTAGACCGAAAGCACTGGCCAGCGAAAAGAGGAGGCAGAGAAGCACACTGTCAACCGGCACATTGGCACAGTCTTCAGTCTCGACGGCAGCAATCCATTCCACGGGCAGTCAGTAGATGTGCTGCAGCGGTGAGAGTCGAAAGCTCGAAAGAGATGGCATCCTAAAACGACAACAACAAACACGACACACCGTTCTCGTGTTCTTGAATCAATGCAGGCCGAGAAAGGTCCAGTGGAGTGGTGGCAGAGAAATGAAATGCATCGCATTTCGTCAAGCAGCCGCGTAAACCCCCTGCACATTGCTTGTCTAGCGCGACAATTGATCAATGTAGCGCGACCGTGATCAATGCCTGTCGACCGCCACCGTTTCGACCTGTCCAATGGCGCCCTAGCGCGACCCATACGCCTGTTGTTATCCCACAGGCATGGGCGGCCAATGAGCACGGACTGGAGCAGGCCAGAGTACGCGGCGCGCTGCTAGAATCTGCTGGCCAATGCAGAGTACAGCGATAGCGCGCAGCAGGCCAGGCAAGGGCAAAGGTCGCGGTACCTGGACCAGGAGCTGGGGGGCCTGGAGCCATGGCACTGTGGCACCCAAACACCCAACTAACCTGGGTCGTCTCGCTGGCTGTTCTTGGTCGGGCCTGCTCCCCCGCGTCCGGGTCCAGCGCTGCTCCCTGGGGGCCCAGAGACTGCTTCAGCGCACCGTTCTAGCGCACGCAGGGCCTCCACAGCGCTCTCAGCAGGTGGTTTCTCCTTGGCTGTTAGCGCATCGCGGGCGTTAACCCACCAGAGCCTCAGTAGCCTCTCCCCTGATCATCGACCCCCCGGCCCCGAGCAGCACGAACGGCTGTGGAGCGAGCGTGCCGGGTCCTGTCTAGGTAGGTAGCTCAGTGTACTAGGTGAGTAAAGGGTAGGAGGTAGGGTCCTATGCATCCCTCCCCATCCCATATTGGATCCCATCCCCCTTCCGTCCCATCCCATCCCACTGAAGGAGGAGACTGAGCGCGCACAGTCGTCCTGGCCCAACTCACTAAGCCGCCTCTAGTCCTCTCGCCTTCCCGTCGGAATCTCAAAGCATCGTCTGTCTTCCCAATCGCCCTTCACCTGCCTCCCGTCCCATCCTTTCCACCACTCGACACCTTGGAATACCCTCATCGTCACCCCATCCTTCCCCCAGCCCTATCTTCCCTCTTTCCCCTCCCATTCTTTCTGCCCTTATTTCCTAGTACATATCATCCTCGTATGGTTCCTCCTTAATTCTCCCGCTAAAGTCCGAGATTCCTGTTCGCCGCTCCCTTTTTTATTTTCCGCGGCTGATATCCTCGTCTCCCCCCCCCTTTCTTGTTGCTGCGTCTGTCTCAGACCTTTCCAACACCCACCCCGACGGCCCTCGCCATTCATCTCTTCACAAAACCCTCGCGAGGGAAGGGGAAACCCAGAAGACAAAAAAAAGATACAAAAAAGAACTCGAAAACATCATCCTGCTCTCGTTGGCCCGAAAGAAGCATTCGGACGTGAACCACCAGCCTCAATGTTCTCCTAGGCAAAAGTGCACCTTTCATCGTGTCCTTCTGTGGCACTGGAACATCGCCCTCCCCCCCTCTCGGCCCCGATTCTTTGCCATCTTCGACACCGGCTCGTCGTGAGAGATACTCGACACCCGGCAAGCAAAAAGAAGCTCTCTACGGTAGCAGTGGACTGCTTTCGGCAAAAATCACCACTCGTTTTAATCTCCCCCTGGTCGCAGGCGTCCTTCGATTTCAAATCCAGCAACTTCAATCGCTTTCTCTTATTTCGTCACGAACCACCATCTTTCCCGACCGAGCCTTGCCATTGAACATCGTTGTATTGGGCCATATTCAAAGGTGGGCATCCCCCCGTTTCGCAGCCTTCCTTATAAGAATAACTGTAGATGGCGGCTGTCGTCGTGTCAATCACCGATGGCATGCATTGATATCTGTGTCAGCGTCGCTTGTGATCCTATTCTTCATTTCTTCCACTGAGACTGTGCAACTGAGAACTGACCACACAGCGAATAGGACTACCGCGTTCGTTCGACCTGCCTACAAAAACAATCGCAGCCCAATTTAGGGATTCCCTCTTGGTCTGATTTCCAACCCAGGTTCCTTATTCGCACCAACTTGTTTCGAAGCTGTTCTAGAGAGTGATCCTTCATCCTACCAATCACCCGGAAGTCTGTCTCGTCTGATCATGGCTGCTATGATCCAGACGTTTCCTCAACAGACAGGAACAATTACTCTGCTTCAGACCAGACCAAGCTCGGCATCCGGAATCATGCCGGGACACTCCCAACATTCTCAACCACAGCCTGGCCAGCAGTATGGGGCAAACCCCCAGGTGCACCGGAATAGTTCTTACGGTGTTCCTGGAGCAGTCGGGGGCCAGACCAGCTATAGAGGCATATCTGGGGGGCCAGTGCAGCCATACGCCTTCACATCCACGCCTGCCCTGGGAAATGGCGGGCAGTGGCAGACCTACGGCGCTCTCAGAACAACATCCACCCCCAGTCTGCCGACCATGCAAATGGGAGGTTCTCTCGTGGCCGCCCGCCCGCAGTACCAGACCACCGCCTCCACAAACAACCTGCCAAGCAATGCCAGGATGGCGCCAGCTGTGAGGCATGGAGCCTCCAGAGACGACATGTCACTACCATCACTTGCCACTGGACAACAGTCATCGACCCACGGGAGTGCAGCTGGTCAGCTGACGTTTGCTCAGGTGGTGAGCGGGAAAGCCGCGCCTGAGAGGTACCGACGAACATCACCGCGGACAGCGTCTGCCACGGACTCTTCGTCTAGCCAGTCGTCACAGTCACAGGGATCAGGCTCTGCGTTGCCTTCAGGTTCGGGCATGGCAACTGTCGTTCATCTGTACAACCCTCGCGCCATGCCCAACTTGGCACCTATCCCTAGAAACTCAGCAACGCTGGCACCGAGACCGCACAGCACCTATATACCTGGGATGGCGGTAGACGACATGGTTGTCCCGCGCCAGCCCACGGACGAGGAGCTGAAGAGGATGCGCCGGCGTAGCATGCACTCATTTGATTCTTCCGATTATCCCACGCCCCTGACCCCGCAAGAGTTCAAGCAGCAAACGGAAGATGCACTCCGTGGAAAGAGGTTTAGCATTCCTGATAAGCACCAGAAGGCTGCACCACGGGTTGTTCCCGTTCCCGCGCCTGCTGCTGTGCCCGACAGCAGAAACACGCTGACCGTCAACCACGCCACCACTGCCCATACCCGGAATGGCAGTTCTGAAAGCCTTGTTTCGAGTAGAAGCAGCAACTCTCGGCCGTCTTCGGTAAGTGCCCCCAATCGCAATCAAGCAGGCCAGCCGGTCGATTGTCCAATCATCCGCCCCTGTCACATCCCCTCGCTGTACTGATGCATTGTCCCATTCCAGTCTACCAATCGAAACCCCAATACAGTCGTCCCCACAACCAGCCCCGCCTCCGCCGTCACGAACTCCACGGATGAAAAGTCCAACAAGGCGGATGCTCCCAAGTCGGTGAATGTACCGCCGAGGAGCTCGTCGTCGGAAGCTGCGAAGCGTGTGCTCACCCCGTCGCCGTTGTCTAAGCCGGCAACCATGGCATCGGACAATGTAAACAGGCCGTCGTCGGGCAAGGCTGCCGCCTCGTCGCCAGCCAAACCCTCGGGCTCGTCCCACGGTTCTACCGTCGCCAGCAGCCCCGCAGCCAAGCAGCTCGCCGCTATCAACGAGAAGGGTGGCCGTCCCAAAGGCAAAACCTCGCGTCTTCGTCGAGCATTTTCCTTTGGCAGTGCTGCCGACTTCAAGAAGGCAGCCGACCAGGACGATGATGGAAAGACTTCTGCACACAATGACCCGGCAAAATTGCGAAAGGAGCCCGATGCCGATGATCTGTATGAGCAGGAACAGGCCCGAATCGCCCAGAAGCAGGAGGCCAGCGGTCTTGGTAACAGTATCTACTCCGGAACCAAGATCTTTGCTGGTTCAACCGACAACCTGTCCATCTCTTCCACAGCCTCTTCTGCATCGATCATGTTAAGAAAGATGGGCAAAGGCATGAAGAAGGGCGGTCGCTCTCTTGTGGGACTGTTCCGACCGAAGTCGATCATCGGGGCCCCCATCGGTGAAGTTGCAACACCCGAGGCCAGCCAAGCCACCGTCTCCATGATTACGGTGGAAGCCGAGAGGGAGCGCGTCAACGTGAACTCGAACGCCGACTTGGGTCAACACATGGGAGGGACCGGCTTTCCTCGTTTGGAGCGAAACTCGCTAGATGCAAAGGATGCTGTGCACGTGGACAGCCTGACGTCTGAACGTCTTGGCAGCTCCGGGACGGATTCAAATGCGAGAAAGAGCATTGTTGGTGGCGAGAAGGAGCGGGCCGAAGTTCTCGGTGCCATCAGGAAAGGCATTCTCAAGAGTAAGTCAACAAGATGATCAAGATTGGGATAGTGAAGTCTAACATGACGCAGCCCGCAGCAATTCACCCAGTCCTTCGCCGCAAACCGGCAAGACACCGCCTACCTTTGAGCTTCCTATGATTCCCAATGTTAGCGATTCGCCGAGCTCAAGTGCACCGAGCACGCCCGGCGAAGAAGCTCAGGGCCACAGGCGGAATGGGTCGGTCACCATCGGGAATGAAGACTACTTCATGTCGGCGTTGCGACTTCGACAAGACAGCAAGAGCGCTCCCGGAACACCTCAGGGAGGACTCGGGAAACGGAATGCTACCTTTAGCCCTCGCCTGATATTCCACGACACCTGGCCGCCGCAAGAGTACGACCGACGAGGAGAAATTGCCACATGCAATCGTCTGACTCCAATGCTGGCTCAGCAAATCAAGGAAGAACTCAATAGCTTCAAGATGGTAAGTCGCCGATGCCAATTATTCTAGTCTCTCGCAACCTTGCTTACTCTCGGGTTAGGAAATGGAAGTTCACGAGACGTCCAAAATCTACACGCACTTTTTCTGATGACTACGAGCATTTTCAGTCATATTTCAGCCTGGCAATCATGTATTTTCGACAGACTCTTCTTATACTCTGAAGGCGTTGGACTGGGTCAGCATAGTAAGGTGTCAACGGCGTTTCCAATTATTTGTTCATTCCGCACTTCGGCTCAGTCTCTCGAACCGGCCAATGGCTGTATGGTCGATTGCATTCTGTCTGTCGAATCTACACACTCAACACACCACAACTTCGGTCGTAGATTCTCACGCCCTGTGCTCATGCAGCAGTCCCTCGATCCAAGATAGATTTTTGTTTCATGGAGTGAGTGAACTGACTCGCAAGCACGGAATGAATGCTTTGGCCCGATAAAAAAAAAATCGTGCAGTTCCTGAAGCTGTCATGACAGGATTTTTCAATCGGCTTCGGTTCTCCTCACTGGTCACGATACAGTCGCACAACGTTGGCTTATCTAAACCCGGTTCCACGGTTGCACGGAATACGGGAATGATACATGGCGTTATCACGCACCACGAGGAGGGGTGCTCAGCAACCGAGGGGAATATCGCACCCGATAGGCTTAGACCTTGCAGCACAATGGAAGTGTGTGGGTGCAACTGCACCAAGGGGGGTTCACTAGTTTCGCACCAAGAAGCAGCTCTTCAGATGGTTAGACTAGGAATATTTCCACTGCAAGCGAAATTGGCGCTGCAGGCGAAAGAAACCCACAAGCTGGGACGGCAATCATGTCATAGCATGCTCACGACAGGCGGCGACTGGATGTACTTGTATCTGGGATGTGGATTTTCTTGGGGGAAGAAAGCGTCTTTTCATTTTGGAGCTTTGTGGCGGGCTCTTTCTAGCAATATTTTGGCAAAGCGACAGCGTGAGAGTAATACGTAACTTAGCATAAAGAGAGGACTGCTCTATACACACACAAGGACATTCGCTGATGGATTCTTCTCTGAGCATGTGAATGGCGAGCCGCGACGTCGGAATCAGAGTCGACAAGGTTTGCTGAAACTTGGCGGAGCTCGTAAGATGGATGCACAGCCGTTGGACCAAACGACTCGGCCCATCTGTTTAGATCCAACGCCTGCTTCGCGATGGTCCGCATGGAGGGCAAAGTGGAAAGTCAGGTGCGTTGTTTTCACTGGCATTGCGTGGGGTCGCGCTTGTGGTCCAGCGTGGGTTTGAGTACTGGTACTTGTCCGCCAATACGAGGCGTGTCCCCCTCTAGCTTGGATTGCTTTTCTTTCTGTAGTCAGGGTTCCCCTTCAGTCCCGTTCGGCCACGGGCGCGGAGACTTGGATGGCACCACCAACTTCTTCCATTGACGAGCTTGCAGGAGAGCTGCAGAGAGGCTAGCCTAGCGGACCGCAGCGCGAGGCAACGTCTGCCTGGCTGTGGCTGTCTCGAAATCTTCCATCGTTATAGGGCATCCCCTCCTCAACGAACAGGTGGCACACTAGGGACCTACTTCTTCAGAGGTCAACTCAACTTGGGTATTGTGGTACGGGAGCTATTAGGGAAGCTGGCCTGCGGGCTTGGTGCGCCTTGGCGGGAGACGGCAGGCCAGTAGCGATGCGCTAAGTCCGGGCCCTGATGGTGCGATAGGCTTCCCATGACACTAAGCTGACGGCGGCCGAATCCGGACGACGGTCCTGCAGATCATCCAGCCTTGTCAAGATTATGCAAGGCTGCGAGATGGCGCTCCTAGCATCTCCCGCATCTGCGCCTATCTAACTTTCCGCCGCGCCCTGTCCAACGCTAACAGGGACCCCTACCAAATTTTTGGGAATCCGGACCTGGAGCGGCGGCGCTCTGAGAGAAAAAGTCCCCCAAGGTCCCGAATTCCACCGCTCCGAGCTACAGCACAGAACTGCGCTCGCCACCGCAGGAAGCGCCTCGTTCACGCTGGATATCGCGCGCCAAGGGTCACGGTGCTGGAGGTCTCCAGGCTGGGGATTTCTGGTGGTCAGAGGCTACGCCCGCATGGCTTCTTCGAGCACCCCAACCACGACTGCGGCGGCGACCACAGCGGCGCCGTCGCCTGGAGCAGTGGCCATGGCGACCAAACCCAAGCTCCACGGCCGCGCTTTCTACGAGAGCATCGGCAGTCCCAAGTTTGTCGTCGCCCCCATGGTCGACCAATCCGAGTTCGTACGTCTTCTCCCGGCCAAGGTCATCGCAAAACGCAGGCGGACCACTAACCAAACCCGCAGGCCTGGCGCATGCTCACACGATCCTTTATGACCCCGGCCGAGAACGCAAAGCTGCTTGCGTACACGCCCATGTTCCACGCCCGTCTCTTCGAGGAGACCACCAAATATCGAGAGTCGCATTTCCAGGCCACGCGGCCAGCGCCGCCCGTCAAGAAGGGCGAACCTGAGCCCCCAGTAGACACCGCGCCCTGGCTCGACGGGAACACCGCCTTCGATCGTCCCCTCACCGTACAGTTCTGCGCCAACGAACCGGCCCACCTCCTGGCCGCTGCCCAGCATGCCGCACCCTACTGTGATGCTGTCGATCTGAACCTGGGCTGCCCTCAGGGCATTGCGCGGAAGGGTCACTATGGCGCATTCTTGCAAGAAGACCAGGAGCTCATCTACAAGCTCATCAACACACTGCACGTCAGCCTGCCCGTCCCCGTTACGGCCAAGATCAGGATCCTCGAAGACAAGGAGAAGACGCTAGCCTATGCCAAGAATGTGCTGGCTGCTGGCGCCAGCATCATTACTGTTCACGGCCGGAGAAGGGAACAGAAGGGCCACCTGACGGGCGTTGCCGACTGGAGCTACATACGTTACCTGAGAGAAAACCTGCCCAAGGAGACCGTCATCTTCGCCAACGGCAACATTCTGCAGTACGGAGACATCGAAAAGTGCTTGGAAGCCACTGGTGCCGATGCGATCATGAGCGCCGAGGGCAACCTCAGTGATCCATCCATCTTCGCCAAGCCGCCTGCCGAGGGTGAAGAAGGCAGGGAGTACTGGCGTGGGAAAGATGGAAAGGGCGGTTATCGGGTCGATGCCGTCTTCAGGCGTTACATGGACATCATCCATAAATATGTCCTACAGCATGATCCACCCACCAGAAGACCATTGTTCGTTGTTGGTGACGACGAAGGCTGGCTCCGCGAGTCTGGTGGTGCCGAAGAAGCAGAGGAAGGCCCGGCAAGGAAGAAGAGGAAGAAGGACGGCGGTCCCAGGCTGGAGAGATGCGTCGACCCCAACCTGGTAGCCATGCGTCCTCATTTATTCCACGTCCTACGGCACTTCATCTCCAAGCACACGGATATTCGGGACGCCCTCGCCAAGAGCCGCCCCGGAGACGTGGCTGCTTTCGAGAACGTGCTCGAGATGGTAGAGCGCCGGGTCGCCGAGGGCCTGATCGAGTACGAGAAGACCGGCGGCAAGAGCGCCGAGGAGGAGCCCGAGACGCAACCGGCCACCTCCGAGGCCGTCGCGGCGGAAGACGCGGGCGCCGAAGAGGATCCCGAGAGCTCGGCCGCCACGGTGAAGGCGTGCAAGCGGCCGTGGTGGGTGGCCCAGCCCATCATCCGACCGCTGCCCAAGGAGGCACTGGCCAAGGGCGCCCTGAGCCTGAGCAAGAAGGACAAGAAGAAGCTGGAGGAAGAGGAGGCAGCAGCGGCCGCGGCAGCGGGGTCGGCCGGCAAGACTGCGGCCGAGCAGGAACTGCCCGCGCCAGACGGCACAGATGGCGTCAAGGAGCCCAAGATGGACGACAAGCAGAAAGGCCTCACGAGCGAGGAGCTCGTTTGTGGATAGATACCAGTGTAGATATACTTTGGCCACTCAAAACAAATTAGAAATTCACACAGTACCATAAGGAAGCGATTTTTGCCATGATTTGGCGTTGGGTATTAGAGTGGCAGCGCCCCATTCCTGGATTCATCAAATCGGCGTAGCTGCTTCTACTTCGTCTGTCCCGGACGGCTATATGATATAGCCCGGGGCTGTTATGCACCAATGCGATGAAGTTGTATAGTGGGCTGCAATAACGCCGATATAGTGCAAACCCGGCGCCGCGCAAATAGTTGATAAGCAACTACGACTATGAGGCTAACAAGATGTACGGGAAATGGCAGATGATACCGATATCCGAAGTGCCTCCTTATTTGATGTAAGCGATGGGAGCATTGTCATTGGAAACCGCAACGAGTTCTTAGCAAGTGGGCTAGACCAGATCCTGGTGAGTTTGCCGCAGGAATAGAGGATGACGAGACAATCGGTCAGTTTGTTGTCGATGCTTCTGAGACTATGCAAACCATCTCTCGATATACAGGAACTCGGGACGGGCCCGCTATGGACAAACACTTTTAATCTCCCTGGATACATCTCGAAAAGAGAGCTACACACATGTGAGTGTCGATGAACCACCACTTAGAGCTGATTGCTCCACCATACGCAGATACGCTGGGCCAATCCGTTCTGGCCTGGGTCCATAGCTAGACAGAGGGTCGGCTTGCCAGTGTCGTGATCCTCGACTTGAGTGCGTGTTGGCTCGGTTCACCGTCACGCACCGTCGTCGGATCTAAAAGGACCGCCGATGCTGTCTGTAGTGTGCTACCTGTTGGGGGGTGCTGCTTGGTTGGCCCAGTGCCATTACAGTAGGGACGTAAAGGCTTTGCCGTGGGGCTGGAAAGTTGCAACTTGGCTAGGAATTCCGGGCGGTTCATGGAGGTCCATTGAATTCGCGAGTCCCTTTGAAAACTGAGATATGGTTTGGAAGCTTCCTTGATGACTAGAAGTGAGTCGGCCTGCGACCAGCAGTTGACGAACCCAGTCTTGCTCCTATACTATATACATCACCAACGGCGTTTGCTCCGTGATAATTCACTACCAAGTATGTTGTAGAGAATTTTCGTATCCATCTCGAGCTGGGCCACCTGAATCCCATATTCCGGAAAACACAGGTGTTGAGTTGGTGAATTATTTCATGTGCCACCGTCTCTTGGGTACGTGTATCATACGTGTTTAAGTGAGGAGTGCCTGGCTCAGACCTCAAACCTACATAGTGAACCTGAAGGGTTACGGCAGAGCACCTCAAAGAAGTGGCGAAGCTGGGACGTGGTTTGTGGTGATCACGAAGCTTACGGGGAAAGGTAAGTGGATTGTGTCACAAGGTAAGAGAGTCCTACGTTGCCGCACGACCGAGGCAAAGTCAACAGCAGAATGTTGATGCGTGCAAAACTGCCGTGTCTTGTGAGTGGCGCATTCACTGAATGCTGGGATGAATGCGCTACAGACGCAGGACTTTGCTTTGGCTATAGCATGGCGGACGCATCGAGCTGGCCGAACGCCGTCGAAACGTTATGCAGTTGCAGTCGCAGTCGCAGTCGCATGCCGCTTGGCTGTTGGTGCACACGAAGCAGCCCCCAGCCAAAAGCTCGACGGACGGCCAAGATGGGGTGGTAAACATTCAAGGATCATCATGGCAATAAGCAACTACCCCATACACATCGTGGATCTCCTACTGGACATCCCCCATAGGATAGCGCGCGAGAGGGACGGCAAGACGGGATATTCCATGCGTCGCCCGCACGGGCTTCCAGGATTTCCTGCGAGCCATCGACGCGGCGCAAGGATTGATGAGGATTCGTGAGGATGGGATGAGGCCATTTCTGGGTCGTTGGGCAGTCCTGATTGGGCAGCGGGCGGCGGGCAGCGTCTCGCAAGTCTGGCCTGGCGTCGATTTGTTATCGAGAGTGGAACAGCGGGGTAGGCGGCGGAGGTGAAACACGGGCTGGACGGGCATGGCGAGGAGCATTGCAGGCATTTGCAGGCATTGGGGCGCCAGCCAGCCAGCCAACCAGCCAGCTCCAAAGCTCCAGCCAGCTGTGTGCTGTGCAGTGCTCTAAAATAAGCGTGAGAGCGTGAGAGGACGCGCGCTCCACAGGAGCCACAGCCAACTTATCGGTTGCCGTGGCGACGGCTTCCCGGTCTGCGACGCATCGGACTCTCGCAATGGGAAAGGCGCTCGCCAAAATTAATAGCCCAGCCCTGCTATTGTTGATGCCGTCTGCCTCGCCTCGAGCTCATCTGCCTCTCACCACCCCTCCATCGAGCTTGGATCGTAGCATTGCGCCGGAATAGCTTCACCTCCCTCTTTCCTTCGCCTCGCCTCGCAATCGCAGTCGCAGTCGCAGTCGCGCCTATCTGTGAAGGCCGGGTGTGTGTTTTTTGTCCTTCCTTGTCCCGTCTGAGATGCATCACCGCAGCCTGACCATCTCCTGACACCCCTAAACTACTCGATCCGCTCCGCACCGCCTCCGTCGGCAACCCACAACTTGCGACGCCAGACTATCCACAACGACGACGGCGATACCAACCTGCGGACTCGTCGCCTGTCACCCACATACCGCATCTTGGACCCCGCGCAACTTCCCACCACATGTTCCCAGTCGCTGGATAACACCGGGAAGCGACCAAGAGAAACACACACAGACACAGCCTCGCTCTCTACACACGTTGCGCTGCGCGATAGCAGCTCCCAAACATGGACGCAGGCTATCTTTCGCAACAAGTCAACACCATCATCGGCCAGTTGCATGGCCTCTTCGACGAGATTGGCGTGCCGAACCATGATCGCGAAGCCCGCGAGACAGAGGTGTGTAATGCTACCCGATATGCAGCCTACTGCACGTCATCATCCTCGCCCACTCGCCTGCTTCTGTACAGCTCCACATGCTAACCCGCTGCTGCGCACCGTTAGCTGTTCTCGGCTCTGTCAGAGACGCTGAACAACCAAGTCAAGGCCGTCACGGCCGAGAAGGATGAACTGGTCGATGAGGCCAACCGCATCATCACCGTCATTCGCCAGATGGAGACGTCCTTGGACGATGCAGAGTCCCACACCCGCGAGGGCGACCTGAAGATCACGTATCCCCTGTCGCGGTGCTTGATGGTGCTTAAGGAGAAGCACACACAAGTAACCCGCCTGCACCGCGAGAGGTTCGAGCAAGTCAAGAGTATGTTGACCCCATATTCGCACTCGAACTTAGGCAGCCCAGGCTAACATCCGTCTTAGAACTTGTTCAAGCGCTCGAGTCGTACTCATCCCATCTTGAGCCGTCGTTTGTCAGGATTGCCCTTCCCCCGACTGGGCCCAACCAGTCTCTTCCCCCTACTTTTGATCTCTCGCCCTCCTATGTAGACAAGCTGGACGATGAGTTCACCCGAGTCTACGAGGAGTATACCCGCCGCATAGCCACAGTCAAGGCTCTCTCGGAAAACATTATTCAGCTTTGGGCTGAGTTGGGCACGCCACAAGCCCAGACTGACGCTGGCATTGTCAAGTACTATCGCGACTCACCTGAGCAGCTCGGTCTGCATGCAGAGGACATCGCCAGACTAAGGGGCAAGCGAGATAAGCTGGCCGATGAGAAGAAAAACCGAGAGAAGCGTCTCAAGGACCTGAAGCAAGCTGTAGAGGGGCTATGGGAGAAGCTTGGCATCGAAGAATCGGAACGTAAGGCGTTCCTGAATGGCAACCGAGGCTGTGGCGTCCGGCAAATCAATGAGTTCGAGGACGAGTTGGGGCGTCTAAAGGAGCTCAAGCGCCAGAACCTTCACCTGTTTGTCGAGGACGCCCGAGACAAGCTGCAGGGGCTCTGGGATGCCCTGTACTTCTCTGAAGACGAGATGCTGGACTTCACCCCGGCGTTTTCGGATGTTTACAGTGACGCCCTGCTCGAGGCTCATGAGCGCGAGATTGGTCGGCTGGAAGCCCTGAGGGAACAACGCGCCCCCACGCTGGCCCTCGTCGACAAGCATCGCACTCTGGTCCATGACCGTGATGAGCTCCAAGCATCCAGCCAGGATGCATCGCGTCTCATGATGCGCGGCCAGAAGGGAGAGAAGCGAGATCCCGGCAAGCTTCTGCGCGAGGAGAAGATGCGAAAGAGGATCGCAAAGGAGTTGCCCAAAGTCGCAGCCGAACTCCGTAGCATGCTCGAGTGCTGGGAGGACGAGTTTGGCCGTCCATTCCTTGTCCACGGAGAGCGTTATCTGGACGTCCTAGAGGAAGCCGAGGGACGGGCTGTCCCAGGCCCGAGGTCAAAGACGCCAGCCGGACCGCCTCCAACCACGAAGAAGGCGCCGGCAGCTCCACCGAGCCGAGCGAACAGCACCGCAAGCAGAGCCGGTACTCTCCCAAGGTCCAAGACGCCCACAGCCAACTTCAACGGCAATGGTACCATCAGGCGCGCCCCACCGTCAAACCAGCCGGCAAGCCTCAAAAGCCCGTCGCGGGTCCCTGTCCGCGCACCTCTCTCCAACCTGCAGCATGGCGGCAACTCCCCCGAGAGGGTAAGGCCCGAGTCCCGCATGGGCGGCACATTGCGACCCGGACCACCACTGACGCGAGCTCCCCCGCCTAAGATGAGAGAGCTCGTGCAGGCGCCGGCCCTTGAGACCCCCGCCAACCCCTATAAGCGGATGGGCCTTGGCTCAAGCGTCATCATTCGCCCTATAGAGCCCGAGGATGTGTACGACGACCGGTATTCTGACCAGGACTACGGTCGCCCGCGGTCACACGACTCGTACGTTTCTCATGGGTCTGTACGGCAAGTTGGCCGTCCCGACTATCCTCAAGCTCCTCCGCCGAGGCAAATTTCCAATACTTCGACGGTGATCTCGGGATCGGAAAACTGGGAGACGTACGACGACGCCTCGGAGCCGGAAATTGACGCCTCTGACATGTACTATGCCAAGGTGCGAGCGGCACATGGCAAGCGCATCACGCCCGAGGACCAGTACTCCCGCCTGCAGTCAAGTCAATCCAAGCGGATGCGAGGCATTCCCCCGGCCATGTCGCATGCTGGCCACGGCACGGTGGATGTCGAGGGCAACCGGATCATCTCGGGGAGCGAGTGGACTGACGAAGACGCGTTCTAATGTATTTCGGTGCTGATCGAGACGCCGTTCCTGGACGAATCACGAAGTTCCTAAGTCATTCATGTTTGGCACGTTCTCACGATGACGAGCACAGCTCATGTCTCATGCTTGGATGATTCCCGTCTACGGCGTTATTAGCGGGCGACGACTCGACCGAGTTGGATCCTTTCATTTTTTTTTTCTGTCTCTATTTTATACTCGGCTCTTGCACATGGATGGCTCTGTTCTGTTCCTGTACTTTTCTCTTCTCTTATTGCATAGTACTCTGGTGCCGCAAGGCTAGAAGAAAGGTTGTGGGCCTTGGGCTGGCCTGAAGACTGCGTCTCGGCCAGCTTTGACGGCCTGGCCTGCATTCGAAAGGGAATCTCTCTCCCTTTTTATATGGCCTGCCTGTGTCGGCTGCACTCTATTCAGCCGTATGGACTTTTCTCGTCAGATAATAACTCAAAGGGGGGCAGCGGCGGCGAAGAATGGTTGTTGGTGGACAAGGGGGGAGAAGGAAAGCTCATATGTCGGCGTCCGGTCACGGCGTTTTGAGAGGCACATACCTGATTGCTAGATGCTTGTGTATCAAAAGTCACCCAATTGACAAAATTTCTACGCATATAATGTCTGACGCGCTGCTGAACGAGTGCCATCCACGTGGTGGATAGTGTGAGTCTGGAGGCCCTTCCCTGGAGGATTACGAAGGCCTCGACGTAAGCCTGGGAACGGTATGGAGGTCATTGGCTTACATCATAACTACATGGACAGTAGTTCATTTCAGCACACGAGTGGAAACCCAGACAGGCCAGACCTGCTAAGTTACGGAGTAACTGGAGGGGCCTCCAGTTCCTGCGGCCACCCCTGCAGACGAGTGTCAAGTTCACTTTAGATGGCATGGCCTAGCGCACCGCCCGCGTCCCGAAGCGACCTTGAACCCGCATAGCGTAATGGATCAGCGTGGGATCTGGTCCACGGGTGTGTCTCAGCCTTACTGATACGACCCTCCAACGGGCGAAACAAGACGAGCCACTTTGTTGGACCATTGCAAAACAATGCCGCGAATCTCGTCAGCCGGCAACCGTATGCACTGCAACTAGAAACCGCGCGCCTGAGCTCCTGTCCCGTGTCTCGCAAACGTCCAAACGTCCAAACGTCCGACCTGCGGCATCGTGCGCTTAGATGATTTCAATCCACCTCGGAACCCATTCCACGGCGGCCACTCGCGCCTTTCTGCAACTCCATGCACCAGCCAGGCACCCCTAGTACCCCGAGCCGCCGCCTTCCCAACTCCTCCTCTCCTGCCCACGATGGCGCTGCCTACCAGACGGCCTTGAGGGGCGCCTCTCTCGCCTTCCAGCGGACGGGCCCGTCTCCCAAGTCCAGCACCACCGTCCTGCGGAACAATGGCGCCCTGATCGCCGCTGCCTCGGCCTCACGCGACCACAGCCTCTCGCGCTCGCCCTCCCGCGCACAGAACGCCTCGAGGGCCATCAGCCGCCAGACGACCGGCGGCAGCGTGCAGGATGGCAGCTACGGCCACGACGTGCATCACGGGACTGTCAGCCAGCGACTGGCCCAGCTGCACCACGCCCAGCCGCCCCCGACCGTTCAGAGCCTCCAGGGCCAGAACGCCGCATTCCTCAAGCCGCCCGGCAAGTCCAACATGGCCGCCGACCCTCGCTCCTCGCCCTCGTTCATCGCTGCCACCCTCGCCGCCAGCAGGTCGGCCAGTCCCAGCCCGAGCCAGCTACCGCAGGTCCACCCGTACGCCCAGCACGCGGCCACGCGGATCAGGCGGAAGAACAGCGTGGGAGCGCAGAGCGCGGCTAGCTCGGTTGCGAGCCTGGATCTGACGGATACGACGTCGATACCGCCGGCGAACTCCCTCATCTCCATGTTCGAGAAGAAGGGCGATGGGGTCGACACGGACCCGATTAAGAGAGGACCCAAGTTACGCCCGGTTACACCACAGAGACCTGCGTCCCCCGCCAAGCAGCCGGATTTATCGCCATCACGGCTTGGGGGCGGTGTGGCGTGGGAGGGAGCAGCCTCCCCACCGAGTTCTTCTATTGAGGTTAGACACCATACCTCAGGGCGATCAGCTGTGACAGCTATAGAATCAAAGAGGCGGCTTCCCACGCCGCCGGTCCCGAGAGCCTCGCGGCCGGAGCTCGAGAAGCGAGAGTCCACCCAGGCTGTAGCGAAGAGCAAGCCGCGAGCTGTCACCCCGCCACGGCCTATTAGCAGGGCCAATACTGTCATCCTGTCACCGCAGCCTAGAAGAGCGGCGTCTCATAAGATGGTACGTCCAGAGGCGCCGCCGGGCAAGGGGCCCAAGGTCACTTCAAAGAAGCCGCCTCCACCGGCTGTGAAGCCAAAGCCACGCCCTCAGTCTATCCATAGCATCTCTCCTATCACACTCAGGAGCGAACCGAGGTCTCCGGTGATGCCGCTGCGCAAGGTTTCGACGGCGTCCTCCAACGACACCTTCGTCTCGGCGTCTTCAGCCCAGTCGCCTGAGCCCGGGTCGCCCGAGCGAGGCCGCTCGCGTGCCCCAATACACGAGCTGCGGCGCCAGGCCCGTCCCGCCTCGGCCCAGAGCCTGCCCATCGACATCGTGCCCAAGCGGCGGAACCCGGTCCCGCCGCCTCCCCGACGCAGCCAGGCGTCCTCGTCGAACCTGGCCCTCAGCTCCCTGACGGACGCGACCATGGCCGGGATCCTCGCGTCGTCGCGCGCCACCCCGACCTCCCTGCCGGCCAGCTCCCCGCCCCCGCTGCTCCCCTCGCGCAAGCACAACCCCCCGTTCCACATGCGGCAGACGCTGCGCCAGCCCACCACCAAGTCCGACGACGAGGAGACGCGCCGCAACAAGTCGCGCCACCGCAAGAAGCCGCTGCAGAAGTCCAAGCACTCGCACCACGAGGGGGCGCGCCGCCGCTGGCGCGAGGAGATCACGCCCCGCGAGCGCAAGCGGTACGAGGGCGTGTGGGCCAGCAACCGCGGCCTGCTCGTCGCCCTGTCGTCGCCCGAGTCCAGCTCGAGCAGCTCGCGCAACGGCACGCCGGCGAACAACAGCAGCGGCAGCGGCAACGGCAACGGCAGCGGCAGCGGCAACAACTACGTCGCCAACGTCGTGGTGCGCGACGTCTGGTCGCGCAGCCGGCTGCCCTTTGACGAGCTGGCCGAGGTCTGGGACCTGGTCGACCTGCAGGGCCGCGGCGTGCTGGACAAGGCCGAGTTCGTCGTCGGCATGTGGCTCATCGACCAGCGGCTCCGCGGCCGCAAGATCCCCCAGAAGGTCATGGACAGCGTGTGGGCGAGCGCCAAGGGCCTCAGGGTCATGGAGCCGCCCAAGGTGAAGGGCAGGGGGAGGAAGCACCATTGAGACAAAAGCACGCGGAGACGGTGGATGAAACTAGTGCTTAGATGGCGATGGTTGATGGTTGATGCTGACGGGGGCTGTCACCCGCGCGAAGGACGGCAATTGTGCATAAGACCCAGTTATATAGTCGTGCGTGTATATGGGCGGTACGCTGAGAATTATAGATACCAATTCAGTTACCGACTGTTCAGAGGACCTCCCTCGAGTTGGGTCCCGGGGTTGCTCAAAGGGTTACCCGCAGTCCTATCCCACTTCAGTTTTTCAGTGCGTACCTGATGCTGCCTTGACCTCTCCCTGTTTTCATATCGATCCATCACGTCCCCGAGAGAGTCGCGATGAGCACAGGACTCTTTGCCCTGACAAAGGGTGGTAGTTTTGTTTTGAATATTTGAACTGAACTCAGTCTTATGGCATGAAAGCGTAGTAAGCCATGACACTTCGACTAGCGGTTCATTAGCTGTGGCCTGAATAGAGAGATATATAGTCGATACGTGAATTACTCTGCTTCCCTCGTAAACATATGAGAGGTTGAGAGGCGTTTCATTCACAGCACGTCAAGTGCGATAGCGTGGAAAACTGCCATTATGGGAAATAAAAATGAATATCAAACTCAAACTACGACGCCACCACTTGTATTGAAGTAGCGAGGTCACCTATCTAAAAGAGGGGGAAGCCCGTGCTAAAAGACCCGGGCTACCCAGGTACATATACGACATCCAGACACACTCATCATTACAATGCCCCTCTCGCTTGCACACCACGCTGCCTTCGGCACGGAAAGCAGTCCCGTCCTTCCTTTCCCCGTCTCGCTAACACCTGCCGACGGCTCCGCACCTTTAGTCCAGAACGCGCCCGGCGGTGGCCGAGACGCTCCTGTCCTTCGTGACCGTCTTCTTGAGCGACTTGCCCATCTGGATCTCACCCAGGAACCCGGACGGCCGGCCGCCGCCGGATGGCGGAGCTGGCACATCGCCGGCGGGTGGCGGCGGAGGTGGAGGCGGAGGAGCCATGCCGGGAATGGGAGGCGGCGGCGGCGGAGCAGCCGGAGCGCCGGTCGGGGGCATGGGAGGAGGGGGAGGGGGAGCCGAGGGGCTCGACTCCGGCATGGGTGGCGGGGGCGGCGGAGGTGCACCAGGGGCGTCTCCAGCCGGGGCCGACGGGGGCGGGCTTGCCGGAGGGGGTGCGAACGCTGGGGACTGGGCGGCAGGCGAGGCAGTCTCGGACTTGTTTCCGGCAGCAGACAGCGGCCGGGGAGGGCCCATGGAACCAAAGAGGAGGGAGGCCAGCTGGGCGGCGCCAGCGGCAGGGCGGTCGTCGTCCGAGTCTTCTTCTTCCTCGTTATCCGAACCCCACTCATCGTCGGTGTCGGGACGCTTGCGGGAGAAGTTACCAGTTGGCTGGGGCATGACAGGGGCGGCAGGGGCGGCAGGAGCCGCGGCCTTGTCCTGTGTCATCCGGTGGAAAGGGTTGGTGGAGACCTCGGGCTGCGCTGCGGGAGGAGCAGGCGGCGAGGCGACCGAAGTCGAGGGTGTAGCCCCGGATGCGGTCGAGTCCGAAGACATCATGCGGAAATAGGGGTTGCGGCTTTCGGCCTCAGGGGCGGGCGGGCTAGTCACAACGGTAGGCACGGGAGACGCCGGAGGTGGCGAGGCCTTGCGCTCCAACTCCTGGCTGCCCAACTGGCTGCCACCGTGGGTAGGTGTGGAGGCCTGGGGTGTAATCTGTTGAGGGCCCTCGTCGTCATCTGAAGAGGAGTCTTCGCCTTCCATGGCTTCAAGCTGGCGCTGGAGTTCCAGCTCGCGCTGGCGTGCGGCTTCAATCTCAGCCCGTTGTGCCGCTAGCTTGGCCTCCTTCTCCTTGGCCTCTGCCATAGCAGCCTTCTTTCTCTTCTTCTCTTCCTCCTTCTTGATCTTGCCTTGGCGGACCTGCTCCTCGAGGGCCTTGAGACGATCCGAAGCGGCGTTGCGCTCCTTTGCGAGCTCATCTTCTTGCTCTCTTGCTTGTGCCCTGGTTCTTGTCAATTTGTTGCTCAACTAAGCTGAAAAGTATGGGTGACTTACTCTAGCTCCTGGGTAGCTTTTCTTTCCTCTTCCTGTTCTTTCTCAAGACGATCGTGCTCGGCCTTCTTGGCGGTCTCGTCCTCGGCAGCCTGTCTTGCGGCACCATCATCGGCCTTGCCCTTTCTTGAAGGCGGGGGCGGTGGCTTCTTGTTCTCAGTCTTGGGTGCCGGTGGAGCAACACCCTGCTCCTCGGCGATCCTGGCCTGTCGCTCGCTCTCACGGCGAGCATCCTCCTCCTCTGCCTGGCGGAGCTTAGCAGCACGCTCGGCTTTCTCGCGCTCCATACGCTGGGCTGCAGTCTCGCCGGACTTCGTAGGAGCCTTGATTCCAAGAGCAGCAAGACGCTCGGCCATGCGCTGCTCAGCTTGTTGCTTAATGAAGGCAGCACGCTCCTCTGGTGTCTTGTATGACGAGTAAGACCCACCACCGGCAGCAGATGCAGCCGGGGGCGTAGCAGTACGAGACGTTGAGCTCGGGCTGTCGAATCGGGGAGGAGCCTCGGCCTTGACTGGTTCAGCAGTGGCCTGTCGACCTCCGCTGCGGTCCTGAGTGCGGATGCGAGCAGCACGGCTGGAGCGTTGCAGGTCGAAGATGAAGTCTCGCACCTCATCTTCAACACCCAAAGCATCTTCCCAACGGCGCTTCTCGTGTTCGTTGGCAGAAGTCTTGGTCCCTTCTTTGAGGGTGTCCTCGATGCCACGGGCAAATTCGCCGACGCTGTCCTCTACGTCGCGTACCATGCGTTCATTGTTCTCTTTCTCGTTTCTGACCTTGATGTTCTCCTCCTCCAATCGCTTAGGCGCATCCAGATCTTCGGTGCCAACATCGATCTTCTTGCCAGTGAGAGCAGCCGTACGCTGCTGCATCATAGCCTTGGCCCTAGCCTTGAGACGGTCCGACTCGGTGATGGAACCGCCAGGACCAGTTCCGACAATGTTGGAGGCACTTCCTGGGTGAGCCTTGGCATCCTTGAGACGGAAAAGTTCGAGTTTCGCATCAGCGATGGCCTTCTCAACCCGGCGAACCTCGGATGCGACCTGAGGGATCTTGTCGGTCAGGTTCTGGAGCTGGCGGTTGAGCGATCTCTTCTCAGCCTCCGAATCGCCGCTTGCCAAGGCAGCATCGGGATGACCATCGATATCTTCTTGGATGCGTCGGATTCTGCGATACAGCTCTTCAGCTTCGCGTCGGTCTCTTCTGTCCAGGATGTCGTCCTCTTCCAGCGCAGACTCGTCCTTGAAGTCCATAGCATCCAGGAGAACTTGCTTTTCTCGAATCTTTTTCCGTAGCTGATCGAGGGTTAGATCGTCATTGGACGCCACCGAGGCGGGCGACTCAGGCCGTGGAGATCCTGCAGCCATCCTGCGGCGAGCACTGGATTTATAGCCGACATCGTCGTCATTGTTCTTGAACACTGTGGCATCCTTCCGCCCACCGGCAGGCCCGCCACGTAGCGAGTGACTCTTGAGATAGCTCACTCCGGTCTTCTGAGGCAACAATGAAGCGCCGGAAGACTTTCGATATTCGGCTTCCTGGTTCAGCATTCCCTTCATTGTGCCCAAAGCGCTGTTGAAGTTTCGCGTAGACGGAGGTACCAACTCGGCGGGAAGCTGGTGGGGGATGGGGTAGCCGTTAAGTTTTCTGTAGATAAGATGCATGCCGACGGCGAACTCGTCGAGGTCAAGGCGGCCCTTGTTCCCATTATCCGCGAGAGTCCAGATTCTCTCCAGGTCAGGCTTGTCCAAACCACTCTGCCCCATGATTTCGATAGCTTGGTCGCCTCCGATGTAACCCTTGTGCAGGCCGTCCCATGCGCGGAACAATTCGTCGTAACGCTTCTTCTCGTCCTTCGTAATGGCCCAGGGAATAACAGCATTTCCTGACAAGCCGGCAGTGGTGTAGTCCTGCTGCTCGCGGCCTTGCTGGGGCATCATACGAGCTTGCAGGGCGTCAATATTGGGCAAGCCGCTGGCCGGTGCGTTGACCAACCCCCACTGCCCCGGCCTGCCGGTTGGCTGTGCGTTCAGGGGAGCTGCCGGAGCACCCAGACCACCCGCAAAGCCGGTGGGCATAGGAGGCATTGGTGGCCGCGGACCATTATACCCAGTGGCTTGCGGGTTGTTCATCCCAGGGAAGCCGGTTTGCTGCGACTGCATGCCCTGGTTCTGGCCCGGGAACCCAGTGGGCTGGGAACCGAGTTGTGGGCCGGGGTATCCCGTCATCTGCGCACTCAGGAGCTGCGAGTTCGAGTGCTGCGGCTGGGGCTGCTGGATAGTCGGCGTGTTGGCCGTGTTCTGCCCAGTAAAGTCCGGCGCGTTGGTTGCGCTAGGCCCAGAGGCAGCGGCATCGTCGGCGATACTGAAGTTGATTATGTCCACCATGCTCGACACCTCGTTCTTGATGTTGTCGGGCAAGTTCGGAGGCAAGGTCTTCCCGACAAGCTTCAGATTGCACAGGTACATGGCCAGAGCAAACTCGGGGAAATGCAGCTCTCCTGATCGCGTCGTGTCTGCAAGGGTCCTGCGGGTTTATGTTAGAAGTTGCCCAGGTCTTGTGGCCAGAACAAGAAGCACGTACCAAATGTGTGACAGGGCATCACCATCCAGTCTGGACCTCATGAGCAGATCCCTAGCTTTTTCTCCAGACATTGTGGTCTGGCCGTCGCCGACAGCCGACTTGAAGAGGGTCTCGAACTTGGACTGGTCCTGTGCCGTGATGAACGACAGACGGATGTTGGGGATCTTGTTGGCCGGCTTCTTCTCGGCTCGGCGCCCCGTGGGCTGGGCCTGGGCGCCGCCCGTCTTGAACGATGCGGCCATGGCACTGAAGCCGGTCGGTTGGGCGGCCATGGGCTTGGCCGGAGGGGGCGGGATGGTCGGCGGCGCCTGGCCCCCCGGGGAGAAGCTGTTCTGGGGCTGCTGCTGCTGCTGTTGCTGCTGTTGCTGCTGCTGCTGGTTGAACTGCTGCTGGTACTGCTGGGGAATCTGTGGCATCGGCGGCGCACCGGTCTGGAAGCTCTGCTGGGGTTGCGGCTGGCCTGGGAAGCCGGTGTACTGCGGCTGTAGGCCCTGCTGGCCCGGCTGCTGCTGAGGCATGCCCGTGGGCTGCGATTGCATCATGCCCTGCTGTTGAGGCATTCCGGTGGCCTGCGGCTGCATCATGCCCTGCTGGCCCGGGAAGCCCGTGTACTGCTGGCTCAAGGGAGACTGGCCGAAGCCCGTCGGCTGGGGCGCGAATGGGCTCTGTTGCTGTCCCGGCTGTCCCTGCTGCTGTTGGGGCTGCTGCTGGCCCATGCCGAAGGAGCTGCCATACTGCTGAGGCCCGGGTCGCAGGGTGTTGCCGCCCAGATACGAGTTTGAATTGGAGTACATGATGACTGGCGACGGGGTGGTCCAACACCAGATGCACTCCTGAGGGACTGTCGGGGTCAGAAGGGAAAAGCACGCGTGGAGCGACAAGGCTCCTCAATGGCGATGGAGGCAAAGGGAAAGAGTGTGAATGAATGTGGAGGGCGTTGTGCAGTGCAGGTGCTGGTGCAGGTCTGGTGCAGATGACGAAGCTCCTCTAACTAGCCACCTGCAGTCGGGCAAGGAGTGGCTTGGGGTCAATTTCGCTGCCCACTTCCACTGCTCGTTGGCTGGCTTGCCAGGCCGTCTCTGGGCTCTGGGCTCTTGGGGCGCTTCGGTGGGCTCTGTCTCTTGGGGGGGCTCTGTCTCTGGGGGGCCCAAAACTCCCCAAGCTGGCAAGCTGGAACCTGAAAGTGGATGCGCGCGCCTGGCTGGAGGCTGGGCCGAGTCGGAAGTCGGGCATCATGAGACAGGATCAGAGAGCTCCCAAAGCGAACTAGCATGCAAAGAGCACGGGCCGACAGCGACCTGAGCCTACAACCCCCTGGCCCTCCTCCCTTGGGTTACCTCATTGGCGCTCAGGGGTTAGTTAAGGCAGCTGTTGCAGCACCCCAGCCATTGCTTGTATACAGTGCACTCAATATGGACGGGAGTAACTCGTACACCTCCAACCACCACCAGCCTGGTTGGACCCTTCAGGTTGCTGTGAGTGTCCTACAAAACTGTGCACCCATGGGGATGTTAGATCATCCAGTACTGCTGACTACAACTGCTGCTGTTCACCTGTTCCATTCTACTGTCGATTCTGCTTCACCAATTACGTAACGACGTCATCTCTCCAGAGACTCGAGGAGGCAAGGCAAAATTACACACCACCCACTGCGGGCTGCTTTTCTCTATAAATCATTAATACTCTCTATTTTCAAGCAACCCGCCCCCTTATTCCGCCCCGGATAGGTAATGCACTTTTGCAGGCCGCCCCTCAAACTCCACGTTATAGCAACATCTGCCATTACTCCCCCTCCGATCGAACATCTCCTGCAACACGCGCGCATCCTCGTATAGCTGCGCTGCGCAATTGACTCGTAGTAGTACAACAATTGCTACTACAACCACACTACGTTGTGTCTGACAAGTGTCTGACAGTGTCCCCAACTCACACATCCGTGCGAGCAGGAAACCTCCATCTAGAAATCATCGTTCACCTAGGCCGTGCTGCTAGTGGGGAACTGGTCCGCGTTCTTCTTGGCCCAAGCGGCAAAGTCCATCTTGCCCTTGGCCGCGTTGAGGGCTCCGCTCAGTCCGTACTGGCTAGGAATACCCTCGACACGGTGGGTCGAGTTGATGTTCTTGACCAGCACAATCTGGTAGCAGGTTGCGCTACCCTGGCGGGAGATGATGGTCGACGAGGCAAGGAAGTACTCCCAAATCTAGGCGCCGGGGTCAGTGCCAAAGTCTTGCGGGGGATGTGAGGCTGCTACTTACTCGGTACCAGCGGTTGCCGTACTTGGCAATGACCTTGTCCTTGTTGGCCAGCCAGTTTCTGTACCAGCGCCAGAGAGTGGCGGAGTAGTGGACACCGATGGTGTCGATGCTCTTGATCTCCCAGCCGGCACCCTCGAGCTTGTCCACGAAGAATCCGAGAGGGGTCGAGGCGTCGGCACCGGGGAAGATGTACTTGTTCATGAACAGACCCCAGATCAGGTCGTCGTACTGCCACGGCTTGCGCAGACCGGCAATCTGGAGGAAGAAGGTACCGTCGTCGTTCATCATCTCGTTGACCTGCTTCAGGAAGCCCTGGAACTTGCGGACACCGACGTGCTCAGCCATCTCCAGACAGGTGATCTTGTCGTAACCGCCCTCGGGAACGGGGATGTCACGGTAGTCCATGCACAGAATGTTGCTCTGCTCCTCGGGGATGCCGGCGTTGCGGAGAGCCTTGTTACCCCAGGCAGTCTGGTTGCGGCCGAGAGTGATACCAGTCGCGCGAGCGCCAAAGTTGACACTGGCAAAGCGGGCCAGGGTACCCCAACCGCAGCCGATGTCCAGGAGAGACTCGCCCTCCTTGAGCTCGATCTTCTCGCAGACGATGGCCAGCTTGTTGTCCTGGAGCTGCTCCAAGCTCTCCTCCTGCTCGATGTCGCTGATGACACCGGAGGTGTAGATCATACGGGGGCCCAAGAACCAACCGTAGAAGTCATCACCGCGGTCGTAGTGGTCACGGACCTGCTCCTCGTCTAGAGAAGATCAAAGTCAGCAAAGGGGCCCAAGAACGGAGAACGAACAGGCGTCAGTTAGGGACGGACCTTGAGATCGGCTGTGCATGATGACTTCGGGCATCATGCCAAACAGGAAGAACTTGCACAGTCCCCAGGTGAAGCGGAAGCTGGCCCAGTCGTGTCGGTACTCCAGGGCCTCGAGGCAGTCGCCGTTGAAGTCGACGTCGCCGTCAAAGTACATCTCGTAGAAGGTCTCGAGAGGGATTCTGTTCTTTCCATGGTACTTGGCGCGGTCGGACTGCTTCTTGAAGGTGAGGTAGTGCTCGACGGGGCGGCCGGGGTACTTGGCCTTCTCGTTCTTGCGGGGGGAGACGGCCGAGACGGTGATCCAGAAGCCGGCGAGGATGGGGATGCTGGTGAAGAGGGCGAAGAAGATGGCCGTCTTCAGGCCTCCTCCGACCTTCCACGAGAGCCACAGCGGCACGCCGCCGAGCAGGGAGAAGAGGAGGGTGTTGGAGAAGCTGTCATTGCTGGCAGAGTCGGCGGGGAGGGGGCCATTCTTGATGGCTGGGTACTGTTTGGCCCGGCAGTCAGCGCGTCTGAAGTACACAAAGAGGCAGAGGCCGAGTAGAGAGAGACGCATAAGCCGACTCCCCCAAGGCCAAGGGCTGGGCCGCTGCCGTCAAGAAGAAGAATGGGGTGAACCTTACCGACGTAGTTCGCACACCGCAGTCGAAGGGCTTCTCGGTGGGGGTGGGAGCCTTGGGAGTCTCGACGAACTCGAACTCGGACTCGCTCCCGTTGGTGCTCACGGGCTTCGACATGTTGAGGGGCGTTGTTCTCTCCTCGTCCGCTCAGCCTGCAGCGTTGGCTAAGTTTGCAGATGTCGAGGAGGGGGAAAAGTGTGTTGAGGACACTTGCGTCTTTGGGGGGGAGATAGCGCACCGTCTTGGGTTCGCACTTTTGACCGCCTCGGCCCTGCCCTGGGTTTACGTTTCAATCTTCGAATTGGCGTGTGTGAGTGGCTGGGCGCCGCTGGAGACCCTGAGGCTCCATTTGGGGGGACGCCCTGGGAGCCAATGGGACGCCGATCCGCCAGGCGACCAGTTGGCGAATTGCCGTTAGCTCCGCCGCTTCAGAGTCGACAACGAACACTGGTAATGCACGTGCTGGAAAGCCCAAACCCCCCTGAATCTTCAGCAGATGCTGGTACGAGGCACGCTGCCAAAATCACATTGTTTACTATTGCACCCATGCCGCCAAGTGGCCAGCACAGCGTACAATGATCAGTATCTGTTGCATCCGTTCGGCATGCGAGTCTTGCCGTGTCTAGCTGTGACTCTTCTAGCCAGCCAAGGTGTCTACTGACATGTACCAAACTGGGCCTCACCCAACACGCAGACTCCCGACTTAGTGTAGAGGGTCGAAACGACAGGTCTGAATGCACAGTAGAGCCAGATAAGATAAAAGCGGGCCGTCGGATTACCTACTACTGTGCTGTAACAAGGTAGCTACAGTACAGTCCATTAGACTCAGGGGCCGCTGAATATCTGTCCTCTTGCCAAGGTGCAATCTCTTGTTCGATGGCACTGGCTTTCTTAGCGGCTAGAGATGGGCGTTATCCAACACTACATACAGCACAGTATATCACCGATTTCTCCCAAAGCTTTGTAGCATAGTTTTGGTACCGGGGCATATTGTTTCCGTGAACATGTCTTTCGAGACTTCGAGCCCCAGATCTTAGTTTCGTGAACTGCCTTGCCTGTCTGCAAAAGCTGCCACGTAATTATGGTGTTCCCCTTTCGATGGCATAGTTGGCACTTGGTTTGGTCGAGTCGTACTAGTGCCCAGGCTTGTGGAGAGAGAGTTGACCCATAGCCACCACAGCAGCCGGGATGCTAGAGAACTGGGGGACTGCAACGACACATCTGCGTATCTGAACGTCAACGCTGAGATCACTGGCTGTCATTTCTGGCTGCACCCCAGACTGGCAGACTGGCAATACTTCATTGCAAGGTTTGCGCACTCCGCCCTTTCGCAAGTGTCATTTCTGGAAGTGGCTGGACCGAAAGTCTTATTCCTTTTCGCAATTGGTTCTCTTGAACGCAGATCCTATCAATGCCCCTTAATGGAACTAACGAGATTAAAATCTCAAGGTTCGATGTTCCCAGGCCGTTGAGCAACCCATGTAACCTTGAGGGCCGTGTCACGGTCACCTAGGTAGCTCTCGCGTAACTTCATTCGTAGACACCAAGTCGCTAGCCCCAACACCCGTACTCAAGCACAGCATTATCATAGACATATTCAAGGTGTTGACCAGTAACCCGGGTGGGGGATTGGACAAACTCGAGATCACGTAGTAGAGCCGAGAAGTAGAATTAAGAAGCTTTAAGTCTTAGAGCTCAACAACTTGGTGTTTATATATCTTCCGCACTGGTGAATCATAGACTTATATATCAAGCCAAGTATTCAAGCCTCTCTCAGCGAAGTAGTCCTTTGGTCCATCGTCTTCACGCTTGCTATAATGATGGAAGGCTTTGACCCGGCCCTCCTGTCGGGCTTTTATGCCTTTCCTGCTTTAAGGTGCACCGAATTATGAGCGTACTTTATAACGTATATTGACGCACTACAGCAACAATCCGGAATACTAATATCAAAAGGCGCGAAAGATCCCCTTGGGCTGGACCAGTATGAGGTGCCAGAGGGATGGCACACTGCTTTATTCTCAGGGGCTCAGATTAGACAGATCATAGGCCTATCTGTTGCTGGCCTTGCAACGCAGACGATCGGCTACAAGCTCACTATGATGGCACCCCTAGCCTTGATGATTGCCTTCAACTTGATTCTGGTATTCGCCAAGAACGAACAAACCTCTGATTATGAGCCTGAGGATATTGACAGGGGGTTGGACTTCATAAAACAGACAACACTTATAGAACAAAATGAAGATAATAGATAAGACTTAAGGCAGACAGTCACATACTGCGTGGATAAAGGTTAAAGAAACGCTGGGCACTTACAAGGAATGCCTACAGGGTGTCAACAGGCGGCGTACTGAGATCAGTGGCGGGACGTGGATAAGTCAGTCGCTATGCGGATCGAATTTAATCGCCTTTGCGCCCCTTTTCTCCCAGAAAGCCGGACTGAGCGAAGAGAGCTCATTTACAATAGCCTTGCTTGGCCTGGTCCTTGGTGCAGGAGGAGCAGTTGCTGCTTCGTTTCTCATAAATCAAGCTGACCGGCGAACCGTACATGTGTTCAGGGTTGTAATGTTGCGCGTGCTCTTATTCGTCATCGGTCTTCCTGGGTTCGGTGAAGGAACCAAGGTCCCGTTGGCCATTGCTTGTGTTGGTAAGTCACCCGGTTGTATACTCCAGGTCTACGTATGGTGACAAGGCTCCAGTTGGCGCTTTACATCGTTGTATATGATACTTCAGTCGGTCCGTGTTGCTACAGTATCGTGACAAAAATCCCTTCAGACCGGCTAAGAGCACCCACCGTCGCGCTCGCTAGGATATGTTACAATTTTGCGGTAGGTTGTATATCCCTGAGCAGAACTGAGCAGAGGTATCCAGCTGACAGATGCATGAATCTTCAGCGTGATCTTGAACCCGTTCAAGCTCAGTGCATCCTCTTGAGATTTGGGCTGCCAAACCCGCGCTGCTTTGGGCCGGGCTTTGCTTAGCCTGTTTCTTCTCGGCAGTCTATCGGCTGCCAGAGCCGAGGAGAAGAAACCAAGGGGAGCTGGACTTTCTTTTTCGACTTCAGGTGAAAGCAATACACTTCAAGAGAACAGTGGTGGATCAGTTCATCTCCGATCACCTATATGTAAGACTGCCTCTATCGCAGGTTCGGGTGCTAGACGAGGGAGTGAAGGTATTGGGGTCTGCTTGCAAAGTTCCTGACGAAGGTCACCCGGGTGTTAGTTGCAGGGTGGTTGAGACTACGTCCAACACAGATCATGCAGGGTACTAGCTAGAAGGAGCCATGTCCAGGGGCGTTGCCCCAAGGAGATAATTGGAGATCTGGTGGGTTGTCTTCATTCAGTCATGAATTAGTACTAAAGTGACTATTCGTTGAAGTGGGATTGTGTTACCTCACATCTTGAACCGAATACGTGAAAGTTATCCGCCGTACACAGGAATAACAGACTGTCTGATGACGGTGTCTCTCATACTGGGCAAAGCGGCAGGCGAGCGTGCAGAAGGTAGAGCCTTTGGTCCAGCGTGGCCATGTTCTGGTTAATTCGTCAACGTCTTGAGTGCCTGTCGTGATATCGTCCACCATCCCTATCCCGGTCCCGATCTCGATGTCGGTCTCTATCACGATCTCGATCATCATGCCTCCTATGACTGTGGCTTCTTCGGTCTCGCTCACGCTCACTCTTGTAACTGGATGAGTGCCGCTCTTCTCGCTGCTGGCGCTCCTTTTCCTTGTCCCTTCGATATTCGTCTAGGCGCGGTCGGCGCTCGCGATGTCCATACTTCTTGGCAAGCTCGGCCTTCTTGATCTCTTCGTCCTCCTTGGCTCCGAGCCCTAGGAGGGCTGGCCTTCGGCGGACCTCTTTGGGTTTCGATCCTTGGTTCTTGCCGTCGTAGCCCATGCCACGAAGCATAGCCAGGCCAAACTCGCCATCTGGTATCTGGTCGTATTCCTCCAGGGTTGAGACTTCGCCAACGGCACTGTAATCACGCTTCAACGCATCATCTTCCGAGATGACCAGCTTCCTTTTCTTTCCGTTATCCTTCCCGAGTAGAGCGTCTATGGCATCCTGGTCAACGTTCTGCGCGTGTTGCTGACCAGCCGGCTCCGCTCGTCGGTCTCCTTCCTGGTCTGTAGGGGACTCGTCGTTGGCCTCGGTGATAGGTTGTTCGTCGCCGGAAGCTTTCTTGGTCACAGTAAGACCCCACTTGATTCCCTTGTCCTGGTCCGCAGGTTCTGTCTCCTGATTCTGACCCTTGAAACGGTTCTCGCGCTCGTGGGGCAAAAGCTCACCCCGCTGAGCCCGAGTCTCTGCCTTCCAGTCGCGATTTGCCTGGCATGCGATTGTCAAGGGCTTTTGTGCGTCCCGAGCAGCTTTCGCTTCTCTCCGTTTGACGTCGTTGACAGCGCCTTTGTCGCCAAACGACGTCACTACTTCGTGCCTGCCATGAGAGCTGTCATCGTCGTCGGAATCCGAGTCTTGGTTCAGGGCATGTGGTCGAGGGCGTTTGCCGAGCGTAGATGGTGGCTGCGACTGTGCCGGGCGTTTCGAACCGTTTGGTGGCTTTGATGAGGACGACGGAGCGCCAAACCTGATGGCAATCCGTGGCGCCGGCGACGCAGACGTTGGTTCTGACATTTGGGAGGCGTATGGGTGGATTGGGTGATCGCATCCAGCATTCAGATGGGCGACAACATGGCAGCAAAAAGAGGCAGATGACGACCCAGAACCCAGCCGCAGTTGTCACTCGGACGAAAGTTGGCGCCTACTGGCACTAGTGTGGCGGAAAGAAAAGCTTAGTCATTGGATGGGGCTTGGCTGTTGATTGATGTGGCTTGACTTACACCGACTTTGTTAGTTAGAGTTGGAGCTCTCGAGCGCTGTCGAGCTCACAGCTCACATGCGCACAAAGGGAGGCTCAGATCTCAGCAACCATATCACCTCCCAACTTGCAACACTCTCCGGCTTGCTCTGCAAGCTATGCATTCTCAAGTTCTCGGTCATCTACACGGCGCGTTTTCAGGTCCAGGGGATTTGAAGGACGAAGCCCTGTAGCTCCTGGGTCTATCCATCTGGGCTCTCCCCATATCGTCTGGCTACGTTCAGCCAGCCATGCCATGCCTGGTCTCGCCCGGCTAGTATGAAGACATCGCACCACACGCTCCGACCTTGCGACAGACTCGTCGACAGTATCTGGAAAGAAACCATGTGCCCTCTCCTGCTACCCATAGTATTCCTTGCCTGAATGCTGCAGGAGCCTGTCAGGTCGCCTCACCGACAGGGCTCGATGGCCGAGTCATTTCCGTATCTAAGGTTTGGTCCCTTTTACTCAGCTTGGTTCGCGAGCTGAGTGAAGCCTGGAGCGCTGATCTGTCAGCCCTCTTGCCCCGGTAGATGCCACGAGGTAGGCAGGCTGTCTCCACGACCTCAGGGCCAGATCTCATACTGTCTGTACGCTGTGCGGTCATGATACCATCATGGCCTTCGGTTGACCCATCATACCACCTCGGATGCGCATGCAAAGCCCGTTTCCCCCATTTCCTCCTAGCGTGGTGGCTTATCGTAAGATAACGCGTTCTGCAGCTGTCCAGTAGGGGGGCGAGCAGCTCCTGCGGCCTGCATTTCGGTGCCCCAGGCAAGCCCAGGGTGATGAGGGGCAGCACTCTAGCGACCCCCATGGACAATCTGGAGTGGAGTACGTACCGCGACTCCCTGCTGAAATCCGATGCCCAAGGGAGTTACTTTGCCTTGACCTGACCTTGGCTGGGCCTAAGAGGCACGTAGCTTAGCGGCGTGCAGGCTAACCCGACAAATTTGCAGCCTACAGCGAGCAGAGGGCCTGCCCATGGTGCCAGGACTTCCCTATCGACGCTGTGTCGTACTGTAGCAGCATCACATCACGATTTTCGGTGCTTGAAAACTCAGACTCGACGGCCCATCTCGTCAATCCACCACCTCAACACCGGCCTTTCCATCGCCAAAAACACCGTATTCCATCTCCCCGAGGCCCATTAAGATTGATCTGCATCATCCGCTTCCACAAAAAGCGGATGTTGCTGTCGCCGATGCTATGACTGAGGTCGTGCCCGCCGACCGCACGCGACTCCTTCAATCAAAGCGGGATGAATGCAGGTGAGTCCTATGCCATCTTGTAGAGCGCGCTTTTCCGATCCCAACGATGTGCGATTCGGCGTGCTGACGATGCCCAGGTCAATTGCCACGTCGCGGAAACGCAAGTTGAAGGAGCTGTTTGCGGTCGCAACCACTGCAGATGGCCTCCCAAATTTCAATCTCGCAATCACCGACGCGTCGCCCGCCAACACCGCCGAAATCAAGTTTCTTGAGGGGTGCGACATCTTACAGTAAGTCTGCTCTGCCTGTATCTGTATTTTTCATGCCATGAAAGCGTGCCGTCGACGCGTCGCGCAATCAGGGCGTCGCTAACTTGTGCACTAGGGGACGCAGACTTAATGAATTGAACATTCCGCCGCGGCCCCGGCTTCGATCTGATGCCTTCAAGCTATCTCACTCCGGCGGGCAGTCTTCGGTCAACAAAAATGCGACAACACCGTCTGCAAAGCCCGTGGTGCGCGATGCATCGAAGCCTACGAAGCCAGCACCACCCGCAGAAAAGCACAACGCGCCTATAGAGGTTCAGCAAACACCAGTTTCGATTCCACCGCCAAAGACCGAAGCGCCTGCAACTCCGAAACCAACCACCACAGCATCCGACGCTATCATTCAACAGCCTCAACCTACGGATGTCTCGGATGGTTCGACGCGTCCAGCGCCGCAACAGTCAGGAACTCGGGAAGCCCCAGGCCAACCGCAAGGTGTCAGGCAAAATGGAGACCTTGTGCAGCCTGAGAACTCGGCACCTCCAGTCGCTTCGCAGATAAACGTGCGTCCTCGGCCTGCCCAGCCTACACCTGCTGTAACTGCACCCGTGCCTGCAGCCAGTACTATCGAAATAGGGCAGCCGAGGATCGATGGGTCTCAAAAGACGGAGAAGGAAGCCGCACGCGCAGAGGGTGAGCCCGAGTCTCAGAGAATGGAAGTGGATGAAGTGCATAGTTCACAGGTCAACGGTGGCCTGTCCATCAACGCTGCCCAAGACTCACGACCGGTAGATACTCTGTCATCGCCCAGTTCTACTGCTCAAACGGCCACTACGCCAGCTGTACTGGAAACATCAACCACAACGAGCCCCGATCGTGACGGCCTGCGGGTGGAAGAGAGGCCAGGAGACGTGAAACTCAGTAGTCAGCCACAGCGCAAAGAACCTCCTGCAGAGGAGGTTGCAAGCCTGACTTCCACCTCCAAGGAGGTAGAGGCACAACTCCTCCGCGATTCAGCCAGTGCCGCAAATACCCAACCCTCCACCGTTGGTTCTCCGGCATTGCCTCGACCCGCCAAGCCGAACGGCGAGAAGCCGCATCTACCTGACGTTCCGCCGCCAGCGAAGGCGACTCTACCGACCGCCAACTCCACTGCTGCTCCAAAGGCCGAAATAGCTGCGACTGCTTCTGCAACGCCAGCCCCTAAACCTCAACCTGAGGCAGGCGCCGGGCAAAAGACTGTGGACAACGCCAACCGAGTACCCTCGGATGGGCCCAAGGTCTCTACACCCGTGGTTGCAGAGAGAGCTCGCACGCGAGTATCCACGGGAACCATCAGGCAGAAGTCGGTCGCAGAGATACTTTCGGGCGAACCTCCAAAGGGTTTGTCGGTACCCACTCAGTCTGAGGCTGACCCAAGTTCTCTGATACCTATCACTCCAACCTCGCAGTCTCCGAGACCGCGAGGGCGTAGTTTCACCGATAAGTCCAGATTAAAGGAGAAGAGCAGGTTATCTGGTGTGATCTTTGGCAAGCAACCCCAAGCAGCTACTGATTCAGATAAGTCTGTGATTTCGAGTCGCCCCAAGTCCGCCGGCGCTCTGCCTACAGATGATTACTTCACGCCTCTTTTCATCCAGGGGTTCTCCAATGGAACAAAATGGATGAAGCCATTGCATCAGATATTGCACCACGCACATAAGACAGTTTCAACACCCGATGCCTACATGCAGATTCAAGAAAACCAGGCTTGCAAGGTGCTCAAAGTTGTCTATGGTCTCCAACAGCACGACAAGTGGTCCTTGAGGCAACCCAAAAGATGCCCCGAACCGACGAGACAAGCCTCTCACTGGGACGTGATGTTGCAAGAAATGAAATGGATGAGAACCGATTTTCGTCAAGAACGGAAGTGGAAATCGACAATTGCCCGGAATCTAGCGTACGCATGCGCCGAGTGGGTAGCCTACCCTGAAGAACGGGCAGAGCTGCAGGTGAATGCTGTCATTCCACAAAATCCTCCCCGGGGACGATGGCTCGATGGGGACGTAGTGTTTGACCGGGACGTCGACATGGAAGTCGATGAGGTACATGCACCGGAGAATCATGCAACTCCAGATCTGATTTCTTCAGCGGACACCGACTCGCCCTTAGAACATGACGATGAGCCTTCGGACGCTTTCCTGGACACGGTGGCGCCTTCGGCCATCTTCACACTGGACCCAGACGAAGTGGTATTTGGGCTCAATCCTTCTCCAAACACAGATAGATTGCTAGACGAGTTGCCACTCTATGGATCTCCACTGAAAGTGCCGGAGTCGGATGTCGTTGCACCCAAGTACGATCCTGATGCTCATTGGAAGCGGGAAGCCTTGCCTTTGAGCAAATATGTGCAAGGCCGCATGGAGCTGGTATCGAACGAGCCACCGAGGAAGCGGAGTCGTTACCAGTATCTCCAAGAGGACGAGGACGAGGAAGCACTGTTTGATCAGCCAAGCACCCCATTCCGACTTGGACCTCAGAACCCGAACGTAGCGTTGTTCCAACCCGAGAACAAACCCATGCGAGACAGGCTGCATGCCGGTCATCAATTCCGACCGCCAAATGAGCATACCATGCCGTTCCAGAGTTTCTACGAATCGCGTAGCTGTTCTCAGTGGACGGTGGGTGAAGACGACGAGCTGAAGTCGCTGGTTCGCGAGTTTTCGTATAACTGGTCTTTGATTTCCAGTATGCTTTCTAGCAAATCATCGTTTGCATCAGGCGCGGAGAGGCGGACGCCCTGGGAATGCTTTGAGCGGTGGGTCATGCTCGAGGGTTTACCGCACGACATGCAAAAGACCCAGTACTTCAAGCTGTGGCAGAACCGCATCGACTCTGCTCAGGCAATTATCCGCCAGCAAAATGCGAATGCTTTGACCCAACAAGCGCAGCAACAACAGCAAGCCGGTCAGACTGCACCTACGCCTGCACCGGCGACACCTATCGTTCGCCGGCGGTTGTCACTGCCGGTCAAGGTCGAACGCCGCCGTAACCAGAAGCATCTCACAATGATCGATGCCATGAGAAAGCTGGCCAAGAAACGAGAGACACACCTCCAGAAACAGCAACACGCTGCCAACCTCGCGCAGATGCGGAAACAACAAGAGCAACCGCAGCCAAGAGTCGGCTCTATCAAGACACCACGGGAATACTCCATCATGCGTTGGGAGCGGGATCAAGCGATGGCGGAGAAACTGGCGGAGCGGATGGCACAGCACCAGCAACAGCGCATGGAAGCACAGCGCCGAGTACGAGCTACCACTAATGGATCGTCAAGCAATGCTAACCCTCAGACGCAGGCCGTGATGCAAGCCAGAGCGCAGCAAGGCCCAGCTGCCCAAATGGCCAACGGACAGAACACACCGATGCCGCAAAACGCCCCGCAGATGGGAGCTACCCATCCTCTCGCTGGTGTCAACCGTGTCAACGCCGCCAACCAGATGGCAATGAATGGACAAGCCCGACCGCGGGTACCGATGCAGGGAACGCCAAACGGCAACGCGGCTCAGGGCCACGTTGCCGGTGGCCTAGTCCCGCCTATGACGGTAAACAACAGCGGCCAAGTGCAGATGCCCGTAGTCAACGGACAAGCAAGGATGACGATACCCACGCAACCCGACCTCAACCTTGTCATACAGGCGCAGCGTATCTCGGAGCAACAGCGCCAGGCGGTGCAGATGAGGCAAGCACAGCAACAACAGACGCATACACCGCAGCAAGGCAGCCCGGCTCTCCAGACGTCCCCGCCAGCTGCCATGCGAGCAGCAGCCGTGGCCAATGGGGTCAACCAGAAGAGCTACATGAACAACGCGCAAGCCATCATGGCTCAGTTCAACGGGGCATCGAATTCTGGAGGGCTGTCTACTCCACCTGCCGCAGGACTCAACATGCCTGCGGGTCAGTCTGGGTCGCCCAGACCAAACCCAACCATGACTCCCCAGATCCACCAGACATTTGTTTCGCAGCTACAGAGCATTGAAAGTCACATTCGAGCAACACATCCGAATACGCCGCAAGACGTAGTGCGTCAAATGGCGACCCAGCTGCTCCAGAACCGTCAAAATAATCTGGCGCAGTCTGCAATGAACGCGGCAGCGGGAGGGCAGGCCCAGACAGCGATAGCCCATGGTCCTCACCAATACGCCCAGTTGCTAAGAGCACAGCAGCAAGCCCAGGCTCAAGCTGCGGCCAGCGCCCAAGCCCAACAGCAGCAGCAAGCCCAACAGCAGCAGCACCAACAGCAACAGCAACATCAACGTAACTCGAGTGCTGGCAGTGCGACGCCACCCGTGCCGACAATGCCAAAGTGATGCAAAGCATACATGGGTAGCCCCGTACTCTGAGAGAGCAAGACGAGTCAAATGTCTACTGAGACGCTTGTTACCTCTCGGTTGGCGGAAAACTCAGCCACGACTTACCTACACTGTCACTCTGGAGCCGGCAGCGCAATCCCTCGCGAGCCTATAGGTTCTAGAACAGGGCGCACTGCGAAGTCTCACGGCAGACTAGGATTACGGTACCATGAAGTACGGTTGTTGACGAATTATGATTATGGAGCAGTGTATTCGCATTGTCACTTGTATCGACAGCCTTAAAAGAGCGATTGCATTTTGCCGAGACTGGAGAGCAGCAAGTTTTGGGAGTAGCGAAACGCGCTACCGAGGGCAGCATGCGTGCTGTCCGTGGAACAAGGCCCCGAAGCGACGGAAGGGGGACCCGAGAAAGTCGGGATCCTACAAATTCTACTTTCACTAGGCAGGATTGACCCGAGTAGTAGCCACAAGACTGCTCTACTCCAGGGCCTCCACGGAGACCTCGTAACACATATGAATACAAAATATTTAATTGCACACAATCGAAGTTGCGATGTACTAGGTGACCTTGCCGTAAGCCCATAGCTATGATAGCACTCGTCTAGGAGCTGCGAACGCCAACTTACCGGGTTGGGCAACCTGGTCCGGCCCGTGATACTGGGTGTCCGATCATACAGACCTGCTTGACTATATACATATTAAGCACCTAGGTACAAAGTGTGGAGGTCTTGGAGGTGACGGGGGCTATAGGTTGCCCGCTACTGATAAGTGCTTATCGGTGAGCGGCAGAATTCTGGCCGCCCCACTCTCCAACTTTTTTTTGGTCGTGGTTGACTGCTCAACTCCGAGCACTGGCGGCCGCCCGACTTTTCTCATAAGCAGCATCTGCCCGTAGTTATACCACTTTTTCCACCGCCATTGTATAAACAAGCGGTTTCTTTACGAGGCTTATACGAGCAATGGGCAGCAAACGAAAGAGAGCCGAGCCTTCGGGCGCCGCGGCGAAAGAGGAGCCCGCCGTCACGAAAAAGTCAAAGACGGCAGCAGAGCCGTTCACGATCCAGATAGTAGCCGGCTCCTACGACCGGGTGCTGCACGGCGTCACCGCGACCGTCTCCCCCGACGACGAGGTCGAGTTCGCCGACACGTTCCTCTTCAACGCTCACAACTCGGCAATACGATGTCTCGCCCTCTCCCCCGTGTCGGCGCCCGAGCCCGGCAAGGGCCAGAAGGTGATGCTGGCCACGGGGAGCACCGACGAACGGATCAACGTCTTCAACATCTCAGCACACCCACCGAAGAAGCAGGACAAGGACTTGCTGTCCGTGATAGCCCCGCGCAAGATCCTCGAGAACCCCAGGAACCGAGAAGTCGGCACGCTGCTGCACCACTCGTCCACCGTCACCAAGCTCTCCTTCCCGACCAAGTCGAAGCTCATCTCTGCCTCGGAGGACTCTACGATCGGCGTCACGCGCATAAGAGACATGACGCTGCTCAGCAGCATCAAGGTCCCGATACCGAAGCCGCTCGGGCGGCCTAGCGGAGACACGGCGGCACTGGGCGCCACCCCGGCGGGCGTGAACGATTTCGCGGTGCACCCGAGCATGAAGCTCATGATCAGCGTCAGCAAGGGCGAGCGAAGCATGCGTCTCTGGAACCTCATGACGGCCAGGAAGGCGGGTGTTCTGAACTTTGGCCGGGATATCCTGCAGGAGATTGGGGAGGCGAGGCATTCGTCCGGCGAGGGCAGGTCGATCCTGTGGCACCCTTCGCAGAACGGTGACGAGTTCTGTGTGGGGTTCGACAGAGATATCCTGGTCTTTGGCATGGACGGCACCTCGAAATGCCGGGTCATGCCGGACCACAAGACCAAGATACACGAGTTCTGCTACATCACTACGGACGATGAAGAGTCTGTCCTGCTCGCCGTCGCAACCGAAGACGGCAGGATCATGTTCTTCTCCACCAGCCCAGAGGATCTGATGGAGAGCAAGTCCTCAGGCGACAAGAAGGCACCACAATTACAAGTCGCGAAGTTCGTGGCGCAGATGGGCGGCAAGGAAGCGGGCGTGCAGGGGCGGATCAAGGACTTCTCGGTGCTGAGGCCATCGCACGACCCGGAGTCGCTCTACTTTACCTGCGGCAGCAGCGACGGCAAGATCCGGATCTTCAAGACCAGCGTGGGCGAGCTGAACAAGGCCAAGAAGGGCAAGGAGGCGAAGCGGGTTGGCAAGTCGCTGGGGACATATGAGACGCAGAACAGGATAACGTGCTTGGAGGCTTTCGTGATGATACCCAGACCCGAGGGAGTGGAGGAAAGCGAGGATGAGTTCGAGGACGTGTCCAGTGACGATGACGAGGCGGACGACCAGGACGAAGACGAAGACGAGGAGGATGACGACGAATAAGAATATACTTTGGGGATATATAATAATTGACTATACCATGACTGTCGTCTTGCCAAACAGTGTCTCTCTACTGCCGCTTTTAGGAAATACCCGTGATATGCATCTTATAGTCAAAGGTATCCACCAGTATTGCAATTGTGGGTATGAATCGAGCTCAAGAGATGCCGTGTTATTATTGATCGCATCCCGACTTGAGATCGTGTCGTGTCGTCCGATCGACAGCCAGATGCGACAGTAAGTACGGCAAAAAGCGGCGCCTGGCAATGCATTGCATCTTGCATGGCCGGCCAACGTTTGGACGGAACGACACACGAGCAATGGCACCGGGAAATGGCACGACGCAGCCAATGGACACGAGATGCGGCCACACTGCTCAGGCCGTGTCTTGGAGTGTGGGGATAGGCGATGCGAATCGGTGGGCGCGAAGGGCCAGTCATGCGGGTTGCACGAGATTGGATTTTCTGTTGAGATGTGCGAGCAAGACCTGCAAGCAAGCCTGCAGGCAAGCAGGCAAGACCTGCAACCGGGGGCCGCCGGCGCTGCTCGCGCTGATCGCTCCAGCGGTCCCGCGGCATGTGATCTCCTTCTATCGTCCACAGTTGGCGGCGTGACAGGCAAAAAAAATCCCGAGCCAGACAAGCAAGCACAGGGGTTTGAGGGGGAGAGAGGGGGGGAAACAAAGAACAAGGGGGTGGAGTTGGGGAGGGGGGGGGGCCCAGCCGCCGGCGAAACGCCTGAAGGGCACCCGCCGGAGCCAGGAAGGGCGAGGGGTCACGGCGGATTGGACCACTGAAAGATCAGGGCATTGTCAGCCCAGAGGCAATCGTGGCAGCCCGGTCCGCGGGGAGACTGCTCAACTGGCGCCGGGGGGCACACGAGACTCCACCCTGGGGCGCCGAGCTACTGCAGCCGGCAGCAGCTCGACTTCTCACCTGCATGGGGAAGACGCCTTTCCTCGCACGAGGCACCGAAGCAGAAACGTCCAATGCGGAGCCACTGCTACGTGGACCTGTGTGTATGTAAGTAGTGTGTGTGTGTCTGTATGTGCGTGTGTTCATCTATCTGGTCGAGTCTGTCGACAACGAGAGGAGCTGGCTGCAGTTCCATGGCTTTTCCTGTCTTACACACACCAGCGTCCGCCTGTCCAATCTCGGAATTCAAATCTCCTGCACCTTCTATTACAACACATCCCGTTCCAGGGTCCACCTCAACCTCTCCCCCTTCGACCTCCTCTTCCATCTCAGCTCCCCTCGAAACTCTGTACCCGCCGAAGACGAACAGCGGGCGTGCGTGGCGTTCTTAGAGTTTGCGTGCTGCCTTGGTAGCAGCCAAAACAAGCTCTGAGCTCAGCCTGGGAACCAGACAGGAACCAATATCTTTCCGACAGCACGGTATTCGGCCCTGCGGTGGTATATTAGTGCTGCGCTCCCTCGTCCGAACCGCCCAAGCTCCATCTCTGAATGCGTATACCCAACATCGAAGCAGCTTTGGCCGAACTCTCCACAGCATCTAGCGTAGCGATTGCTGGTCGTGCTTGTGCCGTCCGCCCCTAGCTAGACACAACCTGGAAGGCTTTGACGAAACACGAATATCAACCCCGTTCGCCATGTCTGCCAGCCAAGACAGCCCCCATATACTGCGGCCCATCCCTCGCCGTCCGTTCAACATCAACCTCATGGGGCCAACACCCCCCGAGGACGAAGGCGAAGCGCAGGAGGAGCAGTCACAGCCGGAGCCGCCGCCGCCGCACCCCCCGGCGCGCACCTCGGGCGGCGGGCTGAACCTCGACTCCCTCAACCGGCGGCTCCTCGACCCGCGGGAGGGCACCCCGCGGTTCGACTCCCTGCCGGGCTCGCCCTCGACCAGCATCAGCCGCGCCCAGTCGTACCTGAACCTCACCAGCTCGACGCTGTTCGGCATCTACTCCCCGACCACGTACGGCAAGGACAGGTTCTACGCAGACCAGGACGAGCCCTCGACGCCCTGGGGCACCGGCGCCGAGACCCCCGCCAAGAAGCTGCGCGCCGACGAGCCCATGTACGAGGTCCAGAAGGAGCGGGGGAGACACATGCGGCGGCGGTCCTCGCTGCACCCGCCCCAGCGACCGCCACCGCTGTCCAGGCCCGCCGTGGTCTTCCACGTCGGCATCAGGGGCCTCCTGCTGTTCGGGCTGGGCATGCTGTACGGCGCGTTGGTGGCCAGGTTCCAAGACAGTCACAGGTTCCGCGGCCTCCAGATCGATGAAGCAGAGCCGCCGATAGTGCCGGATGCGAGGTACCTGGCTTTCTGGGGCGTCTCGGGCGTGGTCATGGGGGCTCTGCTCCCCTGGTTCGACGGCGTGTGGGAGGGTGTATTCGGGCAGGACGACGAGACGGAATCGGCCGTCGACCACTCAATGGGCTCTGAGGAAGCCGAGGACAGCCCACAAGGGACCGACTGGTCCTTGGCCATCAGAGGAATCGGGGCTTTTGTCGGCATTGTTTTTGCCCTCGTACGTTTTCCCCCGCTCTTCTGACGTTCCGGATAACTGTGGACTGACCAATATATCTCCAGCGCAAGCTCCAATGGACCTCGACGCTCCAGGTGTCCCTGGCCCTGGCTCTGGTCAACCCTTGTTTGTGGTACCTCATCGACCGGTCCAAACCGGGCTTCCTGCTGTCGGCGGCCGTCGGCCTCGCCGGGTCGGCCATCCTGCTGGGCCTCAAGCCCGACATGGTGCCCACGCCCGCCGGCCACGGGCCCTTCGACAGCTACGCCACCAACGCATCGGCCACGCCCCTGGGGTCGTCGCCGACTATGATCCTCGGCGGCCTGGCCAGCCAGGAGACGGTCGAGACGGGCATCTGGATGCTCAGCATCCTGTTCTGCTGCTGCGTCTGCTTCGGCAACATCGGGCGCCGGCTGGCCATGAACCAGTCCGGCACCATCAAGGGGCGCTGGGCCGAGCAAAAGGCCGGCTGATGACCGTCCCGAGGAGGAGGAAAGCAAGAAAGAAAGAGCGAACGAAGGCCGATAGGGTGTGTGTGTGTGTATCGCGGGTACCCGGCCTGTATTTCAGGGCTAGGCATGTGCTTCAAAAACTGCATTCTTCTGGGACATGGACAGTGTGTGTTATGGTCTGTGTGTGCATGGTTATGGAACTGGCTTGACAAACATTGAAAATTGGGACCTGCGGGTTGGGATTGCATCAAGGGAATTATACCCAATTCATGTTGTTGCATTTGGTATAGCTCGATCTGTACCGACTCCTTAGTCTGGTGGCATTCAGGGACAAAACTCGGGGACTTGGGTCAAGAGTCTGCCATGACTGCATATGGAGCTCCCAGTTATGGTTATGAATGGGAAGCATGCCTCTTCGATCTACTAATGATCATTGTCAGCGGTTTCCCGTAAATTGTGGGGGAACATGATTTTATATCTAACAGGTTCCCAAGCCTGTTGTACGGACCTGGGCTACAATATTATCATATCTTAATCTCTGAATATGCAATTGGCCGTCGATGGGTACGAGGTGACAAGATCTCGATTGACGAGGGGGCCACAAATTTGGCCCGCCCGAGATGCGATGCTATGTAACTATGCCACAAGAGAAGCAGAATACGGAGAAGATCCAGTAGACGGCGCAAACCGCAGGCCACTGGCTGATCTAAGGAACAGGAGGACAGCAGATAAAATCGACAAAAGTGACAGGAATATAAAAAACGAGAAGAATTCCGCCGATGTTGGTATCACTAGTATGATGATCGAGATCATGTTTGAAATGCAGCAAGAGATTTCCCATCCCGCCCAAGAACGCCATGCGATATATGAGGTTTCCCCCCCACCAGCCAAGGGGATAAATTTTCTTTTCTTTTCCTCCCACTATCTTCTTCTTCTTCTTCTTCCGTCCCAAATCTAGGAATCTGGGGTCATGACAAAAGCGATGCCCAGGAAAACGAGCCCCGCGACGAGGGCGAGTCATAAAACAAGACAATCTGAAACGGACCTGGAGGGTTTTTCATTCCGTCAATGCAAAGTGTTCGTAGCGGGATGATGGTTTTCAAGGTAAGGGGGGAAGGGGGTCTCTCTCGGATAGAGATCCATGCCCCACACGAGTTTATATTAGGAAAGACAAACAAGAGGATTTGGATTGTGTGTGGGTTTTGTGCGTGTCCGGAGAGGAGCATCGAGGAAAATGCTCACCATCTGCTTGACTCCCACTCGACAATCCACCGGCAGCAGATCTTCATGCGCTGCCGGACGCTGGATGTGCCCAGGAGGCGGCACTTTTCGTCGTCGCTGACGGGGAGCACGCTGGCGAACCACCAGGGGAAGAGTGTCGGGTCGGTCGGGCACTCCCCGAACACGGCCAGGACCCGGCCTGCGAGCCACGAGACGCTCTGCCCACGCATCCTGGTGACGAAGCCGATGCCGATGTCCAGCAAGTCGCGGGTCGACTTCGTGTCTAGGTCTGCGAGGGTGAGCACTGTTGAGTGAGTCGGAGTTGCGGGCGACTGCGGTGACAGCGGTGTCGCCGAGGCTTCCCGCTCGCCTCGTTGCGTGAAGTCTTGCACACCCTGTCCGCGCATTGTCTCCGAAATCTCCATGGCTTCCTCTTCGGCCAGGCCGACATCATCGATCTGCTCGACCTGGCCAACGACGTACCCATCCAAGACGCCATGGCGAGTGACCCTGAACCGCGATACCCCGACCGTTTCCAGTAGACTCCGGCCGTCCGGGAAGAATTCGATGTTGACTATGCGCAGCAGAGTTCCGATCTCGCTGAAAGGGGCACCTCCGGCAACCGAGGGTCTCTCGGGACGTACCATTCCGAAGGTTCTATCTGCGTCGACGACACGTCGCATCATGAGACGATATCGTGGTTCAAAAACGTGTAAGAATGTTGGCATAGCGGGAAACGCCAGTGTGCACACAAAGATCGGTATGTCATACTCGCCGACCAGTTCCGCCTGCCGCTCAGCTCGAACCGTCTCTGCTCGTACCGAAACGACGTCCGCCCAGAAGCCGTTGATCATCCTTGTCAGACGGGCGTTGGCGGGTGCCGAAGCCGAGTTTACTTGTCGCTGGATGAGCAGAGCCCTCCGGCATATGGGACAATGCTCCGAACTGCTAAGCACTTGGTGTATACAGTGCCGGCAAAAAGTGTGGCCACATGTGGTAGTGAACGGGTCCAGATATAGGGCGTAGCATATTTGGCAGTCCATCTCCGTCCGTACGCACTCTTTCAATCTTAAGAAAGCATCTGAATCGATCTGGGTGACTTCCTCCTCAGATGCGCCGACGGCGGTATACGATACCTCGCACTCATATCTCAAGCTTCCGGTTTCGGCCAGCGTGTAAGTCGACACGATCCGGCCACCTCTCACCACCTGCGACAAGGCGTCCTTCTCCTCCAAGGTGGGAAGTCCGGCAACTTCCCAAGGATTCTGAATCGCAACATGTGTGGAAACCGCGGCGCCCTCCGTGAGAGCCCGCGCTTGTTCAACAGCTGTCCGCACAATGTCCAGAACCTTGTTTAACGTAACATCAACACTGCAGTCCCCAATGGCATGCTCCTTCCTACAATCCTCAAAGGGACAGTTGAACCCCTGTAACCGGTTCGCGGTGGCAGGCCAGGAGATGTTGGTCCGTAGGTGCGTCTCGGGGATACATGTCTTGCACAATGTCTGCCCGCATGGCAGCGTGATGGGGTCTCGCAGTATACGGGAGCATGTGCTGCATTGCACCAGCCTTATGATCTGTCGAGCATCCTTGGTGGCGCTCAACAGTAGCTCGGCGGGAGACGCAGTACTATCGAGCCCGGCCGGATGACTGGCCGGGGAGTCGCCCTTCTCGGAGTGCGAGCGCGAAGTTGGGCCGTCAGACGGCGTCGATGGTGCAGGTATGGTCGGGCTCGTGTCAGTCTGGAGTGAGGACATGAAAGTAAATCTAGCACCCAACCCGTTGCTGGGAGGAGGTAGTTCTGGAGCGATTTGTGGCTCTCTCTCGGCGGACAACTGCGAAGCTGTCTTGCCGTCGGTATATAACTTTCCTAGGAGGTAGTTGCGGGCGCATGCAGGCTTATACCAGAGTGCTTCAGGGAAATGATTGAAAATGATCCAAGGGAGCTATTGGGCCAGGCCTGGAGGAGGTGAGTGTGGTATCAGGCGTGGTTCAACAGATGTTGGCCTCGGATGTAGCTGCCAGTGAGTGATTGCAGTACGGAGGACGGCGCACGGGAGATCATGTAGGCGTCGTCGGTGTCATTAGGTGTGATGCTATTCGTGTCCGCAGAAGATGCAAGTGACGGCGACGACTCTGATTGGAAGGAGCGGGACTCGGACGCCTAATAGCGTTTAGTGAACAAGCTGCTGGAGGGAGGAATTGGAGCTCAGCCGCGCAGGACCGAGTTTGACAGGCAGAGATGTAGGAGGTCATCATACATGTATCCGCAGATCAAGTGGTGCGTCCCGACTGAGAGGTGTGGAGGGGTCTGGTCCCATCCTTTAAGCGAGCTAGAAATGGTCTGCGTCAGTACTGGTACCTCAACGGCCACTGTTGCAGACGGCACCAGGTTGCCATTGGCCGACGACGGGGGGAGCAAGAGACGGCGATCTCGATGCCACTAACCTGGAACTGTCTGTGTCCCCCCAAGGGCCCAAGGGGGCCCCCTACGCCGCCGTAGGAGACACAACACACGCTGCAAGTAATGGGCAGGCCTGGCATCTGGCAATTGGCAAGCTCTTGCCATGTCCAAAATGCGAGCGAGTCTTGAGCGTGCTTCCCGAGCCGCTTCAACCACAGTTCCAGTAGTGCAGGACCCTTGGATCTAGCTTGGGTGTTTTGGTGTCAGATAACTAGTTTATAGTTCATGGTTGCTGCAGGTGCCAATTTCAAGGGTATCTACTACTGTAATTGACACATCTAATTGAAAACGTCCAGCGCCAGATCCCCAACCGGCCCAGGACAGAAAAGTTACAGCCTGCGAGTTGTGCGCTCAGAGAGCTGCTGTACCTCGAAAGAGCCAAAAACTTTCATAATACCACGGGACATGGTGGCCCAGGCTTCTTCAGCTAGCAACACAGCTGACATGCCGTGTACCGGACGTAAAAGTGTCCTGCTTGAGTGCGGCGTTCCCAGGAACACATTAAGGCCCCGCGCATTCAGACTCTGACGTAGCTTGCCGTGTGGGGTCCAGCCAAGATCATACACGACTAACTCGTGTTCATCTCAGAAACCTAAGTTAGGGGCAGATACTGACTATCTGAGTGCTGGCATTTACCAGTAGGATGTTGGAGATCAGGACGGGTTGGCTCAATAGGTGGGAGAGTTTGCTTGAACAGCAAAGGAGGGCAGCCCACACAGGACAGAAGGATAATCAGGCGCGAGGGGATTGAATATAGAGTTTGCGTGCGTGCAGTGGGACAGCTAAGGCGCTGGATATTCTAGAATTTGCAGGGACCTTTCGAATGCGTCACGACTTGTGGTCGCAGGGGACCCTCCCTTGCCAAGGCGCCCACCTGGGTTTTGTCTCACAGCTGCCACAGGACAAGTCCTCAGTGTTTTCATTTGCATCTCTCTGTCCAGACTTGCCAGAACGACTTGCCGTACTGGGGCTCGACGCGCAACCTGATAATGCACCGCGTACAGCCCAGGGCACGAGCTCTTCGGCAGAGAGTGGCTTGCTCTCGAGTAGGATAACAGGCCGCTTTCAGGGAGGGTACCGGTACATCTCCAGCTGAGCATTGGCAGGCCCGTTAACTCTTGAGACTGTGACTAGCGGCCGGGCAACTCTGATCCAAGCAGCCTGCTATCGATGAGCGGACTTCGGGTGAGCACGGCAAATCGACAGTCAATCGACGCTGGGCAGTATTGGGTATTATCCCGCGGGTCCTCCTCTGTGCGAATGCGTGCGAATGGGTAGAAATGACTCCACCCTGGGACATGAGCTCATAGACTTGGACAATTCGCCGCACCACGCTATCCTATTCGCTGAGACAGCATCCTTCGTGACCAGCTTGCTGGACCGTACTAGCGAACGCGTCTGCCACGGGCAATCTCTGGGGCAGACCGACTCTCTCGGCTCGTCAACTTGCCGTCCGCCTGCGCACCACCCGGCACCTCGGTATGGTCCTATGCCGGTAGCCGCTAACTTATTAGCAGGTCAAAATCACCTAACCCATCCCTAAATGCGTTTTCAGCCTCACCTATGACGCTTAAACAGACGTTATGGATCTCCAAGCCTGCCAACATCGGCTCAGTGTTGTATCTATGCGCCGCCGCGGTCTCAATCTTCTAACTCTGGGTCGTAGCCTCTTCAACATTTCGCAAAGTATCCTGGGAACCCCTTTCGCCTGCCATATGGCCCTTTATTCTATACATACTCGGCCGAGTGCGTGTGGGTATGCATGGCGCCACGCTGTCTTGGAATGATAGCTTCATTAGACTCACTCAATCGAGAAATGCGCCCAGCCATTAGTCTCACTAGATTGATTCAGTGGTAGTTTGCGCTCACATGGCACATGCGTTTTGAGTTCGTATCCCGCAAACTATCTTTACTATCGACATGGCACGACTTAGTGCAGCTTGTCACTGTTTGATACTCTGCATCGCAGAGCCTTTGTAATCAGAAGTGAACACCCTCCCATTTCGCGCAACGCACTGGAGTCTATGCAGCTTTCATGGGTAGGAGGTACGGCTGTTCTCCTCTTCCGCACACAGCCTGTATACCGAATGGATTGCTACAAATAATATATTGGGAGAAGTGGGTTCGGCCGAGATCCTATGAAACAGGAGGATATACAGGAGCCTCATCAACGAAGGCTCACGTTGAGTATTTCCAATCCTGCCGCCATCTATGATCAGAACATTACGCCGCCCGTTGGAAAAATTCAGCACTTTGTGTGCAAAGGATGAATAGTCCAAGTCCAGCATTGCCACAGGGAGCAAAATGCTTGTTTCGTACTAGGCAGTATACTTGCTCTTTATCTTCATTGCGTGGATATTGGG